AAACTCTAAATTAGACTAACTCTATCTATTCTATAAGTATATTACTCTTTCTACCTATTATCTAGGTCTCTTAGTAAGTAATAATAGATAGAAATACTACTTATATAGTTATATTACTTAGAGAATATTCTCTTTTCTATTATTTCTAAAAATCCCTAAACTAGACTAGTCCTATCTTTTCTACTAGTATATTACTCTTTTTACCTATTCTCTAGGTCTCGGAGTAAGTAGAAGAGAGAAAAATACTACTAACGAGGTCTATATATAAGGCCTAAATACCAGCCCCTCCTCTCTATTATAACTTAGCTTCCTATACTCTACTCGGTAGCGCGCGCTATAGTAACCCGCCTACCTACCCCTTTTATAGCGGCTAGATATACGCGTATTTACGCTACTATAGGCCTCTATAAGGTACTCGTAATATACCTTAAGAGCGTCTATACCCCCTATTGCGCGGCTATTATTTACTTAACGGTAGTTTTATAGTAGAAGGTAATTACCTATAGTATATAGATTACCTTTAAGTATTACTTTAGGAATATACCTTTCTCTAGTATCTAAAATATCTCTAAATAAGACTAATCTATACTATTCTATTAGATTTTTAGTCCCTCTACCTTTTCTATAGGCCCTAAAGTATATATTAAGTTATAAAAATACTTACTACCTAGTAGTATTACTTAAGTAATAGGCCTTTCCCTAAAATCTTAAAACTTCTAAATTAGACTAATTATACTTATCTTAATAGTTTATTAATTTTTCTACCTTCCTTCTATACTATAAAGTAAGTAATAGAATAGGTAAATACTACTTACCTTATAGTATTACTTCTAGGATAGATATTCCTCTAATATCTTAAAATACTAAATTTATCGTATTTATTTAAGTAGTTTATTAGGTTTTCTATATAAATATAAGCTCTTTAGTAAAGACTTAGATTTTAAGTTACTATTTATCTAACGATATTACTTTAGGAATAAATCTTTCTATAATATCTTTTCAATACTATAATAGACTTTATAGCTCTATTATATTACTTTTTAGCTTACTAACTCTATTAATTCTTATATCTAAGCTCTATCTTATCTAAATATACTACTTATTGATTAGTATTACTTAAGAAAAACTTAATTTCTTCTTAAATCTAAAACTATCAATAAAAACTTAATATCTCTCTTTAAGTAGTTTTTTAGTTAATAATTATCCTTTTCTAAGATATTAGCGCTAATATAGCTAATAAATTACTACTTTCTCTATAATATAAGTTAAGAAATATAGTCTTCTTCTAAAAACTCCTTATAAGACTTATTTCTTAATTTTAATAGTATTTTATTTATTTCTTATATTCTTATAAGGTCTTACTTCTAATCTAGCTAATAATTTACTACTTACCCTATAGCTCTACTCTATAAGTTCATTTCTTCTTCTAAAGTTTAAATACTCTAGATTAGACTTACTTCTTTGTTTAAGTAGTATTTTAGTTATCTCTTATTTTCTTCTTATATATTACCTCTAATATAGCTAATAAATTACTACTTGCTCTATAGTATTACTTTAAAAATAAGGACTTCTTCTTATATTTAAAGAACTCTAGATAAGACCTATCTCTCGATTTCAATAGTACTTTATTTATCTACTATCTTTATATAAGATATTACCTCTAATATAGCTAATAAATTACTACTTACTCTATAGTATAACTTTAAAGATCTAGTCCTCTCTGAAATCTAAAAACGCTAATAAAGACTTTAGATCTCTATTTAATTAGTATTTTAATAGGATCTTCCTTAAAATTTTAAAAAACTCTAGATAAGATTTATCTCTCTATTTAGATAGTATTCTATATATCTACTATCTTCTTTTAAGATATTAACTTTAGTTTCATCTAAAACTTACTACTTGTTCTCTAGTCTTACCTTAGAAATAAGATCTTCTTCTAAAATCTAAAGAGCTCTAGATAAGACTAATATCTCTCTTTAAATAGTATTTTATTTATCTAATATCTTTTTCTAAGGTATTACCTTTAGTTTACTAGATAAATTACTACTTACTCTCTACTATTACCTTGAAAATAAGGTCTTCTTTTAAAATCTATAAATCTTTAAAGAAGACCTTTTCTCTCTACTTTACTAGTATTTAGGTAGTAATTCTATTCTCCTAAGATATTACCTTATATCTAGCTTATAAATTACTACTTACTCTATAGTATAACTTTATAAATTAAGTTCCTTCTAGAATCTTAAAAATACTAATAAAGATTTATTCCTATATTTAAGTAGTATTTTAGTAATTTATTCTCTTCTCCTAAGGTGGTACCTCTTATATAGCTAATAAACTACTATTACTTTATAGTATAAGTTTAGAAATTTTATTTTATCTTAAATCTAAATATACTAATAAAGACTTAATATCTCTCTTTAAGTAGTAGTTTAGTTATTTACTATCTCCTCTTAAGATCTTACCTTTAATCTAGCTAATAAATTACTATTTCCCTTATAGTATTACTTTAGAAATAATATCTTCTTCTTAAATTAAGAAAACTCGAAACAAGACCTTTAATCTCTATTTAGTTAGTATTTTAGTTATTTATTACTCTCTCCTAATATATTACCTTTCATTTAGCTAATAAACTATTACTTATATTATAGTATGACTTAAGAAATAAGGTCTTTTTAAAAAAGTAGAATAACTCTAAATAAGATTTATTTATCTATTTAGATAGTATTTTATTTATTAACTATCTTCTTCTAAGCTATTAACTTTAGTTTTATTTAGAAAATACTACTTATTCTCTAGTCTTACTTTAGAAATAAGGTTTTCTTTAAGAATCTAAAGAACTCTAAATAAGAGTTAATTCTCTATTTAAGTAGTCCTTTAGTTACTTTCTATATTTTTTAATATAGTACTCTAATATAGCTAGTAAATTACTACTTACCCTATAGTATATAACTTAAGGAATTTAGTCTTCTTCTATTAAATTCTATATAAGACTTATTACTTAATATTTAGTAGTATCTAATTTATCTACTATCTTCTTATAAGGTATTACCCCTAATTTAGCTAATAAACTACTACTTATTCTATAGTATAACTTTAGAAACCTAGTTTCCTCTTAAATCTAAGAACGCTAGTAAAGACTTTATACCTCTATTAAAGTAGTATTTTATTTATTTACTATCTTCTCGTAAGGTATTATATCTAATATAGCTAATAACCTACTACTTATTCTATAGTATAACTTTAGAAATTTAGTTTCTTCTTAAATCTAGAAATACTAATTAAGTCTTTATATCTATCTTTAAGTAGTATCTTAGTTATTTACTATCCTTCTCTAAGAGAATACCTTAAATCTAGCTAATAAATTACTACTTACTCTTTACTATTACTTTAAAAATATTTAAAGTACTTCTTCTAAAGTTAAAAAAAACTCTAAATAAGAATTATTTCTTTATTTAAGTAGTATTTTACTTATTAATTATTCTCTTCTAAGGTATTATCTCTAATCTAGCTAATAAACTACTATTTACTCTATAGTATTACTTTAGAAATAATACCTTTTACTAAAATCTAAGGAACTCTAAATAAGACTTATCTCTCTATTTAAGTCTATCTTCTTATCTTATAGTAAAACCCCTTCTAATTTAGCTAATAAAATTACTAATCTCTCTTTAGTTATTTCTATAAATCAACATTTTTCTAGAATTTTAATAGCTCTAAGTAAGAGTTAGTTTCTCTATTTAAATAGTTAATACGTAAGAGCGACACAACGTTGCTCGGCGCCCCGTAGACAGTGTTAATGTGACGGAGAGCTCCAGCCTTCTTGGTGGCTGTTGGTCTCTTCGCCTCTTTCCAGAAAGCCTGTCAAAAGGCAGTGGACATTGCCAGAGTCAATGCTGACCGCACTAGAAAGGCAAAAGTATTTCCAATTGCGAGATTGAATTGCTGGCGAGAATATGTCGAGCGCGCGATATGGTAATCCCCTAATGGTACGTACCTCTTTTTTTGCTCAAGGACTGGTAGAAGGAGTGATGGCCGATTGCCAGCAATATTACAAGCATCAAGGAGCTGAGCATGAGGCTGGGCGTTACCCAGTGTATTCCACGATTGACGGCCATCCTGCAAGTGATGAGTGTGGTGGACAAGTGATGGAAGAAGGCGGAAAGCGGCCTCCCCTCTCTAGATCTCGTAGCTTTCGTTCGAGAGGTACGCGGCCTCTTATCTCAAGGACTCTCTCGGCGCAGCCTGACAAACTCAAAGTCCAATGAATCGCCGTGGCGATACTCATATCATTTGCAGCTGCATCTGTAGTGGCGTGTAACATGGCAGCTGAGAGCCCCACAAGGCTGTGTGGATCCACACGTGTCTCTATGTGTACATAGCCAAGCCAGGGGCTCTCCGGCGGTCAGGTAGCTTAGAACCAAAATCTTAGCCACCGAGTGGAGTGTAGGAAGCTAAAGGCAACGCAGCGTCTTAATTCGTTCGACTTCGTGATCGCAAAGGAGAAAGAATTGGCGCAGGGCTGGAGCGTGGCTGAGACTTTCACATCAACGCCGCGGATGTTGGAAGAAGAAAGTGACCCCTATGCCCTGGAGTTGTGATGCGATACGGATAGATCGAGAAGGGCTCGAGCAGAGAATATGGTAGGACTTCGCCAGACGAGTTCAGGAGATTCAGCATTCAAGTCCTGGGCATGTTGCAGACCATATCGCGTATTCACCTATTCGGTGCTCAGGAGTTGCCAGGCAATATGCTTCCAAGCACGCATGAGGTAGGAGGATTAGGTAGAAGTGGTTGTTTGAGAGGAATTCCAGGTGCAGTTGCTGAGCTGTCAGTGAGGGCTGCTCGGCTTCTGGGCTCTCGGCTCGGCCCGGGAAATGACCTCAGCGCTCCGTTGACAGAGACAGAACGCGGAGCCGCGCGACACTCCTCTGTTGCACATACCGCAACAATGAGATGATAACAACCATTAGGAGCCTTGCAAGGCAGTCTCAAAACACCCGATGGCAGGCAAGCGGCTGCTCGACGCTGCCAAACTGTTCAGTGCCGGCCGCGCGGTAACAAAGCAGCATTTAGTTCTGCGCAAAGAACAATGGGACCTCTACACCCGCACCTCGGGCCTCGCGCGCGCAGTCAAGAACCAGACCGACCGATTCACTGTCACGGTGGGTGCTGCCGTGGAGCTGGCCAAGAGATTCAATGAGACGGCGCCGAGCTGGGAGCAAGGCCGAGATGAGGTGCAAAGAGGCGCAGAGGGGGTGAAGAGGAGGGCCGAACAGAGCGTCCAAAAGGCGACACTTGAGGCAGAGAACCTGGCAAAAGATATCGGAAATGTAGCAGAGAATGCTGGTTTTGGGGACGTGGCTACTTCCCAAGCAAGTGCTGCAGGCCAGAGTGCCGATGATGGCACCTTGGCTTCGTTGAGGAAGCGAGAGCAGCAACGGCAGTCGGAGGCTCAAATTCCCTCTCAAGCCGCAGATACGCAACCGGGGCAGACTTTCGGTCAGGATACATTCAATGAGCGCTCCCAAAGAATAGCGCCGGAGCTCTCCTCGTTGCCGCGCAAGAAACTGCCCCTTCATGCTGAAGATCCTCCGTCCATGCTCCATGCCAGTGGAACTCCTGCCTTGAATCCAGATACCTTCCCATCCCCCGGAATCCCGAACAAGAGTGGTGAGGAGAACTTACCTGACGGCGTGAACATAAATGCCTTCCACAGTCCCCGGATCTCTCGGATGCTGGGCCAAGCCGGGTCGGACATCAAGAACCCTTACGCTAAACGAGAAAAGCTCCCTCCCAAACCTTTGCCAGAGATGGTCGAGGCGGCTGAGCGACGGAAACAGCAGCATAATCGCCTGAGTATGGAACAGCCCGCTGCTGCAGAATGTGAAACTGCGGGAGAATCGCATACCCCAGTCGCGGCGGACGCAGAGACGCGGGATCTGGCCGCATCCATCTCACAAGGCACGCAGCCGCAACCGGAGTTCGAGCCTAAGCCATACGAGATGCACGAGTCGAGAGTCCCAGCCACTCGGTTTGGTCGTCTCTGGCAGTACGGGGGCCTTGCCACAAGTATGGCTTTCGGTGCCGTCGGTGAGGGGTTCAGGCGATTCGCCGGTGGCTCCAGCACTGGCAGTTTGATGCTCAGCGAAGGCAACATGAACCGCTTGGTTGCAAAACTAAGCCGCATGAGAGGCGCAGCTTTGAAGCTGGGCCAGATGATGAGCTTCCAGGATTCAAAGATATTGCCTTCCACCATCAACACCGTCCTTCAGCGAGTACAAGACAGTGCTGATTATATGCCAGCCTCACAGCGAGACAAGGTATTGGCGAGGAACCTGGGAAATGAATGGAGAGGGCTCTTCTCAACCTTCGAAGAGAAGCCTTTCGCAGCTGCTTCCATCGGGCAAGTCCACAAGGCTACCCTCAAGTCCAACGGCAACGAAGTTGCAGTCAAAGTCCAATATCCCGGCGTCCGCAATAGCATTGACTCCGACTTGAACAACCTCTCTCTGCTCCTCACAGCCAGCCAACTTCTGCCTCGAGGACTCTTCCTGGACAAGACCATTGCCAACGCGAGAACTGAGCTGGGCTGGGAATGTGACTACGAGCGCGAGGCCAAGGCATGCATACGATTCAAGGAGGAGCTTCTCGTAGACGAGCCAGATACATTCACTGTACCCACCGTCTACACTGAAGCTTCTGGGGCAGACGTGCTCACTGCCGAATTCATGCACGGAAGTGCAGTCACCAAGATCAAGGATCTAGCACAAGATGAACGGGACTGGATCGGAACGCAGATTCTTCGACTCTGTCTGCGCGAACTGATGGAATGGCGTTTCATGCAGACCGACCCGAATTGGACCAACTTCCTCTACAACCGTGACAGCAAGAAGCTGGAATTGCTGGATTTCGGCGCCTCTCGAGAGTTTCCTGACGAGTTTGTGGAACCTTATGTCTCGTTGCTCATTGCAGCCTCGAGGCACGATCGAGAAGCTTGTCGGGATCTTTCGATACAGCTTGGCTATTTGACGGGTCAGGAAAGCAAAGATATGCTGAAGGCGCATGTGGATTCCATATTGACGTTGGCCGAGCCGTTCGTCGAAAGCGCGCCGGAAGTGTATGACTTTGAGGAGCAAACCATCACAGACCGCGTGAGGTCTAACATTGGCCTCATGTTGAAAGAGAGACTCGCTCCGCCGCCTGAAGAAACCTATTCGCTGCATCGCAAGCTCAGCGGAGCGTTTCTGCTCTGCGCGAGGCTGAAGAGCAAAGTGCCAGCGAGAGAAATGTTCGCCAGTGCTGTGAAGGTGTGGAATGGGCGGGAGAAAAGCGTGAAACTGTGATGTGTCCAACGTAATGCTGACTTGTACAGATAGCGAATATAGAGATAGAGATGTACAAAAAAGTTACAACTCCCACTAGTGTATTTGTCTGGGTACTGTGGAGTAGCAAGTATATTGAAGTTGAGTTGCCACGAGATCTGGAGTGAAAGATTAGCTGTTACAGCACAAGCCTGAGGCATCGTTACCCCAGTGACTAAGTAACCATAACCGAACTTGATGAGTGATAAAACAAAAGGTTATTAACACAGCCGAGGCCCGGCTCAGCTCCCACTCGATCTCGAAAATGAATCAAGATGCGGCTTTCTTCGATAACATCTCCCTCCCTCCATGGATTGAGAGCCCGAGGCGATATTTGGAAAGATGGGCAAGCAAGGTAGAATAGACGTCTACCTCGACTGCAGTGAGTAGTCAGTCACTGTACGTGGGATTACACTAGACCGTACACTAAGTCCAACAGACTCGCCATGGTCCTTCCACGCTTACAATTACCTGCGGAGAAATCGACAAGCCTTGGCTGAGCACGGTGTCACTGTTGAGTAAGATACCGAAGACTATATCAAGGGGTATCCTCTCGTTGACGCAATCTCTCAAGATGCCACCCAGTTTTCCTCGGTGGCATCAATGTTGGATCAGGCAACAAACCTCCTTGGACCCTACCGGCAAAAGCAAAATACGGAGGTTACGATGGGAAGCGAGCACAGAAGTACTTCAACAGCGGTGAGCTATCGCCGCCGCCTTTCTTTCCCATCATGAGCCTGCTGGTGAGTACACACATGGCAGACACCTTTTCATCCGGAGAGAGCATGCTGATCGTTCGCCCACGCCAGCCCATGCGTTGCATGCTCTACGCAAAGGAACACTATCCATACCAACAATACGAAGACGCTTTTGGGGAGCTATGGATCTTCCTGTGGAAGGAGCACAAGGACGTCTCGAAACCGGAAGTTCTTGCTGAGTGTCTCTCCCGTCATTTCAAGCCACAAGATGTCGAGAAGATCGTTTCGGCTGGTACTGATACGAAATATAAGAAAATGCTGACTGACCAGACGGACCTGTTGGTGCAAAAGGGCGCATTCGGAGCGCCGTGGTTTCTGGTGACTAACAAGGAAGGAGTTGAGGAACCTTTCTTTGGGAGTGACCGGTGAGATGCCCAAGATGGCAAATTGGCTCTTCGATATTGACGGTGTGCAGATTTCACTTCATGTTCCAATACTTGGGGGTGCCCTTCCAAGATATCCAGATTCTTCCGCCGCCGTCTACGGCAAAGCTTTGAGATTGGCCAACTGCTTCGAAATCTTGAGACCTCAACAGAAGCCATGATTTTCCAGCGATTTGCCGGATCAGTAGTCGTACCTAAACATCAGAAGAGGCCTTTTTGGTAGCTTGTGACTTGCAGGCGTGGCAAGTGCACTTCTGTACTATTGCAGACACACACACATCAAGACCAGTATCTCAAGACAGATTTATTCTGAAGGCTCCCGTTTGGGAAACCAACCGTGGCCTAGAACGTGTCCGTAATTCCAACCCATCACCATCAGCCAGTGGCATCCAAGCTGTGCTCGCATATGACAAGGTGGAGAATGCCTGGCCCCTGTTGGAAAAGAAGCACATCCTGGCACTCGGCACACGATATGTCTTCCGGCATGTCCGTATGTTACAGGGACCCGTCGCTTCTTGAATTCCCGCTGCAGCCCAGAAGACTCGCTTCCGCACCTATACAAAGTCTGACTTCGCAGCACAAGCCTTCGGGGTCAGATTGGTGGCTTGGCTGGACGAGAAGAACCTACAGGTGACCCGAAATCCAGGTTCTCTCTGGAACACCACTGACCTACGGAGGGGTACGCCTCAAATCCTTGTGGACCTTACGTCGCCCCATATCCAGCATGTCACTTGCATACCTCATAGTACTGACAACGGCCTATCTTGCCCTCGCCCAATTTCCAAGAAAGCCACAAGGAATCACGACGATCCAATCGAAGTTTGACAAGAATGTTGTGATTGACTACAAGGAGGTAGAACTTTTCCTACTCATTACTCGCATCGGGTACTCACGTTGTATCTAACGTTGTATCTAGAACGACATTTGCGAAACAACGCCTGGCGTGAAGTCATACTCCGGCTACGTGAGACTGCCACCGGACACGCTGAAGCCTCTTGGTGTCAATCAGACATATCCAATCAACACCTTCTTCTGGTTCTTCGAAGCGCGAAAAGACCCTCAAAATGCTCCGCTAAGCCTCTGGATGAACGGTATGACCACCCGACTGACCGCAATTTTCCCCCGTGAATCGTGCTAAGGCTAGGTCTGCCAGGTGGGCCGGGAAGTTCTTCGATGATTGGTTTGCTAAAAGAGAATGGACCTTGCTTCGTAAACGCGGATTCCAGATCAACCAGAGTAAACGAGTGGTCGTGGAACGACAAAGTCAACATGCTCTACGTGGATCAGCCGGTCCAAGCGGGACTCTCCTACGATACTCTCCGGAATGTCACGTACAATCTCGTGAAGGGCAATGTAACTTACCTCAACAAGACCGATCCTATACCTCAGCAGAATTCGACTTTCCTGGTTGGAACCTGGCCGAGCCGCAACCCGAACAACACGTCATTCGGAACGATCAATGCAGCCTATGCGATGTGGTATTTTCTTCAAGTCTGGACGCAGGAGTTTCATGAATACAAGACGTACGACGATCGCATCAATCTGGCGACGGAGTCGTATGGCGGCAGATATGGGCCTGCTTTCTTCACCTTCTTCCAGCAACAGAATGAACGCATCCGGAACGGCTCGTGGACGATACGAGGCTACCAGCATATCTTACCGTTGGACACCCTTGTGATCGTAAGCGGCTGCACAGACGCCCTAACGCAGTGGTCTTCGATGCCCAAGATGGCCTACAATAACACGTACGGTATCAAGGCCGTCAATGCTTCCACCCATCAGAAGATGCTTCACAATCTGTCTAAGAAGGACGGGTGCCAGGATAAATTGCTCCGTTGCCACCGACTCGCAACGCTCTATGATCCGGAGAACCTTGGCGTCAACCAGACGGTCGACAAAGCTTGTATCGAAGCAGAACGCTACTGCGACGAGCATGTTGAGCATCTCTACGGCGAGGAACGAAGTTACTACGACATCACCGTGAACCAGCCATCGGATACCGAGCCTTTCTTCGCCGGATTTCTGAATCAACCATACGTGCAGGAAGCGCTCGGGGCGCCATTAAACTGGACCGACGTTCCAGGCGGCGTGATACGCGCGTTCGAGAAATTCGGTGACTATTCAAGGCCAGGATGGTTGGACAAGCTCGCATACCTGCTCGAGAGTGGGATCAAAGTGACCATGATGTACGGTGACAGGGACTTTTATTGTGTAAGTCTCTAATCTCCACTCATGGACCGGTGATGAATGGACATGCTCTGACTACGATGCAAAGAACTGGCAGGGTGGCGAAGCGGTATCGCTGGCCATTAACTACACACATTCCGCAGACTTTCTTGCAGCAGGGTACGCCGACATCCAGGTCAACGACAGCTACATTGGCGGTCAAGTGCGACAATACGGCAACCTTTCTTTCTCTCGAGTCTATCAATCTGGACATCTCCTCCCTCTCTACCAACCCGAGACAGCATATCGAATATTCATGCGAGCACTTGGCAGTCTCGACATCGCGAGCGGCACCGTGCCTAACATGAACACCAATGGCCAGATTCATAGCTCGAATGGAATCCGAGAAACATTCTCTGTCAAGAATGAAGTACTGCCACAACCTCTGCAGGTCTGTTATACGTTGAATCCTGAGGATACTTGTACGGACAAGCAGCTTGGAGAGCTAGGGAACGGATCCTCGGTCATTAGGGACTACATGATCGTGGACAAGAATTCGACCAACTTGTATCCCGAGATTGTGGGCAAGAATAGCGTTCCATAGAGCGATCCGATCAGAATGCAAGATTGGAGTGGTGCAACATGCATTTCCAGATGCGATACCAGCAAGATTAGTGCAAGATCAGTCGGGCTCACTCCAAATACTCTCGTCAATAACAAGATAATAAGGCAATACTGTCGTGAATAACAAGACAATGGGATATTACTCTTGTAAATAACACGATCGAAACGAGTGTGATCGTTGACGAATTTATTGTGATACTTTACCGAGCTTTCCTATGCGAACCCGAACCCGAGCCGAAGGGCGGAATTAGCCCCGCGAATTTGGCGGAAGAATCCAAAATTTCAACAACCACCGAGTGCTTGAGAATAATATCTCCCGACTTGCAATCTCATCGGTCGCCAAGATGGGTGTCGGACGTCGCATGAAGAAGCAGGGCCCGCCGCCACCGCTCGACGAATCGCTCGTCACGAGGAAGCGCAAGTCAGCCGCACCCACCAACAGCGCCATCAAGAAGCAAAAGACGGACGCAAAGAGACCAGCCGTCAACGGCAAGAAGCCTGCTCCTCCCAAGAAGCGGAAGTCGCAGCCAGATCCAGAGCCACAGGATGTCTCGGATGCCTCCGGCGATGCTGTCGACGACCCCGACGTCATGGAGAACGAGCTGGACGGCATTGAGGAAGGAGACTTGGATGACTTCGACGACGATGAGCTGGTCGAGGACGACGACGCCGACGACTTCGCGAACGCCCTGTCCGGCTCCGACGACGATGTCATGGACTCGGACGAGGATGCGCGTCAGGGAAAGATGTGGTCGGAAGATGAAGACTCGGATGCGGAGGAGAAGCTCACAGCCGCCAACATCGCGGGCCTGTCGAGGAGATTAGACGAGCAGAGAGCGCAGGAAGCGGAAGATGCAGAAGCGGAACTTGCGGACGATGCACTCCAGACGAATATCGCAGCGGCAGATATACCAGACGACCAAGATGGCCAGAAGTCGACCATGCTCGCCCCAGACCTGCAGCTCCTGCGCTCCCGTATAACAGAAACTGTGCGAGTCCTGTCGAATTTCAAAGAGCTAGCGGAGCCGGGCAAGAGTCGCGCGGAGTACACACACGCGCTGCTCGACGACATCTGCACGTATTACGGTTATGCGCCGTTCCTGGCGGAGAAGCTGTTCTCGCTCTTCCCTCCGCAGGAAGCGCTGGCATTCTTCGATGCCAACGAGACGCCTCGTCCCATGGTCATTCGCACTAACACTCTCCGCACACATCGGAGAGATCTGGCGCATGCTCTCATAAACCGCGGTGTCACATTGGAGCCCGTGGGAAAGTGGTCGAAAGTTGGCCTTCAAGTGTTCGAATCACAAGTACCTCTCGGCGCAACACCAGAGTACCTGGCAGGACACTACATTTTGCAAGCAGCTTCTTCCTTCCTGCCAGTAATGGCATTGGCTCCGCAAGAACACGAACGGGTGCTCGACATGGCAGCCGCTCCCGGTGGTAAAACAACACATCTGGCCGCGCTGATGCGAAACACCGGTTGCATCTTCTCAAACGATGCCAGCAAAGATCGCTCGAAGGGTCTAATCGGTAATATCCACCGCTTGGGCGTGAAGAACACGATCGTCTGCAATTACTCTGCCCTAGAATTCCCCAGAGTCATGGGTGGCTTTGACAGAGTGCTCTTGGACGCACCTTGCACTGGAACTGGTGTCATTGCGAAAGATGCCAGCGTCAAGACCAACAAGACCGAAGCCGATTTTCTCCGCATCCCACACCTGCAGAAGCAACTTCTTTTGGCTGCCATCGATTCTGTAGATCACGCAAGCAAGACTGGCGGCTACATTGTCTACAGTACGTGTTCGGTGACCGTGGAGGAGAATGAGCAAGTCGTCCAATACGCTCTCAACAAGCGCCCCAACGTCAAGCTTGTACCTACTGGCCTCGTCTTCGGAAAAGAAGGATTCGTAAAGTACCAGGCGAAGCGCTTTCATCCTACGATGAAGGAGACACGCAGATACTATCCTCACGCTTACAACGTGGACGGCTTTTTTGTCGCCAAGTTCAAGAAGACTGGACCGACTCCCGCAAATGCAGTACGTGCACAAGGGAGTGCGGAGGGCAAGAAGTCCAATGGCGTCAAGGATGCCGACGAAGCTGTTGCTGTCGAGATGGATGCTGTCGTCAACGAAGCTGACGAGGGCGAGGATGATTTTGGAGGTTTCGATGACGAAGAGGATGAGATGTACATCCAGCGCAGTCTGAAGAAGCAGCTGAGGAGGAAAGGCATCGACCCTAAGGCGAGCAAGGCGAAGGCTGTCAAAAGCCTGTCGAGGTAGTGAAAATGCAAGCGACTATCGATATGTATATTACCATTCCTGGTTCACCAATTGCTAGTCCTTTGCTACAAGATCGTAACTCGACTGTCGATCCACACAACGCAGCCGTCTGCGATTGACTAGAGCTCGCCGTACTTCTTGTTTACCTGCTCACGCAACGGATCCTTGTTGGAATCGCAGGCAGCTTCGAAGCCAGTCACGGGCACCTCTGAGGTTTGATATTATCAACCTTTCAAGCCTGAACTCTCGAAATACAAGATCTTACAAGGCCTTGCAGCTTGTGCAGTTCGTCTTCGCCGTGTGCTTCAACTAGGGTACCTGCTGGCAACATATCCTCGCTGAAACTCGAGCAGAGGACTCAAGATGCTCTATAAGACTCACCAATGGTAATGGCTTAGAGAAGTCTTGAATGCTATATATTATAGCTACATCTCGAAGGATGCTGGTAGCGCATAAAGCCCGGACTACACCCAACATGGCTGTAGAAGACCACGAGTTCCTTTTTGGGACGCTATTCGAGGATGAAAGGAACGAGAAAGGTGGAAGTCATAGTCCAGAGAGCACTTTCGCATAGTTGCCGACCCTGCGCCACAGTTGCGCACCCTGTGGGCTACAAGATTCCGGACGGGTGCCAAACACATAAAGTCAAGATTCACAAGGAGCTCCTTGCGGCTGGCCCAAGAATGGCTCGCAGCCGATCGGAAAAGGGATGTCATTCTACTCAGAGAGCGGATTGCAGAGCCGAGAAAATTGAGACATCGCCTTTTCTACCGCCATCTGGCGTCATTGAAGAGCTACTAGACGTGGCGGCAGACGAGAGCAGTCCTGGTCTAAATTTCCACGAAATATACAAAAGCTGGGGCCCCCGCTGGAAAGAATCATCGGAACTTTGATGCTATAGCAGCAGTACTTGAAGCTCGAGGCTTCAAATGCAAGGAAGCTACGAACACCACAGAGGAAGCCCCCTATTTGTTCATGTCAAGGACGGAAACCGCATTATTGCAAACAGCAATTATCACGTCCTGTTGCTAAGACTGAGGGGAGCAGTCAGACTTGCCCGAAAAGAAGCTCTAACGGTAGTGCTATTTGCAACCATGCTATCGAAAGGAATTCCAATTGGCCGTGTTGACAATGAGTTCCACAGCTTTGCTGGAACCGCGAGCTTTAGGGGAATCTCCATGCAAGGCCCGAGAGACATGCTTCGCATAGACGGCGCTTCGACTGTGAATCTCGAAAGTCCAAATCCGGAAGATCGCGATTGTCCACGGGAAAAGGAAACTGTGGAGCGCAGATCTGCGGCATCTGCGTGAGAAACTAGGGAAGGAGTTTTGCTCCGCTATAAGGGCCCTTGTCCAGGGGTAAAAATCGAATATTGAGATAGAGTCACCAGACTCACTTGCTCTGCTTGAGAAGGGTCTTCTCTCTACAATGGACGTCAGGCGGGCAACGAGACAGATCGGTCATCATGCCCTTGTCAAGTCTTACTTCCAGCGGCCGTGATTACGAAGAGAAAGCTCTGATGCAGTCCCAACAAGAAATGAATGGTCTATGAAACATTTGGAAAGTGATGAAGGTTGGTGAATGGTCCTCAAGATTGAGATATCCAATTTCCGCAGCGACCTTGTATTACGCTGGCTGCAAGCATGACAATGGCTTTATCCTCTTGCTCCCGTCGCTTCTTTGTATCTCCACGATACAATGGCATTCACGTCCCCGTACGCTCAAAGGACTCGGAGTCGGCTTTGTCCCGTGACAATGCACTCGATCATTCACTCGCCTTTGTCCGTACGCTGCAACAACACGTCCTCGTCCGGATAAATACGCGCGGATTGCTGCGCTCTATGATGTTTTCTGGCCCACCGATACCCACCAGCGCTTTGCTCTCGATCGCCCTTGAAAGCTCCCTCGACGATCTTTGACAGTAACTCGAGAACTTTCAAGACCACGACGATCAAGAGCGCCGTGCTGGCATCGGTCATCCCAACCACAACAAACCCTCGCCCACCGCCTCCAATGAGCAGAGCGGTCTCCCAACCAGGCGCGACCTCTACTCGGTCAACAGCACCAGTGCCGGCCACTGGTGGAATCGGTAGGTCCTCTAGTATCCGTAAGATGGCGCGCGCAGTTTCGAGCGCCGTCGGCAGTCTGATGGGTACTAATAACACTGTAGCTCAGACACCTCGCGAGACCATTGGCCAGCTCGTCAAGGAGCAGGAGGAAGCGTACAAGAAGCAGGGCTTGCACGAGTATGCCTATGTAAAGCCACTGACGAAGTCTTCCGAGGGCGAACTCGCCGTGCACAGATCCGTTTCGACTGGAAAGCAATACGTTGTAAAGCATACCTTCGCATTCAGAATCCCAGGATCCCGGCACCGCGAGCCAGTCGTACGCCCCTATCCGAACGAATCATGGGTCCTCCACAACCTGGTCCTGCCGCATCCGAACATCGTTCAAATCTACGAGACCACCAGAGACCGAGATGAATCCGGTCGATTCAAGATCTGGATGGAAATGGCTGACGGCGGAGACCTACACGATCAGCTCAACTTCTGGTACGTCAAGAAGCGTTCCTGGGCACCCGAAGTATTTCTGCTCCATGTGATCGTCGAGATGATGCAAGCACTCGCGTACCTCCACCACGGCCTTCGTGGGACAGCCAACGGCAAATGGACTCAGGATGAGGTGTACAACTCGGTGATCCACGGCGACATCAAACTGGAGAACGTCTTGCTGCGCTGGACGGAGATCCCCATCGGTGGCCTGCCAGACATCGTCTTGGGTGACTTCGGAGCTGCTCGACTTGCCGGGGACACTGAGACCGATCTCCTTCCTGGGACAACCTGCTTCCACGCACCGGAAGATCGAGCCATTACCGGTGGTCAGCGCCACACCAAGGAAACGGAGGAGCTCTATGTGAAAGCTTCTGCAAACCGAACCATCGCAGCCGATATGTACAGCTTTGGCCAGATTGTGTACATGCTCGCTTCCAAAGAATTTGTCCCACGGGAGATTGGAAAGGACCCATCGGACATTAGATTGTGCAGAGACTTTGACATGCCGGAAGTTCGCGAACTCATTGTCCGCTGCTTGGCCGTTGATCCGAATGAGCGCGCGCAGGCCTCCTTCGACGAGACTGTCGGCATTCTACCACTTGTGGAAAGGGTTCGGAAAGCTAGGGACGAACGCATTCGGACTCGCTTTCCTCTGGACTCTCTGGAGTGGAAGAATCCACCACCTCGACGTATGCGCCGGTTTCGGCATACGGCTAGACTGTCGCTCCATGATGATTAGGTAGGAGGTATTCTGGGTTACGGAATCCGCTTTGCGCACTGGATTGAGTCAAGTCATTCAAAGGTTTGGGTTTGGTGCACGTCTTTCTCTTCCCCGTTGAGATTCCCTTTTCTTATCAATTCCTCATGATTTTCTCATCAATTTCTCATCAACACCTTATCTCTCTACCCGTCTTGGCAGCGTGAATATTGTGCTCGTTGTGCGAGGCAGAACTGAGAAGGTGGTGTATTACGGCTAATAACAAGTCATATGTCTCGTGTACATGTACGGATAAAGTCGGAGGCGAGAAGTGCGCGGATTCTTTTCTTCTGCCTCAGGCATGATGTCCTAGATATACACCCTATCTCCGTCCTTTCTTCCGCTCCAAACTCACTTCTCACCTCACTCCTCAGCTCACTCAACATTGCATCGCATTTGGCCATTTCCATCGGTAATTATCATCACTTGCCATCGACATTGAGCATTTCCATACTGCCGCCATTCCCACTGTACTCGGTCGTCAGAGCAGATTCCGCGCCGACATGTCAATGCCGCCGCCTCTCGATCTTCCTGCTAGTCACGTTTGGCACCTCCGCAGCGTCCTCTACGCTTGTTGCGGACAATGAGGGCGTGCGCAGGCGGTAGTCTCAGTAGCCACATGTATACAACACCACTCAGGCATTTTCTGCCGTTGGTGGTGGCACATACAATCTGAGTGCTGCCCAGGATGGAAACAGCCCACCGAACTGCGCTCTGATGATATGTGATGGGGATAATGTGGTTCTTCCCATCCTATTTGGACTCGTTTGCGCAGTATGCTTTCTTGTACCAGGCCACTCAAGATCAGAGCTCAGAAATTGCCACGTTCAGCATACAATGTGTGGGAAACGCTTATGTTAGGCTCAGCAATGTCACAATCGCCCCAGTCTCCGTCTCCCAAGAACCTGCATCTGCGCATCAGTCTTCCAGTGGCTATTCTACAGACCTAGGAGCCAGACAGACAATAACGACCTCGATTGTTTCCACCGTACATTTGACGACTACAGCATTTGCATCCCCAACCGGAGACCATTCAGCAAATTGGAGCGATCATTAGCACACAACTCCACGACAGCCGACGAGACAGTGACGAGCGTATAAAATCTGACCCGAGAGATAATTTAGACCAGCACGAGTAAGCATACCGCCCATGCAAACGCACCGCGCTTTACTGACGATCTCTAGCAACCCTCGCAGCGACGCTGACTATCAACCAAGCCGTAATCCCGCGCCGGCATCGACTCAGACAGCCGTTATAACGCCATCTACATCCGCCAATGGCTCAGACGAGGTCGTCTATATCACGACTGAAGACTCTCTTCGCACTCTTATCACGGGGATTGCAGGCTCGGTGCACAGCCACGTTGAGATATCCTATCTTCCAGGCGGTACGAATGTGCTTTACACCACGATTGTCGGGCTCAGCACATTGCCAGCCTCCACTCTTGTCACAACGCAGCTTGTGACAATACACGGCACACTTATGTCGTTTGAAATCAGCACCTGTTGGGGTCCGCGAACGTGCAGTACCTCACAACACGGCTGCCACCGGAGACGACTCAGGTCCTAGTGGCATATACCGACACACTCGTATCAACTTTGCCTCAAGGCACAACGACCATCTTGTTGGAAGCTGTTCGGCAAGCTACTCCCGGCTGGACGCTTCCACTGGGTTCGGTTCCACACAAGCACACTGCTTTCTCGACTCCCAGCAGAGTCAAGTCTCGTGACCTTCACATCAGTTCAGCCTGTCGAGACGATCACTCTGCCGACCACAATCGTCTCCAGCCTTGCGCAAGGTACAACCACCATGAACTTAACCCAGCTTTCCACGCTGGAGCCTTCCACTGTTTACGTGACTTCGGCATTGCCGACAGAAGTCACGCAGCTACCAGCTGAGACCAGCTACCTCACTCGCGCAGTGGTGTCAACTATATTGTCCAAATCACTGAAACTTCTCTCCGTGAAATCACATATACAACTTCTCTAGAGGGCCGAGCAACCACAGGCGTGCTTCTGAGCACTCTTCTGACCACATCGACTCAGCTGAGAGCTACAGTGACAGCTCGATTGCCAGCAGAGAAGAAGAGCTTACCGCCAGTATTCATCACACAGACATCTGTTCGTGAGATCACAAGTACAAGCGTGCTTACCATCATTCTTTTAGTCACTTCAACTTTGCCAAGAGCTACCGAACCAACTCAGTTAGCCGCGGAAACGACAAGCTTACCGGCGATATACATCACGAAGACGTCCGTTAGTCTTGCGGCAGAACTAAGCATTCTCACTTATCCAGCAACAGATGTCGCTCAGACATCCACAGTTGTATCAGTTGCTCCTCAGGCGACTGCAAGGAGATTTGAAACTCTTCCAGCTTCCACCCTGGTGGTTAACTTCTATCAGCCCACTACGTGTACCACCACATTGCCGGTCGAGAATTTGACAATCATTGTCACCAGCGCACAGCCTGCGCGCGCGCGCAGACGGTATTTTCCCAGCTGCCTCAAGGAACGACTACTCTGTTGTCAACGATCACAGCGTCAACGGCGGTCAGCACGGAGGTCAGCAATCTTCATGCATCCACAGTGATCCGCGCCGTATACTCAACAATAGAAACGACCAATGTGGTCACGCAATACTTGACGCTACCAGCCAGCTCTATCTCTGTCACCTATACGACCACTGCACGAGGCCAAGTACAGACAGTGACATTGGCTTATGCGCCTACAACATCAACAGGGAAGGCAGTGAGTTGAGCAAGCAGGTTGATGGCTGAGTGCATGAGACGGATTGCAGCAGTAGACATGTTTTCCTCCAACGCCCGCACCAACTGCAATCGTAGGTCAAGCAGAGCGGAGTATCAGCTTTGGCGCCATAGCTAGCATATTTCCAGACAACGACCCTGCAGAGCACCAGCTCATCATCAGCTCCATTTCCTGGTATGCTTTTGGTCGGAATGGCCGAGTTCGGTGACGATTGCGTATCTGAACATGACGGATTCCGGGGTGAGTGCGACGGTGGGAATTGAGAGTCAGGCTTGTAACTTTCTTCCGCCAATTCAAGTTTTCACCTGGAGTTGAGCTAACGTTTGATGTATAGTGTCAAGGTGTCTGCAGTATCCGTGTAATACGGCTGTGATTCTTGCGATAACGTGTAATGATACGGCGAATGTGTGGCAGTCTGGATATCCGCCTGGGATCACGGGTGTAGCGGGTGCTGTGTGTTAGCTGATCAAGATGTTCGTGTAGAGAAGGTGCTCTCATGTCGGACGGTCAATCGCCCTACCTTAGATAGATTGTTCATTGAATTCTCTTGGAGAGTTGCAATGTCCAGCCTTTTCTATACGCGGGGTCGAAGTGACATCACAACATCTGACGCGCTTCTCACCGGCGAGGAGGTAGCTTCTGATCAGATGCAGACACACGAGTCACGAGTGACGATAAGGCGCTTCAGGTAGAGGAGGGCTCACAGCTTGTGCTAGCTGACATGCGGAGGAGCATGCATGGATGTAGCTGTCACCCTGAAGGGAAGGAAGAGGTCCGGGATCAGGCGTTTCAGGAGACTTAGTCAGCGTATCGATTTGGATTTCCGGGTGCATGAACAATCCACGGCTCTCCATCGGCATGCTCTTATACTGTCCGGCTGCTGGACGGGCGTTTGGAAGCGAAGCCGCCGGTGGGTATCGTGAGACATTTCCACGTGCAGTATAATAACAATAAGGTGCCGCCATCTGGCCATGCTGCATGCTGGGGTTGTAGTGTGGTGATGGACTGACGGGGGCAATTAATATGCGGTGTTATTGACGGAATTCTAGTATGTGACATAAACTGCAGGGACGCTGTGTGGTGTGCAGGTGGTTGCTGTGGGACGGGAGCATGTCGTCGTGTTTGGCCGCTGCTGCTACTGCCGCTGCTGCTGCTGCTATCGCTTGCTTGCTTGCTTGCTTGCCTGCTTGCCTGCATCCTGCATCGGGGAGAAACAACAACCACAACATCGTCATCATCCTCATTCTCATCATCGCAAATCTCCCAACACAACACAACACAACAATCAACCATCTTCGCAGTCGCAGTCGCAGCATCGCCTCCGGCAATCGTTAATATCGGCCGCGCTACGCCAGTACGTGCGCTGCGCTGCGTAGATTGGGCGCGAAAAATAACTGGAACCACCGAACACACAGACAGGGCCCCCCCCCCCCCTGCCTATATTACCGGAGGTGCACTACTCCTTTCCGCTTTCCAGAACAACGTCTGCCTTCACACATCTACCCACAACCCTCCAACTACGCCGACTCGGGATTGCGCGACTCACACTACTCTTCTCCTCCTCCTCCTCGCTCGCGATTCTCTTCTCGTCCAGACCGTCTGTCGTTACCGCCCGCCCTCGCGCCCATCTCACCCGCCCCGACATGGCCTCCGCGTACGTCTCCCGAAATTTCCCCTTCTCCCAGCAAATTCCGCATCTTAGAAGCGACTACGGTGTGAGCGACACAGCTGATTCGGATTGCTTGACAGATTGGCAGCGCAATGGCGCAACTTTTGGCACACAATGACCTCCAACGACCGTCACGCCGGGCCCAACGCCGGCTACCACAACGGCCAGCGTCTCCCCGTCTCCCAATCCAAGAAGAACTCTCTGACAGGGGTCAACACGAGCGCCCTCGAATCGAGAACAGACCTCGACCTAGAGGCCGGCAATGGCTTCGTCAGCCACAACACCGCCGGCACAACGAGCCCGCCGTACTCGCCCCAGGCGCGCCGCAGTTTGACGAGACAAAGTTCTGCGCTCGACGGCAAAATGGAGTCCATTGGCGCGGGTGAGATTCAGATGCAAGCCTTCACCGACGGTCTGCCGCCTCCTCCACCCGTGAGCCATTCCTGGAAGCGCATCGATAGGTGGCTGGAAGACAACTACGAAGAGCTCTTTGAGAACATCGGACAGGGTTCTACGATCAACGATGTCAACGAGCTGGAGGCGGAACTGGACTGCACATTACCACAAGAGGTACGGGAGTCGTTGATGGTACACGACGGGCAAGAGCGGGGCGGTCAGCCGACGGGCGTTATATTCGGGTGCATGCTTCTAGACTGCGAGGAGATTCTGCAGGAGTGGAAGCAGTGGCAGACTGTCAACGACTCCTACCTGAGCGATTTCAAGTCCTACGAGATCCCGCAGGCTCCTCTGAAGGCATTTGCGGGTTCCTCGTCATCTGCTGCGGTCCCCCTGGCGCAAGTATCCCAAGCCGGCAACTCTCAGTGGCGGTCCGAGCTGCTGGACAAGCAAGAGTCTCAGCCTCCGAATGCGGTTCAGAAGTCATACGCGCACCCAGCATGGATCCCACTGGCACGAGACTGGGGTGGAAACAATATCGCGGTGGACCTGGCGCCGGGACCCACGGGTAAGTGGGGACAGATAATCCTGATGGGGCGCGACTACGACTGCAAGTATGTCATCTCGCGTTCTTGGTCGGCCTTCCTGGCCACCGTGGCAGATGATATGAGCACGGATAAGTGGTTCATCGATGAAGACACCAAGGAGCTGAAGTTGCGGGAGTTCAAGCAACAGGGCGTGGAGCCAGCATACATTGACATTCTGCGATGGAGATCGGACCAGAAGTATGGACGACGAGCACCCAAAAAGAGACCATTGCGAATCAACCCGAATGCGTCGCCCGGTGCCAGCGGATTCTCGCCGTACGGATCGCCCACGAAAGAGGACCGAGGACGATCGCCGCACCGATACTCGAATGGAAAGGCACCGGCACATGCAACGTCAAGTCCTCGGGCACACATTGGCAGTCCGCTTGCTCGAGTTGCGGAGGAAAACTCGCCGGTGCAGCCACTCACTGTCGACACCAGCGTCGGACCTGCGGATGAGCAGTTGATTTCGGCAATCGACACACCCGGCGGATCGAAAGCTGCCAAGGGCGAGAAGCTGGTTGCGGTTGACAGTCCGAGGGCGATGTCCGATGATGGTCAAGAGGAACGACGCGGCAGTGTACCATTCCCGAAGAGTCGACTGGGCAGCACCATGATGACGAGTGACGAAGAGACATCTCCATTGGCGTCGGCGTCGGCGGGTGCTCAAGACGCATCGCTGGAGAATGTGGAGGAGGAGATGAAGGATGTGAAGATATAGCGTCGAGGGCAGAGCCAGGGCAGCAGCGGAATGGCGGAGAGATTTGTGATTTGATGTGTGTGCATGTCTGCTTTTCGACTGGTCTTGCATCGCACGATTCGCATGGCGTTGGAGGAGTAGGAAAGATCCCCGATCCGCCGATGCTCCCCGACAAAAAAGCAGGGACGGGCTCGGCGAGACATGCGGAATGGTTATCACGAGACGAGCGACAGACTCTACGGCCAGCAGTTTTCGACAGGGAGGAAAGGCTCGTCCGCAGGGCGGGCATGCTTTGGGCATGAGAGCATTGATTGCTTTTTGAATTTCGCGCTCCACGTCGATTTCTTCCTCCTCTTCTTGAGCAGAGCGGGGCGGTGAGAGGAGTCTCTTTGACAGGACGCATGTACCATAGCTAGCTCAGCAGCGTCTAGTAAGTGTTTAAACGGTAGTAGCACTAGAGCGAGCATCAACGCGCTGAAGCGGCGAGGGCGATATCTCATGGCATTTCATCAGGACCCGCGGCGGAGAGTCTCGGTCCAAGCTCGGAGTATTGCATGTGACAGAAGGCAAGTCCGATGCGGATGTTTCCGTTGTTGACCACGTCGATGTCCAATCCGACGCGAAGCTTTCTGCAACTCCATCACATGCATGGCATACATGTACTGAACCAGAGACTATGTACGCGGAACCTCTCTTCACCACGGATAACGAGGCTGAGGAGATCGACCAGACGCCGCCGCAGCCCCAGCTCCCGTCTCCAGTCACGACACGGGAACTGAGGTTCCACATCATCGGCACACCTCCTCCACCTTCAGCTGCAGCCTTCAAGTTCTACTCTCACGAGCACCAACCTTTCCTCGGCGCAGCTCCTGGACACGCGACATCTGGGACTCCATTTGCAAGTTCTACGAATTCCGTGAGGCCCTCATGGGCTAATGGTACATTTCACGGCTCTCCCAAGCAGCAATCATCTCCCGCCCCGCCAACACGGCCTTTCCTGACTGCTTCCGGGAATGGCCTTGGGCAAGAGCGCGCCACTAAGAGATTCAAATTCGACGAGACGTTCCAGGTCCTGGTCGGTAGTGGTGAGACTACCTTCACGGTCCACAAAGATGTGATTGCGCATCGCTCCAAGTTCTTCAGTGCGGAACGCTCGGGAAACGCCACCGAACAGAAGCCTGTCCTCCTGCCGGATGTGGACGCCAACGTGTTCAGATCCTACCTACAGTGGGCTTACGGCGATGAGGTGGTTATTCCTGCCGCAATAGAAGATACGCAGGCAGGAGAGCAGCCTCAGCACTCGGACGACAAGTTGAATCTGGCCAAACTCTACGTCTCGGCACAGACTCTCGGCGACGTGAAGCTGCGGAACGCCACAACGGATGGGTTTCTAGCCATGTCTCGCGCAATCGAGAGGGACAAGAAGCCGAGCATCTCCTGCATTGAGTTCTTGTGGAACAACACGCCGTGGGAGAGCAAGATGCGGAGAGTAGCGCTGGAGTGGTTGTTCTCAGGGCTGCCTGCGAGCACGGAAGTTGGATGAGCCAATGGCTAGACGAGAATCGGGCCAGCCTGCACCAGGTCTTCCTCGTCGACATGACGGTGGAGCTGGCGAGCATGATTGCTGCGGCATCGCGACTTCCGACCGCACACTTGCTGAGTATGGCGAAATGTGCTTATCACGAGCACGACGATGACGTGCCGACTTGCGGTCTACCACAATGAGTCAGAGAGCCACGAGAAAAGGGAATGCATGGGATTATTGGCCAATCAATCGTGGTGATCATGCAGCGCGATGTATACTCTAGGGCATGACAAGGAGAAGTGGTGGCGGTCCGTGTCAACTTCCAAGGAGAAAAAGAAAAGTTTGGAGTGGTGTCGCATGAAGTCTGGCGTCTCGCATGTCTCTCCTCGGTAATGTCATCTATCTGAATGCTGCAAGGCCGCCGCTCTAGTTGCTGGTCTGAGCCTCCTCGCTTGCAAACACTATCACCGCAACTATCAATCAATTCATTGCCATTGTCTTGCAGTCGGCACCCTCCATCCTCCATCCAGTCTTCTTCAACTCAGCCTCTCATCACCCGCTTCTTCCCCTTACAGGCCATCTCGCCCTTCCAATTCAAGAAGCTCCCCAATTCCTCTGTCATCTCCCCCGCCACTCCAATCATCTCCTTCTTGTCTCCCTCCCTCTTCTCTCTCTTCTTCCTCCTCTCCCCAACATACTCCTTGGCAATGGCGTACAAATTGGCCTTCCTCCCCCTAGCACACTCCATGGTGAACCTCAACAAAAGCCCCTCTCCAAAGACGGGAATCCTCCTCCCCTTGCTACTCACAAACCCATCCGCAACAGCACCGATGAAATCCCACCCTCTGCTCGTCAGCAATTCCCGCCTCAGACTCTCCCGAATAATCAGCTGTTCCGGCCTCAGAATCGGCTTGGGGAAGTACAGATGCTTGTGCGTGAAGGCAGCCATGGCACGTTCCTGATCCGACAGCCGATCATCCGTCTGCGGCCGGGAGACACGTTCCGTCCCCGCGCGGGGGATATCCCACAGTTTCAAGCCCACGACTTCCTGGCATTTGACCCTGTACGGAGTCGTGACGGGGTCGTGGAAGGCTCTATGACGGACCCAGAGGCGGATCATGTCGGCCTGGTCGATCGGGCGGTCGTATCTCCGGGGGTGTTTCTCGGGTCCCCAGCCGCGGAGGGTGCGCCAGAGGAAGGTCAGGGATTTCTCGGCCGTAAGTTTCTCGCGGAGGTTGATGCCGGTGAGGCAGCGGCCGCGGAGGCGAGGGTTGGGGTGGTTGAGGGGGTAGGACTTGGAGTTGGGGTTGGTCAGGGCCATGTCGATTCGGACGAGGAAGTGGAGGGCGTGGCCGAGGGAGCGGTCGGGGAAGTAGTCCGTGTTGCGGATGAGGGCGACGCGGTGGGCGTTGAGGGGGAGGTCCATGAGGAACCAGATTCGCTAGAAAAATGACATGAGATCAGCAGAGCAGCTCGAGAAAGAATAAGCGTACAGGGATAGGTGGAAGTAAGACTCACCTTCAAGGCATCCCTCGTACCCCCAATTACCATCAACCCCCTCCTAGCAAGCTGGACCATCACGTCCCTCACCACTCCCTCCCTCCAGACGACCATCTTCAACCACCTCATAGAAGGGACATCGCGGGAGAACTCCACGCCCAACAAGGCTTCCACATCCGCCTCCCCATACTTCTCCACCATGACCCGCCTCCGATCCTTCTGACGCCGGATCGGATCCTTGATGCACAACCGCGCATAACACCGCCAGGGGAAGATCTCATCCGCCTTGGGGGCCCAGGTGCGCATGCTGGTGAGGATGTAGGCGGTGTTGTGCTTGTTGAAGGTCCAATGAAAGGATTTGGAAATGGCGTAGAGGTCGACGAGGGAAGGGAGGGGCAGGTAGCTGATGAGTTCCCGGAGGAGGGCGTTGTCTTGGACAAAGGATTCGAGGATGCTGAATCCCTGTTGCTGGAAGGGGATTCTCCTACGCATTGGAGCTTTGCCCCCGTCGAGTCGGGATGCGGCGCTCATGTGGTCTGCTGGTGCGGTGCTTGTGCGTGTTTCTCGGGCGGTGTCGGGAGGCATGACGCTTGCGATGAAGCCGGTCGTCTTCGGAGTCGTCTGGATGCGAGGCGTCCCGGCAGCATCGTAGACGATTTCGATCTTGTTCGCGGCGCGGGTGCGGCTGCGTTTGGCTGGTGGCGCGCCTTCCGGAATGGGGAGATCGGTACGCACGGTCAATGGCTCGAAGTGTCCCGTGTTGAACTTTTGCGGAGAGACGGAGAGACGACGCTGGTGCAGATTGGCGTGCAGATTGCCGTGGTGAGTAGGTGTAGATGATAGACCGTCCACCGAGTAGCTCGGCTTCGGCTCATGTTCCCTCAAAGGGAGCATGGTATTGGTCGTCGTAGGCGCCGTAGAGATGCTTGTAGGGCGCGTAGCTGCCGTGTCGCGTGCTGTGTCCCGGCTGGTGGTGGTCCGGCGTGGCGAAGTCGGATGGCTTGCGGAGGGCGTCTCCGTGGTGCCGCTGCGTGCTGTGGACGGGTTGGAGTGGCGACGGCGGTGGTGGTGGCGAGAAGATGGCGGCCTCCGGGACGTAGTCGCTGTGGGGATTCGGCTTGACTCGCTGTCCACCTCCGCCTCCGCCTCCGCCTCCGCCTCCGCCTCCGCCGCCGCCGCCGCTTCGAGTTCGATGGGAGGAGGCGTGGTGGCGGTGGGAGGAGCGGTCGGTGGCAGATCCTCCATCTCCACGTCCACGTCCGTACCCGTGTCTCCCCCTTCTGGCTGCTTCTGCTTCTCCCTCCCGAGTCCGACACCCATCGCCGCCATGTCCCTGTCCCTGTGTGCGACGGGGCGCGGGCGTGTCGTCTCTCCGCCGCTGTCTCCGGTGAGCGTCGCTGGCGACGGTGCTGTCGTTTCCGAGTTCCGAAGCAAGCTTTTCGGCTTTGGCCTCGGCGGCTCGCTTAGCCTTCTCCTTCTCCTTCTTGAACTGGTTCTTGGGTCGGTGGAATCCCCCGTCGAATGACTTGTAGTGTGTTCCCAGACAGAAGTAGGTGAAGAGCATCCCAGCAGTCCAGTAGTAAAGCTTGCCGATGCCCATGGTGACATGCAGAAGATTCTCGAGTGTTGTGTGTGGTCAATCCAAGGTGAGTGTGGTTGTCGTGGCGACGGAGCAATAGCAAGTGAAGTGGGGCCTGGAAGGTCGTCGTCGCGGAGAGAATCGTCGCTGAGGCAAGTAAGGCGTCTTCTGCTTGATCTGGAGTTTCGTACTGCAGCCGCGTGACCCATTAGCAAAGCTGACATGTGATGGAAGTGAATCGCTACCAGCCAGGTCACATCAACTGCCCGTACCACCCAATCATACAGTATACAATGAGTGTCCGAATTCACTTCTCCTCGATTGGGACGTCGTGTAACGAGCTCGATCTCCGAGTGCTAACATGAGAGAGTATTAAGGGATGATGTCTGATGAGTAGGCAGTCCAACACTGCCTCATGCTTCAATTGCAAACAAGACTTACACAGTTGAGCGGGTATCATGCGAAAAGAAAAGGTCTGTTGAATCGACCTCCCGCCCCTCCCAACAACCTGCCTCCCTTCCCCTCCCCTCCCAACTTTTTCTGACGCCATGTGTGCTCCCTACGCCCTGTACTCCCCATCCAGCAAACAATCGACTTTGGACGGCCATCGACGATCCTCACCGGCGAAGCCCATTCATATTCAGCAGGTTCAGGAACTCTTCTCTCGTCTTTGCTCTCCGTCTCATGGCACCGAGCATGCAACTCGTCGTCGTCGAAGATCCAGTCTTCTGCACACCTCGCATCACCATGCACATGTGCGTGCTCTCCATGACGACAGCCACGCCCTGCGGCTTGAGCACTTCGCTCAACGCGGTTGCCACTTGCTTGGTCAGTCGTTCTTGCACTTGTAGCCGTCGGCTGAACATCTCCGCTATGCGAGCAATCTTGGACAGGCCAATCACTCGGCGGGATGGTATGTAGCCAACGTGGATCTAGAGAGGAATTAGAATTAGAATAAGAATACCGTCTCTGGAGACCTGAGAAAGAGCACTGCCTTACCTTTCCGGTGAACGGTACCAGGTGGTGCTCGCAGAGACTATGCACTTCGATGTCCTTGACCATGACCAACTCGTCGTGGTCCTCATTGAAGATGGCGCCATTGACAATGTCCCGCAGATTCTCCTCGTAGCCTTTGGTGAAGTACATCAGGGCCTTCGCATACCGCTCCGGTGTTCCATGCAGGCCTTCTCGGTCCGGATCTTCGCCAATGCATTCCAGTATTGTTCGCACTGCGCCGGACAGTTTCTGAAGTCTCGCAGCCGCCTCTTCCGGCCTCTCACGTTCGTGTAGGCGTCCCAATGCACCAACGCTGGGCCATGAAAGGCCCTCAAAGTCCACACGGGAACCGATTGTGGAAGGCGACTCGGAGCGACTGGTTGCAGCCGGAGTGGGAGGTGCCTCATCTGCGTCTCCCCGAGCCGCAACACGCATCTCTATGTCCTCGAGATCTTCGTCTCCCACCTCTTCGTACTGCTTGGCGGGTACCTTCTTCTGGGGCGAGATATCCGTCTTGTGTGCGGCTGCGGCCTGTTGCGGTGGATCGTACTCTATCTCTTCAATGTCGAGAGGCTGTTTGCGAGGTCCTAGTGAAGATCGAATGGAAGCCATAGTGCTCTCGCGGTCTGCCCGTTCTTGTTCTGCCATTGCGGCGGGATTCAATGGTGAATGACCGTTCACGAAATGCTGCGCCTTGCTTTTGACTGTGGGATTGGAATGCGGCGAAGTCGTCAGGTCGTTCATGATGTCGTGGGTCGAAAGGTGCGGCTACACGAAGAGCAAGCGGAGATCGAGAAGAAGGCCGTAGGACAGGCAGCAAAGCAAAGCCAAAAGGGCGCTCGGCGTGACTACAAGTTCGGAGAGTTTGGTTTGCCGTGTGGCGATCGCCGGTCTAGTCAGAGGTAGTAGTTGGAGAAGGCGGCTTCGATGTGGTAGAAGAGGTAGTCCATCCCTCTCCGGTTCTGTCGGCCCTGGAGAGTCTTGAGTTATTGCATGACCAACGGATATTATATAATAGAAGCGGAGTGTGGTGGTACACAGTAGGCTGAGGAAGTTTGAGAACGGCCTAAGGCATCCCTCTCTCCGCTTACCTTACCTTAAGCCGCTGGGCCGAGAGAGATGGATTTTGCTGCGCGACTTCACTCGGCGGCCACTCTCCCTCCTCCCGCATCGACCTCCACCACCACCTCGCCGGCGCCATCTCCAAACCACTTCCATTCCGTGGTCGGGTATGCGAACAATGCTCCTCTTTGTTCTGACCGCGCCGCCCGGCAGAATGGCCTCGTCCGGCACGACCTGCTTTGTCCATCAGCGGCACCGCTGACGGCACCACTTGTCCCTCGTTTCTTACCAACCTCATACCACTTTCGGGCGCAAAGTACTGCTTTCTTGTTTTCTGCTTCTCCTGACATTCGCCTGCTCACGGCGCCAATATCCTTGAAGGTCTGACCCAGCATGGCTCGGCTCACCTGAATGGCCGGCAACACCGCGAAGCCGGTTACCAGACACCCAAATAACCATCTGAGGCCGAGGCATGCCTTGCCATTAGAAGGATGCAGGTCTGCTCTGCTCTGCTCTTCCCGTAGATAGAATCTTCGTTTTGTGATGCAGAGCTGGTATAGCGCGCCGTGCAGCCGCTAGCGAGAGGAAGGTGTCGAGCATGCTGCCAGCCGCAACGGACGAGAGCTTCGGCACGCCTATCCTGGGCCACCAAATGATACGCCGGCAACCGGCAACCGGTCACGACCTACGAGGTTCATTCGACACGACAGACACGTTCCGGGAGACTATCATGACACGCTGCCTCGAAGCACTGACAGCTTGACGTCCGTGGGGCTTGTGCGTCCGGGGCTCATCGTGAACATCGCTACCACACCCTCGACATGCGCGAGAGCTCTGCCTCGAGGAACGCGAAGATATTTCCTGGGATGCAATCTCTCTGAGCGGCTGTGCGTGAGTAGCATCCCCTCAACTAGAAGCACAATGCGATTGCGAAAGGGATGTCGGGAAGCCGCGTGTTTTGGCAACACGTGATGCTCATCAGTCCCCGCGAATCTTCCACGGCGAGTTGATGCATGCTAGCACGTCGATGCGCCTCGAGGTATGGTATGGGTAAAAACGGAACGTGAAGGAGAGGCATCCTCTCCGCGCATCACCAAGCGTCTCCTCCCCGGCGCTGAGGCACGACCATAATCCCGCGAAGCACCGAACAGCCACTAACAAGCAGATTTGCCTTGATCCTCTTGCGCACACTCACCTCACCGTCCAGCACCCACGGCAACCTGCACTGCACAGTGAGCGTGCAGTGGTTTGGGAAGCCCACAGAGAAAGTCTTGGCTCCCAGCGGGGAGGCCTCGGCCTATTGTGCAGCGGCGGGCGCCTCGCTTCAATCAAGACCACAATCGGCGGCAACGCTCAGCAGGTGGGTCGGTGTCGACGAGCAGCTTGTTCTCACACACGCTTGAGTTACTTTCCATTCACTATCTACAGCCCGGACGTCTTGGGTCTTTGTTGCATAGCTGGGTGAGGTGGGCTTTGCCGACCGGCATTACGCTTTCCCGGAACTTTCCTTGCAGCACCTTGAATGTGCCGCCATGTACGGCTCATCGGGGGATGAACCGGAGCAGAGCAGGAGCAGCGCCGACGAGGACAACAGTCGTCGCCCGAGTCTGTCGCGCGATAGAGAAACTGGCCGCGGGCGTCAGGGCTCGTGTCTGAATATCAGGCACGAGGAGTGGCAGAAGGCCAAAGTCCCGGCGCCAGGGAAGAGGCAACGCCAGCAGCACACACCTCACGCCCTCCACACTTTTCCAACACCTCTCGCCAACAACCCCGTTCTCCCTCTCCCTCTCCCTCTCCCTCGACGGCGCGCGGGCACCGATATTCTTCCCACTTGCACAACCAGCGGGCCGATATTGACATTGTCGATGGCACAATAGCCCGCCAAGAGTCTCTTGCTGACCAACCCTCACATCACCGTCCTCGCCGATATCCAGCATCGCCCGCGTCGCACAAGCGTCTCCACCCGCGCTCGCCATCGCCCTCCAAAACACATCAGTACCACCACCATTCGGAGCGCCATCGTCGAAGCAGCGTTGCTGAATCTCCATCTCGGTTGCGGCACTCCAGGACCTCTGCGCGCGGCCATCGTCGAGCTAGGACCCCAGAGCCTGCACGGGAACAAGACATTGTGGCGGACAGGAGGCGGACAGCAGAAATCGAACGGACACCTCGTCGGCGCCATCGCTCGCCATCAGTGGGCTCGGGACGTGGTGTTGGCCAGACACGGGATAACAGAGAGGACCCTCGAGAGCGTCATCGAGGAAGGCGCGACGGACGATCGTATCATCGCGATCGGCGCGGAGAAAGGGGACGGCCCTCCTGCTCACCACTGCCGTCAGAGCATTACCATCGCCATTCCTACCAGGGCAGAGAGCACGACTACGATCCAACGAGAGATCAATACGACGATCACGACCACAAGCTCCGTCCCAGACGCCTAGCAGCACCAACAAGCACAGAAGGTTTGGACTATCGTCGGCTCCCTCGCTCTCTCGGTGACCGTCCTTCACGGCCTGCAAGTCGCGATAGTCTGCGAAAGGGGCAGGCTCTATCCGGTTCAGTGCGGAGCGACCGCCTACAAGATCGTCCTACGAGCATCGAGAGTCGGCACTCTCGCGAGAACGAGCTCGAGAAGAACGACGCCGAGATGTACAATCGCGGTCCATACGACTCCCGCTACGGCGGCTACCCTCCGTCACAATCACCTTACGGCCAGCAGGGCTATCCTCAGTCCGGATACAATTCGTACGCTGGCTCTCCTTCACAAAGTTATCCTCAGCAATCCCAATACCATGGCGCACCCTCCCAGCCAGGCGTCCCATACTATCAGCCTCAGCCCGGTAAACAGTACGGGAGCCATGCCAACTACAGCCGCGAGCCATATCCAAGACCGCCGCAGCGTGGCGGACTTGCAGCACGAGGCGGCCGAGCACATTTTGCAAATCTTTCCTGGACGCCTGGCGATGGTGTGAAAGGTGGCCATCTAGTGCAGCCCGGTGAGAAGAACAAGGATTCCGCAACGACAGCGACGACAGCTCCTCAGCCGCAGTCAGTCGCGACCGTACCCGACCCCGAAGATGACGACAACCCGTTTCGTCCACCTGCAGATCTGCGAGCGGAAGACGAAAGTAGAAAGAAAAGAAAGGCGGAGACACCACCAGTAGCGGAAAAGACGGACGAGGAGAAGGCGGTCCAGGCGGAGCGAGAGAAGAACAAAATCAGCTTTTCCATCAAAGGCCGAGCGAGTATGGCAGCTGCCGAGAAAGCGCCTGTCATTGCCAAATCTGAGACATCGCCACTGGTATCGAAGAGGACACCCTCCGGCATCTCCCCACTGGTACAGAACAACGTGCCCAAGAGCTCCAACTACGTCGGCAATACTAGGATCAGTGAGCCGGCCAAACCTCCGCCGCCGGCCTTCAGGAAGGAAATTGTGAGGAAGAAGAGAGTAAAGGCTCAGCCACAGCTTTCAGATGAGTTCAAGCAATCCGAGAGTGTCTATTACCGCAAGACCGGCAACGAATCCGTTGTTGGCAGTGGAACATACGGCAAAGTGTACAAGGCTGTACATGTCTACACCGGTGGAATGGTAGCGCTCAAGAAGATCCGCATGGAAGGCGAACGCGATGGCTTCCCTGTCACGGCTATCCGCGAGATCAAGCTCTTGCAGTCGCTCGACCACATCAACGTTGTGCCGCTACTCGAAGTCATGGTGGAGCGTAACGACTGCTTCATGGTCTTCGAGTATCTCTCCCATGACTTGACGGGTCTCCTAAACCACCCAACCTTCGTCCTGACTGCTGCACATAAAAAGCACTTGGCGAAGCAGCTGTTCGAAGGTCTCGACTATTTGCACAGTCGGGGCGTTCTCCACCGCGACATCAAAGCGGCCAACATCCTCATCTCCCGATCCGGAGTGCTTAAGCTGGCGGACTTTGGACTTGCACGATTCTACGAGAAGCGACGAAAGCAGGACTACACCAACCGAGTGATTACGATATGGTACCGTAGTCCAGAGCTGCTACTCGGTGAGACGCAGTATGGCCCGGCCGTCGACATTTGGAGTGCTGCTTGCGTGCTTGTGGAGATCTTCACGCGGCATGCCATCTTCCCGGGCGATGGAGGAGAGATCAACCAGCTGGACAAGATCTACAATGTGCTCGGGACACCCTCGCGGAGTGAGTGGCCGAGCATCAGCGAACTCCAGTGGTACGAGCTATTACGGCCCAGTCAGCGAATTCCCAACACGTTTGCGGAGAAGTACCACGAACGAGTGTCGCCGGAAGCATTCGAGCTCCTCCAAGCCATGTTTCTCTACGATCCAGCGAATCGCCCGACGGCTGCCGACGTTTTGGAGCATCCGTACTTTACCAGCGAAGAGCCCCAGGCGGCTCAAGTGGTCGAGCTCGCTGAGCTTGAGGGTGATTGGCATGAGTTTGAGTCCAAGGCACTGCGCAAGGAGAAGGAGCGACAAGAGCGCGAAGCGCGCCGCAGAGACCGAGAGCAGCGCGAGGGTGAGAAACGCAAGGCGGAAGAGACGCCTGCTGGGGAAAGTAAGAAGGCTAAAGTCGCAGAGGCCGGCACGGAGTAGAACATCGCGACGGGGAGGATGCGGAGGCAGGAAATGGGTAGTGATGTCGGGGTCAAAGGTCGGAGATCAAGGCTGCCTAGCAATGCCCGATGCCCAGTGGACTTGGCGAAGCTGTAGATTCGATAGGGTCGTTGAAAGATGACGGAAGTGTCGCAATGAAGATATCAGATCAAATGTGAACTGAGCTACCACATACTGCTTCACTCGGGATTGACTCGTGATTGACTCGTTATTGCGTTGTCATTGACTCGTGATTGAACACATTGTGCATATGTGCATATATATTGTGAAGTAAGTTCCGTGGTGAGCACGGGCCTTCCGAAAGGGACACCTCACCTGTTGCATGTGAAGTGCTCCACGCAGCGAAAGAAAGCGATGACAGTCGACGACAGCCGATGACCGTCGATCAACACCAATCGCCAAGATGCACTCCAGTCTGGTCAGGATCCAGAATGTCTTTGGCTTCTTCACATCCGTCGCCTTCACCGTCGCGGCCGTCATCGCCGTGAGCGTGGTGCTGAGCCCGCAGACGCCCGAGGCCAGCCTGGAGCTCAAGAACGTCAAGGTGTATGTCGACATCGGCGACGACCTTCACCTGGAGTGGATCCGTGACATGTGCTGATCCGACTCCTGTAGCGCAAAAGGTCGACCACACTACTACAGCACCAAACGCGAAGAATATGCTCATGTAACATTCAACCTCGACACAGGCACGTCCAACTACTACTACCACTCACCGTCTCCTGCAGTCTCACTGACCCTTCAATACACCAGACCTCACCTCCCTCTTCAACTGGAACACCAAACAAATCTTCCTCTACATCACGGCCTCCTACCCCTCCAAATCTCCCTCCACAATCCCACCGTCCGAAGCCGTAATCTGGGACGCCATCATCCCCGCCGACAACGCCCCCTGGCACCAAAACACCTACATTCACCCCCCGCCCAAAGGAACAAAAGCGCCCTCCAAGCGCTCAAAGCTCGGCAAACCCTACCCAGCCGGCGCCTCCCCGGGCATCGTGCGTCTGAAAGACCAGAGACCGAAGTATCAGATCACGGACATCAGCGGCAAGATGGCGGAGCGGGAGAATGCCACGTTGACGCTGCATTGGAATGTCCAGCCGTGGGTGGGCCTCTTGACGTGGGCGAATACCAGGACGTATGGGAGGTGGGAGGGGCTGCAGGGTGGGAAAAGTGAGACGTTTACGTTTCCCGCGTTGAAGGGGAGTGAGACGGTTAAGAAGGAAGAACTCAAGACCGAGACGGGTGGGGAGAGGAATCGGGGATCTCCTGCCTGATTCAGCCGTCGAGAAACCTGGTAGTTCGAGCCAAGTTCTTGAGGTAAAGATCAAGCTATCGAATCGTTGCAATCTCACCCGGCTTTCTATACGATCCCGACCTCATTCTGGATCTGGACCTTGACACACTTCTTCCCGTTTCGTCGCGTATAATATTGCTATCACATTTCTCACCACGCCCATGACTTGATTCAGGACATTTAGCGAGCTTCGAAACACCACGCCATCTTTTCTCGTCGCCCTTGGCCAGTCAAGACCTAAGTTTTTTCCGAGCCCTTTCCAAACGCAATAGACCGCTAACAAAGAGAGCGACAACCACACCAATGAGCATACCCAACGAAATATAGGCCCACGAACTCTCTCGACTTCCAACAACCTCTTGACCATCTCTAGCTCCGCGTCCGGCAGCCTCTTGACCCTCTCCAACTCAACTCAGCATCCGCCTCCCTCCACTTCTTCCCGGCCATCTTTCCCAAACTCTTCTTTACCTTCCGCTTTCCGGATTGCTCCATCTACTCTCTGACGATAATGCGGAACCAGCTCAGGGGTTCTTTCTGCTGCTGGTCGTCACCGCATCGTCCAAGCTCATCTTCCAAGCCGAAAATGTCATGATCTTCTATAGGTCCAAATTTCTCTTCTTGCAGCTCTCATCCCATGCCCTTTCGAGGAGGGGCTTGCTTGACAGCGGGAATTCTTGCGTCTGATGGTCTCTTTCAGGCGAGGGGTTTCTTCGTCGAGGAGATTAGCGGTATTCTTGACTTGAATCCTCCTCGTCGTCTTCTCCGCGTCTAGGAGCTCGAGCTCGATCTGTCGGTAATGATACGGTCTGGTCCTTCCAAACTCCCGGCGTCGTCAGCTTGTATTTCCACCGGAAGAGAAGCTCGATAGGGCCAATCTCGTGCCCTGATGTGGTGGGATAGTGTCCTGGTCTTTCAAAATTTCAGCATCATCATCATCATCATCATAATCTCTGTCCACGTCCCCAGCGGAAGAAATCCGACGCTTCGACTTTGATGTTTTCCCCCCCCCCCACGTCTCGCAAAATTTGATACTCCAATCGAAATTCCGCGGGCCTTTCTCTTCGCAAATTCGTCGCGCGCGAGTAGCCTCTCGTTGTCCCCATTCGACTGGAAGGGGGTTCCATGACAACTGGCTGGATTGATTCGCGAAGAAAAATGTCAGGCTGGGTAGATGGATAGGGGCGTAGGTGCGCCGTGGGTATGTGATGTGACTTCAGATAAGATGTGGGCTGACGGTGTATCTATCGTAGACCTCCTCCTCCTCCTCCTCCTTCTTCTTCTTCTTCTTCTTCTTCTTCTTCTTCTTCTTCTTCTTCTTCTTCTTCTTCTTCTTCTTCTTCTTCTTCTTCTTCTTCTTCTTCTTCTTGGACAAAACCGCTCCGTAGATGCGCTGTCGGTCTCAATGCGGAACGAGAAGAGCCAAAGAATTACAAAAACCAGATTTAAAGAACTCAAATGCTTGATAATGATGGTTTGCTCTCTCTTCAAACCATCAACGAGCCACTGAAGCATGAGTATGACGGTCCTCTTTCACGCACTATGCTCCTGGTGAATATGTATTTACATTCACGCGTCCCTTTATAAAGAAAACTAGGGCAACCTGGAGGCAGAGCGAAATGAAACACAACGGACAGTGCAGTGTGAAGGAATCGACGGAGCATTTCAAACAAGGTGGCGTAGATGTCAAGCAATCATTGGATATATGGCTTCGTACACACAAGTTCACTCCTACCTTCGTAGTCAGATCCGGCAAGCGAGCATCATGTTGTTGTTGTTGTCGGCGGAAGCGAATACTAGCTGGCATCTTCAAGCGTGTACTGCGCAAAAGCTACCCCTTCAATGCAACAGGGGAAAAATTTCAGAATAAAGGCTTTTCGCCCGCTTTGTGGTGGATATCTCGGAAATTCGCACTCATCACACCGTGCATCTCGTGGAGCGTTGTTGTTGTTGTGGGCTGTAAGTTACAAGAAAAAACTCGCATGCCTCGAGGCCCTGCCCCGTGCGTTATCTCCTCCATGATTCTTCGACGATTCGGGCAACGGCTACATCAAAAACCGACCCTAACGCGTCCAAAGCAAGCCCCTCGCTCCACAAAGCAGTGTTCCCAATGCCAGAATGGATCTGCCCAGTCTTCGATAGACCTCGTCCTGCGCCGTGAAGATGCCGCCCAAACGTGTTTCCAGAAGAATCAGAATGCCAAACGATAGATCTGCCCTAGAAGCGATGGTGTTGATGCTTCTCGAGATGGCGCTTGTGGTAGGCCTCGGCGGAAGATGCCGCGGTTGGCTGAGCGGTGGCTGTGACGGTGACTTCAGTCTCCTGGATGATCACCTCAATGACCTCGTTGCCCTTGGTGATGTAGGTGGTGCTGACACAATCGTCTTTGGAGCTAGACGGAGTGTATGCTGGGGCAGAAGTGACTTCCGAAGATGGAGCATAAGCGTGAGCCTTAGAGGCTTCGCCTTGGCCAGCGACAATGCCACCCTGTGCAGTCGAGGTGCTTGCTGGGTTGGCTGGCGAGTATGGCGCCGCTGATTGCGAGTAGGTTGCCGGCGCGGACGTCTTCGGGATGGAGCTTGTTGCCTGTCCACTGACACCGGCGACGTTATACTTGGTAGCCGGCTCTGGTCCGTACTGAATGGGCACGTCGACCGGAAGTCCGTCGCGAGGCCCGTGGCAGTCATCTCCCTCGATCGCCGCTGGTACGTCGAACGTGCACTTGGCGCATTCCGAGTCCGCCTGGATGTCGAAGAGTGGACAGTCGGAGATCTCACCAGATTGGTTCTGGCAAGTGTCCAGGGCCTTCTGGAGGAAGTCGGCGGATTCCCAACCCATGATAAAATCACCGTGGTAGCTTGTTCCGACAGGGTCACCGGTAGAGAGCAAGAACTGACCGTCCTCACCGGCGAAGTTCTCGGTGGCCCAAATGGTCTCGAAGAAGATGAACGGGTAGTGGACATCGAAGCCTTCGGGGCAGTTGCCCTCTTTCACCAAGCTGGGGTACGCGACATGTGACCGATGGTCAGAGGAGTCGAGGACACCCTTCTTGCCACAGGATGGGAAAGCAAGCTCGAGGCGGAGGCCGTCGAGGCAGTTGGCGTCCATGTACGACTTCTCGGGGAAAGTGTGGCGGTAGAGGGAAGCCTCTGGAGTCTTGGCGTAGTTCAGGCAGTTGAAACCAAGAGCACGCTGTTGAAGGAAGAATTGATCGGTCGGGTCTGTTGGCCACGAGCTCAGGGGGGCATCTGGGAAATCACCAGTGAAGTTACGGTACGTGGGGTTTCCAGCGATCATGGCGAAGCCCTCGGGGAAAGCAACGACGTCTTCGAGGTAGTAGAGGTAGTAGCTGGAGGGTGTCAGTGACTCGTCGATAAGCACGTGATGACGGGATAGCCTTACGCGAGCATGCCGCCAACCTGTGGCACCATGACGGTGGTACCATTGCTGTACTGGAAGTACAAGCTGGGAGTCCAGTAGGCGGAGTGGTCCTGAGTGACCTCACAGGACGTGCAAGTACCGTCGGCGGTGAGCGCCTTGAAGTCGGTGCTGGCACCGAATGCTGTTGGAATGATTAGCATCTGAAATTCACATGCCAAGTCTCGTTGGGTAGTCAATCGTACCTCCACCACCGTGAATGGCGTGAACGTGGTCAGAGATGCTGCCCGGGTTGACCAGAGGGTCGAGGCGACCGTATCCGGTGACGGAGCGACATGGCATGCGCCAGAAGGCGGAGACGCTGCCCGCGCATGCGAGAGCGGTGGCGACGGTGACGGACTTCATGGTGATGGGTGACAGGCGCAGGAAATGATGCTGCTGCCGATGTACGCGGTTCGCAAAGCGACGCAGTCGCGAGGAGCGTCAAACGAAGGACCGATCAACGGAGTGGGCTGGTTGCCTTGTCGCCCGCGGCGGCGATGTGTGTGGTGAGAGGATGGAGTACAGTATGTGCAGTCGTGTGGAAGTGTGAGCCTGGGGAGAGCTCGAGCTGTCGTCGTTCCGCAGGGGCTCGCGGAGGTATGTGCCTTGCTTGTGCGAAGCGTCCAGTTGTCGGAGAGAGGCGGCGTTTGTGTTGTTGCGGACGGCGTTTGCGGTTGTTGATGGATTCGAGTATGAACAAATGAATGGAACGACGAGTCGTGGGTGAAGCACTGGGCGACACCGGAGAGCAGTCTGGTATTGTGAAGGAGCGACAACGGGTGGGAAAGGAGTGAATCGACAACGACGCGGTGGTGCTTGGCGGGAAACGAGGAGGCGGAGGGCGTTGGCAGATGAAAAGATGAGGTCGGGTGGAATGGTGGAATGCTTCGGCTTGCCTCCCGGAGATCAACCTAAAACGCGGCCGACCAGCGGGAAGAGCGGGTTCCTGCAGATGGCGTCCAGATAGTCTCCGGATAGCGCAGAGATAGCGTAACCCTGAGACCCACTCGCCAAATGAGCCGAAATCCTCCCCAGACCACCCGATCCCATGCTTCTCCCACTCGTCCAGCGTCAGGTGCGACATTCCAAGACTGCCGCACTGCCGCTCTTTACGCGCTGTCGACTTCTTCCAGAGGCGACAGCGTATCGTCTTCGGAGCGCGGCACGCGCAGAGTTCGATCTCCAACCCGTCATCCGTCTTCTTCCATTTTCAGCCATCGATCCTCATCAAACTTCCGTCACAGGGGCGGAATCCCTTCACAGGAACCCGCGCGAGACGGTGCCGCGCCGTTCTCGTGGTAGCCATGTCTCGGCTGCGTCATATCCACAAGCGCCCCAAAGCTTGGCCGCTATTTCAGGCCGGCTCATAAGACGCCTCCTCTCCCTGAACAGATTATCTCCGTCGCATGTCGCTTTGCACGTGATTGAAACTTGGGAGTCGAGCGACATCACATGGTGTACGTCGCCCTCGACGACGCAATGCGACCACCAGGTGCTCCGGCCAACGCATTCTCTGCTCTCGAACACCACAATCTAGTGTCGCACCACCACCGATAGCCTGCCGATCTTGCCCGAATATCTGTGAAGAACGGAGAGATGCGTTTGAAGCTTAGCCCATCGATTCAAAGGTATAGCAACACTTTCTGGCTGCTCATGGGCTGAACACTCATGCCACGTGCTCCGCATGGTTCGTGGAGAGATTGACTCTGAACACAGCAAGGACCCCGTGGCCACTTGAAGACGACAGCCGGTTCGGAACGCGGCAGCCCTCAGGCATCAAGTGTCACACCTCGAAGCCAGTGCAACACACCAGCCACCCAGCACTGAGGGCAGAAACAGTAGAAGGATGCAGTGGCGGTGTGCACCAAGTCCTGCTCGCTCTCCTGTTTAATTGAGCTGCCGTGTCTGGTCTGGCCTGCACGTCGCTGCTCTTGTTCGGCCGCGCTGGTCTTCGCAGGTGCCACAACAGAACCACCGGAATCAACGCAGCCTGTGAAAACAGTCTGCGAAGCAACGGGATCAGGTGGTCGCACACACCATCGAATGAGAAGTGCCGCGCGGCTGCGGAGATGATGTGCCCATGGGAGACTGTCCGGACCCCGCGTCCAATACGAATTCATTTAAGCCCATATACTTGGGACATCTGCTCGCCGATCAATCCTGCAGTATCGAGAAAAGCTTCTCATTGAAGCTTGACATTTCGTGACCAAGCGTCGCGAGTGTTCAAGAAACAACCAGCAGCTGTCACGGGCAACTTCCTTTGTCCTTTGGCTGAGGTCCTTCGCTAGGCAAATCCAGTTGCATGACGCCCCGACAACAAGCAGCAGAAGCCCGACCTCTTGCGAGACGTTCTCGCTGCGCGAGCAGCGGTGACTGCAGGCAGTCTGCTGTTCGTCAACGCCGAATAAGGATCAACGGCCGCAGTTGAAGTCGCGGAGTTCGGTTTGCTTGTGGTCACTATCTGACCGCCAGTTTTCGTCACGAAAGTCTCGCTCATTGCGAAAGTCAAGCCCGTTCCGCCAACTTGAACCAAACCTCCGGATGTCGCGCTGAGGATCATGCCGGGTATCATCCATCAAGAGTTGCTGGATGTAACGATTGCAGCTTCATCGAGAATCAGTTCACCCCGAAGCCTGCACAAGCTCTACAGTGCCGTCTGAATGCGTGATTGCACCAACGCTGCCGCTCACAGGCCGCGTCGCCTGTTCGCTTTGCAGGGTGCTGAGGCGTCTGCATCGGGAATCATAGCAAGACCGTGATGTCACGGGCTGACCCTACCGCCTTCCAAGCTAATAGCTTCGCCTCCAACGGAAACGGTGGTCTTGCCAGTCAGCGCGGCAGATCGACGCGCTGTCTGGATCGCATTGTAGACATTCATGCCAAAAGGGAAGACAAGCCAGGGTACAGATGCATCCAACGTCGGCTCAGACTGTTGCTGCCTTCAAGTTGACTACTAGGATCTGCAGATGCAAAGACCGGAACATTGGGCTTGCTGCTCAAAGCTGGCGGGGCTTCGGAATCCGGTGAGCTTGCTTATTCTGTCCGGCGATCTCGGTAAAAGCGTCTGAGAGCCCGGAACTATAGATTCCACCTGAAGCCATGCTGATGCGCTGCGAACGGATCGTGCTCGTAGCGCCACCACAAATCGGCTCTGCTCCGGCCAGTGTGCTTGAACAAGCGGACGTAAAAATGTCAGCCTATCCAAGAGGTGCAGCAACTTCTGGAGCCCATGTAGAGCCAAGCCCGAGCCCGAATGAGCCTTCTCCGTTCATGCTGCATGCAGCGCCGGAGGCAGGATTGTCAGATGCTCCAGTCGGCTCAACAAGCTGCCAGCTTGAGTTGAGTCAAGTCCGCAAGGCACCAAGTTCTGAGAAAGTGGGTATCCGTGAGTTCTTGACCGGTCATGTTGTCGCTGCCTAGCTTGACCACGTTGCTGGAGAAGGGCGCGTCGGCATGTGAGCTCGCACTTGAGAGGCTATGAAAGTCGAGAGAACTCTTCGCCGTGCCATGCTCCGACGATGAAGGAGGAGACGATACCAATGAGGCGGCTGTCGACTCTCGAGGGCCAAAGTGGCGTCTTGCACTGAGCTGGCATCTAACCTGGGACTACCCTCCACAGGCGAGTTCGGAGTTGCGCTTGCCACACTCTGCGAGCTCTGTTCCGGAATAGGGTTGGGATCATGGACGCTGTGCACTGAAGGCGGCTCGGAAGGAGATGTAGACGGCCCCTGAGGTGAGTGCAGTCTTTCCTAGGCTACAGTCTCGGAAACCAGGCTAGAAGTGGTGTGCACGCTTGTCGTGAATTTCAGATTGAATGACGTTCTAGTCATCGGATCGTACAGCAACTGGACTGCTCCTCCTGAGACAGTACACTTGTCGCAGTCTCTTGGAAGCGCACGATCCGTCCAAGAGGGTCCACATCTTTCGGGCCAGAATAGAGTCGACCGCGCGAGATTGTCACATTGTTAGCAGAGTTGGAAAATGTGGATGTCATTGTCATGATGAGGAGAAGGGAAGGAGAAGAGAACCTTAGGAGCAGTTGATGGTACTATAGGGAGGTGAGGTGCCCTCGAATTCTGCCTTCTGATTGGCCCACCAGGGGTTGAGACCCGCTTTTTGCTTACTTTCCCCTCCTCTGCCCTTCCTTGTCGCCCAAATGCTGACTGTTCCTTCCTCCATCACACTGCTCCATTTCCGTCTGTAGGATCTCCGGCCTTTCCTACCCGATATGGGACGGGAGTCATGGATTCGCGATGGAGGCATCACCACATCTCATAGAAAGAGCGAGCGTCGACATCGTTCTCATCAGACATGCCTGTCCTCCCTCGACTTCCTGCCAAGCACAATAGAATGGGCAGGCAAGAAGGACAGCGACATCGACCGTCCCAATACTGGCAGGTCCCCCTTCCTAGCGACTGGGCAGGTCAGTCCTTTCCATCCTCCACTCGTAACAAGCGACGGAGCCTCCACGGCAGAGAGTCCGGGCAAGCAGGTGAGGTCGACATCGTCGGTAAGAAACATTGTCGTGGCCTTTGCTCCACGCTTTCTAGAACTCCTCGTCTTTCACCAACTTCGACTATCGTTCCGCAAACCATGGCATGCACCCCAATCGTGGCGTTAGGCTGAAAGAGCGTGGAGTTGGAGTGAGACCATTAGCACATACGAGACAGAACCCGCGATCGTTCCAATGTTTGTCGATATCCAACTTGTTACATGCTTTCACCTCCTACGCCGCCTGGACGTACTGTCCCAGAAACACGTCTATCACAGAGCGCCTAGGTTGGATTTCGCATGGAATGGATTCGCAAAGAAGAGCGACGGCATGTATAGCCATGAGCTTCTCGCATGTCACGAAAAGCGGAAAGCGCTCAGACCATGCAGCAGCGCTTAGCCGATGTCACCTGCGGACGTAAGTGCATAGTGTTCTGTATCTTGCCTTGGAGGGCCTGTGCGAACGTCAGGCTCGCGAGCTGGTGGTCTACGACATCGAAGTCCGGATTGTGGAGGCTGTTACGCTCTGGACACAATCCTTGGATGCCTTACCAGCAATAGCAAGATTGATTGGAACGGTACATGACTGCAGACCACGCGGTGAGCAAAGTTGGAGACCTTGCAGGGAAAGCTACCTCAGGATCCAGACAGCGTCCCAGATCGAGAGCAATTCGGTCGATTGAATCGTGTCTTAGCGTATTGAGGATCCCCTTGGATTTCAGATTGTATGCAGAGGCGAAAGGTCAACATCGATAGCGTGTAGAAGGACCAGAAGGTTCATGTTGTCAGTGAGATGGGCATCGCGATAGGCATCAAAGAATAGGTATATGCTCGAAACACTGAGGGTCCTACGGCGCGTAGTACGTTATACAGGCACAGTAGGGTTAGTGTTGGATTGCGAAGATGGATCTCGTGAAGCGTAGCCGCAAGAAGACATGGAACGTTCATGTTGTTGAAGGTCGTCCTCTTGGCAGTGGAAATGACGCAGCGTCGAGGGTCCACGGGTAGTCCCGCTTTGGGCAAATCCGTCTCAGCAGTCACGGCTCAGCAATTTCTGAGGACAACAGCTGCCTCTGTGTGTGCACTTTTTTCTTGCGCCCTCCCCTGCTTGCCACGCCGCAGCAGGTCTGCTCACGCGCCCTCGAGTATCCTGTGATTCCTCAACTACCGACTCGCATCCTCAGCTACCTACTCACTCTAGAGCGTCTGCGGATTCTGGGACAGCCCACTACAGCCCCACCAAGAGACAAAGGCGCCGGGCTGTGATCTTCAAATTTTAGAGAAGCACTCCCAAAAACACCAACACAACACCGCGAACATGGTCTCCGCATCTAAGGCTGCTCGTGAGGCCAAGCGTGCCGCCGCCGGCAAGGAGAAGAAGACTCCCGCCAGCAAGGTCGCCTCCAAGAACGCCTCCAAGAACGGCTCCGAGGCCTCGTCAGTCGCCGGTGATGAGTCCCCTCCGCTTGTCGATGCCGACGAACAAAACGGCAACAGCGCCGTACTGACGAAGATGGAGAAGATGGCGTTGCAGGAGGATAAGGACGGCATCTCAGACAGAGTTACCACGGGTGTGCTCGCCTCGCTCGCCGCCAGCAGAGACGTCAAGATCACATCCGCCTCGCTCGTGTTCCACGGCAAGGTCCTGTTCAACGATACCACCATCGAGGTCAACTATGGCCGCCGATATGGTCTGCTTGGTGAGAACGGTTGCGGAAAGTCCACACTCCTCAAGGCTATCGCCAAGCGCGAATTCCCCTTCCCCGACCACATCGACATCTACCTCCTCAACGAGGGCGCCGAGCCTTCCGAGACTGGCGCTCTCCAGTGGGTCGTCAACCAGGCAGAAGCTGAGATGAAGAGATTGGAAGACTTGTCGGAGAGAATCTTGGAGGATGAAGGACCGGACAGCCCCAAGCTCGAGGACCTGTACGAACGCATCGATAGCATGGATCCCTCTACTTTCCACACCCGAGCCGGCCTGATCTTGACTGGTCTGGGTTTCAACAAGAAGACAATGGACAAGAAGACCAAGGACATGTCCGGTGGTTGGCGTATGCGTGTTGCGCTGGCTAAGGCACTTTTCGTCAGACCATCTCTGCTCTTGCTCGACGACCCAACTGCTCACTTGGATCTTGAAGCTTGTGTGTGGCTAGAAGAATACCTGAAGAAGTGGGATCGCACACTCATCCTTGTCTCGCACTCCATGGATTTCCTTAACGGTGTCTGCACCACCATGATTGATATGCGCTTCAAGAGCCTCCTGTACTACGGTGGTAACTACGACTCGTACATCAAGACCAGATCCGAGAACGAGGTCAACCAGCAGAAGGCATATGAGAAGCAGCAAGAAGAGATCAAGCACATCAAGGAGTTCATTGCAAAGGCTGGTACCTACGCCAACTTGGTGCGACAGGCCAAGTCGCGCCAAAAGATTCTGGACAAGATGGAGGCCGACGGTTTCATTCAGCCAGTACACCAGGATCGTGTCTTCACCTTCCGCTTCGCCGACGTCGAGAAGCTCCCTCCACCTGTGCTCTCCCTTGACGACGTCACCTTCTCTTACTCCGGCAAGGCCGAGGACAATTTGTACGAGAACCTTGACTTCGGTGTCGACATGGACAGCAGAACGGCACTGGTGGGTCCAAACGGTGTCGGAAAGTCGACTCTCCTCCGTATCTTCACTGGTGCTCTCTCGCCCACGTCCGGATCCGTCTCGCGACACACTCACTTGAAGCTGGGCATGTACTCTCAGCACTCCGCCGAGCAGCTTGACCTGACCAAGTCCGCCCTCGAATTCGTCCGTGACAAGTACCCCAAGATCTCCCAGGATTACCAGTACTGGCGGCAACAGCTCGGCCGCTACGGTCTGTCCGGAGAGGCACAGACTGCTATCATGGGCACCCTTTCTGAGGGCCAAAAGAGCCGTATCGTGTTTGCTTTGCTCGCTATCGAAGGACCCAACATGCTTCTGCTGGACGAGCCTACCAACGGTCTGGATATCCCTACTATTGACTCTCTTGCTGACGCCATCAACGCTTTCACTGGTGGTGTTGTTGTCGTGTCTCACGACTTCAGGTATGTCCATCACGTCCTTGATCTCCATACTCATTTTACTAATCTTCGGACAGACTGCTCGACAAGATTGCCAAGGATATCATGGTGTGCGAAAAGAAGACCGTCACACGGTGGGAAGGTAGCATTGGCGACTACAAGAACCACCTGCGGAAGAAGATGATTGCTAGCGGCAGTGTTTAGACTCTGCTTGTGCTTGTGATATCGACACGATGACTGAACGGCATCCATTGCATTGTGGTGGGAACGGTTCAGAGTAGAAGCACGGGCTGAGACGTGCATTATTCCGATGCCGTATATCGTGATCATGATGGGTGGTGTACGTGCATTGGGATAGATGTGCAGGCGTTTCCATGAGATAGATACCAAGAGAATGAATGCGTAGCTATCTTGGCTGAATTTACCAACACCCATCGTCTGTGGTAATGTCTCAAAGCTAAGTGGATGCACGTGATTTGGGTCAAGCTCAATGGCTTCGCGGCAGCTTCCGCGGCCGGCTTGACCTCGCATCCCGACCTCACATCATCAAGTGATTGAGGGACGTGGGACGCCCGACACACGACAGACACCGGCAACATGGTGATCAACCCGACATACCTCGCGCAGCGGACGCGCTCATGTACGCATACAAATTCCCACCCGACGCGCGCGAAGAGAGAGAGAGAGGAGAGAGGCTAACAAGGATAACAGCGAAGACGTGGACGGAAGCGAAGACGAGAGTGCTGGCTAGCTACCGCGATTGGCTCAGAGCGGTACGTCACACCCAAACCTGCCGGAGAGCACGGAAGAGCGAGGAGCTTGGGAAGGTGGTTGGGAAGCAGATCGCAATGCTGGAAGCTCCGAACAATAAGAAGAGAAGGCGGAGGAGGAGCAAGAGGAATACAGCGCACTGACTTGGACTCCCACACAGTCGCCCGAAATCCAGCAAATGTACTCCCTCAACATGCCCGTCAGCGCGATCCGCACCAAGATCCGACAAGAATTCGAGCGCCATCGATACGTCTCGCAGCTCAAGACAACGGATGTCTTGTTGTTTAACAGTCACCAAGAATTTCAGGTGCGTCTGAAGAAGCTCTCCGATGATTGTAGAGGAGAAAAAAGGCAAGGCTAATAGAGGAAACAAGGAAACATTGAATTTCTGGAAGCAACTCACGCACGTGCTCAAGTACTTCCGTGCAGAAGAGGAGCCGAAAGCGCGGTTACCGAAGAATTTCATTCAGGGCTTCATTGAGGTGAGCCATCACGATATCCACGGACATGGACATGGGAAAGCTGACATATGGACATAGGGACGGAATTGAGACATTACGAGACTTCAAAGTACGGAGAAGCTGCAAAACTGCGGCATGTTGTACATATCCTACATCCAAACAGGAGAAAGGCTCTTTTACTGTTCAAGAATATTCTTCAGAGTTTTTATCTTTCCTGATCGAGCCGCATGCAGTATCAGCGTTGAGCAGCGTACGCGTCACTACCTGTGCTCTGAGTGCCAAAAATGGCAATGGTAATGAAGGGGCAGCATCAAACGAAATGCCGGAGCATCATCGCCCATGTTAGAGCGTGAAGCAGTGGTGAAATTGACAAAGTCGTACACGCTCAGCCGCCGCAAGCGTAAGCGGTGCAGCTACGGCTTCGGGCCTCGTCTACTGCGAAGGGCACACAAGAAGTAGGACTCGAGTCACCTTTTCGTTCGACGGAGGAAGATCGTCGAGCCAGCCGCATCTTTCCTGCTCCTCGTGGCTTCACTGTCATGCTCGAGCGAGTATAGCGATTTTCGGTTGACTTTCCGCTGCTGGGAGGACGCCGCCATTCTTTCTGCGATATCCAACGCAACAGGATTCAAGACTTCGCTCTTGCGTTGTGTACAAGCTTCAGGGCAAAGACGAGAAGATTTCAAGACACTTTGAAAGTAGTATCATCGAACTCCATACATGATTCGATTGGATATCTGTTTCATTTTGGAAGTACAGGACTTCAAAGTCCAATTCGTTTCTCCCTTATTACGTCGTCACCACCTTCTCCTCCGCCCCGGGAGTGCTGGCGCCCAGACTCTCCATTTCAGGAACCTTGGGAGGGCGGTCGCGTTCATGGGAGAGGTCGGTATTGCTGAGCTTGGCGTTCTCATTCTGGGTCATGCGCTTCTTCTTCTCGGAGATGGCCTCTCCTCATCGCTGGGAAACTCGGTCCGGGTTCTCTTCATTGAACTGATCCCGCGCCGCGACAAACTTCTCCTCAACAGCCTCGCAGAGATCCGTGAGATCGTCGAGTGCTTTCCTGAGGACGTCGAAGACGTTCACGTCGTCTGTAGGCCTCCGTTAGCGTCTCAGTCATCATCCTCAGCAGCGCCATAGTTTCGTACGGGGAAACTCACCCCAGGTCTGTATCCGCAAATTCATGAAAGGCTCGGATGGATGCGGGATGGAATAGCCACAGAACTCGACGTCGGGACTGCCGCATGGATGGAAAAGTTAGCATTTTACCCTTCCCAGGTCTACGGGCTCCGATGGACCGACTTCTTCGTGATCATGTATCGGAGCGCATTCCCAAGAGTGTGATCTTCCTTCTCAAGCGCAAAGGATGCCGCAGTGTTCGTACTTCCGGGCAGCTTCGTGAGGAGTCAGCAGACGGTCACTTGACATGCATGAAATCTGGCAGAAGCCGCGCATACCAATTTCAATCGCTGCTTCTCATGGACAAACTCTTGCTCGCCGTTGAGATCCGCGCCGGCGGCAGCATCGGTCATTTCCTCATCGTTCGACATCTCAAGAAAAGTCTTTGTATTCAGGTAAAGAACAAGCGTAGACTTCAACTCAGGCTGATTTTCGCATGTGAAGATTCGCAAAGGAAGTCGGCTGCTCGGTCTCGCTTTCCAATCTCGAAGTTTAAGGTTTAGCGTAATCTGCAAGGGTCCAGCCAATGCGCCTGCGGACAAACGTCAGAGCAGTCATCAAGTACAAGCCCCAAATCTTTGAAGAACAACACTCAGTACCACAATTATATACACACATTGCTCCCCAGGAAGCCAAAGAAAAGAACAGAAAACACAGCCAAAATGTCCACCGACCCCATCCGCAGCGCCACCATCTCGCGCGACACAAACGAGACCAAAATCCAACTCGCCCTCAACCTCGACGGCGGCATCCTCCCTTCCCTCTCCCCCACAAACGGCGAAGAATCCCACGCATCGCAAACCTCAAAATCCCAAACCATCCAAGTCTCGACCGGCATAGGCTTCCTGGATCACATGCTACACGCACTCGCAAAACATGCCGGCTGGTCCCTCGCCCTCAAGACGGTCGGCGACCTCCACATAGACGATCACCACACCGCCGAAGACACCTGTATAGCCCTGGGACAAGCGTTCAAATCGGCGCTGAAGACCACGTCGGGTCTCGCGAGGTTTGGATACGCGTATGCACCTCTGGATGAAGCGCTGAGTAGGGCGGTCGTGGATCTGAGCAATAGACCGTATAGTGTGATTGATCTGGGGACCAAGAGGGAGAAGATTGGGGATTTGAGTTGTGAGATGCTACCCCATTGTTTGGAGAGTTTCGCGCTGCACGCCGGTATCACGATGCATGTGGACTGTTTGAGGGGGAACAACGATCATCACAGGGCCGAGAGTGCATTCAAGGCGTTGGCGGTGGCATTGAGGATGGCGACAAGTCCCGTGGCCGGACGAGAAGGGGAGGTACCTAGCACAAAGGGCGTTCTATACTAGACAGGAAAAAGAGCGTAGAACGAATTGAACAGGAAACCATGTGATCATGATCAGAATCTCAAGACTAATGGTAGTTGTAGAGTTACATTTAGTAGTTGATCCAGTCGGAAAAGCAACTGATGTGATGGACCAGACCGACCAAAAGCATGCTGGCACGAGCCAGGAAGCGCCCTGTCTTCTGCGCCTGCTAGAATGTCACAGTCCAAGGCGCTGTGTCAGTGCATAGTAAACCCATCCATTCCCACATTTCCGAACGCATCGTGTCGTGACTCCATGCGTGGCAGCAATATCCAGCCTCTGTGAAGAACCAATAAACTCCTTGCCGCCTGTAAACTCCACGTCTCTATTCGTCGTCACTCTGCGCGGCGCTTTCGGTTCCTCCGCGCGATGCAGTCCCGTTCGCTCGCCCGTTGAGCTTGAGCTTGATGCTGGGTTTGGGTTGCGGCGTGCTCGTGCTCGACACCGGCCGCGTCGAGTTCTCGTCGGCCGCCGAGCTCTCTCCGTCAAGATCTCGCTGCCATTTCGGATGTTCCGCCGTCGCTTCCTTGAGCTTGTCGTCGCAGGCACGCTGTTATACCAAGTCAGTGCGGGTTCTTCTTCTCTTGGTGATCAAGAATGCTAACTTACCTCGATGAGGTTAGCATCTTGATACAACACGCTGCCATCCTCATTGTACTGCCGGCAGTTGTTGCACAGCAGCGCAATGTCTGCGCGAAACTGCTTCAGACTCTGGTAGTGTTTCTTGTTAATCTTGGTCTCAATCTGCTTCATGCAAATCGGTTCCTTGATCATGAGGTAGTAGTCAGGGTAGAGCTGCTTCGGTGGCAGCTCGAGGAAGGGATCGATGATGCCGCGGTTCGCAAGCTTGGGGTCGTTCGACTCCTCTTCCAGGTCTTGAAGTGAGTCGTGCACTGTGTCCAATATCTGCTGAAGCGATTCGCGGTCCTCCTTCGACAGAGTCTCGACAATCTTGGTATTCCGTGCCCGCTGCTTCTTCGAAGGAGGCTCTTGAACACCATCCAACGACGCCTCGTCAGCCGGGCGCTTAGTCTTGCCAGAAGACTTACGGCTGCCACGGCTAGGCTTCTTCGGTGCCGGCGACTCTTCTTCGCTCTCCTTATCGGGTGGAGGAGTGTCACCGCCAAAATCGGTACGAAGCCGGGACTCCTTCTTGGTCGCACGCTTGGCAATGCGGGCTTGCTTACGAGCAACGGCCTCTTCGATGGTGTCGTCGTCAGCATCAACGGCGTCCAGCCATTGTTCCTCGGTCAAGCCATCGTCATACTTGACCTTCGTCCGCTCTCTGGCGCCACGTCCGTAGTTGAACTCGATTTCCTCAACCACTGGATTGTCGTCGTTGAGATAAAGGTCCGGTAGCTCGCTCTCTCCCAACAGCCGAGGATACTTCTTGTCAGTCCCATACTTATCGTTCTTGTGGCGCTCGCGATCCATCTGCTGGAAGATTACAAGCTCTTCATCGCTACGCATCATCATCATGTTGAGATCGTCGTCGTCCATCTCATCCTGCTCCATGTTCTCGACGGCTTCGGCTGATTCCAACATTACACGCAGCATCTCGTCACGCTCCTCGTTAGTCGACTTGTTGTCGAATTTACCAGCCTGAATGACTTTGCCGTCCATGTCAAGCTTGTATTGCGCACGCTCGAGGATCTTCTCCTCCACAGAGCTGGACGTGATGAGCCGCAAGATGCGCACTTCATTCTTCTGACCAATACGATGCGCACGATCCTGAGCCTGCAAATCTTGGTGAGGATTCCAGTCGGAGTCGTAGATGATGACAGTATCTGCAGTCTGCAGGTTCAGGCCCAGACCACCTGCACGGGTCGATAGCAAGAAACAGAAGTACGGCGAGTCCGGTGCATTGAATTGCTTGAGCAATTCGGACCGATCGTCGGCCTTTGTGCTACCGTCCAGACGGAGATAGTTGATACCACGAAAGCGCAAGAAGTCTTCCATAATGTTCATGATTTGAGTCATCTGGAAGAAGATAAGACATCTGTGTCCTGTGGCCTTGAATTTGGGCAGAACGCGGTCGAGCAGCTCGAATTTGCCCGCAGTACGCCAAATGAGGTCGTTCGTGAGACGCTGTGGATTCATCTGGTCCTCAACTTCTTCGAAGACGAATGGATGGTTGCAGAGCTTGCGCAGCTGCATAAGCATATTACTGAGACCGCGCATTCCAGTTTTCTTGCCATCCGCGCCGATGACGTTGATGCGGTTGTGAGTCATGAGTTGCTTGTACAGCTTCTGTTGGAGCGCAGACGTGTTGCACTTGACGACCTTCTCCTGCTTGTCAGGCAGATCCTTCTCGACGTCCTTTTTCAGACGACGCAATAGGAACGGACGAAGCACCTTGTGAAGACGCTTGATAACAAGCAGCTGTTCTTCTTCAGTGAGCTCCATCCTATCCTGACCACCGGTGTTGGCAAAGGGCGTATTGAACCATTCGTCGAATGACTTGGCCGACTTGAAAATGCTGGGCAACACGAAATTCAGCATTGCCCACAACTCAGTCAGGTTGTTCTGAAGTGGAGTTCCGGTCAGGATCAGTCGATATCTCGTGTGGTAGTATTGCGAAATCGTGCTGCTGAGCTTGGACTGTGCGTTCTTCATGCGGTGACCTTCGTCGACAATCATATGCACCCATTTGACCTTGCTCAGGACCGGTCTGTCCTTGATGATGAACTCGTAAGTCGTGAGCAATACCTGGAAGTTGCCGTATCGGATCTGCTGCTGGTGGTTCTTCCGCTGGCTGGGAGGTCCCTTGTACACGATACGCGATACGCTAGGCGCCCATCGTTCAAACTCGTTGTTCCAGTTTGTCAGCGTACTCAGTGGCACTATGACCAAGTACGGACCATGCTGTCGCTTCTTCTCGATGAGGTATGTAATCAGTGAAATGGTCTGGATAGTCTTGCCGAGACCCATCTCGTCGGCAAGAATACCATTGAGGTTGTTGTTGTATAGCGAAATCATCCATTGCAGACCCTTCAGCTGGTATTCCTTGAGGGTACCGCCAACAAGATTTGATGACTGAACCAAGACGTCTTCTTTGATACGGTGAGCCACTTCGTAGTAGTCGATCTTCGGCTTGCTTTCGTTCTCGCTGTCCATTTCCTCGTCGGAGGATGGATTTTCGTCGATCGGGTCGTCGTCGTACTGGTAACCCATCTTTCGCTGCTGCTCTTTGACAGACGCGGCGAGCTGCTTCAAGAAGCCATCTGTCTGCTTGAGCAGGTGAGAAATACGGGAGTCCTTGGCTTGGCCAAGCAGCTTCAGGTAGGTCTCTTCGTCGTTGGCCTTCAGAGCTTGCAGACGTTGCTTCGCGGTGCGCTCGATCCGCTTCTGCTCCTCCTTCTCGATGTTTTGGTGGAGACTCATCATCATGCGGCCAAGCTTCTGTACGCGTTGCTTGTGCTGCTGAGCGTGGTTGCGGATATCCTCGGAATGCTGGACAATCGATCGGAGGTATTCGTTGTGCTTCTTCTTCTCCTTGTTTTCCGCTGCATCGCGCTGCTGTTTCTCCAGCTTCTCGGTGACTCGAGCCTCCCGAAGTGACTGCTTCTTAACGCGACGGTACATCGAGCGGTTGGCACTCATTGAGAGGTTGTTTGAGGACATCATTTCTCGGCCAATCTTCTGTCTCAACTCGCGTTGCTTGCCCACCAGTGTATGAAGTTTGTACTCGATGAGGGCCTGCCGCTTCAGATTCGCATTTTCTTCTGGAGTGTCCGACTTGCTTGTATCCCAACCACCGAGATTTGCGGAGAGCTTTCCCAACTCGTTTTTGTGTGTCAGAAGGCGGTTATAGATGGTGGCCTCACGCTCGGCTCGCACATGTTCTGGATCGACGCCAAGAGGCATGATACTCGGAATCATTGACCGATTGGCACGTTGCGTGTGATCTTGATAGCTGATACTCTTAAGCATCAGAGAATGAGGATCGGAGAATGTCTCGAATCGATGCCGAGGTCTGCCATCCTCGTCGGGCGCTGTCTGAGCGGGTGTTTGCGACGCATCCTCAAGAAGTTTACTAGCAGCGGCAACGCCCTCAGCCATGGTGGATGCTTTCTGCTCTTGTCTGGAGGGGAAGATCCGATCCTGAAGCTGCTGTGGAATGGGTACGTTCTTTTGTAGATGTGAGAAGGCCTGCATCTGAGCTCGTAAAGTCATGATCTGATCTTTGGAGAAGGAAGCCTGATCAGGACCGCCGTACATTTGAGCCTGTTGTGAGCCGGCTTGCGATGAGGACTGAGGCATGGGTTGCGAAGTGGGCTGCGATACGCCGTTCGCGGTGGCAGCGACTGGCTGCTGCGGCTGTGCTTCCGTGGGCATGCCGGGAGATGCGCCATTCATCTGCGGCACGGCGCCTTGCTGTGGTGCTTGCTTCATCTGCATTTGCTTCATGGCCTGGAAGCGCTTCAGCTGCTCGGTCTTGGCCTGGATCTGTTGAAGGATGGCCCTGGTTCTCATCATCTTTGGATCCGTATCCGGTGTACCATTGGCTTTCATTTGCTGGTACTCCTTATACATCTGCTGAACCTGCTCCTTGGTCATGCCAGCAGGCAGGATACCAGAGCCCATTGCTGGGTTGGCGCCCTGCTGTGGTTGCTGCATGCCGGGCTGTTGGACAGCGGCCATGATGGGTATTATGGGTTCGTTTCGGTATGGATATCGCTCTCCAGAGATGCCGTTCGCACCCGGCGAATCCTCCTCCTCCTCCGGATGAGGTCGCGCGTCACTTGCGCCAAGGTCGCGAGGCGGAAGGGCGAGGGCGCATCAAAGCGCGACAGTTGCGGCGGTGGTGGTGGAAGTTTGAAGCGAATGAAGTGCGGGTGTCCGCTGCGCAATCCCGTGATGCGCGGGAAGCTGTGTTTTGATAGAAGGTGCTTGCGCGCGACTGCGCTGGGTTGGTGGTTAGCGGGCGGAGAGGTGGCCGGCGAAAAGTCGCAGTTGACGCGGCAGGTCGATAGAAAAGTCTTTGGGCGCGTCGCACGCGTTCCCTAGCAGACTGTAAGCGATATCAACAGAAGGGTGGGGTATTGCTCGGAGGTGCCCTTGATGCCGCAGTCAGTCAGCGACGTGGTGAGAGGTTGCCCTTGGCAGGCGGAGAGGCTGAAGCGGGAGATCGGCTGATCACGTGGAGCTATTGTCACGTGTCTTCCTCAACCCATCATAGTTTCACGTGGCAAGGCAGGGACGGTCTCGCGATTTAATCTATTCACTTATCACGCTGGCGATCCATCAGAGCCCGCGGGAGAGTCAGCTTCTACGTGCGCTCACAAGACGAGCCACTCTGGTACCTACGCAGTATCGTTCCCAACAGTACCGTACCTCGGCGTCCAGCTCTAAGCTCGACGGACGGAATCTATTTCCCCCTCGAAATAACCATACTCCAACATAGTACGACTGCGCCGCCCAGATCCACAGTCATTCGCCTTCCAAATGTCTCTTCTGGGCCTGCCAACAGAACTTCGCCTACGAATCTACGAATTCCTTCCAGAACTTGCACCAGACCGCTACGAGACCGTAACTGCCTACTCCAAGATCACTCCATCCATCTGTCGGGTCTCTCGCATCCTCCGCTACGAGACTGTTCCCGTCTTCGCAAGCGGCTCGCAGTTCGCTGTTCAGATCGATGATGCCGGTGACGGCTGGTACGACCGTCTCTCCTGCTGGCTGGATGCACTGGGTCCAGAAGCTATCTCTCGGATCCGGAGCTTGCAGATATCAAGGCACTGGTGCATTCCCAAGCCGTTGAGATGGCAGGGCCACGTCGGCTTCTACATGCGGATCGAACAGCGCAAGCCAAAGAAGATCTCGTCCAAATCCTCCGTTGGCTCGAGCTCCACGAGCTCCTTCCGTCCAGAGTGGGACGAGAGATTTGTACGTCCGATGGCTGAGGGTCGTTGGGATGTCACGACCGGCACCTATCCGGTCGCACGCGATATGCGCGGCATGCGGCTCGAGTCCGTAGAGCTACTGGCTGAAGTGATCCGTCATCATCTCCATGTCCCTACGCCACCCTCCGACGCTCTTTCCCTATCTCATAACATCGACAACCCCGGTCTGCACCGCCGCGATGTCGAGTTCCTCTTCAAGGCTCTGGAGATTGTGGCTTCACATCCGATCACCGCCTACGACATTGAGCAAGCCGAAAGTGGTCGTCACCGTCGCCTTGAGACCTGGACGAACATGGAGAACCAGCTTCGCGCCCTCAACGCACAAATGCCGGCGGGGAATAGCCTTGATGAAAGCGCCTTCACAAGTCGCTTCTTCACACCGTACTAGTCGCGCTATGATGTCGATGTGATGGATCCAGAGACTGAAGCAAGGCTCATCCCTCCGGTGTCGTTGCTGATCAAGCTTCAGAAGTAGCACAGCGAGAATTCAAGTCGACATCCGTGGAGAGCGGTTTGGCAGTGTTTGAGAAAGACCAATCAATCCCTAAACAGAAGACACCAGGGTGCGATGAGCTATCGCATCCTGCATTTGTTTGAACGAATTGTCACGCGAATGCGAATACGCGCGATGTTCAACTGAACCGAGATTTCCGCATCGTCGCGCCTGTATCCTAGAAATGTAATCAATTTTCGATGTTCGAACCATCACAGACCTTCGTCCAGATTACTACTCGTGCTTGGAAATTTGGGCTGCCACCTCCTTTGGTTGGTCGGGTTGTCATCTCACCGTCCTCGTCAAGACACATTCCGCCCTCGCAGTGTGTGTGTGTGTGTGTGTCGAAGACAAGAGCTAACTTTTTCGATCTAGGATGCTCTTTGCGCCAAGCTGTCGAAGCCTAGGCAAATTTTGCTCTGTAGGCTCGTCAAGGCCAATCCTACTAGGTAGCTATTTAGCCTCAATCTGCGTATCGGCCGTAAAACCCTTCACTGTAACACTGGATGCCTTCAATCGAGTGGCTCCATTGCGAAGCTGCGTGCAGTACTTCCTCTTCGCTCCAGCACGCCTGATGGGGGGCAGGCTACATGTCTACGTGTATATCTCAAGACCCATATGAGAAGGGCCGACGGGCGATAGGTTTCAGAGCAAGAATCTGTCCTACTCAACGGCTTTCCGTCGCTTACTGCAACATCTAGTACAATTAATCGCTTAGCTCAATCGCTTCCTGCGCTGAAGCTCCAGCTCCGTCAAGAGCAGAAGTCTTTGGAAACTGAGGAGCATGACGCCGATTGTATGCCATGTTGGCGAAACTGTCGTTCGCGCCCTCGTCGTCGTCTTCGTCTTCGTCTTCCTCATCCCAGTCGACGGCTTCCTCTTCGTCCTCCTCGTCATAGCCGTCGTCTTCCCCGTCCGCGTCCTCGTCCCCTTCTTCGCCGGAGTGGTGACCATTGCGACGATTTGCCAAGCCCTCGAAGCGGTACTGCTCATCGTCGTCGTCGTCGTCCTGAGCGTCCTCCTCGTCCCCTTCAGCATCGCTGTATTGATAGCTGTCGGGCTGCATTTGGACAAGGCCGCCATCCACAGCACCTCCATCGCCCTCGTCCTCCTCCACTTCCTCTTCCTCGTCATCATACGCGATCTCCTCTTCCTCAGAATCATACACGATCTCCTCTTCCTCATCATCATACGCGATCTCCTCGCCGTTCTCGTCAGACTCAACACCTTCACCGTCCGCCGCAGCGAAAGTGTTCGCGTAGTCTTCACTTTCAAAGCTGCCGTTCGCGTTGCCATACACATCTAGCGCATTTCCGAAGAACTGCTCTTGTCCAAATGCGACTCCATCCTCTTCTGCGTCATCGGAAAGAAGTGATATAGCTTGTGATGCGTCTCGCATTGGCGTGTAGGAATTGGATTGCTGCGGCTGGGGTGCCGTCGTCTCTTCGTCCTGGTCTTGCTTTACAGGCTGTTGTGCTCCAAACGTCTCAGAAAGTGCATTGTTCACTTGTGAGCGTGCGATGGTGTTGTCACGTGGACATGTAGACTGCACTTCGTGCGTGTTGCTTCCAAACGGGAACGCGATGGGTGCGGGCGCTTGAAGGAACGGGTTCATCGTCGGCGGAGCCGGCGCAAAAGAAGACGACTGGGCAAATGGATTGCGCGAGGGAGGTTGAGTGGCGGTATTGTGAGGTGCTGCCTGAAGTGCTGCTTCAGGCGTTTGAGATGCAAGACGTCCGGATGAAGAAGTAGCCACACCATTTGCGGGAGCAGCAAACGACACGCCATTCGAGGTAGATGGCGCAAGGCCGTCGAGGATTGAGCGGTTCGGAGGCTGCTTCACACTCAGATCCTTCCCGTCCGCGTTATCTGCCACGCTGAAGTCTGTAGCATCGGCTCGTGAGGCAGATCGGCTTGTTTCACGGGAGACCGCGCGAGAAGATCGTAGCGCCCGCGCTCTCGCTACGGCCTCAGCCTGCTCTCCAGCGGAGAGAAACTTGCTCTGTCTAGAACGATAGGCAGGACCACTGCGATTATCATTCGTTCCTGCATGATTGGATAGCCCGAGCGATGCGCGAAGCCTAGCCTCCTCTCTTGCTCTGGCCAACGAGGGAGATTCATTGGAGGACCCAGAATCACCCATGCTGTTGCGAAGCTCGTCGTGTTTGCTGAGCTCGCTTTCCATGAAGCTTCCATTCTCTTTCAGAGACTCCCGGGCAGCTCGAAGACGAGCGAACAGCGCTCCGCTGTCGGCGTCCGATGGCGAACCACCAGGCCTCGGAGCCGGCGGCGGCATGGACCCGCCATCCTGTCGCAGTCGAGATGTGCTGAGTGCTGGAGAGGATGATCTAGCCATGTCCGCTCCATCTGAGCTTGACCGCGCACGTTTTGCTACACGACGCTCCCAGTCGGCCGTGTCTGGGTCAAGGTTTGGTCGCTTGATGCCTAGAGCCTTTTCACGGAAGTACGTGGTTCTCGTTGTGTTGTGAGATGGTCCCGCAGGTCCACCACGAGTCAATTTTGCAAGCGAGAAGCCCAGGAAGGAGGATCTGTTGAGCGGATCTCTAGTTGGCATCGGTTTCGAGACAGCTCCGCGAGAGTTCACATGGCTCAGATCCCTCTGTCGCTTGGCTTCCGATTCCCGAGCAGGGCTTGACGCCGATTGAGCATGCGTCGCTGGTCGCTTACTTCCGGCTGTAGCTTGTGCACTAGCGTGCATATGCTCGGCCATGCTTTCTTGTGTCCTTGTTGTTGAGGACAGTGGTGATATCCCGTTCTGTCTCCCGCGGAGAATGTCTACTCCCTGTGACGCGCGCAACCTCCTTTGAGCTCTCTGCCTTGTCTCGCTTCGCTTTCTTCTGTAACGTGACAGCAAGTATTGATCTCTGAGCTTTCTGCCCCACTTCCAGATCAAGACCCGTTGCCGCAAACCTTTCAAATATTCAGCTGCTTGCTCGCGGCGACACTTCTCATGGGTCTCCTCAACCAGCTGTCTCACGCGGAAGCGTACGAACTGCTCTAGAATGCCTCCAATCGGTGCAAGCGTGACTTCTCGTGCGAGCTTCGTGAGCAGACCGTCAAAGTCCGTCACAGGCGGAGGCTCAAGGGGAGGGGGTGGTGTCCTGTTTTGTGTCGACGGTGGTTTCGGTATGTTGACCGGACTGTCCTGTAGTGGATGTCTCTGAGTACCGTCAGCGACTATGTCTTTGGCTTGCTGTGCCGCGGCGCCGGCGTTGTCGTAGTCTGCACTGAATGACTGAGAGAGCGGGCTGGGGTGCTTTGGCTTGTTGGCGACCGAGCTCGAGGTGCGCCGACCAGTATTCGGCGCGCCGTTGTCCGAAATTGCCGCGTTCTGGTTGCTTTGCGATAAAGGTGTCGATGCGTTCCCGTTCCCGTTCGCGTTCGCGTTCGCGTTCGAGTGAAGTTGAAGTTGCGGCGTCGATTTAGAGTTTGGGGTTGGGGCGTCTAGGCTTGGCGCGGAAGGTGCGATGCCAGGTTTTGCAGGCGCGTCGCCTTTGGGTGTGTACAAGCTCGGCTGTGCTGCGTCCGTCGTCGAAGGGAAGAGTCCTGATGCTGAAGGTGGTGATGACAATGGTTCTTCCGTGAAAGGGCCCACCTTCTTGCCTGATGTTATGGCGTCGGCCGCGGTCGATGAGGACGTGGCCCTATCTGCGGTGAAGGCTGAGCTTGGCTGTGCGAAAGCAGAGAATTGTTGCGAACTTGGAGCGCCAAATATGAATGGCGAGGTCGCTGCAGCTGGCGTCGTAGCTGATGAAGTATCGAGAGTCGTGGGACTGGCCCGGGGAAATAGGCTGGTGGTTGACGGTTTGCCAAACGACGACGCACTTGGCTGACTGGAATTGAACGCGCTAGGTTGGCCAAACGCTGACAGCGGAGGTGCGGAAGCTCCAGGAAACCCAGCAGACTGGCCAGTCGTGCCGAAAGGGGCAAACGTTGGCGCCGATAGGCCTGGAAAGGCGCTACTCGAGGAGGACTTGACGGGAACCTTGGTTTCCGGGATGAAAAGACTATCTTCGTCTTCGTCTTCGTCTTCGTCCTTATCCTTGTCATTGCCTACTCCTCCCTCGCCATTGCCACCCACGGTTTCCTGCTCGGCCACTTCAACTGGTTCTTCTCCGTTTCCTCCTTCCAACCCATCCTCATACTCTTCTAATATCATTCCAGCCTGCTCAGCTTCCCTAACATCAAGACCCCTGATAACAGCACTGATGGTCCGGCCGTGTCTCTTCTCTTCCACGAGCTGGGATTTGAGCTGATCCGGGAAATCACTTCTGGCGCGGGTTGGCAATGCTTTGTGACTGAGTTCTCGGAGGTCGAGATAAGACTTTCCGTCCTTCTGCTGGAATTTGAGGCCCCATTGTTGGCAGAACCATTCAACGTCTTCCTCGTCATCGAATCCGAAGGCTACCATTAGCTCGTCGATGAGCCACTCGGCGTTGGGAGCCCACTGCGCATCCTGTCTCTTGGGTGGGCGAGCGGTCAAGACAATCGCGCTTAATGCCATTTCCCGCACAAGGTTGAAATAGACCTCTGCGACACAGCCTAACAGGTATGAAACCCTACGTGAACGGAGGAGCGCCCAGAAGTGTTCCCAGTGCTGTCTTGCAATTACATGAGGCTGTCGTGGCTCCATCGGGCCTTGCGCAAGCTTCGTTCCTTGAGCTGCCATATAGATCTCCACTGCCGTTCTTACACGAGGATCGCCGCTCACTTCCTTAGGCCAGCTTTGCAACCGATCTTCCAAGTCCGGAGTCGGGTCCTGAGATTGGAAGACCACACAGTATGCGCGAAATTCGGGTTCGTTTGGCAACTCTAGTCTCCCACGGCTGTCGTCATAGTATTGCATGAGAGAAAGCAGGGTCCGATCCAGTTGCTCTCGTTCTTGTTGCGCAACATATCCATCATACGGCTTCTCCACTTCCGCAAACTCGTGAAGAGATGCAATGTGGAAACGCGCAATTCGTTCGAAGCAATCGATGGCGATTCGCATATCTTCGATTTTGGTGACCTGCTGGATGGAGAAATCGTTTCGAATAGCACGAGCTCTGTCCCAGATGAAGCCGTGCACGTCGCCGGGCGCGGACGCATTGGCGAGGAGGTCGTCAAATAGGTAGTCGCAAGTCTTCTTCAAGACAGAGGGAGGTCGCAAATCAGAAGGCAGCTGGGCTGCCGCGCCGGCATCAGATCTCTTGAACACTTTCACCATGCGCCCTTCCACAATCTGTCCTTTCCCATCTTTCTCCTCGTCCCAAACGTTGTTCTGGAATGCGCGGGTGATCCTCTCAGATTCAGGGCACATATCCTGACAAGTGCCTACGAGTGTGATCGCATCCGAGAGATTGATTGCCTTCTCTGGGTCGCTCATGAGGCCTCGCGCGATAGCGTCTTTCTTTTCCGATTCGCGCACGCTGACAAGCTGTGTCGATGTTATTCATCTGTCCCGTATGTCAGCCAAACTGTTGGCCGTTTCCACATACCTGTTTCCTTCGTTCCTCCCAAGTGCCGTGTGTCCGTGGACCGGTCGCTGCTCTACTAGCGCCTCTTGAAGTGAAATTACTGCCTCGCATTCCTCCCGATCCTCGCGGACCTCGTGTAGCTGTTTGGGGCGCATTTCTTCGTGCTGGCGCATTCACTCGGGGACCACGCGGAGTGGATCCTCCTCTTGCTCCATAGCTCGCAGCTTTTCCCGCTCGAAGATTACTTTGACCGCCTCGGTTTGCTCCGTTCGTTTGGGTGAAGAAGGCCGATGCGCCTCGTGAGGTATCGTTACGCGGCGCGCTGTAACCGCGAGCGCGTGCACCACGGCTTCGCTGCGACATGTTTGTCGCCTTTGCGAGAGCCTTCCAAAGCGTCCTTCATGTGTACTTAACGAAAGTGACTTCGAGTTCCGAATTCAAAATTTGGTCGATGGGCTTGCATTGTCTGAGTTCTCCGTGTTCGTTGTCTTTGTGTACTCTCGTTCCTTTGACGTTGGATGCTGGACGTGACTTCGACCGAGCGTTACAAGGCCCGGGCCGACGAGACTTGGCAAAAGGAGAGTTTCGGAGGATGAACCTTCACCAGATGCTAAATCACACCACATGGGTTACAAGGTTACAAGAATTACAACAGCACTGCACACTGAAGAGAGTCTTTCTGATGCCTTAAAAGTTCAGTCATCTACCATCAACACTCGACATCTGGAACCATTTGAACCACACAAAATCAGCCGCGTTGTCCCAGATATCATCTTGCGACGCGAGATGGAGTAATCCTGCACGATATTGATGACCATCTACGTACGGTACCATTGCATATTGCCCACTGAGGCACCCTCAATCCGCCCGCTATCATCGAATTCGTATCTCATGGCTCATGCTGCTTCATCGATCCGAGCGTGGGCCGGAAAGGATGCTCTCGGTATATACAATGCAGGTTACTTCCTGGAGAAAGACAATAAAGACATTCAAAGTCGCCCGACGGGTGCTCTTCGCTTCACCGCTTAACCAAACAATTTTTTCCAAACCGGTGGAGATGACCAGTATACTTGCCAGGAACAGCGCTTCAATTGAGATCAGGTCGGATTCTGACTGGCATATTGACGGTCATGCCAAGCCGGTTGGGTGAACGCCATGCCGTTGTATTGGACCGGAGTCATGTGGCGCTCCGCCAATTGCTGGAAGCCGTGTTGAGGCACCGAGGCTGGACGCTGGAACTCGTGATGGTCTGAGTTGGCCGGCATAAAATACTGCGCGGGAGGCATGCCATTTGGATAGGTTGATTCCGATGGGATCTCGCAGTTGCCAAGCGGCATCTGCGTCATGTCCATGGGCAGGAACATGGGGACCGTTGGCATGGGATGGAACTGTGGCTCTGGCACAGTGTCGACCTTGGAACGTTGGACAGGCTGCGCTGCATTTTGGTACTGCGAAGAGCAGTACGTCACCGGCTCGGCGACCCACATTCCAGAAGGCTGCCACGGTAGATTCTGCGCCTGCGTATGGCCGGGATAGCTACTCTCTCGCTTCATGGGAACGGTCTCAAAATGTCCCATGAAAGGATTGCTTTGTCTGAGTTGGGGCTCCGCGGCAAAGCTCTGGCTGAAGGCTTCCGGGCGACCGGAACCAGGGTCTGGAGGAAAGTTGAAGTGGTCGCGCGCAGGTTCTTGGTTACTGACTTGATCGGGGTCGTAGTGGATGTCTTCCATCGCACCTTCTACAGGCTGTGTCGGCATTATGGGAGATTCATTGGACAGAGACCCTCCTTTGACTCTCTTGGCTCTGTTGCAGCTGCCTGATGCCGACGAAGAACGAGACATGGAAGTCCTTGTCGAAGTCGTGCATGATTGATGCGTTCGCTTGGTTGGAAGAAGCTTTCGGTCCTCTTCGTCTTCTTCCCACGAGTAGACCTCGCTACCATCTTCCAGATCCAAGCGTCAGTAAGAGTTAGGATCAAGAAGGTGGAAGAATGCACTTACCAATACCACCTATTTGGAAATCTTCCTCCATTTGCGCCACTTGGTACATCTGGTGAAGAAGTTCCTGCCGCTGCTGTTTTCGCTTCTTGTCCTCCTTGGGCAGGTCGTCGAAGATCTCAGGTCCCGCCAGCTCTTGCAGAAAAGCTGTCCATCCAACGTTGCGATGTATTGGGTGAGGCTCCGTCATATCTTTGTTCCATGCTTTGAGTTGTTCAGGAGAGGGACGCAGACGTAGTAGATGGAGACACAGCTTCATGCGCTCTACTAAAGTCAGTGGAGGACGGCAAATCTTGGAGTTGGAAGAACTTACCATCTCTTCTGATGTGGTCTGGCTCAACAAATCGACAAACGCCATTCGGCTCCGGCCACCAACCAGGAACTTCCGGGTTCTCGCCCGCCTGTGGGTCTTTTTTGTTGTTCTGATACGGAAATTTGGCTTGCTTCTTCGGACAGATACCTTTGATCCAGGCTTTGGCAATTTTCTTGTCTGCCAGCTGCTGCATCCTCTTCAGTCGACTGCCGAGAAAAGCAACGACTTTATCCGTCTCATCGATCCGGAAGCTCTTCGCTTTTCTCTGAGGCCGGATAGGTTCCAGGTCCTGTTCGAGGTCCGAAGCGTGTGAATTCTTGGGTTTTCTTGGGGAAGGATACGGCGCGGGGGCCTCTTGTCGTCTCTTTGACCGGCCTCGTACACGGACCTCACGCTTGACCCTGGGTCCAGACTCGTGTTCGCCAGTGAGTCTGGTTCCGTCATTCTCGGTGCCGGAATCTTCGTCATGAAATGTAGTCGGAACCAAAGTTTGGGATGTCGAAGCGGGTAAAGAGTCCTGGAGACTGTGGCGGTCCTCGCTGAAAGTGTGTACTGTGACGTTGCCGTTGCCATCGAAGGTCACCCGGTATGTCTGTCTGTCCTCGATGCCCAGTGGAGACAGTGCATTCTTGATTGACTCGATCGCCAGCCAGGTCTCATGAAAATCAGCTAATTGAGCAACGAGCAGGAGCAGGACGAACATACCTGAGCCCTTTGAGCAAACACGCTGCCGTTGCCTGTCTTTTTCATTGGGTATTCGGCGGGCGCACAGCGCCGTGCAACAACCATTGCCTCTGAGGCGCAGAACGCGAAGATGATCGGGACGTCTTGCGGTGAGTCGTTACCGGTGCCGTGGAAATGCTCTCAAGCCGTCCGTCCGGTCGGTGCCGCCCTTATACATCATCAGTCAAGGCTCGATCGCTTTGGAGGTACAACTTACGGGATTGAGTGTTTTCGGCAGCTCTGATAACTCGACAGCCAATCTTCAGCAAGAGGAAGCTATGAGGCGATCAGATGTCTTGTTCTTCCACGGGTAGGGTCACGTCCTCGCACATACCGGAGACACGGAATAGAGTTTCAGCTTGCAGGAGTGTGGGAGCAGAAGACTGGTTGGGTTCATGAACAGGTCTCGGGGTCTAGAGAAGAAGGGATGGGTGGCATACGGATCCTGGGAAGAGAAGAGGTATGTTGTCACCACCGGTCAGGAACAGGACGACAGCTCCCATATGTAAGGTACTGAGGGATGACCGAGATGCTGATTATCGTATGGGCGCTCGGACAATAGTCTTGACATCTGTCACGGCCAGTGGAGACCGCAAGATCCCTGCGCCCAAGCTGTGGGTCGAGCGTGGTGGTTTCTGGGTAAGAAACATCGGAGGGACTGACAGCAAGGACAGGGCCCGGGGCGGAGGTCCGCACCTTGAACCGCACCGTCGGCACGCCCGAAGCAAGCAAGGGATTGCGCTGCCTACGAATGGAATGGCAGCGGTCTGTAGATTGCCCCAGCGTGGCCCATGGGCTGTCATCATGGGCGAGATAAAAAAAATCTTCCGCCATGGCCGCGATGAAAAAGCTCAGCGGGCGTACGGGCAGGAGGCAGGCAGGCGCAAGAGCCAGGTGGTAGGGACATGTGGCTGTCAAAGGACGAAAAAGGGCAGCTCTGCCTGCAAGCAGACGTGCCAGCGCAGCATCCGCGCATATGCCGCGGACTGCACCGCGCAGAAGACCCGACGGACTGGATGGGCTCTCTCAGAGAAGCGTCGACAGCGGCCAGTCAGCGAGGCGCATTGATCCGGGGAGGTGCGCTTCGGAATGCATGCTGCAGCTTGGCGAGATGATCAGTGGCTGAGCGCTGCCTGTCGAATCTGCACGGGAGGTGCCGTGGAAGGCGGCCCCCGGGCATCCGCTGCGATGTTGTGCTACGCTGGGTGGCACGCGGTGGTGTGGACGGATTAGCGACACGATGGGGGATGAAACCGTCTCGCAAACCGTCTCCAGCCCGACTCCTCAATAGCCTCGATTCCGCTCACATTCGAGAGCAGACAGGTGCTCAGTGCTCACATCGTGGATCTACAAGAACTCGGTACCGATCGTGCGCCGGTTCCGATATACCGACGACCCCGGACGCCAGCCGAGATGTGAAGGGGAGGAGCATGGCCATGTCGCAATTGGTCGCTGTGGCCGGACTGTGTGTACATGGACTTGATGGACTACTGTACTTTACCGCCCGGGAGAGCAACGTCAGGTCGCCGGGCGGGTCAGTGCACATCAAACCGAAAAGTGGAGGGCTGACTACTCCATGATGGTCCATCCATCCATACCACGCATACACCCATCCATACACCCATCCATACATCCACCCATACATCCATCCATACATACTGTACACCCATCCATCCAACATCTCGCACAGACGGTGTAGGCACGTTGCAGCGGTCGTGCAGTCGTCGCACCGCAGCGGGCCGCGAGCCGCCCAGCAGTCGCTGCAGGACCACCCGTTCGTTTCGCCCTCTTCCCTCTTCCATATCCCCCGGCTTCCTGGGTCGCGACGTCGCCCTCATCACGCACAACAGCATGAGCGTGCATCGCGACCAGAATTCGCCCGTTCGAAAGCGTTTCCGTGCGTGCTCGTGCTCTGGCGCATTTGCCGCCGAAATACACAAAAGACATCATCACTCACATCATCATCGCCCTCCTCCTTCATCACCCGTGCTGTGGTGTGCTGTGCGGTGCGTCGTGCGTTGCGTTGCGTTGCGTTGCGTTGCGTGGGTCAGTGTCTCCTCCTCTCGTGACCGTTTGTGTGTGCGTGTGTGTGTGTGTGTGTGTGTGTGTGTGTGTGTGTGTGTGTGTGTGTGTGTGTGTGTTTTTTCACACATCCGAACTACTTCGGCCCCGACCCGTCCCCCGTCCCCCGTCCCCCGTCCCCCCCCTCTCAACCAGATGAAGTCGACTCGACCGAGCCTATGCACCTAGAGCGTCGGCCAGAGTGCCGCACTCCACCACAAGTCGTCAGGACGACAGGGATATGCGATTACTCGATGCGGCCTAGCCCGCCGTCCCGCGGCCCATGCTGACGCGCTGCTGCTGTGTGCTGTGTGCTGTGTGCTGCACAAAGGTGGGTTTCCCAATCGAGGGAGTGAGATTTGTCTCCAACATAATACGATCTCCTTTTGCTTGCACCGGTGCTTGGACGACGGACGACCACGGCGGCCCTCTCTTCTTGTTCAGGAAGATGCACGCACCTCTTCTTCGAAGCACAGAAGGATCCCCACGAGGGTGCCATGTCTCGGGGCATCAGAGCCTTGTCTTCCGCGAGCTTGCGATGGTGCTGTATGGAAGGATATTAACCAACCACGCGCTCCCACCCATGTCCGTATCAGATGCTTCGGATCAGTCATCGGCTCGAGCTAGAGATTAGCTCTTTCTTCTAGAATCCCCTACTACGCGTATCACGTATCACCTCACTCCCGTCCGTCCCCTTCCCCGCCGCGGGCGGTGTGCGGTATACCAGCCGGCTCAGCCATCACCACCACCTTAGTCATGACCTCCTACTACAGTATAGCCTCCTTCATACGCGTGTTTTCCCGTGCACAATTCCACAATGATCGATAGCTCGAGATCGGAAAATGAACCCCATGTCCTCGCCATCTCACTAAGGTAGCAATGACTTTGTCCGCCTACATTCACCTCACATCTCCTACATCAACAGTCCGCGTCGCCTCCAGCCGCCGTTCTCGGTCGCTATTCCGCGTCAGGAAACGCCAACTTGCGAAACGAAAGAAAGAAAAAAAAAAAGAAAGAGCGACCTCAAACGCGACAGACGTCCGTGAGGAGAGCGTTGTACCTCATACACCCACCACCCACGAGCAACGCACGCGAAAACCACGAAACACCCAGGGAACTCGCCGCGTGCCAGATGTCAAAACAAAACCCAAAAAACCCCCAAGACCAAGGAACAAAAAAAGCCCGAATTAGTTTTGCCTTGCGCGCGTAGAATATCCTTTTTCCCGCGGGAATTCTTCTCCCGGCGCTCCACGCGAGAGTATCATAGATATGTCTCGCAAATATAATACCTTCGCCATGCCATCCATCATCACGATTCCCAGTAATGTCCCGCGAGGCGGGCGAGGCGCAAAACTTGAAACCCCGTCAAAGTAAAGTATGCGTCTAAAGCGCTTCCGGGGAAGCGGCGGGATCGGATCCGAGGCGTCAAGCAGAACCTTGAACCTTAATTAGTCTTTCGGCCCTGAACCCAGAGTAGGTAAAACAGCCAACAACACTACTCTACATATGACATGCAGAGCCCACGCAAGGGCCAACCCTTGCGTCTACTACAGTAGCCTCGGACAGAGCAGCGCCGGAGAGGAGAAGATTGAATCGCACGACTCTGGGCCCGACATGGCAATAATAATGGGCGTGCGGGCATAATAGGAGGTGCAGTGTAAAAAGCTTTTGGTATTTCCACTTCGTTGTTAGGTTGTTGTTGCATCATTTCATCCATCTATCGCTTGTCTGTACTCTATTGCACACTTCCCGCACTGTCAATCTGGGCCAAGAGCCCGGCTTCCCGTACGAGTTCATAGAAGAGTCCCTTACTCTTGACCAGGTTCGCAGGAGTATCGAATTCCTTCACCGTACCATGGTCCAGTACGACGATTCGGTCGCTGTCCAGAATGGTGTTGATGCGATGCGCGACTGCGTGGTAAGTCAGCAAGGCTTGGTCGAATCAGAAGAGCAAGCGGGCTTGGTTTTGACTTACTCGTGATGATAGTGCGATCCTTGAACATGTTGCTGCGCAGCGTCGTCTGCAACATGGCGTCCGTCTCAACGTCCACTGCAGCCGTAGCCTCATCCAGAACAAGGATATTGCTGGGAGTGAGCAGGGCGCGAGCTAATGAGACCAATTGTCGCTGTCCTTGGCTGAGGTTGGAGCCGCCTAGATAGCACGTTAGCCTCCGCGAAGGAAATTTCCTGCAACAAAGGCGCAGGTACATACCTTCATGAATCCGCGCATCAAGTTGGCCATTCATCGAAGCCACATGATCGCGAAGCCGAGCATGATCGAGGACACTCCACAGTTCCGTGTCGTCGTGGATGCGGCCGGGGTCAAGGTTATCTCGAACGCTACCTTCAAACAAGGCGGCATCCTGCGGGATGATGGCGAGACGACTTCGGAGATCAAGCAGACCAATGGTGCTAGTATTGATCGAGTCAATGGTCACGTCTCCTTCCACGGGCTCGATGATGCGGAACAGCGCTAGAGTCAATGACGACTTTCCGGCGCCTGTCCGTCCAACAACACCAATCTTCTCGTGAGACTTGATGCTGATGTTGATGTTCTTCAGCACGAGGTCTAAGCCAGGCCTATACCTCGTACTGTAGTTATTGAAGGACACTGCGCCTCGCGATGGCCAGCTGTTCGGCGGTCGGTTCTTCGAGATGACCTCGGGAGCCTCTGGCGGTAACCGTGCGTATTCCAGCACACGCTCCACAGATACAATGTTCGTTTCAACCTCTACAGTCTGTCTCACGATCCAGTTCAGCGATTGAGTGATCTGGAGAGCGTATGACATCGCCAAGCCGATGAGACCCGCAGAAAGTCCACTCCCCACCGTTACGGAGATGATCGAGAAGCCAGCTGCAGCCAGAATTACGACTGACCCAATGAACTCCAACCGGACTGCAAGCCATCGATTGGCACTGATGCTGGGGAAGTATGCCCGTAGGTTCGCGTCGACACGCCACTCATTCTCCATACAGAATCTCCTAGATTGTCTGTAGGCTCGAATGGTAGAGATGCCGTTCAAGGACTCCTGGAAGTGGGCGTAGATCGGGCTGCGGCTGATACTGTCCAAACGTTTCAGCTCTCGCGACGTCCTGAGGTAGTAACGCTGGATCCACAGATAGAGGGCGCCAAGAGGAAGAATTAGCGCGACGAAGGCCGGAGTGGATACCGACACGACCACAAGCGTGAAAAGCGCTGTAGCCGCAGTTAGCTACGACCCTCCCGTTGAGCCAACGAATCATGGTCGCGTGATCTACTCACCCTTGGTAGCATTGACGAACAGCATGTTGAAGGTGCGGCTAGTAGGGTTGTCAGCGCCCGATTGTACACAGCGGCACACATTAGCTTCGGAAGTACGTACGCGAGAACCTCATCGACCCTGTAGATGTCACTACGTCGGGGTTAGCATGCACATTTCAACGTTTTAGACATGGTCGTCGGGCAGATGGATATGTGGACATACCTGCTGAAACGGTTCAAGATACGGCCGGTAGGAGTAGTTTCGAAGAAGCTCATTGGAGAGCGGAAGATTGCATAGGCCATGGATTCGTGAAGGCGCCTCGAAGCCTGCAGACTCTCGCATTAGCACTGCCCGGGCCGTGTCGCCGGTGCATCCACGCGCTCAGGAGCCGGATAGGTCCTGCAGCTGAACGAAGCAGTGATACGTGGGACAGCTTACCTCTATCGAACAGAAGATCCAGAGGATCAACTGCGAAGCTGGTCAGCGGTGTCTACTTTGGCGGACAGCGGATTTGACTTACGGTTTGCACCACCACGAGGGCAGCAGAACCAATGCCGAAGGCACCATAGATCAGAATATACCGTGCAACATCCGGGTTTCTCCCCGCAATGTCGTTGACTTCGGACCACTGCTTGAGCCAGACGCTACCCCCTGTACGGACGGGCGTTAGTGTGCCGAAATCTTCGGGCGTGGAGAAGCTCGGCGCAATGAGCACATGAGCGAAGTGCTTGGAAAAACTTACCAATTTCGAGTGTCTTCGCGCCCACCAGAGTAGTCAGATATACTGTGACAGCCCAAATATTGCTGTTACTAGCATACTCCTTGTACACGTCCCATTTCACCTTTCCTTGTTCGGAGAATTCCTTTGTTTGCTTCGATTTCAAGTTCTCCTCGTCGTGAAGCCTGCCCTTCGGGCCACGGAAAGAGGTTGTTGAAGCTCGGCGCAGCGTCATATTACTTGTCCTGCGTAGCGGTTGACCACGAGCAGCGGTGTTGATGGGCTGCATTTGCGGCAGACCGTCTTCCGCCTCTTCTGCCTCGTCAGGATCCTCTGGAGCCTCCGGCACAAACACAGTATTCTCGGAATACGCAGAGTAAGGACTGCTGATTTTGCTCTCTTCTTCTGACGGAGTTTCTTCGCTGGTCGATGACTTGATGAGGTTGGCGATGTCGCCCCTCATAGCCATGAGTTGCTCGTATGTTCCACGTTCAACAATACATCCCTCTCGAAGTAGAACGACAAAGTGAGCCTCCAATAAGACGGGAATGGAGTTCGTGGCCAAGATACGAGTCTTTCCGGCAAGCAGCCCCTTGGGACCAAGGACATTATCAATGATGTGTCTCCCAACATGCTGGTCTACTGCCGACAGAATGTCGTCGAGAATGTAGATGTCCGCTCTTGCATACACTGCTCGAGCGAGAGTAAGTCGAGCCTTTTGACCACCACTCAACGAGATACCGCGCTCTCCGACCTCCGTCTTGTCTCCGTCTGGCAAGCTCGCAAAGTCTTCCGTCAGAGCGCAGGCTTTGATTGTACGGTCATAGAACTCGGGATCCCAACGGTGGCTGAAGAGGATGTTGTCTCTCACTGACGCATTCATCACCCACGGCGATTGAGCGACATAGGCAGTAGCGCCACGGACAACCACCTCACCTCGAAGCTTGTACAAGTCGCCAAGTAGGGTTTGAAGCAAGCTGGACTTGCCAGAACCGACTCGGCCCACGATGCAAGAGAGCTCACCCTTGTGCGCAGAGAAGGTAATGTCGTGCAAGACATTGCGAGAGTCGTCCTTGTTCCACGTGAAAGAGGCGTCGCGTATCCGTACGGACTCCTCGCCGGGTCCCACTGGATCGCCCTGCAGCACAGCGTCTGGCTGCAGCTCGGGAGCATTAAGATATGACGATAGACGGTCCACAGCAACAGTGGCTTCAATGATCGAGGTGATGACCATTGGTAGAACAGCGAGCGGGAATCCGAGTAGGTTGAATAGCGTCAAAGCAGGGAATACAATTTCCGTTGACAGGGGCTTGTCAGTAGTTGCTACGAAGACCGCAAAAGTGCTGCAGGAGACCAGGAACGGCGTTGTATTCCAGGCGAATGTGCTGACGGCCGAAACACCACCAATCTTGCGAAGGGTGGATAGCTCTCTATCATTTCGAATCTCGTTCAGCCGATTCATGAAGGCCGTAGTCCAGGCATAAAGCTTGATCGACTTCATCGAGTTCAGAATCTCGGTCATCAACCGAGTGCGCGCGTCCTTGTTGGTCATCTGGCGCTTCTGCAGAGTCTTACTGATCTTCGCGATAAAGCCGTTGATCGGAATCATCAGAACCATAACACCAACACCGGCAAACATGCTGTAGCCGACCAACTGGTAAAGACTGATCATGCACAGGGTGATTTGAAGCGGAGCGGACCAAAGCTGCTGACCAAACTGAGCCAAATCCTGCAATCGCTGCGTGTCCACGGCCATATAATTGACAATGTCGCCAGTGCTCTTCGTCGCTCGGCCTTCGTTGCTGAGCTTCATTGACTTGGCGAAGATCGAAGCAGTCAATCCTGCCTTGACGCGCATGCCGGTCTCGAAAGCCCTCTGGAAGTACTGGTGCAGACACGCCGTCTGCGACACAGAAACAACAAACATGGCAAGCGCAATGGCTGCACCTTTGATCGGAGGTTGCGGTTCATTGCCAGGCCTATATGAATCGACAAACGAGATGAGGAATCGGAGAAGCTGCGGCTGCACGAAAGCCAGGCAATCCGCGCCAGTCTTGATCACCGCTCCCCAAAGGTACGGAGCGCCGTATGATACGAACAGTGCCCTCCACAAGCTCGGTTTCTTCTTTTCCATTTCCGCGCCCCAGTTCTCCTCGAAAGAAGCCGTGCAAGCGCGGGTTGAATCCGTCTTCCTCAAATTCCAGAGATCATCCTGCGTCAAGTACTCTTTGTGCCCGTATTTCATCATCGGAGTCATCCAGCTGAAGGTAAGAGTTGAGAATAGTGTAGCATACTCAAGTGGACATTCATCCGAATCCCCGAGCGCTTCGTACGCCGAGACCTTCTTCGGCACTAGCCATTCCAGTACGAGTTCGATGACCGCGAATCCCAGTCCAGCAGTGAACGCTGCGAAGTATCCAACGTTGATCCGGAAGACTTCCTGCGAAACCAGAGAACGAAGCTTCACCGCCGAAGAAATGATGAAAAACAGCCAGAATGTCAATGCCACGCCATGAGGATATCGTAGGCGCCAATGCTCCAGGTACTGAATGGCTCCAACCACGCATAAGCTGAGAAAGCTCGCTACTGTCGTCCAAAATCGTATGTCCCGAAACCAAACCTGACCGCCCAACTGTTCAATCTGAAACCCAGCCTGAACGGCCGTAGCGACCAACAGTGCCGTGATGACGCTCAGCTTCGCGTAGAAATGCCAATCCTTGCCTACTGGCTGAGGCGACGTCTTTCTGAGTATCCATACTATCGCCAGCGCTCCCGCAATCACGCCCCACGCAGCAACAATCAGCATCCATGTTGCGTCCAGGAAACACGGCGTGAAGTCATATCGATAAGGGCTCAGGGGACCCCAGCCTTCTGCGTTACCGCATAGCGGATACTCGCTCTTTGTGCTCGCGGCGAGATAGGTGTTGAAGGGATCGTTGACGGCGGCGTAGGCAGACGAGTAGTGTTGTTGCCCAAGTACGACCTGCTGGGTGGGCGGACCCGGATTCAGCATGGGCATTGGCGCACGGCGTCGGGAAAGCTCCTCTGGGCGGCAGAGAGAGCGCGGATACGGCGAAGGAAGGTGTATGTAGGAGTATGGATGTGCGGTGGGATCAGGCGTGGAGGAAACAAGTCATACCGCCTCATGCGCGCGCAACGTCGAACTTGCGGCCCGCGTTTTGCTCTCTAAAGTCCGTGAGAGTTTCCTTTGGCGGCGTTTGCATTTGGTAAGCCGAAATCGGTGACGTTGGTTCGCTGGTCCGTGCTCATGGCTATTCTTCAACCTCACGTGCTCTCCTACACCACATTTACCGCTGTATCAATTTTCAAATCAGATGAGTGGCGGTGATGGTACGCACGCATGCCAGCCTTGCAAAGGATGAAGAAATCAATGAAGCAAGCTGGGTAGCCGCCCAAGGCGCTGCCGTCGGCGCCGCCAAAGTACGTCCCATACATCGTTTCCATTCTCCGAGGAAGAAAGGAACCCGGCCGAAATGCCATGGATGGGGCCTGTCGTAAATTCGAACAACCTATACTGATACAGATCTACTGCAGTGGGGTGCATTCTCGGCAGTTGCAGCAGGTTTAGGACTTGCCCTGTCGCCAATCTATCGTGGATTGACGGTCCAGATGAAGGTGTACGTACATTGCAAAGACCGCCTAAGTTTCTGCGCGTTGACATTTCCAGATTCCTGCAAATGAGTGGGATGACGTTCGGAGCCATTGTTGAAGCAGACCGAAGATTGATCCAGCACGAAAAGGTCGTCCGAAGACGCAAGCAAATCGCAAGGGACGCACATGTTTGGCAGATGTATGAAGAGGATTACCAGCGGCATGTAGAGCAGCAGCAGGAGCCAAGCATGAAAGAGGAATAGACTTAAAATCGTGGCAAATCGCACTCACGACAATTCTCACAATCTGCGGAATTGGCGAGCTGTGCGGTGAGACAGTCGTTGCACTGGCCACCAGTATTTGGCCCTAATCATTCGTGATGGGTATCATTATCATACGCATGGATACGCATTAGACAGGCCGAGAGCGTCGATGCGATCCGGCATGGTCAATTGCCTTCCCTCACGCTCAATCCCGAGCGCAATTCCCAGCCATCAAGCAAGCCTGACTGTCCGACGCCTGAGTGACGAGACAGCTCTTCTCCTTTGGGGTGCACCCATCCCATACGGGTGGGTGGCAACCGGAGTGAGTGCGCAAGCAATCGCCGCAACCTATGCACCGCGACCCAATCTACGAGTCGGCACCGTCGACGGAGCGTGCCTTGGTGGACGCTGCAAAAGGCTGGATGATGTAGTATCCGCACTCCCAGTTGTAAAGGCCTGAGATCTGTTAGTCGAGACGCCGATTATGTGCAATGGAAGATTTCTCACCTCCGTAATTCTTCAACGGCACTGTGGCGGTGTAGCAGTTCTGCATGATGTGGCCAAAACCAGCGCTGCAGCCCTCCTTGGTCAGGGGAGCAGGGTCGGAGCATCGTATGTTGGAGATCAGTAGGTGAAAGGTTACACCACCCGAGAGGATGTAAGTAGGACCCGTTGCGGCGCCAAGCTTCGGAATTCTGAAGCCATCCTTCTCGTTGCAGAAGGAGTCGACGGTGGTCTCGATCGCGCCCTCATCTGCATACGGGTAACCGGCGTCCGAGGAGGGCAGGCAGGTTAGGGCATCGTCACGGAACTCAAGATCAGTCGAAGGGGCTGCGTCGCGAGCCTGGGAGGACGGAGCATTGACCTGGATGGTGAAAAAGCCGCAGCCTGCAATGGAGAAGATCAATCAGCATCTCGGTTAGAAGTATCTCGAGCAGATGAAGCAATACAAGGGACTCTAACGCCATCGGGGAGGCTAGAAACGCGAGATACAGCGGGGACGGCTTCTCGATACATACCTCCGTTGTAGGACCCGCCGTAGCTCTTCAGTGGCGCAGTTCCTGTCCAGCACTCGTTTTCGACACGGCCAAGTAACGCAGTGCAGCCATCCTTGATGATCGGGACAGGGTCCTCACACCAAAGATTGGTAATGGACAAGCTGATAGAAGCACCTGAAGCTAGAGCAAAAGGACCCTCGTACGCGGACTTGTGAATCGGGACAGTGACACCGTCCTTGGCCGTGCAGAATCCGTCAATGTAGCCGGCAACACTAGGTGCATCTGCGTAGTCATAACCTGGATCGGTGGAATGATTACAGGTGAGCTTGTCGCCTCCGTCATCGCGTATCTCGAGGTCGGAGACCGAGGCCGAGACATCGAGGCGGGCAATTGGAGCTTCTTCGCGCGGGCTGTCGGTGGAGAGGATCTCAATAAAGCAGTACCCGCAGCCGAGAGTCTGGTAGCTGCCGCCATAAGCCTGTCATGATTCTTGTCAGCATTTGTCGAGCGATGTGAAGCAAAGTAAGGGGCTACGAAGCCTTCCGGTGGGTTGGAAACAGTCCTTTTCTTCGGGATAAGAGCTTGGGGCGCTGCTGCCTTTGATATCGTACATACCTTCCAGAGGGGAGTTGCAGGATGCTGACCGCATTGAAGGAAGGTCTGACCGAAGTTGTCTTGGCATTCGATTATATCGATGTACATGGTGTCGCAGAAGGAGTTCTCGATAGCAAAGCGGATCTTCAGACCTTCCTCGGCCGGGTACTCGACTCGTATTCCATCGTAGCGGTTGATGACAGCACCGGCTTCAATCACTGGCTGCGCGCAGAAGGAGGAAGCCAGGTCGTAGAAGGCTCCCATGTCCGTGGTTGTTCCTAAACCAGTGGTTGGAAAGCACTGGACGTTTGGATCGAAAGTGGTGTGCTCGGTCTGACGAGGGACAATAGCGGTTGGGAAGTTCTTAGTGGGCGTAGGGACCTCTAGAGCCTCGGACTCGGCCTGCGTATGTGAGTAAACTGGCATGATTAAGGTGTTCTCGTTGAACTGAACCTACCTCGAGAGAGTTGGGGCTTGGGAGAGCAATGGTGCTGCCCAGAAGCAGCGCCACGGCCGGAGCCAGAAAGGGCGCCTTGAGCACCGTCATGGCGGCTGATGCTGTTCGTACCTTACGCGCGCGCGCGTGTTGTTGTTATTCTTGGATTGGGTGTATTGTAGACGAGCGTGGATTTCGGCGATGCGTCTTGATGTTGCAAGTTGTTGAGGTAAAGGGGGAAGAAAAGGATGAAGAGGTCGAAGAATGGAAGAAACGACTGCGTTCATGTAGTTACTGTCCCGTCCGTGCTCCCGTGCTGCCGTCTTCCGCTCGTAGTTTGAGTGTCCTGTGGTGAATTTTTGCGGCCAAAGTCTACACAGCATAAACGAGTTTGCCTCAGGCCGGTACTTTCCTGCCCAGCATTCAGGAGCAGCCGTGCTCGGCTACTTGGACAGACACATACATCAGCAGCTTTCGTCTTACGGGGGGAGAAAGCGAAAATACAATACTAGACGATGTTTGGACGCCTCTTCCAGTTTAGCAGCTCGCACTAGCGCCAATTTGGTAGCTCCAGCTCAACAAGTACGGCGATGGGTTTTTTCAGCTAGTCTCAACAGCAAAGGACAGCAGATGTCGCCAATACTATTTGTAGAAGACTAGTCCTAAGCATTAGTACAAGCTTCCTTTCAAATGTTGCTCAGACTTACTCACTTCATCCCTGCCCAGCTCACTGAGCTTCCAAGCTTCACTTTCACATGCAAATCTCCATATATACCGTTCTAACTCCGCTTTATCCCTCTTCCTCGCTCTTCTACTTCAATCCTTTCCCAGAATTGCCGTGCTCCAACAAAATCACAGTCAATCAGTCATGGGCGGAAAACCTTCATACATCGACCTCCTGTCGGACTCGGAAGACGACGATATGGACCAGCCACTGACTTCGCATTCACCCCTCCTAGATCAGATCTGGAACAGTCTCACCACAAGCCGAGTTTCTCCTGGAGAGTCTGAATTTGAGACACCACGCCACGTCCCTCCGCGCAGTGAATCACCCCTCTTCGTAGCCCCAGAAAGCCGACCCTCCCGAAATCAGAAACCATCCGAGAAAGAAGCCGACAAACCGTCTCGAGACCTCCGGGCTGTCCACGGCAGCGATGAGGACGAGGATGGCGACATCCAGCTGGAAGATGAGGAAGCAGATTTCGAGTCGCCGAACTTCACGACGAGTCCCGGTCGCTCCCCGGCAACCGTTGCTAGGGAAGAAGTCACCCGGCAACCAAGTGACTCGCCTCCTCCACGACCGTCCTTTAAAAGGGGCCCCAGCAGCATCCAGAAACCTCGTCTCCCTCTTTCCTCCTCCAAGGAAGCAACAATGAACTACAACGCGCGCTTCCAAACGCCAGAAGCAGGGCGTGCGCCGGGAGCCTTCCCCCCAAGCACACCCGCTTCCTCCTCCTCCGTCCTCCTCCACCAGAAGTTCCAGACCCCCCAGTCGAGCTTCCGCAACGGTGCGAGCGCAGCAGGCTACACGAGCCCCTTCTTCCCCCCGACGCAAAACCCCACCCCAACGCCTTCTGCCAAGAAGCGCAAACTCGAAGGTAGGACAGAAGTCGATCTTTCTCTCCCTACCCGTGGCAATCCTCTCCCTTTTCCTCCGCAGAGACCAGTCCCCAGTCACGAACCCCCGAGCTTGCTTTCGGGTATGCCAAAGCGTCCTACGAAAGACTCCCAACTACTCACATCGGATCCCGAAACAGACCATTTGGGTGCGTCCACCTTGTCTACTCCGACTCCTGTCCGCCAACAGCCACAGCAGCCACAGCCACAGCAGCAGCAACAGCAGCAGCAGCAGCGTCCGATCGGCCCCTTCGGCGCCAACGCCCGCGGTAAGCTCAGGGGTCCTCTCGCTCCACCCATCAGCCTGCGAGCACCACCGAGCAACGAGGAAGTACATTCCGCCCTCAGCGAAGTCCAAACCCTGCTTGAGAATTACAAAGGCCAGTACATCGACGTGATGAGAAACCTCGGCACCCGCGTCAAGCATTTGGAATCCAAAGTCGCGGATCTCGAGGGGGAGAATACCCGTCTGACTAAGGAGGTTGAGGAGGCTCGTGAGGAGGTGAAGCGCATGCAGGGTAAGTTTTCGAGTTCACTCTCTCTCTCCGAAACCGGTTGCTGATGTGGCGACAGACGTTGGATCGGGCGTCAACGGCGGAGGACACGGCGGTACTTAGGAGAGACCGGCGGTTCCTTATCTTTCTTACGAGTACTTGGAGAGGGGCAGGCAGAATTACGCCCATCTCCAAGGGTGATATCCACAGGCGTAATACATGGCTCTTCTCGGTTGTCATATTCGGAAAAGAGGCGTATTCAGGACCAGCTCGACAGTGGAGTCGGAGGGCAGTGATCGAGTGCTTGGGAGTTAAAGTCAGGTGTTTGGAGCTTGACGCTCGGCGTGTGTCCGAAGAGAACAAGAATCCAGTACAGCGGTATCGATACCTGGCAGCTGTGAACTGATACGATAGGATTATAGAAGACTAGGTGCTTACTAGGCGATTGAAACGGATCCTCACAATGCTCCTCCCACTAATGTCACAATCCACATCGCTATCCGTACATGCAGTCCGACCCTTCTTTCCGTCTTGGCATAGTCGTCCCGTGTCATAGGCGTGGCATATTCCTGCAGCCAGCGTTCTTCCTCTCCAAGGCGTTTCTGCAGATCAGGGTTGCTGGTGACAACCAGAGTGTTTGCCTCTAGATCCAACGAGTAGCTGCGCTTAGTGTAGTTTGAGCTTCCCACAAGGCTGATGCAAGGATTCTGTTGGCCGGGTAGTGTTACCCAAATGCCCTTGGCGTGGTAGGTCCATCCTCCGGGCGTGTTGACGGTGCCCCTCCGCCATTCCTTTACGGATATGCGGGCATCCAGGTTTTGGCGGCGGACTGCGTTGAGAAATTGTTTCGACAGGTGTGTATATGCAGCAGGTAGCATGCCGCTGATCCCTTTGCTCCCGTAGAATCCATTGGCCCAAGGTGATGCGGCGACGACGGTCGCTGACGCCGGGTTGGATTGGAGCAATAGTTGGCGCACTTCCGGTGTCATATTGAAGTATCCCGCGGTGAAGGTCCATTTCGATCCAGTCAACTCTGGAGTGCCAAGCCTGCGGAGAATGGCTGTCAAAGCCGGAAGCTCGGTGGACGTGTCGGGTTTGAGGAGCGGTGTCAACTGCAGCAGCGGATAGACACTAGTGTCAGAGAGCAATTTCTTCTTGTAATTTAGGCTCAGCGGCTTTGTCAATGGCTGGAGCTCCTTCGTGGCTGCCTTGATATAGCCTTGCGGATCGTCCAAGGGTGCTGGCTGTACGTTCGCCTGGGGCCACTCCATTGTGAAACCGCTTGCTTCGTGGTCAGATGGTACCACGCGATAGCTCATATCGCATACTTTCCGATACAGAGATCCAAAGTAGTCGGTTATCTCTTTCGACTTGAACACATGATATCGGTCTTGTCGGTTTGTGAAATAGTCGTTCGACAAGTTGGCACCGGACATGACTATCTCGTCGTCAACTCCGTACAACTTTATGTGTTGTAAGCCCCAGCCTTCGTTGATGCGCTTTGGAAGGACAGCCTTGCGGGTGCCCGTGAGGTTTGGTGTATGGTACATGCGAACCTCAACCCTCTCCGGCCCAAAGTCTTTGACCAAAGAAGCAAGCAGACTTGCACATGACGCATTAGGCGCTTCTCGGGTACCTCTGAGGTAGTCTGTCAGCAGCGAAACTCTGAGGTCTGGGTTGGCTTCGAGAGCTTCTCGGATGGTGTCGATCTAGCACAGTTAGCTCTGGGAAAGAGCGATTCTTTGGGTCACATACCAACTCGTGCTCACTTTTCCCAATGTAAAGAGTAGAGAGATAGATTCGCCTTTTCGCCGATCTAATCTTTGCCTACTTCAATTCTGGTTAGACTTCGTCGCATCGTCGTTGTCAAGACGAACGCTTTACCTTTAGCGTCTCATAGAAGTCGGCGGGCGACCGAAGAATTTCTATCGACTCTGCAGAGACATCGAATCTAGGAGACAATTTGTCCAGTTCGCTTGTGATCATCGCGAGCTGTGATGCAGACGACTGCGGTGTTGTCGAAGATGCCACTGGCGCCGAGGCCGTAGTGGCATGCCGTTTCTGGAGTTTGCCATGCCGCCAAGTTTTCGTAGATGTAACAATCCGTCTCGGTAGCCTCAAGCAGGTTGAGGCTCGTGTCGTGATCATCGATGGCGTCAATTGTGTGAAATCACACTCGATGCTTCGAAGCCCCAGGACATGAAGTCTCGAGAGCGGGTGCACAGACCACCCAGATCCGGCTCATCGGCAACTCTGGTGGTCAGCAACAATCCACCACTTCGACTCCACGGACTGCAATTGCGTCGCCAGATCTCAACCGCAGCCATGTCGACGATTATGAGAACGTTGCGCAATTTGCGCAGTATCGGTCTCAAGGTAATTTGCGCTGAGAAAGATCACGGAGCGCAGCGCTGACAATATCGCAGGAGTATGGCCACCAACTTCATGTACGATCGCCCTTCCCTTTGCGCCGAGCTGTTTGACTTCACGACAGGAAGCCTGACTTGTCACGCAGTATCAAGGTACATACGAAGAGCCAGAGATCTGACAATGGGTGGGACTGAGAAAGAACACAGGTGATACCAAGCGCGGTACCTTGAGGGGCATTGACCGCTGGGGCAACAAATACTTCGAGAACCTGGAGGAGGAATTGCCTCGTACGTTGGAGGTGTGGTATACCGGAAGCATAGGTGCTGAGCTGTGATACAGTACGATCGCGCTGGGTGGACTACAAGAGCCATGAGTTCGACCCGTAAGGCCATCCAGATGTCGGCCAGGCGTGGAAATAGCGCTAACACGATGACAGATCTCAGATTGAGCCAGGATGGTATGGAGCATCTTCTTTTCGCTGGATGGTAATATGGAGAGACTGACGATGCCAGGCACGCATGGATCTCATACATGGTCGATAAGCCTCCATCAGAAGACACTCTCCTCCAGCGCTCGATACGACCATGGGAGCCGACCGAGCACAAGCCAGTCTTGACTGCTACAAGAAGCGCGTTCAAGACTTTCAACACGTATGTTTTGTGTTTTGCAAGGCAAGCGCTCCGACGAACGCAAGGCTGACTATTATTAGGACTAAGAACAAGTACACACCTTGGACACCTGTAGCAGCACCAAGATGAGAGCGTTGTGCCCTGAAGACCTTGAGCTGCCATCTTGTAAGAGACATCGTAAGCTGGCATAAGACTAGGCGGGGATTAAGGTGGCACAGCCAGTGACATCCGACGGCGTTTCGAGATGGCAGATACGGAGCACATGAGCGAGAATGCATCTCACTGAGGAAGACTGACTCACACTGAGCGATCCTATTCTCGATGTACATGTAACCCACCACACACGACTTCTCAATTCTGCAATGCAGCAAGAAATCCACAGTCCGTTCCGTGCACTATCTCGCGCCCGCATGCGAATGAGGAGTGTGCACGTTTGCCGGGGCTGTGATAGACCAAGAGCTCCATCCTTGCACATGGTATCGGGCAGGGAGGGCAAGCAATTCTTCTCGATAACGGAAGCGATGGTGAGGCAGTTGGAGCGAGCGCCGGTAGCACGGTTGATGCTTGCATTTGGGGGAAAGCATTGAAAATGTAATTTGAGCTGTGCATGGCGATGTCGGGACTGCCGTGCAACGGAAGCGTACCGAGAGTAGTCCAATCAATCACTAAGTTTCGCACGGGCAGGAAGCTCACTGCATACATACGTTGATGCGTGTGCAACCTGGAAGCGGGAGCTGTGGGAGTGCACTGTGCGGTGTTTGAAAGGCGGGCGGCGGTACCTACCAATGTATGACGAAGACGATCAGCCGAAGTCTGGCTAAAGCTTCCATCAGCACCTCTTTCTCCCTGTGTTTCGCCGCCAGAAAACAAAGCTTCGTGCAGGGCCTTTGCATGTGCTTTGCATTCGACTTCCTGAACCCCCCCTCACCTCACCACCACCACCACCACCACCACCACCACCACCACCACCACCACGCTCCCTCCCTCCGCCTCCGCCTCCCCGCCTTTGTGCCCGCTGCGATCGACGACTGGAGTTCGGATATCCCACACAATGCTTCGATGACTGAGATTCCGTGGCTGGCAGGAAACGCGCAATTGGTCCACACAGCACCATAGCGGCCATGTTCGCGCAGTGCAGCGGCGACATATGGGACGCCGATGATTTCTCCTTGTGTTTCCAGCACGACTACCTGCAGACCCTGCTGCCGCTGACGGCTTGTGGCGTGTCCGCACTATATCTGGCGTATCAGTTGCTTCGAGTCGCTGTGAAACAATCAACCCATTCGCGCAATGGATACAGCAAGCTCAAGCAACAAGCTTGGAATGGAGTGGGGAGCCATGCAGCGCGAGAAGAGGAGGATGATTCGGAGACTGATGGCGAAGAAGAGAATAGCGAGGACGACATGCAGCGCAACCAGGACCTGGCTTTGCAGATGACCAAGAGTCGGGCGACTGAGGCCTCAGTCATTACCGTGGACCGTCCGCGAGGAGAACTTGTCATAATCATAATAGAAGAGCTGGCCGTGCTGGCTCAGCTCGGTATACAAGCGGCCGCGTTGATAATTGGTGCATGGGGTCCGGGAGGCAACATCGCAGCCATTGCAAGCGTGGTCGTGTGGACGTACATTGCCGTTCTGGCTTCCCTCCGACTGCTCCTCTCGAGCCAGTCCAAGTGGTCTTTTTCCAAGTTCTGGTACCACACTGCTTTCCTCTACTGCTTCCAGTGGGTCTGCGTAGTCTTGCTGTTCCGGTCGGAGATCATACATCCAATTTCCAACATCTCGGAAGCTTTGATGAGCACAAGTTTTGCGCTCAGTACGCTTCTGGCCTTGGTTGCTTTGACCTCGAGGAAGGGCAACCGTGCGGTCGAGCTGGAGTACGAGGATGGAATTGAGCCATCTAGAGAGCCACTCGCAAGCGTGCTGTCCTTGGCCACTTTTACATGGTGTGACCCTATCGTATGGGCAGGCTATCGGCGGACTTTCGAAATGAAGGACGTGTGGAATCTGATGCCAAGGGACAAAGCCGCTGCAATTCTGGCGGATTACCGACAACTTAAGAAGACCAACATTCTTGCTTGGCATCTGCTTCGCTACTTCAGACGAGCCCTCCTCATTCAGGCAGCTTGGGCGGCGATATCCGGGATTGTCACCTTCGTCCCGACTCTGCTGCTCAAGGTAATCTTGGAGTACATTGAGGACCCCGAATCGACTCCTCGCAATGCCGCCTGGTTCTATGTTATTCTCCTATTTGTCTCCGGTTGTGTCAACGCCCTTTCCAGTGGCCAGGCACTATGGGTTGGCAGAAAGATTTGCATCAGAATACGCGCCATCATCATTGGCGAGATATACGCAAAGGCACTCCGACGACGAGCAGCAGCGGCAGCGGATAAGGTTCTCGGCGAGAATGTAAAGAAGGACGACGAGGCACCGAAGGAGGGCTTCTTCAAGCGATTCTTGACTTTTGGCAAGACGAAAAAGAAGAAGACGTCCCAGAACGGTGCGGCTGTCAAGCCTGTGGCTGCAGCGGACGAGTCACAAGTGACTTTCGGTGCGATCATCAATTTGATGGCAGTAGACTCTTTCAAGGTGTCCGAGATCAGTGCCTATCTACACTTTTTGTGGGCCGAGACTCCTGTCCAATTTGTGCTGGCAATCGGACTACTCTATCAATTCCTCGGTCGCAGTAGTATTGTCGGCATTGGAATGATGGCGTTACTCTTGCCTGTCAACATGTTCATCGCAAATCAGTTCACTTCCGTGCAGAAGAAGATCTTGGCGGCTACGGATGCTCGGATACATACGACAAACGAGGTTCTGACAAATGTTCGCATCATCAAGTACTTCGCATGGGAGCAGCGTTTCCTGGCCACCGTAGAAGAGAAGCGTGTCGTCGAGCTGAGGCATCTCAGGTATCGTTACATCATCTGGGCCGTTGCAGCTACCATCTGGTCTGGTGCGCCAGTGGTGATTACATTCCTGACATTCTTGTTCTACACGATGGTCGAGAAGAAAGACCTCGTCCCGTCAGTTGCGTTCACAGCGCTATCACTGTTTAGTTTGCTGCGGATTCCGCTTGACCAGCTGGCAGACATGGTCGCACATGTTCAAGAGTCAAAGGTCTCAGTGGACCGTGTTGAGGAGTATCTGAACGAAGCTGAGACCGACAAGTACCGACAGCTGCAGACTAAAGAGCGTGACGAGAACGGAGAACCGCTCATTGGGTTTGACAATGGAACTTTCAGCTGGGGAGGCAAAGATGCGGACGACTTCAAGATGATCGATCTCGATATATTCTTCAAGGTTGGCCAGCTCAATGTCATCATCGGGCCTACTGGAAGCGGCAAGACATCGATGCTCATGGCTCTACTCGGAGAAATGACATTGCTCGAGGGCTCCGTATATCTTCCCGGAGGCCGCAGCAGAGAGGACGTCAAGCGCGATCCCCAGACTGGACTCATCGAGAGTGTTGCCTACTGCGCGCAACAAGCATGGCTTGTCAATGGCACCATCAAAGAGAATATTGTGTTCGCCAGCAACTGGGACGCGAGACGGTACAAGGATGTCATCATCGCATGCTCGCTGCAGCGAGACCTTGAGATTCTGGACGGCGGCGACCAAACGGTAGTCGGGGAGAAGGGTGTCACTCTCTCCGGCGGACAGAAGCAACGTATTAGTCTGGCACGAGCGCTTTACTGCGATGCTCGCCACGTCCTTCTGGACGATGTCCTGAGCGCTGTCGACTCACACACAGCGAAATGGATATTCGACAAGGCACTTATGGGTCCTCTAATGCACCACAGAACATGCATTCTGGTCACACACAATGCAGCTCTATGTCTGCCACGCGCCGAGTTCGCGGTGGTGCTCGACAACGGCCGGGCTACTGCTCAAGGAACAGCTTCTGAGGTAATTCAATCGGGAAAGCTTGCTGAAGATCTATCCAAATTCGATTCCAGATCTCCGTCGCGTCCTACATCCGTGTTGCCCTCGAGGGTCCCATCCGATATTGGTGGCGACTCCCTTATGGCTGAGCACCACACTGCGGCGGCCGCCGCTCCTGCAACTCATGGTACAGCAAATGGTCACCTTGAGCGCCGACCCACTGATACTGGTCCAGATGGCGATGCGCTGTCCAAGGTCTTCTCCAAAGACATTCCTGGCATCAAGGAACCTATCGACGAGACTGCTGGCTACTCCGAGTCGAAAGCTACCGGAGCGGTCAAGCTTTCCATCATCACAATGTACCTGTCCTACATGGGTGGACTCTTCTACTGGGCGCTGGCTGCAGTTTGCTTCGCCTTGCAACAGCTCTCGCAAGTCGCCACCAATGTGTGGATCAGGCAATGGGCAAACGCTTACACTCGCACTGAATATGTCTCTGCCGGTGGCATGCAAAATATGACGCAGATCCATCATGCATCATCACCTGTGACGCATGTTCGGGGCGTGATCAGTAGCTCGTCCAGCTGTCTTCGAAGCGGTTCCTGCCTCTGGAGTATGCCGTTCTGGTCGCAGCAGGTGCAAGATCTTCGATCATTCAAAGTAATGAACTCCGAGGTTGATGTTGGCTACTACCTGGGCGTCTATGCTGCTCTCGGAGTTGCCTACATGGCTGTCACGTTGCTTCGCGAAGGTGTCCTGTTTGGAGGCTCGCTCGCTGCATCCAAGCGCATCCATCGGCAGCTGATGGAGACAGTCACACACGCCAAATTCCGATTCTTCGACTCAACGCCTCTTGGCCAGATCATGAACCGCTTCTCCAAAGATGTGGAAGCTGTGGATCAAGAGATCGCCCCCGTAGCTGTCGGCGTGGTTCACTGTATGTTTTCCATCCTTACTATCGTGGTCCTCATTTCAGTAATCACTCCGGCCTTTCTGATCGCTGGTGTCTTCATCACGGCGCTTTACTTCATCATCGGAAAGATTTACATCAGCTCCTCTCGGGATCTGAAGCGACTTGAGTCTATTCAGCGAAGCCCACTCTACCAGCAGTTTGGCGAAACGCTCTCCGGTATGACAACCATCCGAGCCTATGGAGATGAACGCCGCTTCATCCGTGAGAACCTCGCGAGTGTCAATACACATTCTCGCCCCTTCATCTACCTCTGGGCAGCGAACAGATGGCTAGCGCTCCGTGTGGATGTTGTGGGCGCTTTGGTATCCTTCTTCACAGGCGCCTTCGTCATCCTCAGTGTTGGCCGAATCGACGCCGGCGCGGCCGGTCTGGCCATGACCTACGCCGTCACCTTTACAGAGAACGTTCTGTGGTTCGTCCGCTTGTACGCAAGCAACGAGCAAAACATGAACGCCGTGGAACGTGTGAAGGAGTATCTCGACGTCGAGCAAGAGGCCCCACCGATTGTACCCGACAACAGGCCAGCAGCCAACTGGCCAGAGAAGGGCTCCGTGGAGTTCGATGGCTACAGCACTCGATACCGAAAGGATTTCGACTTTGTGCTTAAGCGTATCACCTTCAAGATCCAACCCGGTGAGAAAGTTGGCGTAGTCGGAAGGACTGGTGCCGGCAAGAGCTCGCTCGCACTGGCGCTCTTCAGGGCTCTTGAGGCGGAAGAAGGGAAGATTCTCGTCGACGACGTCGACATCGGCCTCATCGGCCTACAAGATCTTCGCGAGAACATTGTCATGGTGCCCCAGGATCCGACCCTCTTCACTGGCACCATACGAAGCAACCTGGATCCATTTGGATTGTTCACCGACGAGGAAATCTTCACCGCTTTGAGAAAAGTGCAGCTCGTTGGCTCCCCGACAGCTTCCGCTGCACCTTCGAGACCAGAGACTCCCATCAATCGACCTCGTCGGGGATCCCCTGTGTTGCAGAACAAGCAATCCCCAACCTCAAAGAGCTCAACGACTCTGGCCGGAAGCCCTTCCAGTCCGACCGGGCCCCCACTGGAGAACAAGAACATCTTCCGAAACCTCAACTCCACTGTCGCTGAATCTGGCACCAACCTGTCTCAAGGTCAACGACAACTTCTCTGCCTGGCACGAGCAATGCTCAAGGCTCCCAAAGTCCTCTTGATGGACGAAGCCACTGCATCCATCGACTACGCCACCGATTCCAAGATCCAGGAGACCATCCGCGAGATCAAGAATACCACCATCACCATTGCACACCGACTCCAAACCATCATCGACTACGACAAAGTCCTCGTGCTCGACAAGGGCGAAGTGGTGGAGTATGGCGATCCCTATGACCTCGTGAACCAGCCAAAGGGTATCTTCCGGGGCATGTGCGAAATGACGGGGGATCTCGATGTTCTTTTGCGGGATGCGAAGAAGGCGCACAATGCGAGGCGACTTGTTGATGATGATGAGTAGATAAATAAAGCAAACCTCTTTCGGCTGCTCGGAGAAAGAGGGAAAAGGTCAAATATCAATAAGATGTGTCTCGCGAGAGCGAGAGAGGGAGAGAGAGCAAGGTACCCCCTTTTTCAATCATGGACATTCGATATCATGGGGCTGGGAGTAGATATCATGGGAGGCTAGCCAGCGTTGCTCTTTTTTTCCCATGCCATGCATATGCGTATTCATCTCGCTTCGTTTCACTTATCCGCCAGACAATTGGCAAGAAAGGCGATTCAAAGAGCAAAAAATTGAGGATCGTAGGATCGTGGGATCCGTCCGGGCTTCATTTTCTTTTTCTTTCAAAAGGGAGGGGGGGGGGAGGGGGGAATGGGAGGCAGAGTGTGTTTGTATTCGCAGCCGATCGATCGAATGGGTGGGCTGTCTGGTTTCGGCTTTCGGCATTTCGCAAGATGAGTATGTATGTATGTAGATAGAGATTCTGTTGTAAAATGTGAGGAGGAGGGGGTTTTCACCTGGGACTTGAAGATCTCTTCGATACAAACTCAAACTATCGACATAGATATCATACATGCTCTGAATACTAGATACTCTCCACATACATACATTTACGCGGTTGTGAAAGAGACCGCGATCCAATCACGCACGGGCGGAGAGGAAATAAAGTGCTCGTCTACCGGGAAAAGCAATAGAATATACGTACGATACGATACGTGTATCCAAGCAAATTCTTTGGTAATCGACCGGGATCAGTAGTATCTGGACGTACATACTCATGATGTATCTCCCGACAATTCCAGTATCAATGCATGCGCCTGGTCCTACACACATCATCATGTCATCCGGCATGTCAAAAAAAAGTCCCCCCAAGTCTTTCCCCAGGACTCCACGCTAATTCCTACATGCATGCGTGTTTCATTCAGCACATACGTCCAGCGCAGCGCAGCGCAGTGCAAAGCCTACGAACCAATACACGCGCCAATGTCCAGGTGTTCAAGTGAGTTTCGCAATTTGAAGCCAAAGTAAGTAGGTGAGTATGGTGTGGTAGTGACGAGGTTTCACGGCGGTCAAGTCTCCGGATAAGGCTGCGTTCTCCCCCTCGAATCAAGCCTCGCGGCAGTCTCGTCAATCCGTCTTGAAAGACCTTTCAGGGCCGTGCTAGCGGAAGCCTTCGCGTAATCCCTCAGCCTCATCGTCTCCGGCCGCGGGGATCGGGCGTCAGAGTCGGCAGCGGAGTTCGTGTCCTTGGAAGATCCATCAAGGCTAGCTTCGTCGGCAGCAGCCTGGCTCTCATCCCTGGCCTCTCGGCCAGCGGCAGTGTCAGTGCCGAAGAGACTTGCATTTGAGCTCTCAGCTTCCGCAACAGTAGCACGAGCCTTGTCCCTCGCGTCCCTGACGAGAGCGGCAAAACCTCCAGTCCGGATGCGGTTATCCATTCTCCTGGCAGTGCTTCCAGCGAGATTGAGCGCGTCATTGAGCGGTCCCGAGACGATATTTGGGTGCTTCCTGAGACTCTCAATATGCTCCACGCGTCTCGTAAGATGAATATTTGCGTTTTCACGTTCTTCCAGAATACGCTTGATCTCCTCTTGATACGCCGATTCATATATATCATCTTCCACGCCTCCAGGACTCTCGCTCACGATTGGATCACCGGACTCGTCAGTACCGGAATGGGGGTTGTCAGCACCAGCTCCAATGTGGAGGAACAGTCTGTCCTGGAGCGGATCGTGAGCGTGGCCTTTGGCATGCTCATCAACGGGCAATGTTTGAGCTCTTGTTGGAAACGAATCTGCGCGAGGACTGTCAATCTCTGGTTTCAGCTGCTCCGGGGAGTTCATGAGGCTCTCTTTCGGGTAGTCAGGGCCGCTGATGTGATCCGTGGAGATCCTTCGCCTATCCATGGCATGTGTCGCCTTCAAGATTTCCTGATTCATGTCCCGATGCACTCCTTCCGTAGTCAGCACGGTCTCGATCGGTCGGCGGTCGGCGCTGTCCGCGCTGCGACTTGAACCGTGGAGCGTATGAGGGGGCGCTACAATACGAGTGTCGCGCCCAAAGATTCCGTCCATGAACTGCGGCCGTCTCCTTGCCAGAAGGTCCTTGAAACGCTTGACCGCTTTCATTACAACCATGAGATGCGCCATGTTGCCAGTGATGGCCTGGTCCATCTCAGCTTCTGTTGGAGGTTCGACAATCGTTGCACAATTCTCTTCGGCAGGCATCATTGGGTCAGCTCCGCTTTTTGTAACCCACGGGTGTTCCTGGATGATGTTCAGCCTTCACGCAGCACCTGGCGCAATTCTTGCACTTACCCGTAGCTCTTCCATGGTAATTCTTTTCTCCGCATCCTTCTCCAGAAGCCTGCGCATGAGATCTCGAAAGCTCTCGTTCTGTTCTTCGTCCAGAGGGGCTTCCTCACTCTTGATGCTCTCGTACAGTTCGAGCATCCCCGACTTCTCAAAAGGTATATGGCCATACCGCAAGCAGTACAGCGTCACGCCCATGCTCCAGATATCCGCCGCTTTCCCGCTCACAGGGCCGTGTCGGACTACGCACAGCTCCGGGGGCATGAAAGCGGGACTTCCAGCCGACTTGGTAGTGTTCATATCCGACTCTTTCTCAAACATCTCACTCACACCAAAGTCCACAATCTTCAACACATCGTCATGCGTGATGAGGCAGTTGTCGGGCTTGATGTCACGATGTATGATGCCCTGTGCATGCAGGTATTCGATCCCCAGTATCATATCGCGAAACCAACATCGGCATGCTTCCTCCTCATACGGCTCTGCGCGCTCATCAAGGCCGACTTTCATGACGACGCCCTTCTTGCACATTTCGAGGACCATGTACAGGGAATCCTCCTGAGGGTCGTCCAGCACTTCAATGAGCGTGACCAAATTGGGATGATCGAGCTTCTTCATGATGGCGATTTCTTCCTTTATCAGGCTGAGGGAGTTGTTGTTGTCGCCATTGAGCTTGTCCGAGGACGACATCCGATGCAGTGGAGAGTTGAAACCGATGCCTGCGGCCAAATGTCCCGGGTGCCTTTGCTGATTCGGTTTCCGTAGCAGGTTGGACTGCGCTCGTTTCCGCAACCGCGATTTCGAGAATTCCTTGACCGCCTGCGTGTCCCGCTGGTCAGTATAGTGTGGCACGAGCGAATCTGCAGCTGGAGCGCGAGGGAGAGAGCAGTATATCCACTCCTTCAGGGGCCGCGGAGGCTCACATGTTCGTTTCCATACTGATCCACGGCCAGATGTACGGCGCCGAAGCTTCCCCTGCCTATCTCTTGCTTGATGATGTACTGGTTGATCCGGTGAATGGCGCCGCCATCGTCGTCGCTACTGCCGTAATGCGAGCGCGCGTTCAGCGTCTCTTTGACTTGTTTCGATCGTGAGGGTGCTCGCTTGTGGTGTCGGAGAGGGCTTTGATAAGCTGGCGCAGATCTTGCAGCAGTCAGTGGGGACGTGTCTTGTGTTTCAGGTGCATCTGGCGTACAGGTGTCGGACCGGCAGCGGATGATGCTCAGCAACGGCGGGCGTGGGGAGATTGATGCTTATGCCATGGCTAGGGACGATCCCCGGAGGGTTTTCGCGTTCGTAAGGCGACAGACGGTGAATGTTGGTGGCATAGGGTTCATCTGTCATGGTGAGGAATTGGAGCTGGTGGATGGGCGAAGTTTCATAGGTTGGCCAGGTGAGTATTGTGTGTCGACATGCTGGGAGGGATGTTGTTGGGAGGATTGAAGGTGGAAAGGAAGAAGCATGCGGCGGTCAGCGAGATCTATGCGCTGTATGAGAAAGCAGTAGGTGTAAAAGGTAGTAGCAGTAGTTGGAGGGAACCTGATGGAGAGGACGGAGGGGCCGCAATCTCCCTGCAGGGCAATGGGTGAGCCGCGGCGGCCCTAGGGCGGTGGCCTAAGCTTACAAATCCGCAAAATGGTTTTGCCGGTTTTGCCACCGCACCACCACACTCTCACACACCGTAATCGCAGTGGTTAGGCACTGATGTACTCGCTATCGACTCGCAATCCATCTATTAGGTCCTTTATTGTCTACTTTGTCGTTATACCGCCTTAGGCCCTCGATTTACAGCCCTATCGGCTCTAGATTAAGCTTTAGATTTATACTAGATATACCTACTAGCGAGTCGTATAGAGCCTACATAATACTAAGGGCATTCGCTACGGTATTAGAACTCTATAGACACACTTATCGCGATAGGGAGTAACTACTCGCCCTCGAATTAACTATAGTAGTAACGTAGTACTAATTAAGCGGATTACCGAGCTATTCTAGCTATATACTATTAGCGACAAGAAGAGCTATACTATACTACGGCTTAATAGCTATAATATCTCTTTAAGGCAGTATTAAGAGCTCCGCCGTACTTACGGCCTTAAGCGTCGACTAGAACACGAGGAATTAGAAGTAGCTACTACCTACGTCGATAAGGTACTTCGAGTAGTACTAATTAATAGGCAAACCTAAGACTTTAGCTATCGTAAGCTCGTACGAGAGTTAAGAACCTACTAGTATATTATAGGTAGGTAGGGAATCGACTCGTAGCCGACTCGTAGCCCTCTTCTTACTATACTAATGCCTACTAGGGACCGTATCTACCGGATTTCACGGCAAATTAACGCTCTACTATATAAGCTTCGCGAACTACGTAATCGCTATCCGAATAGGCTACGGTACGTACGACTAAAAGCTAATAGGCCTAACTACGTCTAGTTAATTAATGCCTTCTACAAAATCGAGCAATTCGGCATTTAGATTTACGCCTATATTAACGTCTACTTACGCCGGATTATCTAGTTCTACGTTAGCCTAATAGTAAAGACAAAGTACTTAGTGTTTTCGTAGTACTATACTATAATTAACTATATCTAGCGAGTCCCTTAGCGAGTCCGCTCTAATTAAGGTGTCGAGACACCTATACTAGTAGACGCCTATCTACGGCTTCGAGAGCTTATCGAGGGCCGTAATATCGACTTTGTTAAGGCCTTCTTATATACTACGAGTAAAGGCAATTAGACTATTAAGTACTAGTAGGGCGAGATAGCTAAATTAGCTATAAATCGCTAGAGAGACCTATTTAACTAGTATATTAACCTACACCTTTTCGAGGCCGCTAAGCTATCTAATCGACTCGCCTTCCTCGTAATCTATACTCTAATTATACGCTATATAGTTAGTTACTTTGTCTTAGAGTAGAATCGGCACCCGGTACGAGTACAAAACCTTAAGAGCTATATTAGTAGTATACCGGATTTGCTCTACGAGTATCTAGAGCTCGAGGACACTACCTAGCGTAGGCATCTAATTAACCCTAAGAGTCTAGCGAGTACTACTCTTAAGTAGTAGATAAACCGGATAGACGGCTATAGTAAGCTCCGCGGGTAATTAAAGAGCTTTCTATATTAGTACTAGGTAAGTAGCTCGAAATTGGACCGTACTCGTAGCCAATTTAGCTGTACTCGTAGTCACTCGCAGCTCTAGCTACCCGCCTATAGAGTTACCCCTCTCTTACTCCTACGCTAACTACGCCTCGCTATATATAGACCTTAGCTTATACCTGCCTCCGACAACTCTATAATAGGTAAACGAACAGCTCGTACTCGCTAGCTACCCGTTAACCTTTAAAGGTAGCGAACCCGGATTCGGTAATAGGCCTAAGAAGCTTTATATACACGCTTATTAGTACCTCCGAGGAGTAGCTAAGTAGTACCTAGATACTAGTAGACGACTCGCTAAGTATATCGCGCCGACTCGCTTAAATAGCCTCGAGCCGTCTAATCGTACGAGAACCGTCTTTACTACTACTAGGGAGCCTCTATAAAGCTTCGTATATACTCGTAGTAGACTCGTAACGTTACATTCCTTAACACTACGTCTTATCTTTCTATATACGTCTATTATAGCTTCTTCTACTAACTTCTAGGAAGACTTCTATATATCTAATAAGGTAGATTATACTCTTAATTATACTAAAGAGTATAGCGATAAGCCCCGCTATAGTAAATGCGGCCTTAGGAACCCGTTCTTTACTATAGTAGACACTAATATAGCGAGTCGCCGCGAGTCGACTGTAGGCCCTTCCTTAATACTAGTACCGGATCCGATCGATTCCCCTACTCTACGGCGGAAGGAGCCCGCGTCTATAAAGGGCTATAGTAGCTTTACTAGACTCGCTAAAAGCTTATTTAGCCGTACTAATGCCGTTTTAGCCGCTAATAAGAAGTAGCATATCCGCCCGCTTAGTAATATAGGTATTAATCCGTTATCCGGAGAGGTATAAGGTCCTCGTACTAGTAAAGCGAGTCTATATAGGAGCACGCTAATCGCTACGAATCGACTTAAGGCGGGTAGTAGTAGTAGTACCGAGCTACGAGACGACTCGTAGGCCGACTCGTAGTCGTAGAACAAGGGTAGTAGACCGAAGAAAGCACTAAAGGGCCCTAAGCTTTACGTTATAGTGTATATAAGCAAAGTAGTAGTTAATGTAGTTAAGAAGGAAGGCTAGTAGAGGTGGACGGTTAGAGATAATCTAGAGCTAGTCGATTACTAGTCTATCGTAGGCTACTAGAGCGACTTTAAGGCCCTACTACTCGACTCGCCGCGTACTCGTAACTAGCTTTACTACTAGGCTTTATACGCTAGCTATATTAAGGTTAAGAAGGTTACCGGCCTATAGTACTATAAACGTCCGTTTATATATACCCGGTACGACAAAGAGTAGAAGCTCTTAATTATACTAAGCTCGAACAGTAGAGACAAAGACGACCTTAACGAGCAATTACTACTATTTAAGCGTAGGTACTAGGCAAATCCTACGCGAAAGGAGGTAGATATTAGGGTCGCTATCCTTGTAGCTAAAGATAAGCGGTAGAATAGGCTTCCGAAGGACTACGGCGAGTCTAGCGAGTCTACCGACGACAGCTCCTCTTTAGATCCGGATCTAATAAAGAGCCTTAATAGGCGCTATCGTAGTAGGCGTCTAGGTTAGAGGCCTAGTACTAAAGCTAAAAGAAAGATAGCTAAGGAGGTAGTAGCGAGTGTAGTAGCGAGTATAGTAGCGAGTACTAGCGAATCTAAAGTAGTGCCTTCTACTAGCCCTAATAAACTAGCTAAATTCCGCTAGCCTACGAGTCCCTCTACGAGTGCCTAATCTACCGAGAAAGAGGCCTCTACTAGTCCGCTAGTTAGTTACAAACGTTAAGCGAGTCGCGAATTACCCTATCGATCTACTCCTTCGTCTATATCCGGTACCTAGGGATTAAGCGCCTATAACCCTATCGATATTATTAACCTTACTAATAATAACGACGACGACGAGCCTACGTACGTACGAGTGCCTAAAAGCAAGCTAGTAGTAAAGTAGGAGGCACGTATAGTAATAAAGAAGGAGCCTATAGATTTAAGTACTATTAAAGAAGGAATAGAGATTACTCCTACGGATTTAGTAGAGCGAGTCGCTAGCGAGTCGCCGGTAGCGACGGAGATTTAGGGCGATAGGTAGGTTACTAGCTTACCTAAGGATACTAAGGCTACGAGTGTACTAGCGGAGCCTACGAGTACGCCCCCGAGCGGACTAGCGAGTACTACGAGTGTACTAGCGGAGGCAATAAGGAATAAGAAGCTAAGGAAGGAGTATATAAGGATTCCGGAGTTTTAAAGGGTTATAAGGGCGTTAAAGAAGCTATAGCGAGTCGGTAGCGAGTTAGTAGCGAGGCTTTAAAAGGATAGAAGGGCGTATAGGGTTAATAGTATAAATATAATAACGATTAAAGGCTTAGAGATCTCTAATATTAACATTCTCCCGACTCGTAGGCTAAAATTAGGTAGACTCGCGGGCGATTTAGGGATTCTACGATCTCTAAGATTCGTAGTATTATAATTTGCCCGACTCGTAGGCCTAAAATTGCTAGATTCGTAGGCGATTTAATCGCTCTAAGATTCTATATATCCTAAGCTACCCGACTCGTACGGAATCGTAGGCTAAAATTAGCTATACTCGCTATAACTCGTAGGCTAGAATTAATCTATACTATCTACTAAGTATATTTGCCCTTATATTTAGCTACGAACTACTCGCTACCCGGTAGCTACGTAATAAAGTCTATTATATAGTAGAGCTTAGCCTCTAGATTATTAATACGCTTATAGGCAAACCCTAAACCCTCCTTAAGCCTAGTAATCTTAGTTTAAAGACTCGTAGGCTTCTACGAGTCGCCTATCTCAGCCCTAGAGTCACCTATAGTAGCCCTAGAATTACCTATAGTAGCCTACGAGTCCGGCTTAGGCTTTAGCGAGTTATCCTACTTATCCTTCTACTTCTCGTACTTCTTCTAGAGCTTACTATTATAACCTAGGCGACCGTAGCGCTTATAGAACGCGTATTAAGTGTATTCCTTACCTTTATAGATAATATAATCTAGACCTCTCGTAGCGTACTACTTATAGCTACTAGGCTTAGAAGATAGTATACCTACGAGTCGATTAGATTTTAGTAGCGAGTCTATACAAATTAGAAAAAGCATACCTAGATCCGTCTCTATTATCTCGCTAGCGTAAGTAAACCGCCGTAGGCTATTAGCCGCGGACTTACGAACCTACTTATTACTAGATTTAAGATTGTTTAAATAGCGCTACTAATCCTTATCGGAGATATACTAGAATGTAGTCTTATCCTACGTCTCTAGTTTACGGTAGGACTCGCTAGACTCGCTAATTAGCTTTTGCCTATTCTTTAGGCTTCGGATAGCTTACCTTAGGGCCGATATAGTTGCTACTAGGGCGCTCTCGGGCGTAGACTAAGGCGGAGGCGAAGGAGTAGGTTAATAATTAGGCTAGTATCGGTCGTAGAGTCGTCTATAGATAAATGTAAGAGTCTCCTAGTCGATTAATACTATAAATTGTCGATTTACGAGTCTACGAGTACGATCTAGGTAGGAAAAGAGGTCTAGGTTCGCTAGATAAGAATGCCTTCTTATAAAATAGCCTACTTATTATTAGTAGCTACCTTATTGTTCGATATTATAGACTCGTACTTATAATAGTATAAGCGCGACAATAGCTTTTAATTAATATAAAGCCGCGTACCGCTATTAACGGGTTTAATATAAAGCTAAAAGCTGCGCCTGACTTTATATTAACCGTTTACGTCGACAATAGCGGTACGCGACACTCGTGGAGCCTTATTGTCGCCGTCGTAAGTTGTTATTGTGGTAGTAGAGTGAGTCGCGACTCACAGCGAGTGCCGCTTCGGCAGTCGGCAAAACCATTTTGCGGATTTGTAAGCTTAGGCCACCGCCCTAGACACGTGCACACGTGGGGCATCGTTTAGAACCCTGGAAACCTCCAGCTGCGATACAATCCATAACATACACCACCACCACCCATTGGTCACGACCACCAATCGCAGAGGGAACACAACACTCGCCACATCATACCTCGGCGACTCCGAATGCAACGAGGAGGAGGCCATGAAGTGAAATTGTGAAATTAGCCACAGCCACACGAGTCCCCGGCCATGACAGCCGCAATGTCGGTCTACTCCTTCTACATCTTCGATCGCCACAGTATGTCCCTTCTGTCTCCCCAATACCAATACCAATACCAATACCAGCATAAGAACTGATTCACGCACGCAGCGGAATGCATTTACTCCAAGCGCTGGACCAACTTCCCCCACGCCCGCAACTCCGCAGCAGCAGCATCCGGCCCCAACAACAACAACACCACCAACACCAACACCCTCTCTCACCGCGAACTCCCCCTCTCCACCAAACAAGCCGCCAAAGCCTCCGACGACGCCAAACTCATCTTCGGCACCATCTTCTCCCTCCGCCGCATGGCGCGCCAACTCGGCGGCGCCGAGGACCAGTTCCTCTCCTACCGCACGGGCGAGTACAAACTGCACTACTTCGAGACGCCGTCGCAGCTGAAATTCGTCCTGCTTACCGACACGCGCGTCGGCAATATGCGCACCGTGCTGTACCAGATCTGGGCGACGCTGTACGTCGAATACGTCGTCAAGAGCCCGCTGGCGCCCACGGAGCATCCCGGGGGTGTCGGCGTGGCGAATGAGCTGTTCGAGGGAGGGCTGGAGAAGTTCATCGTGCGTTTGTATTTCCCGATTTCCCTCACCAAGCAATGGTTGGCAGAAGAGCTGACCTGATTCTTAGAGTGCCATCTTCACCCCTCAACCGCAATGATGCGACCTCAATCGTTGAGGATCTGAAAGCTGTAAAGAATCAACCATCCAAGGACGTTGAAGTATGCAAGCATCTACCTTCAAGACTTCTATGCGAAGGAGACTACCACCTAAAACAGAGTCGAAAACTCGGTCCTTCTCTGACAAACCCCAAAAGCCAGGCATCTCTCGGACATGTTGCCTTCAGACCATAAAGGGCAACCTGTCACTCAATCTCTCCATGGCCTTGCCTTGCCATCCTGGCTGTGAAGCGAGAAGAAGAAGAAGAAGAAGAAGAAGAAGGAGAAAGGTCAATTTGCCCCAGGAGCCAAAGCAGCCCGGCAAAATATACCATCATGACAAAGTAGAAGCAACGACGGCCGAATAATGTGATGCATCACATGACATGCTGAGCAAATCTGAGCCAGCGCAGGGATGATATCGATCGATATGAATACTACACATGGTTACAGCGGAGTAGAGAGAGCAGCCATCGGGCCCTCTGAAAAGCAAAAAACGCCTTCTCTGTCGGTATTGTTTGTTGGTATCATCAACCCGCCCCTCCTCCTCCGCCCCAATAAACCCATCTCCTAATGTCGTCTGCCAAACGCCAAAAATTATGTCCGTGCGCTGAGTCTCGGTATCTATGTCGCACGCGCGCCACGACGCGTCGTCGTCCTGTTTCAAAACTTCACCCCTCTCACCTCCCCCATCACTTCCATCACTTCTGCTTCTTCTCCTCAAACTTGGCCTTCAAGGTCAAGAACTGCTCAATCGACTCCTGTCCTCCCCACTTCTCCGCCTGTCCATTCGTCAACGCCCTCTTCACAAACTTCTCCACGCGGTGCAGATATCCCGACGACGAATCCGTCAGATCCTCATTCGTCACGTTCTTCTCATCCCGCTCCTCGATCAGAGTCTGGACCCAGTGCACGATGTTGGAGCATCGCAGGACATGTCCGCCGAATGCAAGAGTGTTACCCGCAGCAGGGAGACGGAACACGAAGTGGACGGTACCGGCGGGGAAATACACCGTCTGGCCGGGCTTGAGCACCACATAGCGCCAGTTGCCCTCGGTAAAGGTCATCGGGTACTTGCGCCATGCTGCCCGCTCCTCTGCCGTTGGAGCACATAGCCAGCCGAAACCGACAAGGCCTACATTCACGGTGATGTAGGTGCTGTACCCGTGCGAGTCCTGGTGCGGCTCGGTCAGAGCACCGGCTTGTGCCAGCAGCGCCCACTTCTCGACCTCTTTGTAGCCAGGCGCATATGTCTTCCGCCGGGCTTCGTCCTCGGAATTGGGAATCTTGAGCTTGGTGAGCAAGCGACAGTCTTCGGTGTTGAGGAAGAGCGGTCGAAGACCGTCATCGCAGTGCGTGGCAAGCTCTAGGAGATTCCATGGCTGACTGTTCATTGTGCCTGCAAATCGGTCCTTGATCTTCTTCATCTTGACCTTGCGTGTGACCGGCTGACTGCTCGGCCGGATTGCGGGATCTTGGATCCACACTTCCGTGTCATCGTCGTAGTACTCTCCCAGGAAGTCGTCGACGCTCTGGAGAGGCAGTGTCTGTTGTCCTTCTGTGATGATGATATTATTCCAGAACTTCTTGGGTCGCACAGCTTCCATCGCCTCTTCTGTCGATAAAAATCTGGCTTCGTCCTCTGTAGGATACTTTGCGCGCTCGAGCAGGTCCAGTATTCGAATCGCTTGTCTCCAACCCATGTGTCGGGCTTTCTTCTTGGTCCGGGCTTCAAGCACTTTCTTAACATCCTCTACGAATTTTTCGTCGCCCAAAACGTCTCGCTTCGGTCTAACGCCGTTGAAGGGAAGCATGTGCTGACTCTCATTGACGTCGATTCCAGCGTCCTCAAGCGACGCTGCCGTTGGGCCGACAGATTCTTGGCCATGACTGTCGGAGAAGTTCTGCTGGCCCGCATCCTCAACAACGCTGGAATCTTGGAACGGTGTCGCATCGACTGCAAGCACCTCTTCGCTTTGCTTGTGGCGTTTGTTGTCTGGACCAAACTCCAGCGCCTGAGTATCCTCCGCCAACCGCTTCCTCTTGGCGCTAGTGTTTGGTGTCTGCTGTGCCGGGCTCAATGATATAGGCAGCTTCACAATAAGTGACTGACGATCTCTCGCCGTCGGACGCTGCGCCCTCGGTCTCGGGGTGGGCGGAGGCGGAGTTACGCGATACTTGGCGGTAGCTACTCGTCTCGCGTTGGGAGCCCTCTCATACGGCTGTGCAGGGCAAGTCTTAGCTTTTACTTTAGCTCTAGCTGGCTGTCTCGTGGTAGCACGCTTCGGCGCAGGAGAGTTCTTTCCGGTCTTGCGGCGAGGAGCCGGCTTCTTCATTTGAACTACTTGTTGATCGATCAAGATTGCAGCGAGCGAGTCTGGTTCTGGTGGCAGCAGATCCGCGGGCTCCACGGGCTTGGTAACTGTCGGCGCAGCACTTGCTTGAGCGACGTTTGTTCCGTTGTTTACAGTTGTGACGATGTTTACGGGAGTTTGCAGGCGGTCCCGTCCGGCAGGACTCTCCTCTTGGGTCGCGCCGGCTGTGGCTTCTGCGGGTGGGATGGCATCCGTCGCCGGAGCCGCAATTTGAGGGACCGTGATCCTGTCGGTATCCGGCTGATGATCTGGAGCGCCAACGGTATCGGAAATTTCCAACGGAGCGTTTTCCGCGATATTGGTGCCCTTCGAGATGTTTTCAGGGTGCTGCTCCCTCACAGCAGTGAAGGGCGTGGGAGCGTCGTCTTCGGGAGAAACAGCGTTGGAAGTGTTCTGCGTCTTCTCTGGTTCAGCCATCTCAAGAACAGGTGTAGCGACTGCGTTGATTGCATGTGCTTGGGTGTCCGGTGGCTGTTGAAGTCTATAAGAGATCTTGGAAGCGGTGAGGCCCATATCCGGCTTGGTGCTGATGTCGGTAGAAGCTCGCTGGCTCTCATTCTCGTCCCCTGTGGCGAGGTGTACGATGATGGGGCACATTGGAACCGCAGGTGCTACGGGTGGTAGAGGGAGATCATGTGAAGGTCCGTCTTGGAGGATAGGAGGCGCATGGTTATCTGGTGACGATTCAGGTGCCGCTGCCTGTGCGATCTCACCTGCGGTTTCTGGAATCGTCGTGTTCGTAACACCTTCAGGAATCATGTCGCTCGTAGTGAATGTCTCCGGATTCGAATGTAATTGATCACGAGAAGCGTCCGGCGCCTCCCGGTCTCCTCGCGCAGACGAGGGCGCCTCCGCGGGATCGGTGCATGTTTCGCGCAATTCCGAGGTGGGAGGTCCAAACGTGGCCGGGGCAATGGACGCTCGGTTGGCCTCAGCGAAGATGTTGTCCATGAAGGAGGTGGGGCGGAAGGCGGTCGGGATGTCGCGCACGGCCGATGGGATCTCTAGCAATGAAGACCTGATGTGGTGAATGCCGTCTCGGAGACGACGATAGGACGTCGTGTTGGCCATGGGGAGCGAGCCATGCGCAGGCGGCGGATGACACTGCGACCAGTCTTTGTGTGGGAGGCAACCGAGAGCCGGAAATGGACTGGAAGGTTTGCGCGCGAAGCAACCAAACTTTTCGCGGGCAGTTGCAGTCTTTGTTGTCGGAGGTGGGTGGCCGCGCTGCTGGAGGGGACGGGATCATCAGCAACTGGTCAATGTCATCCGATGGGATGTCGGGGGGCATGACGGTGATGCGGAAAATAATGGAAGACGTTCGCGGGAAGGTGCATTCGGCTCATAAGGTACCTCCTCCAGGAAGTGTCGTCGGTGCCTGAGATGAACCTTGCCGCTTGTGGCTGTGCAGCCTAACCTCGTGCGGATGGTGTGGCCGAGGCACCGGCTACTCGGGTAAAAGCCGTCCGGCTACAGAGCCTCTTCAGTCTCACTCGTTCTCGACAGGCAAAATGGAAAGACGGGAGGTGCATTCAAGAGTCTGCATATGGTGTATGGTGGAAGCGGAGTCCGGAGACCTGGTAAGACATCGAATGTCCTGCGCCTAACCTATCCCGTCCTCGCAGCCTTCCCACGGCGCCGTTCTAGTTCCCTCACTTCTTCCCAATGCGACCTCACCCATTCGTTCGCGGCGTCCTCATTCTCCAACGAGGCGAAGTCACTGTCAAGCCTGTTGCGAGTCAGTACACGCCAGAGGACGAATGCAAGACGCTCCATGAAACATACCAGTGATGCAGCTGTGCGTCTCCGTCGCTATGCGCAGTCTCGCCCATCTGTGGTGAGCCGTCTACAAACACAATCCAGCGTCTGAACGCTCTCATGACTTCTGTCAGCTTTCTGTCAGCCTTGCCCGAGTGAATGGCCACAATGGGTTTGATCAGCCGCTCGGCAGTCTGGTTGCGGATGCCGAGTATCAAGGCACGGCGCATCTGAGCGTATTCCTCCGTTTTGGCGAAAATCTCAGCCGCCTCTTTGCAGAGCTCGGCGCGCTTCGAGGTGAAGTCAGGCTCTGCATCATGTTCGGACTGTGGAGTCACGTCTTTCGTCGTTTCGGAATCGGTTTCGAGGCGCGCTGGTAACCATTCGCGCAGGAACCGCGAGTACACGGTTCGCTTTCGTTCCTTTTGGCGCTCGTTGTGGTCGTCTCGCTTGATTTGGATGATTTCGGGAGAGATGAAGCGGCATTCTGCGAGCCATTTGTAGAAGTCCTCCATCGACTGGAACCCTTCCCAGTAGCGTTCGGCCGACAGGCCAAAGAAAGCCATGATCTTGCCCGGGTCGCTTGATAGTAGCAGATAGCCGTCCTTGTCGGGGATGCTCAGCCACTTCACATCTTTCGAGTCGTCCAGTTCTTGCAATCGCAACCAGAGCCCCTTGTCAGATACCGTGAAGCCGAGAGGACGGGCGAGGCGACCCAGTAGGGCAGCGAGATCTCCGTACGAGGCGTAGAATGCGTACCATTCAAAGCTCTCTGGCGTCAGGAATCGGATGTCGATCTGTGCGTATTCCTCCTCACTGAGATTCTTCGACTGAACTTGTGCTGGCACGTTGCCATGCGAAGGCTGGATATGTCAGTAGCTGACACAAGCCGCGGCATAAGAGGCTCTCACCTTATAGAGCGCTACTGGAGCTTCACACTTGCAGCCATTCTTCGGTACAGCGAGTGTGCATCTCTGGTCTTTGTCGCTGCCATAGACGAGAATGGCTCGAGCGCCGACTTGTTGTGCCAAGTCGGGCAGGTCGTGCGTCTGATCTGAACATACGATGAGGTCCAGGTCGCCATAATCTGGCTTCTCGGGTGCTTCGATCAGACTCTCAACTTCGCAGCCGGGGAGCAAAGTCTTCAGTCGTTCCCGATAGACTGCCTTGAGATGGCTGTACTCAGCGGGAGTCATTCTCGGCGTGCGTAATGTTGGCGCGCCGCTTTCAGTGACCGCTTGCGCGAAAGCATGGCCGCCCATGTTGATGACGCTCGGGTTTCTATCTGTAGGAGTTGTTGATGCGGACTGGAAGAGGAAGCAAAGTGTGAATACGAGGCTGTGTAAGGTTAGGCTCGGGTTGAGTCACAGGCTGTAGTCTCGTGCAAACCTGCGGTACAGCGCTCATGGACTTGTGCTGAATTGATTGCAATGTGAATTATGAGTGCGTGGCGAGGATACATCCAAGCCGGCGAGCCAAACAACTCTGCATGTGCTTGTGAAGAGTGCTTGGCAGCTTTGTCCCCGATGATTTGGAGGTAGCGAAGTTTTCCAGCCAGACCTTGCCGGGTGAAGACAGTGAAGACAGCCAGTTGCTAATGTAGCGTCCATAGCAGTTCACCCGAATCCTGTGTCCTGGATCCTGGGCCTTCTGCTGGGGCTACTTTGGAGATGTGAGACGTGTACCGCCATTTGGGAGTAGAACGACGAATGTTTGATGATACCTGAGATAGACGCGTACGCGTGACGCCGAAGGAAGCTGTGAAAGCAGATCCGAGGTGGGAAATCATCCGCAGGTGCACGGCCCCACAAACTCTCTCCCCAGCAAACTCCCTCCGCGTTTCCTCAGCATTCCATCCGCAATCGACACTCCCACTCCACCTTACCGGCAGCATGAAATTTGCCAAGGAGCTGGCCAGAGATGCCATTCCTGAGTGGTATCCTCACTATCTGAATTACAAGATCGCCAAGAAGAAGATTAAAGCCGTCAAGAAGGCATACCGAAATATTCCATCCCGCAATGGCAACACCCCAGGCTCTTCCATCCGGGATGGCCCTGTGCGTGCTTTTCTCTCCAAAACTCGACGGAACACAGAAGCGCCTTCAGCCAGTCTCGCTGCAGCAGAACGTCGGTCTGCTCGAGACGCCGCAAAAGTCCATGAGCGTAGTCGACTCCAGCAGCAGGATCGATCACAACAGCAGCCAGAGCGGCAACGTATGTCCAGCTATGGCTCGATAATTGGCAGTCCGCCGCACAGTCCTGCCTTGACACGCAAGAACCAAGGGGCGCCATCACTTGAACTACCTGGGCCGGCAGTTGAGCCAGAGGATGAATCAGACGAAGTTGTTAGCCCGGGGACCAAGTCTAGTCAATTCGCCCACGTTGGGGATGCTTATCAGATCAGGAGACCCGTAGACGAGCCAAATAATGTCGCTCGGATGCCTGCTCTCCAGCCGCAACGTACAACATCAACTTCTTCGGCAACATTCAGACGTCTGTTCTCCACGGCCAACGGGCGAGATGCCATGCCAAAAGACGTGGCACTGGAAGCTTACCGGGAAGTGGACTTTAGGCAGGCAGAGTTCTTCCATTTCCTTGATCTTGAGTTAGAAAAGGTCAGCAGTTTCTACCGCGACAAAGAGGAAGAGGCGTGCAAGCGCCTGGCTGCTATTCGTGAGCAGCTGCATCTCATGCGAGAAGCCCGATTGGAGGAGTTACTGGAAGCTCAGTCGAAGCACGCCCACAAACCAGCTTTCGAGGTGCCTGTTGACAAACCTTCCAAGGACGGTGTCAATGGTGACGTGCAGGATAACACAGGTAGTAAATGGTTGAACCCCAAGCATCTTGTCACCCATCCGATCAAGAAGTCGCTGGACCTTGCTGGCGGAGCACTCGATCACGTTCGAAATGGACAGCCCGGGAAGACTTCTCAGGCTATGGGCAAGCTAGGTACTCCTACATTCGCAGGTCGAGCCAGCGCGGACTATGAGGAGCGCCAACGGGGAGACTACGTTCGTAAGTACAAGGATGTCTCATACCGGAGTGCGAAGCGAAAGATGAAGAATGCGCTTGCCGAGTACTACCGTGGATTGGAACTGGTAAAACGTTTCGGCGAGCTTAACCACACAGCGTTCCGGAAGACTTTAAAAAAGTACAACAAGCTCATGAAATCCGTCGGTGGCACCACAACCAACTACATGGACGAACGTGTTTTGAAATCCTATTTCATTAAGTCGCAGAAGATTGACGAATTGCTCGACACTACCGAGGATCTCTACTCGCGATATTTTGAGAAGGGCAATCGCAAAATTGCCGCAAGTAAGCTTCGATCTCGTCTGGGAAAGAACGGCGAAGACTGGTCGGGGGCACTGTTCCGGTCAGGTGCTCTGCTGGCTACAGGAGCCGCATTCGCAATCCAGGGCGTCGTCTACGCTTTCTTGATGATCTATTCCTCTCATCCAAGGATCGATCCCACAGACATATCATACGCGCTGCAAATCTATGCTGGTTATTTCCTGATGGTTCTCCTGGCCATCGAGGTCGTGCTGTGTTGTGGATGGTTCAAGCACACCAAAGTTAACTATGAAATGATCATGGAGCTGGACCGGAGATCGGCTTTGGACTGGAAGCAACTTCTGGAGGTGCCTTCTTGGCTCTTCTTCGTCTTTGGCCTGACGATGTATCTGAATTTCAGCGTCGTGGCAGGCGGTTTCACCATGTTCCATTACTGGCCGGTCGTCCTCATCGGTCTTTCAGCCGGGTTCCTGTTCGCTCCCGCACCTGTGTATTACCCCAAAGCCCGTGCTTGGTTCCTGGATGGAGTGGCTCGAATGGCACTTTCGGTTACGATGCTGCCTACCGTCAACTTTCGAGAGTTCTTTTTCGGCGATCTATTCTGCTCTTTGGCGTACTCCATGGGCAACATAGAGCTCTTCTTCTGCCTGTACGCCCGGGACTGGAACTCGCCATCGCAATGCAACTCCTCGCACAGTCGTCTGCTCGGTTTCTTTAGTGCTCTACCGGGCATTTGGCGTGCCTTGCAGTGTTTAAAACGCTTCTGGGATGATTACCAAGCAAAACGCGAATTCATCGTCTTCCCAAACCTCGTCAACTTTGGGAAATACTGCTTCACCATTATGCAATACACGACTCTCTCCATCTGGCGCATCAACCCCAGCGATGCAAGATTGGGCGCTTTCATCGCCATGGCCATTTGCAATACCCTTTACTGCATCACTTGGGACATCGTCATGGACTGGTCTCTCTTCGACTTGCAACACAGACTGCTCCGCAAGCACTTGGTGTACCGCAAATACGAATGGATGTACTACATTGCCATGATACTCGATGTCCCCTTGCGAGCCAATTGGATGTTCTACGTCATTTTCGCCAAAGACGCCCAGCATTCTACCATTGTCTCTTTCGCTATCGGACTGTCTGAAGTTCTCCGAAGAGGAATGTGGACTCTCTTCCGTGTGGAAAACGAACAGGCTGCCAATAATGCCAGGAGTCTCGCGAGTAAAGACAGACCTTTGCCGTACAAGATTATGCCTGGGGAGGAAACGGATGGCGCCTCTGACGCTGTTACTCCGCCGGATCCGGACGCGGCGAACGCGGCAGCAGAAGCGGCACAACAGGCAGATCAGCACTCGCCTGCGTTGGAAAGACAGTCTCAGTCTCCTGCCATGACTGCCTTACAGAGGGTCGGAAGCGTCATGCGTGCCGCGCATACAAGGGATTATGAGCGGAAGAACAAACCTGAAGATCCAGGCTTGGAGGATATCGCGGATGATGACGACGACGACGAGGACAACGATAGCGATGATGAGTAGAGAGCAGTAGTAGTGATACCCCCAAAAGCATATGTGTGTGAGCAAGTCAACTCGCTATGTCCTCTTTCTCTCTCTGCAAGGACTTTGATTGAAATTTCACCGGCCTCTCATCAAGTCCGCCCCACATCCGACAGCTCCAGGCTGCTTCCGACAAAGCCTCTTCCTCGATCCCTTCATTCCTTTCCCTCCGACAGGCACATCCGACCCAAAATCATCTCATGGACAGCTCGTCATCTCATCATCATCAGCAGCCGGAGAAACGACGCCGTCTAGAACGTGTATCCGCAGCATGTGATCTCTGCAAAACGCGAAAAGTGAAATGCAACGGCCAATTACCTTGTTCCTATTGTCAGAGGAAGAATCGAGCGGATACATGTTCCTTTTCCACGCCGAGGACGCGTGGCGAGGGCCCCGCCGTGAGAGTCTCACCGACCGCTGGAAATACGCCTGTGAATGGCTTACTGGGAGGTCCGACGCCGCAGCCCTCGAGGGAACAGGCGGGAAGTGATCCGAGTTTACGGACGGATTTTGAACCGGATAGAGGGGCCGGGTATGGGCCTGAACTTTCGCCTACGGGTAGTAGGGATGGACATCACGAGGTACGATATATGGATATCTGGAAGGGTATGGAGGATCAGAGCTAACATTTCATGTGACAGGACACGGCTGTGCCCTTGGAAGCACGCCTGCTCCGCGATGCTCAAGGTAAGGCTATCTTCATAGGAGACTGCGCGCCTCTGTCCTTCTTGCAGACAGTAAGGCATTTGATCGCTTCCGAACTCGACCCTCACGAATTCCCTGCTCAGACTGCCAGAGATTCCGTGATTGAAGTCGCCCAACCCGCGGCCGTGGAAGAACAGCAGGCGTCGACGATTGCCGTCCCAGCGTTCTCCGATGTCGAACCACTGTTCAGACAGTATCTCATCGCTACTAATGGCTTGGTCGACCTGTTTGACCGGGACAAGCTGCTTGCAGACCTCCAGAGCTGGGCGAGCGGAATGGCAGCCTCGAAGCAGGGGGTCGTACTTGCAACTTGTTATCTCGTCTTCGCGATCGGTGCTCAAGAGAGCGACGAGACCAAAGCCGAGATCTGGCTCAAGCATTCACAAGCGATGCTGCTCCAGAACATGTGTAGCAGTATGACGGTCGCAACCGTTCAGGGCTTTGCACTTCTCGCTGTATACATGCTAAGAGCCTTTCAACCAAATGCGGCATACCTATACTTCGGTATGTGCAGCCTATGATTGTGATACAGACACCACAATCACTTCTAACGCCAATACGCAGCGCTGGCTTCACGCACTGGATACGCTATCGGTCTTCATAGATCGGAAGTGAACGCATCCTTTGGACCAGATGTCCACGCACTTAGGTCAGCTGCGCAGGCTTGCTTTCTGGAAGAGGATTGCTAACTGCAGAGACAGAGATCGAATTTGGAAAAGTCTGCGAGTGGTTGATATGCTCATAAGTAACATTTTGGGACGTCCACCCTCGACCTCGGACGTAGACTGCACTGTCAAATATGGGGGCGTGTCTGAAGCCACAGCAACACCGGCACATGTCCTCGATGCGAGCGTCCACATCTTCATGATTATTGAAAGAGTGGTCGTGGAGGTATACTCACGGAAGCGAATCTCTCTGCGCATAGCCAATTATGTCTCGCATCAGCTGAAAGGCTGGGCATCTCGCTGGGTAAGTTATTATCGCCACAAGACATTTCCATGCAACCTTCATATTTTAGCCGCGAATGGAAGCATGATAATAGCTTCTGCTATATTATATATATCAGCTAATGCTCTACTTTCTGCATTGCAGGTCCGACCCTTCCGAGAAGCCATCAACACTCGCAACGAGAATGCTGCTAGTCAAGAAGTCCTGGTGGGAGCTTGTCAGAACCTCTGTTCTTATTTTTACGGCATCATGCTTTTAACAAGACCGTTCTTGATATATGACTTGTACGAGTATCTGGGAGTATCATTGCGCGCACCGGGCACTCAGGCCGAAAATAAAGAGAAGAGACGCTTCGCCGATGCTGCTCTGGACGCAGCGGCTGCGTTTGTCGAAACGGTGCAGACAGCGATCAAAGCTCGCCAGATGCCTACAAGAATGCCTCTTGTTGTGTGAGTCGTTGATAATGATCCTTGTGCAAACACAGTTGACATGAGATAGATCTTGGCTATTTACGACATCCTTGGTACTAGCTGTTGGCATCCTTGGTCGTTCTGGCCTCTCCCTCGAAGATAATTGTCGAGCATCCATCCGTTGCTTAGACTATTTTGCAAAGGTCGACCCGCACGCCCATCAGTATTCGGCCATTGTACACGCGCTCCTCAAAACAACTACCCAGCATGTCAAGAAACGAGAGGACGAAATGCATTCCCAACGGAAACAAGCGTCTTCTCAACTGTTTGGGTTGTTTCCAGATGAGCCCGACCAGCAGGACGCCGAAGAGCCTCCTACGGCCTCTGCTGAAGTTCAGCAGCATCTGCATACTACATTGTCTAATCAATATCTCTCATCGTCAAGCGTTGCCGCACCTTCTGACTGGAACATGTACGATGCCGACTTTTTCGCCCTTCCATGGGTTGATGAGAATGATCTGGGCCTGCAGGATTTTCTGCAACCCGGTCGTCACACTCTGGACGGATCACTGGCAGATATTCCACTGTTTCCGATGTACGATCAATCGGCCCATGGGACTGGAGGCGATTTCTGAGCAATACCTGATGCTGGCGCGCTGGAGATGCTGGTTTTGGGCCAACAATCTGAACGGATCCTTCATCTTGCAACGACTGCTTCACTGGTCTCATCTCTGGAAGTTCTCAAAAATGGAATGAGCTTCGTACCACCAGTTCCAACAAGTTCTTGGCTTGAGGGCGCTTCAGAGGCCAGCTTTGATGTGGAAGAAGCAAGATCTTTGCGACCGGTAGCCTGTGATACGTTGCCCATTCTGCTGGGAACGATGATGTACCTGGAAACAAGAGCGATGTGCTTGTCCCGGAAGCCACTGAGCTTTGAAACTGCAGCATTGTATGCAGCCAGGAGCTCGATGTTCTCTTGGTGGCTATCAACGTAATTTCGGATGTTCGCAATGGCCTCGATGTCGTCCAAGAACCTCTTGTGTGGTCCAGGCATATAGTCCCGCATCTCTGCGTGGAAACCATTGCATCTGGCATGGTTGACCCCAAGAACGGCATCGAAGAACTGGAGTAGGGAGCTCTGTCCATTGCTGCCACCTCGGTACTTTCTCCAGGAACCTTTTCCGTTCCCTTCGTCATAGAAGACACCATTCGGAAGTCCAGCCGCTTCCATATTCAAGCTACCAGCGAGGAATGGCCGAATGTGGTGATAGAACGTCTGCGGTCTGCATCGTTCATCCATCCGCTCCAGAAGGCGACCGATGTCGTCAATGCTTTGCTGGAAGTATTCGAGGCTGTCGATAACCCTCGATGGCTCGTCCCATTCAACCGCTTCCATGGCCGCCAGCATTTTGATGATTATCGGTCCTGCTCTTGCCTCCATGGCGTTTGACACAATGAAGAACCACGACTCGTCGTCAGTACCGGTCTGCGTCAAGAGTGCCACCATGTTCTGCGGTTGACACAGATCAATGCCATGCTCGATTGGCCGCCAATTCCAAAGATTCAAGGCCGCATAAGTAGCAACCGGGTGCACCTCTAATCTTTCAGCTGCGTCAAGAAATGCTACTGAGATTTGAGGAGGAAGACTCTGATAGGACGTTAGCGCACGAGGTACCGCACAGCTCGGAGGAACAATACCTCTGACGGCTCAGGGCCTTGCCAAATATACGCCTGGGCTAAAACGGCCAGAATTGAATACGCTCGTCGCCATTCCTCATCACTAGAAAGGTGCGATGTATCGAGGACCGACAGAGCATCTATTCGCTGGCGTACTTCTCTCGCTTCGAGCAGGTCCGGTAATCGATCTACGATACTTTCCCAGGGCTCGTAGTACGCATGAGGTAAGCGAAGCAAAGGATACTCTGCCGGGAGGAATCCATTCTCGGAGATTCCATAGGAAGCGAGCGCCGCTGCCGAAGGGAGGGCATCGATCTTGTGAGGACTCATGGTGGTGGTTGTCGTAGTGGTGGAGGGCTATGTGCTGCGTGGAATCGATGAACAGGATACATTGGATTGATTTACGGCTTCGCTGCGGTTATATGTCGCCGTTCGAGAAGATGGTCCACTTCCTTCACCCTGCCTTCTCTACACTGATGGTGTTGTGCTGATATGGATCTTATCGACGGAATTTCGCGGACGGAACTTTGACGGGTGTTCCGATGCGGATTCCTTTCATCGGATGTGGTTCCTTTGTCGACGGAACACCTCCGAGGCGTCATTATTGTCCTGACCGACCGACTCCCATTCTTGAGGGGACGGAGCGTAACAATAGCTCGATCTGCAGTCCGTGCTTCACTGCTCCATCTACTGACGGAACGAACGAAATTTCGCTCAGTCGCAATTGTTCAATCACATGCGCTGTTCCGTCGTCAAAAGTAAACTACGCCAGAGTAGGAAGGTGGATTCTGTCGGATCTCAACCTCATCTGTCGGATGCGACCTCAGCTACGCATAGGCGAACCTTCGGGTGTACACGTCAAATTTATATACGACTCTCTCTTCTTCTCACCCCATACTAATCCTGCGTCAGCCTAATCGACATCCCATCCGGAAACGAAATTCACGTGATTACAAAAATGGACGTCAACGCAGCCATCGAGCAGCTCCGAACGGGACAGAAGCCCACCTGGCCAGAGGCCGCCAACTCCCTCGACTTCGCACAATCGCTGGATAACGGCACCAAGACTTTCAGAGAAGAATTCGTCGTCCCGACAAAGGCTCAACTCAAACGTACCAGTCTCGTGGACAACGAGGAGACTCGCAAGCCGGCAGCAAGCGAAACAGATTCGAGTATCTACTTCTGTGGTAACTCGCTAGGCCTTCAACCGAAAGCTATATCGGAATACCTCGGCGCCTATCTGAAGACATGGGGATCTATTGCGGTCGGTGGCCACTTTACGGACCTGGAGGATTCGCCTCTGGTGCCTTACCAGGATATGGCGGCGGATTGTTCCCGAAAGATGGCCGACATTGTCGGTGCTGCGCCGGAGGAGATTGTGGCCATGAACACGCTCACGGTGAATCTTCATCTCATGATGGCAGCTTTCTACCGCCCTGCGGGAAAGGCGAAGAAGATCATGTTGGAGTGGAGGCCGTTTCCCAGTGACTACGTATGCAGCACTCTTCTTCGGGTACTCTTGGGCCCCCAGCTAACATTCTTCAGTACGCTATCGAATCTCAGATCGAATGGCACGGACTGGACCCGTCAGAAGCAATGCTCAAAGTCGAGCCAGACCAAGGCTACACCATCTCAACCGAGAAGATCCTCTCCCTCATCGACCAACACGCAGACGAGCTAGCTCTGATCCTCCTCCCTGGCATCCAATACTACAGCGGCCAACTCCTCGACATCCCCACCATCACCAGACACGCGCACTCCCGCGGCCTCACCATCGGCTGGGACCTGGCCCACGCCGCAGGCAACGTCGAACTCAAACTGCACGACTGGGACGTCGACTTCGCCTGCTGGTGCACCTACAAATACATGAACGCCGGCGCCGGCTCCATCGCAGGCGCTTTCATCCACGCCCGCCACGGCGACAGCGTGCGCAACAAAGCCCTCAAGGGCTGGTACGGCCACGACAAATCCTCCCGCTTCCTCATGGACAACACCTTCCGCCCCACCCCGGGCGCGCAGGGCTTCCAGCTCTCCAACCCCTCCATCGTGGACCTAACCTGCCTCTCCGCCGCCCTTTCCGTCTTCGACAAGACGTCCATGGCCCAGCTGCGCTCCAAATCCCTCCTCCTGACCGCGTACGCCGAATTCCTCCTCGATCAGATCTCTTCCCGGTCCACAACAACAACGTCGGCGGAACAGGGCTCGCCGTTTGAGATCATCACGCCCTCGGAACCTCTCGCTCGCGGCGCGCAACTCAGCGTCTTGCTCCGCGAGGGTTTGATGGAAGGGGTGAGCAGAGCTCTCGAAGCGGCGGGCATCGTCTGCGACAAGAGGAAACCGGGCATCATCCGTGTGGCGCCAGCGCCGCTCTATAATACTTTTAGTGAGATCTGGAGGTTCATGCAGACTTTTGAGAAGGCGGTACGGCCGGCCGTGGAGCAGCAGCAGCAGGAGCAGCAGCAGCAGCAGAGGAGCCAGGGTGTGGAGGTTGAGGCGAGGTTATGAAGAGGGCACGGAAGAACCCAGATGATATGTGGTTGCGCTCACGGACCCAGAATGTGAGAGGGTGATGCACCTGAATTCTACGACTTGACGTATAGAGATCTGATAAAAAGAAAATCATCTTGGATCCCACCAAAGCGACAGAACGCCTACTACAAGTCTCTTCTCTTCCTCTTGTCGGCTACTAATAATACAGAGGCAATCCGTTCCGTCGTATCCAGAAAAGCCCCAAAGGAGGAAACAAAAAACGCCACACTTAACGTCTCCCAAGGACGCTACTTCAGAAGTCCCTGCTGCTGCTCCTTCTGCCTCGCCTTCTTCCTCGCCTCCTTCTTGAAGAAATCATTACGCTTGAGCGCCTTGTTCGCAGAGTTCTTCTTCGTCTCGATATACGCCATATCCTCACCTCCCGCCAAGCTCGAAAGCGTTCCAGCCTGTCTCCGCACTCCGCTCTTCTTCTTATTCGACCTCGCCACGTTCCGATCACTGAACAAATCGTCTTTGATATCTTCGACTTCAGCCGCGGTCTCCGACTGAAGCAGGACGTCTTGAAGGAGTTGCATGCGGTCGTTGTGCGTGTTGAACATGAGATTCGGCATGTTAAGCATTCCCTTCAGATTGGTAATGACTTTGAATGCGTAGCCCTGATCGACAAGGAAGGCTTGTCGTTTGGAGGAATAGTACATTTCGTTGGTATCCTTGCTGACGAGACTGTAGAAGAATGCGTTAAAGCCTTCGTCGTTTCGGCGCTTGGCTCTGAGGATACGGCCGAGTCGTTGCGCTTCTTGACGCCGTGAACCGTAGTGCGAAGAGATCTGAATGAGGCAGGTAGCCTCTGGTAAGTCGAGGGAGGTGTCTCCAATCTTGGAGAGGAAGATAGTAGAGACGGCGTCGTTTTGTTGGAAGTTCTGCAGGACAGTTTCGCGTTCTCGTTGTGGTGTGTCGCCATAGATGTATGGCTTCTTGAGCCCAACGGCGTACTTCTCCAGAGCATACACGTTGTCCGAAAAGACGATGATCTTGTCACCTCGCTTTTCATGGAAGTCGATGAGGAATTGACAAGCCTGAAACTTGCGCGGATTCATGGTCGAAAGCAAGCTGCGCCGATTGACTGAGCCAGCTTGAAGATACTCGCTGTAGAATTCAGTAGTCATCGGACACCAGACTTCGGCGCATTGCACACGAGCAATATGACCTTCCTCGCTCAGTTGCAGCCAGTTGGCCTCGTAAAGCTTCGGTCCGATGAGGAAGTTGAGATCCTTGATCTTGTCATCTTCGCGTAGCAATGTGGCAGTGAGCCCCAACTTCGAGTGTGTCTTGATGCGCTCCGTGACTCGTCGGAACATCTCTGCTGGAACAACGTGGACTTCGTCAAGCACCATCAGGCCCCATTCTCGATCCATGATGCTTTTCATGACTTTCTCGCTATCGTGCGCTCTGCGAGTGTTTTGGGTGACCATGCTGTAGGTGCAGATGATTATGCCTGCTTTGTCTCTGAGCTCTTGCTTTTCGCCCGAAGTGAAGATGGCGATGTCGTCAGGATTGATGTTGGACCACTTTTTGAATTCTTCCTTCCACTGCACAGCACTCATAGCGCTCGTGCAAAGAACAATGCAGCTCTTCTTGACGGTACAAGCTGCCGTTATGCCGACCAATGTCTTTCCTGCGCCGCATGGCAAGACAATGATTCCACTTCGAGCACGTCCGTTACCAAACATCTTGCTGAGAGCGTGTTCTTGGTAATATCGAATCTGCACATTCGGTCGAAGATCGATATCGAGTGTTGCATTGAAGTCATCCGCTCTGAAGTCGTATTCTTCGGTCAGAGGAAGATCCATTTCGATCTGGCAATGTTCTTGGACGACTTGGATCTTTTCGGGGTCAATCTCGAAAGAATGGACTTGGTCCACCTCGTCGTCATCATCGTCTTCGCGAAGGTATTCGATCATGTCTTGCTCAGCCTCGCGCCCCCCGAATTCATCATCGGACTCGTCGTCCCCATCAGTGTCACGCTTTGGTTGCGACTGTTGTTGCAATCCAGCTTGCTGGTTCTTTTTTGCCTCAGCTGTTCCCTGAATGATTTCTCGACCTTGCTGCGGGGCTCTCTCCGTGTGGAGGTCATCTGTCTCTTCTACGCGGCACGCGCGAATCGTTGGATCGCGAAGGAGCATCTGCAATACCGAAGCATCGTTGCTCTCGATGAAGTACTTGTTGCGTTTCAAGACAAGTCTCACCTTCCCGAAAGACTGCGTCATGTTATGGACGAAGTCTTTGAAACCCTGCGGTACTTTCGTCTTGCAGTACAACTCCAGCTGGCCGATAATATCCTTCTCACTCAAGCCCACGGAGACGGCAGCGAAGAGACTGTTGGGTGTAATCGTGTACTCGTGCATATTCGTTGTCCGGCTCTGAGGCTCTGCTATGTTGATAAGGAAGTTCTGTGCCGCCTTGAAGCTGGGCGCAAACGTCTCGAGGACAACCCTGGCCGTGCGCGGGTCCATCCATATGGGTCGCAGGTGATGATCAGGCTTGAGCGTCTCAGTGAAGAAATCATGCTTGGGCTTGAAAAGGTGGCTCGCGGCGTCGAAATTAGACAAGTTGGCATTGTTTGATTGGTATGAGGCAGGATCGTATTTCTTTACAGCACCCTCGTATTTCTTGCTGTTCTGTCTCTTCTGGCTCGGTTCGCGCTCGCGCTCGCGCTCGCTCATCATCATGTCCGAGTCCTCTCCACTTAGGTACTCATCGTCGCTCTCCATGCTGACTGGAGTATTTACACCTGACGCTGCTCTTTTGGCTGGACGACCGCTCGCCGCAGCGCCCGCCTTACGCTTCGGGGCCATAATGGAAAGGATGAATGTTGTTGTTGGGTGCGCAGGTGTCGGTAGTTGAGTTGAAGGAGGGCTGAGGCGAGACTCAAGAAGGTCAAGTATCGAAGCTGACTAAGAGATGATGCTATCACGTGCGTCGCGCGAAGCTCTCGGCAGGAACGCCGATCGGTGAACTTTATTGCGGAGCTCTTCGGCCACTCAATGCGAAGTCGCTCTCTCGCCTTCAACTTATATTCTCGACTGCTTCATCACGAACTCGTATTCCTCAAGCCTGCAAGCATTTCCGTCTCAAGCCTCCCTTCTCCAGCGTACAGCGAGCGTAACAAAGGAATTCTTCTGCCCTGCGACAAGGCTCTCGACAAGCTACCCGCGCCAAAATGAATACCGTACGCTAGCGCGATAGCACCATCAACTTCACATCAACTTCCTAACGAGCATCTAGGTCAGATCAGTAGGCTACGGCTGGGGTGTCCTCATCGTCGCTGGAGGCGGATCATATTACTTCGCCAAAAAGCAAATCAACAAAGACCGCGAAGCCCGAGCACTAGCCGACGAGAGGCGCAGGCAGACACATGAGAGATTAAGAGCACAAGAAGCGGTAACGCGAGAGACAGCATTGGGAAACTCGAAGTCGAAACAGAAGAATGCCGATCATCCGTCCCCGAGCCGAGAAGGAGCTGAGGATCCAGCGCCTGTCAATCATACAGAACCAATACCCAAGAGCCGATATGAAGCGGAAGAGCCATTTCGATCAAAAAAAGGGGATAGGTTTAGTTGATGAAGACTTGGGGCTTTTCGATATCTCCGGATTACGACTACGTCCGGCGTCGAGACCAACGGCCCTGATAATACCAAGAAAGCAGCTCGGACAGAGATGCGATGGCCCTCGGAAGCTTGAGAGAGTGAGGCACAGTGCAAGAGCTTGTAAGATCCAAGAATGGATGAAATAGATCAAGATTCTCGACTCTGTTGTACAACAAATGGAAAGGTATAGGGTCTAGCGATCATGCCGGGCCAAATCTGAGTACGCCGATCCAACACGCCAGATTGTATGCAGCCTCTGCACCTATGCTCCCATGCATGTGTCCGAAGCCACCTTACGCCCTTCCAAACTCTTCGAACGCCCTTTGCAGATGTGGGAATCTCTTCAAAGTAAAGCAAGCAAACATGTCGACGAATGGAGCAATCGATCGATGGTCGGCTAGTCGAATCCCCCTACCTTCTCAGCATCATGAAGGCGCCAGCGTAGTCATCGAGAGTCGAGCTGGGAAGACAGTCGCGGAAACTGAGCGGTCGCCTACCGTCACATGTCAGTACAAGGTCGACGTTGGTCAACATCAAGGCGGGAGAAGGAAGGCATACATCTTAGCAAACCTCTTATCTGTAGTAGCAGCCCGAGAGATGGCAAACGCGCCAGCCAGCGGTGCACTGACAACCGCGCAACAGTATCCGATCGCAGCCGCAGAGCCTAGTCGGTCGTAGTTTGCTGGTCTAACGGCGCGTGTAGTGTAGTTTCGAAGGGCTTGTTTTAGGAGAGGAGTTACTCTGGTCGCCATGTTGACTTGACTTCGCTTCGAGTGTTTCTGACTGTTGATAGAGGTTTCAAGGTGTTGTGTGATCAATCAGGAATAAAGAAGGAGTAGCAAAGTAATCTGGTCAGCAGGAGTGACTTGGTTGCTATGTATGGAACATCGAGATGTCAGCTTTATTGGGCGAGTCTTGATTGGTCGAAAGCTGAACCGGAGAAGATCCCAATTTTTTTCACAAGAACATCCAACAACAGGATTCCCGACATTCATTCGTGCACGGAGCGGACACGAACGAGAAGAGACATGGCATACTATATCCCCTAATCCAGCAACATTGTTGAAAGCGTTTCCAAGGCACGAATACCGACTCGGTTCTCCGATGCTCTGCCGTGTTTCTTCTCCGCAACTGCGCAGCCTCAAAGGAGTGGGTGGCATGGCGCAATAGCACGGGACTGCAACTGGATGAAGGCTCTGCCGCCAACATGCTGCCCGTAGTAGTGAGCACCTGCAAGTATCGCAGTATCATGTACTTTCTACCTGTGGCGCTGCTTGTGTGGGAAACGTTGACAAGAAGCTGCCGCCCTTGCCGCGACGGCAAATATCACGGTGTGGGATACGACGGGATGCTACGATTTACGCTTGCTGCTCCAGAAAGAGCACACAGAGAACTCGAACTTTACTACCTACTTTAATCCTCGTTGCAATGACACGGTGGCGCGCCTTCATGACTTTGGGGCGATGGTTCTTTGAAGGAAATGCGACTGGTCAGCGGATCTCGCAACACTCTGATTGGCTGTCGTCCAGCAATGCATTCACTTGAGATCAATTACGCTAGGCCCCTGCAATGGGTGAACCACCATGTACTAATAACAGATATAGCCGCGACCTTCTCCAGACAGGAAGAATGACTAAGAGGATGTAAGGGCATGGATGAAGCTGACAACGGGCGCCTCAGCTGATGATATCACAAAGCCACACGGAAAATGATGCCCTCCTCAAAGCTCCTGCCTAATCAGGTAAATAATCAATTTGATTCTTTGGGTGACCGGCGCAACTCTTTACAATCCCTGTTGCCCGATCACGACAAAGTCAAAGTCCAGACGCTTCGATAAAGCGGCTATACCCCCAGGGGACTTCGACCATAACATCTACTCGGATCGAGAGAGCTTCTTCTACTGCCCTAGGCTACATAGGCGTTCCAAGGCAAACCAATTATACAATCTCGAGGTTCTTTTCAACAACACACCCATCCATTCATCCTGCCGAACAACACTTCCTCTGAACAAACTTGTACTGTCAAACATGGGACATGTCTTGACAACATGATTGATGCCCTTAATAAAAAAAACAAGAACCTCACTGAGATTTCTCTCCGATCTCATCGAAGAATAGGAAGAAGAGGAAGGAAGAAGACATCGAATCAAATCAAATCCTCCCGAGATTTTCCAAGCCGGCTACTGACAGCCTCTGTCGGAACATATATCCCTCATTGCCGAAACATCAGATCGGACATTTCTCATCATCTTCAGACTCATATTCATCGCCGTCGCCGTCATGACTTCACCGGCTGTCTTGGGAAAAGAAATCTATGCTGCGACTAGAATTGCAATGGCGTCGCTGGTTGCGCGGCGGGAATCCATGCCTACTGTGTGAGATTGATTCAGATTACGTCGGGATTCGAAGGGCGTTTTGCTGATTGCACGTAGTGTCAGGATGAGTTGACTGCGCCGAACACGTGGTTCTCCATTCTTCGCACCGACCAAGGAAGGCAATTGGCATTGCGAAAGCAGCATTTCCGGAGAGCTTGGATGCGTCTACTGCGCAAGAGCAGAGTGAGGAAGAGGGGCGTATAGATCGCCATCAAGCGGCCGTCGGTTGGCAGAGACCGTACGCGCGGACAGAGGCTATAGCCGTGACTCCATTGCAGCTCAACTATATCCCGAAGATTGTTGCATTTCAAGCGGCCAGGAAAGATCTTGCCAATCGAGCCATGTGCCGCCAGTCTCCATGAAGTCAAGATCAATGGCAGGAAGATTGAGAAAGTCCTGCAGAGGTGGACCAGGAGAGACAGGGTCGATCGGCATTGCTTGGGGAATGCTTGGCATACCGGGGATTTGCTGATCTGGTCCACTTCCAGAGAGCGTGTCACCACTCATATGCTCCTCAAGAGTTGTCCTGATGGCGTCGATATGCATAGAATATTCTTTCGCTGCAAAGTTGCCACTCCGATCGAGCTGCTGCAGGAATTGAACCGCCATTTGGAAATCTTCGTAGTCTTTGGACCAGTCGTTGCCACGGAGGAAGACGGATAATGCCAGAATGGTGGCGGCCGAGAAGATGTATTGCGTATTGAAGTAGTCGAATGTTGCGACGGTTCCGTCTGTCCAGGCACGTTTTAGCAATTCCAGTGACTGTCGAGCGCAGCGGATACAAGCTGTCGTAAGAGATGCTGCCGATTCTGGAAAGCTGTTATTGGAGTGCCCTAAGCGGCGCTGTCTGAGGATATGGAGTAATATTGGTCTGGTCGTGACGATGACGCTCTGCACAATTTAGCTGATGCGCGGTACTATCTGGGTACTGATGCTTACCTGGTTGAATGAAAGATGCATGTAGGTAACGTGGCGCGGATTGGGGGCTCCTTCTGTCATGTCCAACTGCAGTCGAGGAGGAAGATCAGCAGCCCAGTCCGTCAAAGAACGGACAGCCACTTGTACCCTCTCTGAGAATGAAGTCTGTTGTCTCTTCCTTACGTAGAGTGAGCTCACCGTGCTGTTGGTCAGCCTAGCTAAACGAACAACGAAGATCATGTGCTCTGCATCGTGTAGGTCAGCTCTAGCGTCTGGTGGTAGGCCCTGATCAGAAGGTAGGTCGATCTCTATGCTTTTATCTTGAATGGACGGGGGCCATCCAATTTTGCTAGCCCACATCCTGTCGAAGCAATAAACGGTCCACCATAGGCGGCATCTATGCTCTCGTAACATGCGATCTTTGAGTTGCGATTCGCTAATCTCAATGTGTAGACCGATGATAACAGCGATTCGAAGAGCGTAGCTGGCCATAAAAGTTGCGGTGTGTCTGCGATTCACCACAGAGGAGTAGATGGACTCGATTTGTATTAGTCTCTTACCTACCGAATGACCTCCACGTACTCACAAGTAACAGATAGATCTCAATGGTTGCCAAACGCGGCCGTTCGCTTGGTATCGCAACCATTGCCATTGCTCTTGCAAAGTATTTGGAGCCCGGAAAGGGCGTATCCGGTAGCGTGCAACGAGACGAATAAGCCTCTCCCAGCGCCAGCAAAGCCCATATCCTACACGCACTGAGCCAGTCACAAGAGCTGGGGTCGCTCAAGACTTTGTCTACGCTGTCGTTGACGACGCTACGGCGGACAATGTGCCAGGTCTTACAAACGGTATTCATGGCGACGTCGATCAAGTAACGTAGTCGCGAGGCACTTGGTAGCTCCAGAGAGGATGAGTCGGCCAGCGACCGCATAGCATCGTCACCCAGGTATTGAACTCGTGGCATGTGATTGACCGACCTTCCCGAAGCAGCCTGTCGAAGGCGAGTTGCAAAAGCCGCATCCGCGGCTTCTCCGATGTGGATCGGCAGATCGGAGGCCTTGTGTGCCATGAACCACGGCCGTTCTTCGACCATAGGGTTTCGATCAGCATTGTCCGCTCGTGGTTGAGGGTTGTCATCGTTGGTGGTTCCCTCGGCAGGTGATTGAGCAGGTGTGTTGATGGTTGACACAAGGGCCGAGAGACGCTTGTTCTCTTCTATCAGATGCTCATGATAGCGTTTTCGAACCTTGATATTCTTGTCCTTTGTTGGAAAGCGACATTCTGAAGATGATTCGGCACACGCTGAGCAAGGGGGGCCGGTGAATGAACACTTAATCTTTCGCTTATGGCATGTTGAGCATCTGTAAGCCTGATCAATGTGGATAAAGCCGTGTGGTGTGAGAAAGATCTTACGCGATGCTGCGTTTTGTGGGCATTCTATTCTTTGTTGTTAGCAGGGGAGAAGCGTGAGTTGGCCGAGAAGCGAGCAAGCAGAGTTGGGATGATGCTGGCGGCCAAAACGCTTCATTCCACCGAGCGCTTCGGTGAAAGAGACCGAGGTCGGAGTAAGTCTAGCCGAGGTCCTCAAGTGCCTCAGGCACTTACTGAGGCACTTCTCGACAAACGCTCCACCTCATCACATCTCACGTCCTCACTTCCACATCCTGCTTTCCGAACAACTGCTGTCGGATTTCCCGCCATCAGATCTTGCAGCAATCCTGCCTTCGCGTCTGCTTGCCTCTTCTGCGCCTCTCGAAGATCATATCTTGACGTTCCTTGAGCCTTGCTGCAAGCGCGGCACGATTGCTTCACCAGCAGCTTCTGTGACGATGCGAGCGATGACACCGACGGCGAGTGGTCGGATGGCCATTCGAGCAAAATGCAAGATAGGGCGCGAACCAGTAGGTCGGGGAGAGAAGGAGCGAAGGCGGCTCATTTTGAATGGCAAGACGCATGTCCGTGATAGATACACGCATTTGTCCATATATGGCTTGACGAGGGGCAGTGAAACCGTCCTCAATGGATAGATTGTGAGTCAGCAAACGACTCGGATCTTGTCTTGACGTTGATGGCGGACTCGGATGTTCTGCATGAGCTCCACTCAAAGATTCGTAGGTGCATAATTAACGAATTCCAGAGTTGCCCAGAGAAGTATTCGAATGTCCAAATTCACCTTCACAGTCGGCACGTGCTTTACACGTTGACATGTGAAGGAGAAAGTACGGTCCGTGTACTTGCCGTTCTCGCTGCAGATCCAACCATTCGTAGACGAGCAAACGGAATCTGAGATTTGCACTCCAAACACACCCCAAACCACCAACAACATCCAACAACGCACGCAGTTCATGTCGGCCAGCATGGAAGACGCCGAGGCCGACGCACACCACACCATGGGCCAGTTGCACGACGCCGACGCACCACTGCCCAACCTACCTTTGCCGCGAGAGCTCAGAGACCAGATCTGGGCGTACCTGCTGGACGGAAACGAGGTCTTAGCCGCCCCATATCGAGACCGCGCCGACATACACGCCTTATCAAGCACGAGCAGGCGCAAGTACCGCAACAAAAGCCGTGCCCACACCTACAACTTCCACACCAACATCTTTGCCGTCAACCGCGAGATCCAAGCCGAGGCGGAGAAAGTGTTCCACGAGCGTAACGCACTCATCGCCGTTATCTTGGGAGGGCCGAAGATACTGTCGCTCGTGCACGACTTCGGTCTGCCCATGATCTCGGAGAGTCGCCACATCAAAGCCGCAACTCCCCGGATATTTGCCCGTCTCAAATTCCTGCACCCGCTGCAGACTGAAGAGACTCCCATCTACTGCTGCCTGATGCTCCTGCGAGATTTTCCGGTCCTGCGGAACCTGATGCAGTGGCTTTTCTTGATGATGTCAATGCCGGCCAGCATTCGTAGTCACGACGCTGAGACACCTCTCGTCACTTTCGGTGCGATTGGTGAGCCTGGGTCCACAAGTCTGGAGCTCTATCTCAGACCTGCGGTCCCATCATTCGAGAAGAGATTTGGGAACTTGGTGGCTGACCTTGAGGACCTCAAGCTACCTGGAAGTGCTCTCAAAGTGAGATTCGCCGATGTTGACGCCGACACTCAACACTCCCAAGATGCTTTGCAGGCTTTTGAGGCTCTCTTTGAGCAACGTATCGGCAAGGACACATTGAGAGCGACCGATCTACTGTGGCTTGTCTCTGATACTCTTAGCGTGCTCAAGACAGGTGCAGATTCTCTTGTGGACCAAGAAGAATACGACGCTGCCCAAATGCGCTACGCCCATATGGCCAGAGCGCTTCACTATTGGGACTTCCTTGTGGACAACATACTGGAGCTCTGCAGCTCCAAGGCGACTCGGACCGTAATGGTCCTGATCCTCCACCAGGTCCTGGACAATCTTGCTATGCTCTGCCAACTGCATCTTCGCTCTTGTAATTTCGAAAGCGCTTCCCGCCTCAGCAATGGCGTCGTCGCCGCGATTTCCGGGCTCTGGATAGCTATGCCCGGAACAACGGCGGAACTCGAGCCGTTTGGCGCGCTTCGTTGGTTGATGCGTAGCGGGATTTACCATACCATGACGCTAATCGACCTTCTTGATGCCTGTGAGAACGTTGAACCTTCCAGATCATTAGCTCCTGGATCAGCTCCCCCACCGTCACTCGACCATGCGCATGCGACGCTTCATTCTCTGCTGAAGGATCATCCGAACGACGAATATTGCCGTCATGACTTTGCTGTCGTCAACGAGATCTTTCGGGACGAAAAGGTACAGTGATTTCTCAGATCGAAGACTTTGACTTCCGTGGTGCTGATAAAATAAACCTTTAGAAGCGTCACGATTTCCAGGCCAAAACTTTCTGCACTCGAGAAGAATTGGCTCATAGGTTGAGTTGCTGTCAGTTGCCTCTCAGAACCTTCAATTCGCCAATCTACGACGACATCCAGTGGACTCGGCAGTAGCAAGACCAAACCGTTTCAGCTCAGGACCGAGAACCATTGCGCATCAACTAGGAAGGAGATTGGAATCTGGCGTGAGAGTAGTTGCAAACCCCGACGCATACTGAAGAGAACGGCGTACTATGGGCGAACAACAGGGAGAGGTCATATCAAGTCTCCGGCACGCCGAGGTCGATCAAGATGACATTCATCCAGCGAGTGATGAGCTGTACTTAGGCAGAAATTTCCCATGGCAAAGATCCGTCAAACCAAATTAAACAAACCAACATCTATCCAAACGTCTCCTTCTCCCCAATAGACCCCTCATCCTCATCCTTCGAACTCCCAAAAACTCGAACCATCACCCTCTTCCCCCTCCAAGTCATCCCCACTAATCCCGCAAGATTGGGCAAACGTTCCCATCTCTAGCAAAGAAGAAAACGAAACGTTGGAGGTTGGAAAAGTCATCAATACCACACACGTGTTGAGACTTCTTTGCAACACCAGAGAATTTTTTTCGAGAGGGTTGCAGCATGAACTTGTCAAAGCCCTCCTTCCCCAGGTGGCACTTCTGAGCAGAATCATAAGTCATGTTTACACTGCCCGAATCACGTCGTGCGGCGTGGTACTGAGGTCAAGTTGTAGCCACATGCGCCCACGCTAAAGAGCAAACAAACCGTTGCGAAGACTTTCGACTTGCATGTCACCAGCATTCCCCAACTCCAGCACTCAAGATAGATGTGCCCGATCAGGAGTAGCGAATCGACATGCGATAACGTGTGGGACTTCGGGCATGACAAGCCCAGCGTTCCCATGAATTCATTCGCTTTTCCATTAGAATGCTCTTCGATCTGGTAATCGACCACCTTGTCATCACAAGCGGCATCGCAAAAAGCATTACTTCCACGCGCGAAGTGAAGTGAGATCTCACCAAAGCTCGGACCATCAAACATCGGACGAGAGATGAGCCGGCATAATACCGGCAAAGCATCAGTTCAACTCGCGCGAGACACATCTCATCAAGCAAATCTACACGCGCCTCGCAGATATTATTCTTCCTATTCGAGAGTCCACCTGGCGATATGAAGGCCGCGGTACATGCGGCATCAGTCAATGATGGTGACACTGTATCGGCACCTCAAACGGCCAGTCACGGCAAGCCGACAGCTCCCACCTAACCTCGGCTCCCAGATGCCCACACTCTCTCGTCTTTCGTGGACCGGAATCATCGGGCCATTGTCCTACATCTCACTCACCTTTGAGCATCCTTGAGGAGATCACGTCTGTAGGGCACTTCCAAAGACCTTTCGTTGATCTCGATCTCTCCTCTCGTTCTATCGTTTCCATCTCCGCCTCTCCATATACATCTCCAGCAGAGCAGGAAAGCGGAGGTCATCAACATGTCTGTCCCATACAAGATCCAGGCCAGCGAGGACCTCCTCGTTGGCGACAAGAATCAGCCGCGAGCCAGCGACAAGATCCCCGCCATTGCGAGACCTTTCGTATCTGATCGAGCCAAGAAGACGTTGGACCTGGTACGTTGCGACTATCGAGACGGGTAGCGAGGTAGCCCCGCTTACGATTCATTGTATTAGGTCGAGAAGTTCGTCGAAGAAGAATGTATCCCTGCCGACGCGGTCGCCGGCCAGCAGACGGGCGAAGGCGTGCAACAACGATTCGCGGCGCATCCCCAGGTCATCGAAGACCTCAAGAAGAGAGCACAAGAACTAGGACTGTGGAACCTGTTCTTGCCCAAGAACCATTTCAAAGAGGGAGCAGGCTTCAGCAACTTGGAATATGGCTTGATGGCGGAATACCTGGGCAAGAGCTTCATCGCTTCTGAGGCTTGCAATTGCTCGGCACCGGATACTGGTAATATGGAGGTGCTGGCCAAATACGGCACGCAAGCACACAAGGACAGGTGGCTCAAGCCGTTGTTGGAGGGCAAGATTCGCAGTGCCTTTTTGATGACGGAGCCAGACGTGGCCTCCTCCGATGCTACGAACATCAGCCTCCGGATGCACAAAGAAGGCAACGAATGGGTCCTGAACGGTCAGAAATGGTGGTCGTCCGGCGCAGGCGACAAGCGTTGCGAGATCTTCATCGTCATGGGCAAGTCCGACCCTGACAACAGCAGTGTCTACAAGCAACAATCCGTCATCTTGGTTCCATTCGATACCCCTGGTATCACAATCCACCGCATGCTCTCGGTCTTCGGCTTTGATGACGCTCCTCACGGACACGGCCACATCACCTTCAACAACGTCCGCGTGCCCGCAGACAACATGGTCCTCGGCCAAGGTCGTGGCTTCGAAGTCATCCAAGGCCGTCTCGGACCAGGCCGAATCCATCACGCCATGCGCTCCATCGGTGCGGCCGAGCGAGCGTTGGAATACAGTCTCGCGCGCATGAACGACCCATCAAAGAAGCCGTTCGGCAAACTTCTCTCGGAACATGGCGTCATGCTTGCACGTGTCGCGGAGGCACGTGTAGACATCGACGCCGCACGTCTCCAGGTCCTCAACGCAGCCATCATGATTGACGAAAAGGACGCCAAGCACGCTCTGAAGGAAATCGCCGAAGCCAAGATTCTGGTCCCCAAGGTTGCGTTGAAGATCATTGACGAAGCGATCCAAGCGTACGGCGGAGCCGGTGTCGCGCAGGATACTCCACTGGCGAAGATGTGGGCATCAGGACGGACAATGAGAATTGTCGATGGTCCAGATGAGGTGCACACACTGCAGATGGGAAGGAATGAGAACAAGAAGGGCAGGTTTTACTTGGAGAGGATTACCTGGCAGAAGAAGAAGACGGAGGAGATGTTGAAGGCTTATGGGCTGGAGAAGAGGGATGTCTTGCAGCTGGATAGACAGGTTGCTAAGAGCAAGCTCTAGATCTTTCCATGTGTAGATGAGAAATGTCCTGTTTCCTGTGGTTGAAACGCGGTTCACATTCTCTCCCATTAGATCCAAGTGGCCTACGTACAGCGCCTTCTCACCTCCAAGGTTAAGGTATCGACAGCCGAAGAGCCGCTCTGTAAGTGGTGGATCAATCCTCCGCACCACCGAACAAAGAAGGTGGACGCTGTCAATAAAGATGGGCTGCAAGCCACACCAAACGCCATTGAATCTTCAACAAGGCGCGAGATGCCGTGAGTGGTGGTCTGATGATCTACATGCCACTCCCGATCGACGCTGCACACCGCATTCATTGACAGCTCTCTCGTCTGGTGTATATCGCATCGGGCATCCGTCTTGGTCTACAGAGCTAGCTACGTACTCCTCTTCCCTGCCCGTATGATAGGTTTCTCCGCTGATCTTTTGACTTAAACTTGTATAATATGTTTATCCCGCTGCATTTGCATTCCAGTCCATTTCTTGCCTCCTTCCTCACATCCAGCGAGCGAGCTTCACATCCTTCACGATCGTCGGATTTGCGTGTTTCGTAACGACTTTCGACATTTTCCACACGTCGACATCCGCAGCGAAATCTCGCATGTAATATAAGACTGATGAGATGGCGCACCTCTTCATACTTCCCCCAGATATCCCCCTCACAACAACAGCCAACGCCCGTACCAATCCCTATCGTCGAAGACCAAGCGCACCTCAACAACAGCACCACCCACCATCTCAAGCCCAAGCCCAAGCTCAATTCCAAGACGAAAACCTCATCGACCTCGACGATCCACGAACAGACAGCGTGACGTTTTCTCTCGACGGCAGCTATCCCCCCTCCCCTTCGGAAACGGGCTACGACCCAGCAGCAGCAGCAGCTCGCCGAAACAGCAGCGCCCTAGCAGCCCACCGCAACCCATCATCCATCTCCTCCCAACAACAACAACAACAACAACCACAACAGCAAAACCGCACCCGCTCCCCCGGAGGAGCCCTAACCCCCAACCCCAACCCCGAACCCAGCGCCAACACCAACAACGACGACAACGACATCATCATCGTAACCGTCCGCCTAACCAACACCTTCCGCAAATCCTCCATCTCCCCGGAAGCCTGCACAGAACTCCCCTCGCGGCCTCCCCGACGCGGCTTCCTGCAACGCATGACGACGCGCATCCACCGCAATTGGGACCACAGCGCGGAGAAGGAAGAGCGGTATAAAGCCGTCAAGATGCCGCGGGGGGAGTATAGGCGGTATTTCGCGAGGGATCGGGAGCGGAATTTTTCTTCTGCTTCTGCTGGGAGTGGCGAGGAGGAGGATCAGGAGGGGGAGAGGGAATGGGATGAAGACGAATTGATGGGAAGGTATGCCGTTTATCAGGAAATGCCGTTGAGTCGGGTGGTGGTTGTTGGGGGGAGTTGATGATGATGAAGTCCGCTCTGACGTTTCTCTATCTTTGCTGTTCTCTGCTACGCGAAAACTCTCCGCGATGGCTTCCCGTCTGGGCTGGGCCATCTGGAATTGCTTGAGAGATGCTCTGAGTGGCGGTAATACCCGGATGATGATCGATGGATGGATCTTGGAGTTCGATACCGATGACCACTTGCGGCAGCAGCAGTAGAAGGCATGATCCAAGTCAAACCTCCGAGATTCGAAGAACTCACTCCGGCAGGACTTTCTCTGCGAAGGACCGAGGAGGGTGGGAATAGGTACTCAACACAATCCGATGCGGACTGCCGAAAAGAAGGAAAGGGGGGATGAGGTTCTGGATTGCGAAGATTCGCATAGAGGGGAATCCTGTAGAGTCAAGGGGTGGAGGGTAGAAGGACCGTGATTTGGGGGTTTGGGAGGAGGTATGGAAGGGGAGGATGATTGCGATGAGGATGTGTTCGTCTTTCCAAGCTAGGCATGGTGGGGTTTTGATGAGATGAAGGGGGACTCTGGCGTGGAGAGGAGAGAGGAGTATCTTTTACGCGAAGTTGGAAGATGTTTGCTGATTCGTGCTTGCAAGGTCTAGAGTCTGCAGGTAAAAGACACAAAGCCTGTAGTCGTGGAGACCACAAGCAACTTCTTGTCGTCTCCGCAAACGCACGGGCCGAGTTTTCACATGCGCCAAGGCCGGGCAGGTGAAAGAATACCAGACGTCTGTCGATAAGCACATGGCATGATGGGGTATCGATTAACAATTTCTATCGACTTGCCAGATACCGAGTCCTCTCCTCCCGATTACTCTCTGCAGCGTCGGCCATACACCATCGTCTCCAAAGTCCAGGTCATCCAAGCCGACATGCTTCCGATAACGCCAAAGCTCCTGCAGTGTAAAGTCTCTTGCTAAATCGCTGGGTCCGATATAAAAGTCCAGGAAAGTCGCGCTGTGTGGCGCGACCAGTAAGGTTCTGTTGCCTCCATCTCCACAGCTTGCGGACTGTTTGATCTGCTGCACCATCTCGGCACCCGGCCTGCCCATCAAGTCTGTTGTAGTAATTTCGTTGTTCTTGCCATCTAGAAGCCACCTTGGCGGACTATATGTCTTCCACCAGAAGACTTGGCCGATGTTATCCTGTTGTGCTATCCATGCCTGAGCGGGGACGGCACCACCTTGGTGATAGATGCCGAAAAGGATGCCACCGAGGATGTTGAAAAGAATCCAGATAGCAACCCAAGGACGGGCGTAATGCCTTGGCACTTTGACGCAAGATAGAAGTAACGGTACAGCGGGCAGGAGAAAGCGAGCTTCTTGATGCTTGAAACATGAGAGTATAGCGATGCCTGCGATGGCTGACCAGAAGAGAGTATTCTTGCGGCTTGAGAAGAGGACCAGCGGCGTCGCCGGCGCAATCAGTTGTTGTAAGTTGGCGGTGAAGTGCTGCCAGAAGGGATGTAAGCCGTGCTCGGCCAGGTTTGCCTCATCCAGATTGTAGATCAGGTTGTTCCACGGTGTGATGACAGCTGCTTTGTGTAGCTCTCTGATGTGTGGACGTCGTTGAGCATAGAATTCGGTATCCATGGTGATGGCAACGGCCGCAGTGAGGAAGCCGACGCCAAGCATTATAGGAATGCGAAGTGGTTTGTGGTACAGGCTGGGGATGATCTGGACCAGAGGCACCAGGATGAAAGCGGGAAATGTGATGCGATTGAAGATGCCCAGGACTCCGATGAAAGCCAGGGCGGCGCAAGCGGTCCAGACTGTCTCGTGGGTGTTGTCTCTCAGTCGAATGATGAGAACCAGACACCAGAGCACGATGAGGGTCTCGATGCTGTTTGAGAAGGTGTGAGTCTGGTATGCCCAGGTCACATAGGAGGATGAGACGAGCATAATGGCCATCCTGCGATCATGAAGGGCCGGAACGAGCTCATCGATGGCCCAGTCGCCCAAGACGAAGCTGAGGAGGAACATGATGGTGCGAAGGGCGTAGAATGCGATGATTGGGGGAACAGGCCCATAACCAAGACCTTCCCAGATCCATTTCAAAACGGTCAATGGCCAGCCGTACACCAGCCAGAAGGGAAATATGCTCCGGATGGGTTGCGATGAAGTGAACTCCCAGGTTCTGTAGATGGGATATCCCAGCACTTCGCCTGCAGGTAATCTGATCAACGAGTGTTTGCTGCGAGTGCTGTGAGATGCTACTACATACCCGCGATGATCTCGGGCCCCTGAAAGTGTTCATCGGGATGGATGTAGCTCGGGGATAGCGCGATGTGTAGGCGCACCAGTATCAAAGCTGCATGTACACATAGTCTGCCCCGCATGCTGCGAAAACAAACTGATGGAAAAAGGTTAATTGGATGCTCATGGTGCAGGTTGACGCGTAGTACTACTAGGTAGTAGGAGCATTCCAGCCGTACAGTACGCCGTAGTAGCATTGTGGATCCCGCACGGACCACTCGGATGTGAACAAGTCGACCTCACTTGCAGTGCTGCCTCCCCACCTGTTTCTCACATGCGCGGGTGATTATGCAATTGCGCCGCCGCTCAGTCGCACCTTGCCGCTGTCACGCTACATTATTTCACTCCGTTTTGCGACGATATACACGTATTGTACCGCACGTGACAGCTCCGTCCCGCCATTCGTAACCAATCAGGCAGGGTTTTGATCAATGTTTGATTCACTTGGGAGTTATTCATCAGGCATCCTTTCAGGCGCTGCTTTGCTACTGCCTGCTGCACCTGCACTTCGGGATCAGCCGCAAACTCTAATCCGGGAGCTCTCCACCGCTTTAAAGCCCACCCGCGGATTCCTTCCCCAACTCCAACTTGAACTTCCACCAACAACAACTCCGCGACCACCCACCTCCCACCGCACACCCGCCGAGCCAGATCCCACACAACATCTACAGACATACCCATCACAGATCCATAAACCACAGTCATACCGCCGCCATGTCTACCGAAGACCAGAAGGTTAAGCTCGTCTCCTCCGACAATGTCGAGATCATGACCGGTACGTCGCACGCTCACCTCCCTCGTTTGCGCGCACCTGCTAACTCATTCTCCCAGACCGTAAGGTGGCCGAGCGCTCCATGCTCATCAAGAACATGATCGAGGATCTCGGCGCGCCGGGCGACGAGCCCATCCCAATCATGAACGTAAGTCGCAACGTCATCTGCCGAGTCACATGCAATCATACTGACTGCTTCCAGGTCTCCGAGGCCGTCTTGCGCAAGGTTCTCGAGTGGTGCGAGCATCACCGCAACGACCCCGCCCCAACCCAAGACGACGACGCCGACTCTCGCAAGAAGACCACCGACATCGAGGACTGGGACCAGAAGTTCATGCAGGTCGACCAGGAGATGCTGTTCGAGATCATCCTCGCCGCCAACTACATGGACATCAAGGCGCTGCTCGACGTTGGCTGCAAGACCGTCGCCAACATGATCAAGGGCAAGAGTCCCGAGGAGATCCGCAAGACGTTCAACATCCAGAACGACTTCACCCCCGAGGAGGAGGACCAGATCCGTCGCGAGAACGAGTGGGCTGAGGACCGCTAAGAGATGGAATTCTGTCGTCATCTCTTCACACACAACACATCATGCAATCTACGGGGTTCGGCCCACCATTGCTAAAATGCATTACGGCGGCAGGTTCGGGATGAGGATATGCTGCATGGCGTTTGGGCGTGGAATGGGCTAAACGGCTTTCTACTTGTTTAACGAATGCTTACGACTGCCAGCACAGCTTTCAGCGCCCGCTGGACCTTCAGTGGACCGGCGGCTGATCAAGCACGAGGTGCAACGGCTCATGGCTCATGGAATGCGCGCAAGGCGCTTGGCTGTACTTAGAAACGGCTTCAATTGAAAAACAACTCAAACTCACTTCTCCCTCATGTGTTTGATCTCTTCCTCACCAGGCCTCGCTGAGCGGAGGTCACGTCCGGCTGCACCCGACCTAGCGCATTCAAAATCTCCACTAAGCTGCGAATTGCGTCAGAGACCTCACGTGCGACCAATATCTTATTTCATGCATGTTGTCTAAGCTTTGATAATGCTTGAATTCTCAGGCGATTGCATTTTCGGAGACACTACGAGACTACTTCAACGCTTGAGAGTCTGCATCGCTTCAAAGTCTGCATATCGAGAATGGGTATAACCAGCACAAGGAGAGACGCCGCCCAGATGAGTGCTATCCCACCTGAGGCTTGTTTTGAATGCCACAATTTGAAATCAACTCTCTCCTTCACTTGGGCTCTTCTCCACTCTGCTCTAAATCAATCCTCTCGTTCACTCCGGCTCTGCTCCACTCTGCTTTGCATGCCTTTTCTCTCTCCTTCTACAGACGGAATGGATCAGTAGTGCGGCAGCTCGCTCGTACTAAGAGCACTTCGCTTCATCGGTGGGGGAGGAGGTGGCTTCTTGGCTCTCGAAGGCGGAGGTGGAGGGGGGCCTTTCTTCGTTGTTGAAGCCGCGCCGTTGCCGTCGTTTGCCATGTTAGACCAGCTCGTGGCTCGATGATGCTCATTGAGCTGGTCTGGATCTTCGCTCTGGTCGTCTCCGAACACGTCTCCTCCTGCACCGCTCGGAGTTGCCTCGCGGGACTTGGTGATGCGCAAGTTGGATCTGGCGCCAAGAAGTTGGGAGGGCTCGGTTGGCATACGGGCGAGACGAGGCATGCCTGCTGGAGAGTCGGCACGGTTGAGAGTTGTGGGACCTTCGAAGCCTGGGGTCGAGGTGCTGCGATTGTTGGGACGAGTGGGCAGATCGAAACCAGGCATTTCTCTGCGTGGTGATTGAGTTCCTGATGCTACGCGAGAGCCAATCTGAGGTCGAGGAGGCTCAAGATATTCGTCTTCTTCAATTCGGCCGATGCGGTCGTTGACGGAGCTCGCGCGGGACCGAGTATTGCGGCGCCCAGGGCCTCCATTGACGGGACTGGCTGTGCCGGATCCCATCGCAGCCTGTCTGGACCAGTGTAAGCAGAGATAAAGCAGAAGGGGTCGCGAGGTGTACTTACGCTGGCCAGTCTCTCTTTACCTGCATCAGAACCTCCCGGCACCGATCGTAGTATGTCAGCTCCGCCTCCAAGAAGCTCGTTAGGTCCTGTACGGATTCAACCTCCGCCTCCTTGATGTCTAGCATTCTCCGATACACATCCTCGCTGGACTCCTCGTACTTCATCTTCTGTTGTCTAAGCTCCTCTTCCATCCTGAAGTCCTCCTTCTTCGACTTCTGCATCTTCACCGAAGCCGTATCGTACGCCAGTCTCCTGCTGTCCAACTGCTTCCTCGCCCTCTGGTATTCCTTCATCTGCACAAGAGATCGCTCCAGTGATTCTAGCCAGCTGCTGGTAGCATTGGCACAGTACGTCTCTTGCATGCGGGCGATCCGCTCGTTGGCTCGGCCGAGAACAGATAGGCACTGGCCGAATTCTGAGTCGGCCTCGAAGTCGTCGCCATGGCTCACCATAGTCGATCCGAAGTAGCCCACAGGGAGCTGTGTATCCTTATCTTGGTACTTGTCCCTCTTGCCCATGTGCTGGATGTAGACATCGGACGACTTCTTGAGCTTCTCCATGCCTGTCCGGAAGGTCAGTACGCTGATCCGATCTCATGTCGAATATCCCATTACCTTCATGCCGTAGCTGCATCTCCACCTCGAGTGCTTTGAACTCTTCCGTGGTGTCCGTCTTGGACTCTCCGCCCATCCGCTCCCTGCCCCATTGCCTCAACCGATCGAATTTCTTGTTGACGTTCATGTTGCCAGTATTGCTCTGCTTCTGTTCCTCGAGTCTTGCCCAGCAACTGCCGCCGGTCGAAAGATGTCTGCGTCTGATTAGTCGTCGATGAGGGGGTCCGATTTATTAGAGAGGATGATGCACGAAGTCGTCGGTAATCAGTCCAGCTAACCTGTTTCTCCTCAACAACCGCGACAAGGATCAGTCCGGAAGGCGCGGAGCTCGTGGGTAACCTGCCACCCCTTGTGTGTGGGTTGAATGTCGAGAGAAATGTGCGATGTGAATCGAGAGGAGACACGCCTGCAGCACACGCAATCGGACAGTGGTAATCTGCCGCGGGAGTATCAATCGTCAAACGTAACACTCTCCTAGTCCCCTGGAACGAGGGAGGACGGGCACGGCGGATGGATATGTTTTGTGCGTGCCACGTAAGCGCGGGCAATGAGCAGATAAAGCAGATGCAGAGTACAGCGACTGATCTTCAGGAACGGATGGACGGAGGAGCACCACCGCCACAGTCGAGGCTGCGTGAGGTGCTCCTGCCGAGTTGTTCAACCCTTCAAAACGTGTGTTTCAGGATCATCTCGGGGGAGCTCGACACGACGGGAGCTTGTGAAAAGGGTTCACCAGTAGCGGGGCTAGCGCCGTCTGTCACAGTGTGTGGAGATCCTGAGCCTACTCGTGCTACTGATCCTTCTCTGCCGCCACTACCTCTGTTGATGCATGCAGAGAATAATCTCTTATTATAGCAATATTGCTTTTTAGATGCCAACCCACGGTGGCGCTCCCAACGGTGCATGGCCCATATACACAGGATTCGAAAGCTTGAGTAACGCAGGGAAATTTAGATATTTAGAAGCCTGGTCGGCTGAAAGGGAATGCGTACTGGTTGGCACATGAATTCGTTGGCTTGCACAGAATCCTGAAAGTAGTCTCTTGCTGTTGTCCCTCTTTTACAGCTAGACTACGACCCATGAAGCAGCTGCTCCGAACGCAGTGCGAAAGCATGAAAGTCCCCCAAACACCACCATCGTCAATGATGCACCTAGTCCTTGACCTTCTGGGTACCGCGGAGCAGACCCGTTCTCCGGGCGGCAATGAGACCGGCCTTTTGACCTTGTGCGGCGTATCGGGAGATAGTCGAAGCCTTACCAATATGCTGGTGGTTACCACCACCGTGAGGCTGAGAAGAATATTAGCAATTGTCCTCAGCCGTCCTTGAACTGCGCATCTTACATGGTCGACGGGGTTCATGGCAACACCACGAGTCTTGGGCCATGAGTTGCGCTTGACGGCGAACTTGTGCTTCGCGCGCGAAGCCTTGAGGAGAGGCTTGTCGGTACGACCACCACCAGCGACAATACCAATCATACCGCGGACCGAGCTCTTGACAACCTTCTTCGCGCCAGATGGGAGCTTGATGCGGGTCTTGCCCTCGTCTGGGTTGTGACCGATGACAGTGACGTAATTTCCAGAAGTCCTTCCAAGCACACCTCTGTCGCCCATCTTCTCCTCGACGTTGGTCACGACGGTACCTTCGGGAACGGCGCCGAGAGGGAGGACGTTGCCGATGGTGAGCGAAGCGTTCTTGCCAGCGTAGATGAATTGGCCAGTGTACATTCCCTCGTTGGCGATGAAGGTCTCGGTGTGCAGCTTGTAGCGGTATGGGTCACGGAAAACGACCTTGGCGAGAGGAGCACCACGACCTGCATCGTGGACAATCTCCTTCACGACACCGCGGATATAGCCATGTCGCTCGGCGTAGTCGAGGGTTCGAAACTTCGCTGGGGCCTTGTTGAGACCTTGAAATCGCAGTCAGTGCCCGCAAATTGGTTTCTCTCGATATCTCAGGATGTGGGAAGCGTACGGGTGTGGGCAGTGAAGATGGAGCCACGTCCCTTCCTCTGGTTGCGGATGACACGACCCTGATACCGTCAGTTCAGTTGTCCACATGCTCTTGCACTCTCGAGAATTTGCATACCATCTTTGCTTCTTGTCGGGGATGGGTTGATCGTGTGTTGCGTCTGTCGTCGACTGAAGTCTGTAAGGTGCGATTCTGATTCTCGTGGGCGGCCCAGCCCGAAGACTTGGCGCGCTAACCCGCTGCAGCGTTGCAACGACCTCTCCCGTTCCCACCTCGACCTCTCGACGACTCCTCCGTTTCATGCTCCCAACCCGCGCATCATGCCGAGATGATCCTCCATCGCGGAATGTAACATACCGACAGATCAAAATCCGATGCGATGTCACGGATAGCATCTTGGCCGTCTCCGGGGGAAACTCTCTGATAGCGATTGTTCGCTAGGTCTGTCGCGTCTTTTCTTCTCGCTTCACATGCTGTCAAGAATGCTGCCAAAACAAGTGTTGAAAAGCTGGTAATCTTGGATGAACTTTCGGGATGATCTGCGCGCGAAACGCTAGCTGGAAGATTTACGACTGCCTGGCTTGAAGAGCATACCGAAGAATGTGGCGGGACGGCTTTCGTGAGAATTCCAAGGCGGCGGATATATCTGGTCTCACATTTTCCACCGGGACTTTATCCGAGGATTGAACGTAGAACCTAGGGCCACCTCAAGGAAGACGACCGCGAATATCAAATTGCGACAATGTGGACGGCCGGACGCGCATAATCGTGAGACACTTGGGCTGCTATGGGAGAAAGATACAACGGCTTAGGAGACTTTTGGAAAACCGTTGCCTTGTCCAGACTTTTCCACCATGTCTCGAACCAGCGTCGACACGATTTCTCTCCTGTGCCCTTTCTTCGTTTGGAGTATATCTTGCCGGGATATTCGAGGGCATGCACCATCCAGAGCGAGGTCGACGAGGCTAAACCGAGACTTCGGCCGGCACAATCTGCGCAGAATGTCGAATGCAGGCTTAGAATCGCCTTCACATACCGGAGATACACACTTAGCGCCTCGACCATCTCAATTTTGAACAATGGCCTGCCCTTGACAGCAATTCTGCCTACTTACTGTTAAGCGATGCTCGCCATGCCGTGGACGCATACTAGCGACCGCACTTAGGCTGGAACGTTGCTGTTTGACTGCTGGGCGAGCTTAGGCGATCATCTGTTCGAACCAGAACCACGAAGATACCGATGGCCACGTCGAATCGACGATGTGCGGCTGCCTGAATATGTTTTGCTGCCTGAGGACATTTAGTCACTTCCAACCTAGATAGTGAATGAGAAGCAATTTCCTGTTCGCCTTATTCGTCCTAATTGCCATCGCTAGCGTTTGTGCCGGCTTAGTCAAGTGACGTTCCTCCTCTCGACTTCGTAACTTCCCCGGTCGATTCAACCCACGAGAAACATCCCACACGACACCACACAACGACCATGTCGCCACCGTTGGACAACGACTCGGATAGCGAGCTGTCTGAAGCTCCTGAAGAGGAAGTCCAAAAACTCGCGCCCATCTTTGTCAGGGCAAAGAAAGCCACCAAAGCAGCTGCACCTCCACCAGCGGCCTCACCTCCTCGGCCCAAGAGAGCGCCTTCACCACCCCATGAAGAGGTTCTGGCTGACATGCCTGACATCGCCGTGAGTTACCGATCCAATAAACACGAAATGGCGCGCTCACAACGCGTTCGCGACTTCTGGATCACGTCGGCTAACTTTTTGAGATTACTAGTTCGTTGTGATGTTCAGATCGCGATTTCACGAGGCCTTCCCGGGAAAGACACCACACTTCGGCCCACAAGACATTGAGCGAGGCGTCGTCGATACCATACCGAGTCCGGAAGTCCAGAGCTTGCTGTGTGCATTGCTTGCATTGGTGTTAAATCGCAAGAAGCCGGTCGAGTACGTGTACCCTGCTGTTGGCGCAGAAAGAATTATGGACACCTCAGGAAGGCATTGATGAGGGTTGGCAGAAAAGATTACGCTGACGTGTTGTGCAATTGACAGACGAGGACATCACGCAAGAGCACTGGAAGATGCGATCACATCGCACAAGTCTCAATGGCCGCGCTCGTGGTTAGCCAAGAATCCATTGAGCGGCGGTCAGACATTTGAGACGATGTCGCCCACAGAGAGAGTATGCGACTCTGTCGACTCGGGAGGTCAACTACGTCTGCTGACCAAGTCGACAGCTCAACCTCCTCCGAACTCTAATCATGTGGTCCCTATCCTCCTCCGAAGCCGTATCAGGCATCATCAAGGACAGATACAAGCAACAGCGCCATAGCGACGACGAGAACCAGCCGCTATCTGTGCAGCCATGGGGCTTCGATGGCGACAAGAGACGGTACTTCCTGGTTCAAGGCTTGGAGGATTCGAATTTCAGGGTCTACAGGGAGGGAAGCCGACACACGAAGAATGCCCACTGGCGGAGCATGGCAGGCACTATCGAAGAGGTCAAAGCCCTTGCTGAGAAGCTGGAGAAGGAGGACGGCACCCAGAGGGCACGCACCTTAAGCAACAGGATGATCATGGCCATCCCCACTTTTGAGGCCACTGAGGAGGCAAGTTGGAAAACAAGCACAGGATTGGCGACTAATGCTAACGGCCTTCTAGAAGCGTCGGCGTAAAGAGTATCGCCAGCAGCGTCGTGCTGCTTTCTCAAGACCAGAGCCTGGCTTTGGCATCTATGAAGGCCGTACACGCGGCAAGCGCATGCGCTACACCTACGACGATGAGGAAGACGCATCTGCATCCGATGCAACTTCCACACGACGCTCTACTCGTCAGCAATCAGCTCGAAGTACGCCGTTCGAGCCTGGTCCCACCTACACGGCTAGCGGGCGTCAGATCAAGCAGCCTCGCCAAGGCGAGTATGGTGAGTCTCTGCTGAGCAACAACATTATGAGTACCGATGAATTGGCTCCGGAGAATGGCGACGAGTCCGACCCTGTTCGGAATGGTGGTAGAGCCACGAGATCCGGTGGTGCACGGTCTGGCATGGATGGCGCAAGCAATCCGCGGAAGCGGAAGCACATTGACGGCTACAACTCTATCGATGATATGAGCGATGAGGATGACGCCGATCAAAGTGCCGACGAGTGGGACTCAGACCGCAACGACCACCAAGACTACAACTTGCCAGACGCGGACGACGAGGACTCTGGACCAAGCGAGAGCGAAGAGGACGAGTTGGACCAAGAAACATCCGGTAGCCTCATTGTCAAGCTCAAGATGCCATCAGCATTCTCGGCAGCAAAGAACGGCACTCCACCAACGAGTCCGCCGTCTCTTAAAGAAGGTGGAACCAAGGCTGACAAGGATCCATCAACAGACCATCCTATCGTACGCATCCCTCCTCCAGACTGCTCTACAGAAGAGGAGACAAAGCCAGGTGCCTCCAAGCCCGACACCTCTCCTGTTGTCAATGGAACGACAGAGTATGCTCCTGCTGATGAGCAAAAGCTCAAAGTTGAAGAAGGCACTGGTGGGAGATCTTTTGAGCCGCAGGTTGTCATCAAGTCCGGTCATCCTTTGAAGAATGTGCAGTACCCGGCGCCGTCACCCACGAAGGATGCTGTTGCTCCTGCTAGTGAGTATGCGAATGGCCACATATCTGCGCCTGCTCCCCCTGCTCTGGAGACTGCCCGGAACACCATGGTGCAATAAGCCTGGCACGCTGAAACGGGAGCACTGTACCGATAGCTCTAGCTTGGCTTGGAAAGTGGTGGCTCTGTATTGAGTGGGCGTCAGTCTGTACGTGGGTGGTCGATTTGAGCGTTCTTTGTCTGGTTTGATAAAGCTGTGGGATATCCCGATGACGGATGGATCTGGTAGCTATTGCCGTTGCAAGCTAGCTCTATATGCTAGAGAGTCGTGTTATCAGAGACAATGAATGAGCGTGTCTGTACGACGACTGGGTTGCCAGGTCTTCTTCCCGCTTCCTACCATGATTTTCTTCTTCCAAGCTGCTGCACATGCGGAAGACGAACCAGGACATAATCAAAGGTCAAACGAGCACGTCAATTCATTCTGGTATCTTGGTTTCAAAGAAAAAGCACAATCAATGCGAATCCATCCAAGGAGGAAAAAAGAGACCCCGCCCCCAAAGAGTGTTGGTATGGTATTCCAATCTGATCCATCCGTCATCCCCTCCGTCCCGTCCGCAAAAGAAAAGCGCTCAAGCAGCCTTGCGAGCAGTATCCGTGAACCCCAGTAACGCCGCCGCCGCCCTCCACTATGACTCAAAACGAACGAAGGAAGAAGGCCCCAATCATGCATGATGCAGGTGTGCTAACATGTTACTTCGACCCAGGAAGATCTTCCGAGTCTTCGAGGCCGGAATCCGTGATGCTGCTTGCGGTTCGGGAGAAGAGGGAACGGGCGGTTGGATTGTTGTTGTTGTTGTTGTTGTTGCTGTTATTCCTGCAAAGAGCGGGGGGTTAATAATAATAAGACGGGGGGGGGTGGAAGGAGGGAGGTGGGAGAGGCTCACTGCTTGTTGATCTGACGCTGCTTGAAACCCGCGAGTTTCTGGGTTGCTGGGGAGAGGATGGCGTCCGAGGGGGAGATGTAGGGTCCGGATTGCTTGCTGTTGGGTTTGGCGAAAGCGTTCAGTATTCATTTATCCCAAGCTCTGTGATTGAGGCAGGGAGCGGAGGGGTTGGGTTCTTACTTGTTCGCATCGGCTATCCTCTGCTCCAAGGTCCGCTGCGCCTTGTTCTCTCCTCCAGTGGCCATCTGTTGTTGCTTCTCCGACGTATTGGTGGTATTGGCGTTGGAAGAAGCCATCTGGACGTTCGTGTCGCGGTCTTGCAGGGCAGACATGATTTTGGTTGTTGGTTGTAATTCTCTTTCTGACTGATTGTGTGTTGAAAGATTGTTTCCTCGGATGACGGAAGTTGCCTGGATAGACGTGGTAGATTATTGTGTTCTTGTAACAGAGCGAGCAAGGGTGGTTAAAGTAGTAGTAGTCTTGTTGGTTGGTTCAAGTTTCCATTGTTTTCCTCCCGCCAAAGCAGAGCCGTTACGACAGCAACGGTCCACGGGTGCCTTCTCTCCGCGCCGCGACTTCTGTCAGCGCTACTAGCGTCGGGAGCATCCGCACATCTTGGCATCTCCACGCTCCTCACACTTTCCGTCAATTTGGTTCCAAGGAAGCTGAGCAGACAGCGACGCCGTCGAACAATACCCACCACTGAAGACATCCGAGGGACACCGTCAAGATGCCTGTACGTTACTTCTTTTACGATGAAGAATCCAGCAAAACAATACTGATGGATGGCCACGCAGTCCCACAAGAGCTTCAGAACCAAGCAAAAGCTCGCAAAGGCGCAGAAGCAGAACCGCCCGATCCCCCAGTGGATCCGTTTGAGGACGGGCAACACCATCCGGTACGATATATGATATACTCAGCGAGCGACTCGCGAGGCTCTCGTCGATGGAGGACATATAACTAACCGCTTCGGATTGTGCAGCTACAACGCCAAGCGGAGGCACTGGCGCAAGACCCGCATCGGCATCTAGACGACTCGCCCTTCACGACCAAAGCACACGAAAAGCGGAAAAGGGAAACCATGTCATGCTGCACATTCGACTTCATTCATCATCATCATCGGAAGAGCGAGATTCGGTTTGGAGCCCCAGACAAAGAAAGGAATGACGGATGGCGCGTGGGCATGAGTGCGTTTTCTTGCTGCTGGCTGGGGATTTCCAATGGCGTTGACAATCGCGTTGAGTGCGATGGGATATGCTAGAGCCTTGCTTGCTCTGTTGCAAGAGAGCGTAGCCTACGGACGTGCAATGAGAAACCTCTTCTGAAAAGCCATCGTCGAACATCACTTTTTCCACGTCTTGCGCGGATGACTACGTCACGTGACAAGGCTTGAGCAATGCTGAGAGTTCTCTGGGTTTTTTATCTGCCTGTAATGCTGTTTGCTCAGTGGCAAGCGAGCGACGCTGCACCCTCATGCCAACGAGGCGAGGTCAGAGCCTCCAGAAGCCACCGAGCGCAAGAGCGCTGACTCGTTTCCTGCTGCAATAGAAAAGACAGCCTGAGCAAGAACGCGGCTCATGCACCTATCTGTCACTTCGCTCTGGCTGAAACTGTAGATGCACCCGGCAGAAGAGTCCGTTAACCCGTCTTCTGCTGCAATAGAAATCCAGCCGGCATGCCCGTATCAACAACCAAAAACCCCTCCTCCCCCTTACCCAACAACCCGACATCCCCCTTCTTCTTGCCCACGAAATGCTCCCACAACTTGACGCTCCCGCCCTGGAAGCGCATCACACAACTACTCCCCGCATAAGCCACGCGATCCCCGATTTCAATCTCCTCGCCGTGCTCGGGCATCCGCACCGCGCCCACCGCCTTCCCCTCACTCCCACAGCGATTCGCAAACACCACCACCGCCGCCTCCGCCGGCTGCCGGTCCACAAACGGCCAGAAGCGCTCCAGCCAGTACGCCACCGTTTCCATGTCCGGGCGCTCGGGTTCCGCCGCGCAGGCCTCGGGCGTCAGGCGCGTGAGCCACGCCATGCTGAGGAGCACCAGTTTGCAGTTCGCCTGGAGCATCGTGCTGGCGAATTCGTAGTGGCGCCAGTCGGACTGGAATTGGTACGGGTTGATGTCCATGCAGATGCCGTGGCCGACGTTGCCGCCGTGCGGCAGCAGGGAGGGGATAGGTGCGGCGAAGAAGGGTTTCTGCTCGGGCGTCGAGCGGAAGCCCTCGGCGGCCCACGTCTCGTCGGTGTAGTAGAGGAAGGATTTCCTGTAATTGGCCAGCACGGCGCCGTTGGGGCCGACGAAGACGGTGGAGTTGTAATTCTTCGTCGCGCTGCTTCCGTCTGCTGCTGTCTCGGTGGCGATCTCGGGATAGCCTACGACGACCGTACATTGCCGCTGCGTCGCCGTCTTGATCGCCCATTGCGTCGTGGGGCCTTGCGCGGTGGGTTCGAGGAACGGGCGGATGGCTTCCAGGTTGGGGAAGTTGTAGCCTGAAAAGGCCATTTCGGGGAGCACGAGGAGGTCCAGGTTCGTCTGGTTGGAACTGAGGAGGTAGTCCGCATGACTGACGTTGTAAGCAAACGCCCCGAGATTGGGGTTGAATTGCAGAACGGCGATTTTCATGTTGGAAGAAAGGTATCTTCGCGTGCTCTCGAGAGTTCGTTCAGGGAGATGGAGTGATGATATTGTTGTTCGTCGTGGTGTGTTGTTTCCGCTATCAACTTCGGTCCATTCTTTCCATGCGCTCCATCAAATACTGTCGTCCAAGAAGTCTGCGCGTTGCTTCCGCCGTCTCGTGGAAGTCGATGCAAATGGTAAGTAAGTAGCTTTGGGAGGAATGTTGTGCTGTATCTTCAACAATTGTAAGGTTCAGAGGCTTGGCGTTATACTTTTTTGCCAACTCGTGATATGATTGGGGAGATGGTGTCGGTCAACGTCCAGGTGAGGTTGTTTTCCTCCCGCCTTGGCCGGGTGAACTTTCATCTCTGTCAATCGGCTACTCCGCTTCGAGCGACGAACCAGCAATCAACTTCTTGGAGCATAGTAAGGTATGAAGTTGAACTCATGACCACAACGACGAAATAAGGAAGGCAAGAATTGGGCACCTGCCGTAATTGGACAGCCTGCAGCTAGGAGGGAACCACTTGACATGTGCGACACCTCGAGGAATCTCGTGAAAATCTATACACGCTTTCAGAACATCTTCCATTTCCATGAGTACCTGCGTAATCTCGCGCCTGTTCAACTTCGAAAGGTCAAACAAGGCAAAGCAATTCTCGACCGTTTCTTCTTGATCCCACCACTGCAGCATGCAACCAATCAATCAATCAAACAAGCAAGCAAATAACAGCAGCAATCACCAAGCTTCTCTCGTAATACATCAGTCGTGAATCGAACAGTACGCGCACACGAAACAGCACAAGGAGCAAGTCGGTGGTCGATCGAGAGCGTCTTTCTTTTCCCTTCGAGGTGGTGGTGTCCAAGAGCGTCTGCCATGTCCCAGACAAGAAGTGCAACAGCGCGCCGCGACCAGATGATGCAGTCCGTATGCTAAGCAGCACACAGCAGCTTCTCCGCCATGCGACGCCCATTGCGCCCCAGAAGATGCCAAATCGCAGAAAAAGACAACAACTCCCCAGCAGCAGTAGCGGCGGTAACAAACGCAGAAACACAAACAGCAGCCGTTCAATTAGTACCCAGATTCTTTTGAAGGTCATCCTCCATCCGGTGTTTTTTGATGTCAGTAATGCAATCGCGCGAGCATGAACCGTAAAGTCGATGCAAAAAGGGGGTGTCAGATTGTCGTTGGTTCGTCGTTAGGCGGGCAGCGAGCTCCTAGATTCTTCTCTACTTTCATTTCTCGTCGTGTCGGTCGTCCGATCGTCAGAGTTCTTTTTGTCGTTAGACTTCGTCGAGAAAGCGTTCGTCGACGGGGGTTACAAGATCCTGTCGATTCGCTTTCTTGGTTTGGATGCTAGTCATGCTTCGTTAAGTCATGCTTTCATGGGAAGTGTCTTCCCGAATGGATCGGTGAATGGACTCGTCGCTCGCAAGGTTGTCGCCACTAATGCTCCACAGTGATCTCGGCAGCGCTGCTCTGTTGGGAAATCTCATCGCTATTGCGCTGGACGTGACCATTCTGTCGGCGCGGAAATCCAGACCCACGCTCAGGGAGAGGACCGCGCGGCTGGCGTTCGGGACCACCCTGGAGGGCGCTGCGGCTGGAGGAGCGGTCATCGTAGTTGGTGCTGAAGGATCGGTTGCTGCCGATGGGACCCGGATTTTCCCGATCCCACGAGGAGATTCCGCGTACGCCACGCGGGCTGCCACCGAATCCAGGGCCAAGGTTCATGTTACCGAGCCCATTGATGATGTTGTTGGCGTCGCCACGGTCAGCAGTGCTCGAGATGGGAGTCATGAGAGTCGGCGTGTTCGACTGTGCGCTGTCCCGGCCAAATTCTTGCAGTCTGGCAACGTTGTGGCTCAGAGCGGCTGGGAAGCTTGCCGTGGACGGGACAGGCGATGGAGTGTACGAGCGGAGGTCAGCAAAGGACTTGGCCGAGCGCAAGTTATTGCCAGCTGCAAGCCCACCAGGCGAGTCGTGGTAGCCACCCAAGTATCCGGAGGCCTGATGGCGGAGAGGGCCGCCGTAGTAGTTCTCGTTTGCGCGGACATCACTGAAATCCGTGGTGGCAGCGCGGTTCAAGGCACGTCTTTGATCGCCGTTGTGCAGGTTGGGGAGAGACGGCATCGGTGGGCTGAGTCGTTGACGACCCTCCTTGTATACGTGCACTGCGCGGCGATCGGCCTCGCCTTTCGACATGTGGCCAAGACCCATATGGTGCGCGAGAGTGTGGACGATTCTTCGCTCAGGAGGCGATAGGGTCGGCGAAAAGATGAGCATGTCTCGAGCGGTGTCCTCTTTGAAGAGCAGCAGCTTGGAGTAATACTGAAGGGCTTGCGGGTCGTTCAGGTCCACGTCGACACCCGCTCCAGGGTCTGGGAAAGAAGCGGGGAATCCCACACCCATCTTCTGGTTGCGTGCAGTGACGGGCGACGGCGATCCAGCAAGCACGCGAGAAGAGAGCGACGACGCGGAGGCCTGCGTTTGCAGGGCTTGTGGTGCCATGGGCCGATGTTGCTCCTCCAACTGTCCTCGTCGCTCTCGCTTCTCTCGCTCGATCCTCTCGCGCTCAGCAGCAGGCAACATCTTCTTGTACTCGACTCGCAGCTTCCGCCCATTAAGCTCGAAGTGGTTCATCGCGTCAATCACAGTCGCGGTCTCCTCTGGATTCGTAAAGTTAGCAAAGGCCAGTCCGCGGAAGACGCCATTGTCGAAGTGGTAGTTGAATGCGTATGGCAGCGGAAGACCCATCTCGGTCATGATGCCAACAAGCTGCTCCTTCTTGATGGCGAACGGGATGTTCTTGATGACGATGGCCGTCGGTATGAGCTCCTCGTCTGGCTCGGACATGTCCTGGCGGCCCACCTGCTGTCCGGACATGCCTCCCAGGCCCGCCATGAAAGGGTTCATCTGCATCTGCTGGTTCTGGTCAAGCCAGGCCTGTGTGTGTGTGTGTGTCAGATGCCGTGTCTACATTTCCGATACGCATCCGAAGAGACTTACCGAAGGCAAGCCCGACCTCCCGGCGCGCGAGGGCGGCTTCCTAAGACCCGAGCCTCCGAGGCCATTCAAGGTATTGTTCTGTCCAAAGGCGCCGGTGTTCCATGACTGCGCTCCCATGTCGTAGCCGTTGCCGTAGCCGCCCACTGTCGCATTGCGCATGTCGTTGTACCTGTTGCCGTTGAACTGGGCATGATCTTCGGCGGTATACAGACCGGAGGGAAGATGGCCGTATGCCTCGAACTGCTGGCGGGAGGCCTGGCGATGGAGGGAGTTCTGGCGCTGCGAGGTGGGCGAGCGATTTGATGGATTGTCGTAATACATGTCGAAGTTGGGGTTGTTCATGGTGGCGGGCGGCCGAGTTGTTGCGGTGAAAAAAGCCTGCTGAGAGATGCGGGTGGTGGTGGTGGTGGTGGTCTCTGCGCTGCTAAGAGACCGCCAAGCAGCACTAAGATGACGGAGCTATATTGGATGCGGCCGTTCGGAGATGAGATGAGATTGGTCGGCGGAGTGTATATGTTGCAGGGGAAGGTGCGGATGCGCACTGCTCGCGGTGCAGGCGCAAGCGGGCAGGGCGATGAGCGGGTGCAGCGACAGGATCTGTGTGCCGAGCGCTCTGGCGGTGGTGGTGACGGGCGACGTCGGGGGAGAGCAGGCGGATGGCGCGCTGTGGAGGTCGAGGCGAGCGGAGGGAACAAAGAATGGAGGTGGCACCAAGGGGAGCCAGGACTGCGCGAGTGCGGTGCGAGGAGAGCAGGTGCTGCGACGTGAGGTGCGTTTCGTGCCGAGTGTAGTGTAGTAGCTAGCACAGTAGCTCTGCTCTGTTGCTGAGGCTAGAAGAAAGTCAGACAGCCCGTCCGGCACCAGGGCGCGGCGGCAACCACGTCAAGAATTCCGTGTGCCTGCTGACACACTCGCACACACTGCACGGGCAGCTGATCACTGCACTCGCAGCTTGTCACTGTAGTGCCCGAGGGCGTGTGGTGATGGCGAGGGTGAGGGGGATGTAGAGAGCGTGATGGCGGCGAGGTGAGGCGCTGCAGAGGGCAGGAAGGGGCACAGGGTGCGAGAAGCAAGAAGAAGAAGAAGAAGAAGAAGTGCCTGACGGTAGGGCGTGGGCGGTGAGAGAGGGATGGGTGAGTCCCTGGGACTTGGGGGAGGCAGATCTCCTTAAAGAAAAACCGTAACGGGTGCGAAGTTTAAAGGGGCCCGGGGAAGCAGGCACTGGCAGGCGTCGACAGGCGTGGACAGACAGGCACTAACAAGTTGCGCTGCAGCGGCGGCGATGCGATGTGCCTATTCATGATGATGATGATATTTCCATCCCCTTCCCTTCACACGACACCCTCCCTACCTACGCCTACGCTAAGGAGATGATATGATGAGCGCACTTGCCGCCTCATCTCCTCTCCCTGCCCTGCGCTGCGCCGCGCCGTGCTGCACTGCACCGCTGCTGGCTCGAGACAGCCCCGAAGAATGTGAGGTCGTCTGCACACAGACCGGCGTGCAGGCAGGTGAGCGACAGTGTCCAGGAGGCCATACCGTGGCATTACCTTATCCTGCTCCGGTTCGGCACAGGAACGGCTGCCGAACGGCCTCCTCCCTCCCCATCGCTGCCTCACCACCACCACAATAATGACCGACCACACCGGCTGCGCTGCGTCTCCAACCCTTTACTGTACACGACGCGCGCAGCGGCTGCCGTACGAGGACGTCTGCGAGAGCGACGCGACTCATGCACTTCCAACCTGCATGGCTGCTTGGCTACCCTCTTAGCTGCATGCACTTCATCTGCTCGTCGCCTACCACTCCCATCCAACGAGACGTATACTGTAGGTCTCGGGGCCATCCACCACCACCACCACCACCCGTCTGCACTCGCTACCATCAAATCACACCTCGCCCATCACCTGCCTCTGCCTCTGCGTCCGCCACGCCACTTCCTCGCCCGCAGCTGCAAGAGAATACATGTATCAGAATCTACATGTACATGTATCCACCCGCTGCAGACTCGCTCTGCCTTATCTCCCTCCCCGACCGACCGACCTGTGACGCTACCCTACCGGCTTCTCATCCCTCCCGCTGATCATTCTCGTGGCATCGAGCGGCTTCCGGCCCGCCCCTTCAAGCTCATCCTTCTAGAGACCACTCCAAATTTTGTCTGGCTCTCTCCGAGATGACCGTGATCCCCTTTTGCTATTAATGTCTCCACGACATCGCCCCTCCGCGCCCTCCTGCTCGCACCGAGACACTCCCACCCGTGCAGAGACGCGCAGCCAATCTACCTTCGCCTGCTCGACGCAGCTGTCATCCGCCCTCGACCGTGCAGCATGCACACTGCAGCATCCTCGCTTGCACTCGCATGCATCCTATCGTATCCGCGGCAAGCATGCATGCGAGACTCGAGCGGTCACTTTCCATCCGACGTGCCCATCGCATGTAGACACAACGACAGCGACCGCCTGCGCCTGCCCCAAACCTTGTGTGCCGGCGACACAGGGACCCACTCGCGGTAGGCTCTTGGGGACGCGTGCACCGCCCACGGTCTTTGTTACGGTATAGCTTCGGACGCGCCTTCCTGCCCCTCGCTCGAGCGCATCCCTCCCTGCTGTTTCCTTCGCTTCCATCGATCTTCCAATCTTCCAATCTTCCAATCTTCTCGTGATTGGTGCCCTTGCTGTGATATCCAATCCATCACGCATCTCAAGGCCATCAGGTGACTTTGGGACCAAAAGCCACAGACAAAATCCACTCACTCCGTCATACGTGACGCCGCGCGACGCAGCGGCATCGAGTGTCGCCCTCCGAAGACCTGGTCTTCCGAGCACAAGCGACTACCCGCTGTCAAAGGAAGCTGACAAGGTCCAGCCGGTCTCCCCGCTCGACATACTGCACTGGTCCTCTCGCGAAGCTGTTCCGTTCCGGGCACACAACCTTCGCAGTTGGCAACGTGACACGTGCGACTCCTCGAATAGAATGCAATCGAGCATGAAACCGATCTGAAACCGACATTCAGGCTGGCAGAGATTTCATCATGTCCAGGGATCTGGAGAGATTCCGACATGCATCTTGACAAAGTATGCTTACACCCCATCTCCTGGTTGCCATGGGCATTAATTACGTACCTCGCAATGCGGTGTAAGGTACGCACGCGCCCATCAAATCCACCAGCAGTCACGAGCTTATCAACATGGTGTGGCACTTGAGCATCAAAGCACTGGAGGCGAGCTGGTCCTGTTTTAACAGAAGGCCTCGTAAATGTTGCATCAAGGCTCCATGGCGCTGACGGCGTAGCCGTGAGTGTCGTGATCGAGGTTGAACTAACCTTTAGGTCTTGGATACTCCGCCGGCGTTTTACGAAATCGGAAGCGTTTTTCGAAATCAGGCCGATTTCCGACTTCCCTACGATCTTAAGTATTCAATCGAGCATTAATCTAGCGCTGTAAATAGCTTTAGCTTCTTGGCATATATACTAACCTCTTACGGATAGAATCTATTAAATATATTAAATTTTAATTAATACTTTACTAATTCTAAGCTACCTAGAAATAGAGCTATCGCTAAAAAGTAAGAGTAGAGTATTTACGTTATACCGGGGGCGGAAGCTAGAAGACGAGAGTACGACGAGAGTATAGCGAAATCGCTTACGAAAGTATTAAGAAAGATAATTTCGAAATCGAAGCGATTTCGTAGCTAGAACTACTTAATACGGATAGTAAGTAGCGAGCTTTACGAAAGCGATTTTAACGCCCGATTATAAGTATTTAATATACGGATTCTAGAAATCGCCTACCGATTTTCGAAAGCGGCGCCCGATTTCGAAAAACGCTAGCGGAGTATTTAAGGCCTTACGCTCTAACTTTAAGCTTCCGTAAGAATGCTCGAGGTTGCTACCCTACTAACCGTACCTACCGCTAGCCCTTAGAGCTTTAGTCGAAATCAAACGTATATAGCTAGGAAGAAAGGACAGAATTCTCTATAGACGACGATAATAAACAGATTAGCGGTACGAACAGTATCTACAACCTTCGATTATTCTTAGTCTACTTATTTGGATCTAATAGAATTTGGCTACCATACTACGGGACATAACTGTAATAGGAACCTATAGACTCGATTAAGACCGGTTTAATTCGGCTCTTAAAGTAACAATTCGCTAAACCCGCCCTTTATAGAGAAGACCGCATAATCTGCATTCACAGTGTCGAATCCACTTCCAACTAATTAAGACTTACCTATCTTGTTAGCCTCCTTATAAAAGCTGCCCCGAGAATTGGAATCTTCTCGCCCTTCGTCTCGAGGCGAAACGTTGGTAGGTACTTGGAGAAATAATCGACATTTTTGGAGATAGAGAAGCTAAAACCGGCAGTCTTTGATTGGACAACCGATACAACGTATTACTTAGACAGTAATGGAATGCGTTCAATTTATGGAGAGAGTATTCGCTCTTTCTACTCCTTGGCCTCAGGCATCAAAACACGCATGGTCCAAGCTCAAGCTCTTCGTTCTTCCTTCCTCCAAACTTCTTTTCACACTCATCCACATTCAGCCCGTCCAACCATAAGCTCGCCTCAACATGGCCAACACCACGTCCGCCGCGCGCCCAAAGCGAGCAGGCGAAGACTTTGCGCGCTCACACGACAACACATCCAAGAAACCCCGCTTCGACTACCGCAACCCCAGCACCCTCGCGGCCGACGCGCCGGAAGAAGACCTCATCCTCGACGCGGACGTGATTGGGAAATCCGGCGCTCAGACGAAACGGAATGCAGTGAACATCGATGGGTACGAGTCTGATTCGGATAACGATAATTTCAACGCGCGAGCGGCGGAGAAAGAGAAAAGGAGGGGTGCGGAGAAGAAGAGTCTAGATGAAGAGGATGACGACATGTTTGCGGATCTGGAAGAGAAGGATGGAGACGAGGATGAAGAGAGAGCGCGAGAGGGGAAGAAAGGGAGGAAAGACGTGAGATTTCAAGCCATGGAGGAGATTGAAGGACAAGTGATGAATAGTAAAAGCGGGGGACATGTCTCTTCCGACCTCTTGATGGGCAGCGGGAGGCATCAGGGCAAAAGGAAAAGAGGAGAAGAAGAATCGGAATCGGAAAGCTCGGGCGACGACTCGGACCGCGATCGACTCGATCCCGAAATGGAAACCGATCTCGCGCAGGAAATCGGAGCAGGAGGCAAGAAGAAACACGCCCCGCGATTAGACGCCTTCAATCTCCGAGCAGAAGAGGACGAAGGGCGATTCGACGCGAGCGGGAATTTCGTGAGGAAGGCGGTGGATCCGGACGCGGCGAATGATAACTGGTTGGAAGGGCTGCGCAAGAAAGACATGCGACGCGCCCGGGAAGCGCAGGAGAAGAGGGAAGACGACTTGCGAAGGAAGGCCATCGAGGACGATGCGGTCCTGACGTCGGATCTCCTGGATCGGTTGATTGGGCGATTGGAGACGGGCGAGACTCCGCTGGAAGCCCTGGCGAGGCTGAATCGGGGCAAGACGAAGACGAAGAAGAAAGAGGCCAAGGTTCCCAGATGGAAACTGAAACGCCTCCAGCAACAAAAGGAAAACCGCATGCAAGTGGACGATGAGCGCGCGGCAAATGGCGCCGCCGCCGACGATGGAAAGGCAACTCTCGCTCCCACCGCGGAGCAGGAGGAGGGGGAGGAGAAGGAGGAGGAGGAGGAGAAAGCGCGCAAGACGGCCGTCGAAGCCCTCACCGGCGCCGCGGACGCGCTCTACTCCCGCGGCCAGCACGAAATCTACGAAGCGGAGAGGGAACTCCTCCTGCGGCAGTATCGGCGGGAAACCGGCGAGGATTGGAAGCCTGCCCCTGCCCCTGCCCCTGAGCATCATCAGCAGCAGCCCACTGGTGAGAAAGCAGCAGCAGCAGCAACATCGAATCTCTGGCATTACCGCTGGAGCGATGCGAGGGATGGCGGCGAGGCACATGGGCCCTACGACGGAGGTACGATGAAGGCGTGGCATGATGCGGGATACTTCGGCGAAGGGGTGGAATTCCGACGGGATGAGCATGGGGAGTGGAGTAGGTTGTTGGATATCACTTGAACAGAAAAGGGAGAGCAGGATAGCAACTGCGAACTGCGAACTGCGAATTGCGAAAATGTGGCCCCCCCAAGAACAATGATCTCTCCCGACAGGGGAAAAGATGAAGATAATGGCATTGAAACCTCTGATCTCTTTCCCGGTTCAGATTCACGTTCCGGATGCCTCAGGCTTCCAATTGCTGTGTGTGAGGGAAAGAGAGAGAGAGAGAGAGAGGGGGAGAGAGAGGGACAGAGTGAAGGGGGAATTTTGCATTTCTCGCCTCCAATTCGAGGATCTATCTACGACCGGAGTGTCCCATCACAGCTCGCGACAGCCGCAACATGCCAACGCTAGCGGCTGGGGGATTTGTCCCCAATGAGTTCCACGGCCTGGCATGCATGGTCTCTTCACATGTGAAATCCCCACAGAGAGTGCTAGCTAGCTGCTCCATGCAGGGCGCACGCATGTGGAGCTTTGTCGATGAGAGGACTGTGTATCTCTCTCTCTCTCTCTCTCTCTCTCCAATGCAGCAAGGTTTTCCACGCCTCCCGGGGACGAACGGGGGAACAATGGGAGTAATAAGGCTCTTGGGGGGGGGCACTTGTAGGACATATCTCACCCCCTCGGCCAATCCCAAGAATGTAATAAAAGCCGAATGCGGCCTTCTCTGCGCTCGTCGTCGTCACTGCCGCCGCCGCCGCCGCCGCCGCCGCTCTGTCCACGCACCGGAGTTGCTCGGGTCCCACGAGCGAGCGCCAGGCGCGCGCCTCGTGAGGGTTCATGACCAGCACGGCAGACGCCTTTGGTGTCGGGAGGGGGAAAAGTGCCGGCGGAAAAGCCACAAGGACGGCGGTCACGATAGACGAGTTTTTTCCAATCGTGGTAGGAGTGCCATGGGCACTTTTTCCTGACGTGGTTCAACCGGCACTCGAGACGGAAGGTTGGCCGCGATCCCGGTAGAGGTCGTCGAGGTGGAGAGCGGCTTCCAGATCCATGAGGCCCGTCTTATTCGGCCCTTTGGACCAGTCGTGCGATTTCCTATCATGGGACGAGTCGGATGGTAGCGAGAGTTGACGATTCTGGTGATTCCGATCCTCGTCGTGGGCCCTCTTGCGCCTGGCCTGTTCCACGTCCACAAAGTCTCCGCGGAGCCCGTCGCTGAGCAGGCTGCCCATGCGATCCATCTTGTGCTGCTTCAGGCGATCGAGAGCGGTCTTGAAGTCGTCGAGGACGATGGTGTCGGTGAGGCATTTGAAGACGAAGGCCAGCTTCCAGAAGGGATTGAGGCCGTCGGGCAGGGCGCCACTGTCGATGACGTGGGTGACGGAGAGGAGGTCGATGAGGATGAAGATGATGCTGACGATCATGGCGGACAGGAGGACGCCGAAGCGCGGGGAGACGCGGACGAGTTCCCAGTAGCCGAATTCGTACTTCTGCTTGATGTTCCAGAAGAGGTTGCAGGCGGTGAAGATCCACCATGGATCGCGGAAGAGGGCTTCATAGGGTCGGGTGTGGACGAAGAGGTCGTTTCGGTTGCTGAAGTAGAGCTGTATCAAATACATGTGTGGTCAGAAGGTGTGTGCATGGACGGACGGGGTTGCTTCATGTGGAAGAGGTACAAAGTTTGCGACGATCTCGACGACCCAGTACGGCTGGACGAGGATGACGGTGGCGATGTAGATGAGGGAGGCCTTGTTGCCGAGGAAGGGCTTGTTCTTCATCCAGGCGATGACATTGTGGAGACTCCAGCTGATGTTGAGGAAGACGGCGGTGGTGCTATGCAGAGGCTGGTTAGTGGGGGCAGCTGGTATATATATATATATATATATAATCTCACCTTAGATACCAGTTATACACTGGTGGATCTGCGGCACATGTCAAGATGCGGCCATGTCATGTTGTCCTGCATTCGGACTCACTGGTGAAGATGAAAGTGCCGTGCAGCGTCCCGAAGAGCAGCTATGGTGGCGTGATGTGAGTGAGCGGGGCGTGTTCTGGTTCTGGTTCTTGTTCTTGTTCTTGTTTGTGGGGGGGATCGCTCGTGCTCACCTCCATGACGATCAACTTGTGCAGGAGCACCTTCCTCCGCATGTTGGCGACGGCGAGACAGGCCATGATGATCAGGCTGCCGACCATGTACCCTTCCGCCCACGCCTCGATGGTCAGGCCGGTGCCATCCGCCGGTTTCTCCACGTCCAGAGTCATATCCGACTGGTCCATGTCACGATGGGGTGGTGGTTAGGCGAGATGCAGGTGCGATGCGCTCATCGGCCATGGCCCATCGTCCACGCTCTGCTGCTAAGGTATGCTACGATATGATATGATATGGACAGAAGGCGTGCGCGATCGGATCGGATCGGCGGGGACGTAGTTGAGGAGGAGGTGGTGGGGATGCAGATGGTGTGGGAAGAGGACCGGGCATGGTCAAGAGACAGGAAGTGCGGAATGGTGGAGTAGAGGGTCATATACCTACCTACGGTACCTTACCCCAAGGACGGTTTCCTTCGTACCAAGCCTAGCCTCGCCTCATCAGCTGCCCGCACGTTGCCCAGCACAGCACAGCACAGCAGGTGCTGACCTTTGACTGTCCATTCTTGCACCTTTCTCCACATTTGGCTCGGCAGCCCCCTCGCACACTCGGACCGGCCGGACGAGACGGGCAGGACAGGGCCGCAATCGGGAAGTCGATGTCGCACACGGCTCTCCCATGCTCGTCCTCCTCCTGCTCGTCCTCCACGGGGAAGTCGCTGCTGTCAATCACCAACAGTCATGGCTATAATGGCATGACATGTGACCGGTACAGATCCCGTGAGCCGGCGGATAGCGTCCGTGCGGTGTCTGTCCTAGGGCTTCGGCCATCACTGCCGGCGGTCGGAGTACAGAACTCGTCCATCTTGGACATGTCCGGCAACATCCAATGGACGTCAGTCAGTACATCCGATGGACCTCATCAATCCCATCATTCATGAGTGGCACAGCAGCACACATCACCGACTGCGCATCCAGCATCCAGCATCTCGACATGTTCGCCCGGTGAAGTGACCACGGTCCATCCTGTGCTTTCCGCCAAGGCCTCATGAGAAGCCATCGCGCAGCCGGACGTTGTTGGACCGTCAAGCCTGGGCGTGGTGGCGGCGGAGAGGGCTGGCTCGAGCAAGAGGTGCTTTGTCGTCAGCCCTCGGTGTGGTGGAAGCAGCACGCCATCTGCAACCCCCATTGCCAATCCTGCACCATCTCGACCGCCTCTTCTCTCGCACGCACCTCTCCGCCACCGCACGCTCGGGAGACAGATATCGCAAACAACATGCTCTTGCACCGCATGCCTTGGGCTCTGGTCCGCCTCTCATCTCTTAATATGGGTAACTTCGGCGCACATGATGGTCGCCTGCGAGCAACCCGGTCGCCACTAGCCTCTCTGTGCGTGACCTCCCTCCCCACCGACGATAGACTCGACCAAATCTACGATAGTGACGTGGTAGTGCTCTTTGCATCGCCTTGCACCGGCTATCTCCCATATACCATCCATCACGCCAGAGCGGGCCTCTGCTGTGGAGTGCACCTCGAGGCCATGTGCCAACACCGCCGAGCCATTGATAATGAAGCCTCCAGACCGTCGACATGTCTCCATCTCTTCGCTGCCATTTCTCGTCCATCGTAAACATTGTCCATCTCTGAGAGCAGGCATCGCTAATCGGCAATCCCACCGAAAATGCTCATCACTTGGCTTTCGTTGTCCATATTCAGTCTGCTGGCACAACCAACGTTATGCGCGCCAATCCGCTCGAGAGGAGCAACACTGGAGCACCGTCTGTCGAAAAGAACCATTGCAGGACCCAAGATCGACGGGGCCAACTTTCCAGGTACTTGGAACTTCATATTCGAGGGGCAACGGAATGACTGAGTGTTACACAGACCCGTCCATCATCAACGTCAACGACGTCTGGTATGCCTTTGCCACGAGAACCATCGGCTCTACCATCCATGTCCAAGTAGCCACCTCCACCGACTTTGAGACCTGGAGCATGCGGTACAACGACGATGGCTCCCAATTTGACGCACTACCAGACCTGCCCTCGTGGGTTGATGACTCTACCGTCCTGTCGTCGAAAGTATGGGGCCCAGATGTGAATGTGCTGGTAAGACTGCCAACTCTCTCTCTGAACAAGATCTCCAGCAAGGCTAACATTCATTCCTAGGACGATGGTACAGTAAGTGTATCCAATCGAATAACACAATGCAGAGACTAATACATGGGGAAATCAGTATATCATGTACTATAGCGCCACCACAACATCGGACAACACCAAACACTGCGTTGCCGCGGCTACATCCAGCACCGTCCAAGGACCCTACACGCCTCAATCTGGTACATTGTTCTGTCCTCTCGCCAAAGGCGGAGCCATCGATCCCGCCGGTTTCAACGACAACGGCCAGCGATACATCGTATACAAAGTCGACGGCAACTCCATCGGTAATGGAGGCTCCTGTGGCAATGATGGTAAGCCATGCTCCCTTCAGACTCCCGGTCGTATCCACTCACCCATGCAACTCAGTCTCACCCTACGTCTCCACCGCTCTCCTCCTCCAACCGGTTACCTCGGACGGATACACGCTGCAAGGCACCGCTACGACCCTCCTCGACAACGCCGGCGCCAGCGACCAAGGCATCGTCGAAGCGCCCGCTCTGGTGAAATCCGGGTCGACCTATGTTCTCTTTTTCAGCTCGGGCTGCTATACCACGGGAAACTACAATGTCGACTATGCCACTGCGAGCTCTCTCGAGGGTCCTTATACCAGAGCTGGGAGCGCCCTGATCGTTACGGGGACCAGTGGGTTGACTGCGCCCGGGGGTGCGGATGTCACCAAGGACGGAGAGAGATTGATTTTCCATGCGACTTATGGTTCGGGAAGGGCGCTCTACACGAGTACGATTCAAATCGCGGATGAAGCGGTTACTCAAGCTTAGATATATCCCTTGATTGCTGCTATAATGTTAGGGCAGGTTATAGAGTGATGATGATTAATGTGGCGGTACAAGATACCCTTTCTTTACTCCTTTTTTCTACTCCACTCCTCCACTCCTTTCTTTATGTATTCACTCCTCACAAACCACAACCTCCACCACCGCCCCCCTCCCTTCCTCCCTCACAACCCTCACCCCCTCCCTCAACGCCTCCTCCAACTCCCCTCCTCCCCCACAACCACCCCCCCCCCCCCCGCCCCCCCCGGGGGGGGGGGGGGGGGGGGGGGGGGCCCCCCCCATAATCCACCCCTTCAATCCCAACTCCAATCTCCTCGTCGCTACTCCCCGCCGCCACACCCCGGCTGCAACACATCCTCAATAGCCAACCGCGTAGCTTTCCACCCCCCCATTATTAATCACAATAGTCAGAATGGGACGCTGAAGAAATTTCTTCTGCGCGTGGAAAGGTTGCCGTCGGGTGGGAGGAGAGGAAAGGCGCCGTCGGATGTGATTGCGCATACAAAATTCTCCTTCTTCTTCTTCTTCTTCTCCTCGTCTTCCTCCTCCTCGTTTTGGGTGTTGGGGGTTAGCTTTGTTCATTCATCAGTGCGAGTCTCACCCCCCATGGCGGCGGCGGGTACGGCCCAACCCAGGCCGCTGCCGCCTTTGGAATAGATCTTTCCCGGTGTCGTGGTGTAGGGCAGGCAGGAGGTGGGTGGTTAGGAGGTTCGTGGTTGTTACGGCGTCGTGGAGGTAGATTGTGGGTTTTTGGGGAGGGTGAGGGGGAGGAGAAGGGAGGGATTTCCTCCCTTCCTGGAAAGATGCAAGCCTAGGGTCGGTCCGCCGTGAGAAATCCAACAAGCTGCCGCAAGGCCTGCGCCGCGTCCGCCCAGAAAGTCGCCGTGGCTTGCAGGTCAAACAGTTTGGATCCGCTCTTTACGGGCGTCGAGGTCGATGTGGAAGATTTTCGCCTCAGGGGATGGGTCGGACTTGAGTTGGGATCCAGGGGACGTCGCAGTCGAGGACGAGGATCACGTCTGCTTCTCGGATTGCACGCGCTGCCGTTACTGCGCCTGTTGTGGGAGAAGGAGAGAGATGGAGGCGTGGTGGTCGGCGGGGGGAAGGACATGTAGCGCATTTCGCTGTCGAGGACTCGGATGCCCTGGAGGAGGTCGGCGAGTTCGATGAGGGTGTGCACGGCGGCGTGATTGCGGCCCAGATAGCCCGTGTGATGACGAGCGGGTTCGATGCAAAGAGGAGCGCATCGCTGATCTCTGCGACGGCGTCTTGCGGAAGCCCACCCAGGCAGGCGACAGGATCCGAGCGGGAATTTCTGACGGTACACTGCCTCCGACGCAGACGAAGCGAGCACCTCCCTCGTAGCGGTCAGATCCACCGGCCCCGGCGACCCGCTCGTGGCCATCATGACCGCCCGATTCAACCAGCCCTTTCGCATGTTCCGCAATTCTTAATCTCAAACCGCATACCTTGCATAAGGCGCCACGAGCGCTCTCTGATCCGGCACGTCCTGATACCAGTGCACATGCTCCGACCGCGAGCCGGGCAATTTCCCCATTCAATGTGCTTGGAGCCAGACCCGCGAAGATCAGCACGGGCACGCGCCCCGTCGAGGCATTGTGCAGCGCCTGGCCCAGCGCCGCCGTGCCGACGTCGACGTGCACGAGGACGCATTGCGGCTGGCCGGTGACGCGGGCGTAGCCGTCTGCGGCGGAGAGGGCGGGGAATTCGTGCTGGAAATTCAGCAGTTGGGGTGAGGGTTGGGAGGCTTGCTGGCGCTGGAGGTACGCTTCGATCAGGCTGGGGTGGTCGGAGCCGAGGACGGCGAAGATGTAGGCTACGTTGTTCTGGGGAGGTGTCAGTTTTCAAATGTATCGGTTTGTATGAGAGCAGGTACCGACCTCGGCGAGTGCTTCGAGGAAGACGTCGGCGACGGTGTACCGTGCGTGGGTGAGAAGCCATACTTGCTGACGCAGTGATGCAGAATGGGTTGTCGGACGAAGGTAGGGAGACAAGATGCGAGAAGGTGTAGCGCTTGTCGAAGATTTGAAGTATGAAGCTTGGCGGTCTGCCCCTGGTTTTGACGATGGCAGGTGACGTTGACTACCTCGCGGACGAAACAAGCGGCTTAGGCTGTGATCGGCTCGAGATTTCGGACGAATGCCATTCGTTTGTAGCGCAATCAGTACTATTGATCGAATAGAAATTTCCTGGTTGCAGGTACTGACCCAGGCGCCGAGCCGTTGGGAAAAGCCCTGACATGTGAAAGCCCAGATTAGCGTCAAGCTTGACTCACAGGGTCCATGCAAACGCACCTGCCTCACTTACCAACTTCAGCTTGAATCCATCTCACTTTCGAAAAGCCAGACTACTTCTCCAATCCTCCAACTCCCAAGCCGGAAACAACGACGATCCCCATCGACGACACCGCACGACATTCACAACAGCTCCCGTCACACGCTGCACGTCGCTGTTCCTGTTCGGTCTGCACACACCCAAACCGCCCACGACATGCGACAATCTCCTCCCATCACCGCTCAGAGGCCGGAGCATCATCATCGTCCCGCCTACATTCCTACGCCAAAATCTTCCACGGAATGGGCGAGAATGAGCCTCCCACCAGATCACGGAGCCCACGGCGAGCCACAAGACAAGCGCATCGAAAGGGACATCTTGCGCAAGTTGGACCTGACGCTCATACCGATGCTCTGGTCCCTCTTCGTGGTTTCCTTCGCGGACAGGAGTAACATCGGTGAGTGCGTGCGTGCGGGCGCTTTTCTCATCCACATTCTCAGGCGGTCAGCCCCCCCCTCCCACAAATATAAATCATCAACAACAACAACAAAAACTGCTGGAAATAAAACTTTTTCGCTGACTTTCTGATTCCACCAGGCAATGCCAAGATCCAAGGCATGCAGACGGACCTCCACCTCACGGGGAACAAGTACAACATCGCCGTGCTGGTCTTCACCGTCGCGTACGTCGCCTTTGGCGTCCCGGCCAATGTCGCTTTCCGCGTGCTCGGACCGAGGAGTCTGGCGGCTATGATGCTGCTCTGGGGGATCTGCGCGCTCTGCCAGGGCCTGGTGCAGACTTGGGGCGGGTTGGTGGCGTGTCGCTTCTTGATGGGAGGTTTTGAGGTGAGTCTCCTCCAAAAAGCATGGCTCGTTTGTTTAAGCCATTGACGGGCTTCCAATTTCACAGTCACTTGAGATGTTTGATTCTCTTGCGGGATACCCGCTGACTTTCATGTCCCATGTGCACGCACCAGGCTGGCTTTGTCCCGGGATGCGCATACCTCATCGGCAGCTACTACACGCGGAACGAATTCCTGAAGAGATATTCCCTGTTCCTCAGCGGGAGTATCATCGCCGGGGCCTTCAATGGGCTGTTCTCGGGCCTGTTGGCGAGGGCGGATGGGAAAGGCGGGCTCAGGGGTTGGAGATGGATCTTTGTGGTGAGCAGCGGGAGGTCTCCCTCCATATGGGCCAAATCGTCTTCGGCGGGATACTGACCTACTGATCTGATAATCTGATAGGTTGAAGGACTCATCACGTGCGTAGCAGCCATAGTCTCTGCCTTCATCATCCCCCAATTCCCAGAAGACACAAGACTCTTCCGAGGCGAAGAGAAGGCGGTCCTCCTGGAGCGTCTCCGCCAGGATGGAGCGGAAGAAGAGCATGCAGATCTTTGGCATGAGGTCAAAGAAGCCTTGATCGATCCGAAAATTTGGCTTGCGTGAGTTCGGACTCCCCCTCGATGTTTCGATCCAAAGGTTTTGCTAACGGGAGTCTTGGAAAGTACCATAGCCTACGTCGGCATCGAGGAGAATTCCGCCTCGATCGTGGCATTCCTTCCGTCCATTCTCCAGGGCTTCGGCTATACCGCGACTTCAGCCCAGTGGCATTCCATTCCGGTCTACGCCGTTGCCTTCATCCTCTCTCTTCTCTGCGCATATGTCAGTGAGCGATTGCAACAGCGATACCTCTTCGCCATGCTCGGGGCGCTGTTGAATTTGGTGGGACTTGCCATCTTGCTTGCGCGACCCGATTCGGCTGCCGTCCGCTATGCGGGGGCGTTCTTCATGACGGCGGGCGTCTACATTGCTATGCCGATCGTAGTGGTGTGGAACGCCATCAACGTCAGGAAAGGTGAGTGGAATCAGCATCATGATGTGAGAAGATTGGGTTGGGACTTACAGGGCACAGGATACAAGCGAGTCGTCTCTTTCGCCATGTCCACCGCCGTCGGCAACTGTGGCGCTCTGGTGGCTTCGAACGTCTTCATCGCCAGAGAAGAGCCGGCGTATCCTACAGGTTGGTCTCCCGACTGTGCGGCGTGCAAAGTCGTTTCTGATAATGTTTTCAGGCTTCACGACGGGAATGTGCATGAATTGCATGTCTATTCTTGCGCTGACCGCGCTCTACATCGGTCTTCGAATCGGCAACGATCGTAAGGCTAGAAGCGACGTCAGCGGAGAAGACAGTCAAGGCGAAAGGCATAAGCCTTCTGCGTACCAACTCTGATTCTCATTTCGGAGTCTAGCAGCCCCTTTGACTATTTCTCCCAATGCTCAGTGCCTTTGAGAATGACACCTTGGTCTTGTTTTGACACCAGCTTCCCGACTCTGTGGACCTTCTCGCCTGCTTCTTCAAGCACCTTCGTGGCCTCTGCAGCAAGATCCTCCCGCACCACGATCACCATGCCCAGCCCTGTGTTCCATGTCCTTGCAAATTCGCGAGTGCTGACGTTTCCAGCTTTCTTGAGCCACACGAGGACTTCCGGTACGGACCAAGCCGAGGCATCGACTTCTGCGGCTAGGTGTTTGGGTAGCATTCTCGGGATATTGTCTTCGAGACCGCCGCCTGTAATGTGTGCCATGCCTAACAGGAGATCCTTTGATACGGCGGCCAGAAGAGGCTTGACGTAGATGCGTGTTGGAGTTAGCAAGCTCTTGCCGACAGTCTTACTGCCGTCCCAAGGTGCTTTGTCTTTGAAGTCGAGACCTTTCTTTTCCAAGATCTTCCTTACAAGTGAGAAGCCGTTGGAGTGCACTCCGTTGCTAGGTAGGCCAAGCAGGACATCGCCCTCTTTCATCGCATCCTTGTCAGGCAAGATCTTCTGGCCTCTCTTGATGGCTCCAGTGGCACAGCCGCCTGCATCAAACTCATTGCCTTGGTACATGCCTGGCATTTCAGCTGTTTCGCCCCCAACTAGAGCGCAGCCAGACTCGATGCATCCTTGCGCTATGCTTTTGACGAAAGACACCGCATCTGGCACATTTAGCTTAGAGCAGCCGTAGTAGTCCAAGAATGTCAGTGGTTCAGCGCCCTGCACTACAAGATCGTTCACGTTCATTGCCACGAGATCGATTCCGACTGTGGAGCAGTCTTCCATTGCGAAGGCGATCTTCAGCTTCGTACCGACGCCATCGATGGCTTGGATGAGGACAGGGGGTTCTTGATAGCCTGCAGCGACCAAATCCAAAGCACCTCCAAAGCCACCGATTTCCGCGTCTGCTCCGGGTCTTCGTGTGGACGCGACTGCCGCTTTGATTTCCTGTACGAGCTCGTTTCCGGCGTCAATCGATACACCCGCTTCCGCGTAAGTCATTCCCGGCGCAGTAGTTTCACCGTAAGACACGGTAAGACCATCGTATGCTGGCTCCAGAAGCTTCCATTCGCAGGTGATGTTCTCTTTCTTGAACTGTGCAATGAGGTGGTTGGCGATCTGTTCGAAGTTGCCATTCGCCAGAGCTAGGATAGTCGGGCCGGCACCGGACAGGCAAATGCCCAACAAACCAGGGTGAGTCTCTGGTGTCACCGAATGCAGGATCTCTGTCAAGCCCGGTATGAGACCCTTTCGGTATGGCTGATGTACTTTATCTTGCATGCCGTCATATATCAGCTCTGGGTTTGGTGGGGTTTGAGCGATGGCGGTCGTTAGCAGGGTGACACGCTGCAGATTGTAGATGACATCCGCTCGCGAGTATTGCTGTGGCAGCACCGCTCGAGCCTCCGCAGTCGCTACTTCGAAGTCCGGTATTATCGCAATGCACTTGATATCCTTGTTCCAAGGGAAGCGTATGTGCTGTCCGATCTGGAGAGGTGGTATAGGAGGAGTCAGACCAGTGTCTTCACCTCCTTGCGGTGCAGGTAGGACTTCGGCGAGAGGAATCTCTTTGCGCTTCATATCTTCAGGATTCAGCTCCTTGAGGTAGCTTCCGACGAAACCACCAAATAAAGCAGCAGCCACATTGTCGGGATGTCGCTCGATCATGAGCTGGAAGTCGAACATCCGCTCCTTCGACAGTCCAAGTTCGCCAGCTTCATTACCTAGTGAGACACCAGCCACGACTGCCGCTCCCGAAGACCCAAGACCACGCCCCAGAGGGATTGGATTGATGATGTGCACATGGGTGTTGGGCGGGAATGAGCGTTTTCCATGACATCGGAGAACGTAGAGCGCAGCTTGCGTGATGAGGTTTCGGTCCGGCTCTAGGTCAACATTCTCCTTTCCTACGCCTTCGTATGTGACTCTGCAGTTGTACGGTGCCCCTGCGGAATTCTCGTCTCCGACAGTAATCTTGACCTCGAGATATACTGACAGAGCAATACCGAGGCAGTCGAAACCAGGGCCTGATAAGGTCAGAGTGATGCTTTCTTTGGTCTTGTATTATGCGCATGAGCTTACCAATGTTGGCTGAAGAGCATGGCGCCCCTAAATTTGTCAGTACCAGGATATGACATGTGATGATCGAGAACAATACTTATTGTGATCGTCTTGGCCATCGCGGCGGATTTTGCTCGCGAAGCTCCACCTTAACCCTTTTGAACCGCCCAGATCAAAGTAGAGATGCTTGTCGAGGCTGTATCAAGTGAGAAGAGGAGCATTGGCGGTGAAATTTGCAAGTGTTGAGTCTGAAGGTGTTACAGAAATTGTGACTGGATTTGAGTTAAGAAAGCGCTAGTCTTATCTAGGTCTAGCTTGAGGTACCATCTATAAAGACGGAGCTCCGGATCTACATAACGGACATTTACTTAGGATTCTAGGATTTTAGGATTCTAGGATTTGCTAGGCCCTCTACTACTAAATCTTTATTAAGGCTTAATAAAATTTTATATGCTATATATTAAAATTTACTTATAAGTAGTATAGATCTCTTCTAAGAGAGAATAGACGTACGAAACCGGCCTAGAAGTAGATATATTTTTAAGAGGCCTAGTAGAGAAGAGATCTATAAAGAAAAGATCTATAGAGAGAAGAGATTAACGAAGATAAGAGTTCTACGATATAGAGAAAAGAAGAGATCTATAAAGAGAAGAGAAGAGACTAGTAGAGAGAAGAGAAGGGACTTACGAAGAAGAGAGAAGAGACTAGCGGAGAGGATAGCCTAGAGCTATAATAGAGATTACTACTAGCTATACTAGAATATACGCAGGATAAGGAGCATAAATCTTAAATCGCGAAATCCTAGAATCCTGAAATCCCGGATTCCTAACTGAAATGTCCGTTATATAGATCCGGAGCTCCTTAATAAATGCACGATAATTGTCGGCCACTGCAGATGGCAACTACAACTACAACCTCAGGTAGTGACTGAACGCCAACTACAACTTTGAAAACAACATGTCTATAATCATTTCGAAGCTCGTCTTTCACAACAAGATGACCGTCGAACGCAGTGATTAGACGCTGCCGGTATACCAAACGCGCATATTACGTTGCGTACCTTGTGATCGAGTCCATCGACGAGCTGCTATGCGCCATTTTCTCTATAAAAGAAGAATATCACAGTCAAGGCGAGCTAACGTCGACGCTCGTGGAGGTGGCTGTTATCGGAGTTATGATACTTCTTAGGTCCACAAGTAAGCTCAACGAGCTGCTCAACTTCTTGAACTGTCGTACGCTCTGGAAACGGGCCAACGACAACATCACATAGCCTTAACTCTTGGACAGGCGACAAAACCCGCGTGTAATCTCTGTGTGTGCATATCAACTGCGAAGGAGGGAACAGAACTTCTCTGGACAGCGGTGCCGGTACAAGACGCGGAATCGAAAATGTCTCGCCATCGTATTTACGCCAGATGACGCGCAAAAGCCGACCTTTGACCTACTCTGCGTCAGCTCGCTCCTCGAGGACCAAAGAACCGAACGCTTGCCATCTTCTGGTCCAAGCCGTCAATCACACGCCAGCGTTCTACGTCCTCTGGGAAACTCAAGAAAGCGCACGCAGCTTTCTCTTTGGGAGAAACAGTCACTCTGCAGCCCATGCTTCGGATGGTCCCAAAAGCCTCGGCAAGGACATCATAGACTTCACCGACTGTCGTTCCAGGCAAGAGGTTCTGAATCAGTACTTGATAGTCATCTGCAGCACTACAAGACGTGTCGAGCGGAGAACAAGGTCGAGAATGGTGGCTGAAGTACGCATGGAGTCGTCGGTCGAAGTACTGCTCGCGCCGTTAGTACCTTCAGTCTTGTACAAATCTCATCATCTGGAACGTACCGTTTGCTTGTCGAGCGAATCCGACAATCTGTAAGGTATGGCATGTCGGAGTTCGCGAAGGTCGCCATGACAGCCATCTCGTGGCTGTTCTCCACGTCGGCCCATGGCTGGCAAGAATTGTATTCTGCATCCGCACACACAGATTTGATGAAGTCGACAACAAGTCCAAACCAGGTTTCTGGAGGGAAGTTTTCGACTACGACTCTGTATTCGTCCTTCACTCCCTTAGATTTAGAGAAAAGGTCGCTGACCGCGGTTTCCGAATACTTAGCTAATTTTTGCTGGTCGTGGAGCTCATATCCGAGCCGTGTGATGTACCCGGCTTGCTCCTGGGCTTCGCAGTGTCAGTTGGATGAATCTCCGTGAGTTGAATCTATTCTCTCCCAATGCATCTCCTCGTTGCGTCAAGATTGGCGATATCCTGGCGGAGATGCAATGGAAGCCCTTACTCTTCGAAAGTCTCTTCGCTGTCTCTCGGTCTAGCGACACCGTGGTGTAAGAGTCGGGCATTCATTCGAGAGGTAAATATAGTGTCTCCTAGTATGGATTCCACGTCTTGTTCAAGCTAATTACATTACGAATAAAAATCCCATTCAACTGGTTTGATAGGTTGTTAAACTTTGGCGAGGTCTGAAAGTGGACTTGAGTGAGGAGGGCCGTATACACATGTTCGGGCTGCTAAGTTGTTAGTGCGCAGCCTGTGCACTTTCACAAGATGCAGCATTTGAAGAAGGCGCGATTTGGGAGTGATTACTGAAGTTACACGGGACTCTTACGATTGACACATGCAGAGAAATCTAGCTAGAGCAGTTTACTGTACATCCTCTTTTACCATCGATCCGCTGCTGGCACTTCCTCAGCTGAGCCACACTGAAATCTACCGTTACGCCACATGTGCCTTCATGCAGGTAAGGGAAGCTCTCTATGCCGCGTAGAACCTCACACTCACCAACCTCCGTGCTCAAGCGAAGAGTCTCTGCCTGGGCGTTCTGGTGGCGCGGGCTATTCATTGCTGATCACACGAGGGGGTTCCCCAGGACCAAGTCCGTTCCCACGACCAGCTCTAGTCCCGCGCTAAGGCTTCGTTGGAGTATCCGTCAGCTGTATGGCCGCTACATCCCCCTCGACTTCTGATTCCACCGCGCGAAGATCTGGTGTAGAATTCTAGGCAGCACCCTCCTGAAGTGAGCAGCGGCGCGCACGATGTCACTCTTTCCTGGACTCGGAGACGAGCTCGCAATAGATCTCGTCCTAGAATTGCTGAAGCTGTGCTCTGATCCGCTTGGTGCCTGGCATCTCTTCAGTGTCGCGCCGCGTTGACAGATCATCATGCTGTCGTACTTCCGCACGTTGTGGCCCTTAATTTTCAAGATTTCCGCAGAGTCGACCAATTTGACAAAGACGTCGTTGACATTTTCGATAGACCCGTACCAGAACCCATTTTCCTGAACGACTACATCGTCGATGTGCTGTTGCTCCGATATTGTGATGAGGGGTTTTGGCGGTCGACTTTGCTCGTTTACCGTTTTACACAGTCTTGCGGGCAGCCTCCAAGTCGAAGCGGCACCATTCTGGTGCTGTCATGATATCGCAGCGTTCCTGGCCGAGACCAGCCATCATGGCGGTCCCCTCATCCACGTTGACTCGAAGTTGCGTTGTTAATGTTCGCTGGAAAGAAATCTCAAGCAGTGTGACTCGTTCGTTGAGCAGAAAGGGAGGAACGGGATGAGCCGCGGTTAGCATCGGGCCGCGCTTTCACATGCCGAGCCAAGGTCGTGTCTTCCACCATAGTTTGATGCACCAACAATCACTCGTGGAGAAGATGTAACAGTCTCTCCAATTCGTGCTTTGATGTCTAACACCCTTCATCCTTGAATGACTTGGCCTTGTTCCACGAAAGGGTTGCATGCCTTCAATCCCCTCGCCATTCCTTAGTCTGTGTGCATTGTCCATCGTACAAATGACTTTTCTACCATGGCCCGGATCTGATCCACCTGTGACACTTCAAACAGCACGAACTCTTCTCCGCTGTTGCGCGCAGGGGTTGGATTGGAGGCGGGCTTGCACTTCCTCCCGGCGCGGAGATTCCGTCTTCTCCCAGACTTTCGACTCCGTGAACTTGCACGGTTCGTGGGGTCAACCAAGTCGCGAACGCGAGTATACGAGATTTCTGCTGGCATAGCGAGTGAATATGAGAGCAACGAGCGGGCGGGAAGAAGGGGGATCGAGGCATTCAAGGCGTCGACGATGCTCCGCTCTAAGTTGTCCGTCGTCTGAAAGAGGTCTTTGGTCTTCTTTGCAACGCTTAACGAATCCTGCGTAGTAGCAGCATTTCCGTAGGCTGACGATGTATCGTGCTCTTGCTCGCGAGTTTTGATGTCGCTCCATCGAGGCGATACCAGTCCTGTCGTATCGGCGTGATGCACACATAAAGTCGCTGCTCAGAATTGATGTTGTATGCTGATGTTGGCGGGAAGTGTTCCTAGTCGTGGCATTTGTTGTAGGAGCAAAATTTGAACACCTCCGGAAGCGACCGCTCGCGTGTGATGCGTGCCTTTCACATGCTCACCCATGGGAGACCTCTTCCGCACACTTGACTCTACGAGCGGATGCCCGGCCTGAAAGAGATCATGGTCTCATTTACTACAAGGTGGTTATTCTTTCACTCTTCGCTAAGACATGAAATGCACTTGACTCTTGCGAGACCGCCGTTGACACCAATCCGAACTCCTCGCCCAGGCTCACCACTTTGGCGGCGTGTCCTCCTCGTCACCTTCCTCCGCCACCCGTCTTGTCAAGTACGCAGCGACCAAAGCCATAATACCACCAAAACGCAAGACCCAGGCGACGCTGTTATCTCCCGGTTCACCTCTAGGCTTCTGTAAGGCCTTGAATATCGCTGAGCTGATAAGCGTGGCAACTACCTGGGGGGCCGCAATCGCAACGTTGTGGATACCTAGAACCACACCTGCTTGATCTGCCCCTTCGCTTGTGTCTTCACCACGAGACAATAACTCTCCATCTCTAGTTGCAGGTGGCCGAATGAGTCCACGACGGATATTGTCGCGCTTGCTAATCTCCGCTGCGATGAGTGCGAAGGGCGCCCACATTGTCATTGCCCAGGGTATTCCAATCAAGCCGGTGATAATCGTTGCAACCGTCGTGTCGTGTGCCAAGAACGTGAGCCATGTCAGCAACGCAAACATGATATGGGACAGCAGCCAAGCCCGCTTCAGTGTCAGCCAGGGAATCTCGAGTCTGGGAACACGACCTTTCATCTTTGCTAACAGCTTCTGAACTGGCTGTGCAGATCGGATTGGACCACTGTCTGCAGGATCAACAGCGCTTGCGAGTCTGCTTGCTGGCTGGATACCGAAGTACCCGTCGCCTACTGTCTCTGACGCGCGCGCTGCCCCAAGATTCCTGGTCGCCAGAGGACTAGTCGGAGTCATTGGGGTCCTCAACGGCGGTTCTGGGGCTTTATAGGAGCTCACGATGAACCACGGCAGAGCTACACTCGCAGCGAAGGAGACGAGTGCGTAAATGAGTAGCGCGAACGTGCCGATGCGGGTGCCGTGTTCTAAGGAGGCGTCGATCTCCTTGTCGGTCATATTCGGGTTCTTGCGGAAAACTGGATCGACGTACAGCTCGCCAATGTATGTTGTGATGTAGAAGAGGAAGGGGAACCAGCCCACCCATGCTGCAAGTTGTACGATGCATACGTTCTTGATCTGGGGCGGAAGTCTGCGGACTGAATGGAACAGCGTCTTGAAGAAGGCAACAACCCCCAGATTTTGGTCCCTAGGCTCTCCCTCCAGCCGAGGATCTCGCTCAGAGACTGACAGGCAGGATACCGCCAAGGTGATCGCAAGCAGCAAGCTTGCTATGACGCATAGAACTTTGAATTGAGTGTTGCCGAAGAACCACAGGTATTTAGGGAGATTGGCATAACCAAAGAGGTACCCGACAATGTTTCCGATGCCCGATAGACGGCTTGCCCATGCATTTGCTGAGTCTTGCTGGTGCGTTGGCGAGTTGTCCACGATGAATGCTCGGATGCCAGCCTGAATGACATTGATACTGAAATCCAGGATGTAGATCATCAGCACCGCCAGGATGGTGGAGAGTGTCTTTGTTCCTTGACTGTCGCTTGCGACTCCAAAGATACGGAGAAATCCTCCCACGATCTCCCGCGTCCAAGCCAGAACCATGAGAGATACGATGGTAGCAACTGCACCTACCACCATGAATGGACGTCGCTTGCCAAATCTTAACCGGCATCTGTCTGATTTGATCCCGACGTATGGTTGTACTAGTGTGCCCGAGAGCGGTCCAGCAATCCAGACGAAGGCCAGCAGACTCTTGGAGATGCCTAAGGTAAGCAGGTATGGTGAGCCGTTGGATAATTCTACAGACCACGCAACTTGCAGGCTATCATCTTGGGTTAGCGAACGTATGGTATTGGACACAGGCTCACCAGTATACCGGCTTCAAAAGCAAGCCGACTCACCCGCCCAATGAGATTGTCAAGAGGAACAGATACCAGCTGCTCTTGCTCTCTTCTTTGGAGCCAATGTCACCGTCCCAAGAGACTTCCCCGCTACTCTCATCTGGACTTGTGACACCTGACAAAGCTGGGACCTTGCCAATCTCTTCGCTGGTACGCGGTGGTAGGAGAGGGGACTGTTCATCGAATACATCCTCTTCCTTGACATCCATACTTGTCCGTAGTCCTCCGTTGACTCTGGAGCTTGAATCGGGGTGCAAGTCGTCTACGGAAGGACGCGAGTCGCCGCGAAACTGCACATGCTGGGAATGCGACGGTATGCCGTGGGTGTTCGTGTCTATGTGAGAAGCTCGTCTAGAGGGCGTCGACGCTGGCGACAGATCGGGAGTATGTTCCATGTTGGAGGCTGGGAAAGTCGCTATGGCGGAAGGTATGCGTTGATGGGAACAAAGCGGACTGGGCTGGCAGCGCCGCCGTTCCGCATGTCCTTGCGTGGCTGTTGTATGTTAATGTTGGGTGTAGCGAGGTAGAGGGTACAATGGTTGGATGATGTTGTCAGAAGGCGCAAACGCAGCAGTCACGCGATGCTGGCAAAGAGACGTCGCAGCGAGCAGAAACAACAGGAAGCCGGGTCAGCAGACGTGGCTGGTTGTGCGGTGCGTGGTTCCTGCAACCGCAACAGCATCATTCTCGGCAGCTTCCAATAAGTTGTGACTGCTGGCGAGTCGTCTTCCTTGCTCGGTGATGTTCGTTACGATGATGCAGTGAGGCACCTCTGATGCAAGGCACCCGCACGCGAACCCGGCGGCTGGGCGATGTTAATCAATTCTTAATCAACTCTGACGTACCGCGCTCGTGGCCTCGTCGATCTGGGGACGGGTAGTGCCAGCCGCAAGCGAGCCGGGGTGCTGGGGTCGGGCCGAAGGTGAAAGCTGCGTGCGGGAGTGAAACCCTGTGTCGTGAGCTCAGGCGAGCTGTTCTCATCTGATACAACCCACCGCCAGGCAATCCCATCTTCACTCACCTCACGGACAATTCTATCAGAGGCCACTGTGCCCTGCAACATCACGTACATATCTCCGACTCCGCATGCTGGCGGCTTGCGCTCCTCACCCTACAATCGCCGTACCGACAGCTGTCCCCCGATTTCGAAACCGAGCTATGCGACTGCGGTAACACCAACCGCCAGCCGATATGGGCTTCTCCGCTCTATACCTTTTCGGCGAGGCCACAAAGCGCCTAGCCACCCGTCAGACAGACGATGCCGACGGCGACAACCCCGAAGCTGGCCAGAAAGAGATATATTCGTCATGGGCGCTCCTGATCTTGATCGCTCTCCTGATTCTGGCATTCTTCACAAGCTATGTCTTGCGCAGCAAGAAGATTCAGGCTGTGCACGAGACGGTCATATCGATCTTTGCGGGAATGGTCATCGGGTTGATACTCCGGTTGACCAGCGTGAACAGCGTGCTGGATGTCGTGACTTTTGACTACCAGTTCTTTTTCAACTTACTGCTGCCTCCGATCATCTTGGCCAGCGGATATGAGCTGCATCAGGTACGGAACACAAGAGTTGGGATGTGGATACGGAGGCTGACAGCGCAAATAGGGCAACTTCTTCCGCAACATCGGCAGTATCCTCACGTTTGCATTTGCTGGAACATTCATCTCCGCATTGGTTCTTGGTTCGATCCTCTGGCTATGGACTCGCATCCCGCTAGAAGGCCTGGACCTCTCTTTTGTCGACGCCTTGTCAGTTGGGGCAACCTTGTCTGCTACCGACCCCGTGACCATCCTCGCAATCTTCAATACGTACAAAGTCGACCCGAAGCTTTACACAGTCATATTCGGAGAGAGTATCCTCAACGACGCGATTGCCATTGTGTTGTTCGAGACTGCGCAGAAATATCGAGAAGGCGCCACGGCTGGCAAGCTCACAATTTTGAGCTTGTTTGAGAGTATTGGAGTTTTCTTGCTGGTCTTCTTTGGCAGCTTGCTTATTGGCCTTTTAATCGGTTTGTGCACAAGCCTGCTACTCAAATTTACACACGTGCGAAGAGACCCCAAGACTGAGAGCTGTCTGATCATCTTGATTGCGTACGCATCCTACTTCTTTGCCAACGCAATTCACATGAGCGGTATGTTGTGAAATTTCTATATGGAGGCGCACAATTGCTGATCCCATCTCCAGGCATTGTGGCGTTGCTGTTCTGCGGCATCTGCCTGAAGCACTACGCCTACCACAACATGTCGCGCCGCACACAACTCACCACAAAGTTTACATTCGCGCTGATGGCTCAGTTGACGGAGAACTTCATCTTCATCTATCTAGGACTATCACTGTTCACAGAACGCGAGCTGGAGTACAAGCCGCTGTTTATTCTGATGACCTTGATCGGAATCTGTGTGGCGAGGTGGTGTGCTGTGTTCCCTCTCAGCGGACTGATCAACTGGGTGATTCGCTATCGCGCGAGGAGAAGAGGGCAAGAGACGGTGGCCGAAGAGCTGCCGCCGAACTGGAAGATCATGCTGTTCTGGGCCGGATTACGAGGAGCCGTTGGCGTCGCGCTGGCTGCTGGTCTGACCGGAAAGGATTCCAGAGCTCTCCGTGCAACTGTGCTGGTGACCGTCGTGTTGACGGTGATCATATTCGGAGGTACGACGGCGCGCATGCTTGAGATTTTGAATATCCGGACTGGCGTCGTTGAGGAGATTGACAGCGATGACGAATTCGACATTGAGCCAGTACCACATGGTGCAGGCGCCTACGCGAGGAAGAATGGTACCGCGTACGGTCACATACCCAAGCATAGTACGACTGGGTTTGGCAACGGTAGCATCGGGCTGGATCACGTCCGCTCTCGCAGCCGGAACGGACCTTCAGGCGGCTACAGCACGGGCAATGGTGTCGGCACGCCGCCCATGCAGCCCGACCTCGAAAGAAGGAACAGCTCGAGGGTTCGTAGGACCGATCCTCACAATGCCGCTGAGCAAGGGCTGCTCACACAAGAGGACGAGAGTACGTTCAGTGACGATGACAATGATGACTTGGACTTGCCTCCTGCAGCACGGAGATCGCCTCCGAGACCAGAGGATGATGGTGCTCCATACCCGCTCTCAGGCACCCGTTCAGAGCAACAAGCCAGAGCGAATATGTCGGCGCGAGGAGCATTGTCACAGATTCTCAACGCCACGAGTGAGGATGCCGGGATGCTGTTCAACAAGTTGGACGAGAACTTCCTCAAGCCTCATTTGTTGTTGGACCCGGGCGGTGCTTCGTCGAGTAAAGGGCATGGTCCTGGGCATGGGAACCAATAGCATGAGATGGGTCGTGATGCAGCGTATGAAGATAGGAATCTGTATGAAAGTGATATTCCATCAACGACTGTCAGAAGAATGTCCAGCCTTCCTTATCCGAAGCCAACCCACTCTCCATTGCAGAGCACCCTCCATTGCAGAGCGAACCAAGGATGGGAGTCGTTGCTGAAGTACTCCGCTCAGCGTGAATGAGTTCTGAGTGCATAGCCTCTATTTCAACGCATGGTGCCATCCTTTGTGAATGCGGGACCAGGATGGGCGGATGCCGGCCATCTTCTTGGGTGAGGAAATCAGTGTGGACAAGCTGCTGCCAAGGATGAAGTACGAGACGAGACGTAGCTTCCAGGCCATAGAAAATAAGAACCGCCAGGCATATCTCTGGTTCGATCCTGGATTTAGTATCCCCATGAAACCCCCTAGCCCATGTTCGCGTGGTTTTCGTGATTTCACGTGTCGAGACCGCCATTGACGAGATTGTGATATCAGGACCGATCTCAGCGCCAGTCCGGAGGGAATCTTCGCCATTCCCTCCGCAGTGCCTCGCATTGAGTTGGTATGTGCCACCGTGGAGCGGCTAATCGTTGCCGGGTGCGACGCTCAAACGCACGGACGGACGCGCGACGATTGGAGAGGCGAGATTCCCATCGCGAACTCACCACGCTCGTGCATGCATTAGTGACCGCCCCTCCCTCGCATCACCCATCCCCATCCTCCAAAAGAGTCGCACACTGCCTCCAGTACCTGGTCCTGTCTGTCTCTCCTCACGACTCACTCCCTCGACGCTCCTTTTACAACATCCACTACTACTGCTGCTACTACTGACCCGGAGAGAGATTTCACGACGTAAGAGAGGAAAACAAACGCGTTCTGCAGACTAGAGAGCCGCTCGAGCAGACTAGTCCGGGGTTCGCCTCCGCCATCTCACATCATTTTGCGACGCGTTTCGCTCGAGCAGCACATCATCCGATATTATGGCGGCTCACGCTCCGGTGGCGAGAGTGCCCTTTGCACCACTCGATAACCCGCGACTCCAGCATCTAGCCAGTGCGAAGAATCGCCAGAGTGGTATGTCCACGTCCAAAAAACGCGAGATATACACGTAGCTTACCTTCGCGTCGTACCTCAGGCCTCGTCTCGCACAAGTCTACCGGCAAGCCCAGTGGCATTGCCAAGGTGTCGACCTCTACAACTGCCGGAAAGAGATCGTATGAGCCCTCATTCGACTTTGATAGTGAGAATGTCGATCCGGCCATGTTCGACTCGTCTCCTTCCAAGAAGTCCAAGAGCGATGTGAAGCCTTTTACGTTTTCTCTCTCGACTCCCATCAAGTCGATGCCGCCGCCTCCGATGCGGACTCCCATGAGGGCCAAAATCGGCTCGCCGCGCGCTCCCTCGACCGCACCGGCGGGGCGTTCCCCCAAGAGGAAGCTGGCGGGTTCCAGACGCATCTCAGCGCCTTTCACACGCGTCGATCCGCCTTCCAGGATGGCATCTGTGCTGCCTTTTAGTTTGGACGCGGCTTTGAGCTCGTCGTTTCCCTCTTCGAAGCAGAGCTGCATGCCGAAGAATTGGTTCTTCGAAATCTACGAGGATTCTCCGGAAGAGGAAGCTGCGAACTTGATGGAGCACAGCACGTTGACGCTGGACATCAGCTCGGATGAGGAAGGTGGGAAGAAAGACCGCGAGGAGAGAGGGAAGGAGAATACGCCGCCGGAGGGGTACGACGTGCCGCTCTTGAGGGAGAGCGAGGTTGTGAGAACGAAGAAGGTTTGCGAGGAGATGGATGATGGGGAGAGGAGCCCGCTGTCCGATCTCGAGGCCGAGCCATTCTTTGCAGAAGGGCTGAGCAAGGAGTCCTGTGTTGTGGTGGATGAGGAGAAGCCGTCCTTGGAGTCGAGGGTTGTGGATGGGGAGAAAGAGAAGCCCTTCGCTGCGTCGGCGGGTGAAGAGTCGAAGGTCGTCGTCGAGAAAGAGAAGCTCTTCGCTGCGCCGGCGGTGGAGGAGTCGAAGGTCGTCGTCGGTGAGAAGGGGGATGTCAAGGGAGAGATTATTGTATGGGAGGACGCCTAATGAGTGGTTTCCGGCGTTGTTGGTTATACCTGTCGCAGTGGGATGCTTGAACGCCGTCATGTGAGAGGTGGGCCCGCCTGTGAATGCGGGGTGAGGCGGGACTCATCGCGGCGCACATTGGATTCGGGTCTTTTTGTCTTGGTCGTTTCTTGGTGCGATATAGATATCGCTCTTTACGATTGCTCGCGAGGCCTGCTGCAGATTCCAATCGTTGAATGCAATTCCAATCTCGTTCTGTATCTTCTGCTTGTTGATATCGTAGTCGCGACTCGACGGTTGCGATGCGCCCGAGGACATAGGTGACGCCCTGGAGGACCGACGCCGTGACGTCCTGAAATAGAGCGTCGTCGTGCCTGCCATGTCGATGCGCGCCTGCCTTTTCGCGGACTGGGACGTTCCGACCTCAACTCCTCATCCGACCTCACCTCCTCATATCGCCTGTAGTGGTGATGATATACAGCCTTGCTGTGAGTCCGTAGCCTACGAATTTCGACCTTCCCGTCGTCGCTGACATTATTATTCATTGTAGAGGAGTCGGATGGTGTAGACGATCACGTCGTCAGCAGCTGTAGGCGAAACAGCAACGCTGAGTGGATACCTCGCTGTCGTCGCCGCTTTGAGCGAGAGCGGATGCGGTCCGACCCGTTTGAAGGTATATATATTATAACACATGCATGTCTCTCGTCCCCCTTCGGGGGGACGTATGGTCAATTTGAAAAAATGCAAATCTCCCCGACACCCCTTTCGATCGAACGATTACTAACGATTTCATAGACAGAGAAGATTAGCATGGGTACGCTCCCCTCGATCCATAATGCAATATAGCCCCTACTAACGCGATTTAGCCCCTGCACTAAGGATGACACATGCAAACAGAGAGATGCTTCCAATTTTTGCTTTTTGCTTTTTTTGTGGTGTTAAATGGCCAAACCGGACCTACAATGTCGTCGATAGCAGCCATAGAAAAGTCCTTAACATCGGGCGGGCACTCGAGGAGCTACGCTTTTTTTGGCTTAGCGCCCCAAAGACACTAGTGGTACTGTCCCCCGATTGGCTAGACTGACCTAGCTTGCTGCCTTGCTGCCTTACTGGCCTGCCTTGCTCCCTTACTACCTTCATAAGTTCCTGTAGTATAGAGTTTTACTTACCGAAGGTATTGGTCGTATACTATCGCGGCTCCCAGCTACACCTCGATGCCCTGCCGAGTCAACGTCGGGCTACATACTTGAGTAACCAACTCGACAGTAATCCTTCATTAAAGCAGTGTGCGAGATTCTTGCAATTGTACATTTCTCTTATATTGATGTAGGCGTTTTCCTTTTGGGATTGCTTCAGCTGCCGTAGTCTGGAACGATTGGTACAAGGCTGACGGGAACTGCTATAGGTCTTACGCAAGAACTCCGTACTGTGCGTACTCTCAACGTTCACTCAATTGTTTGCTCTCCCTTAGCTTCTTCTCCAGTGCCTTGTTCTACTCAATCAGACTCTTGAACGTCTCCTACAAGTTCTAAAGACTCTCTACGATTGTCTCTACAGTCCGAATCTGTAATCTGTTCTGCTCCAACTCCCGCTAGTAGACGTTCCATCGCAATTACCTCCTGAGCCTCTCCCGAAAGGCATTGAAAAGAGCTTCAGAATAGATGTGTCGCCGAGAGTCTCCTAGAGCGTAATACTATTGTTCACTGCTGCACATCGGACTTCGACTTGTTGCGACGAAGCCATACCACTACCTACTTCCCTCTCAGGCGCGCTTCGTGACTTCCTTCTACACCCACTTCTATGTTCGGTTAGGTATTGTATAGGGTAGTGGAAGGAAGTCTCTACTGCGGGACTTCCTAGTCTGCACGAGTCTGATTGGAGACAGACCACCACTACAGTCATCATGGACTCGATTGGTCCAAGCAATTGATTGAGATGCGGGCGACGTTTCTCCACCCAAGGTAGATCAAGCGTGATGTCGTACTCTGAATCAACCACATAACATTGGAGAATTGCTTTGTATCCATTGAGATCGAGCCGTACTTCTACGCATTGGTTCGTTTGGCGTACTGCTCCGTCAGGGTCAGAGGAGCTCACGAGTTGAAGATATGGAAGCCGCGTTCGATCGAGATTTTCTGTTGCAAAGGTGGTACTGCAGGTATTGGACTGGCCGCCACTATCAATGTGACACCGAGCAAGCTCGTACCGCTTTGGAAAGCGGGTTTCGACGAGGCCACAGATAACGTGATGAGGCCGGCGTGGGGGTAAGACTTTCGCTCTTGGGAGCGAAGCTTCTTCATCAAGACTCGGATGTTCGTTCTCACTGTGACTGCCTGTTTGTGGGTCCATATCGAGGGCTAGCTGACTGTTCGTGAGGCGGCATGTCGAAGAGGAAACATCCTCAGAGTGCATCTTGCTGCTGTTACTTCAGAACTGGTCCGGTAGAAGCTCTGTGACCATTTGTGAAGTTCGCAGAGGCCTATCTCCATCAGACTCTTGCGGACCACTAGTCGCGCAGAGACTACCCCACAACATGCCTAACCTAATACAGAAAGTAGGTGTGGAAGAAGGAAGTCACGAAGCGCGCCTGAGAAGGAGGTAGGCAGAGGCCTCGTTATTGTCGTTTGGTGTCTTGCAAATCAAGAGAGCATCGACACCTGTTTGTTATTTCGGGCTCGATGATCACAGAGGTAAGCATTGTGGTTCAACGAAGGATGCCATGTAGACATGGTAATCGTCGATTGTCGTCCAGGAAAGAATTGTTGTTTCTTGCAGGGATTTCCCACGCCACGCCACGCCATGTCGTGAGTCTGTTTGCAGCCATGTACAATACATCTTTCCGCTTGCACCCTCATACTAGTGTTAAGCGGCGCTTTTAGCCCTTTGGTCTGTAATCAAGATCGAGATGCAGAACAAGAAGCGTACCTACCTACCTTGGATGAGGCGCTTAGCCGGAGAAACCTTTTCCCGCTAGCGGCGGCTTCCTCAAGCGAGGACCAAGCAAGCTTGCGAGAGGTCTGTACGGAGATAGAAGCATACGAGGCCTTGCCTTCGTTTTCGAAGTCGACGTTGCCAAGAATGGCTATTGACCAGAAGACCAAAACGGCGACCTCGCAGAACAAATACATCCAGGACTACCTTCATGCTCAAGACTTAATTCAAGAGGAACAGTGGGCAAAAGGTATTGCGGCAGCCAAAAGGAACCTGACCGATACCTCACTTCCACGGTATTGGCAGGTCCGCAACTGCATACTCATCATTAACGCGAAAGATGATTGGCACGTAGCAGAGGTATGACTTCTTACCTTCATTCCTATCCAAGCTTACTTCACGCGCTAATGCCCTCCGCAGGATTATCGAAAGGCCGCCGAAGAAGTATGGGCCATAGCTAAGGTAAGGACGGCAGAAGACGACCTCACGGCCCACAGCTTCCTCAACCAGCTTCGTGACGAGCTGGACGAGTTAGCAGAGATCCAGATAAGCGAGGCTCCCGTCGAGGAATCCCGTGAGAGCGAGAGTCTCCACGGAGTAGTAGCTCCGCCATCGACCGCCGCAGAGGAAGATCCTGACGTAGACATGGAGGATGAAGAAGACGACGGATGGGAAGTGGAGGAGGACGAAGAAGAGGATGATGAAGAAGGGGAACCGCTAGGTTCAGACGTCGACATCCTCGCCGCAATCCGTAGCACCAGGGACAGGCCACAAAGAGAGAAATACATTGGGCCACCTCTGGAGCAGATAAAGGTAAGGTCCCTAACGCTATAGGAGTGCCTCTCACGTGGAATGTAGCTAACACCAAATTCTTAGGCCCATGCCAAGAAGGAGACGGAGGGGTCTCGGCCCGAATCAGACGCCGAACCCGAAACAGAAGCCACGGTCTCCTCCCCTGAAACAGAAAGCGAACGCAAAGACTGGGCTCTGAAGAGATGGTTCGGAAATGCAACGGACATTCTGAGGTACAGATGATCTTCATCGCGACCGCGACAAGATGCGCATCTCGACGAACCTCAATCGTCGATCAGGCATTGAATGAAGGATAACACAATTAGTAATCGTTCCTGAGAAGGAGTTACAGGCCCCGCTCTGGACATCGTAGTATTCTTGAGAAGCAGAATAGCCCAGGATGTCCACATCATGACGGTGGTGCCTAGTCTTCACAGAGAGGGTCTCCGCGAGGAGAACAGTAGAAGATCTGGAAGTATCCAGCAGCTTTGCATTTTGCCTGTCGGCTGGCGAGCATATCATTGAGACGGGGAGGCGAGAAGCTGGGAAAGATACCCTGCGTTGACGCTACGATACTCAAGCTCTTCGCTCTAGTTGGGCCGACTCATTCCCCTTTTCACTGGATACTCTGCATTGACGTTATCATACACAAGGTCTTCGATCTAGGCCGTACGCCTACTCATCCCCATTCCCGTCGTCACTCTCATTGTTCTCCTCATTCCGCTGTCGTAATTCTCTCATCGTGGCGCGGACTTCCTCAGCGCTGCTTGCAACCGTTTGCAGACTTCCAAGGCTGTTTACAAATGTTCGCAGGTTTTGAAGGCTGTCTTTCACAGCCCCCAGGGTTTCGATCAGGGCGTTGTTGCGCCTCAACTCACCCTGCTTAACTTCTCTCGTGTGGCGTGCAAACCGCTCTTTCCGCTGCTTTTCTGCTTCAGCGCGTTCTCTCTCTTTCTGTGCAAACCACGCCTCCCGCTGTATATCTTGTTCAGCGCGTTCTCTGTCTTTTCGTGCAACCTGCGCTTGCCACTGTTTCACTGCTTCTGCGTATTGGGCCTGCTGCTGTCTTGCGTCTTCCATGACCCGCTTCAGCTCCGCAAGATCACTGCTGTTGCCATCAGTCGGCGGATGAGCCTCGTTCGCATGCTGATCCAAGGCATCCTTCGTCCTGAACACCAACTCTTCTTTCCAGTGCGGGTGGACGTCGTGATGCGCCTGCCGCAGATGCTCGTCCATATCGTCCTTCGCCGGCAAGTGTTCTCAGAGCTGCAGTAGGGGCGGATGTGGCAATGTTCCGAAGACAGATGCTGGCTCGATTCCCCCCGAGAAGGAAGAGTAACGGCAGTGCAGTATGGGCAAGCGTGATTCTGAAGCTGCTTCAAATGTTGTTGAAGTACCGCACTCTCCGTGAAGACTTGAGCACAATGGGAAGAGAAGGATCGAAATTCTGTTTCTGTGTGGGGGGAAGCAAACGAAGGCGAAGATTCCGTGCTTAGGCCGCGCTCGCTTAAAGTGGGGGTTTTGCATGTGAATTTGGTCCTGCCTGCCATGCTTGCTCGCACTCGTACAGGTACAATCCCGCTGAGTTCACGACCATCATCCGAAACTGTTCTTCACTTACATTCACCTTTTGTTAGTATCCAGGCCACGTGCCCTCCCCCTCCCCCTCCCCCTCTCCGCTTCCTCGGACAAACGAGCATCTTCGCCCGCTTCGAACATCTTCAGCCGCGTAGCGTCAACCGCATTGCGCCAGCAAAAGATGGACAATCCGCAGAACACGCCAGGGCGCATCGTAATCACCCCTCTCGACCGCGAAAACTATCATCGCGCGGCACGCCTATTCGATGATGACCGGTACGAAGCCGCTATCCACTCATCGAAGGCGGCACTTTTGGACGGTTCACTCTCACCGTATTGGCAAATAAAGTACTGCATCTTGCTCGCGTGCGCTCATGATGACATCTACATCGGCGAGGTATATCTGGACACAATATTCTTCTTTCGCATTTCTTGACTCTTCACCAGGATTATCGCCAAATGGCCGAAGCAATCTACCGTCGTATCAAGGATTGCCCATATTCAGACGAGATCAAGAGCCGCTGTCTTTGGGACGTACGCATAGATCTCGATTGGTTGGAAGACCGCCTCGATGAGGCGGATATGATTGATCAAGGCTGGGCATACGCGGCCGATGAGGATGAGGATGAGGATGAGGACGAGGACGAGATGGACAGCAAGAGCGAGAAAGGCGATGGCACTGCAATGGTGGGTGGAGATGTCGAAGAGGAGGGGGAGGAGGAGGACGGCGATGAAGTTGCAGATGAAGTCGTACTCGGTGTTCTGCGCAATACCCTCCATCCCGCAGACGTCGTACAGGGAGCAGAAGAGGAAGCTGAGAGGCAGCCGAGAGGAACGGAGGAGCATGAGGAGGGGCGTAGTCGTTGATCCATGGAAATCGAAGACGCAGGACGCGAACAAGGAGCAGTGAGCGTGAAATCGTACTTCGAAGACTTGATGGATGAGGTTGCCCAATACGCCAAGAATACTTCAGCCGAGTCTTGGCACGCACGGCCCTGAGACAGAGGCATCTGACGAATCCTGAGTTTACTTGATAGCCACATTACGCTTCGACTTCTTCATCACAGACATTTTGATGCACAGGTCACGGACGTTGACTCGGATGCGACCATGTCTGACGATGAGCAAGAAGATCAAGGTCCTGCCCCTGGCTTGGCGCCACCATCCCACTCGTTCGCTTTCGCTCGTCACATGATCGCTCCCCGTTCTTGTCGTACTCGCCCGAACCCCCAGCAGACAGATGCTCAGGCTGGACAACGCGACGAGGGGGCGGACTAGCACAGAGACACGATGACTCTCACCGCTTGGACGATATGGAGGCGTTTTGGAGAGCTCACTGGATTCCAGTACACAGTGGCCAGGATGCGCGGAGCTTGCGATTGTTCGTTTTGCGAGGTATGATTGTCAGAGAACAGAACTTGGGGATTATCTCGTTGCCTGCTTCATATTGGAACTCTCAAATATGCATCTTGTCAGAACGATGCAATCAAACAAAGGCCTTTTCTCATGCGAACTTTCCAGGCTTTCTCCATTTTCGTTTTGCACACCAAGAGACTTCGACATACTTGTTTAGTGTCGTGGTCACGATGATCTTCACAGAATATCGGAAGCCGACTTTGGTGGTTGTGTCGCCATCGAGGACCTGCGCCATGCCGACTGCAGGGCGCTGTTTGCAACCAGCACAGTCCACGACATTCGAAATCTCCATTGGCACAATTCTTACGCGACTATTTTCAACAAAACATCATTTCCGTTGCTGCTGAGACTGTGCCCGCCGATGATAGCGCAATCCAATCCACCACCGCTACGAGCAATGCTAAGCCGCCATCCAACGAAGCTAGGGGTAGATTCCCATTCCCGTTGAGACCTTTCCTGTGTTCACAATGGCAAATGCTCCTTCAGCTTCGAACACAACACCGAAATCTTCTTCGCTTGCCAATTCAGCACTTCAGATGTTTGGACTCGTAGCACGGATAGATGAAGACGACGTGCTATGCGAATGTCAAGTCAATCTGCAAGCTTGTTGAGAAACGCTGACCAAGATATCGATCAGGCGCTCGCGAGCCACGCTACTTCCCTCGAATCGCTATTGCTCAAGTCTCACACGTGAAGTGATAGGAGCAGACGACAAGTGCGCGCTCTATCACACGCAAGAGCCTGGCGAGGTCGAAGTCTCACCTTGTGCACACACCCACACAGCTCGCGGTCCAGTACTCTTCACATGGGCCGCAAATGCATCCAGAGCGTACACCTACAGCTAATGATCCCACCGGCAGTCGATAAAGTAGCTCCAAGTCAGGGAAGTCCGGAGGCTGGAAGGGTATGTTCAAAATCATTTTGGGACTGAATAAGGGGTCTCCTGAGTCTGCGCGAAGCTATGCGTTGTTTTTCGTTCGACACAGCTGCGCAAACATCTACTCATGCCTGCCGTTTCACCTCTCAGGCATGGAAGCCACCGATCTTGACCACCAAGACACAATATCTGTTTCCACTCCTCTTGAAGTGACCGTCAACTTCTACATGCACAATTTCTGTCACGTTTCTGGACATGACTGTACCGCGTTTAGACAATTATGAACGACAGATAGACGAGGCTGCGGGAAAGTTCAGAGATGGAACCCAAATTCTCAATGAAGCTGCGACTAAGGAGTCCATGCATCTGACGAAGTCCAATCTGAGCCTGCTACGGTGTCAGCAGGTCAGCAGCTATCAGTTGATCATTAATGCGCCTGAGAATTGGAAGGGGGCAGAGGTACGTAATTCTCTATTACGGCGCTGATACTCAAATACTTGACGTCATCGAGACCGGTCGAGCCCATGTGATGCGAAGATCCGTGCTGTGCGTCCGTGCTCGAACTTTCACTTTAGCCCTCACTTTCGCTACACGACTTCGATAACATCCCCCCGACCGCAGAAGAGGAAGAAGAGGCGCTTGATCCTACACCGTTGACGACATGCCCCCGCCGCGGCAGACGTCGTGCGGCTCGATTGGTAGTGAAGAGCAAGAGGATCAGATCGCCCTGGATCTCTTAACGGAAGACCCTCCTACCGACGATGACCATTCTTTGAACGTATCGCAATCACAGGACGAGAATATCGCTCGGATAATAGCACCTATAATAGAGCAGCAAATCAAAGCTACTAAACTTCTGTACGAATTTATCTTTCGTAACGATTGCGGAGCAAGAAATACTCTCGAGAAGTTCATGTGCTCTCTTGGTAATCAAGACGGCTCGTTGACGATACGATGATCAAAGTGAAACACTCTCTCCACAGACACGTGTTTCCCCGCATACGTCTTAAGCCCCTAGGTGAAGATCCTGTTGACCATCGTCGGCCTTGTTAGTACTGATCACCTTTGGGGTTCTCGCTCTCTAGGGGCCAGCACTTCTTATGTTCCTTGCAGACTCTGATAGCATTACAACTCGAAGCTCTCTTATCTGAGATGCACACTTCATATTCAGTACACCAGCGAATACAGGGAAAGCATTGATTTGATCCATGTGCGAAATGTTTCACGCTCCACTTTCTTCCTTTCCAAACTACACAAATGCAAATTTCTCTCTTCCTCCCTGTGCCTTCTACCTTGAATTGCGCTCTATTGATTCAACGTGTTCTCTGTTTGCCTCTCCTTTGCCAAACTCATCTGTCACCCACCAGCCACCAATCTCATCCTCGACCTCCCTTCCTCAGCGAAAGCGTCGAAATCCACATGCCCTTTATCTATCATCGACCACATCTTCTCTGCACTCTACCAGGGCAATCTGATCCTGTCTTGTCCCATTCATCCGTAAGCACACTCAAATTCTCGTTCCCTTGGTAATCCGCTTCATCGCCTTCCTCGAAACGTACATGTCTGTCCGCCAGGATCACCGTCTGCCCGGCGAACCCTTCTTTATCCAGAATAAAGATTGGGCCTGGCTCATTTCGTTCTGTGCTTTTCACGGCGTCCATACACCAGGCGTCTAGATCTTCAACAGTATGACCAGCCCATGGATTGCTGAACGTCTCCGCAGTCAGAGATCCCGGCGCTGTTTCCTGCATGGCGGGATACTCCACATCGTGAGCGTTCTTGTTTCGCATGATGTGAAAATTGACGACTTGGCCCTCCAGCTCGCTCAAGAGATAGAGGAGTAGGCGATTTGCCGTCTGATGTAGCTGTGGTGGCAGTGATAAAGACCAGGGCTACTTCGGTGGACATAGTCGATGTCGTTCAATTCCGCAATCTGTACTGCCATTTCGATGCGCTCGAAAACCCTATTCAGAATTTCTCGCCAGTAGTATAGATAATTCTGGCCACATTGTAGACGCTGTCTGAAGCTCTTGCGCTAGTCAGTACTGCCTTACTAGATTTGCTGATCCCCGATCTTTCGTCTGGGTTTCCATCGAATGTCATGGCCAAGTCGGAAGACAACGCTGTTTGAATGCGCACAGCTTCCACGCTCCTCGGATGAAAGTCGACAATAACAGCTCCAACGATTGCGCATGTGCGCTTGAATGCTACATGCTGGAGCGAAGTCCTACTGCCTCACAGAGCATACTTGTGGGACCAAAGGCCTCGTTTTTTGGATATCGAGTGTGACACATGTCGTCCGCATATCCGTTCTACCGTCTTTATCGTGCCAGCTGGCGAGTCGTTTGACTGATACTGGTACATGTGAGCAGGTCAGCGAAGAGTGAAGTCCATTTCCAGGGTCGCGCGCGACTCGTGCACCTGCACAACACATGATGAGTCAGCTATGCGCGACACAACTCCCTCGACGTCCGTCAACCTTCCCACTTCGACTGCACCAACACAAACCACCAATTCCGGCTCAACCACCACTTCCTCTATACCCGAGAACATATAGTCACCACCCTCGCGACTGCGCGCACAAAGACCTTCAAAACCGCCCACCATGCCGAAAGCAGAAATCGGCAGCACGAAACACCTCGCGAACAAAATGAAAGCCAAAGGCCTACAACGCCTGCGCTGGTACTGCCAAGTCTGCGGCAAACAATGCCGCGACGAGAACGGCTTCAAGCAACACACCATGTCCGAAGGGCACGTGCGGCAAATGCAGCTCGTAGGCGAGGACCCCAAAAAATACATCAACGAATTCTCGCGACAATTCCAGCGGGATTTCCTGCAATTGCTGAAGACGGCGCACGGCGAGAAGAAAGTCAATATGAATAACTTCTATCAGGAGTATATCAAGGATAAGGAGCATGTGCATATGAATGCGACGAAATGGCCGAGTCTGACGGAGTTTGCCAAGTTTCTGGGGCGCGAGGGGATTTGTCGGGTCGATGAGGGGGAGCGGGGGTTGGAGGTTCAGTGGATTGATGATAGTGCGGAGGCGATTCGGAGGAGGGAGGATATCAAGAAGAAGGATCGGCTGGTTAAGGGGGATGAGGATGTGGAGAGTCGGCTGTTGGCGCAGCAGGTCAAGAGAGCGAGGGAGGAAGCGGAGAGGATGGGAAGGACGGAACCACCGCCGACGTTGGCTGAGAATGAGGGAGAGGCTGAGGTCGAGAGGAAGCCTCTGGAACCCGTCAAGCTATCAGGCTTCAGTCTGAAATCCAAGGGCCCCGTGAAGCCCGTGGAGGAAAAGAGCCAAGACGAGAGCGCACCCATCGCAATCGAAACTTTCTCCTCCACGGACAACCCAGCAGAGCAGCCACAGCCAGCAAAACCGTCCCCCCCAAAGGACAACGATGAAGAAGACAACGAAGAAGTCCCGAAGCCCGAAGCACCACCCAAGATCTCCCTAGGCGGCCTCAAGAAGAAACCAGGCAACCCCCTCGCGAAGAAGAACCCCTTCGCGAAACCCAAGCCGACAGCAGTCGCAGAGCCGGAGAAGAAGATGAGTAATGCGGAGCGTATCATGAAGGAGGAATTGGAACGGAAGCGCTTGATGGATCAGCGTGGACACGGGAATAAACGCCAGCGATTGGCTTGATCGTGGACTTTTATTGAATGTTGTATGAATTAGCGAAGGCGTTCTGGTATACCCGTCATGATATGCAGGGATCAAGAATGATGAATTTTACAGCATCTCGGCGTTGAAGGGATCAAAACTCTCGTAAAGTGTACGAGATGAAAGTACGTGTACGAACGAGCACAGACAGCTCTTGAAGCATTACTTGATGATTTTGTTGAGCGAAGAGCTACGTGGTTATATTCTGAGTTCTGTGCATCAGCCTCATTCTCTCCCATGATGCTCTCTCGCTCATGCGCTCATGTTATGCTCGTTGCTGGTTCCAGCCTGTCTGGATGTCATTAAACCCATGCTCGTAGTCGTTCCTCCACCTGCATCTTACGATCGCGTTCCGTTGCCGTACTTTGGAGGGGCAGGAGCTGCAGTTGCAGTTGCCTTGACTGAAGTCGGGGTTGTCTTGGTGGAGGTGGTGCTCGCGTCAGGAGTTGGGGCTGGAATGCTGGCACCGATAGTCCAGCCTGTAGCACCAGCGACGACGGAAATGTCGGTGTAGAGACCGCAGCGAGTGCTGAAGCCGAACTGGCGAATGTGTCAGTGGATTTACAGGCACAATGATCACAAGTGGAAGGATACGCACCTGAACTCCGTCGCAGCTGCCAGTGCACGAGGCCGCGCAGGCTGAGAAGTCCGAGGCAGAGAGGTAGCGCGAATGTGCTGCGCCGCTGAAAACGCTGTCGCAGTTGACCTCGTAGTAATTGCCACTCTCTGGGTCAATGTAGACATTCCCGCTGGAGTCGGGACAGGTAACCTCGGCACCGTTAGTGATGTTCGCTGGAATCGCCGACGTGGTTGCGGTGATATTGATGATCGGACCGCCTGGGTTGAAAGCCGTCTCAGGACGCTGCGTGCCCGCCGCTGCGATTGAGGAAGGAATTACAGGACCTACCGGACCGATCTTGGCAGAGACGGACTTGGAAGTCGTCGTTGGCGAGAATGGCGCCGGAAAGTCGGTTATTGTCGAGGATAGGGTAGGCTTCGAGGTAGTTGAAGAAGTTGTACTGCCCTTACGGCTGCTCGAGGTCGCTGTCTTGTTGTTGTCGTCTCCATCCGCGACAAAGACGATGTAGGGGAGGCCTCCGGACTGGGCGCCTTGTTCCAAGCCCTGTTGGCAGAGGTGGCACGACTTGTCTTGCGAGTACCACTTCACAGCCAAACAGGTAACATCTGTAAGGAAGTCAGAATTGCTCTCGCAAGTTCAGGGCGAAGTCGCGCCCGCAATGACGCGTGAATCTCACCTTGATCGCAAGCCTCTAAACAAAGCTCCTGAGAGGCAACGTTGTCGCGAATGGGCTCGCTCTCACAAACCGGCTCCATGCCGCAAACGACGGTGTATGACGAATTCAGCTTGTCGGGAACGGAAATGCCATCACACACCGGACACGCCATGGCATTCGCGTCACAACCAGAGCTCGTCGGGAGAGTTGAGTAGGTCGGGTCTGTGACTGTGCCAGTGATCGAGACCTTTGAGGTTGTTGGGACGGGGCTGCTGGCAGCGCCTGCAGTAGTAGTAACAGGAACGAATGCGGTGTAGCCGGCGTTGGACGTGGATGTCAAGTCACCGCCCTCCTTCGCAATCTCGCAGTCCTTAAAGTCGAAGTAGGAAGCTCCGGCACAGAAGTCAAGTTGGTCGCATTGATTGATACAGCCCGCGGGAGTTAGAGCCTCCTGGGGGTAGTAAGAACCGTTGCTGGAAGTGAGCTCGAAGTCGCAGACGATGGTATATTTGCCACCGTTGGCATTGCCAACTTCAACACCATCGCAGGTTGGGCAGAGCGTATTGAGTTCCAAATCGCATTCTGGGCTGCTGGAGGGCGAAGGGGCATTGGTTGTTGTCGTGATGGGAGAAGCGGATGACGTCTGCGTCAGGCCGCCACCGAAGACGGTCGAAGTCATCTTCACATGCTCAGTCGTCTCGGCATTGGATTCGGCGAGGCGGAAGAGATTGATGACGCCCTTCTGTTCGGCGAGGGACTTCTGGTCGCCGGTGAGGATGGAGCAGCTACCATTGGCCGCGAGGTTGGCGCCGTAGCATTTATTGGCCGCGTCACATGCCTTCAAGCAGCCCTCGAGAGTGATGTCACCCTGTATGGCCTGCTCTGCAACGCCGTGGCTCCGATAGTCGCAGGACACCACCCACTTGGTGTCGGCATCGGTGATGTTCTGGCCGTCGCATCCCGGGCACAGGTCAGCGACGGGAGTGTCGGTGTTGCAGGTGGCGGCGGAGGAGACCCCAGCGGCGGCGAGGAAGACGGCGGCGGCCGTGGCGAGAACCGCCTTCATGGTGGGTGATTGTGGTGATGCTATTGTTGAAACGAGCGACGTCGAAGGAGTGAGTGACTGGAAGGAGTGACCGAAAGGAGCGTGGTGGGAGGGTAAGGTAGTGAGGTGAGCAAAGAACGAGTGTGTGTGTGTGTGTGTGTGTGTGTGTGTGTGTGTGTGTGTGTGAGGTGCACTGTGCTTGCTGTGCTGTCGTCGTTTGGGGTGGAAGAGGAAGTCGCGCTCCCCGTTTGCATCCCCGTCGCCGCCGCCGCCGCCGCCGCCGCTCCCTCCCTTCCGCGCGCAATCAGAAGCGCGTGTGCGTGTCTTGCGTGTAGCAGTGCGACGCAAGGCCGCGAGGAATGTCAATCAAACGCCATGAAACACGCCCACCACTCATCCTCATGCCGGATTTTGCGCCTCTTCCAATGCCGTGGTACCCATCTGCTTGGACGAGATGATGAAAGTGCCACTTACCGTCACAGCTACTTACTCTCCTACCGGTATCGAAAGCATCTTCGCCTTCATCCATGGCCCCTGGGAGGCGTCGTGAGAAGTGAGCGCAAGATCCCTTCCCATTTCGTTCGTGGAGGACAGTCAAACAGCAGTATCACCGAGCAGGCGGGTGCGAGGAGTGACGTTACACACGCTTGACGTTCCACCAAATCTCGGTAATGCGAGGGCACTCCTTCTTCTTGGCAGACGGTTCATCGCAGCACATTCTTCTCCTTCATCTCCTCTCCAAACTCCTTCATCGCGCTTTCGACGCACGCCTCAGGACCCTGCGGACCGATTCATCCATCTGGCGGGCCCGGTCTAGAAAGAGTCGCAATGTTCTATGCGACCATAAAGTCACATCGTGCTATCGACCGTCAGCTTGGTGACTCGCTCTCGCATGGGATTGCTGGAGTCTCTTATGGAGACACCGACTTCACCGGCCGACGTCGACGCCTCCTGCAGGATTCCCTATATGACTTACAGGCGAACTCTTACCTGATCGAGAGACCGCTGGCGGCGCAGCTGCAGTCGGCCTCGTCCTGCACCCTCAGAACATTCCGAAGGACCTGGATGGAGTGAGTACCCACATCCACCTGGCTAGTGAACGAGATACGAGACATGCGAGGATCATAGACGGCCGACTTGGGGACGGAGGCTCGCAACAAAGGAAATGCGACGGCCGTTCCGTGGCGTTAAATGTTGCCGCTGGGGTCTGGGCACGCTCCAAACGGGTATTTAACTACCGGGACGAGGTTTATGCACCCTCGCCGCCTGCCAAAAACAAATCGCGACAGCCTCGCCCAGCATCTGGGCACCCCGCTGCTCGCGCACTCATGACTTGGCGACCTGCAGTGCGTGTATGCTGTTCACGACGTTCGAATCCTCATTGCTGGCCACTTGCGCGTGCACGCAGTCGTACACACAGGACTCTAAATGCGAAGGCAGAGCGATCATGACCTTGCAAGCACAGTGCAAGCACACAAGCGAGGGGCATGGAAACGCACCCGATTGGTCAACGCAATCTTTAAAGCCTGAGCTGCCCGGCGAGAATCTGCGTAATGTCTCGACACCGGAGAGACATCTATCCGTTTGGGAACGATGGTCCATTCTGCAGCCTTAGGACTAGGGCTAAACCCGCCGATAGCACGGTAGGTGTCACTTGGACCGTCTCACTGTCTTCCTCTTCTAAGGAAACAACTCCCCCACCCCCATCCACCCGGGTGCTCTTTTTGATCACGGCGGTCGATCCCAAATCGCACGTTTTGAGCCGTCAATAGCCACTTCGTCCAAACGACTGGCGGAATTGCCCGGAGGAGGTCTCGAATCGACCTCTCACACCTTTGCAGGACTTGCGGGCGTCTGATACCTCGATTGCGCATCGATAAGACGTCGCGGCCTCGAGGGCCTTCATCCCCGATTCTGGTTGCCCTCACCCACGAGCCACTTCCCCGGGATGGGCGTCGACTACGAGAAGCGAGCTGCGGACAGCTCGAGTAGCGATGGCATCGACTCAGTTGATTATGCCGACTACGAGAAAATCGTGGTGGGCCAAGCTCCCATACCGACACAACTACCAGAAGAGCTAGTAGCGCCACTACATCGATCACGCCCGACACCGCGGCAGAAAAACCAGGAGGAAGATGTGTTTGCGCACTTACCAGAGCATGAAGCCACAATCTTGAAGAGGCAGTTGGAGATACCCCCGGTCAAGCTGACATACAAGGATCTCTACCGGTACTCGAGTAGGATGGACCTCTTCATCATCGTCATGTCCTCCATATCAGCAATTGGAGGAGGCGCTGCCATGCCGCTCATGACCATCGTGTTCGGATCTCTTGCGGGCACTTTTCAAGGCTTCTTCCTTTCAACAACTACCGGAGCGGAGTTCACAGACACTACGAGCCGACTGACGCTGTACTTTGTATACCTCGCTATTGGAGAATTCATCTTGTCGTACATCTACACGGTCGGCTTCATCTACACTGGCGAACACATTGCCGGCAAGATCAGACAGCACTACCTCGCCAGTATTCTCCGCCAGAATATCGGATACTTCGACAAGCTGGGAGCTGGAGAAATCACCACCAGGATCACAGCCGATACGAATCTCGTCCAAGATGGAATTTCCGAAAAGGTCGGGCTTACGATGCAAGCTGTTGCCACATTTGTTGCAGCCTACGTGATTGGATACATTAAATACTGGAAGCTGACACTCATCTTGACATGCACGATTGTGGCCATCTTCCTTACCATGGCTGTTGTGGGCCAATTCATCGTCAAATTCAACAGACAATCTCTCGCTTCCTACGCCGAGGGTGGAACTGTTGCCGAGGAAGTCATTAGCTCCATCCGCAATGCCATTGCTTTCGGCACGCAGGACAAACTCGCCAACGAGTACGACAAGCACCTCTGTGCTGCCGAAAAGGCAGGGTTCAGGATGAAGGCCATCACGGGTGCCATGATTGGCTTCTTGATGACATACATCTACTTCACTTACTCCCTCGCTTTCTGGCTTGGAAGCAAGTACATTGTCAGTGGCGAGAGCACGCTTTCTGATATTCTCACTATCCTGCTGTCCATCATGATTGGCGCGTTTGCTCTGGGGAATGTGGCTCCCAACATTCAGGCAATCACGACCGCTGTCGCAGCCGCTTCGAAGATTTACGCAACGATTGATCGCGAGTCGCCTCTGGATTCCTCGTCGACGAAAGGCAAGACCATTGAAAACCTGAAAGGATACTTGGAGCTTCGCAACGTCAAGCATATCTATCCATCTCGGCCAGAAGTCACGGTCATGGAAGATGTCAGTCTGCTAGTCCCAGCGGGCAAGACCACAGCACTCGTGGGAGCCTCGGGTAGTGGAAAGAGCACCATTGTGGGTCTGGTGGAGCGCTTTTACGATCCTGTAGGTGGCGAAGTGTTGCTAGATGGTGTGAATGTGCAGGACCTCAACCTGCGATGGCTGCGGCAGCAGATCAGCTTGGTCTCGCAGGAGCCCACACTCTTCGCGACTACGATCGCTGGCAACATCAGGCACGGTCTGATTGGTACCAAGTATGAGAACATGTCCGATGATGAGACCAGAGATCTGATCGAGAATGCTGCCAAGATGTCGAACGCGCACGACTTCATTCGCGCTTTGCCGGAGGGCTATGAGACAAACGTCGGCGAACGTGGATTCCTGCTGTCCGGTGGTCAAAAGCAGCGTATTGCGATTGCAAGAGCTATTGTCAGCGATCCAAAGATTCTGCTCCTGGACGAGGCCACTTCTGCTCTGGACACGAAGAGTGAGGGTGTAGTGCAGAGCGCTCTCGACGCAGCCGCCAAGGGAAGAACCACGATCGTCATCGCTCACCGTTTGAGTACGATCAGAGACGCAGACAACATTGTTGTCATGTCGCAAGGCCGTATCGTCGAGCAAGGTCACCATAACGAACTTCTCCAGAGGAGAGCTGCGTACCACAACCTTGTCGAGGCTCAGAAAATCGCCGCGGAGTCTGAACAGAAGCGCGAAGAAACCGAGGAGCTTCTCGCGGAGACGTATGGCAATTTGCTCGAGAAAGCAAAGACTGGAGAAGCCGGCCAGTACGGGTCCGACCCAAACGACCTCGCACTGGGCCGCACCCAGTCCAGAATGTCCGCCTCCAGTGCTGTTCTCGCAGATCGAAAGCTGGACAAGTCCTCCAAGTACCATCTCTGGGCCCTGGTCAAAGTTGTCGCTTCGTTCAACAGACAGGAGCTAGGATATATGCTGCTCGGCCTGGCCACTGCCATCATCTGTGGTGGTGGTCAGCCAGTCCAATCTTTGTTCTTCGCGAAGACCATCACTGCCTTGTCGCTTCCGCCTCCGATGTACGATGACCTCCTCTCTGAAACAAGTTTCTGGTCCTGGATGTACTTCATGCTGGCATTCGTGCAACTGATCGCGTACACCGTCAACGGCGTGGCTTTCGCTTACTGCAGTGAGAGGCTTGTACACCGTGCTAGAGACCGATCGTTCCGGACAATGCTGAGACAGGACATCTCGTTCTTCGACAAAGACGAGAATTCTGCTGGTGCCCTGACGGCTTTCCTGAGCACGGAGACCACGCACTTGGCTGGTATGTCTGGTGTCACTCTGGGAACGATCTTGCTTGTGAGCACCACTCTCGTTGTTGGCTTTATTATCGCCTTGGCGGTTGGCTGGAAACTAGCGCTGGTCTGCATTGCCACCGTTCCTGTTGTGCTCATGTGCGGTTTCCTCCGACTCTGGATGCTTGGTCGATTCCAGGCGCGTGCCAAAAAGGCCTATGAGAAATCTGGCTCTTATGCTTGTGAGGCAACCTCTGCCATCCGCACCGTCGCTTCTCTGACGCGAGAAAACGATGTCTGGGAGCATTACCACCACATGATCGCAGACCAGGAAGCCTCATCGCTGCGCTCAGTTCTACAGTCGTCGACCCTCTACGCTGCATCACAGAGCTTCATGTTCCTGTGCATTGCGCTTGGATTCTGGTACGGAAGCACACTGATCGCCAGCGGCGATTACACACTCTTCGAGTTCTTTTTGTGCTTCCAGGCTGTCATTTTCGGTGCCCAGTCGGCCGGTACGATTTTCAGCTTCGCGCCCGACATGGGCAAAGCCAAGCACGCTGCTGCCGAGATGAAGACTTTGTTCGACAGGAAGCCAGAGATTGATACCTGGAGCCCGGACGGAGAGATCATGCACCTGGTAGACGGCGATGTTCAATTCCGCAATGTACACTTCCGCTACCCGACACGGCCTGAGCAGCCTGTGCTCCGTGGTTTGGACCTCTCGATCCGACCGGGACAGTACGTCGCTCTCGTGGGACCATCCGGTTGCGGCAAGTCGACTACCATCGCACTGCTCGAGCGCTTCTACAATCCGCTTGTTGGAGGCATCTACGTCGACGGCCGCGAAATTTCCTCGCTCAACGTCAACTCGTACCGAAATCACATTGCCCTCGTATCACAGGAGCCAACCCTCTACCAGGGTACCATCCGCGAGAACATCCTCCTAGGCGCCGACAAGAAGCCCGAAAACGTTCCCCACGAGGCTATCATCCAAGCCTGCAAAGACGCCAATATCTACGACTTCATCCTTTCCCTCCCGGAAGGATTCGATACCGTGGTTGGAAGCAAGGGCAGCATGCTCTCTGGGGGTCAGAAGCAACGTGTCGCGATCGCTCGTGCTCTGCTTCGAGACCCGAAAATCCTTCTCCTCGATGAAGCGACGAGCGCTCTCGATTCCGAGTCGGAGAAAGTCGTACAGGCGGCCCTGGATAAGGCAGCCAAGGGCCGCACGACCATCGCGGTGGCACACAGACTCTCGACGATCCAGAAGGCGGACATGATTTACGTGTTTGACCAAGGAAGGATTGTGGAGAACGGCACGCATAGCGAGCTGATGAGGAAAGGTGGAAAATACTCTGAGTTGGTCAACTTGCAGAGTTTGGGGAAGACGCATTAGATGGAGATGTACAGATGATGTGCTTTGGGTAGCGTGGCGTTGTGGGGATACAGAGGGATGGGAATGAGAATGGGAATGGGACTACGATCTGTATGCATGATGCTGATGCTGCACACCCTTTTTGAGGGACTGTCTACACGGTATGGGATGAGCAGGGAACATACAGTACGGCAGAATTCGTTGAGCCAGACTCTGCTTTATGATATCCCAAACCAACGGCATGCTCCAGTTCTCTTCAATTCCGCGTCTCTCTCAACTTTCACGACATATACCAAGCGACAGGGGTCTTCGCTGGCCCGCCGGCCCGTAGCGATGGAAGCTAACTACCTTGAGCAGCGATCGGCGCGTCTGGTAGTCGGCCATGCCCCAGACTTTCGCAGCAGTCCGCGAGCTCTCCATCTTCATACAAGACTGGAGCCTTCAGTACTTCATATTACCACCGCGCACCAACTCTCGTCGCACCACTTCATTGTGTTGTGTAATTATAATATAATTGGATCGAATACTCTCACGACTTCCGTTCCAACGATCCTTCCAACGAAACTCTTGCACGCGCAGAACAAGTCGAGGCGCGTGCTTCAATCCACGAACTCATACCAACACAAACGAAGTAACGGATTGAACGCTGTGCACGCGATACCGCTTCAAACAACCGACGCGAAGCGACGAGAGGCGGAGCAAGAGACGTTCCACATGCCCTGACTGGCGCACGCTTGCTCTGTCATGGTACAACTCAACTGCGACTGAACTTGGCACGACAAGCCCCAAGGCTACGAGAGCGGCCATGGCCGACCGACAGATGGGCAACATGGAGCTCTACGAGGGCAAGCTTCACGATGCCTCTCTCGACGCCAAAGCCAAGGGCGCCGTTCTCACCGAAGTTCGCGACCAACTCGATGCTTTCTGTCAACCGGCGACGTACGGCAGCTTCCTCAACAAGTTCATCCCAATTTTCTTGGGAATACTGTCCGATCCGCCCGTCTTCACCTCCACATCACCCGAACAACGGATGCGACAATGCGTGCTCGAGATCATCCACCGACTGCCCATGTCCGCGGACAGTGCGGCTATGGAGCCTCATGCGGAGAAGGTAGTCGATCAATGCTTGGGACTGGTCAAGAGCGAGAACGAAGACAATGCTGTGCTATGTCTGAAGATTGTTATGGACTTCTGCAGATATCACACAAAGATCTCCGGGGTGGCTGAGAAAGCGCAAGCGTTTCTGGATCTTATTCTGGAAATCTTCGACAGCATGAACCAGACTGTGAAGGATACGTTTGAGAGCAACACGCCCGTGAACGCAGTCGCTGGAGTGGCTCCTGGCACACCTGGTAATTCTGGAACACCTGGATCGCCAGTCGTATCGGCGTCGCAGTCACTAGCCGCAGATCCTGCCTCGGAACAACAGACCACGAGGCAGCTGGTCAAGGGCATGCACAGCTTCAAGGTCGTAGCCGAGTGTCCGATCATCGTCGTCAGTATCTTCCAGGCACACCGTGCTCTGGCCCCGAAGAATGTTGGGAAGTTCACGCCTCGCATCCGGAACACTCTGCTGCTCCAGGCCGGTCCCCAACAAAAAGCCCATGAGGAGGCCCGATCGAACAACACAATCTTCGCGGGCATTGCCAAAGAGATCAAGGCGAAGGGTCAGAGTGCCGCCTTTGGGGATCTGGTGACAGCTCAGGTCAAGACCATGTCATTCCTGGCCTACCTCCTGCGGGCGTATGCACAATCACTGCAGGAATTCCTCCCGCAATTGCCAGAGCTCACAGTGCGATTGCTACGCGATGTTCCGCGAAGCCATACCGCGACGCGAAAGGAGTTGTTGGTGGCTATTAGACACATTATCAACTTCAACTTCCGCAGCGTATTCTTGGACACGATTCTTCCCCTGCTCGATGCACGCACTCTCGTGGGCGATTCTCTCACAGCCGATGTCACGTTACGGCCACTTGCATACACCATGCTCGCAGATTTAATACATCATGTTCGGGAAAACCTCAAGCCTGAGCAAATCGCTCGGGTGGTGGAGGTCTACGTGGGTCATCTCACAGGCGATGACGGCGTAGAGGTCCCGGGGACTAGCTATCAGACGATGAGTGCCAAGCTCCTCCTCAATATGGCAGAGTGCATGTCAAAGATCGAAGACAAGAAGGATGCGCGCTTCTTGATGATGCAAGTGCTCAACGGCATAGCGGACAAGTTCGCGGCCATGAACCGCGCGTACCCGAACGCGGTGAAATTGTATCGCCAGACCAAGGAGCACACAGGCTCGGAGCCAGCTCATGAGCAATACCTCGCCGAGAAGGATGTGAGGCCTGACTGGGACGAGACCGACATCTTCAGTGCTATGCCCATCAAGGCTGTTAACCCCAAGGACCGGGCTCTGGATCCAGTGACGGAGAACAAATTTCTGTTCAAGAACTTGTTGCAAGGCCTCAAACAATTCTTCTACCAGATGCGGAACAGCAATCCGCCCAAGATCAAGGATGAGGTCGATGCAAGCGTCGCTCCGCCTCACTGGGGGGAACTTGGATCCGGATTCGAGGCAGAAGAGGTTGAGGTGTTGATTAAATTATTCCGCGAAGGTGCCAAGTGCTTCCAGTACTACGCGCCACTGGATCAGAACGCATCAGACAGTCCACCCACCGAGCCAAGCGCAAGTCTCTCTTCGACCGCAAATTCCAAGGAGGAGAAAGACCTCTTGGAAACATTCGCGACTATCTTCCATCACCTCGACCCTGCCACGTTCCATGAGGTCTTCACATCGGGGACGGCGTCAGGAATAGAGTTCCTTTACGAGCAGAGCTTTGCACATTCTGCTCTTCTGCACATACCGCAGTTCTTGCTGGCTAGCGAAGCTACTAGTCCTGCTTTCTGCGGTATGCTGTTGAAGTTCCTGATGGGCAAGCTTGAAGAAGTGGGTGAGAAGGACGCCACGAAGACGTCAGTTCTACTCAGGCTGTTCAAATTGTCGTTCATGGCAGTGACGCTCTTCTCCCAACATAACGAAGGCGTGCTTCTACCTCACGTCCGCGAACTCATTACGAGATCGATCGAGCTTTCGGTGACTGCCGAAGAGCCTACGAATTATTTCCTTCTTCTACGATCGCTGTTCCGCAGCATAGGTGGTGGGCGGTTCGAGCATCTGTACAAGGAGATTCTTCCACTGCTAGAAATGCTTCTCGAAGTGCTGAACATCCAGCTAGCAGCAGCACCGGACGGCAGCACACGGGATCTCTTCGTTGAGCTCTCGTTGACAGTACCGGCGCGACTAAGTCACTTGCTTCCTCATCTTTCCTACCTAATGCGACCGCTCACTGTAGCGCTGCGGGCTGGAGATGTTACCTCTTCCCCAAGCCATCGACCATACTCGAACGACCGGGCTTCGCATGACGCTCGAGGCCCTGGATCAAGTGAACTTACAGCTCAAGGCTTAAGAACACTTGAACTTTGCGTTGACAATCTCACTGCAGACTACCTGGATCCAATCATGCAGCCATGGATGGAGGAGATTATGGGCAGCCTGTGGCGCATGCTCAAGCCCGTCAGTATCACCGGAGCAAACGTCATGATGAATGGGAGCCAGATAACTATGGGCACTGGCCATCAAGGAGCACACACTGCCGTGAGAATCCTCGGAAAGCTTGGTGGGCGTAACAGACGCTTCCTTACCAGTCCCCCCGATCTGGAATGGCGATCGTACGCGGATGATGAAGCTAGTTACGACGTCCGATTTATCGGTGCGGTCAGCAACGGTGGCGAGCGTGCTATGCCGGCTCGGCTTGGTGTCGACACCGCCATTGACAAGCTTATGGAGACACCGAAGACTGCTGCGCAGAAGAAGTCGGATGAGTTCCACAAGCGTCAAGCTTTCAAGTTCATCACGTCTCACATCAAGTTGCTAGTTGGCTCTGACAATTTGCCCGATGACTTGGCGCGCCTCGTGCGCTTGCAAGCAGATGACCTCGCCTCGAAGAACTTCGACTTTGGCTCGGACTTGTTCTCGGCATCCGAGCGCTCCAAGTCTGCTGCCAAAAGGGATGCGCAGCAGCAATCTTTATTAAAGTTGCTGAAGGCTCTCTTCTTCTCCACTAGCATTGAGCACCTGAAGGAGGAAGCCGAGCGGTTCTTGGAAGGTATCTATCGGCACTTCATGCTCGTTGAACTTGGTGTTGGGGTTGCCAGAGAGAAGCACATGAAGCGTCCTTTCAATGTTGCCGCCGGAGAAGGTCCCGTCTTCATCGACACGAGCACTTTGGCCGATGCCATCTGCGAGAGCTTGGCCTCGGAGCAGAAAGTCGTTCGCGAGACAGCGGAGAAAGCGATGCTCTCGTGCTTCAAGATCGCTACCACGATCTTCGGGTCGGAACAAAAGGCGGAGTGCCTGTCGTTCTTCGCGAAACTTGCCGAGACGTGCAGTCACGCGTGCTACGAGGAGGAGTGGTTTACCAAGTCTTCTGGCTCACTTGGAATTGGCGTACTGATAATGAAGGACAAGATGTCTTTCTCAGATACTTGGATGACCGAACGCATGTCGCAAATGCTGAACGCTTTGCTGTATGTCATCAAAGACATGCCTCAAGACCTACCTGCCAACATTCGCGTTCAGGCCAAGGACACCATCGTTGTGCTTGTCAGGCGTTTCGGCAGCAGCGGCATTGCCAAGAAGGAAGATCTGAGCAGTAGAGAGACCAAACTCCATCGACTTGCCAGCCAGCTCATCGCCGAGGTGAGCCATATGAACCGCCATGTACGCGAGGCAGCGCAAGTAGCGTTGCGGACCTTGGCTGAAACGTTCGACATGCCGCACTACGAACTGCTCTCGCCCGTAAAGGACATCTTGACTGCACCCATCTTCATGAAGCCCCTTCGAGCTTTGCCGTTCTCTGCGCAGATCGGATACATAGACGCGATCAACTTCCTCTTGGACGTTCCTCCAGAGAAGGAAATTCTCCCCTTCGACGACAACCTCAACCGACTGCTTTTCGAAACTCTCGCCCTTGTTGATGCGGAGGATGAGAGCCTCGCGCCTAAGCCTTTCGAGTTCCGTGTAGCTGAGTCGATCGTGCGACTTCGTGTCTCCGGGCTCAAGCTTCTCACCACAGCGATCAAGCTTCCCGGATTCAGTCCCAATCAGGCGACAGGACAGCCAGGTCAGGGACAGCAACAGAGTACACAGCACCGGGCGCGAGTGATTGGAATCTTCTTCAAGTCCCTTTACAGCAAGAACAAGGAGGTGGCCAGCGCCGCCAACGCTGGACTAAAGATTGTATTGCAGTCAACTTCGAAGTTGCCCAAGGACTTGCTCCAGAACGGGCTGAGGCCAATACTCATGAATGTACAGGATCCTCGCAAGCTTTCGGTTGAAGGCTTGGAAGGTTTGAGAACGCTGCTCCAGCTACTGCACAACTACTTCAAAGTGGAAATTGGCACGCGCCTGCTAGATCACATGAAGGTGATTGCGGACTCGCCAACACTGCAAAAAGTCAGTTTCCAGCTGGTGGAGACGAATCCGAAAATGAGGATAGTCACGGCGATTTTCAGCGTGTTCCATTTACTGCCCAGCCAGGCGGCGCAGTTCTTGCAGGATCTCGTGGATCGTGTGTTGTCGCTTGAGGAGTCTTTGCGGCGAACACGCAGCAGCCCCTTCCGAGAGCCTTTGATCAAGTATCTGAATCACTACCCGAACGAGTCATGGACTTACTTCAGCGAGAGATTGAAGGATGAGTCTCGAGGGCGTTTCTTTGCCCAAGTGCTGGAAGACGCTGAGAGCGGTCCGTTGAGGGAGAAGGTCATCAAGGAGATAGATGCTCTTCTCAATACTTTCACAGGAAATGCTAGCGAGGCTGACAAAGCTCAGGCCGCGGTCAATGCAATTCACGCCGCCGATGCCATCTGCCGATTCCCGGAGTCTGGCAAAGAACTCATGGGCAACGAGAAGGCTCGCAAAGCACTGCTAGACGCAGCGAGGTCATTGCAGACGCAGCTGCAGCAAGGGACACTGCCCAAGAATCTCCGTCTCGCCGTTGCTCAGAGCTCGGAGAAGATTATGCGGATCATGACCTTCTATCTACTAGAGCAGCCAAAGGACCTGGACACGCTTTTTGAGATCTTCGAAGCGTGCACGAAGAACGAGCTTCAGCCTTGCCCGTCGCTCTTCACATATCTGTACAAGAATGTGATCACCAATGATTCGATCGAGTATCAGCGATCCGTCATGCACCGCTGCATCGAGATCTACACCTCCAAGGACACGACGCAGAAGTTCAAGTGGTTCGTGTTCCACAATGTGTCCAATCCAATCCTCGCGAACGATGCGATGCGTAACTGGGACTCGCTCTTCCAATCGAATCACAAAGGCACTGCTCTGCTGGACAAGGCCATGACTGAGGAAATTCACAACAAGCTCTGGAAGCCACAATCGGTCGCCGATATCTCAGAGGAAAGCACACAAGGTGTCGATCACAGCAGAATGGAGCTCCTGCAGACTTCTGCGTTCTTGATCAAGTACCACCACAGTATGCTCCAGGATGCTAGGAAGGACCTGATCAAATTTGGCTGGAACTACATCCGACTGGAGGATCACATCAACAAGTACGCGGCATACTGCTTGATCGCTTACTTCATCCACCATTACGAGACACCTCCGAAGATCGCCATGCAGGTGTATAACTCCCTTTTGCGTGCGCATCAGACCGAGGGCAGAAATCTCGTGATGCAATCTCTCGAGATCCTGGAACCAGTGCTTAAGAAGCGCCTCGGCGGGTCAGAGGGACCGGGTCGGCAGAGTGTGTGGGCTAGACTCCCGCGCAAGATTCTGAGCGAAGAGGTCAGCAATGCGCAGCAGCTGACCAGTATCTATCAGTTCGTGGTCCGCCACCCGGACCTCTTCTACGACGCCAGAGACTCCTTTGCCCAGATCATCATTCCCTCGATCGGCAAGGTAGCCGCGCTTCCGAGCGCCAGCGCCGAGGCCAGGAAGCTCGCGCTGAATCTCTTTTCACTGATCTGGCAATGGGAGGAGCGGACCGTGAGAGAGCAGGGCTCGCTCGCGGGAGACGGCACGCCAAGTGGCAAGAAGGGTGCTGTTGCTAGCCAACAGCTGCGGCTGATGTTTATCAAGTATATGATCCAGTTCATTGCCACGCTATCGGAGCGATGCCCGGTCGGGCAACCACGAAACAAGGAGAACGGCCATGCCTCGACCTATCAACCGCAGCAGCACGAGACTATCACCAAGTCTCTTGATCTCCTCTCGAAGCTACTCTCACGACCTTACTGGGATGATCTTGACATTGATACCATGTTCCCAAAGGTCACGCAACAGATCTTGTGCGCCGACCACAAGCAGGACGAGAAGGTTGAGATTTGGACCACACGCGTTGTCAACACGATTCAAATTCTCAAAGTTCTGTTCGACGCGAGGGATGATGAATGGGTCATTGCTCGTCTGCCGGAACTTCAGAAGCTACTTGGCAAGCCTTTGCGCAGCGAGAACCCGGACATCCAAGATGCTCTGCATAATTCCGAACTCGCGGACAATGTGATTCCCAAGCTTACACCGCTCATCCAGAGGGCATTGCAGCCCATCCCAGTACGCCAACCCGACGAGGAGCTCCCGGACGCTGACAGCCCGGCCGATGAGTTTGTGTCGTACCTATCTACCACTGCTGGCGAGCTTCTCAGCAACGGGAATAACGTCGCGGGAGTGAATCTGCTCTATGTGATGGCTCAACGCAAGCCTGAAGATGTTGACACACATAGTGCTGCTTTGTTGAAGGCGTTTCAGACAAAGATTGCCAAAGATCATCTTGCCTCGCTTCTTCCACAGCAGGCTGCTCAAGCGCAAGGCCAAACTCAGCAGTCTCCAGCAGAAGCCGAGTTGACAAACAAGATGATTCCAAAGGTCATTGACATGCTGTCCGCTCGTATCAGCACGCTGGGCGAATCACGTCGCCCGTATCTCAGCGTGCTGGCATCTCTTGTAGAGCGGTCTTCGAACATCGCCATCTGCGAAAAGATTCTCAGCCAGGTCGAGAGCTGGGTCTTTCACCCCACTGAGCCGGTGCCCACTCTCAAGGAGAAGACGGCGGTCCTGCAGAAGATGCAGCTCTTCGAGACGCGTCCGGACCCTGCGCTGTACATGAGATTCATGGATCTCATCATCCGGCTCTATGAGGATCCCAAGATCACCAGATCCGAGTTGGCTGTACGCATGGAGCAAGCATTCTTGATCGGCCTTCGCATGCAAGACGTCGATATGCGCTCGAGGTTCATGTCCATCTATGACAAGGCCCTCAGTCGCTCCACGAGCAACCGCTTCTTTAAGCTTATTAGCGAGCAACAGTGGGATATGTTGGGCGATTCCTTCTGGTTGAGCCAGGTCATCCAATTGATGTTTGGCTCTCTCGACCAGAACTCCCTGTTGCATCTTCACCCAGAAGACTTCAGGTGCTTGTCTGCTTCGAGGGTCTTCAGTACCTATAGCAGCGATGCTCGGCTGGGAGACGTGATGGTTGATGATAGCTTGGAGCAAATGCTGGTCCAAGAAAGGCAATTCATGAACGAACTCAACGTTGTTCGTGCTCGAGAGATTCTTGGACCCTTGGCCGATATTCAGCACACCGACTGGCAACTTGCTCACGATGTATGGGTGGCCTACTTCCCAATGGTGTGGTCGACACTTACGAAGGAGGACCGTGAGGACATTGAGCAAGGCTTGATCGCCCTTCTGACCAAGGACTACCATCAGAAGCAGATTGACAGGAGACCCAATTGCGTGGCAACACTTCTGGAAGGAATTGCGCGCGCGAAGCCTCGACTGAAGTTTCCGCCACATGTGATGAAGTATCTGGCCAAGTCTTACGACGCTTGGTATGTTGCGGCGCAGTATATGGAAGACCTTGCCATGAAGCCGATGGTCGACACGGCTGCGGTCCGAGAGAGCAACCTTGACGCACTTGTCGAGACGTACGCCGGACTCGAAGAAAGCGACCTTTTCTACGGGACTTGGCGCCGCCGAGCAGCATACGTCGAGACGAACGCTGCACTGTCGTATGAGCAGAATGGCATCTGGGACAAGGCGCAGAGCATGTACGAGCAGGCGCAAATCAAAGCTCGCACGGGAGTGCTCCCTTACTCTCAGGGAGAGTACATGCTGTGGGAAGACCAGTGGGTTCTGTGCGCGCAGAAGCTTCAGCAATGGGACATCCTCGGCGACTTCGCCAAGCACGAGAACATCAACGACCTCTACCTGGAGGCAATGTGGCGCAACTTTGAGACTTGGCAGAATACCGATAACCGCGAACACCTGGAGCAAGTCATCAAGGCCGTGTCGGATGCGCCTACACCACGCAGGATGTTCTTCCAGGCTTTCATATCTCTCCTCAAGCTGCACAACAAGAGCGAGAGTCAGCAGGACTTCTCGCGCGTCTGTGATGAGAACATCCAAGTCTCGATCAAGAACTGGCACAAGTTACCGCGGCGCATTACGAACGCACACATTGGACTGCTGCAGAATTTCCAGCAGCTGGTGGAGCTCCACGACGCAAGTGTCATCTGTCAGAGCCTCGCTCAGACGAACGCCTCTAACCTGGATGTCAAGAGTCAAGAGCTCAAGGTCCTTCTCAGCACGTGGCGAGACCGGCTGCCGAACTTGTGGGACGATATCAACGCCTGGCAGGATCTTGTCACTTGGCGTCAGCACATTTTCCAGCTCATCAATGGAACATATCTTAACCTCCTGCCAAACAATGGGGCCAACGCCACGGGTAATTCATACGCTTACCGAGGCTATCACGAGACGGCTTGGATTATCAATCGGTTTGCTCATGTTGCTCGAAAGCACCAGATGCCGGAGGTCTGCATTACACAGCTGAGCAAGATCTATACCCTGCCCAACATTGAGATTCAAGAGGCATTTTTGAAGCTACGCGAGCAGGCCAAATGCCATTACCAGAACCGCAGCGAGCTCACCAACGGACTTGATGTCATTAATAACACCAATCTCAACTACTTTGGTCCTCAGCAAAAGGCGGAATTCTACACATTGAAGGGCATGTTCCTTAGCAAATTGAACCAGAAGGAAGAGGCCTCTGATGCTTTTGGTACAGCGTTGTTCTTTGACATCAAGCTCCCGAAGGCGTGGGCTGAGTGGGGTCGGTACAGCGACAAGCTGTTCAAGGAAGAGCCTGGTCAGCTGGATCTGGGATCGAACGCGTTGAGCTGCTATCTCGAGGCCGCTGGGCAATATCGAAGCGCCAAGTCTCGGAAATTGCTCAGCCGCATCCTCTGGCTGCTGAGCTTGGACGACGCTTCCGGCCAGATATCTCAGAAGTTCTACGACTACCATGGCGATCATCCATGGTGGTACTGGGTGACTTTCATTCCGCAGCTGCTCAACAACCTCTCCAGAACTGAGCATGAAGCCAGCATTGCGCACCAGATCCTCACCAACTTGGCCAAGACTTACCCGCAGGCGCTTCACTTTCAGCTCAGGACTTCACACGAGGATATGCAGGTCATTCGGAAGTCGCAGATGATGCGAGAGCAGAAGGAGAAGGCCGCCAAGGCGAAGCAGCAGGCAGGGGACGCCACTAAGCAGGAGTCTCCCGCTCGACCTGATAGCTCCACACCAGGAGTACAGTCGAGACCAGGGACGGCAGCTGGCGAGCAGAGCCAGTCCAATGGGGCTACTTCGGATGATGCGAAGAAGGAAGGTCAAGAGGAGAAGAAAGAAGAAGATCAGCCAAAGCCGAAGAAGCCGTGGGAGCACACCGAAGCCCTGGTGGTCACCTTGCGCACAGCCTTCCCGCTGCTGTACGCGTCGATGGAGGCCATGGTGGAGCAAATCCAGCGCCATTTCAAGTGCCCGCCAGACGAGGATGCCTACCGTCTGATTGTCGCACTTCTCAACGACGCTTTGTCTTACGTGGGCAGATCGCCAAATGCGTTCGCGGCCGAGACCAAACTTCCACCCCAGACTGAGGCCAATATCACACGTTTCGCGGAGTCGATTCTGCCTCCACATATCAGGAAGAACTTCGAAGCGGACTTTGTGAGCAAGAAGCCGGCAATGATGGAGTACATCCAGAAACTCCGGAAGTGGCGTGACAAGCTGGCTGAGAAGTTGGACCGTCGGCCGTCAACGTTCCACCTGGCCGAGACGACCCACCTCAGTGGCTTCCGATTTGTTTGGTTCGACGAAGTTGAGATTCCAGGACAATACCTGCAACACAAGGATAAGAACCAGGACTTTGTTCGGATTGAGCGATTCTTGCCCGTCGTCGATTTGGTGCGTGGGGTTACCAGCTGCCATCGCAGACTCAAGATCCGTGGACATGATGGGAGCATTCATCGCTTCAGCATCCAGCACCCTGCACCGCGTCACAGCCGTCGTGAAGAGAGGATCTTGCAACTTTTCCGGATCTTCAACAGCACTCTTGCCAAGAAGAAGGAGAGTAGACGACGCAATCTACAGTTCCACTTACCCGTCATGGTCCCACTCTCTCCTCAAATCCGGATGATCCAGGACGACCCTTCGTACGTATCGCTTCAAGCGGTCTATGAAGACTTCTGCAGGCGCAATGAGACGGACAAAGACGCCCCGGTCATGTACACGATGGAGAAGATGCGCTCGATCTCGTACACTCAGAAGCAGGAGCAGTGGATCAACATGCGCCTGGAGTCTCTGAACTCGGTCCAGGAGCAATTCGTGCCCAAAGATCTCGTGCGCCAATATTTCGCCGCCACTTACCCATCTTACGACTCTTTCTGGCTGTTCCGCCGGCAATTCTCATACCAGCTAGCTGCGCTCACGTACATCACGTTTACCATGTTCATGACGACGCGGTATCCCAATAAGATGCATATCTCCAAGGCGACCGGCAATATCTGGGGCTCTGAGCTGCTGCCGTTTATGTTGGGTAACCGCCCGATTTTCCACCATCCAGAGACCGTGCCGTTTCGACTCACGCCCAATCTTCAGACACTCATGGGTCCAATACACACGGAGGGCATCTTCACATGCGCTTTGATGGCGATTGCTCGTTGCTTGACATCGGATAGCACCTCATCCACACCACCTGCAGCTGCTGCTAATGGTCAAGGCTCTGCTGCTCAAGCCAATGGAGCACAAGAGAACAGCAACTCGGAGCTGGAGCATCACCTGTCCATCTTCATTCGAGACGAGATTCAGTTCTGGTATATGAGCTCGCACCGTACGAACATCAAGGATAGCGAGATGCGGGAGCATGTGCAGCGCAATGCGGAAGCGATTGTCAACAAGGCGGTCGCTATCGCCAAGGAGCCACCCGGAAACAATGTGCCGGCCAGTCAGAGCGTGCTGGACCTGGTCGCGCGGGCCACGAATCCGGAGAAGTTGTGCCAGACGGATTTGTTGTGGATGCCGTGGCTGTAAGAGCGAATTTTAGAGGGAGTCTATTTATTGGGTTTGTTTCACGCTTCAGCAAGGCGTTCTTATCGAAGGAGTAGAATGGTGTGTGTGCCCCCGAACGGGCGGGAAACAATGGATTCATGCGGAAAAAGTCACCTTAGCGTGGTGTTGGTGGTTTGGTTCCCTTGGGGATGTCATGATTTCGAGAGATACCGTCCATATGATTCATTGAATTGCTCTCATGTTTGTTCAGCCCTCGTGTACATCTATCGTATGACCCTACTCTCCTGCTTGCACGTGATCGAATGAACATGCCGAGGCTGGAAAGCTACCTAAAAGATGACCGTCCTTTGTCTTCAAATTTCACCACCTTCGAACGAACCATCGACAACACATCCCTTTTCTCATTGAGAATAATGGCCGGACGCTTCTGGGAATTCCAACACCTCACAGACAACCTGCAAGGCCAGAGCCCCTTCGACCACATCCCCCGAGCAGGAAAGCTCTACATCGGCGGCATCGCAGCTCTCTACAAGGAGGAGCAACCTGACCCGCTGCAACAGGCCGGCATCACACACGTGCTCTCCATTCTCGACTTCGACCTCCAGGAAGATTTATTAAAAACTCTTCTTCTTCGCAAGTATCAACACTTGCAGATTCGAGTCGAAGATACCGCGGAGGAGGATTTATTGAGACATTTCCCGGAGATTTGCAGATTTATTGACGACGGGGTACGGGAGGAGGATGATGGTGGGGGTGGGGGTGGGGTGTTTGTGCATTGTGCAATGGGCGTCAGTCGGAGTGCGACGGCGGTGATTGCGTTTCTGATGTGGAAGAAGGGGATGGGGTTGAAGCAGGCTTGGGACAAGGTGAAGGAAGGGAGGCGGCGAGTGAGGCCTAATGCGGGGTTTGTGAAGCAGTTGCAGGTTTGGCAGAGGATGGTGAAGGAGAAGGGGGGGTGGGATGGGGAGATTTATGAGAAGTGGAAGAGAGGTGGATGGGAGGGGGGGAAGTTGTGATGGCGCAGATGGTTATCCTCCTCGCCGCATGAGCTTGCGGAAGACTAGGTGCTGCTGGCGTGGACAGTGCTTACGAGCAGAGATCCATGGACATCTGGCCTTGGCATGGTGAGTGAATGAGGCTACCAGCACTCTTTCGTTTGTCAGATTTCCGCATTCATGTGCGCGGAGATACTCGCATTTCGGTCATCACCTCCTCCTGGGGGGTTCTTCCTACCAACGACTCCACCGTGCGCTCAGCAGTGACCCTTTTGAACCACAAAGACCTTTTCTCACTTCGGTGCCCTTTTCGAGTTCTTGCAGGGACCGCATCGGCATTCGACATCGACCCCGACACTGTGGCTGTGGAGAGATTAGGATTTCAACCCCTGGGACAGGCAAATTTCAAGGACGTACTCTCTGGACAGTCTTTCGCGCTAATGTAACATGGCTCGCCTTTTGAGCGAAGCGGCCGTGTCGTGGGCTAGCAACATCAGGCATTGCACCAGAATCAGACCTCACATCTGACGTACCTTGATCCGCGGTCACCTCCTGAACGCCGCGGCGTTGCACTCATCCGAGAACAGAGTCCTCAAACGATTGTTGCTCAAATCAAACCGGCCTTGGCCATGTCGTCGTAGACCCGCTTGGGCATGACATTGCCCCGACTGTCCTCCATCTCGATTATGCCGTCTCCCTTCTCGCCGCCCATCTTCTGCAGTTCGTTCTGCCTGTCGCGCTCCAGTTTTTGCCACAATTTCTCTGCTTCCTCGATCTTGGTAATCTCGCGGAACAAGCCTGTGTTCTTCGTGATGCCCAAGCACTGCAGTCCGTAGACATGACGCTGCTCAGAGAAGTGCTTGTCGAAGGCACGCCGACCCATGTACACGTAGTTACCACAGATCTCGCACGGGAACTCCACACCGAGACCGTGCAGCTTGTACAGCCAGAATGGAATCGGTTTGCCGTCCCAGGCCAGTGGAAGTTTGAGCGGGTTGTAGATCTTCTCATCATCGTCGTTCTCTTCACCATCCTTCCCTCCCTGAGCACCTGCGACTTCCATGTCTTCCTCGTACAGAGCGGCAAGCTCCTGCTGCCGCTCCTTGTCCGTCATGCCAGCTCTCCGCTCAACATTGACGCGAGTGTCTTCACGCTCAGTCTTCATACGTCCGGCTAGTTTGCGTATCCGGTGCTCTCGCTCGGCCACGGCGCGCTCTTTCAATCTCGCGAATGGATTCACCCCGGACGACGTTGTGGTTCCGTTGCTCACTCCGGTGTCGCCGCCATTCGCTGACTGCTCTTTTCGCGCTTCGGCATTCTTGATGTGTTTCTTGCCCGTAAGGTGAGCCTTGTAGACATTGTCGTTCTTGAACTCCTTCTCGCAGTCTGCACACCAGACACCTTCGCCGGTACCCTCGGTGACAGGCCCGTTGCCGATTGTGGCGGCCGCTCCAGACTTCTGTGCCTCCCAGCCTGGAACTTTATCCTGCTCCCACTCTTGCGCAAACTCATCATCAAACTCCTTGAAAGCCTTTGCCAAGTCTTCGAGTGGCTTCGTGCGGCGGAGGAATGACTCGAGATATTGTGCAAGCGACCCGACGTATGAGAAGTACTCATCTGTCATCTTCTCCTTCCGACTGATGATGCACTGAGGCGGGATGAAGATGTCAAACATGTCCAGGTACTGGAGGTAGGTAGCTCTCTTGACGTGCTTGATGCCGGGCAAGTTCAGATACTCCTCATGCAGCATAGTGAGGTCGAAGTAGCGACCGAATGCCTCCTCGCCGGTGAAGGTGGCATCAATATCGCCCGCGAATCCATCTGGTGGGCCTCCATCCTCCGGCTTCTTGTACGCTCTCTCAAGGTTCTCGATGGGCTCGTTGGGGTATCGCTTGTGGAAATCCCTGAGGCTGTTGTACTCGCCGTAGAAGGACTGCAGAGTGTCCCCGGTGCTCAGAGATTGTCTCTCCTGCACACGGGCATCTTGCTGGGAGTTGTAGATGTCGAGGGCCCTTTGCGACTGGGTGTGGATGCGCTCGAGGAAGTTTGAGATTTCATGGTCGCGAATCAGTCGGCTACGGATCTGTGAGTTGTAAGTCCCGTCGCAGTCAGTTAGACATGAGAGATACTCACGTGCTGAGGTTCGTCGAGGATGCGGTCGGCAATTGCCTCCTCCAAGCGCTCGATGTCCTCGTGGATCGAGCGCAAGTCTTCGTAGATCATCGTGTCTGCTCCGGCGCGGCGGCCGTGGCCCGATTCTTCCCCCACCCGCTGCTGCTGCTGCTGCTGCTACTCCTTGATCTCCTGCTTGTAAGACTTACCAAGACTCGATAGAAGTGCTGTGCGCGAATGTTGTGTGTGTGAGATTGGCGGTGTTCAGATGTTCGGAGTTCAACCTCTCTCTGCAGGTGGACTTTGGCAAGCGTGGCTCGCGCGTCGCGGAAGTGGTTCCGCTAAATTCTGGCTGCAGCTTTCTCTCGCGACTTCCTTCACGTCAACAGGCACAACACCAACAAACGGTTATCGACAAACAAAGTAGCCCAACATGGCAGACGAAGGCATCGACCGCAAAGCCGAAGAGCGTATGGAGTTCAACACCTCCAAGGAGGTCACCGTGGCACCTACCTTCGAGGCGATGCACCTGAAGGAGAATCTGTTACGAGGAATCTACGCATACGGCTACGAATCGCCGTCCGCCGTGCAGTCGCGCGCCATCGTCCAGATTTGCAAGGGCAGAGATACCATCGCGCAGGCTCAGTCTGGAACGGGAAAGACGGCGACTTTCAGCATCTCCATTCTACAGGTCATTGATACGGCTGTTCGCGAGACTCAAGGTATGCAACACATGCTTCTTACGCTAACAAGATCGACACACTGACCGCCAAACAGCACTCGTCCTCTCCCCTACACGCGAACTCGCGACTCAAATTCAGAGCGTCATGCTCGCTCTCGGCGACTACATGAACGTGCAGTGCCATGCCTGCATTGGAGGAACGAACGTCGGGGAAGATATCCGCAAGCTCGACTACGGACAGCACGTTGTATCTGGTACACCGGGAAGAGTGGCAGACATGATCCGTCGACGCAACCTGCGGACTCGACACATCAAGATGCTTGTTCTGGATGAGGCCGACGAACTCCTTAACAGAGGCTTCCGGGAGCAGATCTACGACGTGTATCGATACCTTCCTCCTGCGACTCAAGTGGTGGTCGTGTCTGCCACGCTCCCATACGATGTCTTGGACATGACGACCAAGTTCATGACCGATCCCGTCCGAATTCTCGTCAAGCGTGACGAACTGACCTTGGAAGGACTAAAGCAATACTTCATTGCGGTCGAAAAGGAAGAGTGGAAGTTCGATACGTTGTGTGATCTCTACGATACACTCACGATTACACAGGCTGTCATCTTCTGCAACACGCGCCGTAAGGTTGACTGGCTTACGGACAAGATGCGAGATGCCAACTTCACGGTGTCGAGCATGCACGGTGAGATGCCGCAGAAGGAGAGAGACAGCATCATGGGCGAATTCAGGCAAGGCAACAGCAGGGTGCTCATCAGCACGGACGTCTGGGCTCGCGGTATCGACGTTCAACAGGTCTCGTTGGTCATCAACTACGATTTACCCTCGAACCGTGAGAACTACATTCACCGTATCGGCCGCTCTGGTCGCTTCGGACGCAAAGGCGTGGCCATCAACTTCGTTACTAGCGAAGATGTTCGAATTCTGCGCGACATCGAGCTGTACTATTCCACACAGATCGACGAAATGCCGATGAATGTGGCCGACCTGCTCTCTTAAGTTGTTGCGACCCTGTGATCGCGCGGCGAATTCACATCATCTCCTCCGACTGGGAGCGAGGAACTGCAGAGAGGCGGCACAATTTCCGCCCCTGCTTAGACTGAGGAGTGCTTCACAAGACTGTTTTTGGGCGTATGGCCAATGGGGATGGAAATGGGTGTTTGTAACGATAACGTGAGTTGGCATCTTGATCAGCTCTTACGGATTTAATGACTGACGCCAGCAGACGAGTTTGCGTATCCGATGCACTGCTTTTCTTGAACCGAGCCGATTACTCCACTGCCAACATCTGGAAGAGTTCCACCCAATTACAGGTACGTCGAACATTATCCCCTGCTCGCTGATTGTGGATTTCTTCGCAGAGAGACGTATCCTTTCCAATACATTTTCTTGTCGTCTCCGTCGAAATGCAAGGGTCGAAGGCATCCCCAGTGAACCTCTAAGTCCATGCCACCAGTGCTTCCCACTTCTCTACTTACTGTAACCAGGGATCGGTCGACCTTGTAACTTCCTTCGCGCCTATTCATGAGCCTGAGACTACGCTTACTCCCGCGGCTCATTCGCAAACGCCTATGCAGTTGTCAAGAGAGACGTTGGTAGATGTAGTTTGAGCGTTATTCAGTGATCTGTCACTCATAGAGTCAAGGTAGGACAGCGTGCGCTTCTCAATGCAACCCTGTGATTCATGACATCGTTTCCTCCTTCCGTCCGCAATTCACATCGCTTTTCGATTGGAAACAAGCTATCAATCAACATCTTTTCTGCCTTACCACACCCCATCAACTTCCTCAGAGTGGACGCCCTGCTATACAGCGTTACAACGGTTTTTGTTGATGATGGATGAGAGAGACCTTTCACAAGCGATTCGGGGATAGTCGCGGGATGGGTGGGAACATGCAGGTAGGAGCTTTTGTGCCTTTCTCCCGAAGATCGTTTGCTTGTGTGAGTACAGCAGCGGCTCTTGCTCTAAATTGCTTCTGGTCCAAGTCTAACGTGTTGCAGACATTCTTCTCCCTAGAAGAAGACCCGTAGAAGTCAGGCGCCATTCAACACGATCTCCACGCCGCCAACTTACTTAACAGAACTCTTCCGCTCTTTTTTTCTCAGCTATAACAACACAACCGCATCGCTCGCCGTTTGGCACCAGGTAGAACAACAAGCAACGCCAACCTAATGCTACAAACGATGCTCAACACGACCTGCGAACCGATCATGCTACTCCTACCCAGTCTTGTCTTCGCTGTGCTGGGCGAGCGCCGTCAACATCATTTCGAGAGATACCAAGAACCAAGTCCCGTGGGGCAACGAAGTCTGCAGACAGCAAACAATCCTCAACCCAATCCCCGGCGAAGTCGTCCCGGAATGCTACCGCTGCAGCAGCAACGCCGACTCATTCGACCGCGAGGACCTCTGTGACAGCCCGTTCAGACTTTCTGCAACGCCGCCCAATGGACTGCTGAATGGGGCATGTCCAACCGTCTGTCAACCCGGGTTCTGGGACCCTACCCTGACTTCCCCACAGCGCCCGATGGTCATCCAAGCAGGGAATGTGTGGAATGATATGGGCGAACGTGATCGATGGACAAGGTCTCGTAAGGAAAAAAAAGTCTCTTATCTTTAGTGTTCGATATATATAGTATACTACTGATCGAATGACCGCCGCAGTGCGCTTGGTCCGTTTTCGGAATGAACCGCGTCGAGTCGATACATACATACACACACACACTACTATCTTCGACGGCTGCGACAAGGGGCAAGAACCACAAAGTATGGAGGAGGTTCGGGATCTGAAGCTTGTTTTGCTTGATTTGGAATCCGTTCGATTGATGGATTGATGGATGGTCCGAATATTCTATGTCTCCCATCACCGACCGCTTCTAGTATTTCGTGGCTGGCGACGAACGACGGACTCTAACAAGAGTGCGAGGATCAGCATGCTACAGGATACGTTCAATGTGGATAGAGAGGCCAATTCTTGAATTCACGTGCAAATACACAATTACGACTACACTGCAGAGCGACTAGCGCCTCGGACAGAGGTAAGAAACGCCGTCAACACTCCCATCCGATACGCAAAAGACGCTAGACTCAAAAAGCCACACATTCAAACATACATACATACTACCAGCTAAAATAACTAACTAAAGTGCTTCGCGATCATCCATTATTCCCCAACGTATCATCTACTCGGATTGCTTCTCCGCCGTGACTTCCAGATGCGTGACGCCCTTCTTCCTCTGCGCCGCCTCGGTGATCTCCGTCAAGCTCATCTTGCGGCCGCCGCCGGCATTCATATCGTTGACGTCCATGAAGCTGACTTGCGGGCGGAACTTGTGGCTTTCCCAGGCCTTGCGGCAGACGCCGAACAGCTCGTCGACTTCTTCGAGGGTGAGGCCTTTGGTTTCGTAGATCATGAACCAGACGAAGACGATGCAGACCCAGCTAGAGAGAGGAGAACATCGTATTAGTGCGTGATGTCGGAATCGCGGAGAGATATGTATATATATGGTTTGAAAGCGAACTTACCAGAAACTTCCCCAGATGAAGAAAACTTTGCTTCCCAGGTTGGCGTATTCCTTGTTCACCATGTATGGAGTGGCGTAAGCGATGGCCCAGTTCAGGAGCCAGTTGGTCGCGGTCGTGATGGACAGGCATTTCGCTCGAACCTTGAGAGGGAACATTTCTCCAGTCACAACCCCTGTACGCGCTAGTCAGACACCCTGCCACTGCCATGTGTGGCGCCTTTCAGGCAAAGAGAAAACTCACAAGCGACAGGTCCCCAGGAGGAGGCGAAGAAGAAGAGGTAGATGCACACAAAGGCAATCGCGGCCTTTTGCGCGGAAATATTGTCAGTATCGGTGACGGTTCCGGTGATGGCGACAATGTATTGACAGATAGCCATTCCGACTGCTCCCATGAGGAGGAGGTTGCGACGACCCATCTTCTCGACAAGGTACAGACCAGGGACTGTAGAGAGGACGTTGACGCCATTGGTGATGACGGAGATGATGAAGGGGTTGCTGAAGCCGGCGTTCTCGAAGTACTGGGTTCCGTAGTAGAAGATGAAGTTCTGAGCTCGAGGGGTTAGCATCGGGGATCGGGTACGATCTCCTCGAGGTCACTTACCACACCAGTCAGCTGTTGGAGACCCTGCAACAAGCATCCAGTGAGGAGACGCTGGCCGACAGTGCCCTTCAGAATGTCGAGGTAGGTAGCCTTGTCCAAGCTCATCTCGTAGTCGTGGTTCGCCTGGATTTCGGCAATCTCCTCGACAATCGCTGAGTGGTCCGGAGGCAGACGTCGAATCTTTGCCAGAGACTTAACGGCCTGGTCGTGCTTGTCCTGTTTGATGAGGAAACGTGGGGTCTCCGGGAGGAAGATCAATCCAATCACCAAGATCAACGACCAGACGAACTGAACGGCGACTGGGATACGGTAGGATCCAGTATCTTGTCGGTTTCGTACGGTATAGTTGACGATGGACGCAAGCAAGAGACCCTGAACACCATGTCAGCTGGGACCACCGTTTCGACGGGAACATTCTACTCACAATTGTGATGGCCCATTGGTAAGCACCAACGACCGCACCACGAATCCATTTCGGCGCGGTCTCACTCTGGTAGAGAGGAATCATGGCAGAGATCAGGCCGACTCCCAAACCAGCAAAGAATCGTCCCGCAATGAAGAGAGGCTGGGCGGTCGCAGCACTCTGCAAAATGACACCCACGTTGAAGACGATCAACGACGACAGCAACAGACCCCATCGTCGGCCGAGAGTATCCGCTACAGGAGCAGCAGATAGAGCGCCAAAGAAGGTGCCGACAGAGAGGATTGAGACGATCAAGGAGTCTTGGCCTGCAGTGATGCCGTCGTTCCCCTTTGTCTTGAACAAGTTGACCCAATAGTCGTTGGCCAGGATACCGCTGATTGTGCCGGTCTGTCCTTGAAGTCAGCAACCATACTGAGGCTGTCAAATTGAGGAGAGCGCGTACATCATATCCGTAGAGAACACCTCCGAAGGCCACGAACAGACCGATCAAGATGGCCGGCCATGCCTTACCAGGCGCGTCGGCCGGCTTGTTGAATCCAAGACCCATCTTCACTTGCTCGCTTCCTGAAACAAGAAGGTTCAAAGTGACTGCCTTGGCCTACGAAGAAAGACTGGAACAGAGACTGGATCGGAAATCCTTTTTACAAGGGGACCACGTGAAACATTTATATAGCCAGAGGCTGTTCAAGGATGCTGCTCCAAAGTGCGGTGCCCCGCCGCGGGCTCTCCAGGGGACGACGTGCCCCAGTCTGGAGCAACTGCCACATGGAGAACATAGACGCGTCCGAGCTCCGCCATCTAGCACGAAACCAACATCTCAGACATTTGCCGGCCGAGTTTACAAAGGTCCGATACGATGCAGCCAATGCCGGCCGACAGCGCTTGGACGAATGCTGCCAGGCTAGTCTCAGAGATCAGGCACCCGGTCGTCGCGATGGTTCGATCTCGTGGAGGTATCGGGAGCAGAGAAAATGTTTCGCGCAAGTCTTACTAGCAAACATCTGGGTGAGGAGGTTGTGTTTGGGATGATGAGTCCAAGCTTGATAGAGAAGAAAATATAGCTTCATCAGTCGATCCAGAGTCACGAGAACAGCAAATTTCCGGGGCACATGACCTTCGGTGGAGCGCAGTGCCGGCGACAGCGGCAACAGACTGGACTCGATCTCCAGCCAATGCGATGTGGCGAAGGAAATTGGCAAATCCATCCGTTGGCCCGAAGAGCTCTACGGTCGCCTTCTCTTGTGTGGTTAAATACGAAGAGAACTCCCAAGAGCGGCAGCAGCCGAAGCAGGGTATTCCATTCGTCCAGTCTGCTACGGGAGCTAGCATGGCCTTTGCACAGACGTGAGTTGACCAATAGATACCTCGGACGTGGAAGAAGTCTTCTCCACTGATGAGTCTGAGTGCATGGGACAAGACCTTGAAGATTCTTCGAACAAAGCTCGAACCGAAACTCAGGCGTGATGGTTGGTGTAACCTCCGGCCAGTTCGAAGACTGTTCCTCGGGAAAGGCAATAAGAAGGGCCGATTTTACGCCGCTCTATAAGCCTTTGCAACTCTGCACTCAACCTCACCTCGTCATAGGGGTCAAAGACGCCAGCATTGTGATACGTACGTGGTGGCAGGGTACGCAAGCGTCCTGCGCTGTGCATGTTCTTGTCGATTGGCATTCGTTCTAGCCCAGACAAGTACGGAAGCCAGCAGCCCGCAATGCTGTCATGAAACTCCGCTTTCCACGGGGCTGCAAGCAATTATTAGCATCCACGGGAGTTGGTGCAGGGCTCGAAGACCACTTACAAGACGATTTCAAATGCCTTGAAATCCGACAGTTGCGAGTCCGAACGTCTGTACGGTTTCAAGATGTCCTCAACCATGGCGTGCGCTCTTCGGCCTTCCACGAGTCGTTTCATCGGGTTTGAAGTTTCGAACGATGAATCGAAGACCAGCAGATTTCTCGAACCATCTACGCGTCTCTCCAGCCCGACAATCGTCATCGAGTGCCCTCGTCGCTGGAAATAGATGGGTGACAGCTGGGTGATATGCGAGGTTCCGTGTTTATGTGCGACGTCAATAGCGCCCATGAAGTACGCTTCGACGTAATCAAGCAGCTCTTCGGCGGCATGGTCCTCTTCTCCGCCACCGAAACAGAGCGCCTCATTCTGGACACCGACCGCGGAGAAGAAGGCAACGCATTCCTGGGTACCGATCCACTTCCTGGTGTTCTTGATGCCGCCGGTTTCAGTCCTGCTATAAGAACAGACTCCCCACTCCCAAGCCGCTTCAATCAATTCCTGCATTTCGATGACGTTGGGCAGCGTCTGAGGTCCTCGAGGCTTGATGTACTGCACGTACGTCAAAACAGTCTGAATGCTCCAGTAGCCGCAAAAGTTTCCCGTGCAATTCAGCTTACGGATGTGACGGACCTTTGGGTGGCACAGATACGTCGCGGCGTTTGCTTTGTCCAGAGCGCAAAGATCCGAAAGGACGTCCACAACACCGACAGTCTCATTCTCGACGTATGCCTTTTGCACTAACCTGCCATCCGCACCAATACGCTGGACGTAGGTTGGCCGAGCGGCGCGCATCAGAAAGCGGCGTACATCGTCTGGCATGCGTTCTTCGAAAGCGTAGGGACCCAGCTCGTTTTTGCCAAGTCTGCCCGTCTTATGAGGCTCTTTGAGTCTGCGGACTGTGGTGCGCGTACGAGTCGAGGTTCCGGAGACCAGGCTCAAGATACTGCCCGCGTGATGCTTCTCCAGCTTTCGAGGACTCCGAACCGCCAGATCCCTGCTAGATTGGGGTCGTGCCGGACTCCTCGACCTCTTCCGCCGAGGAGGCAATGGCGGCGCTTTCTGGGCTTCCTGCTCGGATAGCGCTGCCGCGGTGTGGAGATCGAGATGTTCATCGATCTCGGAAAGAAGAACATGTTCACCACAACCAGGTCGTGTGCAGCGCGTCCAGCTATCGTCCGGCATGGACTCCTGGCTGGCGGCACTGCGAGCTTTGGATGGTCCATCGCCGCCGCTGTTTGTGGCCGGTCCGTAATTCCCACGGGCAATGAAAGGCGAATTCTCCGTATGATGCTCTTCTATGTGTAGCTGGGCGGAATACTCGTTGTCGCAACGATAGCCGCATCCAAACGGACAGGTGACTCGCTCAACCATGTTGACGCGATAACGATGGATTGAGGGAGATGGAGTGGGAGAGGTCAGCGACCATTATGAATGCGGATAGCCGGTGGAAGGCCCGGTGGACGATGCGGTGGCGGAGAGAGACTTGCATTGGACGGGCACGAATGTCAGATCCCGGCAGGTGCAGTCGAGTGTGCTGTTCGAGTGGCTGAGTAAGGTATCTTACGTCCTGTGAGGTCCAGCCTGAGCTGTGCTGAGCCGGATAGCATCAGCTGCGCCTTCCAACTCAGCTTCTCAGGGCAGCTGTTCAGGCCTGAGGCATCAATGCGGGGAATGACGCTCGGCGGGCAGAGCCGTTTCTTCCAGTTCATACCAAGGTAGATTTTCACCACTCCTTCACTTTCCTCTAAAATGGCGCGCCTCGCAATCTCTACGCACGCCAATCCTCCCACACCCACTCACCATGGCCACGGTCGTGCTTGGAGCCCAGTGGGGTGACGAGGGCAAGGGCAAGATCGTCGACGTTATCTGCCAGGACAAAATCCAACTCTGCTGCAGAGCACAGGGAGGTCACAACGCGGGACACACCATTGTGAAGAATCTCAATGGCACGGAGACCAAATTCGATGTCCACATCCTGCGTAAGCTCCTTCGCTTGCTCACTCCCGAGCAGTGCTAACCTCTGCGCAGCTTCTGGCGTCCTGACAGACGGCTGCGTAAACCTAGTCGGCTCCGGATGCGTGGTCTACATCCCCAACTTCTTCGCCGAGATTGAGATGCTCAATAAGCATGGGATCAACACCAAAGACCGCATCCTACTCAGCGACCGCTGTCACGTGGACCTAGACCTGCACACGAGCGTCGATGGTCTGGAAGAGGTCGAGCTAGGCAAGGGCAGCATTGGCACAACAAAGAAGGGCATTGGCCCAACATACTCCACCAAGGCAACGCGGAGTGGTGTGCGAGTCGCGGACATCTTCAACAAGGACCTGTTTGACGACAAACTCCGTCTCCTGGCCCACGGCTTCAAGAAGCGATATGGGGACCTCCTCAAGTACGATCCGGAAGAGGAAATCAAGCGATTCGACGTCTACCGGGATCAATTGAAGGACTACGTCGTGGACCAGGTACCGTTGATAGAGTCTGCGGTCAAGGGCAACGTCAAGATGCTTGTTGAGGGTTCCCAAGCGCTTATGTTGGATCTGGACAACGGCACTTACCCCTTTGTCACTTCTTCCAATACCGGCCTCGGTGGATGCATGACGGGTCTCCATCTAAGTCCACGGAATCTTAAGGAGATAATTGGAGTTGTGAAGGCGTATACCACGCGCGTTGGATCCGGACCGTTTCCCTCAGAGCAGCTGAACGAATATGGCGAGAAGCTTCAACAGATCGGCAAGGAGTATGGGGTCACTACTGGACGTAAGCGGCGCTGCGGCTGGCTGGACCTGGTCGTGGTCAAGTTCTCCAATGCCGTCAACTGGTACGACGCGATCAATCTCACGAAACTCGATATTCTCGACGACTTCGACGAGATCAAAGTTGCTACTGAGTACCAACACAAAGGACAGAAGTTGGCCTCTTTCCCCGCCGACCTTTCCATTTTGGACAACTTGGAGGTCAAGTACGAGACTCTCCCAGGATGGAAGGCGAATACGGTTGGCTTGAAGCACTACGAAGACCTCCCGGAGAACGCGCGCAAATACGTCGAGTTCATTGAGAACTTTGTTGGCGTGCGCATCAAGTACATTGGCACCGGTCCAGGCAACGAGAACATGATTATTCGGTAGACAGCCGCTGGCGCATGGCGAAGGAAGAGCGAAGCATTCTTTAGCGATTAGAGCACTTCTGTGCCATGCCGAAAAGCAATACCCAGCCTTTCTTGAAATAGCTCTTTCGATAGACCCATGCAATGACGTTTCATCAAAGAAAGCATACGATGAGCGCTCAATTCCAATTCATATGTTCAGTGCTACATCCGAGCCGCGAGTGTAGCTCATCGCACAGCACGCAGGCGCTCTGGATGAGTGGGCTCTATGCAAAAATCCAACATGCGCGTTTTCCGAAGCATTGCACTCTTCTTACTCCTCCTTGACACCACCACGACCAGCCTTCTCGGCAGCCTCTATGCTCTTCTTGTCCGTCTTGATCTCGCCCTGGCCGGCCGCGCCGAACATGCCACCCGCCGCCTTCCACGGCCTCTTCAGGTCGCCCGTCGCGGGCTGGCCGAGCAGGTGTACCTTGACCAAGTTGCCCTCGAAGGCGCCCTTGAGCGGGATGATGGACTGGATGAGGAGCGGGTTGGTGTACTTGAAGTACAGGTGCATGACGGCCATCATCCCGACGCCCATGAGCTGGGACTTGAAAAGCCCTTTGAGCTGTTGCTGGTCGTAGGCGTGGACGGTCGTGGTGACGGCTTTGGGCTCTTCGGTGGAGCCCATCGGGGCGGGTTCGACGTATTTGAGGACGGACATGTCTGAGAGATGTGATCAATCTCTGGAGGAGCGCCAGTGGGGAAAGTAGAGGAGTTGTTACCTTTCTTCTTGTCGATCTGCATCTTGACGTACATGTAGATGCCGAAGATGATGACGTTGCTCAGGACGTAGAGGGCGCGGATTCCATTGAGGACGTTGGGGTCTTCGAAGGGGATCTTCTTGCTGGCCTGCATCATCACGAGGATGATGACCAGGTTGGTGCTGTAGGTCACATATCAGCCTTCTCTTCTCCAAATATCGGCTGGTCGCGTGCAGTCGCGCAGCACTGACATTTGCGGATTCATGATGGCGGCGGTATCTGGCTCTTGTTGGACGAAGGTAGACGTAGGAAATCCGCGAGCAGGAGAATGCTGCTGTTGTTGTATCTGCGAAGAGGAAGGATTTCGTGAGCTGCGAAAAGCCAGAAGTCAACGTAGCGTCTGCGTGAAAGATGCTCGGGCTCGGTGGCACCTGCCCGAGCGTACGGCCCGTTGGGTGATTGCCCGCCACCGAGATTGTCAGCCTTGGCGCGATCGCGACCTCACCTCGTTCTCGTTTGGACCAAATCCCATTCACTTACATTGTGCACCGTGCACTTCACATGTCACGAACACGCAGATTGCTGCGGAAAACACACTGGATTCGTCCAAGTCGCTATTCCAGGATCATACGTACTGGAAAGAATAACGCTCTGTGGTGTTACCCTACATTGAAAATCAAGAATCGAATTGCGCCCGTCTCAGTACTATTCTCGTAGTCGTGGTATCGCTTGTCGCCATTCTCTTCAGATGCGTCTCGATGTGTCAGATCGGTACGATGTTGGTGAGATCAAAAGTCGCATTCGCTGCAGTTGCTTGGTGCAGGAGTAGGTGGTGCCGGTGGACCATGGCCTCCCTCCTCTACCGGCTCACCTCCTCCAACGAACAGGCCATGTTCCTGGACGTCTTCCTGTCCGTCTTCTGAGTCGTCCCGGCCGTACTTTGGGAAGAGTCTGATTTTGCCCGTCTTCCTGATGTCGTCTGGCACCATCAGAAAGAGAAGAACTGGCTTCTTGTCTCCCCTGCTCGGCCGGATCCATTTCTGCATTGGCTTGAAAACCGTGGTATCTCGACGCCCAAGCAGCTCTACCAGCGACAGAGGCTCCTTGTAGTCGTCGTAGCCCCTCACCTTTCCGACGGTAGGCGTATTGATTTCATCCACAAGTTTGCCCAGATTGACACAGATCTCCCAGGTGGAGTCTCCCGCACCACCTTCAATCACATCACCGGTCGAAGTATGCCGGACACCACCACGAGCGATGATCTGGACGTTTCCGGGGTTCTCGGCGTGCTTGCTCGCCTTCAGCGTCTTCTTGAAGCGGTTCGGGAAGTCGGCGTCAATCCAGTAGATCGTGTCCACGCCCGAGTCGATGGATTCCTGGATGACGCCGAACCCATCAATGTTCGTCCCATTCTTCGGGTAACTGGATCGGAACTCCCTGCACAAAACGATCAGCGACAGTCTCGGACGAGGTTCTCCACGTACAAAACGTACCAGTGGTAGGTTGCTCCGTCGAGGGCCCAAGCTCCTTTACCGTGGAAGTAGATCAACACGAGATCATTCGAACCCTTGTCCTTCATCTGTGCCTTTACGTATTTTCGCAGTTCTCCAGCCCTGGTACCTCTCGGGAATCTGACGAGGTTAATCGCTTTGCAGTCGATGTAGTCCTTGAACAGCGCCTCGAGATTCCCCTGCTTCTGCTCGTGGCTTGTTATGTGACGAAACTTCCCGCCCTCACCGGGTGGCTCGCATGCGTCAAAGATGTAGACGGTGATGTCTTTCGGTGGGCCCAGATTGTCGGCTGCCATCCTGCGCGATCTTGCACTTCGTTGTGACGGTAGGTTGTGGGTGCGTCTTCAAGCTGTTGTGGAATATGCAATGCGATAATACTATCCTTGTCTAGTGTCTTGTCGCGGTGTTGTTGATGTTGGGTTGGAACAAGTTGTCTGAACGGAGGGAGACTTCGGAATACTCGTCAGCTTCGGGCTAGCTCGCTCAGCATGTGAGACACCTCACCTCCGGATACTCGTGTCAAGCAAGCAGCAGCTCGTGTCAACGCTCTGGGATTCAATACCGCAGGCGGCGGTCGCTGATCGTGGCAACGCCACGGCAAATCGACTTAACTGTCGTCGATCGAAGCAGCTACCTGGCGCTGTATTGAGAACTTTGATAGCTTTTTAAAGTCAACGGCTCTCTCTAGTAATGTATGGTAAATGATGGTAGTCTATCGAAACAATCCCTCTAGCGATGTACTGTTGACATCGATAGTTTGTCGGAAGAAGCCGGTCTAGACGAGAAGCGACCCTGATCTACAATCCAGTCATGCACCGTGCGAGCTTGCCGGCCCAGCATGTGAGATCCCCTCCTCGCGTCTACTCGTGAGAAAGGCACGGAGCATGTGGGTACGATTCCACGCATTCAAACCGGCAGAATCAAGAGCACAAAGGGGGGAGAAGTTGCAGAAAATCCTTGAGTTTATCATATCGTCATCTCCATTTGAATCGTGATAGGCGCTATGAAAGCAAATGCATATGATCTCAGATCGATGGTCAGAAAAAGCAGCCTCCTGACGGACGAGGTCTTCAATGCTGTTCCATTGTCGCTGCTCCGCTAGTGGAGCGAGTGCGAATGTCCGTGTAAGCGCACCGCTCAGCTGTGCGTTCATGCAGAGCGTCAAGCGCGGATAGCAGCTGGTGGAGAAGCCAGTTGGCCGGGACTCCCAAACGCAACCTTCGTCCTCTCACACGAAGAGACTAGGCTGATTATCCTCCTCCACATACCCATTCTCGTTCATGATAGTGTCCTGGTCGTTGTCTCCGTTGTTGTTGTTCTCGTCGTCGTCGTCGTCGTCCTCGTCGTTATCCTCATCGTCATCGTCCAGTGGAACACCCTCACCCTCGCCCATAGTAGCACCATCACCATCTTGTCGGTCATCGTTCTCCCCACTCTCATCCTCGGACGCGAGGACACCATCGCCCCCTTCTTCTTCTTCTTCTTCTTCGTCGCCGCACTCCTCATCCTCCCCTTCCATATCGACCGCCTCATCTTCATGCAGAAAGACATTCCCGTCATCATCTTGAGTATAATACGTGTACCACATCCCTCTCTTGCGGAACCCGGGGCCCTGAATCTGTTTCGCGAACCAGTAAATCTTCTTGTGCAGCCGGATATGATCGGGACACAGCACGAGTCTCGCGATGAAGGTGTCGTCGTGTCGGCTCGGTTTCTTGAGCCACAGACGTTGCGGGTTGAAGGCGAGGGCTTTCACACACCGGAGGAGGTGCGGGAGGCTGGAGGGAGCATGGCAACTCTCGTACTTTCGATCGATGCCCTCGACGAATTCTTCGAATTCCCAGCAGAAGTTGAGCGTGGAGTCGTTGTCGGGGATCCGGTTCAGGTCTTGCGGGGCGCGGTTCCTGCCGATTTCATTCAATCGTTCTGCGCAAGACACGATCTCGTCGTTGCCGTGCGTAGGTGCACCGGGCGAATGTTGCCATTTTCGTTTGAAGCGGGATGGGATTTGTGTATCCAGGATGAGGAACACATCAACACCAGAATCCACGAAGAACTGGATGAGTGGGTAAACCGGGATGGTATCCACCGGGTAGTGTTCGAATTGCCTGTCGAGTGGCGTTAGTGCATGGCATAGTAACCGTGAAACGACGATTTCTTCTTCTTTACCAAGCGTAAGCCTTCCCATTCAATCCCGCCTCGCCGTCAAAGTAGATGAGGACCATATCATCTCGCCCTTTACTCGCGAACTCTGTCTTGAAGAAGTCGAGCAGGAAATTCTTGTTGCTGTTGGGATCGGGAGTCACGTCGTGATACTTGCCCGGGCAGTACTTCTTGACGACATCCCGAACCATCTTCTGCTTCTGGTAGTGACTATTCCCCTGATGACCTTCCCCAAGTTCGTCGCAAGCATCCAGGTTGTAGAAATACAAGTTCTTCGCACCCCGGAGTTTGCCGTAGTGCGACATGATGATGCGCTGCAGTTGAATCTCTGATTGCAGCTGAAGTAGAGTATTGATGATGCGCGGTAGTTGAGTCCGTTGATGTCGGCGGTTCAATGCTAGTCGAAATATGGTCGAGTTGTTCGTGGTGCATTGGAAGGAAGAAGTCGTCCGGACGGAAAGAAGATCCTGAACCGAATCGGTTTAACCCGTCAGGCATGTGACAACGTGGCTAGCATGTGCTTCAGTGAACTGAAGCACTCCCAAATGAAGCTATGTGGCTTGAAGTAGCAGGCCAGTTGAATGTCGCTCTGGATCCAGACTAGAGTCCAGACTGATATGGTAGGGACCGCTAATTTCCAACTCAAAATGGTATCTCTCGAAACACAAAGCGCCACGCATATATCTTCCTTCCCTGCTTCATCAATCCCTAGATAGATATATCCTGCCGGTCCCTTTTCATTCCAAACCCGAAAGATGTTTCGTATACTGTCGCTGTTGGTCCCAGAGGCTCAAAAAAAAAAGAGGCCGAAAATATCCTTCTCTTTACGAGATCGCTTCGGAATTTTCTTTCGGCTGTGAGTAGAGAAGTCACAGTTCCGGTAACGTAAAGGGCCGCAACTGTGCCTTTTTTGCAGCACTAACAAACTCAGACCGTTCGTCATCCGTTTTGAACTCAATCCGGACGCCATGTACCCTCTTCACGGGCATATTCGGCTGGACCTGGACCTTCAGCTGGTTGTCGCGCAGGTTGGAAGAGACCTTTGGAGGCCGGACGACATTGACGTCGATGCCTTTTACTTTGGCGCACCTGGGCCCGTCTTCTTTGACCTTGACCTGTTGCTTGCTGTTGTTCATCCACCATCGAGCCCAGCCTTCTCCAAAACTAGAGCTAATGTGCATCAGCGCGAGCACTCCGCCTGCGGCACCTGGTGTTGATACGCCATCGTCTTCCCAGAGGCGAAGCATTTCGATGTTGGCAAATTGCTCTTCGAAAGCGAATACGCCTGACAGTCCTTCGTGTATCACGGTTGTCTTGGTTGTGCGGAAGCTGCCGATGAGTGTCCTTCCAAAGATTGCAGACTGGAAAGCCACCGCGTCGTTTTCCGACTCAAAGTAATAATTCACCCAATTTGTCTTGATCTCTTCTTTCAGCATGGCTCCCCATTGTTCGCTATGAAACCTCAGCGCAATGGGGTCATCCGTCGACTGCAGTGACACTTTCTCCGGGTCGAAGTAGGAGCAGTAAGGCACGGTTTCCTGCATCTCCGAAAGCTTCTGCTGCAATCTGATCTTTCCATCGTCCGAGAGACACCAGACGGAGGTCACAACTCTAGTACCGCCATGATCCGTGTTCTCCCGTTTCCGGATCACGCAGACACGCGCCTCTCTGCACGCTGGGACCATTTCGACATTGTACCGCGGATCGGCTTCATCCGGCTTTGTCTGCGCGTGTTCGACCAGCTTCCCTCTCACGTCGCAGAGAATGGCTGCATTGCGAAATAGGTGTCGTTCGAATTGGGGATCGTCAGTATATCTGGGTGTATGAGGTTGTGATGGTCGCTTTCCTAGAGACTTGGCGGTCTGTGGTCGGCTTGCAGGTCGATCATCCATGGGATCGCTCTTCGTACGCTGAAAGCTGGAGAGGAGAGAGGCAGGTGTAGCTGGCGGATTTGGTCGCTGCCTGTCGTCTGCCGGCAGCGCTGGCGGTGGCAATTGCCCGACTCCCGTTGATGATCTCCACCACTTCTTGTTTTTGGGCGACACGTTGACTTCTTCATAGTCTCCGCTACCAGCTGGAAGCGCATCAAGATCGTACTCAGTCGCCTTCATCAACGAGGGTAGTGTTGCAGATTCTCTTCGAGCTTGCGACACACGTCGCGACTCCGGTTCCGTGGCGGCATACGCGCTGTCTTGAGGAGAGCCCACGCGGACCTCCTCGTCCCGATGCTCCCCAATACTGGAGCGGTGGTCGACGGGCGAGCCAGATTCGAAGTTCCAGTCTCGATCCATGCGTTTCACTTCGGAGTAGGAAGAAGGCTGGGCGGAGCTGTAATATGCAGAGTCCTCTCGTTTTGACCTCGAGCTTACTGGAACTCTGTTACCAGGATGTGCCGGCTGTCCCCGCGGGGCACCGAGTGCACGTGGGGGTGTGTTGTAAGCCGACGGGCGAGGCGGCCGGAGCGGAGGCGGCGCACGTAGCCTGTCGCGCGTACCTGAATCCTCCCGATAAGAGTTCAAGGTGGACGTAGTGCTGGTGCTGTCGCGTTGGCTGCCAGAAGCTTTCATGGCTCTATCCTTCGCGACGAGAGAGGGAGTGCTATGTAAAGTCAGCGACTGCCCAGTCGAGCACCGAGATTGAAGCGCGGTTCGTCCAGCACTCTGCGCTCACCTGTTCGCAATGCACACTATGATTCGATGCAGGTCGTCGATCTTGGTTCCCACATCACCATTGACGCGGCCATGGATGCTGGCAATGGTGTCTAAAAATGACGAGTTAGTCAAGGCGTGTTTCAAAGAGGTCGAAGATCGCCCAGTGCAACCTCTCACATACCGGCCATGGGTACTACGGTCTTCTCTAGCCTTGCGAGAGATCTCGACTGGAGAGCGTGCATGGTGAGCTTGATGGTGTCTGAGTGCATCTGCAGCATGTTGCGCAGGTCTACGATGTCGCCGCCGTCTGTAGTCCATTGCAAGGTCTTGAAGTTGGCCACGACCGCCTCGCTCCAGCTCCGCTCCACCACGAAGCCGCCGTTTGTTCCCTTCTTCTTGATGACCTGGCATCGGTCCACGAAGCTGTCGAGGTCGTCTAAGGTGTGGTGGGCGCTCTGGAGGATGGTGCGGACAGCGGCTTTCGTTTCATCGTCGGCGCGAGAGAGGACGCTGACGTCCGAGTGCAACGTCTCGGCGAGCAGCTTCAATGCCTCAGACAGACCGTTCGCCTTGCGTTCGACTTCGGCGAATTCTGGCGGGGCGCTCCTCTTGCCGTGCGTGAATGCTCGACCGATTTTCCATGCAGTTTGAGACAGCATCAGAATGTCGCCGACGCTCATCAGAGGTTGGAGGGCCATGGCGGCTGCCGGCTGAAGCCCGGGGTATCGGTACTGGTGCTGGTGCTGGTGCTGGTGCTTGCCGGTCCGATCTGCTGGGTTCGTCGGCCCACTCCTGCAGCTGCTTTCTCTGGTCTCAAGTCTTAAGCATCCTCCATGTGCATGTCAAAGACGACGCGCTCGCAGGAACGGGCGTCGAAAGTGCGGTTAGGGGCTTCAAGAACCGGCGCGCAGGGATGGAGAATCGCTTCTCGAAAGCAGCTCTCACTCCGGCGCAGCGGAGGCAGTGTGCAGTGGGGAGAGGATGCTCCACGCAGCCTCCGGTCACATCGTGCACGAATGCGAAGCGAGGTGTCTGCTGAAGTCTGCCGAGTGGCCTCCTCCGCCCCTGCCCGTCACAGTCTGTCGCTCTCCATCACTCACAGACTGTGCCTCATACCAGAGCGTGTCCGGCGATTGGGCTACGGGCAGCGCCCACAGCGCCCAATACCGACGCGCCAAGCAGGGAAGGGCAGGTGAAGAATAACGTGGGAGCGCGAAGCGTCGGCAGTGTGGCAGCGTATAGTCTTCAGCCACGTGCTGCCATCCTTGCACTGATATACAGTCTTCCGCGCCGGCTTGACCGGATGGGTATGGAGCTTCAGACGCAGAAGACCCTCCCACACTCCCGAAAACCCATCTGCACGTGCATCCACTTGCCGTCATCATTGGACTCTCAACCGAGGCCGCGTCCACGTGTGCCAGCGGAGCCAGAAACGGGACGAGACAGCACTTCCTCGCTGCGCACCCACGGAGAACTTGGAGTTGAAACACTCATCATCAGACGTCCCGCGAATGGGAACAGCCAGTCATCACAAGCAATCTGCTTTCGAAGAACATATCGAGAATGCCTACATCCACCGACTGCCATCCAGAAGCCTTTCCCTTGTCCATCAGGACTGACGCACCATGGCAATTTGACCCCCGGCGCTCAGTGTACCCAAGATATTCGAGTACGCCTTGCAGTATCCCCCGGTGTAGTCAACACCAACGCATCGCTGCGCCGTGTACTGCTCGCAGAAATCCAGGCAGATGGCCAAGGTCCCGGCGTAGTTCCTCTTGGCCAGCACCGCATCCTCACCCTCTCCCTCCTCCTCCTGCGGAACCATCATCTTCTCCATCTTGTGCTTTCCGCTACTCGTGATGATGGTCCCGCTGAACCTCTGATCGCACAAGACGCCGTATGTCGCTCCAGAGGAGTCTTGGCATCGCTGTCCGTTGAGGGCTGGACACATGTCCTCCGAGCATACCGGCAGAGGCGACGCCGTTGGAAAGCTCGGTGCGCTCCAGCGAGTGGTCGGTGTGCTGTACACGAAGTTGCTATCCGATGCTGGAGGGAGCGACTGCACTGGCTGATAGGTAACTTGGGCTGCTGCGCTGGCCGAGGCTGGTGGTGGCGCTATGAGGGTGTCAGTGAGTACTTTCAAGACCTACGAGAGCTTCGACACTCACTCGCAACAATCACTGCGGTACCGCGTTGTGCATCGGCAGTGGCATGATGCGCTAATGGAAGCAATAGCAATGCCACTGCACTGAACGAAGAAAGCATGGCGACGCTGACGCTTGACAGAGAATCTACCCGTGGCTCCTCGACCTTCAACCAGGACTGCAGCGTATTACCCTTCGGTTTGCCGATCCGCGATGTGGTCTGGCGTTGTTTTGGAGGAGACTGCTGCGGAATGTAACATGTTCCGCCTTCTGGACCTTGCGTTGCCCATTCATGCAAACATTCCTCCGCTCTGGCCTCATCTTATTCTAGGCTGCGTCTCTGTGCTCCATCAGCTTTTCAGTGGATGCATTGTATCTAATTTCAGGATGATGGTTTCCTCTTTAGGATGCATGGTGTGGCTGTTCTTCGACAGTCATCTGCTAGTGATCGCGAGAACTGGTTTGAGGATGTCACTCGCTCCAACGAAGAGTGCTGGCTGCCACGCCTGAGCACCAAGTAGACATATCATATGGCTACCTATCTGAGCGTAGCGGCCCTCTTAGCTTGCTGGCGACTGAGTTTGACGTCCGTGCACGCGCGTCTCTAGCGCGACGTCTTTAATAATTGTCTGTTTAGGCAGTGACGTCGACCATCTCATCACTACTCCCATACATGAACATCAGAACCTGGACAACCAAAGCTGCTGCACGTACTTTGAAATCTGCCAAAATGAAGCCTATGGGAGAGCTCCAAGAGCGATGGCGATATCTCTACCAGGACTTTCTACCCGCCATGGCAAAAGCGCGTGATCCAGCGCAGCGGAAATGGCCTGTACACCTTGACCATTGTTTCGCGCGCATCATTCTGGACAACTCCATTGGAAAGGACCGACCCTGGAATCAGGTGGTAAAGTCTCCCGCGGTGAAGAACATGACTGATGTGCAGCTGGAGAGCGCCATAGCCATGGCGGAAAGACTTGCTTCTGGAGAGGCAGATCTACAAGAATTGGACCAGCGGAGTCTTGACCTCCGTGGAAAGACCAGGAACAAGAAGAGGAAAGCCGACGATGACGCGTCGGTGACCGAAGGATCGAAGAAATATAAGAAAGCATCTCCGACGGTTTCGTCCTACTTTCTGCCTTCTCCTGCTTCTCCTCAGAAGACGTCAGGCAAGAACGAGAAACCTGACAGCCAAGACAAGCATGATAAACAAGACCCGAATGTATCATCACAGCTAAAAAGAATACAAGACTCCAGCATCACGGCTTTCCGAAAGCAGACATTGACAATGCTCTGCCAGATCCCACGAGGGCGGTATTCGACCTACGGAGCCATGTCCGACTGGATATCGAACAACTCTCACAAGACATGTGCCAGAGCCGTTGGCAACGCGATGAGGAACAACCCTTTCGCTCCCGAAGTCCCCTGTCACCGCGTCCTGGCCGGGGATGGCACATTGGGAGGTTTCAAGGGATCGTGGGGAGAGGAAGGGAAATACGCAAAGCACAAGCATGAGCTCTTGCATGAGGAGGGCGTGAGGTTTGACTCTCAAGGCAAGGTTAAAGGACCGCCCTTTCGGGCTTTCATCTGACGCGAGCAAGTAGTAGTGCGGAGGGGAACACTGCATCCTTGGCGGTGCTATCGCCCAATACATGGCCCGGATGAATTGTTCACGCCTGGAAGCGAACCTTGACTGGCAGGCTCTCTCTGCAGCGACCTGTCAAAGCGAGAGCATACGAGGGTACGCTGCTACTTCTAGTTCGGTACCAGCCAGAAGATGGTTGTCACTTTTGCCACTTCATCTGGGCCCCATGAGGTACATGGATGATCATATACATCCGAGATTCTCAACTTGGAAGTGTTCAACGAGCCGTCAGAGGCCGCTACGGACTGTGGCTGCGGACAAACCTTCCCCACGGGCTGAATCAGCTCTTTAACCAGGCGCGGCTTTCCTGATCGAGAGCTCAAGCTACACGCGGTGGTGAAGCTTAATGCAGAGTTACCACCATCGGTTCTAGAAGGCGATCCTGCGTGCACTGCTGGGCACACAACATGGCTCTGGATCTTATTCCTCGTGTAAAGGACATACCCCGTCCAAGGCCCCACAGGAGTAGATAGGCGTTGGATCTACTCCATATCCTCCTCTGTCTCTCAATTGTACTCGACAACATGGCAGCAACGATCCAAAACGCCCCTCTTCCAGCCCATGAACTCGTCTACGAACCAAAACACCTCCCCAAACTCCGCTCCAACTATGGCGCGCATCTGGATCAAGACACCGTGGGTTGGATGCGCATAACCACACCCGACACCCCTCTCGAAGAAATGCGTTCCCGCTTCGCAGAGGACGGCTACCTCTACGTCAAGAACCTCCTCCCGCGCGCCGACGTCCTCGACGTCCGCGAAGCATACTTCCACCACATGTCGCCCACGGGCATCCTGGCCCCAAACACCTCCCCGCGCGACGGCATCTTCAACCCCTCCGCCGACCCCGTCGCGCACCACGGCAACGGCGGCCGCGACCTCCCCTCCGACGACGCCAAAGTCCACCGCCTCATCCAAGCCCACACCCTCCCCACCTACCTCGCCTTCCTCTCACACCCGACCCTGCGCTCGTTCGTCCAGAACTTCATGGCCTGGGACGGCGACGTCCTCGTCAAGCGCACCCTCCTCCGCCACAACGTCCCCGGCGGCTTCAGCACGGGCATCCACTACGACAAGATCTTCCTGCGCGCCGGCGCCGCCGACTTCCTCACCGCGTGGGTCCCCTTTGGCGACTGCTCCCCGCACGGCGGCGGGCTCATGTATCTGGAAAACAGCACGCATATCGGCATGGACATGGAGCGGGAATTTGGGCACAGGGCCGACGCCGCGGGTTTCACGGCCCAGGAGCGCATTCACGGGTTTAATGTCAATATGGCCAAGGATGGACAGTTGAGTCATGACGTGGTGGAATTTTCTCGCGAGATGGAACTGAGGGGAGGGGATGGGGATGGACAGACGGATACGAAGCAGAAAAAGAGGAGGAAATGGCTAGTAGGCAACTACGAAGCCGGGGACGTGGTTTTTCATAACCCCTACATGATCCACGGCGCCATCAAGAATGACGACCCGCTGGGTCGGATCCGCCTGAGTACGGATTTGAGATTCTACGAGCAAGGGAGTGATTTGGATCAGAGGTGGATGAAGGATGTCTGGAGACCCGGAGACGGGTTATAGAAGAAAGAGGAGGTAGGTAGGCACACTACGCCACACAGAGTGAAAGAATTAGATATTTGAGATTATCAGGACGGTGTTATATCTAAGTCCTCAGGGGGTATCATGTAGTTTTCTCCCCGTTTCCCCTTTTTCCCGATTTTTTACACACACACACACACACACACACACACACACACACACACACACACACACACACACACACACACACACAAAGCCTGTTCCCGTCCTTCCGCCTCTTCGCCACCCGAAAAACTCCATCTGCCAGACTATTTCCCATCTTTCTCCTAGCGAATTCTTTTCGCAGATGACGATGAAGAAGAAGAAGTAGGTACCTTATCTCTAAGATCTCTCGCTCTGCCATCGTCCCTATTGGCACTGCCGTCGCGCCTGCTGCTCTTGCGCTTGGCAGAGCGCGGCGGCCCGGGGCCCAGGAGCAGAGTTTTGAGTCGAAGGTACATGTCGTCCAAGGCTTTCAAGGGCCAGAGACAGATTTGGAGAGCAAGACGGAGGGGTAGCATGACGATGGCGACGAGAGTGGTGAATGCGTTGCCGACCACGCCGCGGTTCCGAGAGTTCTGTGCTGCGGCGGCGGCCAGGCTGACGGCGTCTTGGGTGCGGGATTCGAGCAGCTGCAGTCGCTGTTCGATCTGAATGGCAATGGTCGTCTGGCGCTTCTCGTAGCGGCGGACTGCCCGCTCGAGACCTTCAACGCGCGGTTCATAGCGTTTCCTGATCTCCGCGGACAGGTCGTTGATATCCGTCTTCTGCGCCATGGCTGTGGTCTGGGGAACGAGAGTGTTGTCTGCCAACTTGGATTCCAGCTCCTGTATGCGACTCGCGAGGGTCGAGACCCTATGCTTCTCCCCTACCGCGGAAGCGAGAGGGTCATCGAGTCCGGTCACAACACGTTGGAGATAGAGCGTCCGTCTCGAGACCAGACGGATGAGCTGCCTGAAGGGTTGAATCTCGGCCCCCAGGAGGAAGATAGATAGGTTGGTGTCGGAGACCAGGACAGTCGACGCGGTCGTGAGTTGTGCGCGGATGATGTGAAGAAGGTAGGCTGCCAAGGCCGGGAAGACGAAGGTCGCTCCCAATGCCAGAAGCTCTTGTCGACGCAGTTCTCCAGCAGCCTCTTCTCGCTTCGCGACATCCTGTGTGGGCGCATCTTTGCCTCTCTCTGTGCCCTCTTGCCGACGTCTGGACGGAGGAGTGGGCGAGCTCCCCGCCGACGAAGCACTCTCCGCAGCCGTCTCGTCCTCCACGTCTGTCGGGACAGCATCCGTACTTGGCTCCACATCGCGCCTCAGCTCTTGAGCAGAGCAATACCAATCCCACGGCAACCTGATGCTCCAATTCAAGAATATCGCAGCCAAGCCCAGCAGCAGGGCGTCCGTCACGAACGCAGAACCGTTCTTGAACAGCAATCCGCCGATCGCGGGCAGAATGGCAAACGCCAGCGGGGACGACTGCCAATGGGTAAGTTGGTTCTCATCGTGTCCGCCTCGTCGCCTGCCCATGCGCGGGTTGATGATCTCGTCTGCAAACGATTGCGACACATCCTCGATGCTGGAGTACGACAAGAGCGAAGATCGCCGTCGGAGCAGCGGATCGGGCCTCGGCGAGGGTGAGGCGGTCGCGCTCCTCTGCGGAAGACGTTGTCTGGCAGCGGCGGAAGGGGGGAGAGCGGTGCTGGTGCTGCCCATCGTCGCAGAGCGGGTGGGCGGGTCTGGTTTGGTGGTCGCGTTGGCGTCGGTCATCATGTTCGCTCGCCGTGGTGGTTGTCGTTGTCGTTGTCGGTTGTACTAGACATTGTCTGTCACGTCTGTTTCTAGTTGAGAGATGGGGATTGAGTAGGGAAAGACAAGGGAAGGACAGGTGTGCAGCGGCCGCGCCTTCATATCTCGACGAGGGCGCGCATGTGAAAGAGAGAAGTGTGGACAGGATGGAAGGGGATCTGGAGGGTGGAGGGTGGAGGGGTGCGGCGGTTCCTGATCCGATGTGCTGTGCTGTGCTGTGCTGTGCTGTGCCTGCAGCGAGCGATGAAGCACGATGATGATGATGATGATGATGATGTACTACGTGCCAAGAGCCGGCATCCACGGTTCAGTGTGCTTTGTTCGGCATCACCTCCACTTCATCTTCTCCCATCACAGCCTTCAACGTTTCTGCGCTGTCGTTGTTCCTCCACATGTCGCGTCGCAGTCACACAGTGGAACGCCCATCACACACGACCCGCACGCGAAGCGAAACCGAACCGACGCGGAGGTCCATCCTGTGATCCCGTCAGCCTTATCAGATGCCTGCTTCGATTACATACATCCATCGGTGCATGTGCAACCAAACTGCCGTCCTTCCCCGTCCAATGGCATGCGCTCATGCTTGTTTCACGCCCAGCTGGGGTTTCCTCTGGGTGTGTGGGGATACTGCGAATGGCAGAGCGTCATGTGATGTGTGAGGTTGTTGGGCCTGACTCACTCGGCACGTTGGCACATGGGGATTCCAGAACGGCATCTCTCCCACGGACTTAATCTTGGATTGATTGAGCGAAGATGCCTACCTACTTCTAGTCCTATCGTGCTCACTCACTGCACTGCGCTGGCCACGCGTACTCGGGCATCTTCAGCTTCTTCTCCGTGAAGCCCAACATGGCAGAACCGTAAGTCACTACGCGATCCATCTTCAACCCGAGTGCAATGCTCAGAATGCGGTCTCGCACGTTGATGCCCCACTGCGTCTGTGGCGCCATCCACTGCATCGCGCCAACTCCACCCTGTTGACTCTTCACAAACGGTAGCATCAGCTCCTGATAGTTCCTCAGCGCGAGTGGGATATCTCCTGCATGACTGAGGAGCTCGCCAGCGAGAACGTAGCCACCTATGATTGCAAGGCTTGTGCCGATGCCGGGAGTGGCATACCCTGCGTCGCCAACAAGGACGACACGGTCCGAGTGTAGCTTCGGGCATTGAATCTGTGCGAACCATGAACAGTAGAGGTCGTCGCTCTTACGCATGCCTTCCAATAGTTCAGGTGCCAACCAGCCTGCATCGTGGAAAGTCTCCTCCATAAGTTTCGTATAGCTCTCGTTGCCCTTCTCCAGAGCCGTCTCAAAAAGATCCTGCCTTTCTGTGTCATTCAGTGGGAGAACGTTGAGGAACATCGCTCGGGTCCGCCTGTCGGGGTGTGGATCTGGACGGATCACCGCGCATCTCCCGCCAGTTGCTGTGTGCATCTTTGCTAGTCGCTCTCCCTTGAGCAGATCGCCCTCCATGGTCCAGTATGCCACTCGACACCCTTCGTCAACCACGTGCTCTCGCGGACTGCATCCCGTCATCTTCCCTCGCAGCCTCGAACCAAACCCATCAGCGGCAACGAGAAGGTCGTACGTCTTCGTCTCCTTCGATTTCGTAAAGGTCACGGCGACGCCGTCCTCCTTCTCTTCATAATCTTCCACAGTCTCATCATAGATCAAATTGACGTGAGGCAACACAGGCTCGATCAGAATCCGTCCCAGCTCACCTCGGAAGATCTCATACTCGCTCGTCAAGCTCTGAATGTCGTCTCTACCGGTAGATCTCAGCGTGGCGACCGGCCTTCCATCAGCCTTGACAAATTGCATCCCTTCCTCGTGGGTCGTGTGCTCGCGGATCTCTCTCTCCAACCCCATCCATTTGATGACATCAACCGCCGAGCTCCGGATATCGACACTGGCGCCAGTCAAGCGCAGAGACGGGGCCCGCTCGACGATTGTGATCCGGGCTTGTGGGAAGGCACGCAGCAGCCAGAACGCGGAAGCACCGCCTGCGATGCCGGAGCCAGAGATGAGAATGCGGAGTTGTTTCGACATCCTGAACTTTCAGGAGAGGATGGAAGAAGCTTTCACTCGTTCCGAGCAAGAGCCTGTGACTATGAAGAAAGTCAGGAATGAAGACAAGGTGTGCGGGCTTCGAGCTTCTGCGTGGGCTCCATCCTGCGCGTGCGTGCGACTCAGCTCGCGTATTTATCTCGCACCCCAAGCACCCTGGATGTAAATCATGACCGCCATCCCACCGGCCCACAGTGATCCGTCAGCATTTGCTATGACACGTTTGTCTGTTGGAACATGATCCTCCGGAGACGAAGTGTCCGGGGCTATCGTCCTTCGACATGGTTTCTTACCCTCACGCGACTTTGCAACTGGCGGTTGGCGGTGAGCGGACATTCCTAATGCCCGAGAATGGCATGTGAATGCTTCCACCCTCATGGTGGAACGACCGGACGGTGTATGATGTACAGTTCGAAGCAGTTCGAAGCTTGAGCAGGGATACCTAGAAGATGCGTCTCTGATGCGCTGTACATGTAGTTGGCATTGGCATGAGCCGGGATCTTGGGCCGGCGGATCGTGCCTTCTCGTGAACATGGTCTGTGCTCTTCTGTGCCCACTCGGTAATCCTCGGTCATATTGACTCTATATGGCTACCTTTCCTACCCTACCTACCTGCAAAGAATCAAGTCATCACACCTTGACCGCCTTTATTATTTTATCAGTCCGCGGTGTCAGATCTCCTACATCTTTCTGGCCTTCGCAAGCAGTCCCGCCGTCGCCGCAAATCATCAGTCATGCTACTGAACAGATGGGAGCCTCGCGGGCTCTCTCCTGCCCTGCGACACCTCGAAAGCCCATAGCGCATGCTGTCTTTCGGTATCATTCGAATGGACTTCATATTGACCAAAACCTCCAACTATAGCGATCGAGCCTTCAGACAAAGATGCACCGCCAGGCCATTGAAAAAGTCCAAGCTGTCCTCGGCATTTGTACGTGCACCACTTTCTAATGCCTCAGACCTCTATCGTTGAATACAGTCATCTTTCCAACAGGTGTCACTGTAGAAAACGCCATATCGGAGCCATCCACCCTTCGGAAGAGCAGAGCACTTTCTGCGGTGCAAAACCTTTCAACATGGCTTCGAGCGAGTGTCTCGGAAAGACATAGGACCCGTACACGCTTTTTCGCGTAGACCCAGGCTATGTGCTATTCGATCGCGCTGGGGCTAACTGTACAAAACTCAATGCTTTGGACCTCAGTCTATTTCTTCAGCTAGCGGCCTGCCTGGCAACGCTTCGGCCCCCACGATCAGTTCAGGAACGTGCAAGAGACACATGAAGATTACGCTAGCCACTTGTAACCGCAGAGCATCACAGAGCCTCGAAGGACATCTTCTCAAGATACTAGCTTAGCCTAGCGTGGACTGAAAGGGTCGACACGTGTTGGTGCACGGACGCTGCGTATTTGAGTGAGGCACGCAACATTCACTGACCGCCGCCCAGCTCGATGGACCCATATCATCACACACTTCTGCAGATTGGCTCCTAGGCATCGGAAAGTCGAGGCCGCGCCCTCCTAAGACTCCGCATTCTCAAGGCTCAGGATCCAGATTGTCTAAGATGCGCCGCAGGGCTTGCATTCCTTTGTCTCATTCCTGGTCAATGTTTGTTGTGGGGCTCTTCTTTTTGGAAGCATCGGGCGCGGCTCTCTAGCATTGGCGTCTCTCGACAAAGACGCTTTCTATACGATTTTTTGTCTTTGCGATAGGCGCACTATCGGCCTTGTTAATCTCTTCTCTCGCCCGGTCACGTACTGCGGTGACAATATTGCGCTTCGGTGCCTTCCCTAGCGCCTCAGATCCCGGAGCGGCCGAGTCACTGGGTTGGATGTTGTTTGTACCACGCGAAGCTTAGGAATTCTGCCATGGCTGTTCTCTGAAAGAAGATCCTTTACCACCTCCTGGCCAGCGTTAATATTGCTATAATCCAGCTATTGTCGCTCCCTGCGGTTTGGCCTTCTTTTCGCCGAACGTTGCCAGTATGCGTTCTTTCTCCGGCAGCCTTGCCGCCTTTACGCTGTTCCAGCTCAACAGAGTCGATGCCTTCTGGCGTATGAACTGCTCGCCCATCCAGAGCGGACGTGTCGATCCTCTGGTCAATCCTGGTGCTCTTGCTGCGCACAATCACGCCATTGTCGGAGCCGCCAGTAAGCTTTCCCTCTGCTGGAAAAATGACTTGAGCTAATTGTCTGATGTAGACATTGGTATTAACGCCACGTACGATTCTCTTCTCAACTCAGAATGTACATCTTGTGAAATCTCTGGAGACAAGTCAGCTTACTGGACACCCACGCTGTACTACAACTATGCAAATGGATCCTTCGTCGAAGTGCCGCACGCCGGATCTGTTGTCTACTATCTCGGACGTGGACCCAATGTCAACTCAACGATTCCTTTTCCAAAGGGTCTCAATATCCTGTCGGGAGACAAGTCAGCACGCAGCTATGACAACACTACGTATACTTGGGGCAATGCCACGTATCCCGGCCGTCCGGTTGCAGACCGCATCAGCTTCAACTGTCTAGCAGAGGAGACACTCGTAGAACAGCCTTACATGTTCCGAACCGACTGCCCGTACGGTCTGCGTGCTCAAGTCCATTTCCAGAGCTGCTGGAACGGAAAGAACTTGTACCTAGCCGACAACAGCCACGTCGCGTACCAGAGCTCTATTGATAACGGTGTCTGCCCACCGACGCATCCTATCCAGCTTCCTCATCTCTTCCTGGAGACTCTATGGTCTGTTGCGAATGTTCCGGGCCAGAACGACGGAGGTCGATTTGTGTTTGCCCAGGGTGACCCAACCGGCTACGGATTCCACGGTGACTTCCAAAACGGATGGGAGGCCTCTACGCTTGCCAATGCTGTCGAGAACTGTCTCTCCACCGACAACTTTGGCCAAATCGAAGCTTGTCCGGTCCTCTACGCTCAACAATCCGACGGGTACCCGTACAACTGCCCCCAGCGTCCACCACAGATCGGAGAGCAGACAACTGGCCTGCTGTCCAAACTTCCTGGTTGTATCGAGATTACCGAGGGCCCAGGGGCAGCGCCAGCCGCTTCGATGAACTGTCCTGCGAACTCTCCAACCCCATCCGTCACTAGGACTGTCGACACAGTGGCACGCGCAACTCAATTTGTTGCTGTCGGTTCGCGCTACGGTATTTCAAACTCGCAAATCGCTCTTGGCTGCTACAACGACAGTGCTGTGGACGCTGTCCGCACCCTGAACGCCGTCTCCATCTCGAACTACTCGATCATGACGGTAGAATACTGCCAGAACTACTGCAACTCCCGTGGCTACCGTCTGAGCGGTGTGGAATACGGCCAGGAGTGCCATTGTGACAACGCCATCAATCCCACTGCCGTCAACGGCTCTGATGCATGCTCCTGGAATTGCGGAGGTACCATGACCAAAGGTGGCACTCAGGAGGTCTGCGGTGGATTGGGCTATATCAACATCTTCAACAACACGGACCCATCTTTCGTCGCCAACGGAAGCGATACCAACAGCGCAGGCAACGTCTCGCCACCTGTCGCTCTGTCGCCTTTTCCATCCAACTACGTCGGCTGCGCAACTGACCAACAAGGCGGCGGTCGTGCGCTGACGGGCCCGAACGTCGACTGGATCAACATGACCACCGCAGTCTGTGCTTCCTACTGCTCCAGCGCGTCTCCCCTCGGCTACCAATACTACGCCACCGAGTACGGCACGCAATGCTTCTGCGGCAACGCCATCGCCACGCCCAACTTCCTCACCAACACCACGTCCACGCCCAACAACAGCACCTGCAACATGCGCTGCTCCGGCGCCGGCGACGAGCTCTGCGGCGGCTCCAACGCCCTCTCCGTCTACCAGAACACCACCTACGTCGCGCCCAAGATCAAGACCCCCATCGGCAAATTCCTCAGCAAGCAATGCTACACCGACCCCAACACGAACGGGCGCGCCCTGACGGGTGCGTACATGACCAGCCCGACGCTGACGGAGGACTCATGCGTCAAGTACTGCCTGGGCAAGTATTTCCACTACGCCGGCGTGGAATACGGGAATGAATGCTATTGCGGCAATTCGATCAATGCGGCTTCGGGCGCGGTGAAGACGACGTGTCCCGTGGCGAATATGATGCCCTGTGCGGGGAATGGGCTGCAGTACTGTGGTGGGTCGGCGTTGTTGACGTTGTACTATTCGTCGACTCTGTAGGGGATGATGATGATGGGAAGTGCAGAGGCCGGACTGGACTGGAACGGGGAGAGGGTCGTGGTTGGTTGGTTGTATCTCTTTCCATTGCTGTCTGGTTTCACTTGACAGGTATGATGCTGTAGATACTACTTCTCTTGGTACGGACTCGTTTCGTTCTTCTCCCTCAACATTTCTCTGAGAGATTCTCACTAAGAGTCCATCAAGCCTCCCACGCTCTGTTCCCTCCCTCGCCACAAATCCTCTCTTCCTCTTCCTCCTCTCTCGAGTCTTCCAGGGAGAGAGGGACGGAAACCTGTGCCGCAGTCGCAGCCGAAACAGTAATCAACCGAATGGCAAGGTAGTAGTGTCCGCTCGCTTTTTCTCTCTCTCCCAGAAAACTTTGAAACTCAGACGGCGTTTGCGTTTGCGTTAGTCCGGAAAGAAACCTCCCTTCACGAAGAAGAAGAAGAAGAAGATCTGAATGAATGAATGGAATTCGTGTGAAAAGCGCGCGGCGCCGTATCTAGATAGTAGATAGATTCCAGCTGAGATGTTTTTTTTTTTCTGGAAAAATCTTTCTTTCACATGCTCGCTTGCTCCACACACACGGCTAGCTGCTGCAGCCTGGAAGAAACTCACTTCACTTCACTTCACTTCACTTCACTTCACCTTGGCGCCAGCCAGCCAGCCAGCCAGCCAACCAGCCGGTAGGAGATTTAAAGTCTGGTTTGACTCTTCTCGAAAGCTTTTCTTCCTTCCTTCCTTTCTTTCTTTCTTTCTTCTGTCTTTTCGACATTGACTTTTTCGACCTGGCTTTGGCAAAACTTCCAATATCAACAACAACAAGAACTCTTCACCAACAACAACAACAACAACATAACTCTCTACCACCACCACCATCATCAACCACCACTTTCCAAACTCCTCACACACCCACCACTTCATCCCATCGTCATCCATCACCACCACCATGGGCAAATCCTGGGACGACGCATCGGAGAAGCAGCTCCTGCTCTCCGTGATCCACGTCCTCAACGTCACCGCGCCGGACTGGAACCGCGTCGCCGCCATGATGGGCGAGGGCTACACTGCTTCGGCCGTCATGTGAGTATCCTTCCTCCCTCCCTCCCTTCCTTCCATCCTCCACAACACAAAATACATACACACACCTACATACACACCCACACCTTCCACTGACACGCCCTCTCCAGGCAGAAATTCAACAAGATCAAGAAAGCCTGCAAAGAGCAGTACGGCGACGCGGCGGCGTCACCACCGCCGTTCACCGCCACGCCGAAAGCCACGCCAGGCAGTGGAGCCAAGCGCGGGCGTCCGAAGAAAGCCGCGAGCGAGTCCGCCGCCGGCGCCGGCAACAAGGGAAAGGGAAAGGGAAAGGGCAAGGGCAAGAAGAACCACGAGAATGGCGATGTGTCCGAGGATGATGAAGAAGAGGAGGAAGTGGAGACTCCCAGCAAGCGCGTGAAGAAAGAGGAGAGCTTGCCGGCGGACGACGATATCATCCACGATGAGCTCTAGGAGCGCAGCGGGCGCGGCGGTTTGGGGGCTTTGCTTGCCTTTCTCGGTTCGGTTTGGTTGGCGGGTTCTTTCGTCTGCCATTCACGACGGGCTCTGTGTGGGCATGCATGGGAAGCACTAGTTGGCTTCGAGACGGGGAGGTGGCGATGTGCTGTGCTGTGCTTTTAGGCGGGTGGGGGGTCTGCGAAGGGTGCCTTTCTGTGAGGCGCCATCTGGCGACTGCTGTGTGATGAGTACTACGACGACGATTAGCGAGCGAATGCAAAGGGCTAGCTCATGTTCTGAAAGGGACTCACAATATGGGATTTCACATGTCAAGTGGACTTCACTTCACTTCCATCCGCGTATTCATCATCATCATCATCATCATCGTCAGGGTCCTCAAAAAGAGTCGTACCTTTTCTTTTTCTTCGGAGACCTCTACTTCTTTCTTCTCCCTTCCACCAACAAACACCGCCCATCCACCATCCGCACACCTCCTGACCCAAGCCACACGACACAAACAAACACATCCACCACCACGCGCCGCCAACCTCCAACTCCACCCCTGACCACCCAGACCACCAGCTCAAAAATGCCAAAGTGGGACGACGCCGCCGACCGGCAGATGCTCCTCAGCATCATCAACCTCGCCGCACCCAAGATCGAATGGGAGCAGCTGCGCGCCAGCATGGGTGAGGAGTACACCCTCGAGTCGCTCAAGTACACCACACCCCATTCCGACATCTTCTCCAAATTCTCCCCACTGACTTCTTTTCCCCCGCAGGCAGCGTTATAGGAAACTGCGTAACCTCGCCAAAGGAAACCCAGCAGGGGCCACCGCGCCCGCTACGCCGTCGTCGGAGAGGGAGAAGGAGAAGACGACTCCGGCCAAAAAGGGCACGGCGAAGAAGGTTACTGGCAAGCGTAAGGCTGTCGAAGAGGAGGGGGAGGAGCAGGATGATGATGATGAGGAGACTGCCGCTGCTGCTGCTAGCACGAGGAGGAAGGTGAAGAAGGAGAAGTTGGAGGAGGAGGAGGAGGAGGAGGAGGAGGAGGAGGAGGAGGAGGAGGAGGAGGAGGAGGAGGAGAGTGAGGATGAGGATGAGAATGAATTTTTGGCTTAGGCTGGCATCTTCCTCCGACAACTTCGCGCCTCGAGGGCCTGATGATGCGCCGGGCGGAGGGACACCATAACCAGAGAGAGACCCACTCGGGGCAAGAGCGGTTGCCTGGGTCGATACTGCTGCGGCTGACCCGCTGGGACTGCATGTGAGCGTGTACTGTTTTGCTTGTGCTTGCTTATAGAGGCTCTGAGATTTTATAGGCCAACGTCGTCCTGCATGCAAAGATGGGCGATATATACCTGCTTCAGCTGCGTCTTCGGGTATCCATTCCCTTTCATGTCTCGCCACTTGACGGATGCACTCTGTCTTCATGTGGGCGACTCCAAAGGCGGCAACCGGATCTGCAGTCAGTTGGTCTGGTAGCAGGTCTTAAGCTAACGACCTGCCCGCGAGTATTGGGTCGTCAATGCCACGATTGTCGAGAGGCTACTGGTCGGCGGCATGAGAAGGCTAGAAACGAGATAGTGGTGATGTGTACAGAGAGCGCTATACTCACTCACGGGAGAGATGCAAGGCGGGGAACGTGATATCATACGATCTGATGTGACCAGGAGTTCAGACAAGAGTTTCCAGGCTTTTGGTCACGCCCCATGTTCATTGATGTTCCAGATGTTTGCATAAGGTAGGTGATAGCATCGCGGACCAAGTTGGAGGGCGCAAGTGTGGGGTGGGGTCTTCCAACGGCACCGCCTGATGAGAAGGCGGCATAATAAGGTAAGGGACGGGGTGGGATTTCCTTGGAGGGTGCATCCGACAGGGCTGTCCTTGCCACAGCTACCGTACTACTACTAGTAGCAGCTCGCGCGTGCTCGTTCCCTCCACAGGAGCAGCTGTGCAGCTTTCCGGTGCCTGCAAGTGCCGGCACGATTCCGATCCCGCACAGGATCAGGATTGCTCCTCTGTCTGGTGAGGGCTGCGAGCGCTCACAGCTGGCCGTCCCTGCAGAATGCAGCTACCGAATGCAGACGACAGGTCGGTGAAGGCTGACTCAGGGTGGTGGTGAAGGCGGCGGAGGAAGTCGTCGGGATGGATGCAGATAATAAGATGCCTCTTCTCAGGCAGGAGACGTGAAGAAGTCCCTCCATCGGGGGCGGGAGCTGCCGCACCGGGTGGGTGGATGGCTGCGTGGATGATGATTGGGCAGGAGATTCATTCGAGTTTGGTGCCGGAAAGCCCCGCGATGGACGCACAGACGGACACGGATCGAGTGTCTGACTCGGGAAGGTGTCGCTGGTCTCGCCCCGTACATGCACAATGATAATGATAATAACCTGGAATCTAGCCGGACAGGACGTGCGTCGAGTGAAGATGCAGTGGGTTGCATGTAGAATGGGCAGCGTGAGATGTAGTCTATGACCCGAATGAAAGGTATGCGCGGCGAATGAAAGGTATGCGCGGCGAATGGACTTGTGGACTGGCGGTAGATGCAAGCTTGGTTGCCGCCTCGTTCAACGATGTGAAACCCAGAGAGAGCCCCAGGCCTCGAAACATGTCGCCGCTACCACCACACCACTACCACAGCTGCACTACCTTACTTACCTTTGTGCTTGGACTACCATTATTCCCGCCGCGCTGGTTGAGTGTGCAACCACCACCACACTAGCTGTGCACTCTCTTGACCGGACTCTCCCCTCCACATCATCATTCATCATTATTGCCTGCACACACTCTCAACCCTCGACTCTCCGCCCTCCGCCCTCCGCCCTCCGCCCTCCGCCCTCCCTCATCTCAACCACACCCGACATCTCCCTCCCGGACCCTGCGCCACCGCCGTGTGCTCCAGGACTCCCTCCTGACCCCTCCTCCTCCTCCTCCTCCTCCTCCTCCTCCCTCCCGTCGTCGCCGCATCGCCTGCTCGCATTCTTCCGCCCTTACTCGCTCCCGTCATCGCTGTTCGCGCACCCTCAAGCAGGCAAGCATCGCCCCCAAGGGACGCTCGGCCACTCGCTGCCCTGCCCGCGCCCGGATATCCATCCCTGCCCTCCGCTGGGAAAGTCGGCCTGCGACCGGCTGCACACAGACACACCACCCACCTCACCACACCAACCACACCATCCACTGCACCTGGCCTGCTCTGCCAACGTTGTGCCTCGTGCACCAACATTCTCTCCCGCCCACCGACTCCCTCTGCTCCGCTCCGCTCCGCCCCGCGCGGAAACACCCCACATCGCCACCATCTTTGTCGACACGAAGCATTTTCCACCCATAGACACAGACACCTTGGATTGCGCACGCCGAGGTCCAGAGCTGCGCCAAGGATACTGCGAACTCTCTGGCGCATTGCCGCTGTGATCGCCTCACCCCCTCGCCATGGCCAACACCCAGCAGAATCCGTGAGTCGAGCCCTCTCTTCATCATCCAGGAGCTGTGCATGCGCCCAGATCAATTCTGCACCGACTTGATAGCGCCAATAGTGCGCCCAAGAACCGTTCAGGGCGCACCACGCATGCCATTCAGAGGCTACGGTAGTACCATTCTGGCCACTTGTTAACCGCTTAGCAGGATCTATAGGCAAGATCAATTCCTCAATACCCGCCCAGCGCCCGCTCCGCCGACAGATCGCCCCAAGGTGACACTCACGCCCAATGTGCATCAAACGCCAGGCAATCCAAACCTCATGTACTCGGGTAATGCCTCGAACAACTCGCTCAATTCGCCTTCGCAGCACTCGCTCGGGCGATCAGACACGAGCAATGGCGACCTCACGGTCGTCAAGGATGGCTGGGCCAAAGTCAAGGAAGAGGGCGGTGGTTTCATGAAGGCGTTTTGGAACGAGCGATTCCTCGTGCTGAGGGAGAAGCAGCTGGACTTCCTGAAAAACGCCAACAGCAGCAAGACTGCCAACACGATCCTTCTGCGCGATGTTTCGCATATCACGCGATCAGATAACTATCCTTACAGCTTGGAACTCACCCGCGAGGGGAACAAGATCTGGATCCTTCGGTTTGACACCGATACCGATGTCTACAATTGGATGGACAGCATATACGACAGATGCCCGCAAATGGGCGGCGTCTCGCATCCTACCGGCTTCTCGCACCGTGTCCATGTCGGCTTCGATCCCGTGACAGGAGGCTTCGTGGGCTTGCCCGTGGAGTGGGAGAGATTGCTCAAGGGCTCGGCCCTGACGAAAGACGACATGGCCAAAAATCCACAGGCCGTGATGGAGGTCCTGCAATTCTACACCGACAAGCTCGCGGTGAGGAACGATGACACGAAGATGTACTCGTCTCTCACCCCAACCTCCGGCCTCGAGTCCAACCGAGAAAAGCAGCTGGGGTACGGTGGCGGCAACAACATCGCTCCTCCGCGACCACAGCATCCAGGTATGAACAGGCAGGACAGCTATCAAGCGGGTAGGAGTAATACAGCGACTCCGCACAGTGGATATTCAAGCTCACGAGACCAACCAGCCGATCGTCACGCTCCCTCCAAACGCGCCGACGCCGCTCCCCACACGCAGCAATCGGACGAAGAGCGGAGGATGAGACAGCAAGAGGAGAGCAGGAAGCGAGCGGACTCGGACAGACGGCGCAACGAGGAAGAGGATCGCAGGAAAAGGCAGGAGCAGGAGGATCGTGAATACAATGAATCGCTACCCAAGAATAAGGTCCCGCTCGCGAAACAAGAGATCGGAGGGTATGGAGGCGATTCTTCTCGGGATGCCAGTCCAGGCCAAGGTCAGAGCAGATACAACCCAACTCGGCCAGCACCTCCGGCACCATCGGGAAGCAAGAGCGGGCAACCGGGAAATCAGCTTCCTCTGCGTAATCTGCAGGCTCAGCGACCTGCTCCGGCACCACCAGGATCTCAGAACGGTTCTTCGACGGCGACGCCGCAAAAGAAACTGGCTGCCAACGGATCTTCGCCATACGGCGCAAAGGCCCAATCACCTCCAGCGGCCAATGGCGAAGCCAAAAAGGATGGAGCGCCCTTGACAAGGAAGCCTTCCGGCGCGGGCAACCATCACAAACAGCCCTCTGCGGCAGGCCAGGTTAAGCCCCTCAATGTCGCGACGAAGCAGCCCACGGGCGCGCCCAAGGATCCCGTCAAGGCCGCAGAGCTCGCGCTTACGAAGAAAGACCCCAACGAGAAGCCGCAGAAGGAAGTGCGGATGAGTGCCATGTCTGATGCACAGGTCATGGACCGGCTGCGATCCGTGGTGACCTTGTCCAATCCTCTTGAGAGCTATAACAAGCAGAAGAAGATTGGTCAGGGTGCATCGGGGTCGGTCTACGTCGCCCGGATCCGGGAGAGTGCTCCAAGTCAGATCGCCAAAGACTTGATTCGTCAATACGGTCCCAGAGCTCAGGTGGCCATCAAGCAGATGGATCTTCGCTCTCAGCCCCGAAAGGAGCTGATTGTCAATGAGATCATTGTCATGAAGGAAAGCCGACATGACAACATCGTCAACTTCTTGGATGCCTTCTTGCAGGAGGATACCTTCGAGCTCTGGGTCGTGATGGAGTTTATGGAAGGCGGTGCACTAACAGATGTCATTGAGAACAACGCATCAATCACAGAAGACCAGATCGCTACAATCTGTCTTGAGGTGAGTGGATTCCTTGGATCATGAACATATCAATCGCTGACATCTCCCAGACTTGCAAGGGTCTCATCCATCTGCACGCACAGAACATCATCCACCGAGACATCAAATCAGACAATGTCCTCCTCTCGTCTCGTGGCGCAGTCAAGATCACCGATTTCGGTTTCTGCGCGAAGCTGACGGAGCAGCGCTCTAAGCGTGCGACCATGGTCGGTACCCCCTACTGGATGGCGCCAGAAGTGGTGAAGCAGAAAGAATACGGCTCCAAGGTCGACATCTGGTCGTTGGGAATCATGGCCATCGAGATGATCGAATCAGAACCGCCCTACCTTAACGAGGAGCCACTGAAGGCTTTGTACCTGATCGCCACCAACGGCACGCCGAGACTGAAGAAGCCCGAAAAATTGTCTAAGGAGCTCAAGGCGTTCCTCAGTGTCTGCCTGTGCGTGGATGTGAAGAGCCGAGCTACGGCTGAGGAGCTTGGGCGCCATGAGTTCTTGCAGCACGGATGTTCTCTGCAGAGCCTCAGTGAGCTTTTGAAATTCAGGAAAGGAGGCGGGCACTAGAAGCGGCCAGGTGTTGTCCGAGCTGCAGAGGAGTAGCTTGTCGAAGACATCCAGCTGGCGAAAGGACGCTGCGCCACGGAGCATGAGGCGTCCATCGGCAGACCCTCACTTGCAGGAGCCTTACCGCTGCAAGATCTCGAGTCGTCAACGTCAGGGACCCGACTCACGTCGCACTCACTCATACCAAAATTCTGAAAAGCGCCATGACTGCTTTTGATATTTCGAGATACCACCGGAGTTGCTGTTCAGGAGAGAAAGAGAGAGAGAGAGAGAGAGAGAGAGAGAGAGAGAGAGAGTGTGTGTGTGTGTACAACTCGACACTCACTTTGTTCGTTCGTGTGGGCGTTCTGTTCGGCACAGGAGGGAGGCAAGGTGAAAGGGGGAAAGGCACGCACGGAAATGACCATTATTCATGATGCTAACTGGTACGAGAGAGAAAGAGAGAGAAGAAAGAAATATTTTACCTTGCTCTGTTCTTTTTTTTTTCTTTGCGCGTTGCGGCAGGCAGGCTGGATGACTAGATGGATAGTTACTGCGCGATTGCTCCCGTTTTTTTTTTTTTGGAATACGCCGGTGGGGAGGGAAAGGGGGAGGGGGAGTATTCATTCGATTATCATCATCACCATCACCGTGGTTGGGTTATTTGGGTTATTTTGGTATTATACTCTTGACCGACGGGACTCTGTGTGTACGGCCTTGGGCGTCATGTTTGTTTGTTGAGAGAGAGGCAGGCAGGCAGATAGATGAATGAATGGAATGCGAGTGTACGAAATGGCTTCTCTGGAGTCGTGGACTGTTTTCGTACTTACCTTACTTGAGATCAGAAGATGATCATGGGTTTGACGCAGCAGCAGCATGCATGCATGCTTGCTTGCTTGATTGATTGATTGGTGGTGTGTGTATGTGTGTCTACACGAAATTCAGCGAATATATATACACGGTAAAAGGAGCCCCGTCGTTTAGTCTTACGCGAGACTGAGGCTGAGGAGAGGCTGGGAGTCCTAGCGACCGACTCTTTTCCGAAAAAATCCACCATAACCTACTTTTTCCAATGAATACGCCCGAGACGGCTGTGATGATATATGATATGATATTAATGTTGATTTTTAATGGAATGTGAATTTGGTGTTGGGAGGTAAAGGTCACTTCTCAAAAAAACGATTTAGACTTTTTCTCTTTCTTTCTTTCTTTCTTTCTTTCTTTCTTTCTTGGCATCCGACGTTTTGCATGTGAATTTTCTAGCCAACCTAAGCCCTGAGTGATTTCGGCTGAGACATCCGAAGCTTTCTTGAGAATAGCAGGTAGGGTCACTCTTATGCTCGTTTGCTCCATCAACAACCCTCCGGAAAAAAAAAATTGCGGTTTTCGCCTTCCACGACCACGACCACAATCACCCCTCCTCCTCCTCCTCCTCCTCCTCCGCCTCACGAAATGGCCACGACCAGCCCTCCCCCCGCGACAATTAAATTCCACAACCCTCACGCGTCGCCGGAGCACCCCAGCAGCAGCGCCTGGCACCCCGAACTCCCACTTAACATCCTCGCCGTCCTCCTCGCGGTGCCGCTCCTGCTACTAATAAAAAACCTCACGGCCCGCGCCCTCGAATCCCTCCTCCTGAAGCACTTCCCCGCGGCCTCCTTCGAGTGGGTCTGCGCGAAACCGTGGCGAGGCGAGAGGGAGCGGGAATGGAAATTGATCCGCTGGCAGAGGAATTTCTGCCTCGCCGCGGGCGCGGCGGGGTTGCTGATGCGGTGGCCCGGGTGGTTTGTTCTGAGGTGGCATTTCTGGCAATGCGTGGTGCTCGTCGCGGGTTTGTGCATCGGAGTGCAGGGCGGGGTTGTGGGTGGGTTGGTGGCGATGCATGGCTTCATTAGCGTTGCGGATGCCCTGGGCAGGGTGACGGGGTGGGTTTCCGTTCGGGGGACGTGGATTCCACCGCCGACTCCGATGGCGCGCCATGCTTCTTCTTCTTCTCCGACGAAGGCACAGGCTGAAGAAGCACCGCCGACCCCAACCTCGGGCCGCAAGTCTTGCGCGGAGACCTGGTGGGAGAAAGTCCCCGGAGCGGGATTCTTGTCTCCACGTGCACTGCATGGCGGAGACGCAGAGGACGTCTGCCTGCAAGAATACCAGCAGCCGGTGGAACAGGACTACCACCACACCGACGCCAATACAGAGGCCCTTGCAATGCCAGAGGACACTCCAGCTACGTCGACATTCCAATTTTCTCCCACGTTAGGCGGCGATGCCCTCAACAATAGCAGCTGGCTCCGCATTCGCAATTTCGGCAAGTCTTCCATCTTCAGCAATTCGACTTCAAGCAGCGCCAGTCGCGACTCTTTTGGTCGCTCCAAGATAGGTCGTCACGGGCTTCTCGAAATGGAGGACACGCCGGGCCTCTCAGGCGGATCGTCGCGTCGTGCGAAGCGGCGATTGCTTTGAGGTATCAAGAGTTTGGGGGCTGGGGTGCAATCTTTGCAACGGAGCCGCAGAACGTGGAAAGTCAGACACGAGGGGGCGAAGGTGCCCCAGTGTTGATGAAAGCTTTGCACAGTAAGCGTTGGTATCGGGCGGCAAGTAACAGCTTTGGCACACGGGGTTTATGCTGAAATGCAGATGTGATACTTGAACAGTGGAACAATGATGAGATAGCAGAAGTCATTGCGTGTAATGGTATCGCATAATTAATACACAACGCTGATATGAGATGCACGTACAATCTCGACTATCACTCTCCGCCGAGCCTTCTGCCCGAGCCTCGACTGCCCCAGGCTGAACCAGATGTCCAGCCACCACCGCTGCCTGTTTGGTTCTGCTGTACTGTCTGGCGCTGGCCGCCCGCTCTCGCGCCAAATGCAGTTCCATACGTGCGCGCTTGGCCGGTGCCACCAGGCGTCGCGAATGTCTTTTGAACGAACTGGGGCACTCGGATCCATTGCTGGCCTCCACCAAACTGTGGCCAGATTCTGTCCAGAAAGTCGTACAGATGAGCTGCAAGGATACCAGTAGCCTGAACCATAGTCGCAAAGGGACCTGCCAAGAGGTAGGTGATGGCGAGAGAGGCGTATGGCAAGTACTTCGCTGGCATCTGAACGATGAAGAACGAAACGACTCGGTTGGGATCTTCTTGAGCGAATGTGTAGATCAGTGCCATACTGAGTGGATTCAGTAGGGTCACGCCGCCGAGGTAGATACCTCCAGTAAGCTGAAATAGCGTTAGCAGAACGCTCATAACATCATCACAAGCCAACAGATCTCAAAGAAGATATGTAGGGTCCAATAACCACCGTCAACCACAAACATCAAGGTTGACAGCTCTCTCAATACGGAATCCCACCATGCCCACACTCCACAAACGCTCTTTTAAAATTTGCGAATGACGAACGCTGCGCAATGCAGGGGTAATCTTCCTCGTTTCCAGGAACCGTGACAGCTAGAAAAGGCTGTACGGGCAGATATACGAGGTTGCAATGTGCAAAATTGGAATACAGTGGAAGAAGATGTCGTGATTCATGAATTGCGCCACAGCATGGACTTACCATGATGACGCTGGCGACGAAGAAGAGGTAGAAAGCGTACGCGCCCGGCGCGCTGAAGCGAGGTGATCCAGTCTCAAGCTGGCTGCTGTAGTGGTAGAGGAAGAAGGGATCCATGATCAGGCCCAACTGAGGTCCGGTGAGGAAAAAGCAGGTTACAAGACGCCATATCTGTGGTAACTGGCGGATGGTGAAGACGTAGTCCTTGAGGAAGACGACCCATGCAAGGCTATAGAATCCTAGATGTCCTGGTACTGAAAGGAGTACGGTCGCGGCTGTGATGGTTCTATTCAGCATCAGAATCTGCATATTTCGGCACGTGTGCTTTTGGTGCGTACCTTGAGACCGGCGGCGCCGCCCAGAAGACGTCCTGAAAAGACATGATAGAGCAACGGCTGCGTCTGTCTCCGGCCCGCTGCTGTTGAAGTGCAGAGTACGAGCAGGCCCTGGGAGTATCGTGGAGGAAGAGAAAACAAACAGACAGCTGGGGCAAAAGAAATCGGAAGCTTCGACCACGCAGTCTGGCGTCACAAAGTGGTGGTACGAGGCGGGAAGCGCCGGTGCCCGATTCTGGCAGTCTTGGCGGCACACCCACGAAATGTCAAGAGCGCTAACCTTCGAAACCTCTGAACCGCATACGACCATCGCCGCCGGCAACACACGCAGTCTCCCTTCTTTCCATCACTCGCCGCAATCATGGCCGTCGGAAAGAACAAGAGATTGTCCAAGGGCAAGAAGGGCCTGAAGAAGAGAACCGACCCATTCGCGCGCAAGGACTGGTACTCCGTCAAGGCCCCATCGACATTTGCTATTCGCGAGTACGGCACCACCACCCGCTCCCATGCACCTGCAGAGCAGGCGGCGGAGGATATCAGAGATTCAAAGGTATACTAATTCGCTGCTGCAGTGTCGGCAAGACCCTGGTGAACCGTACCACCGGTCTGAAGAACGCAAACGATGCCCTCAAGGGCCGCATCTTCGAGGTCTCTCTCGCCGATCTCCAGAAGGACGAGGACCACGCTTTCCGCAAGGTTAAGCTCCGAGTCGACGAGGTCCAGGGCAAGAACTGCCTGACCAACTTCCACGGGCTCGACTTCACCTCCGACAAGCTGCGCTCGCTCGTCCGCAAGTGGCAGACCCTCATCGAGGCCAACGTTGTCGTCAAGACCACCGACGACTACCTCCTGCGCCTCTTCTGCATTGCCTTCACCAAGCGACGACAAAACCAGATCAAGAAGACCACCTACGCACGCTCCTCCCAGATTAGGCAAATCCGCAAGAAGATGACGGACATCATGCAGCGTGAGGCTCAGGCATGCACCCTCAGCCAACTCACACACAAGCTCATCCCAGAGGTTATTGGACGTGAAATCGAGAAGAGCACCCAGGGCATCTACCCTCTGCAGAACGTACGTTGATGGGATACTTTGAGATTGGCATAAGGTATGGAGTACTGACAGGATCGCAGGTCCACGTCCGCAAGGTCAAGCTCCTCAAGGCACCCAAGTTCGATCTTGGTAACCTTCTCTCGCTTCACGGCGAATCCACCACCGACGACTCCGGCCAGAAGGTCGAGAACCGTGAGTTCAAGGAGCAGATCTTGGAGAATGTCTAAGCAGTTGGTGAGCTGCTTTCTGGGTTGGGCCTGTGGCGAGACGATTTCTCATTTTGCAACGTTAGAGGCGTTTTGAGAGCAAGGGCAATGAGATGCATGGGCGCATGATAGCCTTATGTAAGCCATAGGCCAAAACAAGTGAAATGTTTCAAAATGCATGATGCCCTTGAGAAACGAACGCGAGGCCAGATCATCTCCATTACAGGCGCAGTGAATGCGTGCACAGGAGATGATGTACATCTGCCGGGCGAGCTACATGTACTTGTATGCTGCATTATTTCAATAGCTGTTGCAACGAGGCCCAGGTGGACGTCCAATCTTAATCAAAATACCTGCTTCTTTGTATCTCTTCAACATTGGCGTCTACACGGAAACTTTCACATGTCACGCAAAAAAGTCGGAAGCCCAAGCACCTACTCTCACTTGACTTCTCCAAGCTTCATAATTCTTCTCTCCCACAACATCCCACTTCGCCCAACGAGACCCCACGCAACATGGCGCCCAAAGAGCTCAACTTCATCACCGGCAACAAAAACAAACTCGCAGAAGTGCAGGCAATTCTTTCCTCCACACCGGTAAAATTGCAGAGCCAAGCGGTCGACTTGGTGGAGATCCAAGGCACGATCGAGGAGATTTCGACGGACAAGGCGAGGAGGGCGGCGGACGCGGTATGCTCGACCAGACGAACGGCGGGTTGACGATTAGATTTGGGACTGATGCCATATTGTACAATTTAGGTGAAAGGACCGGTTCTGGTAGAGGATACATGTCTCTGCTTCAATGCTTTTGATGAACTGCCTGGACCTTATGTGTATGTTCAAAACTATCTTAACTATCTTTGCGGAAGGACTCAAAGGCTGAGGTTTCTCTCAGGAAATGGTATCTCAAAGCTCTTGGTGTGCAGCAGTTCCATAAGCTGTTGGCGGGCTTTGAGGATAAGTCTGCCCAGGCCGTTTGCACGTTCGCGTACTGCGAGGGACCTGGCAAGGAACCCATCGTTTTCCAAGGCCGGACTAATGTAAGCTTGGAGGGTATTCGCACTGTGAGAGGATGATCCGCTAACGTGTGAGGTGTAGGGTAAGATTGTTCCCGCAAGAGGCCCCACCGACTTTGGTATGTCTTCTTTCCACTCTTTTTACGCAATTTGAGATGCTGATGTGTGACAGGCTGGGACGCGTGCTTCGAGTACGAAGGCCAGACGTATGCCGAGATGCCCAAAGCAGAGAAGAATAAGATCTCTCATCGTGGAAAGGCGTTGGAGAAGCTCGTCGAATGGTTGAAGCAAGAGGTATAGAAGCGACAGAGCCTCGCTCCTTTCTGCCTCTTAAACCCTACACGTTGCCATGGCGAGGCAGCATATAGCAGATGTATTTGAGCAACTGCTTAGCCATGCAGAAACATTGGATCATCCTCGTCCTTCTTGCCTTCCTCTTGCGCTTGCACCTCGCCCTCTTTGTCCTTGCCGTGATCCTTCTTCCAGTTCTGAATCCACTTCTCAATGCGCTCCACGTTGGAATCGATATCCTCCGTACTCTCGCTCTTCAGCTCGACCACCATCTCTTCATCATACGCCTCTCGTGCCTCCTGCAGTAAGACTTCCATGATCTCACAATCCATATTCTCCTGCAATTTCTTCTCGCCGTAATTTCTTGCCTTTAGGCGATCGTAGAGGATCTTGTTGTCGCATCTCACCACGCACACGAGGTCAATCAAGCTTGGAGGGAACAGGTCGCAGGCATGCCAGTCTATGATTTGTCCGCCCTCTTCCAGGTCGTTCTCGATGCAGTCTAGCAGGCGGTCTTCGTCGACAATCTTCGTGTTTGGGTCGTCCGGATCATTGCTGGATTCGCCGATGTTGTGCTTCTTGACCACCTCGTTGATGTCGAGGTGGTGCAGGCCAGTCTTGGAGGCGAGTTCTTCGCAGTGCGTCGTTTTACCCACGCCTGGCGTGCCCGTGATGATGATGTTGGGGTCGGTCCGGAGCATGCTCATGGTCGCGATAGGTCGTCGAAAGACTGTGCGGTAGGGTCTTGGGAGGAGCAGTAGTCTGAACGGCCGAGCTCGTGCTGCGAGAAACATGCAGTTGTAGCGATTTGGCAAGTTGGTTGTGGTGGGTGACGTAGCGGAGGAGCCTTTTCACAAGCTTTCAGCCCTACAAAACTTTTAGTTGCGCGTTGCTCGTGCGCTTTCTTGACTTGTTCCTAGTTCAACAACGACGACCAACACAGCCAAAACCGTTTACCTGGACATCTGCGAAAGCTCTGGAGACACGATTAAATACCTTAGATATATATCCCTCGGTTCGCGATTCCCTCAGCATCACCAAGCCGCCCGCCATCCTACCTCAATGCTCGCTCGGCGAGCCATACCTCGCCTGCAACAACCATTTCGGCAGTTCGCGCAAAGAACATTCTCCACAGCAGAGCTCAGCAATGGCATCAAAATGGCGTATGAGAAGTACGAGCCGGAAAGTGGACAATCTCATGAGGGTGCTCCGGTAGTCTTCGTTCACGGCCTATTTGGTTCCAAAAGAAATCACCGGAGCATAAGTAAGTAAGGAGAACGAGATGTGCCGAAGGAAATGGACGTGGAGCTCATGGCCACCTAGACAACTTGTTCGCGACCTGAAGAGACCTATCTACGCCGTCGATACGCGAAACCACGGCGACTCCTCACACGATCCACGACACGACTATACCGCTCTGGCAGAAGACCTCGAACTATTCCTACAACAGGAGAAGATCAAAGATGGCACGCTCATTGGCCACTCGATGGGGGCAAAGGTTGTCATGACTGTTGCACTTCGCAAGAAAGTACCCATCGGACACCTCATACCTGTTGACAATGCACCCGTGGACGCTGCTCTCAAGTCCGACTTCGCCAAATACACAGTAGGAATGCGCAAGATCGAAGAAGCCGGCGTAAAGTCGCTCCGTGACGCCGACAAGATCCTCTCGGACTATGAACAGAGCTTGCCTATCAGGCAGTTTCTACTCACCAATCTGATGCATACTGAGGACGGGACTCAGAAATTCCGCGTTCCTCTGAAGTATCTGACGGATTCGCTGGACAAACTTGGCGATTTCCCTTTCAAAGATCCAGACGAGGCCAGGTGGGGAGGCCCAACTCTGATCGTGCGAGGATCGAGGAGCCGCTACGTGGCGGACGACATGCTGCCCATCTGTGGAAGATTCTTCCCGAAGTTCGAGCTGTCAACCATCGACGCTGGCCATTGGGTGATCAGCGAGAAGCCCGAGGAGTTTAGACAAGGCAAGTGAAGTCGTGCTGGCGATGACTCCCTGTTGCTAATCGATTTGCAGCTGTTGTCGAATGGCTCCTGAAGAAGGAGTAAACTTCCACGCTGAATATCATCGTCTACAGCGTCGTTGTCTTGGTGAACGTAAGATTGAGAAGCAAACCTCTCAATTGATGTAACCGGGCGTTTCTCCCCGTCACTCTCGTGAGATTCCGCAAGAGCCATCTACGCCTAATGCTGTACCACCTACCGGAGCTATCGGCTATCCCGACAGTTCACAGAGTCTGTTGCCCTTTGTCACAGTCCTGGAAGCCATACTGCCGCTACAGCCGAGGAAAAGAGTAAAAATGGAGCGAGGTCCAGATCTTGGCAAGCTCGCTCAACAAATACTTGTTTTGCGCTAGCGGCCTTCGCGCCTACTCCGGCAGTGATAACCGCAGAGCTTTGGCGAACCAAGCTCACGTCTTTGGTCTTGACGAGACGGCTTACCGTGCAGCGACCTCTTCGATGGCTGCTAGTGCTGCAGCCACGGTAGCATTGTGCATTGAACGCGGGATGCTGCAGACCTCACGCCCTCGGATAGAGCCTGATGCTTGGACGGTGCAGTTGAGGGTGTGAGAAGCTGTCCAGAAGCATAGAAGCTGCAGTTGCAGGCGACGACCGAACAGAAGCTATCAAAGTCAATTATTCCGTTGGTATACCTCTCTCTTCACAGCTGACTGCATCTCTTCCCTTTGTCCCTCTCCAGCTGTCTTTCTCGTATACCATAGGACCTTTTCCCATCACGACAGCTGCCCAAGGACAGGCCAAAATGTTCACTTCCACCTTCGTGGCCGCTGCGACGCTGGCGCCCTTTGCCCTCGCTCAAAACAGTGAGACCGTCCTGGGAGTATACATGTTTCACAGACACGGCGACCGGACGGCAAAGTCGACCCCACCAGCGAACTTGACTGATCTGGGCTACCAGCAAGTCTATACCTCCGGACAGTACTACCGCAGCAGGTACATTTCTTCGGATGCCTCTCTCCAAATCAATGGCATCAACCCAGACATCGTCAAGCAGAGCCAGATTGCCGTCTCAGCCCCGGATGATACGGTCCTCATGAACTCCGCAACGGGTTTCCTGCAAGGTCTTTATCCGCCCTACCAGACGAGCTCTCAGCTCCGCAATGGCCAGAATGTCACTGCCCCGATGGGTGGCTACCAACTCATCCCCGTGGAACTGGTCAGCAACGGTGCTGGAAGCGAAGACAGCGGATGGCTCCAGAGCACGAGCAACTGCGCCAAAGCCACAATCTCATCCAACAACTACTTCAACTCCGCCGAGTACCTGCAGCACCTCAACAGCACCCATCCATTCTATCAGGACCTCCTGCCCGTCATCAACGGCACCTTCAACGCTTCCCAGGATACTTTCAAGAACGCCTACACCATCTTCGACCTGCTCAACGTCGCCGACATCCACAACCGGACCATCAATTCCAGCGCTCTGCTCACCAACGAAACGCTCTTCCAACTCCGCACACTCGCCGACGCCCACGAGTGGGGCCTGGCATACAACGCCACGGACGACATGCGCGCCATCGCAGGCAAAACCCTCGCCGCGCAAATCGTCCAATTCCTCAACGGCACCATCACCGGCGCCGGCAAGCAGAAGCTCGGAATCCAATTCGGCGCCTACGCCGCTTTCGCCTCCTTCTTCGGCCTCGCGCAGCTCCCCAGCGTGAACCCAGATTTCAAAGGTGTAGTGGACTACGCCTCCGCCATGACCTTTGAACTCTTCACCAACGGCACTTCCGCCCAGGGCATTTCCAGCTCGAACTACCCTTCCGCGAATGACCTGTACGTCCGCTTCCTCTTCCACAACAGCACCACGACCAACGCGTCCCAACCCGTCGCGTACCCGCTCTTCGGCAGCGGACGGGAAACTCTCAGCTGGCCCGCTTTCGTCGCCGGGATGGGTACCTTCTCCGTCGGTTCCACGCAGCAGTGGTGTACCGCGTGCGGCAATGTCACGGGCACATGCGCCGCCTACGCTCCTGCGGGCTCCAACAACAACGCGACGGGCAGGGGAAGCGGCAGTGGAAGCAACGACAAGGGGAATGCGAAGGGGAATGGGCTCAGCCCGGCCGTGAACGGCGTTATAGGCGCCATGGTGACGTTGGCCGTCGTGCTGGGAATCGAAGCGCTCGTTGTGGCTCTGGGGGGGATGCGGCTTGTTTCGAAGAAGAGGTTGGCTGCTGCGACGGAGATGAAAGCTTAGAGTATGAGCACTTCGAAGTAATGCTGTGTGTGGAACGGGATAGGCAATGGGACGGAGATCTGAAACGACGGGCAAGAGATACGGGTCAGAAAGGAAAAGAGGCGTTCTCGTGTTGCATGGAGAGGAACATATGTAGTGACCTCTCATACCTATCTTACTTATTGTGCCCGAGGCATCTACTCTCTCATGACTTGTCCTTATGATACCGAAGCTGCTCACCACGTGAAAAGAGTCTTCCACGGATTTTCCTAGCTGGGAAGTACCCCTTCCATGTAAACTTTGATAAGACAAAAACCTACTTCACGTCACCAATGATATCGCGGCCAAGATAATCGATGAAGCAAAAGTGGGACAGCATTCAGTCAGTCATTCGCGGATCCCAAGTCCTCTCTTCATTGATGATCCCCTATCTCTTCTCTTCACCCCGCGCATACTCCATAGCGCGCCTTCTATTCTCCTTTCTGCCTGTGGCCTGTGATTCCCGGTCCTGGGGTTGACGCGCTCGCTTCAATCACAAGCAGAGCCAGCTAGCTACATCAGACAGCCAAGCCCTTTCGTTCCAAGTAGAAAACAGTCAGCCTCCTTCATGAGGCCGTGCCGTACGTTGTTGAAGAAGCAATCGCAAGCTTTGACCAGAGAAAGGTACTTCGTCGCGCCGTTACTTTTCGTCTTCTATCATACCATGCCTGATGACTGTGTCCCGATGAGTGGAGGGGATTCGCCGCACCTCTCAGCAAATGGTTGCGCCGGTGTGATGCTTCATGTGTGCTTGGTATGGTTGCATGTCGTAGTGGTTTCAGAGCTAGCTCAAATAGCCTGAGCCATCAAGCTGCTTCGTGCTATGCTGCATATCTCAGTCGTCTGAGGTTGGTTTGTACATGATGGTCGTGAGGAACTAAATAGAATCAGTCAAGAGTGCTTCATGGAACTGCTTTGGATGCTGACCTTCCGCTTGTACCGCGTGGTGCCACTGGTAGCCAAGACGCCGCCTTTTATACTGCTGGTAGCCAAGTGGTTGAGGACGGTGTGGTTGGGCATAACGAGCACGCTGGCGTCGTCCTTGTGTGGAGTTGCGCCGTTGAGGATGCTCTTACTGAGAAACATGGGCAGACTGGGTGGCTGTGGAAGGTATTCCGCGACCCGCTGAGCGCGCCGATACCGCTCGTCATCCGGATTGTTGTAGTTGTCAAGGTCGATCAGAAACCCTGGAATCTGATTAGTATACTTCGGCCGTGGCAGTTTCTGCTTCGGCGGGGCAGGCGTGGGCTTCGGCTCGGGCTTGGACTGTGGCTCTTGGCTGGCCGATGGTCCTGGGACTGGCGTTTGCCCTGCGATCGAGTCTGGAAGTTCTCCCTTGGGTCCTACGGCTTCGTGCGGCGAGATGGCAAGATCGGCTTCTGTCTCGGGCACCCGCGTCTGCATGTCCTGAGAGATTGGTCTTGCCGCTAGCTCTACCGTCCCCGCGGCCTGACCAGCAGTGATGGCGGCTCCAGGAATCGGCATCGGGACGGCTGGAGCGGGCGCCTGCTTCTGGGCCTGCGGAGCGGGAGGCAGAGGGGCAACGATTTCGATGTAGTTGACGAGGATGTTGGTCCAGTCGACAGTCGTCGGCAGCTCATTTGAAGTGATCATCTCTCCGTCGACCAAGAACTTGATATGGTGCGTGCCGGGACGCAGGTTGACTGTGGCTGAGAAGCCCGATTTATCCTTGTTCCGGTGCAACTTGACCTTCTTCTCCCAGTTGCAAAAGGTACCCGTGACGAATATCTTGTCGCCAGGGCCATGCCACTCCAGCGTGGTCGGCACGCGGATCTCGCCCCATTGTGCCTCATTGGCGAATGCTTCGTTGTCGCCAATCTCGTCTTCGTCCATGGTAGTGGAGCTCAGCACGCTCGTCTTACGAGGGATGGCGCCTCCTTCCACGTCGGCCTGATCGAGCACTGACGTCTCCACATCCTTCACGCCAGCCGCAGCATCCTGCGGGTTGATGATGGGGGAGCCCGGCGTGTGGACCTCCTCTTCGATAGGCAACGGCAGTCTAGGCGGCCGACTATAGTTGGAGGCCGGCAAGGTGTAGGACGCAGGGTCGAGGTGACCGGTGGGGATGTAGTCATCCTTATCGGCGGGGCCATCGGTGTCAGAGGGTGGTGGTGGAACGGCGACTGGTCTGGTGCTTGGTGAGGCCGACGACGGCTTCGAGTCCGGCGGGGGCTCTGATGGCTGCTCGGGGTCCGGCGTGGCGGTGGCCTTACGCGGCGGAGTGGAGGTAGGGATGGGGAGGGTGCTGGCGCGTGAGGGGGCAGCGGGCTTGCTGTCGCCTTGACCCATGGTGGTGGTGCTGTTGTTGTCGGCGGCGGCGGCGGCGGCGGCGGAGAGCTGAGTGCGCGAGATGCTGAAGATGGATGCCGGGTCGAGGCCCGCGTGCGGCGGGGTGGCCGTGGTTATGCTCCGGGCGCGGGCGTGAGAGCGCTTGGGGCTGGCGGAGAGGGTGGTGGCAGTGGCATGTGTGCTGGTCGTCGAGGTGGAAGCCGTTCCGCTGGCGGAGAAGAGAGTTGCCGCTGGGTTTGGTGGGGGCTTCCCGTGGGCCTTCCGTTTTGGCGGAGCATGTGAAAGGGAAGGCCGTTCATAGCTCATGGGCGCCGACGCATGGGAGACATCGTTGGAGTGGCTGTTGCCCATTTCCTCCGCCTCCCGCCCGTCCAGAGCCAATGCCGCCAGCCGCCCACGGCTAATTTCCCGCCATGAGATGATGACGGGGTTATGTAACACAGGGACGGGACGGGACGGATGCGATGCGATGCGATGCGATGCGATGCGATGCGATAAGAAATCAAGTCTAATAATCGACCAGCGAGTGAGTGGTACAACACTCGTCAACGAGACGGCCACATGTGATCAAGAGAGAGAGAGAGGACTGTGATGAGGTGAGGAGGAAGTTGAAACAGGTGCACCTCCACTCATCATCGCGAAAACTCCGAGTCGTCCCAAAGCGGCGCCGTGCATTTACGCCCACCTTAGGGGACACGTGACAGCACATCGCGGACCCGTCCGCCTGTGGTGGGTCAGCCATGCCAGCGGCCAGGAAGGGATGCCAAAAGTGACACGACTTGGAGGGCTTGTCAACCATGAGCACAAACACACCCCTCGACGACCACCAGCAGATGCACGCCGCCTTGGCCTGGTCGCTGACCATCGCCTGGTGGACCGTCTACCCCGTGGGAATCATCCTCTGGCACCTCGCATGGACCGTCGTGTTCCTCTTCAAGCTGCTCTACTGGCCCGTGGCCTTCCTGCTGCAGCCCGTCTTCTATCTCGGGCGCTTCATGGTCGCATGTCTGGCCTTGCCGTACACCTTGGCAGTCCGGCTTGAGGTGCGCGGTATCTTGAACGAGTCACTGATAACAATACTGACGTGTAGCAGACGATCTATATTTATCTTGGCATCGCGGCCATCGTCGGCGTCCTGGGAGGCCTTACTGGCCGCGGAGTCTACAGCATTTTGCGGAAGCTGCTTTCTTTGGATAAGAAACCGGTAGCGACACCACGCCGCAGTGTGAAGCAATATCGCGAGGAGAAACGCCAAAAGAAGCTCCGGGACGAGCCTCTGCTTGCTAGTAGCCAAACGGCACGCCCGCTCTCGCCAGGCTCCGTGAGCATGTCTGATAACGGCGCCCGGAGAAGCAGACCACAGAGGGGACTCCTCAATCAAATCATTCACGAAGAGGACGACTCTGAATTCTGAAGACTTTATCTCAGCTGGTCGAAGGGATCTTCCTCCTCTTCAACCACACTCGGGTGTCGTCGTCAGTGCCAAAAACGCCAGTCGCCTTTCGATGCTTCGGCATCTTCCACGCTCCACGGCCACGAGGCTCTATGTCCCAGATCGAAATCAACGTCGCAGAAAAGATCATGGCTTCCTTGAACGCAAAGGCACGACCCTTGCACATGCTGGAACCTCCGCCTAAGAACCACGTCAGCGATGCCTTGGCAACAAGTCTGGACGATTGCACTCACCATAGGGTCGAATGGAACCCATATCCGTAGTCCCTCTTTTTTTGTCGTCATATTTAATGTGTCGATCTGCTCTCCAAACCATAGGATCGTTCCAATACGTTGGATCTGTGTTATGCAAGTCATGTGCAACATGCGCATAATCTCCCTTCCGAAGAAGCCACGCTTGCGCATCCTTCTCCCGGCTTTGCAGCATGAAGTCCTGTCGGATCGTCTTGAATGACCACGAGCCGGTGTCGACCCGCAAGCACTCGACATAGCAGCTCTTGAGCAAGGGGCAGTTGTTGCAAAGCCCCTCGACATCGAACTTGGTAATGCGAGGCGGCTCGGAGATGGGCAGGCCAGTCTCCTGCTGCTGGACCTCCACATACGGCGCTATCTCCTCGCGGATCATCGCTACAAGAGCGCGGTCTTCGTATATACGGTTAATCATCCAGAATACCAGGGCATTGGAGTTTGCGTTCGCAGCCCACATGAGCGCATGCTCAACAGACGCCCTGGCGCGAATGCTGAAATCGTATTTACGGTATATCTCCATACGAGCTTTGAGAAGGCCTCCGATATCGTCGAGACTCGACCACTTCGCGTCTACTTTCTCTCCATTCCAATGCTGGTCCAGGACGTTGTGAAAATCATCAAGTCGTTGGAGGTTGTTTCTACGCGCGATATGTGCTCGTGTCAGAACCGGGATGGGTGCCCAACGCGGCAAGCCCGTCGCCAGAAGTAGAAAACCCCTATCGAGGGTCCAGATGTCGTCGAAGAATTGAGGGTTGTTCTCTAGAAAGTCTGATCCCATGATGGATGGATTGGCAGTGAAAGCGCAGAAATCGCGGATTAGCGGCAGGAGACTTGCTTCTACCACTTGCTCTCCATCCGGCCCCTCAATCACTTTCACATTGCTCACTTTCTCCCACGGCGTCTGATCTACCGGACTCTCCATGAAGGTGACCAGATTGCTCACATTCTCCCTCGCTTTCCGCGCTGTCTGGTGGACCATGTCCCCCAGCCACGGATCGACTTGAATGTGCTTATAAGCGGCCAGTAACTCGTCCAGCGCAGCATCATACTTGTCCAGCTCCTCGGCCGGGAACCCGAAATTGAGCCGCATCAACCGTTTCGATACGCCCTCGTTATCCGCATTGGTAGATTTCTGATTCAGCATCGCAGTCGCCAGGCCCAGTGTGAACATGATATTATGTCTCGAGCCGCCGAAATTGAGAGTGAAAATTCCTTCGGTGTAGATTGCTCGCAGAGACTTGACGAAGCCGTCCGCGTCGAGGGCCATGTTGGGGATGTGCCCGAGGAGAGGAATCCAGTAAGGGACGGAGGGTGGTGTTTTGGCGCCATTGTGAACTTTTTTCGAGGCACTGGTGAGGGTGCTCACAAGGCGCGTCAGGAGGATGGTCGCGCTCAGGAGTATGAACGTTATGGCGTATGGGTATTGCTTCAGGTCTTGGAGATGGGTGTTGTCGAGAAGAGTGTTGATGGAGACGTCCATTGCGGTGAGCAGCCCCTGCTTGCAGCAGCTGCTTCTCTGTTCTGGCCAGGCAAGAGATATAATGCTGCAGTTACACCGAGATTGTATGCCACATGAGGAGGATCCTGCTTATGAGTACTAATCCGATGAATGCAAAGCAGAAGCGTCTGCTCTTTTGCTCTCCAAATGGGAATCTCCGGAGCCCCGATGCAAGGTGTCGAAGCAAGATGTCGGGCCAAGGGCTTTCCAATGAAGTGTATCCCGCACGTATCGCCTCGAATCTCCCAGAATATGGCCTCAAACTCTTGATCTGGATTCGGTCATCGCAATGCCTCTGCCAGTGTCGAACTGCTGTTTGTGTGGGATATTGCCATCAGCTGGAAGGCACAGACTTGATTGGCCCTAGCGGGGATGACTAAGGCATGTTGCTATTAAAAGGAGACTCTTTCAACCTCCCCTGCTTCTAAGTCCTCTCTACCTTTCAACTTTCCACCATCAATTCACTATTTACACCTTTTTCGACCAGCGACAGGACTTTGAAGGGCCTCAGCAGTACTTACGTTCTAGTTTTCTGCACTCCTCTCGTGTACGCTTTACAGCATCTGCCGATCACCGTATACCCTTTATAGCATCTGCCGATCCGGGTTCCATATTGAGCTCCAGTTACACGTGGTACGAGCGGCATGGACATCGAATTCTTGTTCGCAACTGAAGGTGAACTAGACTGTGCGGGGATCGGCTGCTCGATAAGGTGCTCGTCTACGATTTGCCGTTGTTACAACTATCTATCGGTACGGCTTCCAGTCTTCAACCAGGATCGGATCAAGTTTCAAACACCATCGAGAGCCCGGACGTGTATAAAGATCAAGGAGAAATGTAGTATGAAAACTTCGATTATATGGATAATAGACTCAACTCTGTTGCAATGCCAGGCTCACGCGTTTCTTCTGCTTGAGACCTCGGACGCAATGCAAACCTCAATCAGAGTTTCATATGACGGCAGAGCAGTGTGAACACAAGGTTTCTCACTTTCCGGCATTCTAGGAACACTTTACATGGCATATGCTGACACACGAACCGCTCTTCTGGATCGTCCTATCGGAGATTGCTCGCCCAACTTTTAGCACCAGGGTTGGGTACTATTGTAGCGCCCGGTCTAAGGCATGAGTGGGAGGCCGCATCCATCCGATCGACTGGACCGTGGTATACTGCTATAGATCTAGAGTTGCTACCCACTAGTCTTAAGCTTGAGAACATTTATAGCTCCTGCAACCCAACTGGACTCGATGGTCCCGTTTCGCAAAGTTAACAGCCAAACCTCCAGCAAGTATGGCGGAAATCAAATGTGAGGTGAGGAGCGATGGGCAGAACATTGGAAGAGACGGTTCCAGGCGTCGCTCTAGGATTGAGCGGATCAATCTTAACCAGAATCTTGATGCGAAGTACGGGCGACTATCACCCGTCTCGTCGGGAGCCTGCTAACGATATCGCAGAATCAGCAACCCTGTGGCAGAAATCCCATCTGACGAGCTCCTGCGCGATGTGGAGATATTTGCCGACGAGAAAGGACTGCACGACAAAGTTGAAATGATCAAGAAAGGAGTTCTTGTAGCGCAAGACCCGACCAAGTTTGAACAGCTCACTATCCTCCAGTCTGACGAGAAAGAGGCTCTTCCTCAGGAAGCTGCAAGTAGGTGGCGGCACCCGCTTCGTCTCTATTTCACCATCATCATCTGTTCCATCGGCGCTGCTGTCCAAGGCTGGGACCAGACTGGATCGAATGGTGCAAATCTCAGCTTTCCCAAAGAGTTCGGCATCGGCCATGGCGACGACAAAGCTTCACCACACTATCATAGAGACTCGTGGCTTGTTGGCGTCGTGAATGCTGGACCGTATATTGGAAGCGCTTTCATCGGCTGCTGGCTGTCGGATCCATGCAACTATTGCCTTGTAAGTATAACGTACACATACACAGGCTGGCCTGATTGTCGCTGATGAGAATATCCCAGGGTCGTCGTGGCACTATATTCATCTCTGCCGTCTTCTGTCTACTGACGCCCATTGGCGGAGCTTTAACGCAGACTTGGGAAGAGCTGTTCATCACTCGACTGCTCATGGGAATCGGCATGGGATTGAAAGGATCGACCGTACCAATACTTGCTGCTGAAAACAGCCCAGCCAAGATCCGAGGCGCACTGGTGATGAGCTGGCAGATGTGGACCGCATTTGGAATCTTCCTGGGCTTCTGTGCTAATCTCGCCGTCTACGATGTTGGTGACATCACTTGGAGACTACAGATCGGATCAGCTTCCTTACCCGCTGTTCCGTTAGTCTTTGGGATATATCTATGCCCAGAGTGAGTTAAAAGGCGCTTGATGGGAAGACTTGAGCTAAATAAAACTTAGGTCGCCGCGTTGGTATATGAAAAAGAATCGGTACCAAGAAGCATACGATTCTCTGCTCAAGCTTCGACATCATCCGCTCCAAGCTGCCAGAGACCTGTACTACATTCATTGCCAGCTTCAGATCGAGGCTAGCATCATTGGCAAGAGTAACTATTTCAAGAGATTTGCAGAGCTTTTCACCATCCCACGCGTGCGGAGAGCTACACTGGCAAGCTTCACAGTGATGATTGCCCAACAGATGTGAGACTTGAGAGGACCCTCCAACAACTTCACGAGTACTGACTGGAAATATTTAGGTACGGCATCAACATCATTGCCTTCTATAGCAGTACCGTGTTCCACGAAGCCGGAGCGAGCACGAGAAATTCCCGGATCGCATCCTTCGGGTTCGGTCTGGTCAACTTCATCTTCGCGTGGCCTGCTATCTGGACGATCGACACTTTCGGGAGACGAACACTGCTGCTCTTTACCTTTCCAAACATGGCCTGGACACTTCTGGCCGCTGGCTTTTGCTTCTATATTCCAGAGGAGAAGACTGCACATCTTGCATTGATCGCCTTGTTCATTTACCTCTTCGCTGCCTTTTACAGCCCCGGCGAAGGACCAGGTAAATGTGAACCCACTGAAAAGTCACTACGTCCAATGCTGATGCTCGGCTCTAGTGCCGTATACGTATAGTGCCGAGGTCTTTCCTCTATCACATAGAGAAGTCGGTACGAAATCGAAGAGCAGAATCAAGAATCATCCCTGCCATTCAAAGAAAGCATTGGCTGACCTTTTTTTGGTATGTCAGCCATGGGCTGGGCCGTAGCGACGTGTCTCTTCTGGGCAGCCGTGCTCTCCATTTCCTTCCCTGCGATCTTGGCCGCTTTCACAGCGCCAGGCGCTTTCGGTTTCTACGCGGGCCTCAACGTCCTCGCTTTCATCATGATCTTCCTCTTTGTTCCGGAGACGAAGCAGCGTACACTGGAAGGCAAGTATTGCAGAGACAACGAACAACGAACAAGTCGTCGCATGGCTAACCCATGGACAACAGAGCTGGACTACATCTTCGCCGTTCCAGGCACTCGCTTCCTCTCGTATCAGACTCGCGAGGCACTTCCGTGGTGGTAAGTTTGATGGATGGGCTGGAGACCGACTCATTTGGCGCAGAAATAATCTCAATTTCTAGGTTCATGACTTGGGTGCTTTGGCGGCGTTCGGCGACACTGCAGCCGCTCTACGAGATTGATCGGACCTTGGAGTCTCCAGCTAGATCATAGTCGCGAAAACAGCGCGCAGGATCCTGCAGGATAGTCTGATGCGGACTTTTACGGATGGTGGAGCGATTTGGTATCTACGGCGACTGCGATCTCGGGACAGGGATTGAAGGTGCGAGACGGCATGGTGGGTAGTCGCTACTATCAGCGAGAGCAATCTGATTGCCGTCTTCGAGACCCGCGAGGACGGTCTGTTCACTATCAGTCAACTCGATCACTTCCGCCTGACGATGGAGCTACACGGGGCGATCGACGGCGCGTGTACACACCGACAGGAACGAAGAACAATGCCGGGACTCCGCATGTTGTCAACGTCGGTAAGACATTAGACGTCAGCTTCATGACGGATGAAGATACGCAGCAGCAGCACCATCGGATCGACGGAGCTGGGGCTGGGGCGAAGCTCGTCACGAGTGGGAATGGAAGAAGCGACTCGGGGGAAACAAAAAAATCGGGGTGTTTGCTCCTCGGGCCAATTGGCCCGCAATGCTCCCCCCTGTATGGTTCCGCTTTGCTATACTCTATCTGGCTGACCATGGACGTTCCAAGGCTCAGAAGGTGGTCCTGTCGTAGAGCGAGATGTATGCATTTTAGAAGACCGAGGTTCAAAATCGTGGATTATGATAATGTCGATGGGAGCCCGCTTGTCCTTTGAAACCGCCATACTTCCTCTCTCTTCGAAAAGCCTTCGACCTTTTGCAGCAATCATGGCGTCAATCTCGTAACATGCGTCCTGCTGATCTTGCAAGATGTGTGATCTGCTCGCTACGCTGAGCACGCGCCGCCACCCGATTTTCAGCCCCGGCCGACGATGCCTCCACGGCGTAGTGGTGGATGGGCCACTTCTGCGTCGTGCATGTTTACAGCTTCGAGAATAATAGATTGTCAAATTCGGGTTCGACTCGCTCAGGACGCTGAAAGCTTTCAGCACCTGGCTGGGGCTGCGGAGCACTCTGATCTCGCGACGTCTGACTTTCGAATCGCTGGGCGTGCCTGCGGCGATCATATCATCACCATCATCAGATCTGCCGTCTAGAATGGCGAGCATCGCCATGGTGTTATGGATTGCGGGCCAGCACTGGATGCGGGTGGGAGAAGTGTCCAGCTCTGGAATAGTGCCCTTCTGGCGAGGTTGCCGACACAGCGCCCCATCTTGATTTGCGTCGTAGATTTTCCGGTAGCGGGCGAGGTATGGTTTGAGTGTGAAGATCAGTTCCCGTGGGAGTGGGCTCTGGTAGAGGCATTTTGGCTTTCTGTTTAGTGGTTTGGTGCTGTGATTTGTTCGGAGATGGTGGTGGAGTGTGTTTTCTGCACTCTTGCTGGAGTTGTTTATTTGAAGTGGAAAAATAAAGAGAGAGAGAGAGAGAGAGAGAGAGAGAGAGAGAGAGAGAGAGAGAGAGAGAGAGAGAGAGATGTTCTGAAGGAAGAGACCAGAGAAGAAATTGTCACATGCTTATCGTAGCAGCGCCGTGGCGCTTGGTCAGTGCCGATGTCACAAAGATTAACTCGGTGTCTTGAGGGCCAGGTCGGAGTGCTGTCTTGAGCTCTGAAGTGGTCAGATTGGCGCGCACAGCCAACTGCAGGGCCAAGGTGTTGCTGATCTCGCTGTGGCGCTTATACCCATTGAACTGTGATTGCGTTGTTCTTGTTGATAGTCCAGGCGTGCGGAGCGAGGTCTGGCTTGCACGGGAACTCGGAAGAAAAAGCCAGGAGAGTCTGCAGACGTAGTGGGCAACGCGGCTCCTGCCTCCGCCATACCCGGCTTCGGCGGAAGATGTTGAAAGTTCTCTGGCAACTTGTGATACCAAAAGATCTCAAGTGGTTTGCGACTGGGAACCAAGTCACTATCAACATCCAAAACATCCCTCGTGTCGTAGGAATCGGTGCGGACAGTATTCAAAAACACCGTTGAGCAGCGTGGTAGCGGTGGATGAAAGACGTCCCGTCAGTCAAGTATCCGCGAGAGCTTCAAATACCTGTTTGTACTATAAGCGAGGCATTTTGGTGTAGAGTGTCCTGGGAAAATTATGTGCATACAGACAGAAACACTTTCACCTGTGCCGAGAAGCCACGAGAAGGGGAAGGCGTGCTGAAGTACTTGCTCAGCGGTGCCAAGACTTGAGATTTCACTGCGAAAATCAACTTTGTCTGAGCTGGAGGAATCCTTTGGCAAGGAGAACATGAAAGGCTCATTATGGATGCTCAAACGACCGTTGAAGAACGATATCAAGGCAGGAGATCCAAAAAGAAAAGCATTTGAAGCGCTGGAAGACGAAAGAAAAAAAAGAATTGGTTCTGATAGTGGAATTTAACCACTCAGTATCACCTTGCCGGATTTCTCCTGGCGGTACTGGGAATCGAACCCAGGCTGGCACGGAACTGAACTCGTCGAGAACCACAACGTGACGTCATACCACTAGACCATACTGCTGATCGTTAGCGGACGCACACTTGGTTGTTGTGTGATGGAGCGGAGCTTTTTTTCAACTTACCCACCACTGTGGAAGGCAGATCCTGTCCTCCAATTGGATGAACGGCGGGTGTTGTAATCTGTATATCAAGGTAAAAGTTTTCTGCGGAGTTATCCGAAATGCGGGTCTCTACCTTGGAGGACTGGGGCTGCGGAGAACTCCGTGTTGGCAGGCACATGGTACCTTATCCGGGGCTTGCGAGAATCGAGGGGCTGAAGATTGCTACCACTACCTTCCTCTGTGCTTGTGCACCACTACTTCCTTCTCTGCGAATAACCTCAGAAGCAATGGTTACCTCAATAGACGCCGGAATGGATCGCAGAACGATACAAGACCGTGGAAATGCATCTCACTCTCGATCGGGCGGCATATTGTTCGAGATGCATGCAGAGGCAACCCGGCTTCCCTGACCGCGGAACGGCCCAGAAAGCGGGTCAAGCAGCATCCCGGCACGCGGCAAGAGACTGCGTAGAAAGGTAGGTAGGAAATGTATTGGATTGTAATTTGGAGCCAATGTGACCGAGAGAAGTGCTGCAAAGATTGCTACCAGTTATGTTTGTTTGACAAGGACACATCCCTTTCCGAAGCAGATTCGAAGAAGACCAAGCGCGGCTAGCGTTTTTGGCCTTTCTGTCGCGAGGAGATGAGATGAATCTACAGCAGCAAACGGCATAACATAACGGCAAATCAACGAGAACTCCAGCGACAGAGATCGGATCCAGCATGTGCAAGGCACAAACAAGAAGGTAATAGGAGTGAGGGCTGCCTTTTTCGTCTCCACCCACGGACTAAAGGCCTCTATATGCGCTAAATGAGCTCTCCGAACCCAGAGTGACTTCGAACTTCCTTTCACGCCAGGTGGCGTGAGTTGCGCGCAAAGGAAGCCAGAGGACTGCTTTGCCAAAAGTGAGTGCCAAGCGCAATGCATGAAAGAGCTGCTTCTCCGCCGCTACTACTATGGGCTACATTCGTGGAACTACGCCAGCATTAGCCTGGTCATATCTCTTTGTCTGTCTCAAAGATTGATTCTGTGGCCATGGACGAAGGACGCTGATGGCGTGCAAAAGAAGGTATAAAGCACATCTCTTCTACCTCTGCTTTTGACGCTGCAAGAGCCATCAGCAACGCCTCCAGGCTGTACGACCGAAATGCATCTAATCGCCTTCATTCTTGCCATTGGCAGCGCTGCTTTTTGCCAGCAGTTTGATCCACTTTGTCCGTCCGACAGGAGTCTTGCTTCATGCTGTGATCCTGACGCTGGCTCTTCAACGAACACCACACAATGCCGGCTCTGTGAGTGTCCATTTCTTTCCTGAAAACACAGCAGGCTTTTGCTAACATCTCGAAGACATTCCCGCGGAGTTGACGGCACAAGGCCCGGCAAGATATGCTGAACTGGACGCTCGCTGCGCCGATGCAACCAGAGAGCCCAGGTGCTGTGTATACGATGGTGCTAACGTCAGTACCTGGTATCGGCCCTCGGAATGCCTCTGATTGACTTCGTACAGAACGATCGAAATGGGTATGACTTGACGTGCAATCCACACAACGGTGAAGAGGCCGCAGTTTGTCCAACCAGTCTACCAATTCCCAACTGCTGCCAACCCGATTTGACCCGCGCTACAACGACTTTCGATTCTCCTGGCGTATGCTCGACGCGTGAGTAGACATGCAGCAGAGAGAATTGTGCAGTCAGAGCCTGACCACTTCTGTCAAAGTCAAACCCACGCCGACTGCTGCATCGGTCGTGAGCTCTATCTGTGCCAGAAAGAGTCCCAGGGAAGTGGCCAGATGCTGTGCCACTGGGACCACCATAGTTGTATGTTTACAAGAAGCAGAGCTTTCGAGGGAAGTTGAGCTAAGCAGTGCATCAGAGCAACAACAAAAATGCAGTGTCCGTATCTACGACCTGCGCCGATAATTTTCAGAGTCTGGTAGTCGCGCCAACCACACCAACATCGCCGACTCTGACAAGTCCTTCTACGTACACATCGAGGCCGACCTCTACTTCATCGACTTCTACTTCTTCAAGCTCTACCTCCACTTCGACGACGTCTACATCAACGTCTACTTCGACGTCTTCCTCGACATCCACTTCGACTTTGACATCTACGTTGACGTCTAATTCCAGTTCGATAGCCTCTACATCGATATATAGCTCGAACTTTACATCCACTTCGACTTCAACATCCACCTCGACGTCGACATCGACTTCTACCTCGACCTCTACTTCTACATCGACGTCGAAGACATCTTCAGCTACCACTCCAACATCAAACCTCTGTCCAGCTAGCCGAAGCCCCGTGTGCTGCAGTGGTCCAGTCCGACTGTTCGACGGCTGGATCCTTGCCAGAAACTGCATTGAACGTAAGTAAAAGGCGAACGAAACTCTCCTACTCAGATCCTCTGACATAGCACGCAGCGAATAATCCCGCACCGACAAGTTCCCCAAACCTCGAGAGCTCCTGCAGCGCTAGACGACTGCAGGCTAGGTGTTGTGAAGCGACCGGAGACAGGTTTTGGCGTTACCGGTGCAGTAGGGCTTAGACCCATTTAGAGGAGGAGGACAGAGGGAATCGGCTTTGAGATATAGCAAGACTATTATCTAGGATGAGCATATGAGACGTTGGGCTTGAGTTGTCGCTGGTTGTATCTGCCTCGATTGGCGTTGATAGGATTGAGAGGGTGATCGACATTCCCCTCTTTACGAAAGCAGATCAAGAGAGACAGTGTGTGTAAAAACATCGGTCAGCTGCAAAACCTCATCAACCTGCCAAGCTGGCATAATAGCACACAAGATGGATACAGATGCCTATTTCCAAGTACCAAAAAATCGTCACGGGCGGCCAAGACTTCCAACAAGGAGGATGCTCTGGCCCCATGGCTTGCATACACATCCTGAAAAGGGAGACAGATTGTCGCTGGTATAGGGTCTGATATAGAATGGAGGACCCTATCATCAGTCTTGAGCAAGTCTTTTATAACACTTGCGTGTGTGGTGTCTGTGAAACTTGGAAGCTGACCTGCGGTTAGACTTACCGAAGAGAGGCCGACCGGGATCCGTGATTGATGCCTGGTCCGGGCTCGCGTGGAATTGCGAATGCGACAGCTAACAAGGCACAGCCTTACCTCACACACCACGACCTGTTTGTTAATTACCCCCTGACACACCCCTTTCGAGACGAATTGATGGCATAATAACAAAAAGGCCCACGTCTTGCTAATTGTCCTATACTGGAACCCATCAGACGTGGTGCAAGCTGAGACGCAGCAGGAAGGAACAGCGTCCTGTTTCACGCACCATTGACCGGATGGAGATTGGCATGCGCTGCAATGTAAGCAGCGGGAGAATTCTTCTTGCTCATCAGGACGATTGATTTGGACGCATCTAGTCTGTCTCGTAGGGTATGCATCGAACAGCCTCTGGACTGGACAATTGCTGGGTGGTATACATCGAAGACTGGACGCCTGGAAAGCCATTAGCATTCTGGAGAGGCTGCTCAGCCAGCTTGCATTGCTCGATAGTACACAATATTGCCACGACGACGAGGATAGGAAGTCAGTGCTGCTCGTCTGGATTGGACTTGCTTCACTCGGTCTGCTCTGTGAACAGTGGATGTCCTTGAATTACCTCGTACCTCATCAAGTCGAAGACCTAGGCGTACGTCCAGGAGATATCATGTGGACCCTTTTGCAGTCACCGCTTGTGAACAGCGCTGTCTGCATCGTTCTGTTTACCTTTGTCGCTCGCTTTATTGCGAGAGGATATGCCATCCGTCAGAAGTGCCGCAAGCTGGTGAGTTGCTCGTGGACCGCTTTCTTGGAGTTACTCTCTGATTTTGGCGCAGCCAGGTGCACCTCACTCCATGATATGGGGCCACTTGAAGGAAATGGGCACGGTCGCGGGACTATATCCGAGGAGGGTACATCCACATACGTATCCCCACAAGATCAGGACCAGACACAACCTTGGCTCACTGATTTGCATGGACGTATGGCCCATCAATGACCCTTTCATCGCGGTCATGGACCCGGCTGCCAGCCAACAGTGTACGGTTGAATTCAATACGGAGAAACACCCCGCGATGAAACCATATCTGGATAAGCTCGTCGGCCCAGACGATATGATCTCGGCGAATGGCGAGCTGTGGCAGAAGTGGCGAAGGATGTTCAATCCCGGCTTCTCCTCTCAACATCTGACGACTTTGATACCCGGCATCGTGGACGACGTCTTGGTATACGTGGAGAATCTCAAGCAGCATGCCGATAAAGAAGAGGTCTTTCGTCTCGAGGAGGACACCACCCGACTCACGGTCGATGTCATCGGGAGAGTGATCCTGGACCTCCATTTTGACATGCAGCGGAGTGATAATCCTTGCATTGAGGCTCTCCGGGAACAGGTACACCTCCTTCCGAATCAAGGCCATCTCAATCCTCTGGATATGTGGCATCCTTATGGCATTTACCGGCGCTGGAAGAACCACCGAATCATGGAGGACTACATCGGGAAAATACTGGATGAGCGCTTTGCCAGGTCAAATCTCAAGGAGACACGCAAGGAACGTAAGAAGACTGTCATCGACCTTGCGCTGAGTAGCTACATGTCGGGAGTTGAGGCGGACCTGGACGACTCGTCTATCGATGCGTCGAAGCTCAGGATGGACGCGGCTTTCCGCAAAGGTGCCATCACTCAGATTCGTGTATGTCTCTTTGCAGGGCATGACACGACAAGTAGTAAGGAACCCCCCGGCACCCATTCATTTCCGTGACACCTGCTGATTTATCGATTTCAGGTACAATGTGCTACTTGTTCTACCTCCTGCAAAACCACCCCGAATGCCACCGTAGGATCTGTCAAGAGCATGAACGCGTGCTTGGCCAGATTGAAAACACGGCCGAGACGATCAAGACCCACCCGCATCTCCTAAACCAACTTCCTTACACCATGGCATGCATCAAGGAGACGCTCCGACTGTTCCCAGCCGCCTCGGCACCGCGTATGGGCGACAAGGCGTTGACGCTCCGAGACCCAAAGACGGGCGAATCATACCCGACGGAAGGCCTGATGGTCTGGCTGGTCCACCACGGTCTCGGCCGAAACCCCGACGTCTGGGGCGAGACCGTCTCGCAGTTCGACCCGACGAGATTCCTGCCCGAGAATGCCCACCGAGTCCCCGAGGGAGCGTGGAGACCTTTCGAGATGGGCCAGCGGAACTGTCTCGGGCAGAATTTGGCACTGCTGGAACTGCGCATCATCTCCGCGCTTTGCTGCCGGGTGTTTGATTTCGAGCTAAGAATGGATGCTATCGAAGAGCTGAAGAAGGATGGGAGTTTCTATGCGAGGAACGAGGCTTTCCGGCAGGGCCCGCAGGAGGTTGAGGGGGAGCCGCTTTATCAGACTTTGATTGGTGCGGCGAAGCCACGAGAGGGTATGCCGGTCGCGGTGCGGTATCAAAAGTAGGATGGAGGGAGGAGTTTGGGTTATGCTATGTAGGTGTTCCCCTAGAATGAAGTACAGGGGAGAAGTTCGAGATTTATCTACCTGCCTCTCTGCACTCTTTGGGCTGATCCTGCCCGCCTGTGAAGCTGCACAAACTGCAGTATTCTAGACTGTTCAAGGTGAATATCTTGGAGTTGAGTTCGCTCAAAGTTCCGACTTTTCGGCAGCGGCAGCCTTGGTGTATGAGATCCGCTTTCCATGAAGGTCCTGCGTCCCATATGGCCCCGAGTACCTCCACCAAGTTCTGTTGCAACATCGGCAGCGCGCTCGTCGGTTGCTGAAGTGCCTTAAAGGAAGTGCCTTGAAGAAAGCGAAGGCGGTGTTTCATGGCTGGTCATCTTGAACGTCCGGGGTCGGTGGGCCATGTAGCGCATTGGGCGCAGTCGCAAACTGCATGGTCCGGTCACCTGGTCGAATACGCTCCGTACCGATCTCGAGGTATGACTTGGGAATGTGGACAGGGTGGTCGTATCGCGGTATGGTGACGCGCACGATCTTGCCGTCGGGACTGTGCGCAAAGATCTTCCCCAGATCGCCTTTGCGAAAGAAGATGTTGGCGTTGTTCGGGTCGGTGAAGTCGTGGGTGACGCGGAGCGGGAAGTCGTCATGTGGATGGAGTACTCTGAAGAAGGCGGTGTCTTTTGGCACCCAGACTGACTTGTCGGTCCGAGTGGGCATGGAAATGAGCATCTGCAATCCGTCCTCGTTGTGCTTGATGATCGTGCCCTGCACAAAGTTAGCATGTGTCTTGAGAGCAGACATATGCAAGACGTCAGGCTGCGAGACCATCTAGAGGCTTCGAAACATGAGAAATAGTGGGGATGGCTTATTACCTCATCGTCCTTGTAAAGCTCCAGTGGCTCTGGATCTTGGCGCTTGAAGTCTTGGCGAAGCTGTACCTCCTTTCCGTCGTCCGCATTTGGCTCCGCGGCATTGGACGCCATACTGAATTCAAACACAGTGTGGGAGCTAGTGTCCGAGGAGAGGTAATTGTTTGTATACTATTGTGGATAGTACTGCCGTTGATGGAGGTGTGGTGTGTTCTAGGCGGCTATATCGTAGGTAGGAGGCTATACGTGGTGGTTGTAGGAGGTGATGACTGTGTTGTCGGAGGTGGTTTGTGCTGAAGAAAAGAACAATATTGGGCGGTGGGGTTCTGATGCTGGCCGCGACCAAGCGCGACGCGTTTGCCCGTGTCTTGTTGCCTAAATGTAATGTGCTTTATTCACCTATTCAAGACGGGCGTGCCAAAGTTTGCGTGTGGGTCTAAAGTCTAGGAACGATTGTTCGAGAGAGCACGGTCCCCAGGTTGCGTCACGGGATACGTGCACGTGCCAAGCGCACGGACCATTTACTCACATGTCAGACCGGCGTACACTCCAGTTCAAATGTTGGACTTGAAGTCAGCCATGCTGCACACTGCAAAGAAGAACGAGCAGTGAAATGGATAGATGGATCATATGCTCCAATGTTGACGAATGCCATGTAGGTATCACATTATCATGAAGAAGTTGCTCTTTTCCCTTATACACCTCGCCGTGAACGCTCACATGTATACGCCCTGTTGATTCTCCCTGTCGATTTTAAAAGACACTACCTTTCCTCTCCACATCAGCCACAATATCGCCCTCGATCTTGCCTTCCTTCATGCCCAGTTGCTCGGCGAAAGTAGTGTGAGGTCGCCAGGCGGCGGATGTTCGTGGCGTAGATTCAGCTGTTGAGATCGTTAGCTACATGTACCGCACTGCGCTGAAAAGAGGATCAAGGGCTTACCCATCATCTGGTCAACCTGCTCGAGAGATAGACCCTTGGTCTCGGGGACCAGGAAATAAGCGTAGACGAACGCACAAGTGCCTGACCACATTGTCAGCATGTTTTCGACAACGGAGACGCGAGTCATGAGGCTTACAGAGGCCGCCCCACACGAAGAAAACGCTAGACCGAAGGTTGCCTTCATCGGAATTTACCATATAGGGGGTGATAACGGCGATGATCTATAATGAAAATTAGTTCACCACGGTCAACAGCGAGGACAAGCGTTCGACCCACAGTATTCCAAAGCCAATTGGAGGCTGTAGAAAGTGCCACGCCGCGGGAGCGAATGGGCAGAGGAAAAACTTCACCAATGACGATCCAGGCGCCGGGTCCCCAGGTGGAAGCGAAGAAGAAAATGAAGATGGCGATGAAGGCGATCTGGGCATTGACGGCTGGAATGTTGTTGGCGTGGGTGACTGCGTTAGCACCGGTTCCAGTGGTGGTGGAGTTGTTGAAGCCGACGGTGACACCAACGATGGCGACGATGAACTGGCAGACCAACATGCCGAGAGCTCCCCAGACGAGCAGCGGGCGACGACCGAGCTTCTCAACGGTGAAGAAAGAGATCGGAGTAGAGCACACGTTGACCAGGGTGAAGATCAGGGAGATCAGGAAGGTGTTGCTGATGGCGCCGGTGGACTGCAGGAATGGGGTGGAGTAGTAGAAGATGAAGTTGACACCGGTCCACTGCTGCATCATCTGGAGAGACGTGCCGAGAATGGTCTTGCGCAGGTTGGAGTTGGACTTGAAGACGGAGCCGCTGAAGCAGTTGGCCCAGCCCTGGAACCAGGAGCCGGCTGGAATGACGGAGCGCTCATACTCTTCGTTGGCGACAATCTCGGCAAGCTCAGCCTCGATGTACTCGCTGTCACCTGGCTGACCACGGAGTCTGGCAAGCGAGGCGCGGGCCTGTTCGACGCGACCACGCTTGACGAAGTAGCGCGGAGAGTCTGGCAGGAAGAGGAGACCACCGCCGAGAATCAGACCCCAGAGGAACTGGATGCCGATCGGAATGCGGTAAGAGCCAGTGTCAGTGCGGTTCTCCGTGGCGTAGGTAATGCAAGCGGCGAGCAGAAGACCGATGGTGATGCAGAATTGGTATCCGGCGACCAGGGCACCGCGGACCTTGCGCGGGCAAATCTCTGACATGTACAGGATGACGATGGCGGATTCGAAACCGACACCGAGACCTGCAATGAGACGACCAGCAACGAGGAGACCAAGACCGTGAGAGGCTGTCTGGAGAATGACACCGATGATGTAGATGACGCATCCCGTGATGACAGTGTACTTGCGTCCGATGAGATCCGCGATATCACCAGCAATGAGGGCTCCGAAGAAGGTACCGGCCGAGAGGATAGAGACGATGAGAGACTGGTAGGAACCGCGCAGAGCAGTGGCGCCGGGTCCTTCGATGATGGAGATGAAGACCTTGGAGCCAGTGACACCGTTGATGTAGCCCGAGTCGTATCCGAAGAAGATACCGCCAAAGGACGCGAAGGCGCAAATCAGGTAGGCCTTCCAGGTGACTGGCGCCTCAATGCGATTGACATCGCTGGTGGCCGCGAGGGCGCCGCCAGGCATGGTTGCTGCTGTGGATTGCTTGCTGTGGGTAGTAGGATGATCGCGAGGATGTTGAGTGTTGGTGTCGTTGGTAGCGAGAGCGTGGGAGTTGAGGGCTGGAGGCGGAGAAGGGCGAGCGAGGGAGGTGAGTTGCGATGGAGGGTGGAATGCAGTGCAGTGCAAGCGGACGGTGGCAGTTGTACGCAGCTTTAAGAAAGCAACCCAAACGAGAAGCTGCGGCGCAAGCGATTGACTTCCCGCATTGCGCGGGGTGTTCGGGGTGACCTGCATACGGTAGCGGCGTGCGTGGCGGTCCGTGCATCCCTAGCACATGCGCACATGCGAGATCAACGGGCGCGGCCCTGTCTGTGCTTCAATTTGTCTGTGCTGTACCTTAGCCCCATGGGAAAGCTGAGCTGCGCTGGGGAGATTGCTGGAGCACGTGAGGCCAACCGCTCCCATCGAAGGCGAGAACGCGCTCCACTTTACGCCTCGAACGCGGCGCGTCCAATCACCGCGCCGCCCATGTGAGCCCCGGCTGCTTTGTCGCTGCTTTGTCGCTGCTTTGATGATGATGACGAGACGGTCCAGCTGAACCACTCGGCCAGCTAACTCACTACGGACGGACAGCGAGCTGCTGAGACTCCTGCACACAGGACAGCTAGCATCGACTGAGCCGCACGCACGCACGCGCTCGCACTCGCACACCGCGACGTTGCTGCCGTTGTCGGGGCGAAAATCCATCAACGCCCTCAGCATTCCTCGTGCCAATCGCAATGTCACAGCAACACGATGCGAACGGAACACACACGACTACTTCACAACGACGCCGGACAGCACGACATGCCGTCTCTGAACACAGCACGCAGCAAACATTCCAGCGGACCTGTGCCAGCGCGTGACCTCGGCGCTTCGGTGCAGCGATCGCCTTCTCGGCTGCCCCGCCGACTCACACTTCCCCTTCGGGCCAACACAAAGCCGTGCGACAAAGCCGGCGCACGGTCAGCTGCCAAGACCACCTCCGCTTTCATGTGCCACGCCCGAAACCTCGTGATGCAGTGGTCTCTTTCTCCGCCATCGTCCCGCCACCGAGATTTCATGAGATCGACTTTGACAACCAATACAACCTCGAGATCCTGAATGCCAAGAGGTGGTAGAAATCACAATACCCTACCAGGATGTCTTGTCTCAATCCGGTACCATGGCCGTGTAGCCTCGCATACCACTAAGACAAGACTATGGAAGGATTCTGGCTGTAGTAGTAGCGAGTGGGCAGCTAGGCACTAGCGCCAGCGACCAGAATCCTTCCAGAACGCTTCCATGACACATGGCCGCACGCATGGTTCGACCACGAACACGGTCAGAGTTTTTTGCTTAATTGCACGTCTGCGTATCTTGTGCCTGAGTTCTACACCGCCTCGTCGGTGCGGCGACATCATCGTCGCCGCCCATGCGGCAACTCGTCTAATTAAGGCTGAGGCTGATGAGGATGCTCGGTTACGAAATCCCGGGATACGGCTCAGCGTGCTTGTGGAGCCCCACGGGGTGGCTGACAGGGCGTCTGCACGAACGCGGGGCCCTCCACTTCAATTGCGGGCAATCGGTCCTTCTCCTCACACCCAGAACAGGAGCCGCCGCGACAAGAAGTAGACTTCAAGACCGAAGCAGATCGAAGACTACCATCGGTTGTGTTACCCGCAACACGTCACGGGGAAAAGCAAAGATCGAAACCTGGAGAAGATGGGGAAGCCATTGATCGTTTCCATCCCGGGAAGGAGCCCTCGTGATGCGTCCTATACGTACTCCCATTGATCTTCAATTAGGGCGCATATACTCGAACGAGAGTCGCGACTTCGTCGCTATTCATTCCTCTGCACTGCTACATGGCTGTTTATGCTATAAGAGCTCGCGAAGATCTTCGAGCACCCGAGGCTGGATTCTGACCCTTTGTCGAAAAAACATGATCCCCACAATAGTTGCATACCATTGTAATACGTAATGCAGCATGCATTCTTTGTGCTCCAGACGGCCGAGTATGTATTGACATTATTGGTCGTCTTCTTTGTTCCCTGCCATCTCAAAGAGAATTCGGTGGAATGAGCCGAATGCAGCGGATCGCCGCTAGGCATGCGTCGCGAAGATTTCATCTCGTGCTAACAAACGCTAGAGCCCGTGGTCATTGCTTCCGATCGCCATGTGGCCGGAAAACTTAACAAAGGAGACTGCAAATTCTGCCATGGGGTTACCTGTTGCGCCACGATACCGAGACTCGGGCTCGAGATTCCAATCCTCCGGAATCTCGAAGAATTTTGCAGACGGTGACAAGATTTCCTCGCTGAAGCCGGTGTGCGATTCCTACTAGGCACTGCCTTTGGATCCATTCCATTTGCAGCATTCTTCAAAGGTGACTCCCTTGCCGCCGAAAATGTCCAGCGCGCTGCCAATGGTGAGGTCGACACGGCCACCGCTGAGACGCTCGACTAGCTCCAAGTCCTGGATGTTCCGGCCGCCGCCGGCGTACGTGATGGGAATGGTGCAGATCTGAGCCAGATGGGTGACGAGTTGCTCGTCGATGCCGGCCTGCAGGCCTTCGGCATCTGCAGCGTGGATCAAGAATTCGGAGCAGAAAGGTTCGAGCAGGGAGATATTTTCTGCATACGCGTGTGTGTGTGTCAGCCCTGTAGGATTCTCGAGAATGTTTGGAAGGAAGGAAGGGAGGGAGTAGTCATACCCTTGTTGATTTCGAATTCGGTGATGGTTTGCCATCTGTCCATTGCGACTCGCCAGCCTGGGGCGACTCTGCGGCAGCTGAGGTCGATTACGAGCTTGTTGCGATCGCCGCCGAGGGCAGCGAGGACGGATTGGAGACGCTCGAGGGAGAAGGAACCGGAGGGAAACAGGAAAGATGTGATGATGACCTACTGCGTACGAAGCATTAGCATTATTGAGCTCCAAACCTCAATCCATTCATCAGGAATTGAAAAAATGTGATGAAATCCTAACCTTTTCCGCTCCAGCTTCGATCCACTCCTTGGCATTGGTATCTCTAATGCCGCCGCCAACCTGTAGCCCTCCAGGCCACGCTTGCAAAGCCTCACGCGCCGCTCCATCATTTCCCGGTCCGAGCATGATGACATGTCCTCCGCGAAGGTCATGGTTCCTGTAGAGTTCGGCGTAGTATGCAGACGGGTGCTCGGAGGTGAAATTGGTTTTCAGACCCGCCGTGTCCGTCGTCGATAACGTGCCGCCTACGATTTGCTTGACGGAGCCTGCGTGGAGATCTATGCATGGTCGGAAGCGTGTCATGTTTTCGAAATTGGAAGATATGTCGTCGTTGTCGCGTGATGTCCAAGCTTCCCGTGCGGTTGAGGGCAGGAAATAGAATTTCGCCAAGCAATTCTTTTTTCCCACGACTTTCCGTCGCGGTCCGCGTTGCTTCGACGCTTTTCTTTTTTTGCATCTGTGCATCGTCTGCAAGGCTGATCGCAATCACCTATATTGAGAAAACAATGGCTATAATCCTCGGGAAACGGAAGCGACGGGTCGAGGTGCAGCCCGAGTCGGCGCCGAAGAAGAAAGTCATTCATGAGGAGAGCGAAGATTCTGGAGACGACGATGATGCGGCACGAGCGCTTTTCCAAAAGGCCTTTGAGGCGAAATTTCAACCCCTGGAGAAGTCGACAACACCGTTACAAAATGAATCCGAGGAAGACGAGGAGGATCTGGGTGATTCGGAGGATGAAGAAGACGGGTCCGACTGGAGCGGGTTGTCCGGTGGCGAGGAGGAAGTCGAAATCGTCGAGCATGCAAACCCGGAGCGTTCACGAGGCGAGGAACTTCGCCTGAGCAAGAACAAGTTTATGGTACGCGAAACTCACCCACCGCTCTCGAGACTTACGCTGACGTTCTTCTAGTCTTCGAAGCCACCGACGCTGGAAGACGAAGTACAGGCACCCCGAACGAATGTGAAGACCACTTCCACCGAGGCAGACGGCACTGAAGCGGCAAATCTAAAGAACGATCTGGCTCTCCAGCGTCTGCTCAAAGAATCCCACTTGCTGAACCCATCGTCATTCAGCGCGTCTTCCGATCCAGAGGGAAAGGGAAGATTGAAAGCTCTCGATATGCGTCTCCAAGACCTGGGCGCGAAGACTTCTGCGCTTGAGCAGGAGAAGATGCCGTATTCCCATCGAAGAGGCATCAAAGCTAAAAGTGCAAGTCGCGAAGCGAATCGAAGGAGAGAAGCTGCTGAAAACGGTATCATTCTGGAAAGGGCTAAGAGCACGCCCAGAGCTCAGCCCAAGCGGGATCGAGGCATCGGTGGGCCTGGCGTTGGCAAATTCAGAGGTGGAACACTACAGCTGAGCTCACGTGACTTGCGAGATATCCAGAAACCTCGCTCTGGTCCGGGTGACAGGAGAGGACGGGGAGGGAAGCGATGAAAGATGCATTGCTGAGATCATGGTAATTTGCATCCACGGCGCCTTGTTGCGCTGCTGTCCATCCCGGTGACGCTAGCAGACCTCACAAGCGACATTCTACATTCTGTGCGATCCTCGAAAGGCGGACAGAGCAAGCTTTTGGAAGAACGACCTGGACATGAGACTGTCACTTTGTCAGACACGAGTATGTCTATGCCAGCCAACAACTTGGTCTCACAGATGTCGCCATTGTTCGGCCCAAGTTTTCCCACTGAGGGAGACATTTGCATCGGCGACCGCACCAGAGCTCAATGCCCCAAATATTGGAGGTACTCATGGCATCAAGGGGCTTCAAAACGCATGTATGCAGCAAGGGTCTGGCTGTAAGCAACACGTTGTTTACCACGAGCGCATACTGTTTGCAGCTCGCCGTGCCTGACGATCCCCCACACCAAGCTTCTTCCCTGATGACAGCATTTCCAGAGAGCATTGCGGGTACAAAATCGGATCTCAGACTTTAGGAATCCACCACGCTGACCGACATTCGACCACATAAACTCTCAGCGGCAGAAAATCAACTTCGCCTCCTGCAAAACATAAATCATCAAGCGTTCATATCTCACAATTGCCTGGCCCTTTATCCATCATGGCTTCCACGACCACCGAAGCCTACGTCGCCCGAGCTAGTGGCATCTCTCTAGAAAAAGTCACCTACTCACCTCTCGCCGCCGACGAAATCCTCGTTGACATCGTATCCGCTTCCGTCTGTCATTCGGATGTGAAAGCTGCTCAGGTAAGTAGGTCCTATTGGAGAAAGCACCCGGACGCACATCCGCTCCCGTCGTGCCTAACATTTCTCACCACAGGGCACCTTCCACCTCCAACTCCCTCTCATACTCGGCCACGAAGGCGCCGGCTACGTCAAAGCAATCGGCAGCAGCGTCACATACGTCCAACCGGGCGACGCAGTCGTGCTCACCTTCACCAACTGCGGGAAATGCCGTCGTTGCCTGAGTGGAAAATCGCCCTACTGCGATGACATCTTCCAATTGAACTTCTCCGGGAAACGAGAGAATGGCGAATTCCCCGTCAGGGATGCGGAAGGGAAAGCAATCCACGGTCTCTTCTTCGGCCAAAGCTCCATGAGTCGCATCGCTCTGGTGAAGCAGAATTCCGCCGTGAAAATTGAACCCAAACCGGAAACGAGGGAGGAATTGAAGATTTTCGCGGCTTTGGGATGTGGGATTCAGACTGGTGCTGGGGCGATCCTGTATTGTCTCTCCCCTTTCCAAACCCCAGCCCCCCCCCTCCCCCCTCTTCTTTTTCCTACCTTAGACTTCCTCCAAGCTAACTCCCGTCCCCGTGATATCTCCAGCAACATCGCCCATCCCCCTCCCTCCTCCACCATCGCAATCTTCGGCGCCGGAGCCGTCGGCCTCTCCGCCGTCCTCGCCACCCTCCTCTCCTCCCCCACCTCCACCATCATCCTAATCGACAACTCCCCCACCAAACTGCACCATCTCCTCCAGGCCCTCCCGATCATGCAACACGTCACGACCGTAGATTCCACCTCCACGACCCCGGACTCCCTCTCCGAGCATCTGAAATCCCTCACTCCCGAGGGCAGGGGCCTGGATTTCGCTCTCGATTGCGTCGGGAACTCCGACGTGACGCGGGCGGCTCACATGGCGCTGGATAAATGCGGCTTGTTGTTGAATGTGGGCTCGAGCGCGACGGCAAGGGCGGAATACACTCTGGCCTCGCATCTCGTTCGCGGAATAACCGTACGGGGGACACATCAAGGGGATTCGGTGTCGAGGGTGATGGTTCCACATCTGATATCTCTGTGGCGAAAAGGGAGGTTCCCGTTCGATGGGCTTTTGAGCGAATACAAATTCCAGGACCTCAATCAGGCATTGGAGGACATGCGCGCAGGGAGAGTAGTCAAGCCTCTACTTGTTCTATGAGATAGGAAGGAATCCAGATGCAAGATGGATATACTACGTCTTTATATAACTTTTCAAACGCTATCAAAACAATATAGATACATAGAGCATACAATAATGCCCGCAGCCATCCAACCAGCCCAGAGCTGAGCCGCCGTTTTTTCACACCTCATCTTCAGGAGCGGAGAATATGCTTCTTTCCTGTGCAAATGACAGGCACGAAGTTAAGTAAGGGATAAGTTTTGTACAAGTCCGGGCCGTGGTGTGGCGTGACGGGCATGGGTATCATTATCACACTTTGTGATCGTCAAAAAGGAGGAGGGGCCAAGGAGCCTAGAACATGCCACCGCCCATGCCTCCCATGCCTCCCATACCGCCCATGCCACCAGCTGGCGGGCCCTTCTCTTCAGGCGCCTCGACGATGGCAACTTCAGTCGTGCCAAGAAGCGAGGCAACACCAGATGCGTCGGTAAGACCAGTGCGAACAACCTTGAATGGATCCAGGATACCAGCAGCAATCATATCAGTGTACTCGCCCTTGGCGCTGTCGAAACCCTTGTTGAAGTCCTTGCCGAACTCATCCATGAGCTTGCCAACAACAACAGATCCCTCAGTTCCAGCGTTCTCCACGATGGTTCGGGCTGGGCGAGTGATGGCCTGCTTGACGATAGAGACGCCGAGTTGCTGGTCGAAGTTGGCAGGCTTGACGTTGGTGAGAGCGTTGGCAGCAGCCTTGAGGAGAGCAGTGCCACCACCTGGAAGGATACCCTCCTCCACTGCAGCGCGTGTAGCGTTCAGGGCATCGACCATGCGGTCCTTCTTCTCACCGACCTCAACCTCGGAGGCACCACCGACCTTGATGACGGCGACACCACCAGACAGCTTGGCAAGGCGCTCCTGCAGCTTCTCCTTCTCGTACTCGCTGGTAGATGGGTCAGCCATGACACCACGGATCTGCTCGCAGCGCTGAGTAACAGCGTCCTTGTTACCCTCGCCGTTGAGAATTACAGTGTCTTCCTTGGTGATGGTGATCGATCCAGTAGAGCCAAGCATGTCAGGAGTGGCCTTCTCGAGCTTGATGTCAAGCTCGTCAGTGAAGACAGTACCGTTGGTCAGGACAGCGAGATCGCCCAGGATGCTCTTGCGGTTGTCGCCAAAGCCGGGTGCCTTGACAGCTGCGACTTGCACTTGACCACGGAGCTTGTTCAGGATGCAGACAGCCAAAGCCTCGCCGTCAATGTCCTCAGCAATGATGACAAGAGGGCGGCGCAGCTGCTGAGAGGCCTCGAGGGCTGGCACGATGTCTTGCACAGCCGAGATCTTCTTCTCGGAAAGCAAGAGCAGTGGCTTCTCGAATTCTACCTTCTGCGACTTGGTGTCCGTGATGAAGTATGGGGAGATGAAACCGCGGTCAAACTTCATACCCTCGGTGACTTCCAGCTCGTCTGCGATGGTCTTGCCCTCCTTGACAGTAATGACACCCTCTTTGCCGACCTTCTCCATTGCGCTTGCGAGCAGGCTACCAATGTGGGTATCGCCGTTCGCGGAGATGGTAGCCACTTGACTGATCTCCCCGGAAGTGGTGATATCGCGCTTGTTCGCTCTCAGGTACTCCACAACGGCATCGACGGCGGCTTGGGTTCCGCGTCGAAGGTCCATTGGGTTGCATCCTGCAGCAACGTTCTTGACGGTCTCGGAGAAGATGGCATTGGCGAGAACGGTGGCAGTGGTGGTTCCGTCACCAGCGACCTCGTTGGTCTTGCCAGCAACATCTTGTAGTAATCTTGCGCCGAGGTTCTCGAACTTGTCCTTGAGAGTGATGGCCTTTGCGACCGTCACACCGTCTGTTGATCGATCCATGTCAGTACGTGTGAGATGTTTGATGGGAGATGAGACGGGACTTGCCCTTTGTGATCTTGGGAGAGCCGTAGCTGGACTCGATCAGGACATTTCTGCCCTTTGGTCCCAGCGTTGTAGCGACAGCCTTTGCCAATGTGTCCACGCCATTGAGAAGCGACGCTCTTGCCTCCACGCCAAACTTCAGCTCCTTGTGTGCAAATCTCTGCTGGACGAGCGAAGTTGGGCGTATCCGTTGCGAGCGAGCCAGAGCTCGGGGTGCCGAGGAGAATGCGCGCTGCATTGTTGCTGTGAATCGCTACACCAGTCCCAAGTGATGATCAGACAACCTCCAGACTCCGTCGAGATGCAGCAAGTGAAGGAAGATGGATTGGTATGGAGGGTGTAGTAGAGTAGGTGGGGAAGAAAAGAGTCGAAGTTGTTTGGAGGAACTGAAGGAAGCGTCTGGAAGAAAACCGCAGGTCCAAGCTCTCCCGAATCTCCGCGCACAAGCTTTCCCGTCGGCTCACTTCACACTGCGCTTGAACAAATATCACATGACAGCACCAGCATCGAGAATGATGCGAGTCGACATGACAATACTGACTGTTGCGCTCAAATTCAAAAGTATGATTCAGCTTGGCACTGCTATGCTTGGGAACGGTTGTCCAATTCAGCATCTCGCTACCATTGTTGGACTCTTGTCCTCAGACTTCATGAGGTCTCCCACAACAGACTATCTCACCATTGGACGGACCTCGCGGTTGTCGTCCATTGCCGCTTGAAACTCCTATCATTGCGGGGCTATTGTCCTCAGTCCTCATGAGGACTCCCACAATAAGCTACATTGTTAGTGGACAATGTCTTTCTTCTATGAGGAACGCACAATAGCTCCCAGCTTACCATCTCTATCATTAATATGATCGAGGTTAATGCCATTGTAAGTGTCCTCACAACTCTCCTCCATAAAGGCATTCATTCTCTCATACTCTCCCTCAATCTCTTCCCACTCACCACTCAAAATCTCGAAAACTTTGCTCTCTACACACTTGCAGAAACACTCCTCAGCACCTCAGCCAGCCCACAAGTTTTCGAGATACCACACACGCGAAATGCCTGAATTCAGGGTTATGAGGCCAAGCTTGCCATCCACATCCCGTAGCAGCATTGCTGGAAAGACGGGCGGCGTCATGGCAGAGCGATGCTTCGCAAAGAGCACTGGAGTGGGTGTCCTCAGATTCTGGAGGGAGACGAGCTACGAGCACCCAATATCGGCTGTACGAGAAGAGCGTCTTCCTACACCCCCTGCTTCTGTCCCCAAGCCTCAAAAGTCAGATCCCTTTCCGGAGAGATTCTGTGACGATTTCTCCGAATCAGAATTAAAGCCCCTGGGTCCGGCACCCAAGTTCTCGCCGGCCCGCTTCGAGGCAATCTTCTCGACATTCGTTTGTTCCGACGATGACAGCGACGTCGAAGTTCCCGAGGAATACGAGCTCCAAGCTCCAAACATCGACGCGACCAAGCCCTGCCCTTCTCCCCGAAAGAAAGCTCTCCGCGACACAGACATCATCGAGTCCCACAAAGCCGCCTGCAAGAGCGCCGAGATCAAAAATCTCAGAGAGGAAGAAGCAAAATGCCGTGCCAACAAGAAGCAAGCTTGCCGTGGATTCCCAAAGCCCCTTCCAGAGAGCAAATCCATAGCCCCTCTTCCGAAGAATCCGACCACGGAAGATATCGAAAAGTTCCTTGAGCTCCCCAAAGGAGACCATCTCTCCAAAGGTCCACCCAAAACCAAGGAAGGCATGAAGAAGTACATGGCATCCGATCCTTGGCCTGGCCAAAAACTCGTCTATCGATCGGAGTGGCGAGAGGAAGTCATGATGGATAGGGATGAATTCTCCCGAAAGAAGAGACGACGAGAAGAAGAGGAAATTGAGAGGGAAGAGGCAAGACTGTTGGGGTCTCCGCCAAAGAGGAGAGATTCGATTTGGAGTGCGCAAGCAATCCCAAAGGCGGATTTGTTCGATGCGTATGGGCAGCCGAAGACGGGAGATATGGCTGCCCCGGCACATAGCACGAGGAGAGCTAATAAGCGGCAACGAATAGCTTGAGCTCTTCACGGCGTCTTGCCACATGGGGAAGTTATCTCGACGGCTGCTACCTCCAATTTGGTGCTGTCCACCTCGCTGTTGCCCTGGATTTCGCTATATTTCTTGAGAAGACAGGGCTGTTGAGATTTTGAGATTTTGGGATCGAGTGGAGCATGGCACTCGAGGTTAAGGGGCGTTCTGATGCATTGATTCCCGCAAAAGTGTTGTTTGAGAGGCTGTATTCGCTTGAAATTGAAATGAGAAAGTGCTGTCCACACCTATGTGCAGATGTTCCACCCCTTTCCTTCATCATAGTCCTGCTGTCGTTTACAGGGTGAAGAACCTGTCACCGAAGTCACCAAGGCCAGGCACAATGTAACTGTTCGCCCTGTCAACATGGGTGCCCGATCGATAGTCAGACATGGCAACTCACTTCTTCTCGTTGAGGCCTTGGTCCACAAATGCGGTCACGATACGTAGTTTCGGAAACTTGTCCGCGAAGTTCTTGGTGCCTTCCGGGGATGCGATGAGGTTCAGGAAAAGAATCCGCTCCTCAGGTACACCCTTGGAAAGTAGTACGTCTACTGCCATCAACGCCGAGCCTCCGGTCGCGAGCATAGGATCAAGCAGCAACACCCATCGATCCCTGATATCTTCTGGCAGCTTGTCGTAGAAAAGTCTCGGCTGACTCGTCTCCTCGTCGCGTTGGATGAGGATCTTGCCGATTCTTACACTTCGACAGCACTCCCGCAGAGCCTGCTCCATCGCCTCTCCTGCACGCATGATCGAGACTCCGCAGATCTTGCCTTCAAACTTGACACCAGAGTACTCTCGGCCGACTGGAGTTGTGACTGAGTGCGGCAGGACCGGCAGGTGATTCAACGCTTCCTCGACCAGTAACCGGCTGATGCGATTGCTGTGGAAGATGAAGTCGGCTCTTTGGGTTTTCTTATCTCGGAGCATGCTATGTATGTCTTAGTACAGTATCTCTTTGCCAAGAAGTGGGCTGTTTATACGTGAGAAGAGCAATGAGCTGCGGCGTCTGAGGCAGAATGTGCAAGTTGCTGATCTTGGGTGCTGTGGAGACCGTGGCCGTCGGTTTCTCCTCATTTGATCTGTACTCAGGCCCGAGATGTTGGCTAGGCGCCCTGATCAAGGGCGAGGGCCTTCCTGATGAAGTCTCCTCTGCCATTGTGGAGATGAAGTGAATCCCAGGAGATGGCTCGTCTGTGGGGCAACTGCAGTCGATGTGAGGAATTGCTCGATGTAGCGATTAAGAATGAGTTGTTGGAGCCAGGTGCGGCTCCGTCAAGGGCAAATGCTACATACTGCGAATAAATGCGAAGTAGAACCAGGAGTGGACCTCGCCCAGTCTGGTCGTGTGCTCCGGCGAAACTTTGTCTGTGATAGGCGAAGATTCGGCTCGGGCCGATGCTAGCTTAGGATCCGTGGGGTCTTCACGTGCCAACCATCATGTTGTCCTCGCCGCGCTCATCCTGACTTTCTTTCAAACAACATTCGCAACGCGACGCATCTCACGCGTATGCTCCTTGACACATGCATGGAAGACAAAGCTGATGTCCTCTGATCCTGCCATTGTATTCAGATCATTTGCAAGCTCTCAGACAACACGAACCTCCACCACGAGCCGACCACGTACTCTTACTTGCGCCGGTACTCGCAAAATCCTCAACCGCACCGATGCGACAATGACCATTCCACGATAGAAAGTTATTCGACGTTGAATTGTGTGACTGAACAGCCGTAGGCGGGATCATGGCCGCGGTGTCCACGCTGCCGCAAGCGAAGCGGCGGAAGGCAGCCGTCTATGGCAAGACGTCGCGCAAACTCAACTCGTGGAATATCAGCGGCTTCGATCCAGTGGACGACGACGAGCCACCCAAGCTCAAGACAACAGTCCAACGCGCGGTACCTGTGAAGGAATCCTACCCTATCCAGAATCGCGACCAGGAGCCGCACACCCTCAAATCGATCAAACGCCGTGAAGAAAAGCAAGACACATGGGACGTACCGTCTACAGACGATGGAAGTGAAGAGCTAGCTGTACCAATACCACAACGTGCACCACGGTCGAAGCTTTCTGCAGACCGCAAGCCTGTGAATCTGGTTAAAGATGCCGATCCGGAATTAGCACCGTGGGAGAATAAGAAGAAGACGTCTGCACCGCAGCAGGGCTCAGGCGAACGCCATCTGAAGAAGCACTCATCAGCAGCTCAGAAGAAACTGACAACAGAGGCATCAAAGACAGTCGAAGTACAGAAGGATGCTGCTGTGTCCAACATGAACACAAGTAGCCCTTCCAGGCGGAGCCGAGATAAGGTTGGTTCGCCGGAGAACTGTTCAAGCCCGCAGAAAAGCGCAACGGCGAGACTACAGGCAAGAAAACTGCAGGCCGGTGCCAATACTCGAGCAGTGCGGGATGAGCCACAGGTACAGGTTCATGTCCAAAAGCGCTCGGTTCAGAGCACGGAAGAGCTGGATGCGCCCCCTGCGAAGAGACCGCGACCAGACACTTCACTGAAAGATGACACTGTCGACACCGACATGGAGAACGCACTACCTACCTGCGACAACGAACCCGTGGCTGAGGCCCAGAATTCCACCGAGGTGGACGTGTTCGACTTCCCGAACGACAATTCCGACCTCTCTATGAAACAACCTGTCAACAGACGAAAGCTTCCGCCACATACGACTCACCGTGGCAAGCTGACCGCATTTTCACCAATTCGAAAGATGGACTCTGCGCCTCCCCGACTTGCCGAGATGCTGGCAATGGTTTCAGACACCACTGACGATCCATCGCGTTCGTCTTCGCTTTCAATGAGCAGACCAAGTACCCCCGAGAAAGGTAGTGGCGGCACATCTCTTACACCTGACGCAGCGGTCAAATCGGCTGGGAAGAGGATGCCGAAGCAGACACAGCTATGGGACCGCTTGCTGACAGATGACGCAGCAGTGCCCTCGCCAAGTGCACTGCCAATGGAGGACCTGACCCTCGTATCCAGAAAAGCAACAAGGAAGACGTCTTCTGTCTCTCGGTCGATGCCAAAATCCAGCTCCGATCTGGGTCCCCGTCGGACGAAGCTCGTAGATCGCTTGAAGGCGTCGGCACCCTCTGACAGCGATTCTTCTGGAGACAGCGACGGAGACAGTAGTGATGTCGAGATGCAAGGCGACAGTCGAATTTCGCAAAGCCAGAGTCAAAGCCAGGTTGTGGTGGCAGCTGGACCAAAGAAGACCTATGCGCAGGCAAGGTCTCACCTCGCGGAAGACAGCTTCGAGGACCAGCTTATGTTCGACCTGCAAGGAGAATCGCCATACAATCCAATCGGCGCGACTCGTCGATCCACCGCGCAATCGAACATAAACTCGCAGAATTCCAATTCTCAAAAGTCGGCCTTCGACATGGACGACAGTGACGACGAAGACGCAGGTGGACGAATGCGGACGATTCACGAGCTACGAGCTGGCGGTGGCAATCAGCGCTTCATGGACAGCATGGGAGGTCTGCTGGAGGACATTGCCGATCATAACGCGTCTGCTCGCAGTAGGCGTCGCAGCGCATTGATCGAAGTCGCCACTAAATTGGCAGACAAGGCTTTTGCGGAGAAGTTTCTGCGCCAAGGTTACGAGCAGCAGCTGCTCGCTGAGACATCTGCTGCCCGTGATGGAATCGCGGACTTCGCTCTCGCAGCGGCCTTTGCCGTGGTCCTGGCTGTTGAACCTTCAGAGCACGTTGTATACTCAATGCGAGACGGCGGTTTACTGAACTGGGTGCAAGGCATAGTGGAAGACCGTGACGACATCAAGAAGCTGGCCAAGGAGCGTCGCAACAATATGTCTAAGAGCGCGCAGAATACCCTCTCAAGTTTCGTTACTAAATTTGCGCATAAAAAGGAGATCTGGAAAGAAACGACGCCCGGCACGATGACACGGCGGATTGTTGCGCTCAAGGTTTGCGAGCTGCTCATCAGTCGAGTACGCCGTTTGGGAGACAGAACAGAACTGATACCGGCCAAGCATGTCCGGAGCTTTGTGCCTGCGCAAACTGACATGGTGTCTTTGACCAGCAACATCCTACCCGCCGATCTTAGCCTTGCCATCTCTACGCTGGAGGCATTGTCAACCACCGCGCTTTCTCTCTCCTGGCCGAATGATGTCCTGGAGGCAATCCGAACGGTTCTTGTGTCGCCTGCACTGAGTCAAAGCCAGTCGCAACACCTGCTGTTCCTGACGTTGCGACTGTGTCTCAACCTCACCAATGAAAATGCAAGAAACTGCAAGGTCTTCTGCAAGCCGGACACCGTCCTTTATCTGTTGCGATCTATCACTGAGGGGTTCGCAAAGCTCTATGCGGAGACAAGCGACGAGCAGCATACAGTCAACCTGGACTTGCTGGTCCTTTCGATGGGTATCCTCATCAACTTGACAGAGCACAACGACAAAGCGCGCGAATATTCGGCGGCTACGGATGCTAGTGCCGTACTCAGCTCACTGGTTGACGTGTTCCGGCAAGGTCAGAAGCGACTCCTCGAAGCGGAGTCGGTAGAGCAAGGCATCGCCAACGTCGCTTATGGGTATTTGGCGGTTCTGTTGGCCAGTCTCTGTAGCAACAAAGACGCCAAGAGCATCATCGCCTTACATTTGCCCGACAAGAACCTCGGCACCTTAGTCGCAGCCGTGGAAGAGTTCGTGAAACATCACCAGCGAGTCGATACGCTGAACTTTGATGGCGAGGAGGGCAAGGATGTCTGGAGCGCATTCACCGAGAAGCTCAAGGGCGTCTTGCAGCGATTGAAGATGGTGGCAGGCTCCTAATCGGGGAGAGATGAGAGACGAGAGACGAGAGGAGTGATTTGGATCGAATTGTAATTACCCTGGTGTTTTCCCTATTTTCTCTCTTGCAAGATACCCCATATCACGGAATCAGAATGCCTTGATTTTTGTTTCTCGTCATCAAAGGCTCTATGATGATGACAGACGTGGTGCTCAGGAGTTGATGGTTTCAGAGCTGTCTCTTTTCTCGTCGCAAGTGACACAACAACCAGGCTTTCACAGCTCTCCTTCACACATACACCCACGGTAAGCCTCAGACATCAGGCAGGATTGCAAGATCATGCCTTGAGTACAATAAGTCTGTTGCACAGGATATTATTCCGCTTGTCCAGGAGACACAATGGCGGCAGTGGGGTGGCCTCGCCAGGCTGACGCAGCCGGAGGGGAGGAGGTGAGGTTCTACTGCGATGAAAAGCCGGCAGTAGTAGTTGTCATGATGCATGTCTGCAGGATCTGATACGGGCGAATCGTGGAGCCGAGCTTCAGTGTTCCCTGTCCGGCATGACCTTTTTTCCCGAGCCTTCTGCTGTTCCTTTCCCCTCCGATGATGGTCTGTGATGATGGGTGATGATGATGATGATGATGATGATGATTAGGAGGAGGAGGAGGAGGAGGAGGAGAGAGAGAGAGAGACGCACACACACACACACGGAACGGAAGTCACGGTGGTACGCAATCCAATTATTAGCATGTGCTCGTGGTGCCTGTGCTTTTTTGACGGAGGGGAGTGTGCCAGGAGACTCCTTGCTGCCCGACGGTTTGTTCGGTTTCTGGTGTGATCTGATGGATGCGCCATTGGTTATTGGTCGGGCTGCTGGCTAAACCGTCCATCACTCCGTGTTGCTCCTGCCTTCCATCCTCTCCTTGCGCTTGCCTCTGCCCGCCCCCCTTTCCCCATCCCTTTCCCTTTCCCTTTTCCCATATACCTTACACCTTTTAGTACTCGTCGTTTACCGGTAGGTGCATCATCGTCGCATATCAGATCCTATCATACTCCCTGTTCCTTTTCCGCACCGATTATCTCACACCGCTATATCGCATCGCATCGCATCGCCTTCTTCTTCTTCTTCTTCTTCATCATCACATGGCTGTCCCGTTCGCTCCATTCCAGCAGAGACACCTTCTTCTGCCCTGACCACACCACCGAGCAGGCGACACTGATCCCACAAGGGAAGCGAAGTACCGTTCAGGAATCTTCCATTACCAGCTCACACGCGCCGGCCCGGTCGACTAGTCAAGCTCAACGACCAAGCTATTGCATTGCTGTTACGTTTTGGGAGCTCGACTAGCAGAGAGCGCCGAAAGGGCCCCAAGGACTTGCGAAGCCTGATTCCAACGAGACTACTCTCGCTACCTCTCCCTCCCAACAACCACAACCCGGGAAAAGGACAAAAAGAGTTGGGAGAAGGAGGAAAACGACGGCATGGCTCCCCAGCAGAAACAGCGGAAAATGGCCGTCGTCGGGAGTCGATCAGTCGGTACGCCCAGCAATCATCATGCGCTCACCACTATCCCTCTTCGCACAACCCACCCCTCACTCACTCCAACTCACACGATTCGTTCACAGGCAAATCCTCCCTCACCGTCCAGTACGTCGATGGCCATTTCGTGGATTCCTACTACCCCACCATCGAAAACACCTTTAGCAAAGTCATCCGCCTGAAGAGCCAAGACTTTGCCGTCGAGATCATCGATACCGCCGGCCAGGATGAATACACCATCCTGAACAGCAAGCACTTTATCGGGATCCACGGATACATGATCGTGTATTCCGTCGGCTCCAAGCAGAGTTTTGAGATGGTGAGGATTATACGCGATAAGATTCTGAATCATTTGGTACGTCTTCTCCCCCGCTCTCTCTCTCTCTCTCTCTCCCTCTCTCACCAAAGGGAAAGGGTTGTTTTAGATTGGGGTTTTGTTGACCGCTCTGGTGTTTTATTAGGGCGTAGAAACGGTCCCCATAATGATCGTAGGCAATAAATCCGACCTGCGACCCGAACAGCGCGTCGTGCGCGCCGAAGACGGCAAGAAACTCGCCGAAGAACTGGGCTGCGCGTTCGTGGAAGCCTCGGCGCGGTACAACGAAAACGTCAACAAGGCTTTCGAGGGAATGCTGGCGGAGATCGAAAAGGGTCAAGAAGCGGGACAGCCCAAGGAGGGCAACACCAAGTGCGTCGTCATGTAGGACAAGCTTCGAACACGCACGGAGAAGTTGCGGCGGTGGGCGAAGAGGGTGTGGAGGGGATTCCTCGATTGGCAGTCTCCGCAGGAACAGATGGTGGAGGTTTACACACCGCAGCCGTGGCCGGGGCCATACTACGGGCCTCCGAGAGAGAGGTCGGGCACGCGAGAAGGAAGAGAATCGAGCCAGGGGATTCATGATGATGCGCGGACTGTCATTGGAGGGGAAAAGGATTGAGGATAGTAGAAGGAAGACGAGGCTTCCAGCAGACGGTGCGCGCCTGGCGTGCGCAAGGTGTCGTTGATGAGAATTACGGAGATGACGAGATCGCTAGACTGCTATCTTATTGTTCTGTACCAGTTTTTCGCTGCACTGTACTGCACCGTACTGTGCCGGGCTGGATATCTATACCCACGGAAAGAGGTCCGCTAAAATACAGCATCAAAGCAAATTCAAAACAACCGCAAGATTCTTAGACCCCCCATCCCGAGTCCCAGTCTAGGGGGGCTCTCTGCAGTTCTTCTTCTTCTTCTTCCATCATCATCATTCTTCTTCGGCCTTCTCTCCTACATCACGCCGTGACGGCCGCAGGCCGCTCCACTTGCGTGCTTGCCCGCGGCCCGATAGCCCATCGCCGCCCACCTCCACCATGCCGGTCTGCATGTGCATGTGCATGTGCGTCTTCTCCACCTCCTCCTCCTCCATCACCAGCACCACCACCACCACTACTCCTGAAGCTGGAGCCGGAGCCGGAGCCGGAGCAGGAACTGGAGCTCACTGCCTCCCTCGGCTCCTCCACCACCTCCTGGGAATCACTAACCGACGACGCCTTCCTCTTCGGCTTGACAACACGCCGAGCAAGCGAAGTCCACCGCGCAATCTTGGCGCGCTTCACGCAATGCTTGCAGCACACCTCATCCCCGAGATCTGCCTCGCCCTTCGGACCCACGGGATCTTCGACGCCCACGACCGGCGCACGCGGATCCCACGCGTATTCCGAGCGAAAGACGAGTTTCATCTTCGCAACGCTCGCGGGCGTTTCGTTCCATTTGAAATCGATATATTTCTGGCATGCGGCGGCGCGCGGCCGGTCGGGGATGAGATGCGGGTGGTCGTGGTAGAAGCGGACCAGGACGTTGCGGTAGCGGTCTTCGTCGTGCTTGATCAGGCGGTCGAATTCCCGGGTTCGTTGGTCCGGGGGCCAGTCTTTGTAGCAGTCGTACACGACGGGGACGAAGGCCTCGACCCAGGTGGCGACGGCTTCGCCGCTGGTGGTGGGCGGTTCGTAGTCCACCCAGAGTTTGGGCAGGTGGGGGAAGTCGCGTAGAGGCGCGGGAGGTTGCCATGGGGCCTCGTCTGCTTGAGGTGCAGGTTGCCAGTCCTTGGTCTGGGTCGGAGGCGCCTGGTCGGTGTGGAGGTTATCTTTGGATCGGTTGGGCGTGTTCATGAATGAATCTACGGGTGTGTCGGTTGCGCCAGTGGCAGTGGACATGTTTGGTCTCTTGAGCAAGCCGGTGGAGCTTCGTTGTCGCTTGGCTGGCCTATCGCCGAGATCGTGTGAGGTGATTGATGTGTCTTCGACATGCTCTGCGGCCGACAACTTCGAGTGGAAAGGCAATGTCTGAGGAGGAGCCGGCCGCACCGACGATGCAATTTCGCCCATGTTTCAATCGGGGGATATGTACGTGCCGAGTGATTCGAATCTTGTGTGTCGCGTGTCCTTGTCAAGAAGGTATCGTGCAGTGCCAGCGAATAGTAGTGTGTCCAGGAAATCCTGGAGACGGGATACTGGAGAAGGCCGGCTAGGATCGAGTTTCAGGGTTTAAGTCTTGCGCGATTTTATGCTGACGAGATCCTTGATTGGAGTACGCGTTTCAGATGAACGAGGGTGTGCGTGCCTGATTGCGAAAGACGTAAGACATGAGCAAATTCGCGGCGCAGCATAAAGTGATCGTGCACAAGTGTGGTTATGAACGGGTCTCCTTGTAGGTAGGTTTGAGTATGACGACTCACGGTGTGTTATCCACAAGTCTGGGTCGGCTAAATCGGAATGGGCGCACCTTTGCGATCAAAAGAGGGTATCCATTGTCATATGTCATAGCATTCCATTCTTTGTTCTACGCGCTTTGTGCACGAGGGCTGTTGACGTCCCGGGTGACGAGGTGGATGTGGTGATACCGCAAGCCCAGACATGAGCAGCGAGCCTCGAGCTATTTGTTGCGCAACAGCATGGGAGACAGCCGCCACGCGCCTGCCGCGAAGTGTCCGTTGACCATCTTCATCTCTTCACCGGCGAACGTGCCAGAAAGCGCTTGGAGGCCGCTCTCGTGTTTCGCTTGTCGCGCTATTTCGGGCGCGGCTAAGATGCCGTGCCGAGAAGCCGTACCTGCCAGACCTGTCCACGCTTTCATATGATGAGGAACTAAGTCCAGCTCTGGCCCGTCATGAGACCCCCGCGTGTATTCTTACTCTTCATCGTAGCAACGGCCCATCTTGCTTTTCGTGCGACGTGGCATATGCGTGACTGGGACATCGCAAACGCCGCGCTTCTCCCTCTCAAACTCAATCATCATCCGCATAGTCTGCCTCAGCATCTACCCCGTCGTCGTCAATGAAGCCGTCGTCCTCATCTGTGTATTTTTCTCCGGGTGCCAATCCTGCGCGTGCGGATGCTTGTGGTTGGTTCGGACGCCGAATCGCTGGTGGTACGCCATCCACGGTCCCACCACTGTCCTTCGCAACAGCGTCGCAAGCATCGATCCAGTCCGCGTAGACATCGACGGCTTGAGACAGGTCTGGAGCACTGTCAGTATCATGATGTTGCGGCGCATCCTCATGTGCGTACAATTAACGCCGGTCTGGAATGTCTGGCCGCATGATTTGCAGTTCAGGTTTCCGACTCCTCCTTTCTTATCGATCTTGACGGTGACGGCGGTCTCGTGGTTGCAGAAGACGCATTTGAAGTTCGTGGCGAGAGGTTCGCGCTGTGGAAATCTGTCAGTATTTGGCACTTGCGACGCGCTGTGGTAGAGCCGCGTTAATGTCGTACCTTCCTAGGGCCCGTGGGCTTGCGCGACGACTTCTTGCGTTTACCCTATTGCTGTCAGCATCATCTGCTCCTCCTGTCAATGGGCTTGGCTGTGTGCATACCATTCTCGCGAAGTTGTTGAGCCAGAAGGTACGATGTCGCAACAAGAAGAAAGGCAACTTCAGAGTTCCTCAAAAGACGATTGCTGGCGGCGGCGCACAGACCATTTCCCCTACTAGCTCGTAACTCTAAGCTGCTTACCTACTCCGTCATGCGTCTCAAACTCCACGTGCCGGGCAGTGAAGGGGAAGAGACGATAAGGGTTGGCCGTCTACGGCGATCTCCTAGACCGCCTTCATTATTGGCACTCCGTTCAATGTACTTCATCTGTTGACTGCTTCTTTGTTCTTGCACGTGGCTTCGTTTGCTCCGCAATCTGGAGATCTTGAGCTCGCGCCTTCTGGGCCAGTACACTAACAAACAATAACAGGGCACACACTTCACAGCTTAAAAGGAAGCTCAAGACCGCCTCCCTTTTCTGATCTTCTCTGCGCAGGCACTTGAGGACGTTTGAAGCAAAATGTCAGAATCGAACCTGGCCGAGAAACTGGACGTGATCCTCTCGAAGCTCACCAAGCTAGAACAAGGCCAAACAGACTTGCAATCCAATCACCGGGAGCTCGGTTCCACGGTGGAATCCATCAACGGTCGGGTAAATGCTCTCGCGGGCGTGAAGCTGGCGCAGGACGGCATTGCTCACGATGCGTCCTATCCAAGCCCCAGACTCGGGCCCAACAGTCCGAAGATGCTGCCCAAAAGCCACCAGAAGCGGGACAGCACGAGCTCTGTGGATGGCTATGGAAAAGACATCAACGGCCATGCGGACTCGGCTTCTCCGCCTCCCAGAAGGCCCAGTACAACATCAAAGATCATCCTAACGTCGTACCCCGGGCAGGCTGGAGTCGATCCGTTACCGATGCAATGGGGTTCAAAGGATCCGGTCAAGAGAGGTCCCGTGGTGGTCTCACGTAATCCATCAACGATCCGGCGGCGAAACGCTATTGGAGCCCATGGAGGCTCGTACAGTATCTACTATGCACTGGCTGTGGCATCGAAGCAACTGGAAACGGACCACAAGCCAGACTTCACCAACACAGAGCCCGCTGCGAACATCGGTCCTTTCCCCGCATGGTATGACCCCAAGAAGATCGTGGCAATGGATCCGTTGGGCCATCTGGCACCATGGATGTTCAAGGACTACATCAAGAACGACAATATTGAAATCAGGCCCACCATTGCCGTCACCAAGGCGCACATGAAGATCCCCGAGCTGGAGGAGAGCGTACGTAAGGGTAGACTCGTACCGGACGGCAAGATCTGTCTCAATGATACTGGAGAGCTCAGTGTCACCAAGTTCGCCGTCGAGCCGGTGTGGTATCTACCCGGCGTAGCGGAACGTTTCGGGATCGACGAGGGTACACTCCGCAGGTCTCTGTTCGAGCACACGGGGGGAAGCTACCCAGAGCTGATTACGAGGAACGACATCAAGCTGTTCCTGCCACCAATAGGAGGGCTGACGGTATACTGCTTTGGCGATCCGGCTAAGATGAGCGATCCGAACGTCAGGCTGGCGCTTCGCGTGCACGACGAGTGCAATGGCTCTGACGTGTTCGGAAGCGACATTTGTACGTGTCGTCCTTACCTGATCTTTGGCATTGAGGAGGCGGTCAAAGAAGCCCAGAAGGGCGGCAGCGGAGTGGTCATCTACTTCCGCAAAGAGGGGCGGGCACTCGGCGAGGTGACCAAGTATCTCGTCTACAACGCACGGAAACGTGGTACTGACCGAGCGAGCGAGTACTTCAAACGGACCGAGAATATTGCCGGTGTGAAAGACATGCGCTTTCAAGCGCTTATGCCTGACGTCTTGCACTGGCTGGGAATCACCAAGATCGACCGGATGCTGAGTATGTCGAACATGAAGCACGACGCCATTGTCGACCAAGGCATTCCGATCCACGAGAGAGTACCGATTCCCGACGAGATGATTCCAGAGGACAGCCGAGTCGAGATTGACGCCAAGATCCATGCAGGCTATTGTAAGTGTCGGACGAGGTACCAAGATTGTCGCAATGAATACTGACATGGCTCATTAGTTACGAACGGTAAGATCATGACAACAGAGGAGCTCGCCAATGTGCAAGGCCGAGCGTGGGAAGACGTCGATGTATGACCCGCCAGATGCACATGCCACGACACTTCAGCAAGCTGACAGATACACAACAGCATTGAGCGCCATTGGACGGGACGCGATGGCTTGTATAGGCGTTGATTAACCGGACAGAACTTGGATGCTGGGAGGAGGAGTACCTTTGTAGCGGATCAAGAGGGCACGGATCGACGGTCGGTGGCACATGAAGCAGTCGGTCGATCTTGAGATTTTCCAAGAGACGGCCGATGATCAGCAAGGCTAGTGGACTTCAATGAATCTTGTCTTGCGCGAGGTGGTTCTCCGCCTCCTGCTGTGTTGATGTGAAGATGGACATGGTATTCGACAGAATTGCCTGAGGCACCGAGATAGCGGCGCTCTGACACAGGTCTCGGCAACCGTTCTTTCCCTATCTCCTTCCGAGTGAGAAACATGCCAAGCACCCCAGATTACATCCTTCCTCACGCCAACAAAGACGGCAAGCGGACGCTGTGTTGTGAAGTGACGACGACACCAGAATAGCAGGCTTGCCGTCCAGCGTCGTCTGTTCCCAGGTGGTGGAGTCATGGTCAGGTGTTTTTCTCTCTCGGCGTTCGGGCCTCACCTGTCCCTCTTGTTGGCCGGCGCTCTTCCGGGACCATGGTCAGGTTTCGTAGCTGTCGTAGTAAGAATCATCATCTGCGGAAGGCAGCGGTTCCCAATTCCGCGCATCATCATGGTGAGTCGGTGAGGTTGCAGTGCTGTCTCTTGGTCGTGTGCCTCGTATGACTATGTGCTCCGCCGCGCGGGTAGAGTGGACGGAAGCGGCATCTGCTCCCGCTCCAGAGCCACCCACCCACACACACGTCGCGGCAACTGAACATGGCAAGCACAGACAAGCATGCATGGGTGGAGGAGATGCCGACTCGTTCCTGGCCAGAGGGTCGGTAGAGTCGGCACTTCAGTACATGTAAGGTAGTCATAGTCAGCCCTCGCAGGGCCCGAAGGCGTGGAGAGGTGGCAGCACGCAGGCCTGCCCAAGTCTAAACTACCACGTCCCACAGGTGCATGGCGAGCTGCGTGCGTGAAAGTGGCATCATTCGTGCCACATGTTTCCAGTGATGCGGGAAGTGCTTCCTTGTTGCGCGCGGGGAGCGAGGAGAAGAGCCGGCGTGGAATTGGGCCACGACACGCTTCCACGTACGCGGACGAAGCGAAGCGAAGCGACCGCTGCCTGGACGAGCGACGGGATACGCGACTGGACAGGACATGCGACAGGACATGCGACAGCTACAAGTGACAGCTGTGTGGACATGCGACAGCTTGCAAGCGACAGCTGCCAGTTGTTAGCCAGTCGCCCGCCAGTGGACAAGAGGAGGCAGAAGTACAGGAGAAGAAGGTTCGGCGCTGACAGGATTGCGGGCCACCTGGACGCAGCAATCGGAAGCCGGCTGCTGTGTGCTGTAGTTGGTGTGGGGGAGGGCTCCTGGACGGCACACGGCTCCTTGACAGCTCACTCCGATATTATGATTGCTGCCCTGTGTGGGCTGTGCCTTCCTGCCTTGCTGCCCGGTGTGTGTGCTGTGTTCCTTCCTTGCTGCCCTGGCACACTGGGGCCCGCGCCTGCCTCCGCCTGGCTGTGCCTGCCCTATTCCAAGCGAGCTGCCCGTCCCCGTCCCCGTCCCGAATGCTTGTCCGCGGCTGGTCCGCAAGCGTAACACGTCCGTCCCCTCGATTGGCCCGCGTCTCTGCGCCCGTAACCGTAACCCACGCAGCTCTCAATAAAGCAATACAAGAATACCTCTGCCGCTGACCTCGACAAATAACACCCACACACCCGTCTTCCTCGTATCTCCTCCCCCAAACCTCCCTTACACATTACTCCTCGCCTCATCATCGCCTCATCATCGTTATCGGCATCCGACTCCTCTCCCTATAACCACACACTACCACTCTCCCTACTCGGGCATCATCCACTCCAATCTCCACATACATACATCAACACACGACACCATGGCCGTCAAATTCTCTCAATCCAAGACCACCGTCGCGCGACCCCACCTCACCAAGGAGCATAGCAGCGGACAGCGCTCTCCACCACTCGACGCGACCTCTTCCCTATCCAAGATGGCCCGCGGCAAGAGTCCATCGACCAGCCCCATGCCATCGCCTTCCGACCGCGAAAGGCGCGCCTCCGACGACTACTGGCAAAAGGCATACCGCGAATCCTCCTACGTCTCGTTCCGGGATTTCGACGAACTCCGTGCCGAATACGAATCCAAATCAAGTCGAGGGTGATCGATCTCTCACATCTTCACTGTTGAGGAGGCATCTTGATCAATCACCACCAAATGCCAAACGCCCCCCTTTGATGCATGCACTGGAAGCGTATCCTACCCACGACTACCATTACTTTTTTTTTTAACATTGCAAGGCTATCCATCTGGCTTTATCGTTTGAGCTCCGAGGACACGATTGTACAGACGAGAATGAAAGGAATCCGACTTCGTCCGCTGCCAAAAAACTCCTCCGCTGATGAGAGAGAGAGAGAGAGAGAGCATGAAAGGAAAAATAATCTCCGCGCGCCACTCGGCGGCAAGACAATCGCCGCTCCACGCAGACCGACGCAGGCCCTAAGTTTAAGGCTGACCAACTGCGAACCCTCCGCGCGGCGCAGTTCTCGAAGAACGACAATCTACCTTATGAGATTCGACGCGTCAGGTCAGGGATGGTCTTGGGGGGCTTGGCCAGGCCACGCCAGGCCACGCAGCGGGCCGGAGTGCGACGTGGCAAGATTTTTCTTCATGCACCAAACGGGGAGAGCCCCGGCTGGACGGAGTAGTTGAGATTTGGGGACGGGGAATGTCGAATTCCAGGATGAGCATTGATGATGAGCATTGATGATGAGCATTGATGATGAGCATTGATGATGAGCATTGATGATGATGAAAAAGGGACGCAACTGCTGCTTGTCACGAGGCGCATGTTCTCTTGATGATGATATGATGTGATGATGATGGAGTATATACGGGAGATATGAGCACCGGAGCATACGGGAAAAGGGAAAAAGGATACCGGACAAAAATCAATAGGTCTGCTCGCCCGGCCTAGCTCAGCCCAGGCCAGCAAGCATCGGTCAATAATGATAGTATCTACTTACACATCATCCATCATATCCATCTTCAACGCTTCAATCCATCACCATCCTCATCATCATCATCATCATCATCATCATTTAGTACAATTCCTGCACCCAATTCTCACCGAGTCCGGTCCTGATCCGTCCGGTCCGCTCTAGTGACCTTTCCTTCCTCATCTTTCCGGCGAACAATCGACCGAATTTCGGGTTCCTCTTTTTCCATTCCATTCAATTCAATTCAATTCAATTCAATTCATGTCGTGGTGCTCTTTCATCGTCGCTAGATCCACCTCGGGGCGATTGAAAGCCTGGAAGCACCGAGAGTGCGGGCCTGTAACAGGACGTTGTGGTAAGAGATTCCGTGCGATTTCGTAGTCTTCCGAAGAGTGGTTTTTTTTTTATAAGAATGTCCTTCTTGTTGTTGTTGTTGTTGTTGTTGTTGTTGTTGGTGGATCTGCGCGTACTTGTTCTCTGTTTTTCTGAAATTTTCCCCCTTCTTCTTCTTCTTCTTCTTAATCCCGAGGTTTTTTCAGGTTCAGGGAGGAGTGCGGAAGGATTGGATCACCGAATGAACAATCTCGATGACGATAGTATAGCGTAGCTGATTGGGGTAGACTTGGGCCAGCAGGATTCAGTAGAAAGGAAGAAGAAGAACAAGAACAAGAAGAAGAATGAAGAATGAAGGTTTATGGGTATGAGGATTCCTCGGAGGAAAGGTAGTAGTAGTGCACCTACTTGTAGATCTATGCCTTGTCGCGACCGACCGGCCGATTTCGGTGTTCGATGCTTCAGACGTGAGAGAGAGAGAGAATGTCTCCTCTAAGTGGCAGGCAGGAGACTCCATCGCAACAACAACAAAGTCGTGTCGTTGAAATCTGACGACACTGACACGACGCAAGCCCCTGGAGGATGTAAATCAGATCCAGGCCTTCCGTCTGGAGAGTAGAGTCTCCAAGCAAAAGGGGCCTTCACCAGAGCCTCGCCTACGTCGTTACATGTACTTTGAGCAACCGTTCGAGGGAAGAAGAGCAAAGACATGACTCTGGAGCGACACTCCCAAGCTTCCACAGATCCCGCGTCTCTCCCACCACCTGCTGCTCCGGAGAGTATCATTATTCTCTCATATCGATCTGTATCAGCGTCAACAAAGGGCCCCGGTCGTCCATTCCTGGTATCGCCGGTGGTGCTACTATTTCCCAACTCCGCAGAGCTCCAATGCGAAGAGAAGCGCCTCTCGGGCGCGAGTTCCACGCTTCAGGCCTGCTCGACCAGGGAATTCTTCTTTCGTCCGCTTCGGTCGCACGACAAGCAAAGAGATCCGGCCGGGCGACAATCTCATGCACGCGCATCGTATGTATGCAGCGAGATACTGCAGCGTAACATGCATTCAGCCCACGTGCCGGGACTGGATTCTGCGGCTGTTGTTCCTTTTCAGAGTCAAGCTACGTCAATAGGTCTCGATGAACTTGACCTCGTATCGTGAAAGGTGTCATACGGGCTACATTCACCTACCTACCAAACGAGAGGCCCACACCTCATTCCCTTACAAAATTTCAGCACGTCCTGTTGTTGTGACATGTCTCGTAAGTTGCCGTCGGCTTACTCCGCAGAAAGCCTAGTACAGTGGTGACAAGCCAAAGCCTATATCGATATTTCGGACGATATTTCGGACGCGTGCACCTGCGTAAATGAGAAACCACGCAAGAGCATGACTGAAGTCTTGCCACGGGAGGAGATTAGAGGTTGACCAGAAGTGCCTGGCTCCTGGAGCATGCGCATGTGTCGTGCGCAAGAGAGCGGGCGAGATAACGCGGCCTCATCAATCAATCGTCAGCAGCTGTGGCATCCTCGGGACCACCTCCCATCGTGCCACCAGCAGCCTTTTTGCCTCTCTTCGTTTTCTGTCCGTCTTTCTTGGCCTGCGCGCGAGCTTTCTTCTCTTGCCTCTCCTTCGCGGCTTTCTCCTCAGCTAGGGCAGTTTCTTGCTGCAGCTGTGTGGTCATTTGCTCCTGCTTGTCTCGCATTGATTCGTTGATGATGCTCTCGGCATGCTGCACGCTCTCGTACTTGGTAAAGACAGCCATGTCTCGACCAGTGGCTTGCGAGTAGTGCTCGAGACTCATTGGTTTGGTGGATTTGCCGCTCAGCGCATCATTCACGCGCCGGGGATCCAGCTTCTCTTCACGGTTAAATTTGGCCTTGATCATGCGTCGGGTCTTGGGAGGGAACATCTTGCTGATGACGAAAAAGTCCGTACCAAACATTTGCAGCGCTTCATAGAACCTGTCGGTCTCTTCTTCGGACCACGGATCGCTCTTCCACTTCCAGGCAGGGACACGGTCAACGGGATCGCGACGATTGTTGTTCATCCAGGTGGTCCGAGTGATGTGGGTGGTCAGGTCATTAATGTCTTCAATCTGATCTTGACTCGCAGCCGCGGCGTGGGCCTCAGCTCCACGCACGATGTCCAGGTTACTGTCTGGGAGAATAATCTCGCCGTTCTCATCCACTGCGAATTGCATGTCTTGAGAGTTGGCCTGGTTATTGTATTCAGAAGGCTCGGCCGGCGGTGATCCGTCGCGTCCTTGCTGCGCTTGCTCTGGATCGTCATCAGTGCCATCAACACCTTCGGTCGACTGGACAACATTGCTGCCGGAAGACGGCTGCTCTTCAGCTATTGCGCCAGCTGCAATTGCGTCTGCCTCGGCTCGTCGCTTGGCTTGAATTTCGTCCCAAGGAAGCTCGGCCATTCTCCTTCCCCGTTCTGAGGTCTTGCCATGCCGGTCATCATGGCTGAGATCCCACATGGATAGCGTCTTTGGATCAATCTCGTGCGCCTCTGCATCAGAATCCTCTTCGGCTGGTTGCTCCTCTTCTTCCTGTAGCTGTTGCTCTTCGCCTTCGGCCGATGTCTCAAGGGGCGCCTGTCGTGGCTCCTTCCGTTTTCTCTGGCGCTTCTTTGGTGCCGACCGGGTTGCTTTTGCAGCAGGTTCAGTGCCGTCGACCGAAGTTTCTTCAGCATCCTGACCCTCGTTCTCATCGTCCGAGTTGACGATGGTGGGCGCGCTCTTAGCCTTGGTAGTGGCCCTTCGCTTGGCTGGAGGCTGCTTTCGCGTGGGTGCTTTGCGTTTCTGTGCAGACTTCTTCAACAGAGTGCTGTCTTCTGCCTGTGTCCGGTTCTCTGCCTGTGTCGTAGCTACACCTGTTGATGGCTCTTCCTCCTCTTGGGCCACTGCTTGCGCTGTCGCGTTGGACCTGACTGAACTCCGCTTTGTCCGCTTAGCAGGACGAGGTGCAGTCGCACTTGGCTCCTCCGCACGTACGCGCTTCGTCCGAGTGCTAGGTGCAGAAGTCGAAGCTAGGAGTGGTTGTGCTGCGGCCCCGGGGTCTACTCGCGGAGGAACAGGCTCTTGCTGCGGAACGATATCGGTCTGCTCTCTCGACTGAGTCTGCGTAGGCGGGGGAGAGGGGAGTGTCTCGATTGACGCAGCCTCAGCGGTTAGTACTGGGGGAACCTGGACTGGCGCAGTCGTAGGTGCATTGGGTGCTGCTGAAGGCACCAACGGTGTAGGTAGACCAAACTCTTGCTGTGAAGCGACATCTGCTCTCGGTTGGCTTTGTGCAGGTGGTGGAGTGAGAGGTCTGTCGATCTCACTAGCCTGGAAATCCGGTGCTCGAGGCGTCTGTAGTGGAGTCTTATCTGGAGTTGCGATGGGTTCTTTTTCGGGTAATGATGGCACGTGAGCCTCGGGCTCTGGTAACGATGGAGTGGGCTCTTTTTGTGGAACGACCGTGGCATCGTTTGTTGGCTGGCTTTGCGAAGGAGGTGGTGACGGAGGCCTACCGGGGGCCGCAGTCTCAGCAGTCGGCGCCGGGGTCGCTGAAGGTGTGGGAGGCGCGGCGGGTGCTGGTCGACGGCGGGCTGGAGCCTTGGGCGCGGCCTTCCTGCCCGGCGCGGCGGAAGTAATAAGATTGTTTGCCGGCATTTTCAGTGAGTGTCGTGGCAGGAAATACTGCCGATGCGTAATCGTTGTTGTGGATGAGCCATGTCGCGTTTGTATGGGAGTTGGAGTTGATTATTGAAGGTGAACAGTGACTAGCGGCGGGGACGGCCGTGTTTTGCCGGAGATTGGCCGGTCGCCCGCAGCGTCTCCAAGCAACTCCTTTCTCATTCCAACAATCTGACTCTGCCGCCTTCAAGCAAATTCATCACTACCCACACGACACTCTTTCTCATCCGCCGCGACACTGCCATCTGCTGCATGCTGCGACCGCGCCCAGTGTCAGTCTCTCATGCGGCACACAACTCCCGGCAGCAGTATCTAGGCGGGCGCAGCGGCCACCTCACGGCGCAGCCTCGCCTTTTCAATGACCGCCACCAGGACCGCAGTGCCGCCGCTTCCACGTCTTGACAAGATCGAGATGGAGGATCGCAAGCGGTCTCTCGTCAACGATGTTGACGACCTTGCGCCCAGTCGCAAGCGCTTCAAGGACGAGAATGGAGCCACGATGAAGATGTCCGAGGACAAGGAGAAAGAAGTCGAGGTATGCTTTGTGTTCGATGTTTCACGCTGCGTACTCGAGCCACAGAGCATGATTCTAACCCGCGTGTGCATAGGACTACCAAAAGGATGCCATCATGCGCCAAATGAAGGAATACCGCCGGCAGAAGAAGGATGCGGAAGAGCAGCTGGCTGAGCTTCACAAGACGAGCCAGTACCACGACGATCACCTTCGCACCGTCGACGCCTGGTTCTCCCAGCTCCTTGACGAAGTCCGCGTGCTCGCCTCGCAATCCCTCCCCACGCCGCCTCCCAGCGCAACTTCGACGACCGGTATGACAAGCCCTACCCATCACGTGAGAAGATACCATACTGAGAATATGCATAGGCGGAGAGATGTACCATTCGGCATTAGTGTTTGAGGACAACGAGGCCTTCTCTGAACATCTCAAGTCCCGTTCCGAGAACATCAAGCATGCTATATCTGACTTGTTTGGCCGCTTACCCTCGGCTTCTCCCGATGTTGAGGACCTGCGCAAGCAATTGAATGAGCTGCTGGCCAAAGAAAAAGAGCATGCCGTGGAATTGCGCAGGACGATTGACGAAAAGGACTCGCTTTATGAGCGTCTGGAACAAGCCATGGGCCGCTATATGACTGCTGAGCGGAAGCTGGACCGGGCCAAGAGCGCCCAAGTGGCAAAGCTGGAGAGACAGGCCGTAATGGGTGGCAACACTGACAATGCCTCGCCGACTACTTCTAAGGCAGCAGCAACTCCAAAGCGTGAAAGCACAGAGGGCAACGGCGAATTGGAAAATGGTATTGCAAGTGCAGAAGCCGAAGCCGCGCGCAAGGAAGCCGTTGCTGCAGCAGAGAAGCAGAAGGCCCAGCTCGAGGAGATTGAGGCTGAAAATGAGCGTCTGACAAATGATTTGAGCGCAGCAAGAACAAAGTTGGCCAGCCTATCGGACGATGATTATGCCCAGACATCGCTTTACAAGACTCTCAGATCGCAGTATGAGGATGTGGTGAAGCGCGTGAATGGTTTGGAAGCCAGCAACGGTCAGCTACGTGAAGATAGCCAGAAATTCGCCGGGGAGCGTACTGCCTATCGGACTCAGATTGATGAAGAGAACCGCAACCAGATCAACGAGATCGAGGCGGCGAGCGCTCGAGCCGAAACCGATTTGGCACGCATCAGGCACGTACGCGATCAGCTGACTTCAGAAATTGCAATCCTGAAGTCTTCGGACGAGAATTCACGCACATCGGTAGCACAAGCCCGAGAACTCGCGGAAGCCAAGGATCAACGCATTGCAGCTTTAGAGTCACAAGTGAAGCGACTAGAACTTCAAATTGGTGAAGCCGAGGCTGCCGAGGGCGATATGGACGGACTTGACGTGGAAGCGCTGAAGTCCAAGTTGCGCACACTGGACAGTCAGTATTCGCTGCTCAGTAACGAACTGCCATCTATGGAGTCAGCATGGAAAAAGACGCAAGCTTTGGCATCGAAGAAAGTCGAGGAAATTGCTGCTTGGGAGGAGCAAATTGGCCGTCTCTCCGCGGAGAAAGCAAAAGCAGACCAGAAGTATTTCGCTGCGATGAAGGCAAAAGACATGCGGGAAGCCGAGCTTCGAACGCTCAAAACACAAAACCAGCGCTCAAGCGAGATCGTGACGCAGCTCAAGGAGGGTGAGGCGAAAACGAAGGAGCTGTGCGCAAACTATGAGCGACAACTCGCAGATGCGAAGGAGGGCTTGACGAAGCTGGAACAGCAGTCTCGGGCAGCTGAGCAGAAGCTCAAGGAGGCCACGATCTCTGCAGATGGCTTGAAGAAGAGCGTCGATGAGCTAAAGGCTCTTGTTAGCGTCAAAGACAAGGACAATCTGACAGCAGCGAAAGCCAAGCGCCAAGTCGAAGAGGATCTTGAGAAGTGTAAGACACGTCTTGAAGACTCCAAGAAACAGTACGAAACACTGCGCAAGAGCAGGGCGGCGGTCAACGCTGCGGACTCGGATGACTGGCGGGTGAGTTTAGGATACTTGCATTTTTGGTCAAAGAGATCAGACACTAACCCAATCACAGAAAGTCGCCATTTGCCCAGTCTGCAATGCCAACATCCGCAATACCGTACTCAAGCTCTGCGGACACGTCTTCTGTCATTCGTGTGTCAAAGATCTCATCTCGAACCGGTCGAGAAAATGCCCCAGTTGCGGGCGAGCTTTCGGCACCAACGACTCAATGTCGATTGTTCTTACATGAATTATGCACCAAATTGGGGATGTCCCATGCCTCCAACTCACCGCCCAAGTCTCTGTTTGCAGAGCAAACAAGCGTACGCGGTACGCCTCTCGGCAAAACCTCACGGTGGAAAAGGCACCGGTGGCGCGACTCGCCTGACGACAGCACGCCAACATCACGCCAGGATACCTGGCACTTTTCTCACGATTGACAAGTTTCCAGAGATGCGTGAACAGCAACCACCACCGGTAAAGTGGCCCTAAGATCCGGGCATGTCGATTGTGGGGAGGTAGTGCAGATGTTAGCTTCTTGGGTGGTTCATGGCCGGTCCCTCAGTCAAGCCGGCCACCTTTTTGTACTAGTATGATAACACATAGGATTAGTAGAGGAAGAGATGAGAAGAATGTCGAAGTCCTGCAAGAACATGTCTTTCAACTACTGCCATTCGGGATGTACTGCGGATGGACACTACGTGTCTTGCCTTTGGCAGTTGCATGTTGTCGAGTTGAGCGCGATTGTTAGTCCGCCTGGAGATGCTGAAAGCCTTGTCAAAAGATGAAAAGTCACATTTCAAATAAGTATCTTGCCCAAAACTTCGCACACATCAAATACCCACCAACGCATCAACCGTAAAAATAGGCTTATCCTCCGCCGCCACCACCACCTACAGCACAATTGTTAGCCGATGTGTAACATGTTCAAGGAGCGAAAGTATGGGAAGGACTTACAACCACCGCCTCCACCACCACCACCACCACCACAGCCGCCTCCGCCTCCACCTCCGCCACAACCACCAGCGGCGCCGCCAGCACCTACATCAAACGACGTTAGCAAATCTCACACATAGTAGAACGACGGTAGGATAACTTACAGCCTCCTGCACCACAGGCTCCCGCAGCAACTCCACCACCACATGTCCCGGCGCAGCAATTGCCTATGGCGCCTGCCCCAACGGCCATACAACCCGGCGTGACGGGGTAATACATCGGCGCGTAAGGGATGAAGCCAACGTAAGGGGAGTAAGCCGGGATGTAGACAGGATAGCCCCAGGCGTCGGAATAGTAGTAGTCATCTCTCTTGGGTACTGGTCTGCCCTTCTTCTTGGCGCGTTCGCAGGCTTTGAGGTAGTGCTTTTCCAATTCTGCCGCGCGGGCTTTGGATTCGCGGGAGTAGATGGGATCCGAGGCATCTCGGGGTCGGATGGCATTGTGTGCGGAGATGTGGACTGATTTTCTAGGATCTTGGGAAGAGGAGTGAAGCATCTCCTCTGCCCTGGCAGAGGTGGTACTGAAGAGGCGAGAAGCGGTGGAGGTATGGCTTTCGCGGATGGCTTCGCAGTACCAGCATGTGCATTCGGAATATGGCTGGCCGGTCATCCTCTGGTACGTCTTCGAAGTCCAGGCGAAAGAATCATTCAACTTGGTTTCCGCAACCTTGTCATCGTGGTCGATGAATTGCCTAGTCAGCTCGACTGTAAATTTCATGTATTCGTGAGGTGAGAGTTGGTGTGTGTGCCAGGCAAGATCCACGTCGAGTGTAGGAACGGCCATTCGCGTTGGAGTTGAAGCCATGATTTGCAGGAAGACTTGATACTTTTTAATCAGGCGGGCCATGGTGGAGGGCAAAGCGGGTGAATGTAACCAGTCAATATTGTGCATCTTCTCGACGAAAGAGCCTTGTCTTATCACCGCTCCGACCAGATCGAGGGCGAAAGGAGAGGAATTCTCCCAGTAGCGAGACATTATCTTCCTCACGCCGATGCGCTCGGATCGCTGCATGCGATAGGAATGGCTACTCCGTACTTTACGCATATACGCGCGATCGTTCATAGCTGCCTCCACTGCGTCGCGAATCTCGTTGACGGTTTGGGTGGAGGATGCTTGCTTACTGATGATGGTCTGGCTGAGGCCTTTCTTGAACAAATCGTTGCAGACGACGTTGACGACTTCGGATGTGATGTCTCGCTTTCCAAAGGCGGTATAAGGTATCCCTTCGTGGCCTAGACATGTACCGCCCAAAGGAACATCATCGTGGATGAGCTTCTTCATGTCGTTGCAGAATTTGCCAGAGCGAAGGCGTTCGTGTGTAAAGCGCTCCAGACAATTCCTGCATTGAAGGCGGAAGTCTTTATCGCAGAAGCCACGGCCGGAAGACAGCATGTCGTCGATGACACCCCCAAGGACCTTCTCATTGGTGATTTGAGTGGAAGGTGCATAGTCAAAGCATGTTGTCCAAGCAGCCCAGTTATCTTGCATGTTACAACTAGGGCAGATGACTCTCTTCGAGTTGACGTCTTCGAGATTGTGCCATGGGAGACCAGTGAGGCTAGTGAAAGAGGCTTGGGCTTCCGGCGTTGCTTCAAAGGCGAACGTCTCGGAGTTGATGCACTGCGACACAACCTGCCATGGCATAGGTGTGTGCCACAGCGGCATTCTGCCGTATCGAATGCAGTCCTCCAGATAAGCGCGCGGATTGAGCATATACGAGTGCCAGACCATGAGCACGTCGGCTGGGGGTATGTTGGTCATGTCAAGCATAATCGCCTGTCCATTCATGTGTGCCGGCTTAAGGAGAGTACCAGCTTTGCCGGAGCGTTCAAGAGTCCCACGGTCAATCATACGCGCGTTTGGCGTGACAGCATTCCACCAGACCTCAAATCGATCGACTGCTCGTTGCAAGTAGATGGCCCATCGCTTCTCGGCAAGGTTCGCCAGCAGTTCGCTAATATTATCTGTCTGAGGCAGTCCATGCCCAGTGACCACTTTGTCGTTGATACCGAAAAGGCCATCGCGGGAACCAACCGACTGCTTCAAGCGATAGAAACATTCCAGCACTTTCAGGTGAGCGATCGCTTCCTCAGGTTGCGGGAAGCCATTTTTGGATTCTGAGATGTGCAAATTGTTAAAGCCGGCCGTGATGTCGGGAGGATTGAGTATATTCTCGCGGTCATAGTCTGGTGGCTGCTCTTGATACCCAGGTGGTGGCGAGTCGTTCGAGCGGTTACGATCCGTTTCTGCAAGAGCTTCCTTCTCCTTCGCCTCGGAGGACGAGAAGAGTTTGGATAATCTATTAGGCATGATATTCGAACTCAGGTTGGAGAGAATGTTGCCATGCGGCGACTCAGTGTACATGTGAAGTTGGAGGAGTGAAGAAGGAGAACAACTTATCAAGCCGGAAGGTGTGAAGGCCTTCGGTAGTGCCTGGCGTCATGCAGCTTTCAGCCTTGTGCCGCACACATCTGTGCATGGCTCAGCCATCCATCGTGGCGGTTTCAAGCCGAATTGAGAAACTATAATGTCAGTCACAAATGCGCAGTGCAAGTGATCAGCAGGGAGGTAACTTGATGGTGATGTGGTCTGGAGACAAAGGATTCGGCCAGTCGAAGAGGTCGAATCAAAGAGCTTCTCAGCCCCTTCCACGGGTCTTCTAGCGTGAGGCTTAGCAAGACTTAGCCTACCGATATCCGTGCCGGTCATGTGTTGACACTTGGCGGCCAATAATGAAGTGAATGCGATGATTGCACGGTGCTGCAAGCCTAAATAGCGAAGACCGCCGCAACAATCGCAACATCTCTTAGCAGTCCGCGAAGGATATCGTATATCGGGCCGGGGACAGCGTCTGCGACATCCGAAAGACACGTATTTACTGTTGTTCTTGCTGAATTAGTGCTGTTCGACTTGCTGCAAGCACTCCAGCTTCTTTGGCTGGTCCTTTCAGGAGCGAATGACTTTCCAATGTGTAGAGGTTGCATAGCATTGATCGACTGTGCGAAAGCATTCTGAAAGTGGTACCATGTGAGGATGTACTTCATTTCGTGGTCGGTGTCGTGATTGTGACTGAACGAAGCCGACACCTGTGGCTGTGGCCGGCCTGACTACTCTGTGGCTCCGTGGACGCCGACTATATACGACGCATGGAGCGATCCAAGGCACACGGGTCTACAAAGCTCCATGGGTGCCTGCCTGGCAAAACGGTACAGGCGCAGACTTCTTAAGCCTGTGCAATAGCACTGTGCGAAGCGGTGTCCCTTCGACAATGGCCGTTTTGCGCATAGTCTTCAGCTCGTCGCTGCGTTGTCATAATTTGATCATAGAGCTTTGCCCATGAACTTTCTCTTCTGGAAGCTAAGCCACCACTGTACATCGTGTGAGCAATGGGGATACCAAGGCATCCTGGAGGTATGGGTAGAGTACTCACCTTACTCGGCTGCCCACTGGGATCCATGTACACTCTGTTCAGTAGCCTTGCAGCCAGCTCTTGCCTCATCTGCATGATATATTGCCTCAAGACCTCCGCCTCATTCCGATCCCGCGGGGACTCAAACATCTGATTGAGCGGGAAGCCCGCATCCCCCGGTATAGCAAAATTGGTGTCCAACGCAGAGTTCATAACTGCTTTCTCCGCATCTCGTCTGCTTGCTCCCGGCTTGATCTTACTCAATGCCTCGCTCACGTAAAGAATGCCATAGATGAGGACGCGGTCTGCGGGTCCCTTGATTTCGAAGTTGCGGAAAAAAGTGTTGGCGCGGAACAGGGAAAGAACTTCGTCTAGGGGGTCGTAGCTTTCATTGCTGGGTTCCACGTCGAGTTCTGTCACGCCAGAGAGGGGTGGAAGTTGTTGTGCTGGTCCGCGAGTTCGGGTTCGGAGGGGAAGGAGTGCGAAGTTGCCTATTAATTGCTGATTCGGCTCGTCCAGGAAGACGGAGTGGTATGCAGGCATCGTGCAGTCGTTCGCGCCGTGTCGAGAAGGATGTCGTTTCACTCCTCCGTTCTTTCGCAGTTCGTAGCTTCTTAGGCAGACAGTTCAGTGGTTGCGATTTGTTTGCCTGTACAATCATCAGTCTCGCCTGAACGATATGATGTAAACATCTAGCATTTGAGCTGATACTCACTCAGCCAAATGTTGGAGTAGCGTGCGTGTGACGTGGTGTCGTGGATTGCGTCGTGCGTCAATGTTCATGTGCCAGATGCTGTTTCTCGAAGCGGGCGAGCTCGAAGACTCGGCAGGTCCCGCTGTCGTCAGCGCTTCAGGATGGATGGCTGCGAACGTTCTTCGTACACCCACTTATCTACCGATACCACCACGAGCTGCACCATCACGCTCGCTATTCGAAACCACGAGCAGAGACCCGCGACATCGACGACAGACCTTCCTCCGAGCTTCCCCTGCGCAATACACTACGTCCACCACCACCACCTCCGACCTCACGCCTCCTCAGGCGACCGTTCACAGTAATCATGAAGCCCGTAGTATCCGCCTTCAACGCATGGACATGGTACGAGAATATGTAGAAGAAAATGGAACATACAAGGACATCAGAGCTAAGAGAATATACACAGCATCGTCATCTCCGTATTCGCAATCGTCATCCTAAGCACAATCGGCGGCATGTTCGCGACTAATCACCATAGCATGGTCGGCTCGGAAGAAGACCCCGAAGATGGCGGTAAAGTCGCCGCCGCGGTATTTGGCGCTGTTGCTGTATATGCGGTGAGGACTTTCGTGTGGAGAAAGTAGCGATAAAGGGACGAATGCTGATGAGATGGGTCCTACAGGTCTTTCTCCTCTTTTGCGCCTGCCAGGCGTTCATGCACAAACGACAGAGCGGCCGCGGCGAAATAGCATTGCGCTGATCAGCTCGGGAGTAAGACTGAAGAATTGCGCACAAGATGCGTACATCTGCGAGGCTGAGGAGGAATCGCCTGCCTTCGCGATATGAGACATCCACACCGATATAGATCCAAGAGTTAATCCTCCCTCGATAAAAGCAGTCGAGGTCCTTTGGATCACAACTAGGAGTGAAGAGCGTCATGAAAGGGAGTTTGAGGAGTGATGAGGGAATGTGGGATGATCGTTTTGCATTTAGCGGGTGTTATTGTTCTGTACAGAAAGGAACTCATATCATATCAAGTCTACTTAATGTGCTCCTGTTCTCGACACCTGAGCGGTCTGTCGTAAGAGCTGAGCTCGCTGACGTCGATGTATCAGGCGAGATATGTACTGAGTAAAGTCCTAGCACCAAAGGCTTGAATCATGACGAAAGCAGCAGCACCAGCGTCTTGCGCCTTCCCCGGCTGTCCGAGTTCACTACATGTAGTAACCTGCCTCAATCGCTCATACGCCTCCTCTTCCGTATTTCTACCTCCACCGCTAATCTCCTTCGCAGCCGGCATCAATCGACCGTCCTTCACAGCCGGCAGCAATCGACTCTCCTCCATCTCATAAAGTCTTTCGCTAGCACTGAATACAAATTGCCCGTGCCTCGTCTCGTCGGCAATCAAATACGCCACCAGTTCGGCAACAACCTCTGCAGTCTGTGTTTCCAGATCAGCTTCATCGCATTTTTCTTTCGGTACAAGTCCCGTTACCGTCCATGAAAGCCCAATACAGTTGATGCGGATCGGGACCTTATGCTCTTGAAGGTTAGCAACCATACCACGCATCCAGCCGAAGACGCCGCGTTTTGCGGTGGTATAACCTGTCACCCCGAAGCGTTGAAAGGAGGATGCTGAAGCGGTGCAGACAATGCTTCCTCCAGGTGGATCTTGCTTTTGCATATAGTAGTCCAAGATGGGCGGTATTGATCATTCCTCTTAGATTAATATCGTATACCAATCTCGTTGGCTCAAGGAGCCCACCATTCTCGTCGTAATTATCTTGCAGGTAATCCGCTTCGCCTGATATCCTAGCGTTGGAAATACATGATCAATACGGCCGTGTTTGTCTGTGGCTTTCTTGAAGAAGTCTTGAGTTGATCCCAAATTGTCACGTCTGTTTCGAGGAAGGTAAGATTAGCATGATTGACAGGAGAGCCGTTCATGTCACCAGAGACGACGTCGTTGCCCATTTCTAGGAGCAACTTCGCCGTAGCGAGGCCCATACCTGAAGAGCCACCCGTGATCACAGTGGTCTTTCCGCCGTTGATGGACGCAAGATCCTCTTCTTTGACCCAGAATTAGCACATTTTGGTATAGGATGAAGCCCGGGCTTTGGCTATTCTTGCTAGATGCAAGAGTCTGAGAGTAAGTGATCCTCTCTCCAGTACTGAGACCCTGCCTGTGAGAACGGAATCAGGCGGTAACGAATGGCATTTGATCTTACTTCCCACACGTTTCATCGGTCGCCCACAACCCCGCAGAGAGCCGTGTTATACGAGTCTACATGAAGGCAGCTCATCCTTATGATGCTGTAAGCGAGGGATGTAGTCTGCACATGTAGCCACGGAACCCAGACTCAGGAGTTGTTGACGTTATGCTTATGAGAATCTCGATGGAGAAGGTGAGGTTATAGTCTGGGAATTCTCCACTGTGCACGATCTTCGGCATCCGAGAACGACGGCAGGCACAGCAGGGATCGTCCCCGCGTGAGCCGATCGCGGGGCACGAGATCTAGAAATGATTTGGATGACGGTTTCACCCGGAACGCCCTACCACAGGGGTTCGCAAATTAGGATAGATTGACGCTAGTTGCTTGGCATACCACTCTGTATACAATCTCTACCAAATAGAGTCTTTTACACGCTGTCCACCATTCAAAGTAAGTTGTCTACACCTCTATAGTATACTCTATATCCTATGCCTAATTTACTCTATTAAAATCTCATTCCAAACACGTATATAGGCTGCTTTAAGAGCTTGATAGTCCATTTGATATAGGGCCTCTCTATATACCTTTTTTAGGCCTTCTTAAAGTAGTAGCTACACACCTTTAATTAGGTTAAGGTTAGGGCTTTGTACTAGGTACTAGTAAAGCTAGATTAGCTGTTCTTACCTTGTCTTTTTAGGTAGATTGTCCTTTGAACTATAACTATATAATAGATTACTATCTTCTATTAAAATAGTAGGGTAGCCTTGATTCTTTATCTATTTAATCTATTTAATATACTTTAGAAGGATATACTCTATATAGTAGAGCTAGCTTATTAAATTGCCCTTCTTCTAGGTATATAGGGGCTCTAAATTGGCCTATTCCTTCAACTCTACTTAATACTACTCTTCTATCTTCTACCTTCTGTTTCTTCGTAGTTTTTAGCCCTTCTAGATTTCTATAATATACCTATAGTCCTACTATTTATCGTTATAGAAGATAAGGTCTAATTTGTACTACTAAGAGACAGAGGCTGTAATATAGGCTATTAGATAGTTAGGCTTAGGTTGCTCGTATATTATCCCTTCGTACTAGCCCTACTTACGAAAGATTCGCTTATAAAGAGGCATAGCCCTATTAATATAAGCTTCGTCTGTCTAGTAGATCTATTACTAGAGGCTATCTACTGTCTCTAACCTATGTTAGTGCCTATACTTAATCCTAAGCCTCTTGTTAGTTTGTAAGATCTATATAGTACTCTACCTCTTACTACGTAGTATTAGTAGCTACCTTTCTTTTATCCTCCTTCTTAAGGTTGTATATAAGCTTTATAAATGCTTTTAAAAGAAGCTATAGTCCTACTTCCTTAGATCTTAGGGCCCCTTAGCTATTATCTTAATCTAGTAGCTAATATCCTTCTTTTTAGGTCTAGGAGCTTCCTTTCGTAGTAGCCTTCGGCTAGGGGATAGCTTAGCTTCTACTCTAAGTTCTATACGTTAGTAGAGCTATTTACTAGCTATTAGGTAGGTAGGGCACCATTCTTCGTGGTTATATAGCTAGTAGAAGTATTTGAGTGTATATTAGTCTCTATATACATCCTAATAGTTAAAAAAACGGGTTCTATATAGTGTCTTGAATTGCCCTAGTCTCTTTAACCTTTCTAAATGATTTCTAAGCATAGGAGGCATAGTGGTAGTGATACAGAGCCTTCAAAAGTGGTGTTGGTAGGGAGGTTTGGTATGCCAAGCAACTAGCGTCAATCTATCCTAATTTGCGAACCCCTGTGCTACGCTTGTACAGCAAAATTTTGGTCTTTCTCCTAGGTTCCATTGCACCTTCTGTTTGACTCACCTTAGAGATTGGAAGAGATAAAGAACAGCACTTCCTTGCCACATTCTCGAGCTCTCCTCCCAATGACCACTCTGCCAGACCGTCCATCCGCATTCCGCTTCCAATCTCAGACCTCCAACATGGACGGCACGACTACGAACGGCCATGGCGCCGCTGACCCCATTGCCGCGAAGAAGACAACCACCGCCCTCTCCTCCAGCGCATCCCAGTCCTCCTCGTTCGCCGTCAAGGCCGGCTTGGCCCAGATGCTCAAGGGCGGCGTCATCATGGACGTCGTCGACGCCGAGCAAGCACGCATTGCAGAAGAAGCCGGTGCATGTGCCGTCATGGCGCTTGAAAGAGTGCCGGCCGACATCCGCGCCCAAGGAGGCGTCGCACGTATGAGCGATCCGGCCATGATTCAAGAAATCATGCGTGCCGTGACCATCCCTGTCATGGCCAAGGCACGGATAGGACATTATGTCGAATGTCAGATTTTGCAAGCCATTGGGGTGGATTACATCGATGAGAGTGAGGTGTTGACACCCGCGGACCCTACAAACCATGTGGACAAGAACGGGTTCAACACGCCTTTTGTGTGTGGATGCCGGAACTTAGGCGAGGCATTGAGGAGAATTTCGGAGGGTGCGGCGATGATCAGGACGAAGGGCGAGGCTGGTACCGGTGATGTTGTGGAGGCTGTGCGACACATGCAAACGGTCAATGCTGAGATTGCACGAGCCAGCTCTGCTTCGGACGCTGATCTGCGACAAATGGCACGAGAGCTGGAGTGCGACCTATCTCTGCTGAAGGAGACCGCCAAGCTGAAGCGTCTGCCTGTCGTCAATTTCGCTGCAGGAGGTATTGCCACACCAGCCGATGCTGCTCTCATGATGCAGATGGGCTGTGACGGTGTCTTTGTAGGATCCGGGATTTTCAAGTCTGGAGACGCCGCGAAGCGTGCGAAGGCAATTGTGCAGGCCACTACCCATTACAATGATCCGAAGGTTCTCGCAGATGTCAGCATCGGCCTGGGTGAGGCCATGGTGGGCATCAATGTCGAGAAGATGCCAGAGCAGCAAAAGCTGGCCAAGCGCGGATGGTAGGTGTTCATGCAATCGATCTCGCCTTCATGTATGCATAGCAGAGGAGTTTGTTCTCAAAAGCGATGTGCTATGAATTATTAGATTCTGGGACTCGCCTCACCGCGACGTTAGGGTGCTTCATGTAATTGAAGCAAAATCCAACAAGTTTTGCAATCTGCTCATTGGTACAGTGTGTCCTAACAACCCCGAGTTGATTTGTCTTGCGCCAAACGCCGCGCTAATAGTCTTTCATTGCATCAATCATGGCATGGCTTTATGCTTTCGCCTTCTCCATCATTCCCACTCCGTTCCTCACCACACCCACAAGTCCACCGGTTTGTACATTCTCACTACCGCCTCCACTCAGACGGTACTCAATATCCGCCAAGCCCTCTAGCCACGCAACTCGCGTCTGCGCAGGCACATCAACCTCCGTCAACTCCTCGCCCAACGCAGTCAGGATGTCCGCCAGCGCCAGACCCTTGTGCTTCTTCAGCGTTGTGATCGTACTCAAACATGAGCCTACATTCTTCGTCATCAACAACGTCTTAACAATAGTCTTTATATCTCCCGGATGCGGCGCCGCAATGCAGTCATATATCGTCTCCTGCGTGATCAGATCCCTTTCCACATCTTTGCCTTCTTTCACCGGTTCCCCGGGAACGTGCAAGGGTGTCGAAGAAGCATGACAAGCCTGCAGCACGTTCAGTGCACGTCGCATATCTCCCTTTGCAAGCGTGACGAGCGAATCAACTGCTTCCGGAGCAATATGTACGCCCTCCTCCGCAATGACCCTATCCACCAATTGTCGTATATCCCTCTCTTTCAACGGCGAAAACCTGAAACGCGTGCATCGCGACAGAAGAGCGGGACTGAGCTTATGCGTATAATTCGCAATAATGCAAAATCTCGTATTCGCCGTGTACTTTTCCATGATCCGTCGCAGGGCCATCTGTGCCGTACTCGTCATCGCATCCGCCTCATCCAGAATAATCAGCTTGAAATGCCCGACACTGTTGTCCTGTTGGGCGGATTTGTCGAAAGAGCCTGCGAAGATTTGCTTCGTGGAGCTGAAAGTTTTGATCTGTTCGCGTACGACGTCGATTCCGCGGTCGTCGGAGGCGTTGAGTTCGAGGACCATCTGTCTCATGTTCTTGTTTCCGTAGATTCTCCGCGCCAGAGCTAGGACGGTGGAGGTCTTGCCTGTACCGGGAGGGCCATAGAGGAGCAAGTGTGGAAGACGATTGGAGTCGACGAATTTGTTGATTGTGGAGAGGATGTCTTGATGGCCGCTCACGTCGGAGAGCGTGTTGGGACGGTACTTTTCAACCCACGGGAGGTTGTCTTCGAGCTCGACGGGGAGATTGGCAGCGCTGCGTTTCCCTTTGGCGTCAGTGTTGGCTGAAGAGAATTGAATGTCATTGGAAGGTTTCGGAACATCGATGTCCATCTCGTCATTGTCTCCATAGTCGGACATGGCGGCGGCGTTGTTTCTTCGATGGGCGAAGCTGGTGTATAGCTGAGGTGTTGGTCAAAACGAGAGACGCGAAAGACGCGTCGAGGCTAAATTGAGTGCTGCCTCAGGTGTCAAGTCAAACTCCGGTTCTCCGCGGGTACTCCCGCTATCTGACAGGCCCCAGAAGAGCTTAGTACAACTTATCACTGATTGTCGTGTTATCGATTTCACCTTCCTCGACCTCACTTCATCTTCTACAACCACTTCCACGCGTCTATATCGGTCCTATGTCTTCTACGTTACAGAGGGCGATTTCTGTACAGATTTTGGCCCAACATCATCATATGGATCGACTTCGGCTCTGAAACCCGCGATCATCAGGATTACGTACAAAATTCGATCATAGTTCTACACCTGACCGTTGTGCCGGCACCTCTGCATCCCTGACTTTGCGGCAAACTCTGAAAGCTGTTCCAATAAGGCGAAAAGATGCGGCATCTGCCCAGCATGAGGACATTTATTGAAGGGCTCAAGGGTCCTGTCGAGGCACGGACGAGCAGAAACAGCTGGAGACTTGATCGGTCCCCGATTGCTGGACCGGATCCAGAGCGGAAAGATGTCACTGCTCCTGTTCTTGTGAAGAGCGCAGCGCAGAAGGTGAAGCGCGAAAAGCGAAGCGCAAAAGGCTCTGCGCTCGTGACGGCGAACATTCGGCTTCGCGCTCCCGAGGAAACGCTGGAATATTCGTACTGTACCTATCGTCATTCCAAATGGGAGGGTAAGACAGCGTCATTGTCCATTTCGAGTACGTGCTTTGCGCGATCTCTCATTCTTCCCGCTCTAATGCCACCCTTGTTTGCTGGCACCTATTTGCAATGAAAGCGACGACATCTGCGCTCTTTGGCGTCTTGCAAGTGACCTCTTGCATCTTGCATACATTGTACCCTCACTGCATACATTGTACCCTCACCGCCCATTGCAAGATTTATAGCACGCCTGCTTTGCTCTGTCCGGCGTGCTATGACCTTGTTCTTTGCCAGGATTATCGGAAAGGCGACACACCATTCCTTACAAACACGGTGTTTCCGAGCAACCAACAACAATGCCATCAGAATCACACTTCGAACAACTCCTCAACTTCGACATCGATCGGTACTTGAATCCCTACATCCCCCACAATCGCCTTTACATCTTCCCCAAACCCATCTCACGATGGCTCGGCTACCGCTTTGAACCCACAAAGGAGCCGTATACCGTGCTCCAATGGCCTATCACCATCCTGGCGACGATCGCAGGCCTGTGTCTAGTCAGCGGAATTGGCAACTATGCACCCGGAGTTTTGGCATTACATCCACCGGTAATCATAGCGAGTTTCGGAGCCAGTGCGATTCTGGAATTCAACACGATCAAATCTCCCCTTGCACAACCGCGGAACGCAATCATTGGGAATACCCTTGCTGCGATATGCGGCGTCGCGATTGCCAAGCTGTTCCAACTGAACCCTGCTTTCGGCGAAATCGAATGGGTCTCTGGCGCGGTGGGGTGCGCTCTTGCATCTTGGGTAATGAGTCTTACCAACACCATCCATCCTCCCGGAGGAGCGACTGCGATTTTGGCATCTACGGACGCTAGCGTGATTGCGCTGGGATGGTGGTATCCTTCGATTGTGTTATTGGACAGCGTACTGGTTGTGGCAGTGGCTTGCATCTTCAACAACGTGACGAGGCAGTATCCTATGTATTGGTGGACACCGCATAATGTTGGACGGAAGTTGAGACAGGAGAGGAGGGAAGAAAAGGGCAAACAGCAGGAGGAGAAGAAGGCGGAGGAGGGGAAGGCGGAGGAGGGAATGGCGGTGCAAAAGTCAACTTCGGATTCTTCGGATTCTTGGAGCAGGTGTGTCTTTTCTTGCAGTGCGAGGCATGTGTTAGGAGGACGCTAACCCATCACAGCAGTCGTACGCTCCGAAGAGAACTCAGCAATCGAGTCGATTATATCGACGGGCTGGAGAACGTGCACATCGAACCGTACCACATTCAGCTACCGCATCACGTCCGACTGAGTGACGACGAAATCATGCTCCTTGTGAAGGTACAGGAGCGCATTCGGACGCATGGAGAAGTCGGCTGAACGCGAGAGGACAGAGCAGTCGTTGTTTCATGAGGAGATACACCCAGCGTGGCGTTCCGGGCATAGCAGGTTAAGTGCTGACATGAAGCAAGCGTTCTCTGATGAACAGTATTTTGAACTAGTCTAAAAGTAATTGTTAAGAACCAAGGATGATCCGTATGTGTTGAACCATCAACATGCATTATCCCCATCATCCGCTTTGCCCGATGTCAGATTGGAGAACGCTCACGCAGCACTCAAACCCTCGCGCGTCTTGAGATAGTCCTTTCGGAATGGGTTGGCATCCGTCTCCTCGCCACGCTGCAGAGGAGTCCACTTCGGGTCCTCCTTGAACAATCGCACAGCCTTGGTATACTGCATCCCACATCAGCATCCCCGGTCCCTCCCGTCATCATCACGTGCCAAAGTTCCCGTAGGTAGGTAGGTACTCACATTCTGCTCATCCGTCGTGAAGCGATGATAGATGCCCGCCGGCATGATCATCAGATCCCCCTTCTCCAACCGAATCCGCACCCAATCGTCCCCTTCACTCCGCACGTCGAAATACCCTCCCCCGCCGAGAATGTACCGGATCTCCTCGTCCTCGTGCAGGTGCTCGTGGAAGAAATTCTTCACCTTCTCTTCGTACCCGGGCAGCGTGGAGGGGGAGATTTCGATCTCGTCGCGGTTCTTGTAGTTGCGCGCCGCGGCGATCTTGTTCACGCCGTCCATGTCGTCCGGGTAGTAGTAGTGCAGGATTCCGAGGGAGGAGAGTTTGGAGGGGGTGACTTCGCGGCCGGAATCGTGGGGCAGACGCTGGTCGCCTTCGAGGTTGTCGTAGTAGTAGGCTCTCATTGTGGTTGGTTGCTTGGTTTTGGTGCTCTGATTGTATGGTGTTCCGAGGGGGTTGGAAGGAGGGATGTTTCGTTTCGATAGATATATATCTCTCGGCCGCGGTGCATCAGTTTCTGGCGGGAGAAGCCGCATGGTGTCACCTGTGCCCCGCCATTTCAGCAGCAAAGAGCGAGCAAGCGAAGCGAGCACTTGGTTGGGCCACACACACACGTCTTGCTTTGTCATCAGCTGCTAGGCCTCACATGGTAAACGCTGCGATAGCTGAAGAACACACAGCAATATACGTTCTCGGAAAGGGTTGAGATGCATCGCATTGTATACACATGTACATTTCTCACACCAAGAACCGCAACGTCACGCTATGCCCGAAGGTATCATACAATGCCCATCCATGCTGCTAATGCAAACACAGTTGGATCTATCCGAACTGGTTCTCCTCCCCTTCCTTCTCCTTGTACAACCATCCCAGATAGTCCTCGAGTCCTTCAATCCTCTCTCTGTGCTCAGGAAGAGGATCGTCAACCTTGACAACCTCTCTCCCATTGTCAAACTCGTCAATCTGCCTCCTCAACTGCCGACCCTGCTCCGACATCGACTTCAGAAGCTGAATGTACGAACTGTCCTCCTTGACCGCGCCTTCCGATTCCGGATCCGCAGAATCAGCATCTTCGGCTTCGTCGGCCAGAGCATGCCTCCTTCGCGCTTTCATGTCTTCGTACTTGGCCCAAATCCCTCGAGTGTTCTCGTATTCCTTGAGAAGAGAACCAACCTCCCACTTGTCAGTCTGCTTCAGGTTTTTGGGCCGATCTTCTTCGGGAATCTCGCCATTGACCTTCGACTGGACAATGAGAGTGGCGTAGAATAGCGGCTTCAGCTCCTCCTTCGCTCTCTGCTCCATCGATTCGAGGAAGGCCTCATCAGCATTAGAGTCGCTCGAAGCACGCTCCGCCTTCTCATTTGCTTCCCTGACATTTTCACTGTCCGAGTTTGACGATTCCTCACTGTCGCCTTGCACGATGGGCGAATCTTCATTCTTGCCCATAATGTCCCGCTCAAATGCAGCAATCTTCGCCTTCTGCGAATTCTGTATCTGGTCAATCTCCTCTTCCTCCATTGGCTCGGCGAAAATTTGCATCGTCGTTGGGTCGTCCGCAGAGTCTGTTTTCTCTTGCGTCTCGAAATGAATGCGAAGCGATTTTTCAGGGAATTTGGCTGTCGCCTTGTTGAGTACTTCATTCATCAACTCCAGACTGACCTTGAACTCCTGGTCGCCAAGGCAGGTGTCGGCCTGCCCGTGGAGAGCGCGATCCATGTCATGTAGTGGAAGATATTGAAAGCCAAAAATGCGCTTGACGTTGTGATAGGCGACGAAGATACCGTTCATTCGACCCATACGTGCCTGTAGCGAGTACTTGAGCATTGTGGAGCGTATCATGTCGTAGTACTCTCTCTCGTAAGACCCCCATGTGCCCTGCAAGCTCTGAATCTCGTATCCTGTCATCGGCTCGAAGTCCTTGGATTCCATTCGCACGGAAACGACCGCGCGAGTCTTGAGGTCAAAAGTCCCGTTACCAGGTAGTCGAGGATCGTACGCATCCAGTTGCGAGCGCATCAGGAAATCGCGCATAGTGGTGTACTGGTAGCTTTCCGGTGCTGTCTTTTGCTCTTCAGTTACCTGTCGAGGGTCGCTCTTCCGATACCGCTCGTATTCCGAGTTTGGTAAGGTGAGCAACAACTCCATGGACTTGCCAAGTAGCATTAAAACGTTTGCACTGTCGTATTCCTTGTCAGCGTCAATGGCATATGTGCCATCCTTCCAACGCAGGAAGATCGACGCTGGCGCTCGATTGATTTGGGTAAATGTGCCCGAACGTAGGCTGAAACCCCTTGAGATCATAGTCAAGCCGAGAGGTCGCCAATTCGATAGCAAATAATGGAAATGAGCCAGAGAACTCGTCATGCTTGAGGTGGAGCCAATGTACTTCTTGCCATGGGCCTGCGCAAGAGCAGACAGCGCTTGGTCTTGCGACGAGGTCTTGTATTGCTTCAGGGAGTCAAAGTCAAACTCCACGACGGGCATGATGTGCTGCAGGTATGGATCAAAATTGTACACACGGGAGGTTGGGTCCTGAAGTTGGTAAACTCCAGGGTTGAAGAGAACTCTGTCCAGACCGTACTGTAGATATGGGACGGGCGGCTGAGGGATGTCCACAGGCTCAATGTGGATCGCTGAGGGCTCAACGTGAAGAATCTCTGGAGCAGGTCCTTCATCATCAGGAGCGACGTCTGAGACGGACCGCTGCGCGTCTTTCTGACCGGTGGTGTCTAACGTTTGCTCATTCGTGGCACTCGGTTTGGGAGGCTTCGTTTCTTTGCTTCCTTGCCTTCGGACTGCTCGTTTCCTTCGCGGCGCCTTCATAGCACTACCTATGGGGACGCCCCCAAGCTTGTTGGACGCATTACCTTCGGAATCATCGCCAGAATTTCCTTGCGATGAGCCACCAGTTGCGTTCGTGCCATTGGTTCCAGCACCTTTCGAAGATCGCGTCGATGCACTTCCAGCCTCTCGTAGACCTCTCAGATTCGCAAGTCTATGACGTGTCGCCTCGGAGGCTTGTTCCATTTCCGGGGCTTTATTGTAACGGCCAGTCAATTCGGCACGCAGCGTGTCAATCTGGTCTATACCAGTATTGTCTTGAACATGTTCCGTCGTATCCGAACTCGCGTCCTTAGATCCATCGCTCTCGCCATCGACAAGACGCGCCTCGTCCTGCTTCAAAGCGATGCCATAAGGCCTCGAATTAATCGCAGCTGGATTACGAGGAGGCTCTGGGCTTATTTTGTCGGCGCTGCGGAGAGAGTCGAAAGACACACTCTTGGAGTTACCAGGGAAAGGGGCCACAGATATCCCTCCAAAGGGTAAGCCATGTGTTTCCTTCTGCTTGCTTAATCGTGCCATCCGTGAGTACCCGCCTAGACTAGACTTCAAGTCGAGATCTACAGCGTCCTTGACCACTGGCCATGACGTGGCGTCCCGGATTGTTTCCACCCGGCTGCTCATTGACCATCTTCGTCGTGTTTGAGGGACAAAGGCTGGATTTGGAGGAGAATCGACTCGAGGGAGGTTGGAGTCGTATTTCCTGAAAACTTCGCCCACGAAATGCGGCCTCACTACCCGAACTTTGTTGTCTACTGCTGCGCTTCGCACGGCAGCTTCTGCTTGGGAGTCCTCCATCGTCTTCTCCTTCTCTTCCCCCGTCCCCGACTTCCTCGCATCCGCACTCTGTTGCATTTCCGCCAGGATTAGATCCCCCGGCCGGTCTTGCATTGCGAGTGTCTTGGGCGGTATAGTCCTAGCTCTTCGAAAAGCCGTCTTCTCTTCCGAAGACCCCTCCTTTCGCAACCCCGTGTGCTGTGCGTCCTCAACATGCTTATTCCCAGTGGCGCGGAAGACCCCTGTGGGCCTTACAGCGTCGTGTTGATGGTTTATCAGGCGCTCCAATCTATAGCCCTCCCTCCGAAGAGGAGGCGGAATGGAGGTGGGAAACCCTCTCTTCGCCGGCGGTCTGGAGGTGGGAAACCCTCTCTCCGCCGGCGGTCTGGCCTTTCTGCCCTCGCCGTAGGTCTCGCTGATATCGTTGAAAGAGTCGAAGAAGTTCTCACCAGGGGGAATGTGCTCGGGGCCGTCGGAAGTGGACTGGTTCCATCGTCGCTGTTGGTGCTGCAGAAGCCGTCGCTGATGGCGACAAGCCAGACAGATGTGGCCTTGCTTTCTCCATGCTGGCGTGTGGGCGAGATTGGCCAGCATTGGGTGCGGGGTGGTGGGAGGGATGGAGATGGAGAGGTTGGGGATGGGTTCGCCACAAAAGCGCAGAGAAGTCGGCCACGCCCTGGAAACGCCGCGCCAAAACTATCATCCGGTGCGGTCAAGATCCCTAGTACCCACTAGCTACCTACATGTAATCGTGCTACGGTGAATATACGACTGGGCGTATAATGAGATGCATTGCATTAAATTGCATTGCAATATAGAATTTGGGTATCATATGCTGTGATTCTGAGATCTAAACCAGTTCTTCCAGTATCGTCTCCAATTCTTCCCTCCTGAACGGCACTATCAATCGCTCAGTCCCCATCGCATCCTTCCGCGACTCGATCATTTGATGGTCATGAAACTCCTTCAACAGCGTTCTGAAATTGACCTCATTCGAGCACACAAACTCCTCGACAGCTTCGTGGTACAGAGTTCGGTATTCAACTCCCGCCGCCGCCTCAGGAGCAGCTTTCGCCGGCTTGGCTGCCTTCTTTGGCGACTTTGGAGGTCTTCCGCGCCCTCTGCGTGATGGCGTTTGCTGTTCTTGTGCCGCTGCTTCGTCGTCCTCCATCCCCAGAATGTCCTCTGCATCTGAATCGTCTCCTACTCCATTCAACATCGCATCGCCCTCCGTGTCGGCAAGAGCGAGCTGCTCGGCGACCAGAATGCGGAATAATTTTCTCGCGTTCTCCGGTAGCGATTTGAGCACGTATCCAACGCCATCTTTGCCACCCAATCGCCTGCTACTACGGCCGAGCAAGGCATTGACGTCCTCGACGACTTCGACTTCGGCCGTATATGCATCGAATGTGGTGGCATCGTGGAACAGGAAGCAGAGTTGCGAGGTAAGAGACACGTCCCAGAGCAGAGGAAAGTTCGGGTTGTCACAAGACGCAACGAGGGAGATCCTGCGGTGTGACGCTAGGCGAGCCAGCGCTCCCTGTGTTGCAGCTTTGCGAAGGTTGAAATGATCCAGTGAATGGACCACTAGGATAATGTGGTGCTTTGATGATCCCTCAGACAGCGTCTCCATTAGCAAGTCCAGAAGAGCTGCAGGCTGGGCTGGTAGTTTCGCATTCTTGGATAGGACGACACTTGAGACAGTGGTGAGGATATCCCGCATCGTCAGGCCCGGCGAATAGCCATTGACCACCACAATCTTTGCAGGCTTATCGCCTTGATGGTACAAGTGGTCTGCAAAGTCCATTACAAGTTTGCGTTTGGAGCCATAACCGTAGAGGCAAAGGTTGAAGCTTTCATCCAGCTCGAACATCCACTGATCGAACGCCCGTCTATGCAATTGCTTGAGTCTCTCGATGTCTTCGGCATGAGAGTCCTGGCAGTCTCTCATCTGTGCGAAGTAGTCGTCGTGGTTGAGAAGCGCATGCGCCGGTAAGGTGTTTGCAGACGTCTTGTTCCCACCTGCTCTGTTTTGGAAGAAGTAGAGCTCGTGTGGAGGCAGATCAGGAGGCGGACTAGGTGTTCGTTGTCGCCTCCGTCCCTTTGGTCTTCCTCGAGGCTTCCCAGTCTTAGAGGGTGTATCTGGTGCGCTCGAAGTTCCCGCTTCAGCACCGTCTTCGCCGCCCTCGTCTTCCGCGTCCAGAATCGCCTGGGCAATGGCCTCCTCGCGCGCATCTTGTTCTTCATCGCTGTCCTCATCCCCAGCTATCTGCCTTTGCAACGTCCGTTGGCTCTTCCTACGAGCTGAGCGGTCATTGCGAGTCGCGCGAGGCGTCCCTTCGTCTTCGTCATCTTCCTCCCGCGGCCTTGCAGGCGTCGAGAACAGGACCTTTCTGAGGGAGCTCGGCGTCGCCTCGACAGATCTCAAGCCATTGGCCTTGCTTGGTGTCTCCTTCAGAATAGACTTCCGCTTCGAGGGTGTCTCGGCTGTTTGCGATGGGCTTGAAACAACTTCCTCCTCCTTGAGTTGTCGCCTTGTCTTCCTCGTGGTCGGATCAACGTCCTCGACTTCTTCTCCCGCCTTACGTCTCTTGGGCATCTTGACGCGGTCTCCTCTACCGATCCATTTGGGGGTTCTTGGGAAGTCGAAGGGTGTTGGATTGTAAGTTTCTACGCGCTTGGGAAGACGCGAATCTGTTTCGCGGGGGAAAGTAGGAAAGCTGCTTCTCCTCTCCGGCATCCCGACTTCCAACTCGACCTCACCACACGACCCGCTACAACAGAAATACCGCCAACATGCTGTCCGGCGTGCTTCTGTTCAATCAAAAGGGCGAACTGCTCATCATGCGTGCCTTTCGCCAGGACATGCGCCCCCGACTAGCCGACGTCTTCCGAATCCAGGTCATCAGCAACCCTCAGATCCGATCGCCTATCCTTACGTTGGGAAGCACAACCTTCAGCCATATCAGGAGCGAGAACATCTACATTGTTGGAGTGAGCAAAGGCAATGTGAATTCTGCGCTGGTCTTTGAATTCCTGTACAAGCTCGTGCAGCTGGGCAAGAGCTACTTCGGGCGATTCGACGAGGAGGCCGTCAAGAGCAATTTCGTCATGGTCTACGAACTGCTGGATGAAATTCTGGACTTTGGATATCCCCAAAACACAGAGACAGAGACGCTGAAGATGTATATCACAACAGAGGGTGTCAAGTCGGAGAGGGCTTTGGAGGACAGCAGCAAGATCACAATGCAGGCAACAGGAGCTCTGAGCTGGCGCAGAGACAACATCAAATACAGGAAGAACGAAGCGTTCGTGGATGTCATCGAAGATGTCAATTTGCTGGTATCTGCCTCCGGCACCGTCCTGAGAGCCGACGTGAACGGCGCAATTGAGATGCGAGCATACCTTTCAGGAATGCCCGAGTGCAAATTTGGCCTCAACGATGCCCTTACGCTGGGAGGCCACAATCTGGACGTTGCAGGGCCTGTGGGGAATCTTGGTGGGAACAAGGCAACTAAAGCCGCAGCAGGCTCTGTGACTTTGGAGGACGTCTCACTACACCAGTGTGTGAAGCTGAGCTCTTTCACAACAGACCGGACAATCTCCTTTATTCCGCCGGATGGGTCATTCCAACTCATGACCTACCGCTGCTCAGAGAATGTCAACCTTCCATTCAAGGTCCATGCAATCGTCAATGAGATCGGTCGCTCCAAAGTGGAGTATTCTATTGCCATTCGATCAAACTATGGATCTAAACTTTTCGCCACGAACGTCGTGGTGCGGATACCAACACCCCTCAACACGGCCTCAACCAATCATCGAACAAGCCAGGGCAAGGCGAAATATGTACCCAGCGAGAACGTAATTGAGTGGAAAATTGCTCGATTCACCGGCCAGAGCGAATTTGTACTCTCAGCTGAAGCGGAGCTAAGCGCTATGACGACGCACAAAGCATGGAGCCGGCCTCCGTTGAGCATGCAGTTCAGCCTGCTTATGTTTACGAGCTCGGGATTGCTGGTTCGATATCTCAAGGTGTTCGAGAAGAGCAACTATTCAAGCGTCAAATGGGTGCGCTACATGACACGAGCGGGAAGTTATGAGATTCGATTTTGAGGAGCGCAGGCTGTACTCCAGAAAGAGAAGATGATGGACGAAGCAGAGGGTTTTTGGACTACCAGACCACAAAGGTTGCTTCTTCCTGCAGCAGTATGCGCAGTGTACCAAATGCTACGAACGGGAAACCCAGCTGGGAGATATAGCAGGGCTTCTTACACCTCGCAAAGCTTGGCCCTATGCTTTAGCGTGCCGATGCGCTGAGACGAGAGTGTTACAACACTAACCAGAGAGCTTCGGGTTGCGAAATGTACTCGCATCCCATTGCTTTCGGAGCAGAGGATTATGCTACAAGCAATCCTAGTCCACGAGCACAAGACGAGACAGAGCGAGACGCGAGACGCGAGACAAAGTTTGGTTTGTAAGTAGAGTATGTAAGAGAGCTCATCCAGCGTCCTGCCATGAATTCACAATCTGCTAAGCTGTCAAATAGGCATGTCTGCACACCGCATCTGCCTAGACAACGAGTCTTTCATCTCCGCCGATGCTTGGGATATATCGTCGAAACTCACCTGTGCACCAACGTCCCCACTCCACCCGTCTGCCCTTTTCCGGTCTGCAAGTGGAACTTTCATTTTGTTAGCAGTGGCAGTCATTCGAAAGGCTTCTTTGTACGCCGCGGTATCGTCTAGTACGATTGCTGACGACTTATCGGCTCTCCTAAAGGGGGTGGTGCATAACAGGCGTCGGGCGACCGTATTTACGAACGTTTCCAACGAGGTTCGGAGGAAAGAACGTTCATGGCTCGTTCCTAGGCAGCCAAGCAGGATCGCTACCTCCTTCTCAGGCGCTTCGTGCCTTCCTCTTCCACACCCACTATCTATGTTCGGTTAGGTCTGTTGTGGGGTAGTGAAAGAAGCTGAGTCTCTGTAATGCTTCAGGCGATGGCTCAGCGACCGCACGCGCAAGACTTCCAACGGAATCGCTCGAAGAGCAAAGCAAACACCGTCCTTGCCAAGACCTTCTTCACAAGCCACGGCACGTGACAGTCGCCACAAAGCACAGGCAGTGGAACGACCTAGTCATCAGGTTCAGAGTGTGAGGCGCGGTCTCGACAACATCGACACGACAAGTACCCTTGAGCCATCAAACACCGCGCGAAACAACAACGACGCGATGCATGTCGACAACACCGCCAAGAGGCAATCCCCAAGTGGTCAGCATCTCGCGGAACAGCAGAACACGAGTATGACCGAATTCGCCTCCGAGACAACCTCTCGTAGAGCTGAAGCTCGCGAGACAAACAAGAAAAAGGAAGAGGAAGAAGAGGATCTCCCACACAACTCGAAGGCAGAAGAGACACTGGAGAGCACTACAGCGCAGTCAGACGTAATCAAATCTTCGAGAGATGCCGAGGAGAGGACACAGAACATTGGAACGATCCGCACAGTCGTGGGTTGCGGAGAAGAAGAGGCCGCTCGCTGGCTACAACAGGGGGGAACTTTGCCACAGGCCATACTTCTAGCACTTGATCCCGCTCGGGCCGTACAGGCCGCGAGTGCGAATCAGTCCGAGTCGTGTGGAGTGCCAGAGCCCAAGGCTCCCACTCTGTTAGAGGAAGCACTGGCAGCCTATCGCACGAAGCCCCTGCAGAAAGGTGGGGATACCTTCGTGATCCTCGACGGGACGGACTTAGCACGAAGCTGCCGTCTCAGCTCGGAGAACATCATTGAAGCAGTCCCTGTGCTGGAACGCCAGCTCATTCACCCTCCATCTAGCGGACTCGGGGTCGATGTCGACGGAATCAAGCATCTGCTTGTCCTCAAGAAGGCGGTCAATGGCATGCCGCTGCTTTCTCGGCTGAGCTTGAACACGATGAGGGAAGACTGCGAAGATGTTCTCCATAAGAAAGCTTCCGGGGAAGGCGCTGGAGCGCAGATTGAAGCTACAGAGACTGGCATCAAGTCTGAGAAGCTTACCCAGGTCAAGCACGAGCTGCTCGCAGACATGCATGACAGCGCAGCACCGGATGCCAAGTCTGCCCCAGCTCGTAGCGCGCCTGTCGATTGGATTGCCGGCTACGAGTCATTTCTACGAATCATATCCCACGTCAGACCGCAGTACTATGGTATTTCCCAGAGCAATATCGACACAGCTCTTGCGCAGATCGAAGGCGTGGCCAAGATTGCCCATTCGTACAAGGCCGCTGGTCCAGGCTCTGTTGTCGAGGAGAGCATAGAAAGCCTTTTGCTGAAGGAGTTCAGCTTCAACCGGGTAAACCACCTCTGGAACTCGATCGCAAAGGATGCCGCCCGCTGGCTCGTGGTTGCCGTTCATCTGGAATGCTCGCTTCTTTACAAAGAGGCATTTATTCATGTCGCTGGATGCTACCCTAATTGGCCGTGGAACGTCAGCAGAGTGGACATGGAGAAACAAGTTCCCACTTCCGTCACCTCGGCGATTGCTACAAAGTCTCAGGTACTGGCCTTTTTACGCGCGGGTATTGAGAGAGAGCTTTTCTGTTCTTCCATCACATTTGCCATCGACGAAGATGAGGCAGTCAGAGCCCGCGTCGGACCAGACAATGGCCCGAGAGTCTGGATGGCCGTCAGCTGCTTCCGCGAGTGGCTGGCTGCACATCTGTGGGCTTTGGATGGTGGGATACCGTCCTCTCAGGCGATTTGCTCTCACGACAAAGGTAAGTCACTCGCCACCCGCACGGAGGAGACACTTGCTAACTTTTTGGTTTCCTTTATGACAGGTTGTCGTTCCACTTCCGGCATCTGTCGCCTCCTCGCCAGGGGCGGCGACTCCTATTTGCCGCTGAATTCTCTCCTCGATAAATGGGACTATGAAGCCGTTCCGAAGGGGGCGGATTTCGAGGAACTTATCGACAAGTCCCTAATACGTATCAAGAAGTTTGCGGCAAAGGCTGTCCAGCCACTCGTGAAGAACTCCTTGCGTGGGAAGAAACGCGACCTGGAGTACCTCACGTGCATCGAAGTTTCGGCCGAGGATATTCCGTGGGAGAAGGAATGAGACATGCAGCCTGATGGCAGCGTCTTCATTGTGTTGTGCGTGCAAAGTAGCACGGGAGGCCTCGTGATGGCATGGGCTATACTACTTCAGCGGAGATGTGATTGACGATTTGACATCGGGACCCCGAGCTATCTCCGCAAGGGCTGAGATTGAAGTGGAATACGCAGTACCGATAGCTCGTGCGGCTCGGGAGTTTCCTCTGTCATCGCACTACGAATGCAGTCATCCAGAGCTCCGTCCGAATTCCAGCAGAATCTACCCCGATTACCGAACTTTCTTGTCCTTCTCACTTGTAGCAGTAGATCTGCTCCTACCAACCATCTGCCAACAAATCCATCCAAATCCAATCAAGACAGCAATCGCCGTTCCCAACGGCACCCATTGTGCCGACTGACCATCGAGTACAGGCACTGCGAGCGTCTCCACAAGCACACCCACACCACTTGCAGGCGGTACGTGATAGAACATGGTCTTGGGCCCAAACAATCCATCATATCCCAGATTGACCCTGTCGAACGGATTGACCGACATTTTCAAGCCCTCTTGCGCTTCACATGCCCAGAAGACTACAGGCCATGGGATCTCGACCGAGGCGAGACCGTCGGGAGATGCCGTGGCGTTGATGTACCTCAGGTGAGTTGGGATGGTGATTGTCCAGTTCTTCCCTTCCTCTGCGGACGTCGGACGTGCGAGTTCCAGAAGGGCGGCAGAGCCCCAGCCTTTGACTGCCCAATCGGGTGCTTCGAGATCCTGCTCTCCACTCAGGGCACGTAACGCTACGAGGTTTTGCGATTCGAGGAAGAGGTGGTCGGAGAGTTGGTAGCGGTCGATGAAGAGGGGGGATGGCAGGGTCCAGTAAGCATGTAGAGCACAGCTATCCTTTGGAGGCGCGAGATTTTTGGCGGGTAGGACGATGTCGAGCTTCGGATGAAGGCCGGTAGGTTGCTGGAAGGCGACCGTGTACTGTGTGCCGTCGCCTGCGTGGAGCGGATGATGTCGCGCGGGGAAGGAGAACAATGTCGGACCTGTTGAGCGTCAGCGCGATCTCTGGCTTGCATTTTCAGGGTTGGAAATCCGCACTTGGGTGATCATCGTCCCCGAGGACTGTGAGGAGTCCACCAAGGGATAGCTCCTCTGGCTCCTCGGCCTTCTGGGCTTGCAGAATGCCAACCTCAACCCGATCGTCTGGATTCAGCTTTCGGACTGAGCCTCTTTTGCTCCGTCCGGGGGCTCCATTGGAGCTTGGCCGCAGAGCGGTGACGGTAAGAGCATGGCTAATCACATCGAAGTCGAAATCTAGGTAGGAGGCTGCGGAGGACTCCTTCGCGGCATTGCACAATGTTTGGAGAGTCGATGTTTCCTCACAAGCTGCGCTTTCCAACATCCGGGACAAGCGCTCCATGCCGTCTGGTCCATGGTAGAACTGGAAAGTCGACGAGCTGGCGAAACGTTCCGATAGGATTGGAGGCTTGCTGAAAGACTCGGATGCATTCGAACATTTGACGGCTTCTCCAAGAACGCCTCTCAGAGCGCTGCAGAGATTCGTACTACATCGAATTAGCTACGTTCTGCAGCTAAGGTGATGGGGGTTTCTACATACTCATGGCCGGGTTTCCTGGGCGTGAAGAAGGCGTGCACTCCCGGCGGCACCCGCGAAATCGTTGGGACAAGATGGTTTGCATTCCGAGGAGATGCAACTCGTATGTGCAGTTCATGAAAGTCCTCGAGGAAGACCCGTAGCTGCCGAGGTGTCAACCACAACATAGCGTTCTGCACCACCAGATTGACAAACTTACGTCCTCAGGCAGCTCACTCAAGCCAAGCGTGATCCGATTCTCTTCAGCAGCTTGCTCGACTTTCTTGTAAAAAATCTCTGTTCGACCGACCTTCACGTCGCCCGGGTCGAGTTCCGTGCCTTCTGGCAGTAGATACGTGATTCGTTGCCGCATCTTGTGCCTGGAGGCTGTATAGTCTTCGGGTTAAGACGAGACGTGGGCAGGTGAGGTCCAAACCGCCGTGGTCCGTTCCGAGACGGGTCCATGAAACTTTGACGCCCTCCCAATGAATCTCCCATTGAGACCTCCTCACCGGGCGGGGCGCAGAGGGACATTCCCAGGTACCTACTTTACTTTACACGGAAGGAGGAGGAACTGGATGGATCGAGAGGAGTCGCCAGGAGCCCGTGATATAGCCGCGCGTAGGTACAAGATCCTCACGCCACCACCACCACCATGTCCCTCCCCGAATGGCGGCAACCGACTCATCACACTCTCCCGCAGTCCTCACCAGCAATCCGAAGCTCCTCCTCCCCTCCACCACCGACCCTCCCAGCGACACCAACCCGCCCACACAAAAGACATGGCTCATATTCGGCGCGACGGGCCACATCGGCCGCTCGCTGGTCAAATGCGCTCTCAGCCACGGCGATAATGTCACGGCCGTGGGGCGCACGCAGGAGAACAGCATGCAGCAGATGCAGGGCTGGCATGCGCGCTGCTTGGGCCTCCTCTGCGACGTCCGCGTGCGGGACACGGTGCGAGAGGTGATTGAGAAGAGCGTGGAACACTGGGGCAAGATCGACATCATCGTCAAGTAAGCGCGCGAAAGAAGGGGCGGGCGTCCTATGGTCATGCCCAAAAAACACCCCTTCTAACATGCTTCATCAATACAGCTGCACGGGCTACGGCGTCATCGGCTCCTGCGAAGACCAGGACGACTCGGATCTCCGCTCGCAGTTCGAGACGAACTTCCTCGGAACCCTCCACATCATCCAGCTCTCGCTGCCGCACCTCCGTCGCCAGAATTCCGGCCGCTACCTCATCTTCTCCTCCACCAGCGGAGCCCTCGGCGTCCCCGGATTGGGGCCCTACTGCGCGACCAAGTACGCCACCGAGGGCCTGATCGAGAGCATGCTCTACGAGGTAGACCATTTCGGCATCCGCGCGACCCTCGTCGAACCAGGCCATATGCGTCTGGACGAGCCGACGGGTCTAGATGACAAAGCCCCCACCTCTTTCGTCAATGATGGCGAGGGCCAGGGGGTCAATGGCGAGGAGAACGGGGTCAAGGTGAAGAAGTATGGCCATTTCCTGGTCAAGGCTCCTTCCGCGCCTTACGAGGCCGCTACTTCGCCGGCGGGACATGCCAGGAGGATCGTGCAGTGGCTTTCGGATCGGCAGCCGACGAGTGCTATGAAGTCTGCCGAGTTGGTTTGGCAGCTGGGGCATTGTAAGTATCCGCCTCTGAGATTGCTCTTGGGCACATATGCGGTGGAGAGTGTGAGGGACCGGCTACGGAGTGTGATCGAAGAGATTGAAGATTGGAAGCATCTTCATTTTCCTGTGCTGGATGAGAATGGCAAGGTGAGGGGTGAGAAAGCTGACGAGGACGGTAATAACGACGTCAAGGCGGAAGACGACGCAATGGATATCGATGAGGCTGGAGCAGATATCAAAGAGGAGGAAGATGATCCTTGATGTACCACGTCAATCGAACGACTTGTAATGTTTGGACCAAAAACCCCTTCTTCTACCTCACCTTCTCCCCCGGACCAATATGTTTCTCACAAAATTTGCCCACCCGATCCAGCATATCCACCCAGAAATTCCGCTCCGTAAAGATATGCGGTTGTCGCGGATACGTGACAAACTCATACGGCAACCCAGCACTCTCCAACGCCCTCCTCATCCCCCACGCCTGCGTAATCGGACACCTTTCATCCCTCTCCCCATGCAAGATCAACATAGGCGGCACAACCATCTGCCCCGTCTGCCTCGAAACCTGCACCGCCCCCCGAAAGAGCCAAAGAGCAGCCGCATCCCGATTGCCCACAAAATCCCTCTTCCGATTCCAAGGCGACGCGCCATCGTTCAATTCCGCGCCCAACGTCCCGCCCAAATCCGAAGTGAGAGCCATGGCATCCATATCCACCATGCCAGAACCCGCAATCGCGGCACGGAATTTCCACCCGAACGAATGGGGCCCGTTACGAACGCAGCAGAGGTATGAGAGGAAGCCGCCATGGCCCCAGCCGCCTACGAGGAGTCTGTCTTTGTCGGCGTGCTTTTCCGTAATGGCGTGCGTGGTCATGGCGATGATGTCTTTCCAGTCGTGTTTTCCTGCTCCACCGATCGAGTACTCTGCGAAAGAGCGGCCTTTGCCTGTGCTGCCGCGGTAGTTGATCAGGAGGATGCCGTAGCCAAGGGAGAGGAGGTAAGGGGTCCAGTAGTAGTAGTTCGTATTGAAACGGTTGGTGTCGCGATCTGAGGGACCGTCGTGAATGAGGACTACAGTGGGTAGAGGTTTCTTCGGTTTTGGATCCGAAGATGAGGGAGTGAGGAAAATACCATCCAGTTGGACCTGCTTATCCGTAGAAGGGCATGTGAGAAAAGTGCAAGAGCCGAAAGCGCGGTTCTTCAAAGCGGCACCGTGATTGGAGAGTTGTACAGAGGCTCCTCCCGATGCAGCGGTTGTGTATACTTCGAGAGGGTGGTTGGTGTCTGAAGCCGAGAAAGCAAGGACTATCTCGTCGCCATCAGTCGTGTACGCCGCATCATAAGCTCGAATCTCGCCAAGCTTGTCGAATATGACACGATCTGGATGTAGGTACAGTTGATCGATTACTCCGCATTGCACACGAGCCAGGACTTGGCCAGACACACTGGTCAGACCAGAGATATGTCGTTTTCAATGCCGAATGCGACACGTTTATATTTGGCTCTTTTGGAAAACAACCCCCTGGAATCCGGCTCAGGAAGGACTGCGTACAGAGCTTGGCCGGCGAGGACTTTGTCCGCCGGCTTGCCGGAGATGAAATACAAATAACCGTCGTGTGCCCAGATTATATCCTTTGGGAATCTAGGGAGATGGCACAGATCGTAGATTGTCTGGGACGGAAGGTGCAAGACCGCAATGTCAGAGCCGGTCAAGAACGGTTCTTCGACGTGTGATGACTTGACAGATACCACGGCCAGATGCTTGCTATCATGACTCCAGGCAAATCCAAGCACATGTCTCTCTGGTACGATTCGAGGATGTGATGAGCCAGTGACGCGACGTACCTGCTTTGTACCAAGATCTACCACTCGGATACGATTGAAGACCCAATCCTCGCCCCACACTGACATGTCCCAGCCTTTCTCATCGCGCGCTTTCTCCTCGTCGGTCTTCGGATCCGCGCAGATGAAGGCGATAGCGTTGCCGTCGGGAGAGAACTCAAATTTGGGGATGGGCCGCTCGTTCTCGACATCAGTCACCGGGTAAGGCTCTCCTTCCACTACGCCATTGCGAACATTTTGGACATATATGGCCCATTTCTCGCCAGCTCCTGATCTGTCTGAGATGAAAGCAATGCTCTGGCCGCGGGGGTCCCATCGGGGAAAGTGGTCTTTGAAAGGCCCGGCCGTGATTTGGCGAGATGAGTTCGCTTCACCCGTCTCCGCGAGCCACAAAGTCGAGACTGGATGTCTGCCCTTCTTGTGCTCCCATTCCAGGTTGGTGGAATATAAGATTTGTCGGGCGTCGGGGGAGAATCTGATAGTATTCGGGACTTGGAGGTCGCAGAGTAACTCTTTGAGGTCTTTCGCGTTCGTCATTCCGCCGTAGTCGTACTTGCGGACCACGACTGGACGCTCCACGTAAGAGAGGAAGGGGGAGGAAGGAGAAAGAAGGAGAAGGGCAGGAGAGAGGGAGGAGAAAGGACGGAGACGGAGATTTTGTTATACATCGGCACAATGCGATTATTTTTGCTGTGCAGTCATCCGGAGTTCGATCGTCGCCAAACTCGACAGGAACGATGCACATCTCAGCCTCATCGAGACTGGACGTGCTGGCGACTATCGCACCTGCCCATGTGATATCGGATGATATCGAATGATATCGAATCGATATCCGTAACGAGGAGGACTACCTTACATCTGTCATTATTTTGGTCATGTTGTTCCCGCAGGAGAAGTGCCGCTCCTCCGACTGCCGGGAAAGTGAGGTCTGTGCACATTGTCAACCTCACCTCACCTTTCACAATCTCCATCTTCATCCATGCACACATGCTGCTGCTCCTGTGGGCAGACTTCACGCTCGACAGACCTCCCCTGACTCACAAGCCCATTGACGTGCTGTGTAAGCCGGTCGGAAAGGATGCCCTCCAGGAATGATCTGTCATTCCATGCAGATCCCACTCGTAGCCCTGGAGATCAACCCGGTCATGCCATGGGATCGCTATCATCCCACCATCTGATCCATCGTGAACCTCTGTCACGCGTCGTGTGGCGACGTGTAGAGTGTATGCAGCTTCCGAACGCGAAGATACACGACCTCATCAAGCACCGACCGCGAGGGAGCATCCTGAGTCCGCCATTGGCTATTATCCCTAGGAATTGGAACCAGATGTATCAGTTATCCACGCGAAGCCATCTCGAGACCCTCCGAGTGGCTAGAAGCCTGAATTGAAAGATTTCCCTATCGCGCTCTCCGCTGTCCTTCAATGTCACATGCATTAGGCAACAAACTAGCAACGAAAGTTCACGGCTTCAAACGCCCGCCGCACGGACACACTGATAAGGGTCCCGCAACTTCACCATCGAATCTCAATCTTCACACAGCTATCCATTCACTTCACCACGAAGCCGAACTCGACTCTCCCAACACACGACCACTCCCTCACAAACTTCCACACATCACACAAGTCTCACTATGGCTCAAAACGAGAAGGTCAACTGGAACAGCGTCGAGACCTGGCAGCGTGTGGTCGCCGCCATGCTCGCTACCGGCATCAAGCCTGACCTGCGTCAGACTGCAACCTACTTCGGCACCACGTACGACACCCTCGAGAACCGCTTCCGCAAGATCAAGAAGGTATGTACTACACATCACCGCCGTTATGCAGCTGCTAATACAATTAAAGGAAGCCGATGTGCTCAAGGGCGAGGTCAGCAACGGTGCGCGCGGAGAAGTCACTGCTCCCAGCCGCCAGAAGTCGGCGCCGACCACTCCACGCAAGCGGCAGACTCCTAAGAAGGACGCTCTGAGCTGTAAGCAAGCAGCGCCATTAGTTGCTGCGAGATGATCCCACTAATCCACAATCGTAGCTGTTTCCAACGGCCGCATTAACAAATCCACCCCGAAGAGTAGCAAGAAGTCGGGAATCAAGCAGGAGCAAATCGACCAGCGCTTCACGGCCACCCTCACGGACGAAGTTCACGACCCGACGGACATGAGCTTTGACATGGGTACGTCTGCTCCTCTCTCTCGCTTCTCACGGCTGTCACTAACACGGGCTAGACTTCGGCAACCAGGACGACCTTCTCGACGAATACGTCTAGAGACTTCATACTATACAATGCAACGACGGCGGCGTTTTGGCTGGGATTCTGCGACTTAGAGCAGGACACAGTGGAACATGGGAGGAACTCGAAGCTTTGTCTTTGGCTGTGGCTTGAGAATACTCTGCTCGTAGCTTGTTCTAATGTCAGATGATTGATCGTGATTCCTCTCAATAGTCGACTTGTACTACGTCGTATCTCATCGTGCAGAGATGTGAACAGATGTCAACAGTTGTAAAGTAAATTGGAAGGCTCCAAAGCGCACATGTCGCCAGGTCCTATTTTCTAGCCACATGCTAATTAGCCATACCATGATCTTGAACTTTCTGCTGCCGTTTCCAGTTCTCACGTTGCAGACAGAGCCCACAAGGAGACTGACAGGGTATAAAGAGCAATATCCACGTGAACTGGTACTTCGCCGTCCTCCCGAGGCAGGAGCGACCGCCCTTCGTTCCTTCCACTGCTATACCCACTATACGCCGTTCACATCTGCACCTCGCTTCCATAACCCAAAAACGACAACCTCCTGCTTCTCATCAATCTTCGACAAACGCGACCTACATCGAACATCCTCGTCAAGACAATTTAGATCCCCGGCGAACCATCCGCGCGCACTGGTCAGGGATCCGCGCATCTGCGATCCCGCGCAAAGTGCTTGCAGGGACCCCGGCATTGGCCGTGAGGTTTCGTCAAGTGCTGTGCAAACGGCCAAAACCTCACCTCGCTGCCGGGGAGGGGAGAGCCAATCAGAGGAACGGAAAGAGGTGTGCGGTGGGTGTTTTGAGTCTCTTTGCATTTGCACTTCACCACGAACCGTCACAAACTACCACACCACGTCTCCGACAGCAGCAACTTTCATCAGCACCGACCGGACGAGTAGCGTCTTATCGAATCCAGGGCACGCGGTGTCTTGGTGTACTTTGAGATCTTTCCGTTGCCTAACTTACAGCACATCCAGAAGTGAAGGTGGGTTCCGCCAGGTCTATTCTCGCGCGTGCCGTCACGACGTTCATCTGCGAGGCGCAAAAAGCTCTTTCTTGGTTGCCGCGGACTGACAGCACTCCAGGGAGAAAAAGGAATGGCTCGCACGTGGACCGCACAGCGCAATGAGCAGCTGCTGCTGTTGCTCGTGGATAAGGTGTCTTTCGGAAAGGACATGCAGGAAGAGTTGGCGAAGCAGTGGACGGCACGGTACCGTATGTCATCCTACTACTCCCATGTCCATTCCAGCTCCTGCTAATAGCTCTCTAGCGGGCGACGACTACCAGCCGACTGCACGCGCCCTCAAGGAGCAGATAGCAGCACTCAAGAACAGGGCCGCAGTCTCCGAGTCCGACAAGTTGGCCGGTGGCACGACCAAGACGGAGGCAAAGGGCGTCAAAGCAGCTCGCCAGACTTCTTCAAAGCGCTCTGCCCCGAAGACTCCAACCAGTAGCGCCAAGAAGGCGCGCGCCCGCGGCCGCATGAGCGATGAAGACATCGATTCGGACGACAGCGAGAACGTCAATCTCTCTTCCATCACCAAGCGTCAGACCTTCAGTCGACGTTCTACCGCCTTGAAGAAGACTTATGCGGAGGAAGCTACTTCTGATGAGGACGATGAGCTGGTCACGTCTGGGGTTAAGCGCAAACTTTTCACCGACAAGATTGATGAGGGTATCGCCAAGTCGCCTTCCGCGATTCTCACTGAGCACGGCGGCCGTTCCAGCAAGGCTCGCTCGAAGAAGGATCCTCCCAAAATCGATTACTTCGCGGACGACGCTCATGACAGCGAGGAGGAATTGCTTTGAGCCGGCTGCTCACACAAAATCACTTCGTGAGATATCTCTCGACCGATCGTAGGGAGGAGTATGAGGACGCAGTCTTCAAGCCTCGGATGCAGAAGGTATTGGCGGATTTCCAGGTGACCAGTTTAGGGTGGGCCCTTCTGTAGCATACACCAGAGTCATGATAGGGTTCCCACATTAGAAGGTGAAAGAGTTGATCTGAGACCAGTCTGGGCCCAGGCAGTCCTTATTCTCCAGAATCCTCTTCCCCTCCACGCCCGTGCCATCAAAAGCAGCTTTTATCGCCGCCCTCGCAAGCCGATCCACCGCAATGCTCGGCACCACAGCCTCTGTCAGAAGCGTACTGACACTATCCCCTCCACTCTTCAACACCCCTCCCGGCCTCAAAGCAATCACTTCAAAACACCTATGCGCCCCCTCCCCCTTCTCCTCACTCCCATCCGCAATCGCAAACAGAGCCTTCTCCGCCGCCCCTTTGATCTTCCGACTCTCACTCCACGCCCACAATTTCCGAAACTGATCCTGTTCCGCTCCCCAGCAACTCACATACACAAACCGAAACGGAAACCGGCCCACGCCCACCTTGGGCGGCGATTGCGGATACCCCTCGTACGGCTGCATGCCGCTCCCCAAGCTCTTCGCAAACGCCTCGGCCGCTTCACAGGCGAAATTCACATTCACGCGCCGCGCTTCGTCCAAGTCTTGAAAAGAGGAGAGTTTCCCGCGGCCGAGGGACCAGATGCACGCTTCGACGTTTTCTTCCCGCAGGCGGGCGAGGAGGGAGGCCGGATAGGCTTCGAAGTCTTCGTGGAGGAGCTGGGTGACTTTTTTGGTCTGGGAGAAGCGCGGGTCGGTGAGGGGCCGGCGGGTGAGGATGTAGATGTGGGAGATGTAGTTGTGGGCGATGGCCTGGGTGAGGATCTCGGTTCCGATGAAGCCGGTGCTGCCGATTAGGATGATTTTCATGATTGGTCCGTGAGAGGGGATGTGGTCTGTGATAATACTGGATGGAGTAAGGAGGGTTTGAGAGGTGGTGAGTGAGATGGAAATGGGAATTGGAGATGGTGCAAGGAAGACGTGTGCCGGCTGACGACGGCTACCTTTTCTGAGATGCACTGTGGCTCAGCAATGTTCCAACTCGGAGCGCGTATATTCCTCTGTGGCTCTATAGCTCGTGGAAACTGGTCATTATCGTTCTAAGGGTACAGATTGGAATAAAAGCCTGAAGGCAGGAGAAGTCTTGCAGACACGCCAGATTCACTTCGCATGCCCATGAGACGCGCACGGACTTGCGCCAAGATCCCGATCTGGTATCGGCGACGAGCTAAATGTATGATTTCACCAAGTCAACTTTCAACATGTTCTCAACCTCTTACTCTGATCGTCCGGACAGCATGTTGACGTTGAACGAGACGGAATCACGAGAACGCGTCCCTCCGTGTCCTGACGTCACGTAACCCATATGTCAATGCAATCGTCCTTTCTTCGAGCAACAGCGCGTTTATTCATCCGTAATCGACATTACCCGGACCACCATCTTGTTCGGACGAGGTTGAGAATCGTAATTCAACAGAGCTTTATCTTCAGAGAAAGACAATCGTTTTCGACCATGTCTTGGATGGACTCTTGGTCGCGGCCATCTGCCAATTCGAAGGTCCCAGCACCACTCTATCTCTCAGATGCCGACGTCCCTTACTGCCATACCTGTGGCCGTGTGATGAGTACTTCTTGCCCACCTCGATGGCAAACGAAGCAATGCACTGACACCTCACAGACTCCAAAAAGGCAACCAAAAAGCAAGGCAACGAAATCAAATACTGTTCAGATCGCTGTCGATCTCGCAAGCCCGGAGACCTCGACAGGAAAATCGAAAAGACAATCTCTTCCCTCCTCAACGCGGAGGAAGATTCTGGCCTGGAGCAGACAGCCGCCAAATCCCGCACGGTGAAAGGCGATCACCGCATCATCGTCACCTGCGACGAGATCGAAGAACTGGTGTTCGGCAGTAGATATGATCCGGAAAGAACGCATGGCCGCAACAAGAAGAAGAAACGACGTGCGATCGGCGACCCAAGTGCGGAATGGAAAAGCGTGGACATGGAGGAGCTCAGCGAAGAAGAAGAGCAACCCACGACCGCGAGTAGCGAAGATGACTCGGTAGAAGGTGGAGGCGGCGTTCGGATTCGTCCGCCGCAGACGGAATCGGAGGTCAACTTCAGTGTGGGTGGCGAGCGTGGCCGAGCGGAGAAGATTGAAGAATCGGCCGACGACCTGCAGAAGCGACGACAGGGTGCCAAGCGCGCCGAGGAGCGAGAGATGGTCCGACGCGCCGCGAGGAGAGGCATTGTGTTTGGCTTCGAAGTACCCAGACGGCAAGAACCGAATCAAAAGCAGCCAAAAGGTAAATCGAAACACAAGGGAGATGAACAGGAAGAAGACGAGTCGACTACAGAAGTCAGAAAAGCAGAAGCCATCATGAATGGCATGGTGGTGGAGCCCTCGTTTGCAAAAGGCAATTGGTCTATCAGATGGAGGGAATGAATGACAGCTCCTCTATATTGAACAGGAATGGCCATCTAACTCAACAGCAACGACTTCCACCGGTAATTCGTGTCTGATTGATGCTCTTTTCGTCTCCGAAAGCTCTGGTCGGTCCCGATCTTGTGTCTGTGCCTCATGGATCTGTGTTTCAATACCGCTCAGTTCCGCAACCGATGGCGTACTTGCTGCCGAGCACAAAGACAGCGAATGGATAGCGTCTGCCTTCTCATCAACGATAGCATCCTTCTCTGCCAGTGAGCTTGCGAGCTGTCTCTGGACCCTGGATCTCTTCTTCCGCAACAAGATTGTCGTCCCAAAGACAGCACAAGAGCCCGCAAATACCACCAGGAGAACGACGCAGCCTGCAATTTCAGCTTTGCCCAGATGCGCCTTGTGTGGAGAGTCAACTGCGACGAGGGTCTTCCGATCGTAACTCTCCGGATACAACGCTTGCGAAACGCGAAACTCTGATCGATCATAGTCCGCGAACAGATACGCTGCCTGAAGAAACACTCTGCCGAGAGTGTAGTCGGAGGAACTGTTCGCGCGCTTCAGTGGAAAGTACCTCGAAGACTTCTCAACCAAGGGAGCAGAGATGTTGAGGTCAAATGCCGCATAGGGTATGTCGATGTCGATGGTCTGCCCGTCGGCTAATGCATCGGCACCACCCACCGTGAAAGTCACAGTCGGATTGAGCTCGATGAGATTGGCATGAGCTTCATCGGTCACCAGGTAAAGCTCGCAAGTCGAATTCCAGGTCAGGTTGAAAGCCTGCTCGAATCGCTCGCAGACGCTGGCTGGGAGCCACATTTGCGACACCATGGAATCGATAAACGCATAGAAACCTCCCCCTAGCGGCGTGCTTCCGGGTGTATCGTACGTCATCGACTGTACTCCCAATACCAAGTCGCGACTAGGATCGGAAGCGAATGGCACCGTGATGGACTTCATGGCATCGAGTCTCGACGCATCGTAGCCGCCCAAAGTCAGACTGCCGAAGACTTGTCGGTAGTATGCACCAGCCGTATAAGCCCACGAGAGACCGCCGATTCCTCCACGATGTCTCAAAACACTCAGCAAACTAGGTGCGGAGACATGGGCGCCGGAATAATTGGACGTGACCGGGCTCAGGCCTAGAGATCCGAGCCAGAAATCTTCCGTGGCGTATTCGGCCACCAAGAGGTTGGCTACGAGTGGGACGTCCGGACAGGGAAATCGTAGCGTGTCGAAGCCGTAAGAAACGCTACCAGTAGATCCGAGCGCTGATTCGACCGGATCGTCAAGTTCGCTTTCTCCGCCGTCTGGAAGCCCGCGAGTGGACCATGTCGAAGATGCATTGCTGGAAAACACATTGCCTCGCGAGCCAGTGCAGTTCGCAGCGGCCGGATATCGAGAGCAGCCTGGTGGTGTCACGACCGAGACCACGTTACCTGTGTACGCGGACGTGCCGGGTAAAAGCCGTACTTTCTGGCCTTTTCCTAGTTAGACCGCGCTGGGTTCAAGTGCAAGAGGTTGAAATACCTGGATCTCCTATTTCAACTTCAAAAGTCGACCACATGCCATCAATTCCGTCCCTGAGAGGTGTCAGCTTTGGCTGGGTCAAGGGGGCAGTGCTTACTGACCATTGCCAACTCGGCGAAAGCGAGAGCCATTTGCCACTGCTCACGGCTTGTATGACGGGCACGTACAGCAATAAGGCAATAACCACAACGGTGTATCTTCTCGCAGACATGTTGTTTCGTCTCGTTCCAGCCTTACAGTGAGAGAATGAAGAGGAGTTCCAGATACTCGGAAAGTTCAAGATCTGACATGGACTCTCTCCTGCAAGCCAAGACTTCCCGTGATACCTGGACGAGGCTGAAAAGGATCCGAGAAATCCTATTCCGAGTAGCACTTGGATGCAGAAACGGAATTGCGGAGCCGTACCAATGTACGAGCCTCGATAATATTGGTTTCCTGGTCGTTCTGGGGGCTGACTAGCCGACAGTGCAACTGTGTGCTTAGATATCTGGACCTCTAAGCCACGAGCCACAAATGGCATGTATCCTTCTTATTGTTAATGATCCTTATCGAGACTTTTGTAGACCGCTTCTAGAATCTCGTGGTCTGCTTTGCACGCGGGCGACAGCGTGGAAGTCCCCTTTAGAGCTGTCACCGTCTTGCCAACCAGCTGCCGCAACTCTTCCAATTGCATGGGTCCTCTCCATTGTTCACAGTCCCGCGCAGCAGTGAGCAACAGCACATTACAGAACTGTCCATGCAGGAGGCTCAGAATATCCGGTACGACCAGTGGTCCTTGAATGCCATCGAATGCGGCAAGACTCTGCTTCGCCGCTTGTAGACAGAGCTCAGCATTTTGCAGAATTTCCTGAACCCCCCCTTGACGATAGAGATTATTGATCGCAGATAGGAATTTGAGATCGGGAGAGGAACGCTGCGGGTTTCCTGGCTCTTTTAGGCAGAGATCAAAATCGATGGCGTGTTTGAAGCGCGGCAGGTTGTGAAGCGTGTAGTCCAGAAAAGGTCGGAGGAGGCTGATCTGTGTTTCAAAGTACGAATGTTGTAATTGAGCGGTCTGCATGTCATTCGAAGGCTCTTCGCGGAATTCCTCAGGTAGAGTGCTCCACCAGCATCGTAACTCATTTTGATGGCGCTTCAGTGCTGTGATCACACTATCCATTTGCTCGTGATCGGGCTCAGAAGAGTGCCATGAGTGCCGGGTTTTCTGTTGGAGCTGGGTGAGTTGTAGCTGAGCCCTATAGACCACGTTTTGAAAGGCTGGAGGCCGGCGTCCGTCGACGTGGGATCTGGAAGAATTGCCATTGATTGAACTATCCAAGTGAGGAAGCTGTAGCTTATGCGCGATGCCTTCAAGGCCACTCGATGGTAGCTTGAGATCAGGCGTGATGTCGCTCTCCAGGCGAAGACAAGACCAGGCGGTCCTAAGGATCATCTCGTTTTCGTTTCCGAAAGACTGTGCGGAATCTTCTTCCTTATGCACGTTGTTGCTTGTGCGAAATAAGCGTCTCCGATTGATCAGGTGTATCAGTACTCGGCCAGCCATAGAGTACCAGCTAGAAGCCTCATTCATTCGCGCGAGATGAGCTTTGTAGATTCCGGCCATCAGAAACATCTGTGCGTGCACGAGTTCGTTGCCGTCCATGTGAGCGGATACGATTCTCATGGCCTCTCGAAAGTACGAGATCCCTCCGGCCTCCCGAGAGTCACTGTCTTCAGAGTCAACTGGAATAGTATCATCGGTAGCCTTGATTCCAAGAGGATCTACCCGGTACGCCGCTGCCTCGCCGATAGCAAGAGCAAGCAAGACTATCGCGTTGGTGGACCTCTGATCGAAACGTTTGGTGGTAACGACGCGGGTGTCCGGGAGGCCTAAGCATCGTCTCTTTGCGGGCGGAATTCCAGATACCGGATTCGGCTGAATGTAAGTTTTGACGAAGTCGTTGACAGTCTGCTGCAGCTGCAACGAGCTCAAAAAGGGATGCAGGCACAAGACCCGATGCACGAACTCGTGGTGTAGCTTTCTGACCTTGAACTCATTGAAATCGCTGCTCGGCCCGGTCTGTGACGTGCAGTCTCCATCCATAGAGGACCTCTTCCTCTTGCCGCTCGTCAATGGTGTTGGTCGTGAGTTGTCGCGTCCGAATCGCCCTTGGTGCAACTCAGGTCCATCGTTTGGATTGTCACAGCTTTCCCAACTGCTGTTGTGATTCGTCTGCAGCTGTAAAACAGGGCGGTCTTCGGCCTTGCGAAGGTAGGCCTTGTTGAAGTCAACTCCGGCGCGTGAGAAGACTTTGCGCATTTCATGCCAATGGAGCACAGAGCTGGGCCTAAGCTCTTGCGCCCAGCTTTGCGGTTCACGTTGCAGGGGCAATTCGACGCCAGAAGAGGAAGCCGATTGTGGTGTCGATGCAGCACCTTGTAGCCTGTCTCTACGCTCCCGGTCACTGAGCATGCTGTCAAACGCATCGATCTTCCGAGAAAGCGCAGTCAGGCTGTTGGACTGACTGGTCATCCAGTGGATCATGGTTTCGACAATGTTCTCGAACCTGTAAAGCATCAGCTCGGTATGCATCCTTGACACAATACGCGGGAGCAAGTCACTTCGTTGAAACGATCGGACGATAGCTGCAGTCCAAGTCGTTCTCTTCGCAATACCCACAGGGCTTGCCCTCGTCACACCTTTGCTTTCGAAATCGACAGTGATCGCAGGCCTTCGAGCAATGAGTCGCTGCAATTGGGCTTCTTGTTTGGGCAGGTGTCGTACCTGCATAGCCCGTCCTTTCTTCTTGGGCACATTCACTGCTCTCATCGCTGAGGCTGTGGGCGAGCCAGACGGTGACGGTATAGAGTCATCAGACTCATGATATGCTGACGACTGCAGTGTGTATGAAGATGGCTGTTGGTAGTGTGCCTCCGGAACTGGGATCGCTCCATGCGTATTGTCGTAAGCTGACCAGCAGCTTTCAAAGCCAGATTGGGGCTCCTGGCAGTATGTCGTTCCGACCGGCAGAGGGTAGTAAGAGCAATCCGACATCGCTGGACGTAAAGCGAGGTGGCACGTGGCCGTGAGCAAGGAGGTGTAGTCAGAAGAGGCGTGCACGGCGATGAAGAGCTTCGACGAGATTTAGCAGCCTGCATCCATGGGGCGAGAAGTGACTTAGAAAGGGCAGCACGGGATTCTTCTTTGTTTTCGAACCTAGAGACGCCCCTATGTGTCTCACTCTGTAAGCATAAGGAATGATTTGGCATCCGTTCGTGAAGCTCTGATCGCAGCTTCAAAATGCACTGTCAGGCTGGAAAGGTTGTTGCACGAGCATGATTAATCTCAACTCCAATGTCGGTGGAGCGCATGGGGCAGTGGGCATGACTCGTGTGATCCTCTTTCGTCTGAGAGTGAGAATCGGTCCGGTGGGGTTGTTCTGTACAGGCCTGGGCAAAGAACATTAACTGATCCACTGGGAAATAATCCCCCGTGAAAGTCACATTCCAAGGGTGGAAGTGCAGGCTTAAGGCGCCGTGAAGAGGTCAAGACAAAGAGCAGCGAGTCAGTGCTCGAGCGCCTGACATCCGTACATGGCCTGTCCTGAAACGCCTGGGCGTTATTGTGCAATCGCAGTGTCATGGCCACAGGCGTTCGGTTTGCGACATCCTCGCCAAGTTGCATAGCCGATCCGAGTGAAGTACCGGCAGTGCTGCTAAATGTGTATAATGGGGGATGTAGTGAGGCTTTCGAGAGTGCTTCTCATCGGATGTCCCGTTGAGACCGTTGAAATTGCGTTGTGAATGTGCAGTGCCACATGCCGTCCAGACCCTTCGCCCTGAACTCCTGTGAACTTGAAGAGCAGGGATAGCAGTGCGCGTATTCCAGCAGATCTGCACTGGCAGATTGTGTCTCGCGCTAGACGACCACAGGACTTGCCGTCTCAGCAGATAATAACGCAATGGAGGTTTCCCTCGTCCTTGAGGCCCAAACATCGATTGCATCCAAAGCCTGTTTGAGCTTCTGTCACCTAGAAGTTGGAACGCAACGGTCATCCACATCGCTTGCAACATCCCTCCGGCCAAAGACTCATTGGATATACCTCTATCCATCAGAGAGGCGACAGCGCCGGACGTCAGAAGGCCCTGCCGTGGTTGTTTTATCATAGTCGCCGATCCTTGATAGTCAAAGCTAGAGTTGTTGTTGTTGGAGACCGGAAACAGACGTTGAAGTATAACAGATTGATTCCGCGGTTAATTGTGCAAGCTTGGTCGAATAGTGCACCCTGGAGAACCTCATTTGTCCACGCGGATAGTTGTGCAGCAAGAAGTGCACGACATACCGCGGACGTCACAAGCTCGCTTGCTAGATTTCTCCATTTCGACGAGCCGAGGAGTCTTGTTACCTGGATAGTAGATGGCGAAGAAGAGTTGATGAGTGATGGACGGGGTGTGGAAACGAAAGACGGCGTCGCTCTCGGATTTACTCCGGCTGTCCTACGATACTCTCGTGGTCTTGGACGTCATTCCTTCGATTCAAGAAAGACAGGCCTACGAATCAAAAGAACGCGAAAACAGTATAAACAGAGATCTTGAGTGGAACCGACAGGCTTCAGCATCGTGAGATTCGTTCAACTCGTACAGGGTATCATTGTAATCAAAGAGACATGCAGATCCACATACGACGCTCACAGTTCCAACTCCTCCACCTCCATACCGCATTCAACGCAGCTCTTCTTCAACATACCAGTCTCGGGATCCTCGACGCTCCGTCCCCATTCATGCTCATGCTTGCCCTGGCCGATCGTGTCGCCAAACTCCCCGCCTCCCCCAGCTCTTCCCCTCTTGTACGCATCCACTCGCGTTCGCTTCTTCAACTCCTGCAGCTTGTTCCGGAACTTCTTCTCCTTCCTCTCCTTTGCCTCTTTACTCCTCCGCTCGAACTCGGCATCCAGAGCTTCGGCAGAGCCCCACTTCTTGGCGGAGAATGCATATTCCTCCACTTGGAATCGCAGGTAGAGCATCATGTTGTTCCACGTCGATTTATGCGGATTGGCCTTCTCCAGATGAGGCAGCAGATCTTCATCCCTCAATTCAGGGTCCGTGAGGAGGTAGTCTTCTTTCGCTTCGGTCTTGGTGAGGAGAGAATACTTCTCCGGAAACTTCTCCTTGCACGTGTTGCACACCTGACAGCCCAACAGTTCATCCCATTGCCAGTCAATCTCCGGGATGCCGCACTCCCTACACAGCTTCTTGTTCCCCTCGAGTGCCGACAGGCCCGGCTCATATGGACCCTGTCGTGTATCACGAAGCCGTTTCTGCAGCCTCTGTGCCTCCCATTCCCTCAGTGTCATGTTCGCCGGCTTCCCCTCCTCCGGTGCATGGAGTGTCTTGTTATGCGGATCATCTTCGTGTGTCATGAAACCGCCCTTGGTGTCCGTCATCTTACTGAAATCGTACTCCACGAACTTTTGAAACTTCCTCGCCGCTCGAACGCCATCGTCATTTGCCTGTGCCAGACCATTATTACTGTTGGGCTTGTTCGGCGTATTGCGGGCGTCTCGGTTCGTCGCAGGAGCGTCACGCGTTGATATAGCAGCATGAGACCTCTTCTGGCCGGTTACAGGATACACAGCCGCCGCGGATGCGCGAGTTGTGTTGGCGTTCCCTGCATTCTGTTGCTGTGTTCGCAATGCTTTGGCCCTCAGGCGAGACTCCTCCATCCGCCGCACTTGCTCGGGAGTTATGGGCGAGTTGGCGGCATGATTGGGCGCCGGACGCGGTGGCGTCTTCGGCCGCTCCGTGGAGGCCATATCTGCTGATGTTGTTGCAGGAAGATGAAGGCGAAGTGTATCTGTAAGAGTAAGAGTACCTCCTAGTATTCAAGGTGGCGCTTGTGGAAAGTCATTGGCTCGCTTGGGATCGGAACTAACGAACCCCTGTTCGATCGTTCGGATACGTTCCGCTTCCCTTGCGACGATTCACTTCTTCCTTCGCCGATGGTGCCAGTCTTCTCAAGCTCTCTGTCTGACATGTGAAAGAGCATTACATTCTTACACCAACATCGGAGTCATCCCGGCTGTCTCGTGGTCCGCGGCGAGAACAGTCAGGATCTTGGCCAAACGCCGTCCCGCGGGCCATCTTTCGTCCGTTTTGGCGACAAAGCGCCAGCAACGTCATGGACTCCCAAGATCCGGAAATCTCGGGCCTTGGATCAAGACGTCTTATATTCCGACCTTGGCCGCGTACTCCAAGCCCATCGTTTCCCTCATGGGCTCATCACCTTAGAGGATGTCTTCGTCAATTATCATCGACCGCCTGGAACCTTGGAATCCCGATCCCGCCACTGCAAAAGACCACCATGTCGGTTCCCCGCCCACGCATTTCAAAAATCCATGGCCGTCATATAAGCACGATACAAGTATCTTCGAACTCCTCAAGCTGCGATTCGGCAAGAATCCAGAGAAGAACTTTGTGCCCGTGCCCGAGGGACCCAACGGGACGAGATCCGAGGAACTGGTCAAGGTACTGAAGCCGACCTGGGGACGGGATCAGAAAGACAAGCTACGGGCGACGTGGATTGGACATGCCAGCTGGCTCATACAGGCACCTGCTGTAGAAGGAAGAGTGAGAGGTGTGAGGGTTTTGTTTGATCCTGTCTTCAGTCAGAGGACGTCGCCTTTCAGTTTCATGGGACCGAAGCGATACACGCCTACACCTTGTCCGATCGAAGATCTACCCGACGTCGACATCATCTGCATCTCTCACAACCACTACGATCATCTGGACTATAACGCAGTATCTACGCTCTACCAACGTCTGAAGGGCAGGCTGCATTTTTTTGTTCCCTTGGGAGTCAAGATCTGGTTCTTAGAGCATGTGGGATGCGCCGCCGACGATGTCAGCGAGTGCGACTGGTGGGAAGGCGCCGAGGTAGAAGTGGAAGGTATCGGCTTTGTGAGATTGACATGTTGCCCGACGCAGCACTTCTCTCGCCGTAGTATTTGGGATGGAGGAAAGTCACTGTGGTGCTCCTGGGCGCTGGAGACCGAGGGGATGAAGAAGCTCTATTTCGCCGGAGACACTGCCTACCAGGCTCACGAAGCTCCGTCGCCATGTCCTGCGTTCGCGCAGATTGGCAAACAAATCGGACCATTCGATCTCGCCCTGATACCTATTGGCCTATATTCGCCACCGAAGGTGTCAGCGGCTGTTCATGTGCATCCGGAGCAGTCACTCGAAATTCATAAAGCAGTGCAGTCTAAGCTGAGCATTGGCATGCACTATGGTACAGTGAGAGGCGGACTGTCTTCCGTGTTCGAAGATGTCCGAGATCCTCCAAGGAGATGGAGAGAGATAGCGGAGAAGGAAGGACTCTGGTGCGGAGGAGGCGTGGAGGGCGACGGCAGATCTGTCGATGTCAGCAGAGAAGGAGTCGGCTTGTGTCATGTCGGCGAAACTGTGGCTGTATGATTGAGCTTTTGGACTTGCTGTTGCTCCGCTACCCTGTTTCCTGGACATTGCGCTCCGAATGGATGACAAGTTTTTCGAAGGCAACGGACGCTTCTACACCGGACGCTTCTACACTGGACAATATGATTTTCCGGACTTTTCTGCGTCTTGGCGCACGGCCGCGTGAAGCCCACAAATATCTCAGCTGGTTCGCTACTACGAAGATGTTCGGGAAAGACGTGTGGTAGGTTTTCGCTGACAAAGATATCAATTAGAGACCTTGACTGACTTTCTCACAGCGCATCTGCGGGTCCGGGTTCATCAGAAAGGAGGAGGAAAGGAAGGAGAAGCTTCAAAGTCCTCCAGGGCTCCGTCTTCGTTCTTCATAGCAGCGGCTTCTGAGCCCAAACCCTTCGTCTGCAAAGCATCGATCGTCAGCCCACGCATCAAGGAGAAACTTACGGAAAAGGAAACTCACGTCAAATGATAGATATGCATCCCTTTCTTCTTCAGGTCGTTCCTCACACCGGCGACATATACCCTCACCTCATCGGCACTCCATGGCTCCGGGGCACCGTGTTTCGTCAGCAACCACATTGCCCATCCGTCAAGCCCGGCACTCCAATGATGGAAATTCACCCGTCCGGCTTCTTTCATACGCTTATCCTTCGGCCATGTTCCCAGCGGACACCTGAAGAGGTCGTCCTTCAAATTAACGAATCCTGCGTTGGCGATGCGTTGACACATTGTCTCTTGCGTAGAGAGAGGACGACCACTTCGTTCCGCACAGCCAAGGAAGTTATCGCCCCAGCCTGCTAGAAGAGAATCCTTGGGAAGCGTCTCGTCGTCGGACATGACGCGGACATCGAGTTCGACCTGTTCGATCCAGCCTCCCGGACGGAGATTGTCGTATACAATACCATAAAGCCGATCCCATTCTGCATCGGTGAAGGCCCCGAGCAGCAGCCGCATATGGATCAGATCGAAAGGTTTCCTGAAGCTCCAGTCGCCCAGAATCACATCTTCGACTTCGAGATGGCAGTTGGGCGGCTATGCGATATTAGCTCAGCCAATGTCCTGTTTTCACTACCGACATATGTGGACTCCACACTTACGACCCAGGTATTCGGTGGTGGATACAGATCTACTCCATAAACGGAAGCGTCTGGGAATTTATCTGCGACGTCGATGGCCTGCAACTCATATAAGCACGTCAGTCCAAGTCAGGAGAGGGAGTTTTCTTACCCACGTCCCCGTTCCTGTGCCAATGTCTAGCACGTACTTGGGGTTGTCGACAGGGGCACGATAGAGCAGATTGTCCCGCTCGCCTTCCATCAGCAAGTACATGAGATGTCCGGCGTCCATTGTTTCGAATTGCTGGTCGTCCGAGGGTCCCCAATAATCATCTCGAAGGGTGGAATATTTCCTTCCATTTTCGACGTGTCCCCGGATCAGGCTGGAGGCTAGACTGGTGGTGTCTGAGCCAATATCGTCGTCGGCGAAGCCTGAATCGCTGCTGAGGTCGACTTCCTAGTGGGCGTACGGTGTCAATTGACGACCACGATGCTGTTGTTGCTGATGGGGCATTCTTACGAGCGGATCGACTGTGCTTGCTCCATCATCGACAACTTGCTGCTGCTGCTGCTGCTCCTGCTGCTGCACTGGCTCGGCAGCTTGTTCGTTAGCGAAACTCTCCGCGGCTGCCGCGTTCGGGGAGCTCCCGGCCGGCACGGCAGCGCTCGGCTCGGCCATGACACGGGAAGTCTCTTTCCCACGTCCCGAGTCCCGACTCGATGCTTCAGCCTGTGTCTCACCGCTGCAGCGAAAGACGGAATCGATGGAGGTGTCCAGAACACACCTGAGAATTCGCAGACAGGCGACCACGCCGGGCGGGAGCTCGTGCTGCGCCGCCAGACCGAGATGCTTGTCGAGAGTGCCGGGTGGGTGCCGGAAACGAGAAGGTTCAGCTGCCCGGCGCGTTATAGACGCGCCCGCCAAACCGAAGCAGGAAAGGTGGGAGCGGTGGCCAATCAGATTGGCAGGGACGACTGGAGAGCTAGGTGCTCCCACGCAACTGAGAGCCCCGCAGCAAGCAGCAGCGAACCTGTCGGCGGCGAGCGCGGGGGAGCATGAGGCAGGCAACAGGCAGGAATGAGGAATGGCAGGAGAAGGTGGGAGTTCAGGGATTGCGACGGTGGGATTCGCAGCGCGGGATCGGATGGAAGTCGGGCGGGAGGGCAAGAGGGCAAGAGGGCAGGCACGAGGATGCTCAGAGGTGGGCGTGGGCACGGGCACGACTGCCTCGAGCGATACGATAAGGTACCACTTGCGCCCTCCATCGAACCCGACACACCGGTAACCAGCTGTCATCCGCCGCGAGATGGCCCAGGTCTTGCCCACCAAGGCCTTGTGCGGCGTCACCGTCCCCGACACCCCCCTCATCGACGCCGCCCTCCACTTCGCCCGCCAAGTCTCCACCGATTCCACCTACAATCACATCGTCCGCAGCTTCCTGCTCGGCTTCATCATCGCGGACAAGCTGCCTCACACCAAGCACCGCGACCGCGAGGTCCACGCCGTAGCCGCGATCCTGCACGATACCGGCTTCCCCCTCGGCCATCCGCCGCACAGCCAAGTCATCAGCGATGACAAGCGATTCGAGGTCGACGGGGCCAACGCGGCGCGAGACTTCCTGAAGAACGAGGGCAAGCCGGAAGAATGGGACAAACACCGCCTTCAGCTGGTCTGGGACGCCATCGCCCTCCACACCATAGGCAGCGTGGTCTTCCACAAAGAGCCCGAGGTCCAGGCCTGCTCCTACGGCATCTGGGCGGATTTCCAAGGCCCGGATCGCGTCCCGGGCGGCGTCTTGACCTGGGATGAGTACAATGCCACAGTCAGAGTGCGTTTCCCGCATGACTTATGCACATGCCCTGAGAGAGACCCTTTCTGCCGTCTCCCGCCCTTTACTGTACTGACCCATTGCCTGCCTGCCTAGGAGTATCCTCGTCTGGGCTTGATGAGGGAATTGAAAGACAACATGCTTCACCTCTGCAAGACCAAGCCCGGAACCACGTATGATAATACGGTCGGCGAGTGGGGAGACCGCTACCTGCCGGCGGACGAGTATAATCGAACCCCCAACTTGACCCAGAACCTTCTCGAGACCTGTGATCTCGACGATATCGATCCAAATTGACCGCAGCGAATCGCAGGGCGTTCGAAGGGTGTTTAGGAGGTCCAGAGATGAAGGAATGCCGAAGTTCAAGGTTGGAGAGTTGGGGATTCGAGAACGCCACTACACGGCAACGAGATGGGTGGGAAATATATGACATGGAGTTTGAGGACTGTTGAATTTTTTTTTTCTTTTTTCTTTTTTTCCCCAATCGAAACGGCGTGTGCCGGTGGCTCCTTTGCTTAGCTAGTATGTAGCCATCGGTGCTGCAGAATCCAACCGAACCCCTCTCGCCCAATTCATGTTCTATTCAAAAAGAAGTGCGTCGTCAAATAATCGTCAACGCATGGAGTCATCAGGCGGACCAAGCCATTGACTCCCAGAATGCGAAGATTCTTCCAAGCGTGCGAGCATTCTCCAAAACCAAATCAGAAATCAGAACACTTCCAGAATCAATCCTCACCAGCAGCAGCAGCACATGTTGAATGGCCGAACCCATCTCCCTCACACGACCTCGTCCCCCTTCTCACCCTCCTCAAGCAACGCATGCCTCCCCACCCTCTTGCCCTTATACCTGCGTTTCACACCCTTCCAGCCCTCAACCGCGGAGACGAAAAGCACAAGACTCCCCCCCACCAATCCCCATTCCCACGTCAAGGGCAAGTGTCGAAAGACCACCCGGTTGACGACGGGGATGTAGATGACGGGAAAGGGGGTGAGCAAGCCCGCCAAAACTGCCCAGAAGAGGAAGCGGTTCCTGGTGATGGCGGTGGCGGTGGTGGAGGAAAAGAAGACCGCAAGTCCTCCGCGCCGTGCGGCGGGCTTCTCGTTGGGGTACATGTTGAACAGGCTGCGGTCTAGGTGCTTCGCCTCGAGCGCCATGACGGACAGCAGGACGGTGAGGATGCTGTATGCCGTGCCGCGAGCGCGGTATGGGAGACGGCAGGTCTCGTTGTAGCTGTGGTTGCAGTCCGAGCCCAGATTCCCATCGCCGACGCCGTAGGCTACGAGGACGAAGCTGGCGAGGCATAGAGTGCCCATGCACGTTCCGTAGACGCATTTGTCGATGAGGAGCTCCGTGGTGAAGACGCCTGCTTGGAGCGAATGCGGTGGGCGGGTCATGATGTCTGCGGAGGCTTCTTCGAGACCGAGACCGATGGCGAGGAAAGAGGATGAGACGAGGTTGGCGAAGAGGATCTCTAGCGGCGATAGGGGGAAGATCGAGACGTCGTCGTTGTCCTTGAACGCCAGGCCAACGAGTAGCAGGATGACTTGCGCGATGTTGGAGACGAGAAGGTGGAGCAGGAATTTCCGGATGTTGTCGAAGAGCCTCCTGCCCTCGCGGATGGCAGAGACGATGGAGGCGAAGTTATCGTCCGTGAGAACCATATCGGAGGCTTGCTTGCTTACGTCGCTTCCATTGAGACCCATGGCGACGCCGACGTCCGCTCCCTTCAGGGCCGGGGAGTCATTCACGCCGTCGCCAGTCATGACGCAGTATCTGCCTTGACGATGCAAGGCATGGAGCATACGAAGCTTCGTGGTGGGACTGCACCTTGCCAGCACTAGCGGTAAGGATTCCATCGCATCCAGCTCGTCGTCAGACAGTCTGTCGAATTCCGACGCTGCCATCACTGCACCTGGGCGGGACGACCCGGCGACACGCGGGGATAATATTCCAATCTCGCGGGCGATGGTCGTAGCTGTCTTGAGGTGATCGCCAGTGAGCATGTGAACCGTGATCCCAGCCCGCTGGCACTGTCGGATGGCACCAGCCGATTCGAGTCGAGGCGGGTCGTAGATTCCAACCAAGCCGGCAAACTCCAAGTTCTGTTCGACAAAGGTCCTATCCATGGCTCGTTCCATTTCATGCGACTTCAGCTGACGCGAAGCCAAACACAGAACACGAAGTCCCTCGGCGGCCATCGCTTCGGCTTGAGTCATGATAGATTTGCAGGTGGCTTCGTTCGCGGTAGTGAGTGGCAGGAGAACCTCAGTGGCGCCTTTGGTAAAGCATGTCGCTCCTCCGGTCGCACCGCCGGTGTATATCACCGACATTCGTTTGATTGCAGAGTCAAAGGAGTGCTCAGTGACAAGCTCAACGCCCTCGCGAGCGATGACATCTTGTTTCGCGCATCCTGCTCGCATGGCCAAAACCTGGAGCGCAATTTCTGTGGGCTCTCCACTTCCGGTCCACTGGGTCTCCTGTCCATGAGGGGCAGTGACTGTGGCAATGTTGCAGAATGCTGCGATCTGGTAGAACTTACTGACCTCAGCATCCGACTGGACGTCTTTCGACTGTACAGGTATCCCGTCCAAAGTCAAGTCGCCTACTGTAGGGTCCAAAGGTGATGCCTCGTTCTCAACTTTAATAAGGCGTCCACTGGGTAGTAGTGCCTTTCGAGCCATCATTTTGCCCTGAGTCAAAGTGCCTGTTTTATCCGAACAGATGTTGGTTACGCCTCCAATCGCTTCTAGTGCGCCCATCTTCCTGACAATGACATTGCCCTTGGCCATGGCTTTGGAACCGACAGCCATCGTGATGGTCAACACAGCAATGAGGCTCTCTGGGATGACGGCCACAGCCACACATATTCCATAGATCAAAGTCTCGTCGTCAAGATTCCAGAGGCTCACGGAGAAGACTATGATAGCGAGGAGGATCGCCAAAGCGAATAGGAAGAGTGCAAACCAGGAGAGCTTGACCTGCAGTGGAGTACCAACTAGACCAAGTATGTTCTTGATGCTGCCTAGTACCTTCTTGCCAACGCGAGAGATCCAAGGTCCTTCAGAAATTGTCTTTTTGTCTCCGAGAAGTAAAGCAATATTGCCAATTTCTGTGTCCATACCAGTTGCGACAACGATTCCAATTCCTCGTCCTCGCGTTACGGTGGTTGAAGAGTACGCCATATTTTGTCGGTCGCCGACTGGAGCGTCGTGTTTGGTAGAGACGTAAAGAGCATCCTTGATGGCCGCCTTGGATTCTCCTGTCAAAAGTGCCTCATCAGCGGCAAGATTGAAGTTGTTAACCAGACGTAGATCTGCAGCTACAATGTCGCCTACAGCGAGCTGTACAACATCTCCAGGGACAAGTTCTTCGGCTTTGATAGTCGCGACATTGCCATTGTCACGAATGACCTTGCAAACTGGAGCAGCCATGGCAAGCAGGGAAGCGATGGTCTGCTCTGCCTGATAGTCTTGAACAAAGCCGACCACAATGTTGAGGCAGATGATCGCGGAGATAACGCCGCCTTCGATGAAGTCTAACATTCCGTACGAAATGGCCATTGCAATGACCAAGACCAGAGTCAAACTATTCGAGATCTGGCGGAAGAGGATGCTCCACCACTTGACGCCACCTGAGCTCTCAAGCCTATTCAAGCCATACCGGGCACGACGGAGTGCAACCTCGTCGGCAGTCAAACCGTTGCTGTCAATCTGTAAGAGATTGTTCACTGTATTTGGGCCAAGGTACTTGCCTAGCATCTGTTTCGATGATACTAGCCACACGCTCGTGTGGCAGCATGTGAGCTCGAAAGTGGATTTTACCCGCATCTCTCTCGTCGATGGTGGTAATGGATGGTGTGTTGGTTGTGTCGCGAGCTCCGACCAGCTTCTCAACGTTCAAGAGAACGACGCTGGACGAGCCCGCGCTCGGTATAGGCGGCGGGTCATCGACATTGCCACTGTCATCCGGGGCTGGAGTGCCTCCGCCATGCTGAGTTGCCGAGTGTGCTTTCGACTCGACATCGACGTTAGGGGAAGCAGGAGGTTTTTCCATCAATTACCAGGTGAAAGCTATTGCTTCCAGGAGGATGTGGCGAGTAGGTAAGCACACGTCCCAGTCCACATGGAGATGTAGGCAGTGGTCTATATGCACGTGGCTGCCATGCGAGGGCGAGCTCAAGTCACCGTGAGACGAGCATGGGTGGAAGCGATTAGAATGCATGGCGCTTGTTGGCAGTAGCTGGGCAGAGCTTGATGATTCGCAGCAAGCATCGATCGTGTGATACTGCCAAGGTCCTTTGATGCATCTCAAAGCACGTACGCGTGGTGCATTGCCCTTGGTGGTAATGCCGTTTCTTCCCTTTGCGGAAAGGGTGGAAAGGCAATGTTCAAAGCGGATTGAAACTGTAGTCTTGCTTGCGTGCCCATGTAGATCCAGGCGTTCGTATCAATTTCGTACTACTGAATGCTGACACGAGCAGGTGATAGTGAGGGGGTGTCGGGGATACGAAGGATGCAGTGTAGAGAGCGGGCAAGGAAAGACGAGGCGATGGAGTGTCAGGTGACGCGCCTATTCACTTGGCGGAGACCCACATCTGTGCACGGATCAGCATTGGACACTTCCTCGACGACTTAACCGCGTAACTTTAGCACGAAAACGGCAATATCCAAGACGCGAGCTGCAACACATTCCTTCAATCAGAGCTCACCGCCGTCACGTCAGGAGATAGGCACGTGTTCCGCTGGGAATTCGGCAGTTCTTGTTATCAGCAATTGCTATCAGCAAGGACAATGTGATTGGAAGCTCCATGGAAAATAATACTCCATGTGACGAACCACACTCCTGGTAGAGACGCGGCGTGGGAAGCGCGTCCCCCCAACCATCGTCCCGCCTCATCCTTTGCATTGGACTTTCTCCTCTGAAAGCAGCTCGAATTCCGTGTCTGTGAGGACAATACGAACCTGACCATGATGGTTAGACCGATCCTCCCAGCTTCCTCGACCATTGCGCCTAATGGAATTTCTCCTCGACTGACGGCGTCTCTCCTGGACATTCTGATGCTTGTTCAACGGCTTCATGGTCCAGCCGATCGTCCTGCTAGTGGTCTCGTGGCCAGCCACAAGGAAGCCATGCAACGAGAAAACTCATCTTGATTCGCTTGGATTTCTGTGTCGGGTTGTCGACCTTCTTTCTGAGCCGTCCTCGCTCCCTTCCCATGAGGAGGTCCAGAGCGGTATTCATTCCTACCGTCGATTCACCATCCCAATCTTCCGTTTTTTTGGATTACCTTTGCTGCGCCTTGCGAAGCTGTCTGCGGATCATTCCTCGTGTATGTCTCCTCGCTGCGACCAAGCTTAGACAGCAGTCCAGAGCAACCCAGTGATGCAGTGCAGGGAAAGGCGACCTAACATGAACGTCAAGTGACTTTGAAAGGCTGTTGATCGAATGATCGAAGTAAGCTCTGGCGGATCATCCACTTCAGGACATTGGAAAGGAACCTCCTCGTCGGAAATCATCTGCAATTTCTCGCGGTGGATGAGGCCCTCGGTGCGCTTCCTCATTGAGCCAATCTCTTCCTATAAAACGCCAGCCCATACAATCTCCGACGCTGCCCTGTGAATGTCTTCTGAGAATTCAATCGGTCGGCTCTCCACGAGTCGTGCCTTCTAACGCGAAAGAGAAACGAGGCTTTGTGTCGTCGACCGCATTTGAGGAGCTATGTCTCCGCGAGTTTTGCAGACGAACTATACACATAAACCTGTGAGAAGCTACAATTCATTCTCGTGAACCTCGTCCAGACGCTCAAACGAAGCCATGTCAACACTTTGACCATATTGCGAGGCTCAGATACTCCTCTCCTCGTCGCCATCCCGCTGGAACTTCGCGTGTGAAGCATTGCCAGTCTCAGGATCTGTAGGCGCTTTCATTGCGGATAGCTCGAATCCCCACGCCATCAAAGGAGCCAGAATGGCGATCAATCCCATCCATGTCGTCGTGACACTGAAGCCATGTGTATACCGTGGCCTGTCACTCGACGGCCAGAGGAAGACTCCATAGATGGACGACACGTTCCCAAGGGCATTTGCCAGAGCGAGCGCCACTGCTCGTTTCTCCGCCGGGTATGCGATGACATTTGCGACCCACGTGATGATCAAAGGGACTGTGCCATAGATGGAACCGAAAGCGAGGATGGTGAAGATGTAACGGACGGTGTTGCCGGTCGTGGCGGCGGCGGCGATGAAGAAGACCGTCGTGATACTCGCAAAGAGCGAGATGAAGAGTGGCCTGTTCTGATAGTGATCCGAGACGAAGGAGAAGACCAGCGTGCAGACCAATGCGAATGCATATGGAGGGATGGTGTGATACTGGCCTCCAAAGCCACTCCAGCCGAAGCTCCGCACGAGGGTAGGGATGAAGTATTGCATTGTCTGTGATCCAGTGATCAATACATGGAGCAAAGAGAGGGCCCAGACTCTCCAGTCAGTGACAGTCATCTTGAGCGCCACGGCTTTTTTAATTCTCTCCTCGGATCCTTGTGTGTCACCTATGCCATCGTGGGCAAGGCGTTGGGAGGCGAGGATCCTTTCCTCGGGAGTAAGCCAGGCAGTCGTAGAAGGATAGTCGGCCATGAACGACCAGACGATAAGACCAAGTCCAGAAGACCCAACTCCTTCGATGATCTGTGAGATCTGTTAGCTTCGGTGCGGTCGACGGTTATATGAGGGTTTAGGTCCATACAAAGAGCCAACGCCATCCGGCAATACCATGTGCTCCATCCAGATTTCGAGTGATGAGTCCTGAAAGGAGACCCGACACCATGCCTGATGTAGCGACTGCGGTATAATACCACGAGAATCGCTGGGCAAGCTCATACCGCTTGTACCTGGACTCGCTGTTAGCCTTTTGGCAAGAATGGCGAGAGCGGTGAGACCGACCAACAAGACAAGTAGAAGGCGATGCCCGGAGCGAAGCCTGCCTCCGCGATGCCGAGGGCAAATCTGACGGCAGCAAGCTGTCTCCAGTTGTGCGTGCCCGCCATCGATGCCGCGACACCTCCCCATAGCACTGCCAATCCTGGTAGATAGAGTGACGGTCTGACTTTTGAGATCAACATGTTCGATGGAATCTGGAAGGTGATGTAGGATACGAAGAAGACCAGCAGTACGACGGAGTATTGGTCTGAAGTCAAGTTGAAGTCTTTCTCTAAGCCACCGGTCTTTGCATTCCTACAGAACGATTAGCAAGCAAAGCTATCAAGACATCAAATGGTGGAGGTGATACCCTATGTTGGCCCTATCGAGATAACAAAGTAGATAGAGAATCCAGCAACATGGCTGTCAACCAGGTTCAGCAGAGCCGTTGACAAAGATGAATCCACCACGTACGATGATACGCATATCCAATTTTCTCAGCAACTTCTTCTCCGCCTCTGAGCCAGGGTGATATGGCTCTTCACCATTGAGGTGACTTGGCGCTACTCCCACCCAACAATCATCTTTCTTCTTACGGTCGACACGAAGACCAACTTTCAGGCTCGGTGGAGAGGGCATGTTGATGCGATGCTTCAAGGAGGAAATGTTCGGGACTCAATGGTGGGCCCAGTAAAGATGAAGCAGCAAAACGCGGGAACGGCACAGGCTTAGGCACAGCACAACAGGTATATCATCAGGTTCCCGGGGGAAAACGATAAGAAATGTTGGTTTCTGCTGCTCCGCCTCGTGATGATGCAAAAGCCCCAACCGCTTCGTGGGGGTGTAGGCGTGTCGTAGAAGATGTCGTGACCCACGAGCCATCAGGCACGGCAAGGTCGGGAGCGGTGGAATCAAGATATCGCCACGATGAACAAGGATCCCGTGTACCCCGCATCGGACCCAACAAACTCAGACTAGGGTAGTGGAGGGATCTGGAGTACCTTACCTAGCGTATCGGCACATCTGCTGCTCTTGGAGTTCCTGCTGGGGCAGGTATTATCTCGTATCGTACATTCCAGCTGACAGCATCACCTCAGTCCTGACTCCTACATGTACTCTCCGGAGAAATTATTACAAATAGATGAGTGCTCGAAAGATACGGTCCTGGAATGCTCCTTCCTATTTAGGCAAGTCACACTGGTCTGTGCTTGACTGTCACAAGCTCGGCTTGAAGCGTAGGCGGTCTCCACGCCTCCCCATCACAAAATGTGAGAAGTTTCTTTGTCTGGGAAACATGACAGCAGGCTGCAGGAGCAACAACACTGGTCGAAATGGGCGTTTACTCTTTCCCAAATTTCGCCGCCACCTGACTACCTCCTTCTCAGGCGCGCTTCGTGACTTCCTCACCTACCTGAAGAAGGAAGCCTTCGCTGCGCGGATAGAAGGTGGTGCGGTGATTGGCTCAAAAATATCAAAGCGTCGTTACATAAGTCAAGCATCCGCACTTCCCCTTCTGTTCCGCACGAGTCTGGTTGGAGAGAGCCGCCTGGCCGGTGGCGGTAGTAAAGAGACAGGTTCTGACTTCCCAGGTTACTTGGTACCGAACCATCCATTTGATAGCCACTAAGACAGAGGAATCAACCCAAGAGGATCTCAACCTGCGTGGCTGACTATGGCTCTCAAGAAGCGAGATATCGAGAAGACATTAATCGAAGCATTAAAAAGTTAAACAAGCCATGACGATTCAATCGCCGATATTGTTGCATTGAACTTGTGACGAGACATGTTATCGATACAAAGCCGTGCGAGCATGATCCCATTTGCTATCGTTTAGCCTCCCTGACGAGAAGATTCTTACCAGGAGATTCCGTCGAGATCACTAGTCATTGGACTTCCTATGGTGATGGACACGTGCGGGCTCATGCTTTTACCGACGTCTCTGAAAGGTCCTCGCACTTCGTGAGATGGAACTCGATGCGACATTTCACCAGGTCTGATTTGACCCAGACCTCGCGACAGGCCGAAAGCATCTTGCTGCGAACCTGCCGGCCGACGGAACAGAGAGGTCGCATCTGGAAATCAGACAAGCTGTCGTTCTTGCGTCCTGGTTCTGGCATGCACATGTCGTAGATTCCATCGCGTAATTCCGCAGCGAGGCCGGGGGAAAATAAAACCAGTGCGGGCGTGGTCTGATGATTGAGTAGTGAAACCGTTCGTGTTCTTGTTCCTATTTTGGGGTTGATTCGGCTTCTTGTTGCTGTTGTTGTTGTTCTTGACACCGACCGAGCGGCTCGAACAGGCCGCTTCCAATTCTGCGACTGCGAGCGCTACATTGTAGTTCGGTGTCGTCTGCGCCGAGTAGGAGATTCTTGAGACTTGCGTCTAGTTACACGGCTGCCCTATAGCGTTTCAACTCATCGTCAGTAACATGGACAGGTAAGCGAAAAAAGTCCGTGAGCGTGGCGGCGGCGGGGGTAGCTACTAAGGATTCCGTATCCTTGTCGACAGCGAGAAGCTGTGTGAGAGCGAGACGTAGCGCACAGAGGTGCAAAAGTGGTTGTGTAGAGGCTTTTGACGGGCGTGGAGTCGCGAGGAAAGCGAGATGAGCTTAGCGTTTCGTCCGATCACATGTAAAATGGGTCACGTGAAAGATACGCGAAAATCCGGAACGGCCCGAGAGCAATGACATTCAAACTACCGCACAGTCTCCGCGTCGTTTGTCTTCGACTGGATCTGCACCTCACTGACGCGGTCTTCGCCGCTGCTGGCCAATGCCTTTGTCCGCGCAGCCTCATTATCAAAGGCAGCACGCGAGTTGAAGATGGTCTCCATCTCCTCCAAAGTCTTGTTCTTCGTCTCTTTCACAAACAGATAGACCAAGATGGCAATCACGATGTCCAGTGCGGCGTAGAAGAGAAAGATGTAGGAGCCCCAGGAGGCCATCATGTAGGGAGTAACGAGGGAGAAGAGGAAGTTGAAGAGCCACTGTGAGGAGACTCCGACCGATGTGCCGATTTCGCGGATACGGGAGGGAAATATCTGGGAATTATGTTAGCTTGGAACTTGAAGTGGGATATTTCAAGACATACCTCTGCAGTATAGGGCCAAGGCAGCGGACCCCAACTGAATTGGTAGATGACGTTCGTCAAGAAGATCATAGCCACCGTCGCGATGCCAGAAGAAGTGGCTTTGTTGTTCTTGGGTGCAGGCGTCGAGTTGTTGACGGCAGTGACGATGACGAAGCAAGCCGACATTAGCAAGGCGGAGATCCAAAGAGTCGGCTTGCGGCCCCATCTCTCGGAAAAGAACAAGAGGAAGACACCAACGGAGATGAACTTTTCAGCTCCGAAAAGGCCAGTGATTAGGAGATCCTGACTGCCGCCTCCCACAAGCAGCTTGAAGAACTGAGGGCCAAAGTATGCGAGTGCAGTCTGTCCAGTGCACTGCTGGCCCAGAAAGATGCCGAAAGCAAGTGCGAGACGGTAGCGGTTGGCAGGCTCAAGCAGCTCACGTTTTGTGAATCCCTCACTAGCGCGCAGCTCCTCAGTGATACCGGCCTTGATCTCGCTAAACTCGGCATGGGCTTCAGGACCATCATCAGCCCTCATCCAGACGAGGTTGGCCCGAGCTTCTTCGTAACGACCCTTCTTTGCCAGCCACCTAATACTTTCCTTCTGAAAGAAGAGACCAAGTCCAAGGACGGCGGCAGGGACCATCTGGAGGCCGACTGGAATCTGCCATTGTGCGGAATTGGTACCCGAGATACCCTGTGTCGTTCCGTAGACGATCCAGTAGGAGATCATGACACCGAGAGCAAACAGCCACTGCATGCCAGAGCCGAGTCTGCCCCGGATCTCTTTCGGCGCCTGCTCAGCATTGTAGGCGGGCACTACAGCAGTGGCGGACCCCAGACCAAGACCCGCGACAACGCGACCAATATAGAAGCAGACCAGCGAGTGAGATGGTACAACTTGAAGGATGACACCGGTGCAGAAGATAGCCATGGCGACCTGAACGGTCTTCTTGCGACCATAGCGTTCGGAAATGGGGAAGACGCCGAGGGCAGCAAGGAAGGCGCCGACGTTCTGCAACGAGACCATGACAGCGGACACGGTCGTTTTGTCGGTATAGCGGAAGTCGTTCTTGTACGAACTCATTGTGAGCACACCTATGAACAGCACTTAGCACACTGTCGCGACCAGGTTTGATAAGTTTCAGTGGGGTAAGGCGCAAAAAGGAAGCCAGTGGAGCCTGGTACTCGACGCTTAGGACTTACCTCCCACAATGCCGGTGTCATATCCGAAGAGGAAGCCTGCGGTGCAGATGAAGAAGCCGAAACAGTAGGCTGTGAAGGCGTTAGTCTAAGTGGAGCCTTCACGATCTTCTCCGGCGACGAGCACACCTCTGAAGGCGCCGCGGCGAGTGCCTTTGAGCTTCGCCATGTTGATGGCGGTAAGCAGGAGTGACGAGCTGGTCGACGCTCAAGCTGGTATTAGGTCAATTTCCAGAAGGTGAAGGTGAAGTTGAGGAGTCGAAGGTAAGGTGAGGTTGGCGACGAGCCGAAGAGCCGGGAATGAGGCAATGATCAAAGTGAGGTTGAAGCGGCTGACCTTTAAGGTTTATGGAGGCGCTCGCAGTATCCAAGCACACAACAAGCAGGATTAACTGTGTTGAGGTCTTGCTTGCTTGCGACGCTGTCTCGAGTGTGCAGGGAACGTGTCGACTCGTGGCCGGGCGATCGCTTGGCGATGTTGCAACTCGTCCTCCCTCGCACGCAATCCCCACTTGCACCAGTCACGGCCGCGAATACGCAGGCGGTATCACAGCTACGCGGTCCATCCTTCTCCCAAACGGATATTGCTGACCACATTCACCCTTTGTCCTCCCAACCACTCAACCACCGTGCAACCATCCGCTGGGCGACGCCTGGAATGCGGCACGGCGCAATCTCTCCACACGCAATCCCCTGTCTTTGTCTGACCTCATTCCCGAGACCCGGGCTTCACCGGGACAGCTATTGCGCGACGTCGATAGCGACGATTCATGGCGATCGGCCGAAGCTCGCCTCAGTCCACACTGCATTCGATGCAGTGGAAATCCCGTGCTGCGACCTCACGAGCTCCCGATCTGGTGTCATCAGGTTTCCATCATTCCTGAACGAAGAGCCATTCAACCCATCAGAAAAGCATTGACGCTCTGCAGGGTAGCCCTGCTTGGAGAAGCATCCGGCATGCACACCATGACCCAGCTGAGTCTTTGCTTGATCAAAGTCTTGTTGATCGACTGCTCCAGGCGTCCCTGAAAAGTGCCGTTGCCATCGTAGAACAGACACAGCAATGCCAGCGCGGTCCCGACAGACAGATCTGTGCCGTTCTCGCATGTGACAAGGACTCTGTCCTCTGCGCACAGCATGGCCGATAGACAGCTGATCTTGGAGAGCTCGGCGCGAAGCTGGCGGCTTCCAACCTTGCCAGACGCACAGCAGAGCTGAATGTATTTTGCACCTTTGGCCTTGGAAATGACCGGTATGGGTTTCATGCTGCACGAGACCACGACATCAAAGTCTGAGTGCGGGACTTCCACCGTTGCATTGCTTGCGATCCAGATGTTGCAAGTAGGCCCAATGAGTGTCGAAGCTCGGATTGTCTTGCTTGCACAAGCATTCTCGACCAATGTCTCGATGAGAGCCGGCAACTCATCTTCAGAACTTTGCAGTAGCTCCGTTTGATGAGTCCAGAACATCGTGGCATCCAACCCGAGTGACCACGCCTCAGGATCGTCTGCTGCCCCCTGAACATAGTCAGAAGTGGCAGCAGTGAGAGTACTTGTCTGGTTGGACGCAATGCAAAGTACTAACAAGTTTTCAATCTTGGGCTTTCTCTCCGGAGTTCCATCGTTCGGTCTCTGCCAGGTCAAGCTCATTGGTCTCCCATTGAGTTTGCCGCGAAGGTCGTCCAGGTCTAAGCCAAGGCCTCCCGCTTCCCGAACGCAGCCATCCAACCGGGCCTCTATCTGCGCGTGCTCGGACTCTGACACGACGTCCAAAGGAGATTGCAGCTCGTAGGGTTGTTGATCGGGAAATAGTAGTCTATTCAGGACCGCGACCCAGATCGGCACAGTCTTAGATAAGGCATCAGGCATGGACTTGCCACGTCTCGTGGAATCAACAATGATGCACCTACACACAAGTCTCACGCGTTAGCTACCGTCCTCCATTTTCTGCTCACATTCACTACTCACTACTCAACTCACCCTCCACTCCTGCCGATAATTTCGAGAATCTGCAAGTTCAACCTCCGCAAAGAAAACCCCCACTGCCCAAAATGTCCATCTGTGGACTTGAAATACGCGCTCCCAGCCTTTCGCTCGGGCGGGATGTACCAGCTCCCACACCTCTCATTCGCGATGAGTGGTAATCCGTACGCGTCCGCGACTTCACACACAAAGTCCGCATCCCGCTTGATCGATCGCAGGCGGTTTTTGATGCTGAGGTTGGTCCTTTTCAACTCCGTGAGTGTGGCATTCAGAGATTTGGAGGCCTCCGGGAATATCAGGTCCGATTCCAGGAGAGCTGGAGGAGACATGTTATTATGGGAGCTGAGTAGTAGTGCAAGGAGCGGGTGCAGTGAGATCCGCGGAGGGGTTTTTTACCGTATCGATTTGATAAAGCTGGAGGTTTCTGATATGCCTGAGGCCAAAAGTGTGGCTCGTGCAGTTCGGCCAGAATCTCGGAGATAAGTCCTGTTTCCTCGATCCTCATCACTCGACCTCACTCTCTGACTTGCGCCTCAGGTCACCTTTTGTCGGGATCGCACACTCGCACATAAGCACATCTTCACTGCTGAAGAGATTCATTGAAGCGGATTGGTCGGGTCTATGCGGCCACATGCCAGATTTGGCGCATTGGCCCGTTCTTGGGGCAACGCCTGGGACTGAGCGACTGGAGATAGTTCAGGCTCGACGACCCTTCCATTTGTCCCGTAGATTCCTTCTTCGGGAGTCTGACTGCAACCGCAACGAGCGACTCGCTTTATACAAAACCGACAGATGAGAGGACTACCACGCTTTCTACACGCCTCGGCGACCCGGCAGGAGCCCGTGTCCACTGTCCCCTATATTCTTCGAACAAGAGCCAACTTTCCTGTTCTCCGGTTGCTGTGCTTTGTTACTACTCATGAAATGGATTTCTATTCCCTAGAAAGGCAACCATTTCCTAAATCAAGTATTGCTACTATTCCTGGTCTCCCTGTTCGCTACTAGGCGGTTACTAAAGGACACTATAGAAAGGGGATTTTGAGCTCTAATGCCGCTTGCTTAAGATGAATGAACACGTTCGGGAACTGCACTTTGTGGAGCCAGTGCTGTCGATGTATGTTACTTGCTTGATTCCAAGGACCTGAGGAGCCACTTATTTAAGTTCTGAAGAGGAGTCTCGTCTCCTGTAAGAGTATTTCAGTCTCGCACGGCTATGCAATGATACCTCTTCGGTCGCTGTAGTCGACATCACCAGTCTGCTCTGTCGACCTTTTCCTCTTTCCGGAGCTTGCGCTATTTGATGGAGAATGGTAGTCCTTCGTGCTGTTGGTGACTGACAGCGATCCTTGACACTCGGAGGCGATCATGGGCAGCTGCCCATCGATCCAATTCAAGAGGACGGTTTGTCTTTGCAAGTCCCTTTCGGCACCACTGTGTCGGCCTCTTAGAATTTCAAGGTGATTTCGAATTGCTTCAATCTTTTCTGCAGGCTCGCCTGCGTTGATCGCGATTTGTAGCGTCTTCTCTTGCCGCTCTATGCCATCAGCGTCAAGCTCCCTTCTTTGCACGAGACGGTCAGCCTTCTTGTGCTCCCAGTACTGGAATTCCGCCCAATCTTGCTGCTGGCTCTGCTGCTTGCGATCCAGAAGCAAGTCGATCTGGCCTTCGAAGCCCTTCTGCTGACGATATAGCGCGACATGCCGCGCGAACTCCCCGAACCACCTCGGTTTCCAAAATCTCGCCCGTCTGAAATCTTGATGCTCGCGAAACTTCTCCCAGTGTGCTCGCTGCTCTTGGAAGATACATTCTCTGAACGGACATGTAGTGATCCAGTACCATATGATACCTGTCTGAGGCTCGTTTAGATAGTCAAATCCGTCGTCGTGGGGGCGGTGAGACGGTCGTCCGCCGGCTTGCAGGAGGCTATGATAAGCCCTGTGCTCCTCGTTGAGACTCTGCAAGCGGTACTCTTCTGCAGTGACTGGATCATCTGCCTCTGGCGTTGGGCTTTGACTGAGTCTAGACTTTCCTGTTGTCGGAACGATGTGGGCGAGATCGCTAAGGCAGTGCAAGCGTGTAAGTATGGTAGCGCCTTACAGGAGGGACATGACACACTCTGAGCCTTACCACAGCTTCTGATTGACCGCTTCGAGGTCTAGGACGCGAGAATCATCCAGTCCGTTTGCTAATAGCCTGTCGGACTAAATTAGCACGTACGGAACATTTGAATCATGCACTACGCGTACTGCAGTCTTTTCATGTGCTCGTCGGTCAAGTTCTCGGGATCCTTCAGTTTGATCACGCTTTCCACGCGTTAGCCCACGCGTACTTCATAGCTGTAGAATAGTTCTGAGTGCCCACCCTCTCAACTTGAGTTGCTCCGCGCTGATTTCTAGCAAGTCGGAGACGAAGACTTCCCCGGACGCGGCCATGTTGTAAAGGATCGTGGTTAGCTATTCCACAAGTGGGCAAGCAACTGTACGGGTAAAAGAAGTGTCGACGCCTTGCATCGCCGCACAGACCAGCTCGGCTTGCTGAGGTGCATAGATTGGATGCGGTCTTAGATCCGTCATATAACATGGAGGCTGCTTGACTGCATTGCAAAGTATTGCTGTCTCAGATCTCCTATGAAGTCTGGAGTCTGAGGACTCGTTACCGTACTTTCAACGTGCCCGCATCACAGGTTCTGGCACGCCAACGCGTGTGATCCTCCGAGCAATACCTCCCCAGAAAGGCTACCAAGTCATTGTGACGATCGCATTCCTCTGCTTCGCTTCGTCTGCTGATATCTCGAACCAGCGGGAGAGAGCATCGTGTAATAGGCTTTGCGCTTTCGAACAGAGCTCCCAGAGACCTCGATCTCGCGGATCCCGAGCGTGTCTACATCCCATCACTTTGCCAAACCCTTCTCAATCTCCCTCAAGAGCTGCTCCAACTCCCCCACACTCCCCTTCTCGGGCCCCATCCTCTCGAAATCCAACCCATTCCGGACCCACTCCACCGCCTCTCCCAACCTCCCCATCTCCCGCAAACACTGCCCTCGTCGCCACCAAGCCTTCACATTCCCCATCTTCTTCATCTCCACGCTGATCTCCGCATCAACACCCGCTTCCGCCCAATTCTGCTGCGCCATCAACGCTTGCGATCGATTATTGTACAGCATAGACAGTTCCTCCCTCACGAGCCCGGAAGCCTCCCAGGTAGGGCGCGTACTCGCCATCTGAATCGCGAGATCGTACATCTTGATCGCGTCGGCGAATTGCCCTTTCTTGTACGATGCATTGCCGGATTCTTTGAGCTTGGTGATTTGCGCCGAGCGCTGCGGTTTCACGGGTGCGGGCGGGGGAGGCATTTGGTTGGGTGTGTCGAGGGAGACGAAGGCGCGGACGGTCTTGTTGAGTTCTTCGATTTCGTAGTTGAGAGTGGGATCGCTGCTGGAAATGGATTTCGTTGATGGGTCGATCGTTAAGGGTAGGGAGGTGTAGGTGTCGAGAGCTTCCATTTTGACTGGTTCAACTATTGGGCGACGGTAATGGGGTTGTGTTTGCAGTGCGCCTGTGAGTTTAAGTCCTTTTTTGTAAGATGTCAAGTGTCGTTTGAGTTGGGGTTTACGAGATGCCAGGTCGCCGCTACCTACACTAAGCTGGACCCTGCTCAGCGGGTAAGCTTTCATCCATCAGCATTAGGGTTAGTCCTTCTCGTTCAGATGAGCCGAGCCTCCGAAGATTCGGATCATTGTGTGTTGCGTTGGAGCGAGGAGATTTACAACTTCTATGATATTCAAGGACATGAGCTGCGGCGGTCTTACCCGAGCCAATTGCAGAGCGCTGCGTGAGTACCCAGAATTCCCTCGGATCTTAAAAACAGAGCAGCCTCAGGCACATTTCGCTTGGAAGAGAGTGCTGCTGTGCTGGTACATACTCAAATTACGCTATCATGCATGGGGTATCTCTCTGTCGCGCGGCGTAAAACTATATCAAGTCTGTTTCTCTATCTCAAGAACGGGTTGGGCTGATACGTGTAGCTGGTGTCATTCTTCGAGTCGCCAGCGGTTAGTGGCATCTGATCTGTTTCAGCGCCCGGATGGTCGTGAGGCACCTGGATTTGTCCTGCGCGCTTGTCAGTCTCGTTCAATCATGGTATTCGGGGTACAGTCACCTCTGAATATCTCAAGGGCCGAAACGAATGGCAGAATCAACAGCATCATGGTCAGGGCCTGACCGAAACTCCATGTCTTTTCCCCTTGATCTGACAGGTCCACTGACGGTTCCCCAAAGGCCTGCGACATGATGATGACCCTCGCAGCTGCTCCAATCGCCATAGCCATGAGAACCAGTAGCGAGACGAGCCTCACCACATTGCCCCAGATCTGACGCCGCATGTGCAGATACCATGTCCCTAGCGCGAAAATGATGGTGCTGACAGCAATGACAGCAATTGTACCCACAACACTCAAAGCCTTGTTCCCTTGTCCATCGCCGCTCTTCGCGTGGTCTTGCCATACACACCCAATAGGCAATGTTGGACTAAGCCTCTCCACATTCCCCTCCAGCACGAAGATGCCGTAGACGATTCCGAGCACCATGTTCACAAACATTGCCGTTTGTCTCAACCACCTCAGGACTCAATCTCGTTTGAAGTCCTCTACCAGCGCTAATAGCGTCGCGAAGTTGGTCGTGGTAGCCAGCAAGCTTAACATCCAAATGATGAAGAAGTGATATGGTATCATGCTGTTGACCTGTGCCAGTCCGACTACTTGTATCGCTGTTCCTTCCACGATCATCTGATCTGACAGGCCGCTCAGAATCTTTCGGGGAATGTTGTGGTACGAATGGCCGCGAATCTCGGAGAAGACGATGAGGGTAGAGAGGATGAGGGCGAGGCCTGCGGTTATGATGAAGGCGAGTAAGATACCAGCTCCTGCTACGCCTGCATCGGACTTTGCGCTCGCCGGAGGGGATGCGCAGTTGGGGAGGGTGCCGTTGAAGCTGGCCATGGTGGTGGTGGTGGTGGTGTTGTTTCGGATGCACTAATCGTCGCTCACGCGCCTCTCGCGGTCGCTGGTCATAGGTGAGGATGCCTTCATTCGTAGGCAAGCGGAATCGGGGAGAAGAGCAGGGAAGGAAAGACTCATACTCTGCACCTGTTGTGTTTGCTGTCGAGAGTCAGCGCGTATGAGACCTACAGGTGGTGGGAAGTGAGTGTAGTCGCCGACTCGCCGTCGTCTTGTAGGGCTGAAACGCGCACTCAGCCACAACAGACGTACATGTAGACCTCGCGGCTGTTAGGTTTGCGTGCATCATCATCTCCGCCGTGGTGATACGCCTTGATGCTAACGATGGCAGTACTGGTTGACTGGGTCGTGGTGCTGGAGAGAAGCTGTCGCCAAGATGACCCAGAGCTCCTTAATTTTCAACCTCGGCGTTCCACTATGCAGGTACCGGCAATGACCTTGGCTACATCATCCCGTCATCACAATGTTGGCCAGCCATGGCACCCGCCAATTCCACCTCCCCTCATAAGAGGAAGCTTCCTCCGAGAGCATCTCCATCAAGCGTCGAACACTTAGCTCAGATCTCCTGGCTCAGACCTTATCTGGACGATCACGACTTCCGGATCATTCCAGATAACAGGACTGTAACTAACGATGGACGCGGACACACGCTCATGGGCAAGACATGGAACACCGAGTCCACCATCAAAGCACTTCTCTCTTTCTGGCGCCCACCTCCAGAAGACCTGCGCGGCAAAGACATCACAGAACTTTCTCTCCCAATGCCAGAGTCGACGAGACCTGAAGTCCGCAGATTCTGTACTCTCGGCCCTGATCTGAACGCTCACCCGGACTTGCTGCATGGCGGAGTGATATCCTGCCTCCTGGACTCCTGCCTTGGTGGATGTGTAGGCATGCTGTTGTCACATTCCAGAGATGAGAACCCGATGTTTACAGTGCAACTCCACGTTACCTATAAGAAACCCATAAAGACTCCTGGGACCGTCATGCTCAGGGCGTGGGTTGTGAAGATTGAAGAAGAGGGCAGGAAGGTGTGGGCGGAAGGTGTGGTCGAAGGCGAAGGGAACATTGTGCATGCGAGCGCACAGGGGATGTGGCTGAGGGCTGGGAAGAAACAGCACAAGTTGTGAAGCTGCTTGTTTCGTGCTGCCAGCTTTCAGAAGCACGTGAGAAGCACAACTCTGTTTGGTTCTCGTACAACACGCTCTCAAGCTCAGGATCAGGTGACGCCATCCGTAGCTGATTTCCTAGGACTTGGATGAAGCATTGCTGCCTGAAGCACACACCCAGATACACAACCACCACACCTTCCCTCGGACGCAGTGAAACGATAGAGCCATGGCGGGCGATCTGAACAATATCGTCGAATCCCTGCAAATCGATGGACAATGAGCGTGGGAGTTTGGAAGCAGTACGCGCTCCCACTTTCCACACCCCGCGCATCTGGACGAGGGCCACGAAGATCATGTGTACACGATCCAGCTCGCTCGCCCGTATCTCGTCTCCGGCTCGCCGGATAAGAGTATCCGCATCTGGGACGTGGAATCGCAACGTCTAGTCCGAGGACCGCTGCTTGGTCACGAACGAAGCCGTCGTATGCCTCGAATCCAATGTATAAGAAGATGTCATCGTTTCCGGGGGTGTGGATGCGTCAGCGATTGTCTGGCGGTTCTCTACTGGCCCGAACGCGCATGACGATACCATCCTGAGCCTATGCCTCGACAAGGCGTCTCTGATCACTGGAGGTAGAGATGGCCACGCCAAGGTTTGGGGTCGGAGAGACGGGACTCATCGTCTTGTTGCTAGTCTCGTGGGACGATCTTCTCCTATCATCGCTGTGAAGTATCATCGCGACTCGAAGACCATCATTTCTGGAGCTGGTGATGAAGTTGTGCATGTCTGGTCTTTACGAGATGCTGACAACGAAGACGGATGCATTATTGGTGAGCTCATACACAGCTTCTCGACCCATCAACCCGGAATCGCCTCCATGGACCTCGACACGAGCGGGACATTTCTCATGATAGGCCACTTCAGTAGATGATCGACAAAGTCTACCAGTTAGACGAGCAGCGGGAAACCGGCCAGATTGAGGCGGGTTTTGAAGGCTATCATCGCAAGAAGAGGACTGGGAATTTAGAGTCTTTGCTCTTGCGGTTGATCGTCCTGGCCAGAGGGGTATCGTGGAGTGGCAATTTGGTCAGTCAAGGCTCGCTTGTCTCTGACAATAGTTCTGGACTGAAGGCCCGCTCCTCTAACGGCTATGAAGCTTTCTGAGTTTCATTCTGTGACGAACCGCAATTGCTGGTTTTTGGAGCTTCAATCAAGGCATTGGCCGGTACGCCTCTATTCCGGTCTCATTGTGGCCCAGTCCTGCGTATGTCTCAGCTCGAAGTCAGCAGGAGGAGTGTACTGGGACATGGCACCACGGTCAGGGTGGTAGCTGTCACATTTGCGGCACGCTGAACAAGATCTGCCCAGCCCGTTGGACGGTTCAAGAAACGTCTGAGGGCGGCGGAACGATGCGAGTCCTCTTTCTCTTTTTTTAAAAGAAAAAAGAAAATACAGGGTTTCCGGACTGTGTTCAGTGTCCGAAGCGGTGCGACGTTGGCACCAGTCATGGCGAACTCTTTTGACAGCGAATCTAACGCATGACATTCGAACTCTATCACCCGCATGTGCGCCCGGGGAAATCGATGTCATCGACAGTCAACGGACTTTCCGGTTCAGCAGGGAATCTTCAAACATCGACGACACACTGCCACTGATGCCCACTGGGAAGATGGATGTCAGATACCACTGGAAGTCAGCAAAAATCAATCTTGTGGGAGCCTCATGCAGGGGATTCTGGGGACACCCTTTTATCAGATGCAGGGTGACGCGACTTCAGGCCCGCCCCGAACCGTGGATTGCTTTTGTAATCAGCACAGCTGTGTAGCGTTTCACATTCGCGCCGAGCGAGCCGCAACATCGAGCTTGGCGACAGCGGATGATTGCATTCCTCACCAACGCAACATATTCGTGTACCTCAATGTCGGTACTGCGATGTGGAAGCAATGGATTCGCTGCAGCAGCTTCACTGTGCGGCTGATCGACAACCATTCACTGGCTTGACGAGCGTGGGGTGGTCATTCGGACCCTTAGCTGCATATCTTGCAGAGCGCCACTTTCTACAGGCAGGACCCGGCCAATGGTACCAATGGAAAGGCGCAGTGGCCCAACATATTGCGGCTGTAAGCGATGACGAGTACCAGTAGACCTCGACACCCGGCTATTGGGATGCGTTTATAAAACCGCAGCTGGACCCAGGTCTGACCGCATTTATCCCTCCTAAAGCAAGCACTTGGTCACGCGTCAAGATGGATCCAAAGATTGTCACTCTCGGCCTTAACGGCCTGTTCCGTCTCTTCAGCGGCGACAACATGTCGCACCCGGTCGACAAGATAGGAGACAAGATTGTCCATCCTATCGGACGGTCTGCCGTACCTCGGGAACAACGCAAGCAGGAGAAACAAGAAAAGCAAGAAGAAAAAGAGAAGCGTGAGACTGAGCGTCGACGCAAGGAGAAGAGGGAGAAGAGGGGAAGTAGAAGGGACAGATCCAGGAGCCCCAATCGACGAAGTTCCCGACGCCATGATGAACGTCCGTCTCGGCCCAGAGATGAAAGGGACCGTGAACCTGAGAGTCGAAGCCGTCGTCGACCTCCTCCCTCTTCAAGCCGTCCACGAGACAGTCGTTCACGGGAGGAGACCAGGCCACCGCCAGCATCTCGACCACCGCCATCGTCTCGACCACCACCAGCATCTCGACCACCACCATCATCTCGACGTCCACCGGCATCTCGACCACCACCAGCGTCTCGACCACCGACAGCATCTCGAGGGCCGCCTCCCAGAAACAGCCGCGGGTAGCGAGAAGAGTCGCTGCCTGAGCTGGGACCGAGAAATTCTAACAGAAGCTCGCGGTAGAGCACAATGCGAACGGACATGAGTAGCTGGTCGATGACAATACAACTCTCCTTCCCTCGGTATCGGCTGTCTCCACTCCTTTCCAGCTCATCATCGAGATCGTCACACCCACAGCGCAGCTCTTCTTCTTCACAGACGGCGTTCGCGCATTGTGTCCTATCATCTTGGTTTGAGCATGCTCGTCGGCGCAGCTATTCAATGGTCGACATTCGTGTGCTGTTGTCCAGGAAAGAAACTTACGCCGCGCGCACCACCCTCGTTCTTCTCAGGGTGCCATTCATTCAAGCGCTGGTCTCGCCAATAATGTCGGATTCCTAACAGACATCCGAGCCTAGTAATAGCGTCGAAAATATGGGTGCCCCTCGGGGTACGGTAAGTCGACCTCGAAAAACACTATGACAGGAGAGGCATACATGCTAATATTTGTAGGTTGCGTTGGTTAGATCTTCTAATGTCTTATAGCATCATTACGTATCAGATTCGTATCAACTTGGTTTCACAACACATTACGCTTCTCAGACTTGTGTCGACTTGTTACCTGCCTAATTCGGAGCGACAAATGGGAGATGATCGGCTTCTTCATCCGTCATCACGAAGAAGGCACTCAATCTATCCACTGGACAGTCTCGTCACCTTGCTTCTCGACGACCTCGCGTCGGTACGAGCGTCCGGAATCTCCTCTCCCTACGTGCGTTAAAGAGGTCTATAATTGCGAGCGATACGCTTCCGCAGCGGGAGAATTGCAACTGGTACATAACTATCATCTCATCCACAGGATCTCGAGGGTTGGACCGATTCATCGGAATTAAGCTGGAAAAGTTGATGACCGCGGCCGGATTCTGTCGACATTTGAGTCAAGACGTATCATTGGGCCTTTCAACGCAGAGCACCGGGATGAGAAGAACAATCCCGAATGCGACGAGAATTTGGCAATTTATTCGCAGAATGTGCTGTTCCGTCGATATGCGAGAATACGCCAAAGGGTATTGCAGGATCAGAGTTCTTCCCGTGCCGACACTAGCGCGAGATTAAGTTTCTCCTTCATCGCATCTTCGTCTCCATCATCGTCCAATCTCCACCCACCACGTGCGAGACGCCTTGAAGCAACTGCATCATCATATCTGGCGGCTTTGACTTTCACACGCTTTCCTCGATGGGGGCGGATAGATATCGAAGCTGAAATGCGTGTATTTCCTAACCACGTGCCTGTTCTCTGGCCAGAATCGGCGATAGCTGTACATTCTGCAGCTAGTGAAACGTTTCACTGTGACAGTGCGATGCCGTGTTGCGCTCGCTTAAAGTGAAGATACACAACAGATTTGGAGAGCTGCGGATCACCGCTCTTCTGAAGCATCCCGCTGAAGCGCCACATGCTCTGCTTCTCACAAGGTCACGCACGATGCTGTAGCAGCTGAGTCGTCTGCTGCTGCCTAGCAGAGTGCTGTAACGACCAGCCCAGCGACGAGCAAAGTCAAGCGTGCCGCAGTGGGTATGGAAAGGGCCCTGTGTCTTCGCCAGGTAAGCACGAGATACACCATCCATCAGAGTCTTAAGACTGATCTGTTGTTAGACAACGACAAGGCTTTTTTTGGCGTGCTCAGCCTGCCGCATCTGCTCTCTCGACAACCAGTGGATACGTCAACGCGTGCGAGAAACTCCAGGCCTGGAACAGCGCCTTGGGACTCATTGATAACATGGACCTGGGCTCATGCGACGTTCCTGGTTATTCACAACAATGTGGTGCTAAGCACTCAATGGTTGCTCAGCTTTCAACGTCGATGAGTATGTCACAGCATCATCGAGCGGTTACAGATATCTGACCGTATCTAGCATTGGAACACTTGTCATTCTTAGACCCATCCCTTCTCGAACTTGTCAGGACGATTCCTACGCAAGTGTCAGCCAAGTTACCTAGAACGGAGCGACGTACTCCGTCTCCTAAAGCTACTCTTTCGCAAACGCCGCATACAATGGTCTTCCTTGTACTGGAACTCCCATCACTGGATGTCTGAACAGGCAGAAACCTCGAACTTGCGGGTTCTTCCATCACTGTCATCCGGCTTCGACGTGCTACTACGCCAACAATGTCAACAATACCCCTGTGTGTATCTCGACCACTCCTTGCAACAGCGCTCGATCTTGCACCACGAACTCGCAGTGCCCGAACGGCTCTATCTGCCAGAAGAAGGTCAACTGTTGTGGGTTCAGTCTCTGCGCATCACATTCGGTTTGCGCAAATGGGCCGGAAACTAGGCAAATTCTCGACAAAAGAGCTGATGACGATGAGTGAACATCGAAACATGTCCCAGGATGCGATACCGGCGCTCCGAACTCTACCGACTATTCGGCGACACAGAGCAGTGTTGCTTCGGGGAGACAGCCTACGGATGCTAGCTCTTGGTTGATCTGTGTGAGTAATTTGTTCGCTTTCTATTAGTCTTGATGCATGATGGCATGTATGTTGTATGCGGTCCCAAGTGAATCTACAGCCTTTTCGCACATCCGAGTGCTCTCCGGATGGCTTCTACCGCTGATTTGGCGCCATCGAACTCGCCCTTCTCCTGACATTGCTGAGATTGTTGGGAATACAATGACCTCTTCTTGTGGCAAAACGTTGGGGACGTAGGGCGCTCTTTCTACCTAGGAAGGCACGATCACATGAAAATTCCTTGGCATTATGGGCCCTCCCGCGTGGCGGAGCAGCTTAGCTAATGCAGGCGAATTTTCGCCCTTCCGCGTTTGCTGGCCATTTTCTCGCTCGCACAGCTGTCACGGCACACCACAAACCATCTCATCCATTCTCGGCCACCGACGCATAGCACCAGCAGACAAGATGGCGACCAACGTTCTCTCCCTCCCACCAGAGCTGCAGAGCACAATCGCTAGTTTCACCACCGACACAGACCTTCTCGCATTCCGAAAAGCCTCCCGCGAGCTCCGCGCAGCATCTCACGGCACCTTTGTCGAACGATTCTTCACCACGAAGTCAGTCCTGTACACCAGATACAGTCTGCAACGGCTACATGACATTTCCTCTCAGCGCCACCTCGCCGCCAAGCTTCGAACCATCGAGTTCAAGACGTTCAACATTGCTCCCGACTTCAGACTCCGACAACCAGTGCCGGAGCTCTTCAAGGCAAATGTGCTTCCGCTCTTCCAGAGTACCATCGTGGATGCCTTGGACTTCGATGAGAGCCATGTGCGCATGCTGGCGGAGACCCTCGACAATCTTGCAGAAGCCGGCGCGAGGCCCAGCTTCAAGATCACACCGTACAAGCCCGACGCTCAGCTTGCAAAACTCACTGCACTTCGCGTCTTTCCCGAAGCATGGTTAACACAGCTTGCGGCAATGACGATGACCAGCACAGACCAAGTCGGCAAGGTACAAGGCACGTACGCTCACGCTCTCTTGACCTTGGTCAAGGCCAGTGCTGCCTCCAGAGCACCCATCACAGACCTAGACATCAGCAAATCGGAACTTTGGACGACAAAACAGGGCTCTGAACTTTCCGACGAGGTTCTCGCCAAGTCGTGGTCGCACTTGAAGTCTCTCAGCATGTCCGTGGACTTCTTCGGCTTCAACCAATCCAAGGTGGACCAGATGACTCGAATTCTCACATCAGCGAAGAATCTCGCAACCGTGAAGATCAACTTCACGAGAGCCTACAACAGGACACAACACCCACAAGCCCTGGGAGTGATCGGCGCTGCGACTGCACACCACAGCCTGCGAAACATCTCGATCACGGGATACGACATGAACAACCTGTCCAGCGACGTTCTACGCGCCCTATTACTCCATCATCGCGGCTCACTGAAAGACCTTCGGGTCGAATATATGACATTCTTCAGGCCCGATGACTTTTACGACTTCACGGACTTCCTATCTGAATTTTTCAGTCTGGAGAACACGGTGCTTGCCTGTATCAGCGCTGATGAGAAAGAGCTGCTCCTGCATGGCGGTGGCAATGTTGTGAAGATTTTGGGCGAAGAGGAGAGCAAAGAACGACTGCGACTCCTTCGCGAGACCTCGGACTTTGATGCTTTGGAAGTGCCTGATGAGGACTGGGATGAAGACGAAGACGAAGAAGATGGCTTGAACGACGACAACAATGTAGGACAACAACAGCAGGGAGATGATGGGGACGAAGAAGTCGAATACGACAGCGACGGCTACCCCATCGACGACGATGAAGAGGACGATGAGGACGAGGACGAGGACGAGGACGAGGATGGATGAAGTTGTATTGACGGCTACAACAACAAGAGACATTGAAAGGATATCTCAACAGGCACCGAAAGTAATGTTCAATAACTGGCTGTCATCATTGTTCTGAGCTAGCATATTCGAGATGATTGTAACCATCCCATAATACCAAACGAGACAGTTACGAATTCATTTCCTAATTGCAGCGAGGTTCTTTCTTCTCACAACGTCCCAATCACGCTCGCCAGCCAGCGGCTCAAAGCTGCCAAAAAGCGGCTATTCGACGGTGATGAAGCAACGTACGAGACAAGACCTGCAATGAGCAAGTCCAGTCATTTGAGTAGCGCACGATCCATCAAAGGTTGCCCCGTGAGGGGGTATACCAAGACTGCGTGGCCGTAAATCTCTCTCGAGACAAGCAACTATCCTCCGAGAGAGCATGTACGATAGTTTTCGGTGCTGCCGTGATGGATATCAAGCTCGCAATCGTTCTGGTCTTTCGTTCTAGATGTTAGAGGCAACAACAAAGAAACCAAGAAACGGATATTCCACCAGCCACGATACACGTCCAACAACTCCTGTTCATCGCCATCGCGACTGTGGTATCTTTCGAAGGCGTCGATACGTCGGTCGTGCGAATCGTCCTCCGAACCCATTCATTTGCAGATCTCTTTTCGACCTGAAGATGGAAACAGTGCCGCGTCGGCAAAGACGTAAAATAGAACTGCTGATAGGGAGGTCGGCCATAATGGGAGAGGCGGACAGTATCATGCATATCGATATGACGGTGCTTCTTGATCGCGAACCTGTCAGCCACCAATGTTTTATATACATCGAGCATTGGATCAAGCCCATCGTCGCTGAGCCGTCGTCATTCTCTCCATCGTCTCATCGTATTGCGTGTCGGAAAAGTGTGAGCGCTGTGTGCAAATAATAGATCGCATCGGCTCCTATCCGCAGATTTCGCTCTGTTGATTGTGTTCTCATTGTAACTGCCGACTCTTCCTCATGTCCATGCGATCCCATGTTCCCTAGCATCACTCATCAAAGCCTCCCACTCCCACTCCCACCCCCACCCTGAAGTCAAGCCTTCTTCTCTCCTTGAATCGTGGCAACGACCTTCCTCGAATGCTTGCTCGCCCGGAATTCCAGATACCAAATCCCTAACACCTCATCAGTCGCTTTCACACACACCCACGAATGGTTAACGATACTCACCCTGCCAAGTCCCCGTATTCAACCTCCCATCCGTAATAGGGACCGTAACACTCGCACCGACCAACGCACTCTTAATATGCGCCGGCATATCATCCGGCCCCTCACACGAATGCTTATACAACGTCCCCTTACGATCCTCCGGCGCAATGCGATCCAACGCATCACTCCTACAAAGGCGCGTCAGCTCTTAAGAGCCTCGCTCCTGCCCATCGCACACACACACACACACACACACACACACACACACACACACTTACATATCCTCCCGAACATCCTCATCCCAATTCTCATTCAGACTCAACCCGCAACTCGTATGCTGCACGAACAGATGCAGAATCCCGACTTTGTAATCTTTAATCTCCGGCACTTGTCGTACGACCTCATCTGTGATCAGGTATGATCCCCGACTCTTGCTGGGGAGTGTGAATTGCTTTTGGAACCACGACATCTCGCCTCTTGGCTTGGGTATCGGTGCTGGGTGCTGGATATCGCAGGTCTTGGGCGGGCAGCAATTGCAAGTTGGGAGGATCACCTTCGAAGTGATGGAGTCGCCGCTGATGTATGCGAGGAGTCCAGAGATGGGCCAGAAGACAAATTGAAAGGCGTTCGGGAAGAAGGCGAGGATGAAGATTACGAGGAAGATGCAGGTGTTCCGCAGGTTAGTTTCGAAGGGCATTTGAATGGTTCAAGATCAAATCTGAAGTCCACTTTGCTGTTGATACTGTGACGTCAAGGTGAAATTCTGTCGCGATTGTGGATATGGGCTACCGTTGATGAGAGTACTTCACTCCAGTAAATGAGAGATCAGTAATGTGGAAATATTCAGGGAGACACGCTGTTCATAGTGACTGCTAGCTGGAAGTATTGAAGCACTTCAGCTACTCGCTTCCGATTCTGCTGTCAGCTGCTTCCACGCAGCAGCTGCATTTCCTGTTGGCCATGCTCATCCAATCCAGTGGCCTCTTTCTCGCAGTCTTCTCCCACGACTCCAGATACCGTCGAAGACAGCAATTCGTCTTGAGCCCGAAATTGGCCCAATTGAGGAGAAGAAAGTGCTGCTCGACACGCTAACGCCTCACGATGTAGACGCGGCGTCTGGCCCGCACTTGATCCTACTTCTTCTTCTCCTCCTCCTCGCGCAGGAAGTAGTAGCTATCTTCGAAGCGCGGATCCTTCTTCCAGCTACCCTTGATGGTCTTGATGTAGCGGTAGTCCCTGCGATCACGGAATTAGCAACCGCACGAGTGTGTTCGGGTCGATTCGAACATACCGAAGAGTGGACGGGCCGCCATCAGGATCCGCAACCCAGAAGTACTGGTCGTCCGTCACATCGACTGGTGCTATCTTGCGCTTGTCGTACGCACCCTCTCTCTTGGCAATCTTCATATTGTCCTCCTCCACCTGTTGCTTGCTGCGACCCTCCCAGACATTGCCGGTCACCTCTTTGTCCTTGGAGTCGGCTGGGACGTAGACGTGGAACTTGTGGCCTGCGGAGGGAGCTGGCTGAGGCATCGGAGCTGGCTGAGGCATCGGGGCTGGCGCAGGTGGGGCGGCGTACGTGTAGTAGCCCTGCTGAGTCGGGTTCTGATAGTAGTAGGCTTGTGGTGGATGAGAGTAGTACTGTGGCTGCGAAATTGTCAGCATGGGATCATTAACTCAGTGGAGCTCGAATGAATTGCAAAGACTAAAGACTTGATCGCGCGGATTCGATGGACATGGTATGGTATGGTAACGAGATGTACCTGCGGGTTGCCAGGAGCCTGGTGAGGCCAATAAAGTGGTCCAGGCGGAGCGCCTTGGTAGACGACTTGCGGAACTGGAGCTGGTGGGGCCTTCTCTGGTGATGGCGACTTGGCGGGCTCATACGTGTGGTACTGCAATCCGTTGTTGCTGTCATATCCAGGGACAGCGACCGCCGACTCCGTCCACAATTTGTTGTCGGAGGGCCAGTGCTCGCAGTCGTCGGAACCCGGGGAAGACATCTTGAGGTCGCGTGATGAAGTCGTTATGTGTGAGGTGTGGCAGTAGTGAAAGGAGGCGGAAGTTGTTTGTGTTGTCGAAAACAAGAGTCGTGACGGAAGATGGAAGGTGGAGGTGGGCTGTCTCGAGGCATGTGAAAATGCGGCGGAAGGCGCGAAGTGAGGGCGAACTCGAGCTCGCCTCCGCCGCAGACTCGGAAAGGTTAGGCAAACGGCAAAGAGTCAAACACTTACACCTTGCTCGGTGGGTATCGCGACGCGCTCACGACGAGTCTCAACGATGACTCTGCTTCGGCTGGTGCGCCTCCTCTTTCTCGGTGTCGGCGAGGGTGGTGGAGACTCCAACCAGAGATCCGCGAAAGGCCAGAGACACATTGCACAATTGTCGCAAGTTGTTCGTTGGGTGCTGACGCGATGAAGACGACGAAAATCGAGTGAGGAGACGGTCATACTTATCGCTGCAGACATCGATTAGGCGCGCAATCTCACTTTAGGCTGGAGCCGCCTTGAAGTGATTCAGGATTCAGTTCATCAAACATTGATAGGAAAGCATTCAACGTACTCGCTCCATTCCAATGCTTGGCCTTCGCATCTACAGCTTCAGCTGTAGGTGGCTCGCTCTGTCCGCTAGTTACTGAGGTTCTCGCCTGGGCCCTTTGCTCCGCTTCATAGACTGCCCCTTTTCCCTGACTGCCTCATCTCGCTCTCTCTACGCTTTCGTCAGACGGGCCGTTCCCATTCAACCATTTCGCCCTGCGCTGATCCGACGTAGTGACTATCTCATGCAGTATTCAACTTTCGCAGCCACAAGTTCCCGCAAGCCTTCTCTGACTGCATCTGTGTCCTCAAATAGTCGGGTGCAATCTCCTTCCCCATCTATATTCATGATGCCTTTGTCATTCCCTAGCTCGACGATCGAGAACCGTGAAAGGTCAAAGTTGTCGAGAAGGAATGTGAACACCTGAGCATAATGAGTTAGCAAGAAGTTGGCGAGTTGACACTGGGCATGAAGTACCTCAGACCAGCAACGGTCTTCCATGATCTCGCTGTGACTTATTGATAGCTTCCTCAATGACTTGGATTGTGGTCGTAGAAAATCCATGAAGACCCCCGACAAGCCCATACATCTATTCAGCGAGACCGTTTGCAGGCTGTGCCTCTTGAATGCGCTTCCGAGACATTTTACATGGGCTGGATATCCATCAATCCAGGGTTCCCATCGACCATCCATGGTCAGGCCTACGTCTTCAATCTTATTTGCTGCTCGGATGAAGGCAAGCATATCCATATGCGCACGATCAGTCCAATCATCTCCGAAATCTGCGATTGTCACATCCAGCTTTCTCAGACTACTCCAGCTCCGCTTCTTGAAAGCTAGAGATTGCATTCCGTAGCTAAGCGTCATAGACCCGTGCTCATAGAATCCGAAGTAGAGTCCCAGATAGGCCACCGGAAATGCAGCCACTGCGATGGATGACAGCAGCGCGGTGCAGTCATGCGGAGGTTCTTCCTCTTGAAAACCGCTCCTCTCGACGCCGAAAGATCGTTTGAGATGCTGAAGTCCAAATGCGGTGGCAAAATCTTCGCGGCATCCGTCCACGATGGTCAGCTTCAAATCGTGGCCGCGTAGGCTTTTCAAGATAGCAATCAAAAGGCTTTCGGCTCGTTGACATAAGAAGAGGTCATCCTTTGCCTGGTTCCATTCATCGCGCCGGATATAACGAAGCATTTCATCTGCCATGTAAGATTCTGGCCTGTCTTTGCCGCACCAGTAATCTCCAATATTGGGCTCTACGAACGCCAACACGATCTCTTTCAACTTCCTTGTGAGGTGTGGCCTCGTCGAAATCTGGAGTAGAGCAGCCAACCCGTACGTGGTCATGACGTGCTTGCGCACCGTAAAGAACCTCTCCAGGAAAGGGTCGTCTGCTGCCGCTCGAAGCTCTCGACTCACGAGTCGAAGCGCCAGTAGACTGGGATTGTCCGCGACTTCCGCGATCGCCTGCTGCATCTCCGCCGGGATGGTGAGCAGCGAAGCTCTGTCTGCCATTTTTTGGGAGACGGTGATGTTCGGTCGGAGTGTGGTCGATGTTGGTGTTTAGACGAAGTTTGTCGGCGTTGGCACGAAGTCTTGGGGAAAGTGGTGGCTCGTGCACTCGCGCGTGTCGCGCCTGCCGAAGCTTGGGGCTTGGCATTCACATGCAAATCCGGGAGCTTTGTGCAATAAACACTTGGCCGCTGTGACTGGAGTTGCTTTTCAATGCGTGCCAAAGATAGCTGCGCATATGAAATGTTGTTCAGAATCACTTCAAGGCAGCGTGATGTAGTCAAAAATCACAAACATTCCCTTGATATCCATCTTTGCAACGCTCTGACAGCATTCTTAGGGGAGGACATTGAAGCGGACGCCAATCTACTTCATCGGAGCCTCCCAGCAGCCTGGCTTCCTCGTCTGTATGTGATATAAGTTGGCTTTTCGCAAATCCTCGGCAAATTACTTTCGACCCCATCATTATATGCCGGGAGATCCATAGCACTTTGGGTACACTCTAAATACGCGTGGTGATGATCGCCATCTAGTACCAGGTTATCCAGATCAAGACTAACAATGTTGAGTTGCTCGCGCACGTAAGAACGGTGGACCAGCAACCTCCGTTCGTGAGTACAGGATAGTAGAGCGACAGTCGTTTGAGTAGGTTGTTGAATGGCCGGACAATGGACATGACGTCCCGCGCTGTTCCTCTCACGATTGCTAGCCTCCAGATGCTGCAGTGGGAATGGCTTTCCGCGCGAGCAAAATATCTCAGCGTCTCGCATGCATCAAGCGAGAAATTGTCCGCTTGTCTGATTATCAGATCTATCAGATACGTGGCGGAGGCTTCAAGCATCCCGTCACCCCAAGGTTTTGGACGTCTTCGAGTCGCTCCCAGCCGCAACACCGTAGACTAAGCCGGGTAAGATGCATCAATGTGTAAGCGGCGAAAAATGCGACAATGCCATCCTTGCAGCTGCGTCCCTCGAGAGAGGCTATTTTGCGCCTCGACTTTGTCCTCGCATGGAGTGGTGTGCCACAACCGCTGCCACCACTCTGCATTGTTATAGTAGTATGATTGCCAATATGTTTCAGGAGAGCAAATGTATCGCCCAACAGTGCTTGGGCGTCCGTGACTTCTGATGAGATCCCACGGGATCTGCTGGTGAATTTGATGCCGCTTCTTTATGCAAGTCGCGTCCTTCGACGCTTGATTGTGGGTTGCGAGACTGATCTTGCAAAGATACTTTAAAAGACAGGACTGGCTGAGGATGTCACGGAGAGCTGTTACCCCGTCGCGCTTGAAGCGTGCTCTGGCGTGGCGAAGAAGCTTTGAGGTAGCACTGTTCGATATTTCAGATCTTCTGTAGTGACAAGTCGCAATGCGGAAAGACCCCACTCGTTCTCGATTTCGTACAGCAAGACCTGGACGTCGGCGTTGGGAGGGAAAGCGCCAGATGTGAGTGTTTGTGCCATCGCCGCCGTTAGGGCCGTCCTGTAGTGCTAAGTGTGGTCTCTGATGGTCTTTAGATGTTGCCGCAGCAAAGGCAATTGTCGTTTCTGTTGAGTTAGCAAGCTGTTAGGCTGCGTTTGGAAGGCAAAGTTATCTGTGCTTACGTAATTCGCAGTAAGTGTTCACGAAGGGTCACGTCAGTAGGAGACAGGTCAGGAAGATGTGAGACAGGGAAAATAAGGTCAAGATCATATATACAGTACCTCGCGACTACAGACGAGCACTCTATCTCTGCTCGTAAGGCGCGCCGGAAGCCGTCTGGTACTTCGCAGTTGCGCCTGTCTTAGCGCCAGCGTTCAGGTCCGCCGCCGGAATCTGTGCAGGGTCTCCAGTGGGTTCAAGAGGGTATGAGGTACGGGGCAAGCTCTCGAGGTGCTTGCGGTGGTGCTCGTGTGCCTAGAAATCAGATCAGCTTCATCCTCTACCTCCGCAGATGCACCTTCAGACTTACAAATGGCAGACCGCAGTATGTGCACCAGCAGATCTGCGGCTTATCCACGTTGATGAAGATTCTAGGGTGTCCCAAAGGACCGCCACCTCCGTCGCAGGAGACAGCCCGCTCCTTAGTCCATGTTACTGGCTGCTTGTGGATGAGTTCAATAGCAGCCCATGGTCGTGGCTACCGTTCGATTAGCCATTGATCTTGACAATTCTCCTCAATATATTTGTCCGTTTCCCAAGACGAACTCCCGGCTACTGCATACCTGATCTTCCATGATGGTCTGCTCAAACCGTGGTCCAACCATAGCCTTGGCTCGTGGCTGCTGGCTTCTGCTCCATATATTTGCTCTGTTCGGTGCCTGCATGACACGCTTCTGCTCGCCATCGGATGGATCCTCTACAAGCGCTCGGTCTTGCGCGCCCGTGGCGGTGGTAGGGAGGGCATTGGTGCTCGAGACGGGCGAGTTTCGCTCCTTCGGATTGGGGTTGTTGGCGGGGACGGGGTTATCAGTCTGCGTGCTGTATGTTCGGACGGCGACGGCGCGTCGATTCAGCGCAGGCAAGAGCCTGCGAGTGCTTCTCTGCAGCATTGTGGTGGTGGTGGTGGTGGTGAGGACGCTGTATCGCTGTCAATGTGAGAGGACTGGAGTAATGCTCGACGTCTGGATGGTCGGAGACGGCGGTCCGAGCTTCTCGGGAGAAGCCGAGGACAGATAAGTCGACCCGTTGGCAGGAAAGACATCTGCGTAGACTCGGTGTCCGCCATACAATTTTGAAGTATACTATGACAACTAGTGTGCCGAAACATCTTCTCTACGCGCCAGCATTGTTTACAGTGTTCCGGAGATGGAATATCAAAAGACGCTAATAATGCAAGAACGCCTTGAGAGAGATCGACCCTTACACACATAGGCTCTGTACGCAATGGTCCTTCACGAACAAATGAGATGGACGCTTTTCAGAACAGTCGTATTGCTACCACGTAACCGAAAGCATTCTGGATGATTGCCATTCTCTTGATGATCAAAGGATCGCTGCTTCTCGGACGCTTGAGCAGCCTGAGCCTTCAAAAGTCACTGGCAATTGCCTCAACGTGCTCTTTCAAGGCGTAGTGCACAAGTTTGCGCGTCTCTGGTTACATATACTCGCCATGGAGCCTTTCAAGTGCAGATGTTCTCTGGATCAAGGCGCTCTCCACAAACAGGCCCGCCATCGAAAATGTCGTTCTTGGTTCGCGACGTGTCCGACAATCTTTCCAAGTTACTTGCCCATAAAGAACATAGTCATCAAGAACGGCCAAGACCCGAGTTTCGAAGGTCCGAGACATGCGCTTTGCGAGCATTCATAATACTTAAAGGTCTCGTCGAAAGGACTCTCGCAACCAGTAGGGAAGCGGCAGCTCTCCTCGTAGGTGTGAAGCCCTGGGTGTTTGGAGTGTCTGGCTGCGCCGATTACATCGAGGAGAGGAAAGGGAAACTACAGGAGCAGATCGAACATCGGAGGAAGCCTAGGGGGTCTTCCTGACAAGGTACTGATATTCGCTCTGGTCGTGGCAAGATCCCTTTGCACTCTACTCATTTGCGATCAGATACATCAATAGACCGTTCTAACACGCAATACTTGGGGATCCCTATCGAAAGCACGAATTCGTAACCGACCAGGTGGTGCTTGGGCTACCAAATACCAAGAACAACATCATCCGACATTTAATTCGGGCACGACTGACTTCTTATGTGGCGCTGGGCGGGAGGAATCAGCGACTTAGATCTATTGAAGCTTGGGGCTTGGACGAACGACATTATTGCGACTCTTACGCATACACGCGCCGACATCTTAGAGTGGCTTCCAGCCATTGTTGTGCGGTCTTGGCAGACGTACTGCTGGAAGGACCGCAACGACACTTCGAAGACGAGCCCCATAGGCGTGGCAACAGACCATCGACCCGAAGATCCTTAAAGCCTGTCTCGTTGACACTGGTGTCACCATACCCACGAAACTACTGACGAGGACAGTCTCATGCTTTCTACCATCAAGAGCCAGAACGGATTTAGAAGAGCTGATTCTTCCAAAACGAAGCTTAAGGGTTTGCGGGTCAGACATATCGAGACTGATGCTACCGTAGGCTGCAAGGATTCGGATAAGAAGTATAGACGTCCAACATGTTTCAGCGGAATGTCCTACAATACAAGCTGTAATGGTATAGACTTTCCAGTCGAAGTAAAAGCCTTGGTGTTGTTCCAGCTTGCCAAAGCTCGAAAGAGCCAATGCACAGTGATGATAGCTTTCAGACCTCTTGCGTCGTCGAGATGGCATCTCTCCGATGCCAAAGTCATGGCCAAAGACGGGAGTTTGGATAATGTGTCCAGGTTAGAGAGCCAACTTGACCTAGCTCGCTCCAAGACAGGCCAGGCGAGTAATAGATGCTCATCCACGCAAACATTGAACGGTCCAGATGCGCTCAGCAAAGTGAATATCACAAGAAGCTCCCCGTCCTTTTCCAGCAATCTTCTTCGAAGTCTTGATCTTGTAGCGCAATCTTCACCTCGAGCCACTCAATGTAACTCTCTCACGCCTCGAGACCCCGTCCACCGGCTCTTCACTCATTGTTCAACTCCAAATAATTCCAACATTCCTTCTCTTCGAAACATCCGCGCAGCATCAACCGCATTGGGCTGTCCAGCATACAGATCCGCTCCCTTTTCTACCATAGCTCTTACGACCTCGTCATAGCCCTTGAACACAGCGCCTGCGATCGGACTCTGGCCTCTGTCGTTCAAAACGTTCATATCCGCTCCCTTCTCAAGCAGCGTCTTCACTGTGTCTAGGTGGCCGTGATATGCGGCTAGCATGATAAGCGTGTCGCCTTTGTGGTTAGTGAGGTTCACCGGAATACCGGCGGAAACGTATTGTGAGAGTTCGGATGTCTGTCCTTGACGAGCATACTCGAAGAGTCTTGTCGCGAGAGCGAGGGCTTCTGGCGGGAGATCTGACGCCGTGGGCGGTTTCGTCGAGGTACTAGAAGTTTGTGTGGGCGGCGAGGTCGTCGCTGGCTCGCCTGGTGATTGTGGAAGACCCATCTCGTCTGTTGCTCAAATGCTGTTCACGGCTTGGTCAAACTTGCGGCTACTTGATGACGCCTACAGCTTCTTGCGAAGCATGTATATTATGTACTTCTCGTGGCAATCGTTGGTGAAGTCATCAAGGGTCCCGGTCTGGTACCTGCATCATCGCGTTGCGTATCGTTGCCGAAGACTGATTTGAATACTTATTAGCGAGCTCACGCTCACAACCGATAGTCTCTGTGCTCTGCTACTCGTGTGCTTATGCTGTCGCTTAACATCAATCCTTTTGGCCTCAGGCAGATTGATCCAAGGCAGGGATTTGGTCGCATCCTTCTCTCAAGCCCCTCAGCGGGCCAAGAGTCCGACAACGCTAGCACTAGCATCCTAGCGAGAAGTTGTCAATACGGACAAATAAACCCAGGACGACCGGTAGGACCAATTCCATTGCGGAATGGTTTTTGAGTGAGGACAAGCATCAACCACACCCACGGTCGGAGGCTTCCTGTGATCAAATCTTCATAAACTCAATCCGAGCTTTCAAGCCATCCAATCAGGCTCAAGTATGTGTCATTCCACGAACTCACATTCCTTCGATCACCTGCTAACATCGAAAACAGTGGTCTAGGGGTATGATTCTTGCTTTGGGCGGCAGCGATGCCAGCAAACGTGCAAGAGGTCCCGCGTTCAAATCGCGGTTGAGCCCTCCTTTTTGCTCTTCTCACAGATCTGTTGCTGTATCTGTGCCTGGTTTGGGTCCAGATATATGAATTTTGGGTGTTGTGGGATCGGGGAAGCTGGACTTCCAGTTTCAGGCGAATTCTTGGTCACATGACGTCCAGGCAAGCCTCTTCTCTCGCAGACAATGCAGAGAAGCGTTCAAAGCTCGATTGGAATGGTGCTGAATCGGTAGATGTATTTTTGCGTGGGTTGTGCACGTTGACATGTGAAGATCCTCATTGGTGCCTCAGGCAGCAGTCCAGGCCAGGGTTTCGTGAGGCGCAGATGACGAGCTTTGACAGTCCTTTTCCCCTCAGGCTCAAGCTTTTGATAAGGCGCTCGGCTTGCTGCTCGACTCGAAATAACGTGGTTGACCTGGCAGAGTGGTGTTGGACCTGAGACTCGAAGTTGCCTGAGACCGCTTTCGCCTGAACTGGTTTGAAACGCAAGATGAGATCGAATATGCCGGTTTCTTTATGACCTGAATGTTAGGGAGAAAGTTTAAGAGGTACTTCATGCTTGGATGCAGGTCTTTGTGGATGGACGTGTAGCAAAAGAAGAGGCGAGGTTGAAATTTCGCTCCTTCCCTAAGGACATGCAATCTCGCGGGAACCTGCCGTCCACCAACAAACATACTTCCTAAAACGTACTGTCGCCGATCAACGAGCTTTCTTCAACTTTCCATTCCCCATTCTCTTCGGCCTCTCATAATCCCTCACAGGTAAAAATAAGCCTTCCTCCGCATCTCCGCGAATCTGGTAATCCAAAAGCTTCGCAAACTTATCCGCTGCATATTCCACACCATCCCCTATCTTCGTCAGGAAGCCACTTCCAGAGAGTCTACTGGAGGATGACGAACGGCTGCTAATGCTGCTGCTTGACGAGCTAGGACTGGCTGATCGGGATGGTGATGTTGATGGTTTGAGAAGGCCGCTCTCGACGTCTGGTTCGCGGTCGCGCAGCTCGTATAGGATGTCGTGCTCGGAGCGTCTTTCAAGTAATGGAGAGAGCATGAACTTAACGCCTGGCGTAGGATCCGAGATGGATCGCCAGCCGCTCGCAGCAGGGCTGTCTGGCAGGTCAGGAAGAGGTTTGTATAGCTTGAATGCGGCTCCTTCGTCGAACGATTTATGTCTGCGGAAAGATGGCACACTGCCCGCCTGCTCTGGCAGCGATATCCCAAGTCCACCACTCATGGACTCAGGGCCAGCTTTCCTTGGCCGGTGCCGGACAGTGTTCCGGGTCGGACTGCGAGCTGCAGTAGAGAAGCCAGTGGTAGGGGTCTTTGCTCTCCTGAGGTCCTTCTCCCGGTCGGGTCCAGAATCGAGATCTTTCAATTCGTAGTACTCGTACTTTTCCGTCTTCGACGACTCCCTGAGCCAACACCGCGACGTTGGGAAGTTTACAAGGTAGAGCAGTATCGCGGACATGAATCCAGCAGCCATGCATCCACAGACAAGGTACACCAGCCAGACGGGTGGATCTGGTAAGCCGACTTCCTCGTTGTGCGAGATGCTGTGGACGACAGGTCGCGTCGGCTGGACTGACTCCCATGTTGTGGTGAATGGCGTATGCTTCGCTGCCGACTCAGAAGAGCTCCCCAAACCGCTGCTGTCGGCATCAGTGCTCCTGGCCGCGCGAGGTACGACTCCATAGATACTCTCTGGTATGCTTGGTGCAGCTGTGCGGGCTGAGGATGTTTCCCACCTGGAGGGCTTGATGCCAGTCGGCGATACGCGGCTGCCTCTCGTCTCATTGTGAGGAGATGGTTTGAGCCGCCTTCTCAGTGTCGAGCCAGAGAGCGAGGCTTTCCCAAACATTGACGGCACTATGCGCTTCGACTGCTCCGTATTTGCTGCTCCGGCTGCATTGACCGACACTGATTGTGATGACGGCGGCTCGGGTGAGGGTTCTGTCTCTCTTGGTCCCGCAGGCTCGACCTTTTCGCAAGCTTGGCTGCTCGAAGTAGCTACTGTTTGCACAGGTGTTGGAGAGTGTGGCGCCGGCTCGAGTGAGCGTCCTGTCTTCCTGGATCCAGCGGGCTCCATTTTCCCGCAAGCTTGGCTGCTCGAACTAGCTACTGTCTCCAAGGGTGTTGAAGACGACAAGGTCGATTCTGCGCGCATCAAAGTGATGGTCCTTCGGATCGGTGGAGGCATTTTGACGAGCGCGTCAAGCAGATCCGGGCGTTTTGCGTTTTTATGTTTGCTGTGTATCGTTGCTGGACAGGATATCAAGTCTGTTACCGGTAAGCAGAGCGACGAAGCGACGAAGGCGTCAGTGTTTCGTTGAGGATAATAGGAATGGTGCTTCCTTAAGTCTGGATGTGGGTGTCGTCGTGAACAAAGTGGTGGACGCGTGAACGTCAACTAGCAAACGAGGCTAAAGTTGAAGCGCGTATTCACTTACAACTGATGCCACACCGCCTACTACATTGATTGCGCCAAGGCAATATACCATAGATCTCGCTAATCACTATTCATCATCGACTCTCGCCTTCTTGCCTTTACCACCGCCGTCGTCTTCCGCGCTTCTCTTGTTCGCCGCACGCTGCGCCTGGTCAATCATGGCCTCTACTCCAAACGGATCGTCTTTACGTTCACGTTCGAACTGAACCGGACCGCTACGCGCCTCAGCAGTCTCCGTTCCTCTGAAGCCCTCCTTTGGCGCTCGGCCGAGAGTCTCGAACCTCTTCGTCCCCTGAATCGACTCCAACGTCTCACCACCGTCCTCTTCGTCGTCGTCACCGACTGAAGGCCGGTAGATCGAATTGAGGGCGTCTCGTTCTGCAAAGAGCGGCTTGTCATACGCCTGATCTTCATTGAAGCCGGCGGCGAACCCAGAGCTTTGATTGAAGAGGCGAGAGTCGTACATGGCTTCCTTGGACTGTGTGGGCTTCGCAAGGCCCAGCGCAACCTTCTCACTCACGTCACGGTTCTGCTCTCTTGCCATCTGCTGCACCCTGCGCTCATGACCCATGTTGCCCTGCCGCAGCTTTCTCCGCTCGTCCTCCTTGCGCTCGCGCCGTTGCCTTTCACGTTCTCGCAAGTCAGCGTCTTCTCGACCGCGACCAGGCGGTGTTCGACTGCGCGAGCGCGACGAATACGAGTATGATGAGCGACTGTCCACAGATCGGCTGCGTGAGCGTGCTCTGTCTGATCCTCTTCGCTGCGCCATGGCTCTCCCTTTGTCCTCTCGCGCCTTCATTGCGAGCAGACGCAGATGCTCTTCCTTCTGCTCCTTCTCCTTCTCTGCCAGACGCTGCTGCATCTTTTGCCTCTGCGATACCTCCTCTCTTGCGTGCTGATCCGCGGTGTGAAGAGCTTCAGCAAATTGTGCAAACTTGTCGTTGATGGTAACATCCTGCAGTCCACGTCCATCTGCTGCCAGCCGTTTGTCAAGAGGTACAGTGTATCCCTTGGGATTCTTCCAATTCGAGACAGGAGGCGGAATCTTCCAGGCTTCTTGATCTTCAGCAGTTAGTTTCCGAGGCGGAGAATGCATGACTGGCGGTGGAGGCGATGGCGGGCCACGCGGCACCTTCTTGACTTTGTGCTTCGGGGGTTCCATAGGATCTTGTTGCCTCGGCACGATCTTTATCACGCGATCCTGCTTCTTGCTATTGTCGCCCATCTGGTTGGCAGGCGTGTACCGCACGTACGTAGGCTCTGCTCTCGAAGTTCCCTTGACATTCTTAGGCTTCTGCGCTGCCAAAGTCCCGCTCACCAAAGTCTGCAGTGCCAATTGTGTCCGCTCTTTGCTTGCCTGTACTTCTTCCTCACTCGGCTTTTCCAGACTGATCTCTCCTACGTCTGCCCGCTGCCGTAGTGGGATAAGGTCTTTGAAGCTCGCATGGACGATTCGGTTCTCGCTATGCCCTCTCCGCGCAATCGCATCGTATTTGACCTTGCCCTCGTTGTCCACCTGCAATGCGAGGGCGTTGGAAGAAGAAGGCTGGCCTTTGCGACCCATGTCCAGCGGGTACTGTGCCATGGGCACTTCTGGGAAAGCGCCTCCATCGCCGAAGTCTTCCGCACTTCGCGGTCGCCATCCTGCGCGCTGGCCGTACGGCGGTGGACCAGAGCGCTTCACCACTAGTTGTGACGACTCGAGTTCGCGGGCGTCTATAACTCGTGGACCTTTCTGCTGGGCATGTGTTGGCGCCTGTTCATCTTCGCCCGTGTATTTGGGCTTTGGCAATGCGCTGGATAATGACGTCCTAGATCCTGCGAGCGCCATGTCGTCGGTATGAATTAGTAGTGGTGTGTTGTGAGGAATTGAAAGCGGCTTCAAACTCAAGTCGAGGAGGCAAGGAAGGAAGTCCGCAACGCGAGTCATGCCCGGAAAGCTAAGTCTTGATCACGTGCAACAACACCCAAAACTTCATCCGCTTAGATCTCTTCTTTCCCATCGTACAAGGACTCCTTTCGACACTTTCACAGTGCCATATCGTTCCTTTCATCGAGAGGGTGTGGACTTCCATGCGTGAATAGGTCGGTCATGCACACCTTCTGCTAAGAAGTCAACCTAGGCCATGTCTGAGGACCTACAGGATGAGTTGACCTCAATAAATTCCATTTACGGAGACGATACTCTAGCTTCGCTGAGTGAGAGCTCATCCATATACTCGCTTTCTTTGCCCGCTCAACCTGCTTTATCATTACGCGTGGAGTTTCCAAAGGACTATCCAGACGCGCCGCCATCGATCTTGGGGACCCAACATGTTGGCGAAGAGATTGCCAAGGGCGAAGGTACTACCATTGTCGAGTTGGTCCGAACTATACTGGCAGAGATCTACTCTCCGGGAGCGCCATGTATCTTCGATCTCGTGGAAGAGTCTGGACAGAGGCTTCAGCAGCTCGGCCTGGACCGAAGCTCAAAGAACCAGGAACAACAAGCTTCTCAAACGAACGGTCAGGATGCGCATCATCACGACTACAGCGAGACGTACTCTGACGAACGACAGCCATTGGAAGAACTAGGCGACCCACCACCTTGGACATTATCAGAGATCATCACGGAGAAGAAATCTGTATTCATCGCCAGAGCAGCGCCAGTGTCTTCGGTAGAACAAGCCAAGACATACCTTGCGCATCTGCTTGCAACTGATAAAAAAGTTGCCAAGGCCACGCATAACATCACGGCGTGGAGGATACGTGGTGACAACGGGGTCCAATTTCAGGACTGTGACGACGATGGCGAAGATGCCGCAGGTGGCAGGCTGCTACACCTTCTCGAATTGATGAACGTCTGGGGTACAATGGTGGTGGTCAGTAGATGGTACGGCGGCGTGAAGCTGGGGCCTGATCGATTTCGGATCATTAACCAATGCGCGAGAGATGCTATCGTCAGGGATGGCTTTGCGCCATCTGAAGATGCGAAAGATGTGGGCAAGAAGAAGGGTAAGAAGTGAACGGTGGCAGATGTGCTTGACGTTCAGACTGGGCGTATGGGTGTTGCCTGCCAGTCGAAGGAGCCTGATATGCCTTTGACTCCTCAACCGGGTGCAGATCATGCGAGCTAAAGCGCCACGACGACCAGTGCGTGATGCTCTCTTACCAAGCAATCATCAAAACAACTGCCGAGTGGAGCGCACGGCGATCAAGTCTTTTGTGATACGTGGACGCCGATCGATCAAGTCTTCTGAATTCGGATGGACTCTTGCTGAATCAAAAATTGCCAACCTTGAAGATCATGACCTCAACCTTCGACGCCGAATGCAACGATGTCGCGACGCGCTTGGAGATACACAAGTTTTAAAAGCCTGATGCTCGCCTTTTTTTTTTTTTTTTGGCAAACAATTGCAGCATGCCACGTGGATGATCCTGTATCGCACAACACCAAAGCCTTCCAGATCGACGCGAAGCGAAGAACCTCAAACACCGAGCAACCCGCTCCAGGGTCATCCCCAAGAGCGCTCTCCCCAACAAAGACACGGCGTTCTCATTGCCGGAATCTGGCTCTCTGGACTTTGCGATACGATCACGAACCTCGAGACATTGCAGTCGTACCGCACCGTCCGTTCAGGCCTAGCAGACCGAGCCCAACAACCAAGCCTTGACGTCCTGCACCTTCAAAGCCAGCATGTCCCTTATGATTGACCCTTCGGATCACTAAAAGAGTCACATCCACCCTCTAAGGTCGCTCTCGGATGCCTCCCGAGCAAGGCAATATTTCCCACTACCACAATCAGCATGGTGTCATCTCCGTCTAGTCCTTCCTCCAGATCAACGAAATCGATCCCGACTTGCTACACCTCCTTGACATTCAGGCCTCAAGGTACGTCGTGGTACGGTACGGTGCTGTAACCAATCGACACGACAAGATCCAACCTCGACAAGATCCCCTTTCGCCTGAAATCGCTTATCATCATCATCATCATCCTGTACATCCGCCAGCAACATGCCAACAAGCGCAAACCTGATGAAGCGCCAAAAACGCTCGGTCCCATTCGGTCCATTCTCCCTTTTCCCAAGATCCCACATACAAGAATAAAATCTTGCCGACTTATCTTGCAGCTAGCTAGAGCTAGAGCTAAGGTCGCTTTCTACTACAAAAATAACCCGACAGCAAGGCGACGAGGACGTGAGAGACACGCTAATGACGACATCACCGACCGACCAGCACAACGATCTCCTCACATCACAGACATCACATCACAGCTGTGCAGCAACAACCTCCAACTTTTCTTCCTTTCCCCCTCCCTCCGCTCCAGATCGAGAGAGAGAGAAAGAGAAAGAGAGAGAGAGAAACAGAGAGACAATGAATGAAAAAAAGAAAAGCCCCAAATAGTGTGTGTGTGTGTGTGTGTGTGTGTGTGTGTGTGTGTGTGTGTGTGTGTGTGTGTGTGTGTGTGTGTGTGTGTGTGTGTGTGTGTGTGTGTGCAGAGAAACCTGTAAACCCCCTCCCCTGTTCAGCTGCGATTCTGACGAACGTGCATGTGTGCATGCAACACGGCAAGCCCACCCAGCAGGTCCGGGAACACCCACCCCGTCTTTGCTATTATCGTACCTACGGTACAAGATGGTGCCCTGCCATAATGAAAATAATGTGGAACAACATCATCAAGCCTGTCTGTCCATCAATCGTCTTCAGGAAGTGGGTGGTGAGCGTCGTCAAAGCGTGTCGGATTGACCATTCTCGAACCTTGACGTTATCACAGGGTGTGGGAGTGATGGATTGATGATTTCGGTAAAAAGCGATGAATGCAGTAGATGCTCATTGACTAGTGTTACAAACCTTGTGAGTGGGTATTGCAGAGAGCTGGACGCAAGTGGTTGGTTGTATGTCAGGTCCGGTCGGAGTCGATATCAGTCCCCCAAAATGGTCGGTTCATGCCAAAGGGAAGATGGAAGTCGAGGTTTTCTTGTCTTGATCATGCCTTCGTTCAGAATCTGTAATAAGGGACTAGACTGTCTCTTTACTGCTGCATTCACGTTTCCCTTTCTTCCGAGCACCGGTTCATTCACCCTTCACACCATACATCTCTCATGAACCAACGCCGATCCCATCTTCTCATTTCCCATCGAAAGATATCATAAGCGATCGACTGTCATTCCATCCCAAGAAAATTGACACAGGAAATTCATCACCAAAAAATCTCGATAAAATATGCTTTGCCTTGCTTGTCCATCGCGAGAGTCAAGTTCCTCAGAGCATAACGCCAGTTCGCTGGTATCTTTCCGTGTCATCCGAACGCCGGGTATCGAGTTGTAGTCGTACAAGTGCGAACGCCGTTCATTTGTAATCGAAACACTGCACCGTTGCATCCATCAAATGCGGAGTCCTGTGAAGTCCTCTGCCACAGGAACCGCACTCGAAGAGCTTCGTCCACGAGCAAGGGGTCTTCGCTTGATCGAGCGAGTAGAGTCAGCCCTAGAAAGTTCCAGTTGCTTGGGCTTGTCAGCTGCCTCCGGGAAGGGCGGAAGTGTGATGGGAGGCTCGCGCTCATTCGCTCCACGTGCGATCAGCTTGGGCTGCAAGCTCGTACGCCGAGGGGGAAGTCGCAGTTGCGGCGTCTGTTGTGCTGCAACGTAGAAGGGTTCCGGTTCCTTGACGCTCTCGAGGTCTCCTGAGCTAGGGTTGGAGGTTTTGCTTGTCCTGAAGTCGAATACGGACGAGAGCTTATTCATCTTGCGAAGTGCTGGGGACTTGGGCGAAGATGGAGCGCACCAACGATCGCTCAATGCTGTGCTCTGGCGTCTAAACTGATCCACAGATCGAGGAAACATGGGAGAACTCGGCACGGAGGTAGGCGAACGTGCTGCTTCAAGCAGGTCGACATGTCGGCGGCCGATGGTCGTGTTGCGTTTCAATTGCAGTTTTGGAAGCTTCGGCGGCTGCTCAGGCGACTGCTCTTCGCTGATTGAGCTTGGGGCAGTCGAGGCAGGTGAGCGAGGGCTCGACACGTTGGAGGCATCGTCCTGGCTGTCGTGACTGCTACGCGAGCTTCCAACGTCGTCCGATGATTCCCGCTGCTTTGCGCTCACGGGACGACTGGATCGATGGACGTAGACAGTTGCTGGACGGACCGGACGGCGTCGGTAAGAAAGGTCGAGCTTGGGCAGTTCGACGACCTTGGGCTTGCCGACGGTCTGAATTCTGACGGCCTGTGCGTGGTTGCAACGCTGCTCGATCTTGTTGCAACTGTCGGAGGGTTGGTCGTGCAATGAGATGATACTGCCGATGCTGACCGAGCTGCCGGAGCGGATGCTCATGTCGTCGTCGATTGGCGAGGCGACTTCTTCATCGGAGGCGTAGCCATTGGACCACATGGTGGACTTGCGGTTGAGGTCTGCAACTGAGGGCGTCGACTTGGATGGGGCGGCGAGTGTGGAGTGGTGCGTGAAGTAGTCGCGTTGTTGGCCGAGGGGGCTTGGGCAGTCGAGCGACATGTTGTCAGGCGTGAGGTGGGAAAGATTGACGGTGGGAATGAGGAAGAAGTCCTCCATGGGACGCGAGGCGCGAGAGTCTACCATTGTGAAGGAAGGTGGGGAGGGTCGCAGGATGAAGTGCCGGAGAGCGGATGTGCACTAGCTGGGGGGGGGCGGACGTGGGTTCTTCGGCGAGAACAGTACAGTGCAGCGACGATTCGAGATGGGCTCGGAGGAGGAGATCCAAGAGGACCTTAGTCGGCGTAGGCGCGAGAAGAATAATGACGCTGCTTGGCTGCAAGGCTGGACAGCAGGGCCGGCGTGTTGTTGCAGAGGGCGCTGCAGGGCCAGGTCTCAGGGAAGATCGCTGGGAGGTGGACCGGGGCTCGGATACCGACCGGGGATCCCTTTGACTGGCTGCTCGTACCAGCCTGGCAGCTGGCAAGCAGATGACACGCTCCCCGTCTTAATAATGAGCACGCATACCTTATCGCCGAGCGCGATCTCGATGGATGGAGGGGTGGAAAAGTGGGCCGCGGTCGGCTGGCTAAGTAAGGTAATGGAAGGTATAGTAGTAGTACCTACCTGACCTGACCTGAGGAAGGTATGAGGGTGTGTTTTCCGTTGCTCGGGAAGGCGTTGCAAGAGGGCAGAATGGGATGGGATGGTGTGTGTGAGGTGGTGGAAAAGGGCCGGCGCCACGCTTGTTTCGAATCCCGATAACAGGCGCACGCGTGACTGGCAGTGTGCTGCTGCGATGGACGCGGGTCTCGGTGATGATGGGTGCACGACGAAGCTCTCGTGTGCCTGAGCCCGTGTTTCTGGCAATGCGGTATCACCTGCTCGCCCCTGTGTGTCGCTGTCCGTGTCGGTGTCGGGGTCGCCAACTGGAAAGAGTCGAGCAGCGTCTCTGCGATTATTTGCGGTTGCGGCCCTTTGTTGGGGCGGACAGCAGTCGCTAACGACTTGGCCCTTGGCTCAAAGTAGATAGGCGACTACACCGTCCCAGCACCAACAGGAAACCTGAACCCGCCGATTTCGAAGCCTGTGGAGCCGGGACGTGGGTCGGGTTGCTTTCCATTCGCTGCCCGGAGGTGCAATGCGGCGCTCGTGCCGCTTCTAGTGCTAGTGGTCCCGTCGCTCCTGCTGCAGACCTCACACCTCACCTCTCAACTGCCTTCTACATACGGAAAGCGACATGCGCGCTGACCAAGACACGACGGAAGGAACCACCTGCTCATGCTGAAACCACGCCACGGACTTCGCGACGTTCAATCGCCTCTCACTCGACGGGAACATGACATGTCGTACGCTGGCCTCCACCTCCTCAGACGTCGCACGTCCGAACACGTGTGATGTGAAGTGCTCGCCAACATTTCGAAACACGCCGACGAGATGCCACACTACACGCCTGCAGCTGCCGACGTGGAATCTCGCCGACGCGGCTTGCGCGGGCGAGACAGGTACGTCTCCTGTACGCCCGGTCGGGTACCTTGATGGTACGCACCTCCGTGTTCCGCCAGCATCCTCGATACCACCCACGGCACGGCACGGCACAGCACAGCACAGCAGACAGCAGTCCGACTGCCTTGAGCACTCGGTAGCCCTGCTGAAGGTGCAGCTCGCCCATGAACTCGGCTGCGCATAAGGTTTCGATGCTTCCTTCCAGAAACGCTTGCCGTCGCCAACCCCGCCTTAGCGCAAAGTATACGGGCCAGCTTGTCAGGCCGTGCTTCCGGTAGAACCATCTTCCCAGATGCATTCCATCATCTTCCCGGACGCTGTGTGGCGGTCTGACTGTGTGTCGAGCGTCACTCATGCCTCCTCCGAGCGACCCGATCGAAGAATCCCCCTCTTCCCTTGTCGGCGCAGAAGGACCGCCATGCGTCCCGAAGTCGTGAAGACGGCAATTTCTGTTCCGCCCGCACGCCAGCCGTGGCCAAGCGCTGCTGCAGTAGTACTATAGTGCAGGAGCCGAGCAAGTGGCAGCAACGGCCACGCTGTATAAGTTACACAACACTACACCACCGGCACGACTGACGGGCGACCTGAAGAACGGCATGTTCCACGAAAAGACGCCGCCGCCGGCGCCCTGTGATGAGATGGACTGCGACGAGTAACTCGACGCTATTCGAACGTTGACGCTCCAGTCGCGACTCGGATGAGACTCGACCAACACAGTCAAGAGCTCCCCCGCTCCTTCCCCAACTTTCACCAAATCTTCGCCTCCTACCGAGGACTGTCACACTATCGAACGTAGCGCAGATTGCCGAGAGGCCGAGAGATGCCGTACAGTATATCGCCGCGGATCACCGCACACCGCTTCGACATCTTCCATACTAATGAATACTAACTTCCGACTTCTCATGAACCACGAATATCGGGAGCACTGCTCGTTACATGGCTACGTTCTCATGCTGAATGCGAAGCTCCGTGACAATCAGCCGTGTCGAGCGTTCGTGTCGGGACTGTGGTGGGGGACGGGAGAAGCTGCATGTTCGAAGCTTGCGGCTCGAAATAGCCCCACTCCTCCAGGCGTTCACGCTTTGTCCAGGATCCATCCCGAACGACGTACGATGATCGTGCTTCATACTGTCCAAGACAGCGCATCGTCAACGCATATCGATGCGTTCACGTCCAAGGGATAGCACCTCTCTGCCTGGCGAATTCTTCCGGACCGCAAATACCGGAGGCCGAGATAGGCGAGGGGCAAGCAGTGGAGAAGGGAGCATCTACCGCCAAATGCCGCCTCTCCAAGCACACGGTGCAAGCCAATTTGGCCACCACCTTGCCAACACGACACATGATGGTCCGGATCTAGACACGGCGACAGCCACGGCATCTCCGCGAGGGCAAGCATCCGGAGCTGCACATGGCCCCAGACAGCATGCGCGATGGAGCTCGACGTGTACGATGCCGAGAGCTGTTCCATCGTGATCCTTTCGTGGGCATATACCACGGCTCTCCAACGCTTGCTTGTCGCTGCATGCATGCGAGACCGACTCTGACCTACCATGTGAAACGAAGTCACTTGGTATGCACCATCGAGCAGGATCAACCCCTGCCGTCTCGCACTGCTGTCATGGGCGGGCTACCTGATATGCTATTACAGAGCTTGACTCGAGCATCCTCGTTGGTACTGAGTCGCTTCGCGCGCCTGCCATAGATCCTTCGTATTGGGTTCATGCACTCCACACTGGCCACGAGTTCCCCGGGATCCACTTGAAAACTCAACCGACAACTTGAAACTCCCAGACATCGACTGCAAGACTGCAGACGACTACACACCAGGCCGCGTCGTTATACTGCTGACACTGAACAGCGTTGTCTCCGTCGAGGAGAACTGCCGAAGTGGACGTAGGTAAATTTCGGGCAAACAGCACTTTTAGCCTTGATACCACGGCTTTGATCATGAGCGGGCTTCCCCGCGCGATAGCAATATCATCCCCACCAAAGCACTTCGCACATGGTTTGGGAGGGGTCTCCATGCCGGAAAACTCCATGTGCGCTGCTCGGGCTCGTGGTTGCCAGGATTGCATCGCTGAGCTGGTGTTGTACCCGCGACGGCTGTTGTATCAGAAGCGTTACCGATACCGAAGCGACATCGTGATTGCTTCTAGACCTCGCTTTCTTCGGTCCAGTGGCCTGGAAGCTGACGGACCATCGAGATACACACCAGCTCCTCTCTTCGAATCACTGATCCACAATGCGCGCATCATCGATGCTGCCGTTGACACTGATAGGATCGCAATGGCGATTACAAGGGCTCACATCGCCGGGTCTCGTACCATGAACATGGAATCGAAGCACATCAAACAACGTTGAACCTGTTCAATGGGGGCAGCTGATAGCATCGAAATCGATGACTGCTATCATGTGATGGCATCCTGCATTGTGCCGCAAGCAACATGTTTCGTGGACAGCCATACCCCAACGTCCTCTGGGGTTTCTTGGGACTAGCATTCAAAAAAAAAAAATCGTGGGACTGAATACCACATCAGTCATTATCAGCTCTTGACAATATTGTGAAGTCCCACGTATCTATTCAACGATGCAGTTCGAGCCAAGTGAGAAGATATCGAGAGAATTAGTCTGCTCAGCTCTCCACGCGCTCGCGGTATCGATATCGATATCTTCGCTAGATAACGGTTAGTGAGATGTTTTTTTTTTCTTTCTTTCTTCCCGGTAGTCAATTTCCAACCACCACACCCACAATCAAATCTCACAACGCCTGTAAGATCCCCATTTCCACTACTGCTTTGCTACGGACGGAGAATGGCCATCGCCATTCGTCCAAGTTTGTTGTTTGTTGCAGTAGTGTACCTCTTCTTCATTCATTCATGCCCGAGCCCAGACTTCAATCCCTACCTCAATCTGTCCTCCGTGCCGGGGGGAAATGTCGCATCGGAGGAAAGCAAGGGCACGCACGACTGACTGACTTGACTGCATGCGAGCGCAAATGGGAAAACACCCATTGCGACAGCAGGACAGAAAAAAGAAGGACGAGTACCACTTCCCGCCGAACCGCCGTCATGAGCAGTCTCGCGCAACCCCCAAAAAAAAAACTACATGTACACACATGTACGTCCAGACAGACGCCAACGTGGGACAGGACAGGACAGGACAGGACAATCATCGCATCGCATCGCGAAATGACGCACGTATCAATCAACGATGGAGGTGGAGGAGATTCGGAACGTGCTGTGGTGGAAGTGTGTGCGATTCAAACATCTACCAATGGCTCACGCGAAACCAAACACGCGAGGGAAGGACCCCCTTTCAGGGTCCGTTGGAGGAGGAGGATTGCTGCCCTGCCTTTTGAAAAAGTCCGACATGACAATGACGTCCTTCTGCGACCCCGAACAGCGCTCCTCCAACACCATCACAAACCACGTACCATGATCATGACGGAGAATGTTTCAGCTTGCGGTGACCTCACCTCTGCCCGGTGCGTTCCCACGTCCACCACGTCCCCTCATACCCCCCTCGCCTCCTCTGCCGCCACGACCACGTCCACGACCGCCTCGCTCGTTCAGGTGGGTAGGCGGCGGGACGTTGCTGTAGTTCTGCGGTCTGAAAGCTGGGTTTCTCTGCACGACCCCCTCAGAAGGATCGCTGTTGTCGATGATGGTGTAACCTGCGCGATTCCCTCCTCCACGCCCCCCTCCTCCGCGTGGCGAGAAATTGGGAGTGACGCCGTTGAGACCTCCGCGACCACCGCGCGGGTGCATGGGAATGTTCTGCTGGCTTCCGAGACCGCCACCCCTGCCACGCTGGCCGCCGCGAGATGCGCCGTTCTGTTGCGGACTGCCATTCACGGCGCCGCGCCAACCTCCACGCAGTGGTGCAGGAGCATTAGCTGCGACAAGCTGGGAGCCGTCAGGCATACCGTACGCGCTGGCGAGCGCAGAATGGCCGCCACGAATGGGCGTAAAATTAGACTTGGGAGCGCGATCCTTGGCTGCCTTCGACATGGCGAGCACCTGCTTGTCGCTCATGTTCAAAACCGCGTTCGACGGAACCGTGCTGCCTCTGAATGGTGAGCAGCGATCATTCAAAGAAGTACCGCTCATGAACGTTGCATCGAATACAATGTCAAGCAGTACGTTGCGTGGAGTTCTCGTCAGGCCGACGACCGTACCCCTCATAGCGATAGGGACACGGCCTGAATCGAGGACATACACAACACGATGGCCAAGACGGAACCTCTGACCGCCAGTGCGCTGGTCTGCGTCGGATGGCTTTAGTAGGGCGCTGCGTGGAACACCGCCAATTTGCTTGCCCTCCATGTTGCCCTCAGCTTCGCCAGCCTTGCTGACAGCATCAGCCATTTTTTCGATTCGCATAACAGTGTCGCCGTCCAACTGCTCAGCCTCCAGTGGCACACGCTCGAACGACTTGGTCTCGACGCTCTTGAGCCATTGCCCGATTTCCTTCATCTTGAGCTTGGCTTCTTGCGGATCTGGGTAGAAGGCGGTATCCTCCCAGCCGTCACCAGTCGGGTTTGCCGCAATACGAGCAACAAACTCTGGGAAGTTGACCATGTATTGCTTTATCAGGTCGACCGCTTTTGGCGAGTATTCCCACCCACTCTCGCCCTTTCGACTGTAGCCAAGCACCTTCATCTTCTTAGCTTCGAACTTCAAGTTCAGACCAAGATTGAGTTTGAGGCCGGACGAAGTGACATTGAATGCCGACGTGAGCTTCGATAGCACCAAGGGATGCAAATTGAGCTGCCTCGCAACCTGGAAAGCTGGTACGTATGGATTTTGCCTCTCAGCTTGCATGGCAACGTCCAAGCCGAATTCGGGCTCACGATTCTTAAGCATCGAGACCCAAACCTCGGCTTTGGGAACACCATCAGCACCCGTCTTGTGGCCAGTAACCTGCAAAGGTCGACCATAAGCCATGTCTCCAAGGAAAAATGCGCGAGTACCAGGTGGGAATTCCTCCTCGATGGGCAGCGCTGCTTTCTCCAAGAAGCGCTGGTCTTCGCTAACGACATGGTCGACGACTGTTTGTGTAGCGTAGTCTGGCTCAATGCCAGGAACAGGCGCGTACTCCTTCACAGTAGCTCCCTGCTCAGTCTTACGAAGTCCGATGAGAGGCTCAATCTGGACCAAGCTCTCGACATCACCAATGATCGTACCCAGGCGCTTGCTGTAATGGTTTTCGATGCGGGTAGCCTTCTTCTTCCAGCCCTCAATACCTTTTGGCCCATGCGGCTCTTGGATGATATTGTGATCTGTGGGCGGTGATTGGGGATCCGCTAAGCGATATGTCATCAACTCGTCGGACACGCTGGTGACCTTGCCTTCCTGCAAGAATGGATAGCCGATGTGGACGGCCTTTCCGAGCCGCTGTCGTGCGTGAGCAAGAGTGCCGCTCTCTTCTCCCTCGCTCAAAGTAACCACCATGCTCTCGTTACGACTCTCCTGCTGAAACACGCTGACACCGTGAAAGCCTAGCTGGCCAGTGTGTGGCAACGTGCGGAGAGATGGAAAACCAGCCAGCGCAGCCGCACCGAGCTTGACACCCTCCATAAGGCCAACATAGACCTCCAACCCGTCCATAGTGGGCAATTCGAAGATGTTCTCCACGACGCGACAGTGCTCTATATCTGGAAATATCCCCGGTAGACTACTAGGGTAGGTGTAGTCAACCTGCGCGGCATAGGTGAACTTGAGGCTGACACCAAATTCGTTACGCCTCCGCTCGTCTTCCGTCAGCAAAGGGTCTTTCAACGCCATCGCCGACAAGAGACGCTTTTCATCGATAAACGGAATCTTGACGACAGCCTCCCATTCCATCTTCTTTCCATTCATATCGAGCTCAAAATCTCGTGGGTAGAAGTCGATGATGGGGCTGTTCGGATTGGTCATGAGGTCCCAGTAGACCTTTGGAACAATAGACTTGCTTCGGTCTGGCAGCACTCCCATCAGCTGCTGGAAAGGACGAAAGGGCTGGCCCAGTTGGAACTCCATGTTAGCGCCGAGACCCTTGACAACATCGCTGATCATGGGCGAGTAGTGATATTGGTAGTACCACGGCCAGGATGCAACACCCCGGTAGTAGTAGAACAACACCCACTGCAGACCTTGAACGTAGTTCTCAGCGAGCTTCTTCATCTCTTCCTCATTGTCCAGGCCCCACCCAAATTTAGTGGTGTAATATTTATCCTTCCAGTTGTAGAACTTTTGGTCGTACTTCTCCTTGGCTTTTTGCTGCGCTTCTGAGGCAGAAACGTCTTCGATTTTCGCCCGATCGTACTGCTTGAAAACACGAAGCAGAGCATTCTGGGCTTCTTCGTCCTCGTCGTCGTCCTCGTCGTCCATTTCTGGACGCGGAGGAAACGATAATTTCATGTGACGATTGCCCTCACCGTCAACCACGCTGGCGTGTTGAACCCGTAGACTGTTCGCCAATTCTTCCACAAAGGACCGATCAGCCGCCTTAAGCGTCTCAGGCATATCAAGTACGGCATCCTTGCCGTTCCCAGCGCGGCTGTTGACGTACTTCTTCACCTTCTGATATAACTCGTTCTGGTAGGAAGTCATGCTTGAAACACCTCTCTTCTTAGCCTTGGCCATCACATCCTCCTGTTTGTAACTCTTGTCCTTGAGCCAGCTTGCATCCTGGTTTTCTGCTTCGAAAAATCGATACTCCACTCCAGCGAGCTCCTTCAAGAGCATCACAAGGCGCTTCAGGTTGATCACGCCGCCGTCGTTGATGTATCCGCCGGCCTTCGGCAGAACCTTGCGGTAAACTTCGAACATCAGCGCCAGCGCTCCCTCGTTGATGTGCAGATGTGGCAGATTGGGCAAGAAGTCGTTGCCCACGAAGAATGCCATAAGAATGAAGTCGTCAATGATCCGCTCCATATCAAATTGAACAGGTAAGTTCTCCTGCTTCTCCAGCTCTTGGAATTCTAGCTGTAGATACTCGCGCACAATACAAAGATGCATGAGATAGAAGTTCTGGTGCTCCAGCTCGTTGCTCTTCACTTTGCTCTGTCGTCCAAAAGTAACCTCCTCACGAAGTAAGCAGAAGTGGGGATCGTGAGAGAGAAGACCCAGCATGATTAGATCCGCATCCAGACCGTACATACAATGCCGCACATTCGGGTCGTAACCGGGCTGACTCTTGGCCTGGCGAATGTATTCCATGATCTTGTGTTCTCCTTCTCCTGGAACCTCGTGCCCCGATAGAACAATTTCACAGCCTTGCCAGTCGAGGTCCTCGCTGACCTTCTTCGCAATGAAGTACTTCAGCTGTTGCGTCAAGCGCGCCATGAACTCGGTACCGGGGGTGATACAATTCGAGTCGAATGGGTCCTCCTTGGGCAGCTCGAGGCCGTCCTTGATCGCCTTATCTCGCGCGCGCTCAGCGTCGAGTGCTGTTCGGAAACGTCGGGAGCGCTGCTGATTCATTTTCGCACGGGGTGCCACACCATCGATGGCCATGAAGAAGAGCTTCTGAGGCTTGATCTTGCCGAACAGATGCTCGATATAGTTGAATATCTTGATAAACATCTCGTCTTCGGAGAGTCGGGCCTTGGTCGCGGAATCGGCATTGTTATGAGTGCAGTTGTGGATGATACCATTCATGTCGAGGTAGAGGTTGTCGAACTCGGGGATGCGGTTCTCGGCGATGAGCTGTGATATGGCCGGATAACGCTCCGAGAGCCAGCGAAAGAATTTGGGAACACCTTAGTGCGGTCAGCATATCAAGTCGTCTCTGCATATGAAGTCTTCCGCGTCAAGTCTCATACCCATGATGGCGGCTGCTGTGTTTCAAGACAAGTCGCGGGTGACCAAAATCTTGGCCTCCGAGGCGACGAGCTATAACGGGTGTGAGGGGTGAGGATGGTAGAGGCGACGACGTTCCGACACGGAGTCCTTGAGAGAAGAAGAAAGAGAGTGAGGAAGGCGAAGATGAATGTGAATGACACGACGCACGGACTTCGACGGCACCACCCGCCCCCGCGCTTGCTGATCAAAGCTCTGGCCTTGGCAGTCGCGTACTTCGCCTGCAGCAGCTTCACGCGTAGAGTGCTGTATAAAACCCGAACCTCTCTCACCACCCGCCCCATCGCATTGACACCATCCATACCGCTTCGAGATCCAGACCACCCTTGACCTCTTTTGCACCGAAGTAAAACCGCCCGTCCCTCCTCAACCAAACTCCCCTCTCGAGCTTGTCCATCATGGACGACACTGGTGAGTCCTCCCCGTGCGCATGGTCGACCGTCCGCCCTCGCGAGAACTGCGCGCCCTGCAGCCTGTCGAAGTGTCTGGCCACACCGTCTTCAATATCGATCACCCATCTAGCAAGCGGAGGTCCCGACTGCGCACGTCCGTGCAGTTGCAGAACTCGTCGACAGCAGCAGAAGAATCAGATAGTGCAGCACCAGCGATAGCGAATGCCGGAACACCACATCCACAGTCACCCTCCTGCGAGACCACCGCCGCGATGCCGGAAGTGGAACAAGCCGTCGCCGAGCGCAAATCGTACTTACACTCTTCTTCTGCAGAAATGACGGGACAGACGCCCGAAGACAAGGAGATTATCCAAAACAAGCTCATCAACGAGGAGTACAAGATATGGAAGAAGAACAGCGTCTTTCTCTACGATATCATGTACAGCCGCGCCCTCGAATGGCCCACCCTCACAACGCAGTGGCTGCCGCAAGTCCAAGACGTACCTGGTACCAACATGCGCCAACATAAGATGATCATCGGCACCCACACGTCCGGTAGCGCCGCCGACTATCTGCAGCTGTGCGCCATCAACCTACCGAAGCCACCGGCAATGACCGCCGCAGACTACAACCCTCACAGTGAGGAGCTTGGTGGACACGGCGCAACCAAAGAGCCTATCACTTTCAGCGTCATTCAGAAGATCACCCACCCGGGCGAAGTCAACAAGGCCCGCTACCAACCGCAGTGCGTCAACATCATTGCAACGTGGTCGCCGAACAAGAATGTCTACGTCTGGGACCGCTCCAAGCTTCCTTCTGTCCCCACTGGTGAAATCAAGCCTCAGGCAACACTCAAAGGTCACGAGAAGGAGGGATTCGCATTGGAGTGGAATCCACAAGTCGAGGGCCAGCTGATTTCTGGAGGCGAAGATACGACTGTACGATTGTGGGACATAGTTGGCAGCTTTACGCAGGACAACTCCGTCATTTCTCCGGCTCGTACGTTCACACACCACTCTGCCGTTGTGAACGACGTGCAATTTCATCCTATACACGGCAGGAACCTCTTCGGCTCGGTGTCAGACGACAAAACCATGTGTCTGGTGGACTTGCGCTCCAAGGTTGACAACAGAGCCGCCATCCAGTTCGACAGCGCGCATGCTGATGCCATCAATTCTTTATCGTTCCATCCAAAGCACGACAAGCTGTTTGCAGCGGGCTCCGCCGACAAGACTATTGGTATCTTTGACCTGCGCTTCCCTTCACACGGCAAGATCCACAGCCTCGAGGGCCATAAGGATATCATTACCAAGGTCGACTGGCACCCAACAGATTCCGCTATCCTGGCCTCGGCTTCCAACGATCGCCGCATCATCTTCTGGGACCTCTCCAAAACTGGTGCCGAGCAGACTCCGGAGGACGCTGAGGATGGTCCGCCAGAGATGCTCTTCATGCACGGAGGACACACCAACCGCTTATCTGACTTCTCGTGGAATAAGAACGATCCCTGGGTCATATGCTCAACAGGCGAAGACAACCTCATTCAATGCTGGCGTGCTAGCAGACATCTCGTCGAGCTGCCGCCGTCGTTTGTGCAGAAGAGGGAGGTCGAAGGTCAAGGTGTGCATTAGAAGATGCACATCCAAAGAAATCCGACAAATGAGCCCAGAGCCGAGACTCGTGCAAACTCGGCCCAGCCAAGCCTTTCCACGGCCTCTGACACGAGCGGTCCACATACTCCTCAAGCAGAACCCTCGCACGGCCGGGAAGAAGTGCGTTCTCCTCCTACGGCGGGTTCAATCAGGAATGCAGAGAGAATGGCGCAGGGTCGTGCACCACGAGGTCGGCCACCCAAACACTGAGGGCTAGCCTCTTCACGGTATTGATGGTACATTTTGGACATTTTTAGCGCGGCGCTCACTTGGAATTCATGCAATAGCGAGTATGACGTGAGACGGGGAAGATGAAGACTGGAGCCCAGAGCCAAAAGCTGCAGTAGCCTGAACCCTGAAACCGGGTCAGAGTAGCTATAGCTGCATGTGGAAAGGTGAACTTGGTCTCGTATCACATGCTATTCTCCGCCCAGGTCAAAATCTCCCTCAGCCTCTATTGATAATTTGATACCTTCTACGACCACGCCGAGAACTTCCCGACAAAGATCTTGCTTCGACAGGATTTAACCCTCCGCATCCCAACCCTGTCCGTACGGCACATCTTCAACTGTAAACACCCCATCCGGTCCGGAAATCAAGATCTGATTCTTTCCAATCAATTCCCAATCTTCTTCCTTATACGTACTCGGCTCACTCGCCACAATCAAGTGCTTCCCGTGAAGTTCTTCCGGGATTCCAACTTCCCTCTGCGGCGCATCGATTCCGTCTGGAGAATCACGATATTTCCGATTCAGGGTGGTGCCGGCTTTCGTGGAATAGTAGAGGGAGGGCGGTTGTGAAGTTCGATGATTGCGGAAGCGGTAAGCTAAGAGGTGGACCCCGTCTGTCACGCAGAGGTTGAGGGAGTTTGGTTTCTTGTGAGCGCCGAGACGTAGTTGTTGAAAGGCTAGGACTGTTGCTACTGTTTTGTGGAGAGAGGCGGCCATGGCTTGGATGGGGTAGAGTTCTTCGAAGGGTGTTTTGGAGGTTGATGAGGAGGTCAGGTAGGTCATGTAGAGGCCAGCAATGTGTCTAAACTGGTGAGCGTGTGTAGGAGGACGAGAGGAAGAGGATCGGTGCTTACTCGGAATCTGTGCCTCCTAAGACGTGGGGATAGACTTCTCGGCTCATCTCGTTGACAACGTCTCGTTTGATATCGAGGAAGTCACTAACTGCTCCGTTGTGCATGAAGGTGTGCCGGCCAAACACAAAGGGGTGGTTGTTGATGGGAGTGATGGCCGATCCGCTGGAGGCTCGAATATGGCCGAAGCAAACCCTGGTTTCCGTGTTGGCGCATATGGACAGAAAGTTCATGTCGTTGCTCGGCGGCTGGATAGTCTTGTACATGGCAGGTCGAAGGCCCTGAGAAGATTGTTAGCAATGACCTTGAAGCGGGACGCATTAAACTTCACTTCTTTCTGCAACCCATCGCTGCTCTCGCCGGTCTTACCGCGCTCGAAGTCGGCGTTGGAGGAAGTGTACCAAGCAACTCCAAGGCCATCGAAGTTGTTGACTATATTCCGAGCTTTGACGTCGTTCTCCGAATTGGCGTCATGTTCGTGAGGCAGGAGTTTGGGAAGGTAGTGGTCCGAAACTTGTTTGGTCAGAGAGTGCTTTGGCGATATGAGGACGTCTTCGAGGAGACATGGCTCTGTCGGAGAGATATAGGCGAACCAGCTGCGCACAGGGGCAATGTTAGCGATTGATTTCGATGTATATTGTCTTTCCACAGCGGAACGTTGTTGTCGTCCCGAGAATCCTAGCCCGAGTCGGGTAATGGCGAGTTAGATGGCCCAGAATCAGCGGTGGTATCGTCGACAGAACGTTCCAATATGCGAAGACGCAATACATGTAGAGATCACGCAAGATTGGGTAAATTGCGTTAAGCTCGACCAAGGTAGATAAGTTGCCGGGTACAAGGGGACATGGAGCCAAGGAAAATTGTACATACCGACACATCTCGTAGAATATTGTTGTAGGATATCAGTGATATCCTATCGAGGAGGATCTGGTAGGTAGGAGCTCAAGATTTGCTAATCAGCCTTCTGACCATGTCGCGTGTCTCCCGTTATCGGTACATTTCCTATTCTCTCTTGGCAGGCACCATCCCCCCTTGCAAGCTGCTCCTTCCTTAACCGCACTAGCGTGGTTGGAGCTTCGACCTGCCAGCCGACTTCAGTGAATGTTCGGAGCTCTCATTCCAGTCTTCTCCCGCATATCACCGTCAATATGGCAACCGTACCGCCTCAACACCAGAAATCAAGTGTACCGGTGCGAGATATCCTGTCATTCGACGCGAAGCAGCAGCAGACGATACGACTCTATCCACTCAGCAACTACACCTTCGGCACGAAAGAGACACAGCCAGAGGAAGATCCATCAGTGAAGGACAGATTACGGCGACTAGAAGAGCACTACGACAAATATGGCATGCGACGGACGTGCGAAGGTGTGCTGGTCTGCCACGAACACAATCACCCGCATGTGTTGATGCTGCAAATTGCGAATGCCTTCTTCAAGCTGTATGCCTTTCCGAAAGCCGTCTGGTAGTCGCATTGCTGATTACCTGCTGCAGACCTGGCGACTACCTCCCCCACGACGCCGAAGAGATTGCGGGCTTCAAAGTGCGCCTCAACGAACGTCTCGCGCCCACAGGCTCCCTCTCCGAACGCGAAGCCGCCGATCTCGAATGGGACGTCGCCGACACCATCGCCCAATGGTACCGCCCCAACTTCGAGACCTTCATGTACCCCTTCCTCCCACCCCACGTCACGCGTCCCAAAGAATGCAAGAAGCTCTACTTCATCCAGCTCCCCAAAGCCAAAGTCCTGAGCGTACCGAAGAACATGAAGCTCCTGGCTGTGCCCTTGTTCGAGTTGTATGATAATTCGCAGCGCTATGGTCCGCAGCTGAGTGCCATTCCGCATTACTTGAGCAGGTATAGGTGGGAGTTTGTGGATGAGCAGGGCGAAGTGGTGAGTTACACACCTGGTGGAGCAGTGGATGAGAGGGTCCGGACGAAGATTTTGGCGGGTGGAGAGAATGGCGTCAAGAGCGAGGAGCAGAATGCTGAGGGCAGGAGCGAGCAGATGGAATCATAGGAGGTCCACGCAGACTTGGCAATACTCTCCGAAGGTGCAGCTCGCGCAAAGGCTGAGATACGATGTTGTTGGCAAAAATTGGAGCGTTCTAAGCGGGCGGCGTGGGAGACATGAGAAACGTGCTGTTCCATGATGATTCAGACTGCCCCATCCAGCAGGATCAGTGCGTTGTCGTTCTCCCGTCGTCGAATCTGGACGACCGCAGCGCTCCTTGCTCTACCTGTTATGCCTCCGCCCTCTGAACTCTCCAATCATCGTACAACTGCAATGCCGTCTCGGAATGGCGCATTGTCTCCTTCGCATGTCGGTCTATAGGATCGAAAGGAAGAATGTTGTCAATGCCATCGCGACTACTACAGCCGCGCCGCCCATCGACACATGTTCGAGCCTCTTGGTCAAAGTGCGGATATCCGCTGCGGTCTGGATTTCGAGGGGAGATAAGTGTATCATCCTGTGGCCATCGTTGGGTTCGAGACGACGCGGTGAGGTAGATGATGAGGCGTGATAGTTGCACGGCGAAAGAACAATGTGATCGCTTTGAGGCAGATGCCATTCTGGGAGAAGCAAACTGCTCTCTACTTGCGATGGTGGAGATGGAGCACAGCAAAATGAGATGTAGAGCTATTTGCTTGCTTGCGATGCCAATCGAGATCGGAACTTCACAGCGTTGTGCGAGATTTGCTGTGCCAGAGGGGGAAAGTTTGTGAATGAGAATGAGGAAAGTACGAGGGTCAGTTGAAGCAAGGGCGAAGCTGTGTTCCTGACTCTACCTTCCTTGTCAGATTCATCAGAAAGCACTCATTGCCTTGAAGAAGACTTGCACACACGAAAATATCCTAGATGATGATGTGCATTATATGTTCTTCGCCGCCGCCTGCTAGATCGCCAAGATAGTACTCCATCGCCCTACTACCTCGCACACTATGGAAGCACAGACTCCTGATCTCACAACGAGTAATCTCTCAGCGGATCCCGACATGCTTGCGGACAGCCATACCCAACCTCTTACAGAAGACCAAGTCGCCGCCCTCGAAGTGTGCAATTCCGCGCGCGCTCAGGTCGATGTCCAACCTCTGTTATGGTCCTGGTCACTTGCGCAAGAAGCGCAACTCTGGGCCGATTATATCGCCGGCCTCCCGCTCGGGCGGAGGAGCGGCACGCTTCGACCTCGACAGCCAGGCATCAATGAGAACGTGACATCCTGCAGTCGACTTCCTCCTTTTGAAGATCCCTTGACTGCTGCGGCCCACCGCGGAACAGCCGAGAAGAAGAATTGGCCCTGTCCCGCGGTCGAGGGGCGTGGCGCGATCGGACGGGAGTGTGGCAGGACTTGTTCGGGGGTGCATATGCAGTATACGCAGGTAAGTCGACAGCGCTTTCTTGCGTAGAAGGCCGGCACGGTAGCTGATTGAGTCTTCGTTCAAGATGGTCTGGAAAGATACGACGCACGTTGGGATGGGATCCGCTACCAATCCAGCGACAGGGCATCAGTATGTCGTTGCGAGATTTTGGCCTGGAGGCAATGTCGTTGACGAGGCGCCTTATTGAAAGCTTCTTCATTGTATTGAGGGTCTTCACTCAAGCGCCTAGTCCTTTCAAGTGGTTGAGAAAGTCGTCGACAGGCTCCTTGATCATTTGTATAGCGGATTCGATCGGATATCCAATGAGAGCCTCGAATGTGTACTCTCGAGTGGGCTCCGTTGGATGCTCCTGGATGTAGCTCTCGCGACATAAAGGTGGCCCGCCGCACACGCAATCTCGCCACGCCGAACCTAGAAGCAATAGAAAACTTTGGCCCTCCGGACTTAGATCAATCGGCTGCTCCGATCGCGGCTCGTACGGATTGACAGCAGGCTTGGCGATACCGTCTCCATCGACCCGCTCGAAGACCGCCTTTCGCTTATTGTTTGCCCAGGATATGTATTTCTCCTTTCCAAAACGATCTGGCACGAGAATAGCCATTCGGTATGCGGTGGCGGCAAGGAGAGAAGTGCCAGAGCTCTCTCCTTGCGAGCTTTTATCACCCAGATAGTTTTTGAGTAGCCCAGGCTTGTCGTCGTCCGTCTTGATCGCGGCGTCGAGGATCTGTTCGATTGAGGAGTCTAATGCTTGGATTTCTTTTGACAGAGCAGCATTGCTCACGGGCCAGGCGGCGATCGTGGCCCTGACTCTCGCCATGCCGTATGCTGCCCATGCGTTGCCGGTTGACCATGCCTCTGCATCCACATCTCCGTCATTTGAGACGATGTGCTTCCACAAGCCAGACTTCGGACCATCGCGAATGAGAAGCAGGTCCCTGTAATGCTCGATCTGCAGTACGGCCTGTTGGATCATCTCCAGATCATTCGTTGCGACGCCGTAGTAGGCCAGGAACGGCGGCACCATAGCAATAGCATCAGACCACAGCTCGACTCGCTCGGAACGATGACTGATCGCTCCATTACTGTGTCTTGGAGCCTCGTTCAACAGAAAGTCTTTCTGACGCGTCGCAGCTTCCACGTAGCCTTTCGTGAACTTCTTCTGTGCGAACTGCAGGGCGGCGACCCCGAGAGCCGCAGGATCGGAGATGGCTCCGTTCTCCTCCCCGAAGAGCGTCTTTTCGGTCCTGTTGATCTTCTTCTCGATGTAGAGAGAGGCTTCGTCCATTTTCAAGGCGAGCTTGGGCAGCTTGCCACCCGGAAATGGATCACGCCCGAAGACGGATCTATCGGGATTGTAGATCTGCTGCGTGCCTTCGTATGCATATCCAATCTCCCAGCTGCGTTTGGAATGCTCGTGTGCTTGGGAGAGAGCTGCGTTGACGCGAAAGCCATAATCAAAGCTGGCCGCGCAGGATTCGTACGTTGTCAGATCCAAACTCGAGTCTGCGAAATGGTTGTAGTAGAGCGCGATGAAGATGGCTACGAGCAGCACGTAGGCCGGCAAGAATTTGAGGGATGCTGACCAGGTTCCCGGATCTGCCCAGGTGAAGGGCCGCACCTCGTTGTGGATTCCGGATGGCTTGGGTTCTTCCTGTCTGGGCGCTTGCCGCTTGTCAGATCTTTCATCGTCGGCCATGATGATAATGATGAAATAGGGAAGTCTGTGGCGATTGATGGCATTTTGGTCTAGAAATGGATTTTATATCGAAGGCTTTTGCTGTCACGTGCGTGAAGCCACCAATGATAGGACATGCATGGCACCACAACGGCCAGCGCTAGGTACTGCCACGTGCTTTGAACTTCATCATCCGGTCGCCGTTTCAACATTTCGTCATTCGCATCTACTGTGTACGTCTGTCTTTTCTATCATTGTGATATTAATTACATTCAAGCGCGGTCCAATTGCTTCCAAAATAAGTCGTTCCTCAGCCACAAGTGTGCTGTCCTCACCAACATTCAGCCATCTCCTGCTTTCACTCGCGCACAACGCCCCCATCCTCGACACCGGGGTGTATGCGATTCTATCGCCGCGCAGACCAAAATTTCGCACTTTGAAAGACAGCAAACGTACGGCCTGTGCTCTAGATATGCTGACATTAGATACAGTCGCCATAATCTGTTCCTATACACCGACGGAGGGTTCTCGTGCACAGGCATCGTGACGTGCTATGCCCACGCACTGCTCACATTGTTGCTTTCGGACAATCTCACTCAAGAGACGCTCATCACTTGGCGATGGATACGTCTGATTCGGTGCTCTCGAGGCTTCAAGTGAGCGTCGCATATACCGAAGCCTGGAGCTCAGAAATTTCCGTGTCGTCTTCCTGCTCCGCACGCGGCTCGGAGCTGACCGCCTCGATATCTTTCGATGATGCCGGAGAATGCTTGGAGTCGTGCCTTGCTTCCCTTCTCGCCTTTTGAGCTTCATAATCTGTTGCTGCGTCTGGTTGCGGTGCGCAGATGGCCTCGGCGTTGTCCAGCGTGATCGAAGAGTGGTCCCTCGGGTGCTTTCTTGCCTCTTCCTCTTGCCGGTGGACCCAGTCTGACGGCCCTGCTTCACCCGTTACTGGAATTACGTAAGGAATCGGCGACAGACTGGAAGGTCTCCTTTCTGATACTTCGATCATGCGGTACGATGAGCTGTTCACGCGGCTTAAGAACTCCCGGCCCGGAGTCTGAGCTCGAGTGCCTGCCGGTGTCTGTGCCTCTAGGTCTTGCAGTGGTATGGTTTCCTGAAGGTGGCGCTGGAGTCTCGTGGTCTTTCGGCGTGCCCAGAAATTCCACCACGGATCCTTCCTCCTTCTCTCTTCGTGGTCTCCCTCCGATGGGTCTAAGATTTCTCCTCGTTCTCCTGCGCGGGCAACCAAAAACTCCCAAGCGTCGGCGTGCCCTTGGATGGTGTCTGGAAATTGGTAGAAATGAGGGCTGGCTGTCTTGTTCCAGTGGTGGGCGTTATCTTGGAGCCAGAAAATCCTACTGCCACGGGGCGCACCACCAACTGTTGGCGGCGGCAGACCGTTGATCTCCTTCGCTCGCTCGACCGCCTCCGACAAGATTGACTGATGTTTTCCAGAAATCAAGTCGGTGATGTACTCGACAGGCTGCTTCATGGCTGCTGAGCTGATCCGCTTGGTACGATGTCTGCAAAAGTTGGAAAAGTGACAGAGTCGTGGTCTTTGGATGGTTGTGTGCGTTCCTGTTCACGGGCGACAGAGCGGCGCTCGATGGGTTAATAAATATCAAAGGTGCGACCGCGATCAAACAGTTGAGCCGTAGGAGGAGGTCTGATTACTAGAACTAGCCGTATCCTCATTGGGAGAGATACTGCTGACCGCAAGTTCTTGGGTCCAGTCGACTTTGGACATCTCGACCTCGACCTCGCCATCCTTTGGCACGTTTCCCCAACGGCCTGAGAAGTCGCAAACCGTCTCCGCGAACGCAACCATGCATATGTCAGCACGATACTCCTGGCAGCTTGGGCAGCATTCCGCTCGACAAGCACTCTTACGGCCGTCCACTGAATCTGAGCGGTAGATGGACAGCTTCTTTGCCTTCGAGTAGTTTTTGGTTTCAACGCTCTGCCTTCTTACCGCTGTGAAGCGGGATATGGACTATAAAGATGCAGCGGACAAGTGTGGTACGACAGCCACTACTGTACCCCGGGCTGTCCACCCTGTGTGCTGTGACCTGCAAGTGTAACAGGCCTAGCATCGCGTGCACCTTATATATCTTTAATCACCGGATGTGAGCCGAAGTCTCATAGAAAATTTCATGTTCTTTGCAAACGAACATGTCGTCTTCCACCGATTCCTACCAATACACCAAGATATGTATAATGTATGCATCGAGATCCCTGTCAGCGTTAGCGCTACGCCACACGTGGGCGAGAGGGCCCGGCAGAATGGTGAGGCATCCGGCAATTCGAATGCAGCTCTTTAGTTGTTGCACAACGCATCTTTTCCACCGCGCATTCGGAACACTCTCCATCAACGCCCCATCCTCACTCTTGTTCTTTTATCAGTGTCGTAATCCGACGGGCAAAGCAATTTCTGGGCGAGGAAAAGGCAAACAAGGGACCCCGCCGCGTCACTGCCACCTCTCACCTTGCAAGAGCTCACCGCGCGCTTGGCCGACTCGAGTATCACCTCACGCGCATCACTGCGGGAGTGCGAGGACTACAAAGCGAACCGAAGCGAAGCGAAATTCTCCTCCACTGGCACGGCGCCTCTCTTGCGCTTCGTCCCATCACATGCTCACACCATGATTGCGGCCTGTCAATAACACCATGTCTCGGATCCGCCTGGACACCGGTTAGACCGCGACATTGCGACGCTCTCAGTGAGCTGCGACGACGACACGAGACGACCCGAGACGCAAGCGACCTCGCTACCACCTCCCTCTCGATTCCTTGTACACCATCGTCACCCACTGCTCCCTCTCCTCGAGAAGCGACGCTCAACACATCTCTTCGACGACAACTCCCACCCATCTACCCGGCAGCTACGGCAGCCTCGACAGTATGGAGAAAGAGCCGTGGTGGCACGAGATCTTCGCGCCGCCCATTGAGCTGTGGCAATGGATATTCAGTATCTTCCCCAAGAACTTCAACTGGCGACGGCCGCGGTTCAACTTCATCACGATACACTATTCATACATGATCTTGACAACCATCTGCTTCTCCATCATGATATTCGGTCCAGGAAACCTCCCCTACATTGATGCTCTATTCTTCGCTGCGGGCACGGCGACACAATCTGGGCTCAATCCGGTCGATGTCAACAACCTCTACCTCTTTCAGCAAATCGTCTTCATGCTCGGCTGCTGCTTCTGCACTCCCATCTTCATCAATACGATCGTTGTCTTCGTTCGACTCTACTGGTTTGAGAGGCGATTTGAGCATATTGTCAAGGAGGTCAGGGCGAACAGGAAGTCGAATCGACGCTTGAGCTTCTCCAGGAGTCGATCGAGGACGAGGACCGGGACGATCGACAACAGAGCGGAGAAAGCGAACACCATGGAAGCAGGAGGTGTCAGAGGAAGAGCCATCGAAGTGCTGAAAGATACGGGCAAGAAGATGAAGAAGGGCGGGAAAGAAGAGGAGAAGTTTGGAGTGGCCACACCCTCCGCAAGCGTGGATGCGACGCCCAACGGCAGCCAGAGCGACAGCAGCAAGGAGATGGAAACGACAGAAGCCATCTCTGAGCAGATGGCAACGGCTCCCACGATTAAGGAGCCTGAAAGCCACCAAGTCTCGTCACATTCCGAAGAGCCACAGACTCCCGGGTCCAATTTCATGGGCCTTCATCCACGATTGCACCACCGCGGCATAACTTTTGCGGACGAAGTCAACGACGGCAATGAGACGAAAGAGCTTGCGCGCATTCCCGAGCAACGGGACCTCTCAAAGCACATCGAGTTTCTTGAACGTCAGGAGAGAGATAAGAGTGATCCGGGAACAATATACATTCCAGGCCCTCGAGATTTCGATCGCGGCGAGGTACCCAAAAGACTGAACACCGAAGACGCTATCCGGCGCTTGCATTCGCGTGATACTCTCGCCTCTGGTGATGAGAATGAAAGGCGCAAGAGCGTCGCTGGGGAAGACGACCAACAAGCGCCTCTAGAAGACCAACACCGGACGGCGATCACCATCGCGGAACCTGAACACCCGGGACATCACGACCGCAATGAGGACCGCCCAAGCACAGCGGATGCGGAGAAGAACCGCCGCAGTCGTCGTTTCAGCTTTTCAGAAGGCACTCGCAACTTCTCCCGTACATTGACCAATCTCACAAAAGCACGGTCAAGCGATCGTCCAGAAGATCCAATGCCGTATCTCAGCTGGACCGCAACTACGGGCCGAAACAGTGCCTTCTTGGGGCTGTCCGCGGAGCAACGAGAGGAACTCGGTGGTATCGAGTATCGCGCTTTGAAGACCTTGGCTGGAATCTTGATCTGCTATTACGTCGGCTTCCATATCCTGGGCTTGCTGGTGCTGCTTCCGTGGATCGTCAGATCGCCTCATTATAAAGATGTTCTCATGAGCCAGGGCCAGAGTCCTGGTTGGTGGGGCGTGTTCACGCCTGCTTCAATGTTCAATGACCTGGGATTCACCATCACGAATGATTCAATGGTATCGTTTCAGACTGCGGGAGTGCCGCTGCTTTTCGGGTCCTTCCTCATCGTGATAGGCAATACTGGGTTTCCCGTCATGCTAAGGTTTATTATTTGGATCCTCTGCAAGATCGAACGACTCCGCTTCTCTGACCCATCCGAAGGCTCAAGGCTCTACCAAGAACTACGGTTCCTTCTGGATCACCCAAGGCGATGCTTCACCCTGCTGTTCCCGTCCAAGGCGACCTGGTGGCTGTTCTGGGTCCTTGTGCTTCTCAACGGCATCGATTTGATCTTCTTTGTGATTCTCGACCTCAATGACCCCGTTGTTGAGGACATGACCGGAGCCCAGAAGGTACTGAACGGCTGGTTTCAGGCAGTATCTACCAGGACAGCAGGGTTCAGTTCGGTCAACCTTGCTCAACTGCATGCTGCTATTCAGGTACGATTAGCACGAGAACTAGCAGAGAAAACCAGCTGACCAGACGTGACAGGTGTCATATCTCATCATGATGTATATCTCCGTCTTTCCGATTGCCATATCAGTGCGTCGGACGAACGTCTACGAAGAGAAATCTCTAGGTATCTTTGGCGGAGAAGAAGATTCCGGCGACGGTGATCAAAGCTATGTCAGCCAGCACTTGCGACGTCAACTGTCCTTCGATTTGTGGTTCATCTTCCTGGGACTCTTCATCATCGCCATTGTCGAAGGTGATCGAATCGCCAACACGAACGAACCGTCATTCACGACTTTTAGCGTTCTCTTCGAAATTGTCTCAGCTTACGGTACAGTCGGGCTCAGTCTGGGATACGATAACACCAATGCTTCCTTCTCCGCGCAGTTCAGGACTCTCAGCAAACTCGTCATCATCGCCATGATGATTCGTGGACGGCATAGAGGTCTCCCATACGCCCTGGACCGCGCCATCTTACTTCCCAGCGAGAAGCTACAGCAAAAGGAGGCCGAAGACGCCGACCGCCGTGTTGCTCGTAGGGGTAGTATCTTCGCCGAAGGCCAGAACGAAGTCGACTCGAGTAGAACTTGGGAGGATGGAGATCTGGACGAGAATGGATTGCCCATTCAACATACGGGTCGTATGATTGATCCCATGACTGAGGGTGCTGGAGGTGACGGGACGACCGATGGGCTGAGGAAGTTGAATACCCGACGGAGTGCGGCTGGCGTCGGCATGAGGTTGAACACGAATCAGACTCAGGCTAGTACCAGGGGAAAAACGCATCAGCGCAACCGGTCGTTGAGTCGGGTGGTTTTTGGTGGTCTGGGTGCTGGGCCGACTTTTCCGAAGCAGGAATAGAGTATAGTGAGTGCTCCACGAAAGAAATAAAGGCGATCCACGGGACGGACGCTTGTGCGAAAGGCTTTCCCCCATCTGCGAAGCAGCAAACGAGGGCACGCGGATGGATGGGGTTGTATTGGACCCCGAAAGCAGAAAATTCCTCCCCTTGTTTTGGATTTTGGATTTTGGTGTTTGGTAGAGCGTTCCGAGCGATCAAGGAGAAAACTTTTATAGATCAAGGGGTGTTTTTTTTTTCCGGGGTTTGTTTTCTTTTGGTCTCTATTAGATATGCATAGCGAAGAAGGCGTGCGTGTGTTTTATTCTTGGGAGACGGGGAGCGGAGCGGAGACGGAGAGCGCTGGGTTTGGTGATTTTTTTCAATCACGGGACCTACCTTACCTACCCACGATTTTCGGTTTTCTTGATCTAGATAAGGTAGATCGTCGGTTGGGAAGATGTAGATAGATGACTACTCTCGTTTTGCGTTGGGGAATTATAGATACGTCGAACGCGCCTCTTCCTCGAATGGGACTTACGATTCGGATAGTCCCATCCATCCACCTGGGTGTCCAAGTGTCTGTCCAAATGTCCGTCGGAGCAAGCTTTTTCGAGAACATTCGGAAAGGGAACACCTTCCGATGATATTTATCCGCTGATAAGTTCGCATGATGGTGCTCAAAGATGAAGATGGACTGTGTGGTCATGGGGGATTAGGAGATGTCTGGCGGAAATATGGGGATGGATGACGACCAAGGTCGATTGGACAAGGAGTGTAGCCAGAAGCGTGAAATTGCAAGGTTGGGGTCCTTGTGGTTGGGCAATTGTGAAGAAGAGGGTTTCTTGCAAGGGAATGTCTGTGTTTGGAAGTTGGGGGGTTCGCGTAGGTAGAGGCCATAGATTCTGTCTGCTTTTCGTCAAGGGCCGAACAAAAGACGGAGGATGTATGTAATGAGCACATATCAGAATCAAGTCGCACATGATATAAGGGGGGTAAGACCTGGTAAAGTTCTTATGATTCGTAAAAGAATGTATTCGTTGCCACCCATATCCTCACCTCCCAGCGGAAGGCTAAGGTCGTCTCAGCATGTGAACAACTCTATTTCCCTGTGAAGACCCTGAGACGACGTCCCCTCTCATGCTCATGAGCTCCGCTAATGACCATGCCCTCTGTAATTAGGCATGGTTACGATGACGGAAGTTGTCAATATCGATGATCGTCAGAGCATCGAAAACATCCGACTCTGCAACACCAATGGTAAGATTCTTGAGGTAAAGCCAATAGAATGGTAGATCGACACGCTCCATCTGAGCCGCGAGAATGCTGGTGGGGCTGATGGTGAACCGAAGGGTCTGCGTCTGCACGCCGGTGAGGTAGAAACCGGTCACTGAAATAGTGCAGCCCGTGGCGGGGGTAACGAGCGAGTTGGCATCATCGACAGCGCAAGAGAAATAGAATGAGTCTGCGTCGAAAGATCGGACGCCCTTGGTGGGATCGGCGGCGATCGTGCCGAACGGCTTGAGTGTCACATTGCCAATCTGGGTGAGTCCTTCCAGGGCACCAGAGGCGGCAACATGATCGCCGCTTGCAGGGGTGACGGCAGACAAGTCGGTGCCGGCCAAGAAACCCAAGCCGATCTGTTCCAGAAGTGGGACGTCATCTAGGACCTCGTCGAGAGCAGTGGGGTCCTGGAAGCTATGGTTAGGGGGTCATAGACAACCCAGTAGGCGAGAGTCATACAACAACCGACCATCTGTCGTACAGAAGGCCGTGATACTGGCCGACCGGTGTCAACGCTGGCTCCCCAGGAGCAGCAGGTTTATCGTCATACTGGGCGAGTGTAAGTGTTGGAGTCGAGAGCGGAGAGCTCGAAACATACTGTGTCGGTAATGCAGCCAATACAAACAGCAGCCCTTTCGTCGATGACTGCTGCGCTTGCCGCGAGAGCGAAGGAAGCGATGCCGATGAAGGACTTCATGTTTGCCTTTGTGATGTGATACGTTGATGGATCGAGTCGTGGGATGGACGATGGTGAATTGCTGTGCTGTGTTGAAAAGTGCTTTGGCGACGCGCAGGCGGTCTTTTATAAGCCTGTGGCCATCCATCATGAGCGTAATGATGAGCATAATGCGCCATGTATTGCTTGGAACGGATGTGTACTCCTTCTTCGCTACCACTTCGTCCATTAGAATGGGGAGACGGGCACTTGTACCACCTTCTTCAAAGAATCTTGTGGCGGCGCCTAACTGCTCGGAGATGGGCCAGAATCGTCACAGTAGGCTCGTCCGAACATGACCGGGGAGAGATCGTGCTTGCGGTGGAGTCAATCGAGGAGCAGATATTCCAAGGAATTGGTCCATGATGCCACACAAATTGAGGTATGGGTGGATGATATGGCGTCAAACGGTGAAGCCTCACACGTACACTCGCCCAGATGCCTTTGGTGGCTCATCCGAGAGGCCCATCACTGTGTACATCTCCGCTCAAGTCAGTAACTTTGATCTTGCGCTCAGTCGTTTCCTGTGGCATTGCAACGCTAGAATTGATGTTGACATTGCCAAGGTCAAATTGACATTGACATGAGCGTCGGCATCGGCATGGACCGTCCACTTCGCACCGGCCCGGACTCCGCTTCGGGATGACTTCATCCTCCCGGTAGTGCGGTTGACTTGACCTCGTCTAGCTCGTGTCGTCGATCTCCAACCTTGGGAGCACTACCTCTGTACTCTTGAACTTGATCGCCATGTAGCCAACACTCACAGCCCTTGTCGCCGCCAGGAAGGGCATAATTCCCAACTCATCGATCGGATTCACCGCCCAAGCCGACGCCACAATGAGCTCGACCATCCCCAACCAAGTCCCCGCCTGGACATACACGGCGGGCTATCCTCACTCCCTCAAGCTCTCCAACACCCCTCTGCCCCAGACCGCAGCCAATGGCCACATCCTCGTCCAGATTGAAGCCTGTGCGCTCAATCCCGTCGACATCCAGATGATGAACATGCCCAAGTGGAAATACCCATCCTTTTTAGGCGGAGACATGCGTGAGAAGGGAACGGTGATGGACTTCTCCGGCACCGTCATCTCCTCCGGCTCCATGGACAAGTTCAAAGAGGGAGACGAGGTCTTTGGTATGACTTTCGTGCCCTTCGCTCCAGCTGGCGGTAGCTTGGCACAGGTCGCTCACTTCAACTTGGCCACCACGCCCTGCGTGAAGAAGCCTGCCATCTGGAGCTTCGAGCAGGCTGCGGCTATCAGCCTTGTATGGTTGACTGCCAAGGCATGTATCGACAAGGTGGCGCCATGGGTAGAGAAGAGTAGCGGAAAGCGAGTAGCTGTGCTCGGCGGCAGCTCTTCCACGGGAATCTACAGCATCATCCTTGCCAAGTGGAGAGGATGGAAAGTTGTTGCTACATCCAGTGGAGCAAACAAGGACTTTGTCACGAACCATCTGAAAGCAGACGCCCATGTCGACTACACCAAGCAAGACGTCCGCAAAGGCGTGAGCGACTTCCAACCTGACGCTGTCATCGATTGCGTTGGCGGGACAGAGTGCATTGGTCTTCCCTCTTCGAAGCGCTATGTCTCCATCGTGGGAGACAAGACGGGCAGGACTGCGATGGGTGGGCCGTACACTTACTACGACGTCTGGCATCCGCTGAACGCTGCTACCCAATGGCTCCGCTGGGCCAAGGGCAACCTCGGCTTGGGCGAAGCATACGACGTGATCATTCTATCGCCGAGAAGCGACTACCTAGAGGATGCCATAAAGACGCTCTCAAGCGAAGATATCCATATCGACAGCGTGCACGCGTTTGAAGATGCGAAGAAAGCTTTCGAGAGGCTCAACACAGGTCGTGCGAAGGGTAAAGTGGTCGTCAAGGTGCAGCAGGCCACGCGATGATGCGAGAGCCGTAGCAGCTATAAACGTGCAGACATTCTCCACAGCAACTTCCATCGATTCCAAAACACCCTCACTTTCTCTTCTTCCGCCCAACCCTCACCCCTTTCGCATCCTCCTTCCCATCATATACCGCATTCATCTGCAACGTCAAAACACTCATACTATCAACCCAACTGCCTGTCCAATCTCTTCTCTACATCCTCTTTCCCCTCATCACCCAACGGCACAGCCTCAATCCTATGCTCCGAGAACCTCTTCCAGAAAACCGAAGGAAACTCCGCCATACTCTGGGCTTCAGGTGCCTTACTACGGCGTCAACATAAACCGTAGCATTAGCCGGGAAAGAAACGATCCATCCCCTAGGAACCGATAAGCGTCCGCGGCGATCGAGTTCGCTTTGTGCTGTGTATAATGAACAAGGTAGAGTCTCCACATTTCAGAAATCTAATAAGAGGTTGTATTTTCCAGCATAGATGGTGTTGTTCATTTCTCTGGGGGGAAGTCATGGCCGGAGATAATTATATCTCCCAAATTATCCAAGAAGTTTTTCTCGGGAGGAGAGTTTTGGAGATTTGAGGGAGGGCGGAGGGGGGAGGACGTAAGTTCGCAATCCAAATCCAAAAAGGAAACCATTCCGTTTCGTTCCTCGGAGGGATGAGGATCAGTGGGGGAAGACTCCGAATTGAAGGAAGGGCGGAGAGATACTTGCGGAGAAAAGTTGTAGAGGGGTTTGGGGGAAGTAGGTAGAGAGCCAGGAGGGTGGGGAAGATGGTGATAGAAGGGAATGGGAATCGTGTTTCGAACACGGCTGGAATAGTAGGCTGATATGTCCAGCCCTTTCAGCGTATCGTCGTGCTATTGAGGGATTGGGATTGAGATCGCAGGGTCTCGTGAAGTGCACTATGTCGACTTACGTCTATTGGGGTTTCTTGGAAAACAAAAACGAGCAGGGGTCGAAGTTGAGGCTTAAACCCTTCCGTGTGCTAAATCAGTCAGAGGTCATCCACTGCCAGAACCGACGTTGGTAGTCTAGCCTACAATAGTAGGGCATGGGAACGAAGTCGACACAGCGATAACATTTCGCTGCAATGTGATGTTGATACTCTGCTTCCAATCGCTTCAATCGCAACTAGGGCTTCGTGAAACTTCTCAGCCAACCCATCTCCTCGCACTCTTGAACATCCGACTCCAAGGCCCAAGCTCACCCCATTCCTTCGCCTGCTCAGGGGGCAGGTAGCTCGCTACATCCTTCAGAATCGTACGTTCAGGGTGTGGCATCAAGGCCAAGACTCTGCCATCGGGAGTCCGCACACCAGTAATGCCGAGGGGGCTACCGTTCGGGTTGAAGGGAAAGCGTTCTGTCGGCTCGAGGTAGTTATCGACATAGCGCATGGAGACGAGACCTTGATCGACGAGTGCTTGCGCGGAGGAAGCCCCAGTCGCTGAGAGATTGGCGCGGCCTTCACCGTGAGCCGTGACAATGGGCAGATAGCTTCCGTCCATGCCGTGGAGGAAGACTGAGGGTGGCTGCGTAGTTGGGTTGCTGACTTGCACCATGCAAACGCGAGCTTCGTATTGTTCACTGAGGTTGCGCTCGAAGGTAGGCCAGCTCTCTGCACCAGGGATAATCTCTGTGAGTCTTGAGAGGAATTGGCAGCCATTACACACTCCAAGGGCGAAAGTGTCCTTGCGCTCGAAGAAGTTCTGGAACTCGCGTCGGGTGTTCTCATGGAGGAGCACACTCTTCGCCCAGCCTTGACCTGCGCCCAAGACATCGCCGTAGCTGAAGCCTCCACAGGCAGCGAGACCGACGCATGAGGCCAAAGAGAAGCGCTCGGAGAGGATATCGGTCATGTGCACATCGATCGGTGTGAAGCCAGCTGCAGCGAAAGCAAAGGCCATTTCTGCCTGGCCGTTCACACCCTGCTCGCGAAGAATAGCGACGTGCGGCTTCGCGCGTATCGTCTGTGTGATTGTTGCACCCCATGGTAATATGTTTTCTTGAGGGTTGAATGTCAGCTTGTACTGCAGGCCTGGGTCCTTGTCGTCGTTAATGTTTGCCTTCTCTGCATCCGCACAGTCCGGATTGTCTCGCAGCTTCTGCATGGCCCACGACGTGTGATGCCACTTTTGTTGCAGCTCTGTCCTCGCGGCGCGGTAGATGCAGTCCGCGCCGTAGTAGATCGAAAGCTCTTGCTTCGAGGCCTTCGGTACAGCACCGATCGTGATAGGCGACATCGGTGCAAAGACACCGCGGAATACATTTTCATGTTTCTTGCGGATCTGGAAGACGGCGCCGAGCTCCTCGTTGAAGAGTGTCTCCACGACATCTTGTGGTCGGCCGGATCTGACAATGCGGTCCAACATCAAGTCCATGCCACAACGTCCGGCGAACATCATCTCCACGAGCGTGGTGAAAAGACCGCCATCCGAACGATCATGATATGCCAACACGACGTCCGACTCATGCAGCTGCTCCACTGCATGATAGAAGTCCTTGATGTGATCCACATCGTGAACATCGGGTGAGGTGTTACCAATCTGACCGAAGACCTGGGCTAGAGCAGAGCCACCGAGAGCTTTCTTACCACTGGCAAGATCAATGTACATAAGCAAGGTCTCGCCAACATCCTCATGCCGTCTCAACGCTGGTGTCCAGGTACTGCTCAGGGCATTGACAGGCGCAAAGGCGGAGATTACAAGAGATAGTGGAGCAGTGACTTCCTTGTCTTGCCATCGTGCCTTCATCGACATCGAGTCCTTTCCGACGGGAATGCTTATACCAAGTTCAGGGCAAAGCTGCATCCCGATAGCCTCAACGGCTTCGTAAAGTGCAGCGCCCTCACCTGGATGGCTGCTAGCTGCCATCCAATTGGCCGACAATCTGATCTTGCTCAGTCTGTTTGGAATGCTGGCTGCAGCAATGTTCAGCAGTGACTCAGCCACAGCCATGCGCGCGGATGCACCTGGCGAAATAAGTGCAAGTGAAGGTCTCTCGCCCATCGCCATTGCCTCACCAGTCGCAATTCCTGCGGTCAGTGAGGTCGCGGTAACGGAGACATCTGCAACCGGAGTCTGCCATGGGCCAACCATCTGGTCCCTGACGGTAAGTCCGCCTACAGTCCGATCGCCAATCGTGATGAGGAAAGATTTTGAGCCCACGGATGGCAATGCGAGGACTCGCTCGACTGCGTTGCTGAGTACTGCGGTAGAGGTTGCAGGCTCTTTGGGCAAGTACGTTGCTAGACTGCTGTCGAACGCAGGTAGCTTGAGCTTCCGCGAATCCACAGTTCTGTGCATCTTCGGCGGCTTACCAAAGAGAATTGGCATGGGCAGATCAATCGGCGTTGGCTCATCCTTCGAGTTGCGATCCATGAGCACGAGTCTTTTCTCTTGCTGGGCTTTGCCAACGACCGAATAACCACATCGCTCACGCTTGCAGATCTTGAGGAAAGCGTCGCGCTTCTCCGGGTCGACTGCCACAACATACCGCTCCTGCGCTTCGCAGCACCAGATTTGGAGCGGACTCAGGCTTGGATCTGCGTTGTCGACTTCTCGGAGTTCGAATTTGGCGCCATAGCCAGCATCTTCGACCAATTCCGGTAGCGCATTGGACAAACCGCCAGCTCCAACGTCGTGAATCATCTGAATCGGACTCTGCGCTCCAAGAGCAGCGCAGGTATTGATGACTTCCTGTACTCGCCTCTGCACTTCTGCATTTCCTCGTTGCACACTAGCAAAATCCAGCTCTACATTACTGTCGCCAGACTGCACACTTGATGCAGCGCCGCCTCCAAGTCCAATCAGCATGGCCGGACCACCAAGAACCATGAGTAGGGCTCCTCCACTGACGAGGCTCTTCTTCTTGAGCGCATGCTCTGGACGAACAGTTCCAACGCCGCCAGCGATCATGATCGGTTTGTGGTAACCCCTGACCTCTGTCTTGGCCTCGTCAACAGGCACCTCCATGGAGAAGGTTCTGAAGTAGCCGGTGGTGCAAGGCCTTCCGAACTCGTTGTTGAACGCAGCACTTCCAATTGGTCCTTCCATCATGATATCGAGACTGCTTGCGAAATGTGAAGGCCTGCCAATGTCCAGCTCCCACGGCTGCCGGTGTCCTGGGATAAGCAGATCTGATACAGTGAATCCAGCAAGACCAGCTTTTGGCTTCGACCCACGTCCAACCGCTCCTTCGTCCCGAATCTCGCCTCCAGATCCTGTTATAGCGCCAGCAAAGGGAGACACCGCAGTAGGGTGGTTATGTGTCTCCACCTTCGCCAAGTAATGTACTGTCTCCTTGGTCTGTGTCCAAGCCCCACTACTCTGCTCGGGCGCCCAGTGCGTTCCAGTATAGCCCTGCAGAACAGCTGCGTTGTCGCTGTAAGCCGAAATGACATGCTCTGGGTGCAGCTTGTGCGTATTGCGAATCATGGAGAACAGGCTGCGCGGCTTGTTGATACCATCAATCGTCCAATCCGCATTGAACTGCTTGTGACGGCAATGTTCCGAGTTCACTTGCGCAAACATGAAAAGTTCCACATCTGTCGGATCCCTCTTCAATTGATTCGTGTACGCATCGATGAGATAATCCATCTCCGACTCATCCAGTGCAAGTCCCAAAGTTCTGTTGAATTCCGCAAGCGCTTGCCTGGGATTCTCTGTCCCCACCATCTTCACCCTCTGCAGCGGTGCGGGCGGGAGCTGCGCAAACATCGCATCCAAGTCCGGTGGCTGAGAAGAAATCGACTCCGTCATACGATCATGCAGAGAATCGAGAGTGACGTCCTTCACTGCACCAGCCTCGAACCTGGCACAGAAGACCACACCGCGCTCAATTCTCTTCACCGTCTTTCCCAGCCCACAGACATGAGCAATGCTGGTCGCTTTCGAGCTCCATGGCGAGATTGTGCCTGCTCGCGGACACACCCAAAAGAAGCGCACATTCTCATCATCTTCTCCTTTGGTGCCATTATTCGTGACGACTTTGAAGAGCTTCCCGTACAGGTCATTCGTACCCTCCGGATAGCTCCCATAGTCAAGTAATTGGTCCAAAACTTGGATCTCTGCCGGTGCAAGTTCATCGTAGGAGAAGATGTAGTGAACCCAGATCGCCTGGAGATCCTTGGCTCCGATCTCAGATGCGAGCCTCTTTAGGCGGAAGTCGGAGAAAGCAGATGAACCGGGAAAGGCGCGATATGCTGCACCCTGCATCACGTCCATGTTGATGTTAGAGATGGACTCCCACGCCGTGGTTGGCAACGAGAGACTGTAAGGGTCTTGTCACATGATAAATTCATTAAGATTTCTGAGAGCAAGAGTCGAAGCTTTTTCACGAAAGCTATCCCTGTGAAGCGCTAACCCCGATATAGTTAGCTACTTCCGGCACTCTCAGCCTTAATAATAAACGCGTGACCATCTCCAAAAGGCTTTACGCTATTAACGAGTAGGTGATTTTGTAATTCTGGTAGGATGTCGTCGGGAAAACTCCTATCCATCTAGGCATTCAAACGCCGTGCTCAGGCAGAATCATCGGCGCCTCAACCAGCAAAACTACGCTTCGCTGCAAGAAAACTTCTAAAGTCAAAGTCGCCGTCCTCGTTTCCTTTTTACCCCATCAGACTCTCTACCAAATGCTTCTCTATCTCGAAGCAGTTCCCCCCCTGTTGCTATTGCTTCTCGATCTGCCGCTGCTGCTCAGAGGTTCCGAAGACGCGGTCGAGTGATGCTGAATTCTGCTGCCGTGGGAACGCTTCTAAAACACGCGCCGCATCCAATCAGAAAACACGCCATGTCCAATTCATGCATGCAGAAAGGGCAGAGGCAGGGCGAGCTGGGCAATGTGCGAGCGCAGCGTGTCATGACGTCTGCGGATGTACAAAGGAGAAAACGGTGTGTCGGGAGAATAGAACATGCTATGTTTGGGTATGAGGCGTGGTGAGATGAGGCAGGCTCGAGCTTCTCACCCACGTACCGAATTGGTATGCCTCTCCGCCCTCCGGTCATCTTCAAGTCGTAGGCGGTTCATCGAGATTGGATCGCCGTCGTCTGGTCGCATCGGGCCTTTGGAGCCGCCCAGTCCCTGGGGTGGTCTCGCTGAAGGAGCGTGACCGTTCTGCTTCATCTGTTCCGCCAGCTGTGTAAGGCGATCCCACTTGGCTTGACGATTTGCCTTGACCGCTTCAGCATTGTTTTGCTGCTCGGTGTACTCATGGGAGCACTCGTCGAAGAGCTGTGGGTTGACTTCCATGAAGAGTTTCATGGCATTGTAGACCATGCCATGGATCGTCCTGCACAGGCAGTCAGCACACCACACTGCCATAGTATGTTTCTTGCACATACCGATTCCAGTGGCCCTTTGAGTTCTCGTAGAGCGGCGCGAACATGATGGGTAGAATCACATCCACGTTGTCGCTGACGAGGTTGCAGAAGTATTCGTTGTTCCAGAAATAAAGCGCTCGCTCGGCGACCTGTCGAAGTCAGTAATCTCTTCGCAGAACGTACGTAGGTGATGACTTACCTGGAAATGCGGGCTGGCGACACTCTTCGCGAGTTGGTTAAACAAGGGCTCCTGGACTTTTGCAAACTCGGCAGGATCCATGACCTCGAAGATGTCCTCGACTTCGTTCAAGAACATCACCTCCTTTGTGCTGTTGACCTTGGGCCAGTAGCGTAATAGGCCAAGGACAACCTCCTCTGTGAGTGCAGCGTCCTTCTCGAGGAATTGGACGATGCAGTACGCAAGTTGCGGATGGTACATGCTCAAGCTCTTCACCTTGTGAAGCGGAATCAGAACTCTAGTCAGGAACAGCTTGTGCTCTTCCTTCAATGGAAGCGCAAAGCCGTTGATGATCGACCCAAGGATTTCGAGGAGCTCGGCAATGCCATTGAAGCGTTCCGTCTCGTAGATGAATTGGAAGAATACGTTGTTGATGCTCCGTCTGATGAAGGATCGCAAGTTGAGGAACTTTCCATATATCCTGTGTAGTGTGGTCTTGAGGAAGTCTCTTTCCCTTGGGTCCTCTGAGTCGAATAGCTCCAGCAGCTGCAACACAAAGCCATGGTCGATGTACTGCTTCGCATAGTTGGTATTGAAGTCCTGGCTCTCGATGAAGCGCAAGAAGAATTCGTAGACGACCTGAATGTGCGGCCATGCGACCTCGAGGACCGGCTCGTCCTCCTCCGGGTCGAACGCTTCTCCTTGCGGGTTCATGGGTGGCGGGATAGGCCTGAACAAGTTCTTCGCGAACATCTCTACCACGCGAGGGTACATGGGCTCCGAAATGACCTGTCGATTCTGCGCAACGTAATCCAGGAGCTCGTGCAACGCTAGTCTTTTGATCTCCTTGCTCTTCATGTCACCCGAAGCATCATTGAAGTCAAAGATGATGTTACACTGGTCCAGCTTCTGCATGAACAGCTCTTGGCGTCGGTTGGGAGGCACTTCATGGAAGCCTGGGAGTTTCTCGAGCTCGCGCTGTCGCTGGTCTGAAATGTCGAAGCGTGAAGAGTGCTGTCGCTTGGGTGTCCTGATCCCCTCAGGCACTGTGTCCTTGGGAGTGGCCTGTAACCTGTCGAACAACAAGCTCTTCTGGCCCGCCTTTGGTGGCGCAAGATCGTGTGGCATTGTTTCGGCTGCACCTGGGGGCGGAACGTGCTAGAGTATCGTCAGTGTTGGTGTGCGGAGAGGACATTGTCGCAATGGCTAACAAACCGGAGCGCTTGGGGATATGACTACACTGGGAGCAAGAGAGCCGAGGCCATGTCTGCCCGGCGTCGAAGGGCCTTGCTGATTCTGACCCGCAGATTGTGGGCCACCGGCACCGCCGTGCTGCTGGAACTGGTTCTGTCCTGGAATCATCTGCTGTTGTCCAGGCATGGGGGCGCCTGGATGCGATTGAGTGGGCGCTCCATCAGGCGGCGGCTTGTTGCGCGAGTCTACGAGGTTGCTAGTCGAGGACGTAGGAGTGGCTTGGGCTGAGCCGGCGGGCGACTGCGAGGAGGAGCCTCCATGGGGAGAAGCGGTGCCGGAGGACGAGTCCTTCTTCTTGGAGAGCTTGCTGCCCTCACCGTCTCGCTTGCTGCGAGAGAGCTGATCGTGCTGTCAATGGCTGCCATTCAGCATACGGGGTGACGGGCGTCGAGGAGCCAACTTACCACGCGTTGTCTGAATCCTTTCATGGTGAACGACGTCCCGGTGGACGGAGGATGTTAGCAGGGCAAACCTGCGCTGCTGCAAGGGAGAGGGCCCGGCCCTGCGGATTGCGCGGTCGATTCGAGCTCTTGCCTTTGGTATCCGTAGCTCGATGTGTTCAAGGTGCGCCTGCTGTGCTCTGCCGCTGGCTGCGCGCAAGCTTCCGCGGGGGCGTCCACGTGACGCGACGTCTGTGGTGGAGGTGCGGACGATGGGTGCGATACCTTGCGTACGGGGAGATGGCCGGCCGGCGGGCGGTGTTGGAGGATTGAGGACCGGGAATTGAGGATGGAGGATGGAGGATGGAGAGGGTGAGAGAGGGAGAGGTGTTGTTGTCGTTGATGTGATATCAGGCTTGGCGGACGGGACAAGCCTCAGAGCAGGGAGGCGCTGCAGTGCGTGCGGACGGAGGAGATGTGCGCAGGGCAAGGAGAGGACGGCGCTCAGGCGGAGGTGCACGGCGGGCGAGTGTTGCACGGGCAGCAAAGGAGCATTGCCGTCGTCAGAAGAGCGGTGCGGGATGTTGCATGGCGGAGGAGCAGGCGGCGGGGGCGCCGGGAGGGAGGGAGGGAGATGGATGATTGTGATGCGCAGTCGCGGTCACGGTCACGGTCACGGTCACGGTCCCGTCGTTCTCCTGTGCTGTGTTTGGATTGGGCGAGTCTGCGCCTGTTGCCGGACTTGCCTGACTTGCCTGACTGGCCTGACTAAGGTATGTACTACTGGCTTGGACCCCTTGGTGGCTTGCTCGCCCACATGCAGCACACGTGACACCCACCTTACCTTCTGCACTTCACTCCCTCTCAACAATTGCACCGCTTCTACACCCCGCCACATACCGGCAACGGAGGATAGCGATGGAGACACACGACATCCCCATCAGCCGAGTCGTGAGCATCGAGCACCCGAGCATCGTTAGGACCTGTCATGTCGGCCTGAAGTCCCTCGGCGGCGAAGCCCAGTTGAAGCACGTGAGTGGTAGCGTTGGCGGAACGGCTGAGATGCCCACCATCTCACCCTCGGGTAGGTCCTCGAGCACCATGTCGGTGACTCCAAACTGCATGGCAAACAAAATCATCTGCCAGAACCCGTCGCCGGTGTCTCGCTGCGTCCCAATGACCCGCTCGCGAAGAAACTCTCGTCAACCGGTATCGAGTCTCGCAATGTTCTCGTCAAGGTGACTGTGCCCAAGCGGACAGGTCGGAAGCGAAAAAGAGGCTCCCTCGAGCCTTTTGCAGAATCAGCACCGCCAGAGACGCCAAACAACTGCATCACGGCACCTGAACTACTGCAACGCTTGCGCGAGAATGAGGGCAAATATGAGGTCGAGCCAGTCGCCATGTTGCGGGAGACTCACCGGTTCCGCACTCTCCCCGACTTTCAGGTTCGCAATGCTGACCTGCCCATCATGCGTGAACTGCGAGATCATGCAATGACTCCAGATTACGACAAGCTCAAGCACTTTTCTGTCGACATGTCCGTCGATGCGATCCCCACGGCGTTTCCTGGTCCGCCGAGTTTCACCAGCATTGATATGCCGCACAAGTATGAGTACCAGCAGGCTTCATCTGTCATCTACGTTCCCGACGAAAGTGGCCAGATCATTACGAAAAACTTGTCCGCTCCCCCCAAGCGCCTCACGTGGGGCCTCCCTCCGGACATTGGCGAAGTGCCACAAGCTGCCCCATTCGAGATACCCACACGAAGTCCAAGCGGAGAAATGCTTCCTCGAGCTGTCCAAGAACTCGAGAAGATCCTCAAAGATCGACCTCTAATAACGAAACGAGTCGCTTTGAACGCACTGCCGCCCATCAGCGAATCCATCTTTAAGGAGGCTACTCAATTTGTCGGCTACAGCTTCAAAGCCGGCCCCTGGCGAGATAGTCTAATCAAATACGGAGTCGACCCTCGGAAAGACCCGAAATACCGATTCTATCAGACACTCATGTTCCAAGTTGATCATGTAGCCTTCAACAAAGACAAGAGCAAACTCGGGACTCCCACAAGAACCGGCTCGACATGGGCGCGACCCCTTCGACACAAGAAAGACGACCCCAACACACATATCTTTGATGGTAAATCGATTACGGCCAATGGCAAGACCTGGCAGATATGCGATGTGACCGATCCTGTGCTGCACGCTCTCTGGCACACCCCGAATATTCGCGCCGAATGCGACGTCTACCAATATGGCTGGTATCACAACGGCACCGTTGCGAAAGGTCGAACCATCATGCGGGATATGATGCGGTTTCTGTTCGCAGGAGAGCCAACGCCCTTGGACGAGTATAAGAAGATCGCACAGAAGGTTCCAGATCAATTGACACCCAACAATCTGGAGGCGGCGATGTTGGCCGGTAAAGAACATGGCGCAAGAATTGGCCAAATGTGTACCGAGATCAGGGGCATCGTCAAGGGCGGAGAGACGGTCAAGGGAAAGAAGATCTATTGGGGCAGGAAGAGCGGAAAGGTGGATAGAGATGGGAATATGCTTGAAAATGTGGAAGAGGCCAGAGAGGCTGGCGCTGAAGCGGGAGAGGACGAGTATGGAGAAACCGCCGGCCTTGACGAGGAACAGGACATGGGTGAAGGAGACTTTGAACGCGACGATGAAGTGAACGCAGAGCTGCTGGCGTCGCAAAGTCATACCGGACGTCAGAGCGGCGAGCAGGAGGAAGAAGCCGAAGGAGATCGTTTGGATTATGAAGAGGCTGGAGACGATGAGGATATCCTGGATCCTCAACTCCGATCTTCTCATCCGCGAGATCGGAGCGGCACCAACGAGGAGACGCGACCGCCAAATGGGAGTGCAGCTCCAAGTAGCGGAGAGCAGCATCTTGACGCAGAAGATGAAGGCAACGACGTCCAAATACGAAGTCACGCATAAGGGAAGGACTATCGTGACATGCGTTGCAGAAGCATAATATGCAAAGATTTGAATTGTCTATTTGTTGTCTTTGTTTCTGTGACTGCTTTCGTTGGCTTGTTCGGGACTACTCTATCTCCTCAAAGGTGTCGTGAGAATGTCGCGATCGTACCTCTTTACTGCGAGGTACGCGTTCGCCTGTCCAAAGTCAACGCACGCTGACGGCAGTACCTTCGAAGCTGGAAACCTGAGCAAGTATTGCTGAGTGGAGATTTGGAATTTGGCACGAACAGAACGATCGATGGAGTACGGTTTAGACATGTACGTTTACCAAAGAGATAGGCTGATGTGCGGAGGTTGGCGCGTTGGCAATCTTCACATGCGAAGCCTGAGACGTGTCTGGAAATTGAATCTCGGGTTGAAACCGGCGATCCTTGTCAGGTGAAAGACTTCGGTGCCAAGTGACAAGCCACGCCGCTCTGGATTGAATTTCTCCGGCTGTGTGACCGTGTTGTGGGGCAGTAGCAATCAAAGGGCCGTGAATCGGGCAGAGAAAGCTGAGGAACGCGGACTGGGCGTTTAGGTGAAAGCGCACCAAGGATTCAAAGTCCAAGATAGCTCTAGCCTAAGAAAGTCTCGCCTCGGCTAAGTGTGGTCCGTGCGAGCATGTGACAGTGCTTCGCTCGCACTTGAACCCCCTTCATTCTCTGCATTTCGCTCCCCCCACAGCTCCGCGGCGACACCCACGCCCGACATTCTATGTCTCTACAATATCCCAACCGCGACCGAAGAGTCCACCACGTCGACACGAGCTGAAGCAGAAGATGGAAGCCACCCAGGGACGACCGCCGGAGTACGACGCTCCTCGCTCTCCGGAAGCCGTTGTATGGCCCAGCGTACCTTCGCATGACCCCGAAAAGTCCGAAGTCACGCTGCCCAATATCCGGACAGCACTATCTGCCGACCTCGAGCGCAAGTCGCCGTCGCAGGATGTGAATAGTCCCCGCAACCCGCACGCATCGCCCAGGTCGAATGGGAGCCTGCCGCGAATAGACCCGGGAAGAACATGGAGCGATGCGCAAAAGGAAGACACAACTATGGCGAGTCCAGTCGATACCGGGAGTGTCGTGAGTGCAGATGAGAGGACGCCGAATGAGCGCATGGTGGCCGAGACACTCTCGGAGATGAGAAATTCAGGTAAGGGTTCTCTGCGCGATGTTCCGGGGGTGTCGCGTACTGACCGCGCACCAGATGTTCGATCGTCGAGAAGTCAGAGCATGAACGGCATTGCGAATGGAAGTCCAAATGGAACACACAGCACAGAACCGGAGCCTATTCTCGAGCTGGTGTCGCAAGTGCATCCATGGGTGGGAGGCACGATTAATGCCTCTGTCTCCGCATACACAACGACGAAGTACTATTCTCCTCGAATTGTCCAGTGGGGAGTTCAGGCAATGGAACGGAATGTTGGAACTCCGGTCTTCAGTGCTGTCGGAAGTGTCGGCAGATTTACCGGTATCGAGGGTAACATTCGCCGGCATCTGGAAGATCGCAGACCGGGAGATCTCGAGCGCAATGCCGGATCCGCCATGGAGATCGACGGGCAAGACACCGCGGTCGCTAGACTCGGAAGGAATGGTGAGCAGTTGCCCGCGTATGGTGCAAGCAGGCCGCCTTCGTACCGCGAGGAAGAGAGTCCAGCCTCAGTGGACCGGACGAATGGCGTCGCAACTCGAGACAGACCCCCCGCGAATCGCAGTTGGTCGTCGCAGGTCTGGGTCACAACTTCTGGCCTTTCGGTGGCCTTGAGTACGACATCACGCCAGAGCCTGCGATTCTGTCTGAAGCTCTTGGCCGATCAGATTGGGAATGTCAATCAACTAACAAGAGCACTTTCTATGCTACTGCAAGACTACGAAGAGACCAGGAGACGAGCTTACAATACCGACTCGGCGATGGAGAAAGGTCAACGCCCATCGACGCCCGATCGAGACGAAGGCGCCAGAAGAATAGCGGAAAGCATTCGGCAGACGTCCGAGAACATCTGGCAAGCTCTGCGCCAGGTCACCACGGCCGTCTCCAACTACTGTGGTGGAGCTCTGCCTGACAATGCTCGCCAGTTTGTTCGCGCACAATTGCTATCTCTGCCAGCACGGTGGCGCCTCGTGACCCAATCCCATACCTCCGAGTCCAACACCACGCGAGCTGCGCAGCGAATGATCGACTTCGCCGGCCAAGGCCTGGATATGATGTCGGAAGTCAGCGGCGTCCTACAAGCAACGCTCGAGTCCGCAGAGGGCTGGCTCGCTCGCGTCGGACGACAAGATCAACAAGACACGACTATGCAGGACGTCGATGCCGCTTCGAACGAGAAGCAACCGTCTCAACAGCCCGAGTCGCAGCCCGAGAAGTCATAGAATGTCGCTATGGGAGATGCAGCTCAGGAGATTGATGATACTGGAAGTTCGTGTTCCAGTGTGAGTGACATCTCGAGCACGACCGAGAGCTGGTTCGTACCCACTCCTGCCCAGACCCCTTGCACTTCGCTGAAAGCATGCCCCGAAGATGCGGTCGAGAAGAGCTCGCGACGACTCTTCTGTGTTTTCGAAAACGCACTAGCCGAAGCACCTTCAAGCGACAGCTAGAAGAAGCAACGTACTGATGCAAGGAAGCGAGGAACATTATTCTTGCACTGCTGCTCGTGCAACGTGGCAGGGTCAAGGGTCAAGGGTGGTGGTCCCCATGATTGGTGCCCACTCTTCGCACCGAACATTGATCTACACGTTGTCCACCACCACATCCACAGCATGTGCGAGCCGAAGACGCGGTTGAATGGTTTACCCGGCCGCCGGAGCGAGATCTCAGGGCGCGACAATTACGGCGTTCGGAAAACGGAATTGGCACGTGATGCGTTCCTGCTGCATTGTTATCTCTGGCGTTGTGGAAGAAGCACGAAATGATGATGTTTAATGCGTTGGACGGGACACCTGTACAGTAACACGAGCCCAGAACTTACCTGACCCGATCCGGAAGGTCTGTTTGTGTTTTCCATGTGAATTTCTTGTACGAGTTGTTGAGTGCTTGACACTTGACTGCTGGTACGAATGGTGCAGTAAGCATTTACGATCCGCCTAATCGCCATGGGAGACCCTTAGAAAAATTCGCTAGTAAGAAGTTCTATGTATTAAAAGTAGGATCAACTTTACTTACATTGCAGACGATACCAAAGCCATGGGAAGTCAACTCCGCATTCACATTGCAAACAAGATATCAGCGTTTGATTGGCGTAGGGGCAAGATCTTTCGGCTCGGCTCGGCGCGAGATAGGGTGGGGCCGGGGCTACCTAGGGCAAGCCGGTTGATTGTCCACACCACACACTAGATCTGTATCTGTATGCACGCCGGAGCGAGGATGTTGTTGTGGGGCTGGTATAGAACGCAGCTCGTGCTGTGGTTATCCTCGATTAGGATAGTGAAGCCGGGGCGCCGCGCGTGGTAGATCGTGTTCTTCTCTCTGCGACTACGATGTTCTTGTTTAACACTCTGGGCTCTGCTCTCTGAGGCTTCGCTTTGGTGGGCTGGGTTTTTTGGTGGTGACCGTTATTTGCCCGTCACCTCCTCCTTCTGCACATTTCGGTTCCTAATATCCCGGATCGAATGTGTCTTGTCTTGAGGGGCTCTTGGAAGCACACCGCTCAATCGCGTGGTTCGCATATTGAAACAACCTTCTCGTACCCTTCGAGCGACGCCCAACGTTAGGTAAGGTAGGGCAGAATCGGCAGCTGCCGAAAGGTAGAAGGCAGAAGGCGCAGGGAAGATGGGACAGGCCAACGATGAAGCGGAAAAGGGCCTCCACCTCAACCCTCCAGGACACGCTCACGTTCACGGCGGCAACGACGATGGCGGTCTTCAGGGATCGCTTTCGGAGCCGGACTCGATCGCTGGACTCACGACCGGACTGGTAGATACGACGGTAGTAGGCGATTCGGAATCGAAAGAGAAGGCGGAAACTTTACACAGCAGCGAGGATGATTACGCCCCCTCTACAGCACGGGCCTCGGGCGATATCGCAAGGCGTGGAGTGAGCGTCGAGGCCGCGGAGAAGGAATTCCAGGAGCTGCAGAGGGAATTGACACGGATGTCGCGACAGCAGAGTCGCAAGAGCGATGCGCATAAGGATGGAGCCAGGGATGTTGAGAAGGCGATTCCGCTGTCTACGACGGAGGAGGTGGAGACGTTCGACTTGGAAGACACCCTGAGAGGGGCGAGGGCTCTCGAAGAGGAGTCTGGCATCAAGTCGAAGAAGATAGGTGTGATATGGGAAAACTTGACGGTCAAGGGAATGGGTGGAGCCAAGATCTTCGTCAAGACATTTCCCGATGCGTTTGTTGATTTCTTCGGCTTCCCTATCAAGTTCACACTGGGTCTGCTCGGCATTGGTGGGAAGGGCAGAGAGGTCGAGATCTTGCAAGACTTCAAGGGAGTCGTCAAGCCGGGCGAGATGGTGCTGGTGCTGGGTCGGCCGGGCTCGGGGTGCACGACGTTCTTGAAAGTCATTAGCAACCAGAGATTTGGCTACACTTCGGTCGATGGCGAGGTTCTGTACGGACCGTTTACCAGCAAGGAATTCGAGAAGCGGTATCGCGGAGAGGCTGTCTATGCTATGGAAGACGATGTTCACCATCCTACACTTACCGTAGGACAGACGCTTGCATTCGCTCTCGACTGCAAGGTTCCCGGCAAGCGACCGGCAGGGGTGTCTGCTGCTCAGTTCAAAGAACGAGTTGTCGACACGATGCTGAGGATGTTCAACATCGAGCACACGAAGAACATGGTAGTCGGTGATTCTTTCGTTCGAGGTGTCTCAGGTGGAGAGCGCAAACGCGTGTCTATCGCTGAGGCGATGATCACTGGTGCGGCGGTCTACTCCTACGACAACAGCACGAGAGGTCTGGATGCTTCGACCGCTTTGGATTATGCGAAGTCTTTGCGTGTGCTTACCAATATCTACCACACGACTACCTTCGTCTCGCTCTACCAAGCCTCGGAAAATATCTACTCGCAATTCGACAAGGTCCTGGTGATCGACGAGGGCCGACAAGTCTTCTTCGGCCCTGCACAAGAAGCGCGCTCCTACTTTGAAGGCCTTGGTTTCAAAGAGAAGCCGCGTCAAACCACCCCTGACTACTTGACCGGCTGCACGGATCCGTTCGAGCGAGAATATAAACAAGGCCGAGATGCGTCAAACGCTCCCTCTTCGCCCGACGGTCTTGTGGAGGCTTTCAACAATTCCGAGTATGCTATAGCATTGAAAGCGGAGATCAACGACTATCGCAAGGTTTTGAAGGAGGAGCAGCACGTTTACGAAGACTTCAAGACCGCGGTCGAAGAGGGCAAGCGCCATGCGCCTAAGAAGTCTGTCTATTCGATTCCCTTCTACATGCAGGTATGGGCATTGATGAAGCGACAAGCCAGCCTGAAATGGCAGGATCGCTTCTCCTTGATCGTCTCTTGGATCACCTCGATTGTCATTGCCATCGTCATCGGTACAGTGTGGCTTCAGCTCCCCAAGACGAGTAGTGGGGCTTTCACGCGAGGTGGTGTATTGTTCATCGCTCTCCTCTTCAACTGCTTTAGCGCCTTCGGAGAACTGGCATCTACTATGGTTGGCCGACCTATCGTCAACAAGCATAGAGCATACACATTTCATCGACCATCAGCCTTGTGGATTGCCCAGATCTGTGTTGATATGGCCTTTCAGTCTGTACAAATCCTTGTGTTCTCGATCATGGTCTACTTCATGTGCGGGCTGGTATACGATGCAGGGGCGTTCTTTACATTCTTCTTGATCATCATTACTGGATATCTGGCCATCACGCTCTTCTTCCGAACGGTCGGATGTCTCTGTCCAGACTTCGACTCCGCGATCAAGTTCGCTTCCACCATCATCACACTCTTCGTGATCACCTCTGGGTATCTGATTCAGTATCAGTCTCAGCAAGTGTGGCTTCGATGGATCTTCTACATCAATGCGCTTGGGCTCGGCTTTTCGGCTCTGATGGAGAACGAATTCATGAGACTCGATCTCGAATGTGGTGGTACGTACTTGGTTCCATACGGTCCTGGCTATGGCAATATTTCACACCAGACGTGCACTCTCGCAGGAAGTCAAGGAGGCAGCGCAACCGTGTCTGGAACTGATTACATTGTCACTGCTTTCTCGTATTACCCAAGCCAGCTCTGGCGGAACTGGGGCATCATCTTGGTGCTAGTGGTGGGGTTCCTGGCTGCAAACTCTGTGCTCGGTGAGTACATCAAATGGGGTGCTGGCGGCAAGACGGTCACGTTCTACTCCAAGGAGAACAGTGAACGCAAGAAGCTCAATGAGGCTCTTCAAGAGAAGACGCAGGCACGTACGAGCAAGGACGGAGGGAGCTCTGCCGCGGACGACCTGTCAATTGAGTCGAAGGCTGTCTTGACATGGGAGGACATGTGCTACGATGTGCCTGTGCCCAGTGGTCAACTTCGGCTTCTCAAGAATATCTATGGCTATGTGAAGCCCGGGCAGTTGACTGCGTTGATGGGAGCTTCCGGTGCCGGCAAGACCACGCTTCTTGATGTGCTTGCATCTCGAAAGAATATCGGCGTTATTACGGGAGACAAGCTTGTCGATGGCAAGCCTCCTGGTACCGCTTTCCAGCGTGGTACGAGTTATGCGGAACAGCTGGATGTTCACGAGGGTACACAGACTGTGCGTGAGGCACTCAGGTTTTCCGCCGACCTGAGGCAGCCGTATGAGACGCCTCGCGAAGAGAAGTATGCCTACGTGGAGGAGATTATTGCTCTGCTCGAAATGGACGACATTGCGGATGCGATCATTGGCTCTCCGGAGGCTGGACTGGCCGTAGAGCAGCGAAAGCGGGTCACCATAGGCGTCGAGCTTGCAGCTAAGCCTGAGCTGCTTCTCTTCCTTGACGAGCCTACATCTGGATTGGACTCGCAGTCTGCATTCAATATTGTTCGCTTCCTCAAGAAACTCGCGGCTGCCGGCCAGGCTATCCTCTGCACAATCCATCAGCCTAACGCATCCCTGTTTGAGAACTTTGACCGGCTCCTCTTGCTCCAGCGCGGTGGAGAGACGGTCTATTTTGGTGACATCGGCAAAGACGCCCACGTGTTGATCGACTACTTCCACAGACACGGTGCTGACTGTCCGCCCAATGCTAACCCAGCCGAGTGGATGCTTGATGCTATCGGGGCGGGTTCAACACCCCGGATCGGCGACAAAGACTGGGGCGAGATCTGGCGCGAGTCCGACGAGCTCGCCGCAACCAAAGACGAGATCATCCGCATGAAGCAGCAGCGCATCAAGGAAGTCGGCCAACAGCCACACGTTGAGCAGAAGGAATTCGCCACCCCGCTTTGGCACCAGATCAAGACGGTGCAGATTCGGGCACACAAGTCTTTCTGGCGCTCGCCCAACTATGGCTTTACCCGCCTCGTCAACCACATCATCATCGCCCTTCTCACCGGCCTCATGTTCCTGCAGCTTGACGACTCGCGAACTTCCCTCCAGTACCGAGTCTTCGTCATCTTCCAGGTCACAGTCTTGCCGGCTCTCATCCTGGCACAAGTCGAACCAAAGTACGACCTAAGCCGTCTGACATACTACCGCGAGGCCGCGTCCAAGACCTACAAGCAATTTCCCTTTGCACTCTCCATGGTTGTGGCCGAGATACCATACAGTATCCTGTGCGCTGTCGGGTTCTTCCTGCCGCTGTACTACATTCCGAAGTTCAGCTATGCCACCAGTCGAGCAGGGTACAACTTCTTGATGATTCTGACCACCGAGTTCTTCTCAGTGACGCTTGGGCAGATGGTCGCAGCCTTGACGCCCAGCACCTTCATCGCCGTACTGCTGAATCCGTTCATCATCATTGTCTTCGCGCTGTTTTGCGGAGTCACCATTCCAAAGCCGCAGATCCCCGGATTCTGGCGCGCGTGGCTCTACGAGCTCGATCCGTATGTTCTTTCAAATTCTTCACCCACCAATCTGTACTGACTATATCTCCAGCTTCACCCGCCTCATCTCCGGCCTCGTCTCCAACGAACTCCACGGTCTCCCCGTGCAGTGTACCGACGGCGAACTCAACCGCTTCACCGCTCCTCCGGGACAGACCTGCGGCGATTACATGTTTTCCTTCTTCGCCGCCGGCGGACCCGGCTACCTCGCCAACAACCAGACCTCCGACTGCGCGTACTGCGCCTACCGCGTCGGCGACCAATTCTACGAACCGCTGGGCATCTCGTTCAGTAACCGCTGGAGGGACTTTGGGATCTTGGTCGCTTTTGTTGGGAGTAACCTGGTCCTGCTGTTTCTTGGCAGTCGGTATTTGAATTTCAATAGGCGGTAGCAAAAAGAAGAAGAAGAAGAAGAAGGATTTGGGGGGTTTTTTTTCTTTCCGCATAGCCCGGGACAGGTTTCATGGTTATGGATGGCCGACTGGTCGAAAAGCAATAGAGATAGAGTGTAATGGATTAAAAGAGGGTCATGCCATTGATGTGTGTCTCTCTTCTGTGATTAAGAGCTTCTTCGATATGATTCATGGAGCTACCTTATCAGAGCTATTTCACGCAATTTCGGTTGTGGCTTTCGTATATGATCCTTACAAAGTCCCCACGTGAGTCGTGAATGCCAATGGAAACGCACGAACCATGTGAAGCACAGACATCCAAATCAGATGTTCCATCCATCTACTAGCACAACGCGCACCTCACGAATTCTTCACTTTTTTTTTTGGCATTGCATTGAATGCATGACCAAAGGAATTTCCGCAAAGTGAAACCCGACGGGGAGGGCAGCAACTGCAACAAGTCAGATGCACATGGCTGTGAAGCTATCTATCTATCCTTTTACATGGACCTGCAGGACGTGGGACTACCTGCGAGCTCGTCGATGGCTGCCACTGCCAGGACGCACGTTTTTCCCTTGAGACTCGAAATGTGGTGGCGAAGAGGGAGAGAGAGAGAGAGAGAGAGAGAGAGAGAGAGCCTCCATCGGGTCTTGACGCGTGGGTATCGGTAAGCGTTCTTCCGCAGCAAGCGGAGTGGGATCTGGAAGAGTACCTGGGTATCACACACAGAAGGATGCGAGGTACTGGGACGATTCAGTGTCCAGCTGGCCTCAGGAGGGACGGAATAAAAGAACAGGCGCGCGAGGCAGGATGTCAAGACTTTAGCGATTCCTTTTTTTGATTTCGATTCCCAGACCTATCTTTTCGCCGGGGCTGTTTTCGAAAGAAAGGGTACTTTCTCCCTATGTTAACTTGGCCTTTTCGTTCGTTCGTTCGTTCGGAGACACCACATAATTTCTTGAAAGAAAGGCCTCGTGCGATGTCCGTTCGGTCGTTGCCTATTGCTGTCTCCGTCGTATGGTGGTCGTTCCTTAGCTAGTGTGTGGATACCTGCGTTCCGAAGTCCGTGTATGACCGCAACGTGATCCAAAGACCACAGTATGACCCGTTAGCAAATCAGACTTGGAAGACAGGAATCAGTCCGTTTCCTACAACATGTATCCTAGCCCCCTGCCTTTCCAATACTCCCCACACTACTACTTATGCCCCTCAGAATGCCATCGCCCACCGCATCTATAGCGCCCCTAGGGCTGCGCAGGGTAATTCCACTGCCCAGGGGAGACTGCGCCACCTGCTCTCTCCCTCTCCGGAAAAGCAAAACATTCGTGCTGCTGAACAGCCCTCCACTGCCCTGGAAGGCTTCGGCTTCTGTGAGGTAGATGCGGCTCCAAATGAGGGCTGTATACCAGCCGATTGCCATGGCCGTCCATTCGAAGGCTATTTTGGGGTGTCCGCCTGGTGCTGGTGAGGGAGGCTCTAATGAGAAAATTAATAAGGAGGTCTCTGAGGCAGCGTGGGAGTGCGTGATGTATTACCTGCAGCTTGGAGAGGACTTTGTCCATCGGGTCGACGTGGAGCTTCTGCTCCACCGCCGCCTCCGGCTTGAGAGAGTTGGGCGGATTGAGAGATTTTTCTTCCTCCTTCTTCGCCTGGTGGTTGTGCTTTGGGAGAAGAGGCGGGAAGGTCTGCATCTGCCGGTCTTGGCGTTGTCGCTCCATTGAGAGGCGTGAGTGGTGTTGGAGGTGGAGGTTCTTTGAACTGTAGCTGTTTTGTCTCTGCGAGGTCTATGGTCTTGAGGATGTTGTCGAGCAGCGGTAGGATCTTAGGGTGCCAGCTGTCTAGCCACTCCTGCGTAGGTACGAATTGTGATGGTGTTGTTGCGGATTGTGTGAGCGCGGGTAGGCTCGCGGTGGATGTGTTGCGTGAGGTGGATTCTATTGGAGTGGAAGTTGCTGTCGCGGGCTGTTTGCCACGTGCCTTCTCACTGAGACTTCGTTCTGGCGCCTCCTCGGCCCCTTCCGCATGTGATGCTGCAGTGGTGTTGGACCGTTGCGGAACTTCGTGAGCGTCTAGATCGTCAGTGTCATGCCCATGGTTATCGTCGTCGTCTCCAATGGTGAATCTACCATCCTCGGGCACATTATCGAGGGAAGTGGGCCTGAAGGGTTGCGGGCCTTGTAGCGAGCCTCGTATGTTATCCATGGACGTCGTGCGCGACGCTGGACTCCGGATACCCGACGCATCAAGGCCTCGCTCCTTTCGCTCCTGAGCCTGGCGATCTGACTCTGCGAGAGCACCGTCGATGGTGAACTCTCTGAGTGCCCTGAAGCGGCTACGATGAGCCACCAGCGCTTCGACGAAGCGGCCATTCTCTGAACATGAGCATCACCTGTCAGCCAACAGCCACGTCTCATTGACATCTCGAGCAACAAAAAATCACAGGTCAGAGATCGCTGTCCGGATTCGTAGAAGCATGAACGAAGAGACTCGCAGGCTCAGGCCCCCCCGAGCCACCGAATCCCTAAGCTACAACTCCACCAAAATTGCAGCGCGCATCAGAGCAACACGAGGCTCTCAACAGCGATCGCAGAAAGAGGGGACGGTCAATACACACCGTGCACGCTCTTCTCCACGAGCTCGTTCATACCGAACATCAGGTTCAACACCAGTTCTTTGTTCGAATCCTTCTGCATGAGGAAGTCCAACTTGCTAAGCCGCTCGAAAAGCACCATAAGCTTGAGGCTCGTGGCTCGGCCAAGGTGACGAAGTCCTGGCAAGATATTGGCAACGATGGCCGCTGATGCAGGGAAGAGGGACTCCACATGATTCTTAGTCGTCGTGAATATCTCGAAGATGGTCTGTCGCGACTGTCAGTGGCAGAGAGCGTTATAGATTTTCCGCAACAATCACTTACACAGAGGAGAAAGTCGCCATACGATCCGTGGAATTTGGCGATGCGCATCACCGGCGGCAGGGTCTCTGGATGACGGAACACGATGTTGAGCTTGTCTGCAAATCGCTCCTCATTGCTGAGAGTTTGGAGCAGGAGGACGCACATGCGCAGAACACCGTGTTTGGAGGGCTGATCCTTGGAATCCATGGCATAGAAAAGCACCAGGATCATCAGGTCCAGAACGCATCGCGTGTCGATGAGATAGCGACGGAAGCGGCGATTGCACTGGACCAACTCCCAGAAGAAGCTGATCATTTCTGGTGCCCAAGAGACCGCCTTCTCCCTATTAAGAGGATTGTTGAAGGCACCGGATACCTGCCGTTGGAAGTTAGTCATGCGTTTTGGCTCATGACCGATGGCGACGTTTACCGGCTGAGCAAGGACCGTATTCAAGCCTGACTGGATGAACTGGAAGTCGTCCGCCCGATGTAGAGAGCCCATGGACTGCCTGAACTGGTTCTTGGCCACTCCTGGCGGCACGTAGACCATCAGCACGAGAATGAGCTGCAGGCAATTCGTGACCAGGAACTTCTTGGAATCGACCGAGCCCATGGCCATCTCTATTGGCACACTCCAAAGGTTCGGGTTGTACTTGAGAACCTGCCAACATCATTAGAATAAGGATGCCCATACTTACTGAGGTCCAAGAATCCCGCCGACAGGACAAATCAGTTGCTAGACAAAGATATCCAGAATTCAAGAGGACTTGTTTGGTCTTTAACTTGGTTGCATCAACTTACCGTGTTCAGCAAAGAACAGAGGATGCCATTGACGACCCGCTTGTCCAATCTGGTGGTCATGTAGGTGAGCGGCTTCACGTTGGTGATAGCAACCTCGTCTGCAGTGGTCATTAGCGCAGGCCTCATAATGACATCGGGATAATGCTGGAACGCACTTGGTGCAATGTACATGGTGTTGCTTGATATCGCAACGAGCAAGCGAACAGTCTCTTGTTGGTTCCGCTCATGATACTTGCTGCAGCCCAAGCTCCTGGCGCTGCCAATACCAGTCTGCCAGACACGCACAGCACACTCCAGGTCGGGATTACCGTGGTCGTCCAGTCGCGCTGGAATAGCAAAGCCTGGCAAAAACAGGAACTTGGCCATGAGCTCTAGCAGAGTGTAGCCCAATGGCGGACCGATGTCCAGATCGAACTCCTCCATTCTATACGTCTTGCCTGGATTGAGGCCATCGAACAGCGTGCCTGGCTGGTCTCGCTTCTTGTCCCAGAAGTAGGTCGGCTTTTGCATCTGCCACAAGAAGCGGTCGTGCCATTCTCTCAGGTGTTCGGCCTCGTAGATGAAGGGTATGACGCGGGTGAAAATGCGCATGCAGTTGAGGATCTCATTATTCTGGGCTCGTGGGTCATCGGGATAGACGGTGGTCTCCTGCAGAAGCTGCAGGCGTGCGATGAGGACGTAGAGGAGGGTCTCGAGGTTCTTGTTCGGGTCGACCTGCTCGCCAGGCTGCGGGTGGTTTTCCTTGTTGCTGAGAGTGAGACAGCCGATGTCGTTTGGCGACCACAGGGAGAAGACGTCGTTGGCGGACTCGGGGAGGGTGTAGATCTGCGGGAGGGGCCCTCGTCAGTGACTGAGACACCACGGATCGTTGCACGACAGCGATACCTCTGTCCATAGTGGATCGCTGTGCGGGATGTCCTCTCTGCCGGCGAGGCCGAAGACGCTGTGCTTGAAGGCGAGCTTGCTGTCGGAGGCGCCCATGTTGTCGACAACGCCGCCAGCGCGGCCGTGTCTCGGCCAAGAGCAGTCTCAGGAGGTGTCGATGAGATTGGCCCAGCTCAGGTGGTTACACAGGGCACTGCCTTATGGGGGTGAGGGAGGTCGTTGCGAACGCGTCAAGCATGGTTCAGGTTGATGCTGTCGGGTAGTACCTGTCTGCTTTGATATCCGCTCGTGCCTGCCCGTCGACCGGTTTGCTCTCCACTTGGGCAACAGCGAAGGAGGAACTTCATTCACACGCGCAAACAAACAAACGTGAAGTGCGATGGAGCTCCAGCGCGACGCTACGTCAGCCAGGACCGGGATCTCGCAGGGAAAAAAGAGGCAGGGTCCGCCCGCTACGTTCCACATTTCGCACTGACACTCTCTCGTGAAGACAGCTACCTTAATGTCCTGCTATACAACGCAAGGCTGCTTGATCGCATGACTTACAGCCTACTGAGCGAGATAGGGCATACGAGAGACTATCAGGTGGTCACGAGGAAGATGACGAGCTCAATGGCCGCGGCTTGAACGGGCATTCGAAGTCGTGGCTATAGACCCCGACAGTGGCACGCATTGAATCTGATGAGCTGGTCAGAGGTGTCCACTGGTATATCATCGATGTTTCCAATATGCCACAAAACACCAGCATTGCCGTCCATATCTGCCGTATCGTCGGACTTAATAGAGTTGATGGAACATCCATGGCATTTCATTGGAATTTCATTGAAGGCGAGTGGACTTACCATGGATAACCAGGGTGTACCTTTTTGCCTTTTAATGCTTATTTCAGCAAGCAACATCTCATTCTAGACATTTTTTTTTTCTCTGACTTGTATGTGTTTCGGAGACGCGATGCACGACCGCCAAGACCGGGGATGCTTCTTTCTATATTGGGACTAGTGTCTTGGCATGGGGCACTGAAGTCCGTGCTTCGCGCCTCCAGCTTCTACCTCTCACTAACATTTCCACAGCCATTTACATCGCGCGCAAACATAAAACTTACGACATACGTCCCCCTACGACGTCTTCTGGATTCTTGTAGAGCGAATCTTCTTGCTGACCACCAGGGAGAAGCAGTGGAGCGGATGGGCGTTGTTGTCAGGGAGGCACGAGAACGCAAGCATGGATCAATACTACACACCGGAGTACTCTCAGCTGGACCAACCGCTAGAAGTCTACCTCTCCGCAGTGGGAGATGCTACCTCGCGAGCCGAAGCTAGAAAGCTGGCGAGGCTCATAAATACCACATGCAACACCTGTACCACCCAAAATGTCCAGGTCGGTAAAGATATCTGCTTCTCCCGGAAGCCTGCAACAAGAACGTGATGCTTACTTTCATCCGCCCGTGTAGTATTGCAAGAATAGCATCATCAACGACGTCTTACCGTCAGCACCAAAGACTGTGGCCACATTCGACTACATGACAGCATTGGGCAGGAAATCTGCGCCAAGATCCGCCGACGGCAGTAATATTGCCAATGCGCTGGGGCACGAAAGTGCTGACGAGGGACAAATCGCAGGCGAGCCCTTGCCAGCTTACAGGCGTCTTCATATTCTCTATGTGGTCCACGATGTCTTGGAGACCTTGCTTGAAATGGATCGGACCAAGCGTGTCCCAACCCATCTCCGATTACTGGATTTCAACGCCCTAATCGCCACTGTAAAAGCACACATTTTCAGATTGTTTCGGGTTGCTGCATGTCGAGGCCATGTCAGTGGTGACGAGGTGGGCGAGGAATTGCTGCGACTCGTGCAACACTGGGCAGGAGGCGTTTTCAATTCCGAGGAAGTCGAAACGCTTCGAAATCTTGTTAACTCCATACCAAACAGATCTTGGGACACAGTAAGTCTACGACATCTCGCAAAGTATTTCTTGTGGGAGATTCAGTCGATGCCAGTTACTAACGCTAACATGGTCAGGTCCTCGAAGAGCTCAATGCAGAGGAGGCGAGGAGGACCGAAGAAGACAAGGGGGCCCGGGAGGAGAAATACAAATGGACAATACCTTACCGACACGGTGTGAAGGATGACCCTGATGCTCCTTGGCACGAGCTACCTGCCGCAAACGGTCTCTACATGAAGAGTACTCGCGGCTACCCACTCCGCGCTGGCGCCTTTCCCAAAGGTGGCTACCAGCTCAAAAACGGCGGTAGGCACAGATATCATTCTCCATCACTTTGCAAGTCTCTAACAATTTTCAGGCCAAGAAGCCGACGAAGAACTGAAGAAAGACATCAATTGGCTCCACAAAGAAATGCTGCATTGCTTCGACGACCACACCAATGCCGATGAGGTGCAGGACATCGACGCCCTCGGAAACAAAATTTGGAAAGACCCGGAGCGGCCGACGCGGAACTACTGGGGCTTCACATACGACGGTATCGAAAAGACGAGAGAGAACAGCCGGAAGTTCAGGCAGAACGCTACTGGTTACGATGACATTGCGTCACTAAGACAAGATCGCTTGGACGATGTCGACTCGGCAGTTGCACGGGCTCGAGCGCTCGCAAGTGGGCGTGGAGGTTTTGATTATCGCGATGGCTACGATAGCTATGGTGGTCTCGGTCGTGGCCGTGGCCGTGGAGCTCGTGGAGGTTGGCGTGGCCCTCCGAGAGGTGGCGGCGGCGGTTTCCGCGGGAGTAGAGGGGGCGGCGGCGGCGGCGGCGGCGGACGGTACTACTAGAAGGAGGCCTTCGAACTACCATAGCGCTCTCAGGAAGCACTCGTAGCAACTCTGTGAATGCACTCTTTCATATGCGAAGGTATCTGTCCAATGAAGCATCGAAGCTTCTCATCGGCCAGGCTCCTCTCAAAGCTGAAATCTTCAAAATGTTTTTCGAAGGCACCTAGCAAGGGTATAGTCGATGCTCCGTGTCCGTTATCAACGAATTTGGAAACCGACCAGGATGGTTTGATCGGAATTCGAATTGCTACACGCTCCAGACGAAACGATTAGAGCCGCAGTGCAGTCGTCATTGAATCTTAAAAAAAAAAGAAAAACACCACCCCTACCAACCCCCCACCCACCAAACCGCCAACCCAGTACTCAAAGCCCCCACCCCCTCCCAAACCCCCACAACCCTCCACAACCCCCCACAACTCCAAAACACCGCACAGCTCACACACCTCATCGGCACGGTAGCCTTGAAAAACTCCAGATTCTCCTGATAAGCCGCGAGGGGGTAGTAAATCCCCATCGCGAGTGCGGCGAGGGCGTTTCCTTTGAGAACCGGAAGGGCGGAGGGAGGGAGCTGGAAGGCTTGCAGGGAGGCTTGTGGGGTGAGGAGGGTTTTGGCGCCGACGAGGAGGGCTGTCAGGCCGAAGGTGCCGATTGTGTAGGCCGGGAGGGAGGGCATGGTGGTGGTGGCGGCGGCGGTTTGTTTGTTTTGTTTGGTTGTTGCTTGGTGTGCGGTTGTGGAGAGGGTTGAATGTTCTCGGACGTAAAGTGTAGTTGATGGCGTGGATGTTGTGGGGCGGGAGGATGAAGCCAGCGGATGGAAGTGCAAGGATCACGAGATGATGAGATAGCGTGGTCTTGGCAAGGAAAGCGTGCATGCGTGAATGTTAATTGAACAAGGACGTGAAAACGCCGCCAGAAATTCACATGGCTGACAGAGTCTTCGGTCGGGAAGATCTTGGGCTGAAACGCATTCGACGCTAGTTGATGTCCGCCAAGAATAGTACTTACTATAGTAACTACTGTAGTGAATAGTCACTGGCGAAGAGTAACAGTTAATAGTCACTGTAGACGGTAGAACGTAAACTAGAATAGTAAGCCTGTCTAGCCCTCCAGAACTGCCCCAGAGATCGCTCAGGTCAGATAAAGAGTCATGTTTCCACCGAATTGAACATTCCTGCAAGACGCAATCACGAAAGAAAGCCGGATCAGCTTCTACAGAAGATCCAATGTCCAGCATAGACGCAAGCCCGACTGTTGAGTGCTAGGCTCGCGCGACAATGAGCAGGACTTTTGAATTTTCTACGTGGGAGCCAACACTTAGGATCGCCTCTAAGCGTGTTATAGCCCAGACGGCATTCGGATCCCTTCCATGGGTTTGACTGCTTGAAATCTTGCAGACATTCCGGTCTTCTGTCTTGACTCTCTCCCTGAGACGATACCATACGCCTCTCGTGCTGCGGTCTCATTCTCTGGAAACGAGCTCGTGGGAAGTTCACAAGGTAGCGCAGCTCGGCTCCTCCAATACCGGCGGGCTTCGATGTGGAATTGTTTCTGGTCGACGTTGTCGGCATATTGACTGCAACATGGGTCCCAGTCTCATACAGAAGACATCAAGAAGCCTCGAGGCGCTAGCATGTCTGCTCTTGCCAGCTTTCCTGTCGTGAAATACCGGTAGTGCAAGCGCTAATGTGATGCAGCTGATCGGCGTAGAGAAGGATAGTGCCATTTTATATTCTCCCAGGTGCTGTGTTCAACAAAACTTGAATTTCTCTTCTCTCATGGCCGGAAGTGAGGGCGTTGAAGAAGAACAATCAAACTTCCTACGTAGGTCTGTATCCATCGTCCATTTCTCATCTCCAATTTTCCACCCTCAAAGAATGCATGCGCAGGGTATCTCAAGAACGCCGTCCGCTTGCTCTGTCGCACACTCAGCTTGCTCCTAAAAGAATAAGAATATACGAAAACTCCCGTTTTGTCCAAACTCGTATCCTCACCACTCAAAATATTGGCTCTTGCTTCTCACATGATGACACACCGCTCATCGGCGTCCCTAACAGTAGGCGCACCACCAACTTGTGGTCTTCCGGGAGAATAAGGCGGCGTTTGCTGTGGCTGCGGTTGACTACTCCGCCGCTGAATTCTATTCCCTTGACTGGTCCTCCGTACGTGCTGCGGGCCCATACCTGCGCTGTTGACGGACGTATTGCTTTGCTGGGCATAAGCGCTCTGATGCCTACGCAGATGATCAAGCGCATTGAGAGGGTTGCCTTGAGAAGGAGGCGCTGTGGCGCCGGCAGGGCGGTAAGGTCGATCGCTCGCAGACTGCTCGTATGTTGGAGGTGCATCGGGATCGTCGGTAGCTGCAGGTCGATTCACGGCAGGTCGCGCTGAAGGTCCAGTGTTCCGGCCTGGACCACCAGTGACGGGAACATTGGTCGTGCTGCTGCGCCCATGCTGCTGATTTCGCCTAGGAGGTATAGCCGGAGGGCGTTCCTCACCAGAGAGAAACTGCTCGCTGAGCTCTTGTTCTCGACGTCGACGAGCTTCAGCTTGGCGTTGTTGCTCTTCCTCTTCTTCTTGCATTTGTAAAGCGAGCGCAAGATCGTGATCTTCCTGCTCACTGGCCTTCCTTTGTCCCTCCGTCTGCGTTATGCCAAGCTCTGCATCTGGCTGCTGGGATGAAGGTCGCGGTCCGGGGAGTGGCGGCGGTGCCTCTTCACTTGCTCGGTCATTTGCATTCGACTTCGACGGCTGCTGGCGGTGATACCTAGTCCTACTTGATACTGTCTGCCAACCGTCGTTACCGCCACCGGAATTGCTTTGGTTCAATCTCGCATCCTGGCCGTGGCTAACAACGCGGAAGTCACCACTAAACATCTCTGAGGCTGCTCCATTCACATCTACCAAGCTCTCCCAGACAATCTCGTCGTGTGAACTATAGCCAGCATCCGTGACCAGTGTCATTAGTGCACCGTGTCGTGGTTCCTTGTACAAGGTGCTGAAATGATCATTCCGGAATAAGATGGCGAGCTGACCAGGATGCAAGCTCCTTGATATGGTTTCCAGTCCGTAATCTGTCAGCTGGGTCGGCCATGTGTGAAGAAAGCTCTTGATAATTTGAATGTCTTCCAGTAGCTGTTGTTCCTTGAAATCCAGCCCTTCTGTACGCAATTTATCTTCCAATTCTGGCTCAGCGAATTGTATATTTTGCGCATCCTCAAAGGTTTGCGCATTTCTCTGGAAAGCTTGATAGACAGGAGTATCCTTAGGCGCTGTCCAGCCATGGATCAATGGGATGCTGAATGTGCTGTATAGTCTCATTTCCCTCGTCTCTTCAAAGCAGCCTGGCTTGTGTTGTGAACGCTCCGTCGGATGCACGCCATGCAACTCAGGCGGGTGTCCATCCAGCGACCCTCTCGGAGTAGCTGCAGGAGTAATGAATCGTGGGTTCACGTTCATGCCGGTATGTAATGCCAACAGGAAAGCATAGAGTTCACTCACGTCAGGCAGTGCGTGTGCCGTGTCCCCTCTCCTCCCGGACATAAGTTCGTCAAACACGCCGTCAAGCAGGAATCCTAGGCTGATGGTTTCGCGCGTACGAAGAGCCTCAATGAGCGGGGTGTCTAGACCTGCCGGCGTGCTCAGTACCAAAGCGTTGACCAAAGCTAACAGCGGACAAGGGCCGTTCTCATTTTGGGTGAGCACAGGCAGCCGGCGCATGCTTGCTTTACCTGACGCTGAATCGTACCAATTGACATGCTTTATCTGGTAGATTTCATTGCGCTTTCTCTTGTCTCGCGTCCCTGGAGTCTCTGCACCAGATTCGGGAGATCGAATGGGTGGTTCGGTCTGCATCTGAGTTGATATCGGAGGCAGTCTTGCTGGTTCGGCATGATCAATCAAAGGTCCAGATTGGCCGGGAGGTGGGCCAGGCGGTGGCTGAAATTCAAACGGCGGCGGTTGTCCTGTCGAGGCGAGAGCTTCTTTCGGTGGAGCAACAGGTGCGGTCGCCGAGCTCGAAGCGCCCTCTGACCATGGATTCGACAACGGAAAGGCTTGTGCCTCTGCAGAAGGTACTCGTGCAACAGGCGATAGGGGATATTGACCTTTCTGAGGTACGTTGAGAATCTCTGCGGTCTCCCACGACGCTGCCGTACCTGCCGATTCCCGATGCTCTCCCAATGACATCCTGGACATCTCTTCCGTAGGCGATTTGACTGCAGACAGCTCGACGGGTGGCACAGGAGGCGGCGCCTGAGGTGGTGGCGGAGGACCTTGACTAGGTTGTTGAGGCTCGGCTTTCGCTTGGATGGGCTGCTCCCAGACCTTCTGGCTGTTCTCCATGAATCCATTCGGGCCGTTCGGTGCTTGCGTCTTCTGCAGATATGGATTATTGCTCTCCAACTGCCATGGATTACCATGACTCTCCTCCTCATATTGCTTGCTCTCTTTTGCTCGCGTGCCCACGCCGTGAGAAACGCCGTTCGCTGGACCTGGCTTCAATATTGCAGGTAGCTCTTCAGACTTATGCTCTTTCCCCGCCTCCTCGTCGATTCCTTGCTGTGATAACCCCACGTTCAACGGTTTGGGAACTTCGACATCGTCTTCGGGAGTATCGTCGTCTCTTTCTGTGCCGTCGGAATCCCAAGTCCCATGTGAACTAACATCGGAGTCTCGCCGTTGCGGCCGTTTTTGAGCGTCATTCATGTCGATCAAATCGAAAGCTGGGCTGGTCTTCAAGTCTTCGGAATAAACGCTACTGGCGGTCGGGGGTTCTTCGTTGGTGGGAGTGGTTGGATATGGCGGAGCGGCATTACTCGCGGACGAAGCTTGTGCCGTAGATATCGGCGGTCCTACGGGTTTTCTTGTGACCATCTTCACGAGCTCTCCAACACCTCACAGATGCTGTCTCTTGATGATCGGATAACGAGCTCGAGTATCCGGCTGCCTGGATGTTGGCCCTCAGCGACAGTTCGGCTCGAAATGCCGTTGTCGCAAATGGCATGCGATGTCTCTCTTTCAACGTTTGCGTTGTGGCGAAGGAGGATGTTTGTACAATATCCAAAGGTGGCTGTGGTGAAGGCGCCAGAATTGCTACTCGGCAGTGTCGCTCACATACCGGGTACGCGTATGCAGTCGTTACGGCCATCGAGCGTGGAAGGATCCGAAGCGTCCGCTTAGCTCAACTTCTTGGAAGCGTGCCGACACAGCCACAGTGACGTCCACCTTCACGTGTGATCGCCCCCCGCATGTGGCGCAGCTCCAGAACAAAATTTCAGAACAGCAGAAGCCCACGCAGCACAAAAGCTGCACACAGTCGCACAATGGCGTCTCTACGTGTCCTCCTGATTGGCAATGGCGGACGTGAGCATACCCTCGCCTGGAAGCTCGCCCAAAGCCCACGAGTCGAGGAGATCCACGTAGTACCTGGCAATGGGGGGACGGCTGGGTAGGTAGATGCCATTGCAGGTCAACTTCTACCATACCACGGTTCGTGCGGCGACCATTGACACTGATTACAGTGTGCCAAAGTGCAAAAACATCGCCTCCGTCTCGGCAGACGACTTCCCGGCCTTGGTTCAACACGCCAAAGACAACAACCTCAACTTCGTCGTCCCCGGCCCTGAAGCTCCCCTCGTCGCTGGAATCGTCGATTACTTCAAGCAACATGCGCCCAACACGAGGGTATTTGGCCCAAGCGAGGCTGCAGCGCGGATGGAGGGCAGCAAGACTTTCTCTAAGGACTTCATGAAGAAGCACAACATTCCCACCGCCAGATACGAGAACTGCTACGACTACGAGACAGCGAAGAAGCACTTGGACAGCATTGATTACACCGTGGTGATCAAAGCAGATGGTCTCGCAGCTGGCAAGGGTGTCATCATTCCACAATCCAAAGAGGAGGCGCAAACAGCTCTGAAGGACATCATGCTGGATAAGGAGTTCGGTGCTGCTGGTAACAGTGTCGTGATTGAAGAATTCCTCGAGGGAGACGAGATCAGCATTCTGTCTTTGTCTGACGGTAATGCGATATTATCTCTCCCTCCAGCACAGGACCACAAGCGAATCGGGGACGGCGACACTGGTCCGAACACCGGCGGCATGGGAACATATGCGCCCACGCCGATCGCATCTAAGGAAGTCCTTGAGGAGATTGAGCGATTTACTCTGCAGCCTACCATTGAGGGGATGAAAAAGGATGGCATGCCGTTCGTGGGATGTCTGTTCACCGGATTCATGCTGACCAAAGCTGGTCCGAAGGTGCTGGAGTACAACGTGCGATTTGGTGATCCTGAGTCGCAGTCCTGCCTACCTCTTCTCCAGTCGGATCTCGCAGAGTTAATGCTAGCTTGTACAGATGGCACTCTTTCTTCGCAGAAGCTGGATGTGGCTCCCCTCAGCGCGTGCACGGTGGTCGTGGCCGCCGGAGGCTACCCTGGCTCGTACCCGAAAGGCACTCCAATGACAGTAAACCCTGCGAAGGAAGAAGAAGGAATGTACCACTTCCATGCCGGTACTAACCTCAAAGATGGCAAGCTGGTCACAAGCGGCGGCAGAGTGATTGCAGCTACGGCGACCGGCAGCACGCTCAAGGCGGCTGTCGACCAAGCCTACCAGGGCGTCCGGAGCATCGAGTTTGAGGGCATGCAATACCGCAAAGACATCGCACACCGGGCCCTGCGGTGATCGATATGTGCTGATCAAGTGGGCCATGCCCGTCTCGATCAATTGCAGTCCCCAACTTCTGCCAACAAAAGTTAAGATTCTCGAAAGCGCAGGCTCCAAGCCTCAAAACGAAGCGCATGAATCCATTTCAAGTCTATTAGTATTCTGCGTGTTTCAGGTTCTTCATCGCTTCAAACGCTTGACGCGTCCGACTCAAATGCACGTCGTAATCTGTGTCCTCTGACAAGAAGGGAGTAGGTGAAACTTCGTACCTCGTGACACGCTCGGACTACACGGCTCGTCTCGTCTTGCCTCTCACGGTCCGGCGCCTCCCTTTCCTCCACAATGCAGCCACTTTGTCGTCCTCGTAGGCTGAAGCTTCAGCTCGTACGCCGTGTGAAGGCGTAATTATTATTACACGGCCCACGATCGCTGTACGGTCTACGATATGCCCAGTCGGCGCTTCCACGGCAAGACTCGTACAGGATGCACAAGCTGCAAGGCCAGACACGTGAAGGTGCGCTACTGGAATCGTCACTCTCATCTCATGCATCTCGTGCGCGCGATCGCCGTTTGCTAACTTTCCTGCTAGTGTGGTGAAGAACGGCCTATATGCCACCACTGCCAACGGAGGAACACGCACTGCATCTATCCCGAACACGTGCCTGGCAACAACCATACTAACCCCAATGTCCTACATCAGCCGCATGCATCTCTTCCCTCGACTTCGCCCTCGAGCCTCCGTGCATCGTCCAATGATGGCTTATTGCACTCTCCGGATGCCTTTGACGCGTTGGACCTGACGCTTATGCACAGATATGCCACGAGCACATCCACCCGTCTTCTGCTCTCAGCCGATGCACAGCCCTTCTGGCAGATCGAGGTCCCCAAAATGGCCGAAGCAAGCGCCATCCTCCAACGCGGTATCCTCGCCCTGGCAGCCATGGATTTGGCCTGTGAGGCCGCGTCAAGCCCCGATAAGAACCTCGCTCTGATGGCCATGTATCGTTCGCGTTCGCTTCGTCACCAACAAACTGCCTTGCCGCAATTTCGGAGCCTGCTGGAGAACCCCGACCACAGCCATGCTGACGGCAAGACTATATTCGTCTTCTCCATATTCCTGCTCTTTCTCGCTTTCGCCTCTGCCCATTCAGCGGAGACGAAGCCTACCATCGATGACATTCTGGATCTGTTCGCTCTGTTCCGAGGCCCCAGGATGCTGTGGAAGATCGCACAAGAGAACGCAGATCGAGTCGTGATTGACGGCATTTTCCCCAACCGCATGGCCGAGACCCCGAACAGGGACAAGACGTCAGAAGGGAGACCTTATCAATCACTGCGTGCTTTGCCTCTTGATGAGGCAGCAACTCAGGCTCTTGACAATCTGACTGAGTCGTGGAAGTTTTCTCAGCTTCAGCCGAGCGATGTGAGGTGTATGGCGTGGTTCCCAGCATTGGTGCCCGATCTGTTCTGCGCACAGATACGGCAACGACAGCCTCATGCGTTGGCCATTCTGTCGGAATACGCGGGCATCCTCAGGCCATTCCGTGGGCTTTGGTGGGTCCGATCCTGGGATCAAGTACTGGATGAGGCAATCCAAGTGGTGTTGAGAGAAGAATCGATCGCACTTCCTGTTTGCAAAAAATCATGAGTTCAAAAACATGTTTACTTCGAGAAAATGCGACGTGTCCATCTGGCAAACAGGACTACGTGCCATGCTGCCACGAGCTTCGAAGACCTAGTCACGACGACTTGCAATGGAGATACCCAGACGCCCAGCGCTACTGGTTACATTGCGAAATTTGCCAAGATACCTGGATCGCGAGGGGTTTTCTGAAGCTTCTTGCACCATTGCTCCATCAGATCTATCATGGCTCTATTACGCTGCTTCGCTTCCCCTTCGAAATCGGGCTCATCAAACTCCTCGTCCTCATTTTCGGGGATATTCAAAGTCTCTCACGAAAGTGTCCCGCAGATCATCGAGCCCGGTCTCCGCTTGTTCGCGAGCCACTTCGAGTCCTATGACCGGATCGGCGCCGTACTCTAGGCAAGCTCGTGCTGCGTCGAGCATTCCCGATTGTATCGCACCTCTCAGAGCTGTGGCAGGGTCAGCACCTGCTTCCAGTAGCGGCTGGACAGCCGGCGAAAAGCATCTTCCGTTGACGTTAAGACCAAGTGCGATATTCATTGCCCTCGGTCCGTTCTCGTCACGCTCTCCAATGCTTGCGCCTCTGCTCAACAATGCTTTGACAACAGTGAGGTTCATGTTGTGAATTGCGCTCAGAGTGGCGTCCCCGAATCTGGAGCATCATGCATGAAGTTGCGGTATTCTTCGGTGTCCGTGTGGATGTCCATGCCATACCTGTCCAGAAGATGATACACGATTGCTGCTGCTTTCTCGCCATCTTCGCCGCGGGAGGCGTTGTGCAAAGCTAGACGCCGTGACGGATCCGCTCCTCGAGCTACGAGATGGTCGAAAAATTCGATGTCTCCGTTTGCTGCCACATTGTTGAGCAAGTGGTTCGACCATTCATGCTTGTCTTGATAGCCCACACGTCCATCAGCTTGCCTACGGGTGTCGGTCTTATTGATTTCCACGCCCTAGTCAAGCATCCAATCTATAGTGGAATGATCGTGGCTGAAGTCTCTGAGGAGGCGTCAGAAACCGCTCGCTGGCGCATAATGCTCATTGAATACAGACTGCAGTATGCGATGCCCTTTGCGTGTCACATCAAATCCGAATTCAGTCAACAACTTCAGCTCCTCGTCCGTCTGTATCGACCTGACGAACACAACGTTAGAATCCGCTCCTTCCTGAAGTAGGAACCGCGTGACTGCAAGATCTGGCTTCCCATATCTCCTCGTGACTTTTTGGAGTCTTTCGGAAGCATCCTCGGCAGTGAAAGCGTTATCTTCAAACAGCCTCTGGATTTGAAAGAGGTCGCGAGATTCGCAGGCGCTGAGTAGACTTTCCCGTGTGGCTTCGTCAGCTTCAGCCATGGTCAGTTTCTCGTAACAGTTGCCTTTGATATGTTCGAAGGCAGCAGTAGGGCAGAGCGCTAATGCACTTTAACGCCAAGAAGAGTGATCGCATTCGGTTTCAACTCCTGGATCCGGATGGGAGTTTCGAGGCGCTCTCAATCGGAGAGACTCTTTGCCTGAGAGCTTCAGGACTGATTTTCGGCCGCACTGGTTCTTGTTTCGTGTCTTGTTGACGAAGGTTCAGGGGATTTACTTCGCCATGTCGTCTGCTTTGTAGTACACACGATTAGCACGTATATTCTATGTTCGCACTCCAGGACCTTGATCTCTACGACTCCACCCCTTCTACCGTGTAGATTGGCATCTTTGTCTATGAGATACTCATCGTCGATCAACACGAGCACTACAGCCATTTGCTGATTGCGAAGGAGGAACAGCAAGCTGTCGAAAATCCTATTCGACACAGCCCGATCAGCATCTCTTTCATTCAGTCTGCCTGCCCATCCGCTGACACTCTCCAACTTGAGTATGCATACTACCCGGAAATTAAAAAGGTTGCAACCCTTCGCCCCCCAAAAGCGATGTGTATCTCTGATTCGTTTCCCGCGAGCGGAAACTAATGGGTTGTCGAAAGCTTGTCAGGAAAACTCGCCGCGAAAGAAAGACCCGACGTCACGCCATTTCGACTCAGCATTCACTCACACGGCACTAGCAAGGTCGTCTCCTCGCAGCGGAAATCCAGAATTGCGCCGCTACCTCTTCCCTTCCCCTCGTTCGAGATCTCCGAGGCTCGTATACGCGTAATTTCTCGCGCGTGTCAGCTTCTGAATGCCAGAAAACTCGCCGTCGGCGCCTTTCCCTCGCCTCACATTCGCTGCTTCGAAACGGGATCTAAGGGGATGTCAAAACTTAGTTGAAAGTCGCCGACAGTCTATTCCGTGTGCGGCGCGATGTCTTTGCATGCATACGACGGAAGCGAATGTCGATGTAGGTTCGTACGAGTTGAAGCACTGTCTTCGCCGAGGTGAAGTCGCAACGATACGAAGTTCTGGGATTGTGAGTGGGTGCGGGTAGACGGGCGCTAAGGGATGTCCTTTTCTCGGCGTCCGAGGTGTTCAGAAGTCGCCGAGGTGAGGATAGATAAGATACACAGATTCGAGCGCGCAAATCATGGCTATCCATGTTCTGCAGATTGACACGAATGGTTGCCTCGGGAAGGTGGCTCACAAATTCAGCCTCGCAAGTCGTACTTTGCTCAGGTGCTTGCTGCATGAGCTTCAATATCTCTCAGGCCTGATGGTCAACATATGAGAAGCTACTACAGTTCTTGCTGTGTCGCTAATCAGCCTTTTCCGGCTCACCACCATCATTCGTCTTCTCTTGTTTGCCAAGCTGTTCCTTGCTCCTCGCCTCTTGGGCTGCCGCCGCTCGTGCTGCCTTGCCCTGTTGGACCTTCTGCTCGCACGCATCCACCACGTCCTTCGAATCGCCATGCATCGCCTCCATTGCGGCCCAAATCCCGGCTTCCACCTTGCTCTTACCCTCACCCTTGCCAAGCAGATGCTTGTGGTACCCGTGGCCCGTGAGGTAAACTGCAATGAAGAAGCGGTTCTGGCCCTTCTTGTCTCCCTTCAATTCTTGCATCGGAGCGTACTGCTCGTATTCCACTTTGACGCCGTTTGTTCCATTGCCCACGCGTCTCTGCAACGTATTCTTAGCTTCGGGGTCGTATCTCCGCTTCGGATCACCGTCTTGTGCGTGGACCAAGCTGTTGGGATCCCAGAGCTTGTCTCCTTCCAGCGCAGTGACCAGCTTCGGAGCCCAGAGAGTCGTGAGCCACTTCTCTGCAACCGCGAAGCCATTCTCCGGATCCGACATCACGACAGCAGCGACGTATGCCTCGAAAACATCTCCAAGAATCTTATTGAATCCCTTGTTGCCCTTGAGTTCTGCCTTTAATCCTTTCTGCATGCGCATGACATCGTGAAGACTCGCGCTTACTCGTTTCTCGAATTCGTACATTCGAGCATACTCTGCAAGAGTCTCATTCTTTACGAGAAGTTCGCGAAGCTGTGACATTGGACCGGCTCCTAGGTGGCCCACGCGATCCATGATCAAGCGGCTGGCGAACAGTTCGAGGTAGGCATCTCCGAGGAATTCGAGGCGTTCATAGCTGACGTGCTCAGTCGTTTCGTTCCTTCGGTTGTTGACGAGGGAAGAGACATGGGTGAAGGCAGCGTTTTGGAGCTTTGGATCGAGAATATCTGGTGCTGCAGGCAAGTGTTTGGGTACAGTGAATGGCACGTAGCCCGGCACAGCAGTCAGTGGAGCGGTGGACGCTGGCAGCTTTCCGAGAGCGCCGTCGAAGGAGATTTGAGATTGCGGCGGAGGTGGTGCTGAGGTAGGCGGGGCGCGTTGGTGGTTGTCATCGTGGCGGCGCTGATCGCGATGATCCTGAACGAACGATCAATCATTTTCCATTTCATGCTCAGATTTGGATAGGGCTTTAGCCATTTGTGTGAAGTGCTTTCGTACCTGCTGACGGTGATGACCACGCTGATCGTGGGTGCCATTGTTCCTATGCTTTTTGTGCAGCTGGCGGTCGCCGCTTCCGTCGTATGGGCGTTTGTTCATGGCGAAGTTGCGACTCTCCTCAGCGCCGTTGTTGACAAGTGACACAGCGAGGAGATGAGCTGCTTTGCGCAGTTGAGTGATGTAGTAAGAGAGAAGGCAGAAGCTTGGAGCTCGGACGTCTCTGGAAAAGAAGTCGCGACCGCGAGTCATGCACACTTTCACTCGCCGGCAGACTGTCCCGATGATTCCCGTCCACCGAATCGACCTCACCTCGGTGCTCTTCTACCTTCATCGTTGCCATTCAGGCCTCTTTCACAGTTGTCCATCATGTCTGTCCCCCGTCACCGAATTCTTGACCTCATGAAGGTACAATGCCGAATTTTCAACACCACCTTCAACCCGACCTGTCAACGACTCGGCAACAAAATCCTGCGCCAGCATCTTCGTGGTCCTGCCCTGTCCACCTACTATCCTCGACGCGTCGCGACTTTCAAGACTCTCAAGCAATTGTATCCAGGGGTGGAGATGTACGATGAGGTTGAAGAAGACAGACTTGAGCACATTGCAATCGCGAAGTCGAGAGGAAAAGGAGCGCCGAAGAAGAAGAAGTCTGCGGCTGGTGAGTATCTGCGGATGGCAGTAAGATGTAGAGCGCGAGTACTGACATGCTTAACAGAATCAAGAAAGGGACAGAAGAAGAAGCGGTAGAGCAGAAGACGTCAATGTGAGGAGGACTTGATAGATGGCTTCAGCATGACGTTCTGGACCGGGATGTAAAAAGGCTCCTTTGTACCGGATGCAGTGGGCGGCGTAATGAAACATGAAGAATGTCAAGAGTGGGACAGATGAGTACGGTGGAAAAGCACTGGAGGGTCATGCGGCTCAAGGCTATCAAAGACTCTTCCATCAGATACAATTGCACGGCGTTATTAGGCCGGTGGGGATAGGGTCGATGCTGGGCCGAGCAACAGGTTCGAGTGCGAAGCGCGCACCATGCTCTGCTCTCTGCCTAGGCAACCGTGCGTTGGACAAGCCCTCGCTAGTATGTAAGTGGATTTCTATTGGAGGCAAAAGATAGAAAGAGAATGAACCCCCTGAATCCACTGAGTGGCTGCAAAAATGATCATGTGCACTTGAAGTGACATGGTCCTTACATGTGTTGATCTTGATTGCGCCCGTAGTCTGCTGGTTTGAGCTGACCTGTGACTCTCCAGGGAACCTTCTCGTGCCTGACTTCGCTCCTGTGGACGAACAGTGCGAAAAGGAAAAGGAGAAACGGAATATGACAAACAGGAAACCTGCTGGTTGGAAGATGCGCCAGAATGGGGAGAGAGACTGCCCGACACTCGCGTCGCTGGAAAACCTGTGGGATTGCGCTCGGGCGCAACCACTGTGCTGTCTGTCCCAGCTTCCTCCCGCTGCGGCACCTGGACGCCATTTCCTTCCTGGATGACAACAGACACTACGAGGAGCATGGAAGCACCAGCGACGTACCCCTGGGATCTTCAAACAGCCACTTACAAGGCCGAACGGCGTGTCCTCGTGGAGGGACGACGTGCAAAGCGCAATTCGCCAAGGCAAAAGCCGAATTTCAGCCGCGCTTTTAGCTATATAAGTTGTATTTCCCACTGCCCCTCCATCATCGGGCTTGGACGAGTGGTCGAGTCGAATTCATTCGAATCTTCCGTTCTAACAAGTTAAACACGGATGATCTACTAGGTTGCCCAGGTGGCTTAGTTCTCAGCGATTCCGACCGTTGTACGATGAGAGTCTTCGGGCTTCCCCCTTCTTTTTTGATGTCTTTTTCTTTGGGATGGGGTACACTTTTAAGCTATATAGGTTCGAATTTCTGTTGTTCTTCCATCATCGGGCTTGGGCGAGTGGTCGACTCGAATTTATTCGAATTTTCCGTTCTAACAAGTTAAACTCGGATGATCACCTATTGTTACTGAGGTGGCTTAGGTTCCAGAGATTCCTGTAGTTGTACGATGAGAGTCTTCGGGCTTCCCCCCTTTACTTTTTTTTTGTCACTCATTTGGTTGTGCTTGTTTTTTTTTTCACTTTTGTCACGCGTTCGAGTTGGCTTCGTGTGTCAAACTTTTCTGCTTCAACGCGGAGGGAAAATTCGCACACAGCCAGCCTTCGAGCGCGCTTTCTCGTTGAGCTTTCGACTTTTCATGCGCTTCTTCTCCTTTTGGGTTGCTCAGCAGGTGAGCAACACGTGGAGAGCAGGAGGCGGTTATTTGGTTTTTTTGGCATGTGATGCGGGCGCTAAGCCATATGCGACGGTCACGGGTGGCTTAGTCACCAGGCAAGAAACCAGCGAGCGAGGTCGACCTCGTCGCGCTTGCCGATTGAGCTTCTCCTCAGCAACATCACCAATCATTGTCTCTGTGAGTGCAGAAATCTATTCCCGCTGCATGTGTCGCTCTGCTAACAGTCTATACAGCATCACGAACGTCAATTCATAGCGAAAGATGGAACCAACCAACCAATCCGAGTGGACCGCCGCCGACGTCGACGCCCTCTGCTGCGAGATCTCCCTGCTCGTAGAGCAGGTACGACGGGGCCGCGTCGACCTGCCCAGGGCCGGTGACTTTTACAGCACCGTGTCTTCCAACCTCCTCCGCCGCCACAACGTCCACCGCAGCGCGACCGCTGCGTCCAACAAGTACGCCCACCTTCGAGCCGCCGCTATAGAATCCGCCCGGGGCGTGGACGAACGCCCCTTCATCTCCTTCATCGCGGCGCGCAGTGCGCTCGTCTACCCTGGAGAAGCGGCGCCCGCGCCACCGACCCTCCCCTCCCTCTCCGCGCGCGAGCAACAGGCCGTCCTGAAATGGACAGCCGACTGGGGCTTGGACATCGCCGAGTAAGATCCTGCTTCATACAAATCTGGTGGTGGGATATCCTGCTGACCGATCTGTTCTTCTACAGTGCCGGCAGTCTGGCGACTATGGCAGCAGCGGCGGCCGCGCTGCCGTCTGTGGGACAGCAGCAACAACAGCAGCAACAGCAACAGCAGCAGCAACAGCAACAGCAGCAACAGCAACAGCCCTCGTTTGTGCTTCCCCACCGTCGGGCTTAGATTTTTTGCTTTTCCCTCCTCCTTTCTCGAGCATCACAGCAAGGGCCGAGGAACCAGCGGGCCAGACAGCACCACAACAGCGAGAGCAACCGTCGAGATACCCTGGCAATGCCAATGAAGAAAAAGACTCATGAATTCGTAATTTCTACTTCACGGCTCTAACATGGCCCGATCATCTGTGTCAGGTGCGCTGATTTAGCCTCTGCCTCATCCTCTTGGAGAATCTTCTCGATGACCTTTTCATCCTTGATGCGCCAGAAAGCAGCAATCCCATCTGCGAATCTATGAGATACGGGTCCCAATTCTTCTTCATCAATTGCTGCAAAACACAACCGGAAGTATTTCCACCCTTCCGCGGCTTTGATCTCTTCTGTGGGGCTGAACATTGTTCCCGGAGCTCCGAGGACGAGATATGGCTTGGTGGTCCAGAAGATCCAGAGGGCCTTGGAGAGTCTCGTCAGACCATCGGGAGAAGCCTTTTTGAAAGTGGAATAGAGCGGGTGGTTCTCGAAATGGATCTTGATCCACAGGAACATGCCTCCCACCGGCCAGACGAAGGAATGCATCTGCACCTTCTCCACCACCGACCATTCGTCTTCAGCATCTTCCGTTTCCGCATCGAGGCTGTTCCTCCGACCGGCCTTGACCTGAGACTGCTTCAATTCCAGAATACGCGCCATCTGGTTCATCCGACGTTCGTAATTACCACGAAGACCTTCGAGCCAACGAACCCAGCCATCGGCTTTCCAGCCTTTACCACTCGGCAGCCCACCCTTTCCGTCTTTCAACATCGCCTTGGCATCGTTTAGACCCTCGTGGTCAGGGCCAAGGACAAGCTCTGCGACGAGAGACTGGACGAATCCGGACGGTGCCTGGGTCGTCGTCTCGGAAATCCGCAACAGGCGCTCGATGAAAGCGGGTTGTGCTGTGATCCAACCCAATCTACAACCTGGCGCCACGGTCTTGGAGAAAGTGTCAAGTCTGATGACCCTGCCTTCGGTGTCGATATTGATGGAGCTGGGCACTAGACTGTCGAGGAAATCGTACCCGCTGCTCTTCCAGCCATCAGGGTGCGCCTCTCCGTTCGCGAACATTCGGACTTCAGGGTTAAAGGAGGTGTTCTCTGGGTGCGAGGTCGTGGTGGTGTTGACAGCGGTGGCACTCGGGAATTGCAGATACCAGTACGGATCATCCTCAACAATGATAATATCATACTTGCAGCACAAGTCGTAAATATCTCTGCGACGCTGCAGGGAAAGGACACCGGAAGTGGGGTTCTGGCCCATGCTGTGGATAGTCAGCAACCACATGCATCAAGAGGGGCTCCGCAAGCAACACTCACGTCACGGTGTACATCAAATGCGGCAACTTGCCCTTATTGTAGTCCCAATTCTTCAACACGTCTTTCAAGCCGCCCGGGCCTTCCGTCACCATGCCCTCATCGTCAATGGCCACAGGGACCACATTCAACCCTCGCGGATGTGCCTGCTGAATGGCATTCATGTATGCAAAGTGTTCCACCAGAATGCCCTCTCTATCCCGAATCCAATCCTTCTCTTCGCTCCACTCATTGCTCATGGCCAGCAGCACCTTGGCGAGTCCATCCGTGTTACCGCAACTCAACATGACCTCTGGACCGCCCTTGTAGGGGCAATTGGGATGCAGGTTCTCCCGGGTGAATTCGCGGACGAAGTAGTAGAGGGGAGGGAAACCTTGCGCGGTTCCATATTGCAGGGCGACGGAGAGGTCGATCTTCTTGGTCGGGTTGGTCTGTTTGGAGGTATGTGGAACGACGATCTGGTCTTCGGGCTGGTTGAGGGGGCCGCTGGCTGTCTTGGTCTTGTCGTCTCTGAGCGACAGGGCGCATAATGCTTCATCGTCTGTAGGAGGATCGACTGGGCGGTTTCCAGTAGGTTGCCATCTGTCGGGGCGGGCGACTTTGGCTTCGAGAGTGTCGTAAGGGAAGTAGTACTTGTTGGGCAAGCCGCCCGCGAGCTGGCCAATACCGGGGATCTGGAAGTATTTGTAGAAACTCTTGATGGAGCTCTCTTTCCTCGACTTGGTGGCGCGACTCAAATGATGGCTGAGATCCTTTGGTGGTGATCGTGTGTCCATGATGGCGGAGCGTTTCGTATGGAAATTTCTCTAAGGTAGTCGTGAATTCTAGGAAAGCGAGTGGCGTCAACACAATCGGAGGATGTTGGTTGTTCTTGGTTGGTAGCGTTCGAGAAATGGAGGGGATTCACAACACGCCTTATCGCCGTTCCCGCCCTATTACCAATCGGGCTGGAGGCTAGACGCGTGAAGAGCCGCTGCGCCAGGCGCCAATCAATGCCGCCCGTCCCGGACAGCATCCCGATTGACCTCATCATCGATACCTGATTAGTCGTTCGCTTTCGTTTGGAGCCACATGGCAAGCTCAAGCTCTGAAACGTGGAGGGTGAAGCTGGAAGGTGGAGATGGAGCGCTTGTGATAGCACAGGGGTGATCAAATTAAGATAGATTGACGCTAGTTGCTTGGCATTGGTGTCTGCATACTATCTCTACCAAATATCATCCTTTACACGCTGTCCACTATTCAAAGTGAGTTGGTAGCACCTCTATTGCATGCTCTGTATTCTGTATCTGATTTGATCCATTGAAATCTCATTCCAGGCACAGATACAGGCTGCTTTGAGAGCTTAATAGTCCATCTGATATAGTGACTCCCTATATATCTTTTTAAGGCTCTCTTTAAGCAGTAGCCACACACCTTCAATTAGGTTGAGGTTAGGGCTTTGTACTAGGTGCCAGTAAAGCTAGATTAGCTGTTCTTACCTTGTCTTTTTAGGTAGATTGTCCTTTAATCTGTAACTATATAATAGATCACTATCTTCTATTAAAATAGCAGGGTAGCCTTAATTCTTTATCCATTTAATCTATTTAATATGCTTTGGAAGGATATGCTCTATATAGTAGAGCTGGCTTATTGAATTGCCCTTCTTCTAGGTATATAGGGGCTCTAAATTGGCCTATTCCTTCAACTCTGCTTAATACTGCTCTTCTGTCTTCTACCTTCTGTTTCTTCGTAGTTTTTAGCCCTTCTAGATTTCTGTAATATGCCTATGGTTCCACTATTTATCGTTATAGAAGACAAGCTCTAATTTGTGCTATTAAGAGACAGAGGCAGTGATATAGGCTACTAAATAGTCAGGCTTAGGTTGCTCGTATACTATCCCTTTATAATTGCCCTTCTCACGAAAGATTCGTTAATAAAGAGACATAGCCCGGTTAATATAAGCTTCGTCTATCCAATGGATCCATTGCTAGAGGCTATCCACTGTCTCTAACCTGTGTTAGTGCCTATATTGAATCCTAAGCCTCTTATTGTTATCAGAGATCTGTATAGTGCTCTGCCTCTTGCTATGCAGTATCTATAGCAAGCTCAAGCTCTGAAACGTGGAAGGTGAAGCTGGAAGGTGGAGATGGAGCGCTTGTGATAGCTGAACCTCTCCATGTGGAGGTTTTCCTTGTTCAAATGGCTGGCTCAACCGATCCATGTCTCTTGGGACCGCTCTCGACAAGTACAGTACGAGGAGGTGGCTTAGGTTGAGATGACGTCCGAGGGAGCCCCACTCATCACTCATCGAACCGGATCCCGACTTGGACCGCTGCAACGCTGATCGCTTCGTCCAGACAGTACTGTATAGCATTGTGCAGTGCAGTGGAGGAAGAGACCTCACGACTTCCATCTCATCAACACCATCGACAAAGTCATCCACCCACATAACATCGCTACGGGCAATGCGCTAGCAAAGATGAGGTGAAGTCGTGAACAGGGACCAGGTGCAACCCAGCTGTCGAGCACACGTCCGGGATTAGACGGCACCCGCCTCTGTTTGAGAGGGCAACCATGGCACCACCCATCCCGGCGGCATATCAGAAACCCGCCGACGAAGAGTCCGCCAATAGCAGTGATAATAACATCGCTGGCGACAATGGCAGCAGTCACTTCGAACCATATCGCGATGATTCCGACGACGATGAGACGATCGGTCCCGATGCGCCGCTGCGTAGGCCTTCCGTCGAATTCGATGGCCTGTCAAGGACCGCGACTCCATCGTGGAAAGAGCGGTTAGTAGGACGCATACCCATCGGGCTACGGAATGCCGGGACAGCAACCGTTACTTGGGTAAAGGGGCCGCAGCCTCCGAGGATATACAACATCACTCCCATCTTCCCAAAGATACAGCACATCCCGATCAATCTGCTGGACCGCTATGCGCCAGCCAGAGTACATCGCTTTGGGCTGCTTATATCTCTCTACTTTGTCTGGCTACTGGTCTTCTCCCTCATGCTAGCGAGGAGCTCCTTCGCCGCCAAGGTACCAGGCTATGGCACTCCCGTTCGTCTGAGCTGCGCCGCGAGATACTGGGGTGATGGCAATGGATGCGGACTGAATGGCGACCAGTGTCGGCCATTCACAAATGTCAGCTTGGCGTTTCGATGCCCCGCAGACTGCCACAAGATTCAAGTATTGAACCCGCATGCTGTCGGGGACCAGGAAGTGGTCTACAAGCCGCTAGTAGTCGGTGGTCCAACCAACGAGCAGACCGGCTTCGAGGCCGATCTGGTCGAAGATGCGGTATACAGAGGAGATAGCTTCATCTGCGCATCCGCCGTGCACTCTGGCTTCATCAAGAACATCGAGGGTGGCTGTGGGGTGCTCACGCTGACCGGCGAGCAGACTGGCTTTCCCGACAGCAAGCGCAATGGTATTGAAAGCGTAGGATTCGATAGCTATTTTCCACGTACCTTTGGCTTTCTCAAGGGAACACGCGCGCAGTGTAAGGACCTCCGCTGGCCGGCCCTGGTGCCATCGGTCGTCTTCACTGTCATAATCAGCTTGTTCACCACGGACCCGGGCGTGCATTTCTGGTCCATATTCGTAGGCTTATTCTTCCACGTCGCGCTTGTCTCCGATCCGCCGGCGAACACCACCTATTACGGACTCCTCAGTATCGCTTGTGGCCGCTTTCTACCCGCTTGCTTCTGCGCTTGGGTCATTTATCAATATACTGTCAAGCGCTCGCTTACCGGTCTCACGGCGCAGATCGAAAAGACGATGCTCTGGCTCGGACCGGCTTGGGTAGGCTCACTGAACAACTATACCTTTGACCGGATTCCAATCCAACGGTTGACGCCGCATGACATTCAAGCGCAACCGGGAGCCGTACCTGCCTTGATCATCATTGTGCTAGCCATCTTCTTGATCGCTCTCGGCCAAGCGTGGGCTTTCCGGATCGAAGGTCGAATGCCGCGCTACTTAGTACTATATGGTATCATGGTTGCAACTCTTTTGATCATGCTTGCCGTACCGGGCTTGGATCTCCGCATCCATCATTATATCCTCGGACTCCTGCTAGTGCCTGGTACAAGCTTCCAGAATCGTCCGAGTCTGGTATACCAGGGCTTGCTGGTCGGCCTCTTCATCAACGGCATCGCGAGATGGGGCTTCGATAGTATCTTGCAGACTCCGGCAGAGTTGTTGAGAGGAGTGCAGCAGAACACCCTACTCCCTGCAATATCGGTCTTGGCAATCGGCGCGAAGAACATCACCTTCAACATGGGTCCTCTACCGGTATACGACGCGAAAGCGAAAGCTACGTATGATGGTGTCAGCGTTCTGGTCAATGACGTTGAGCGCTTCCGAGGATATGGAGACGACCGTTCTTACTGGGACGATAATACTGGCAGCGGAGGAACCTTTGCCTGGACTTGGAAGCGACATACACCCAAGCCCGGCCAGTCAGAGGCAGAAGCGGCTGAGGACGGAGACCTCGACGTACCTGCGGGCCAATTGCCCGAATATTTCCGATTCGCATATATGGACGGCAGTCGCACGGCGGATTATAGTAAGGCTGGGAAATGGGACGAGGGGGGAAGATGGATCGAAATGCAGCCCGGACCGAGCTTATGAAGATACAGAGTACTTTACAGAAAGATGAGACCAGAGTTGAACGGGGTATACGATTATTTTCCACCACCTTCAATCTGAATAGATTTCCCAGTCGCGGCTCTGCTGTTGAGGAACAATACTAGGAGAGCCATACGGTGCTGACTGTAACGCAGAATCTCCCACACACACACACAGACGACTCATGGAACAACAATCTACATTGCGCGCACGACGTCAGTCTGGCCGACAGCATCGACGCGAATCGTAACGGAGTAATTTTCGAGTTGCATCGCTGCAAGCCATCAGCAGCCTCGCGAATCCCTGAATTGAAGCTGAGCTCCCATGACGAACGCGCACCACGCGTGTCACCTGGATTTCCATGCGCATGCGACAGCAAATTGGACAAGAGGACAATGCACGAGACTTCTCTCGAATTGACTTGCATCGCCTTGCTGACAGCTGCAAGAGTGCCTGGTGGATGTCTTTTTTTTTTTTTTTTTTTTTTTTTTTTTTTTGCCCGAGGCGGACAATGCGGTTGTGTTGTGCTGCGCTTCGCCACGGTCCGGGTTGCTTGTGGGAGGGTGTGAAGAGTGCGAGGCTGCTAGAGAGACCAGTAATGGCCAGGATGGGTGTACGATGGAAGAACATGTCGCAGCTGTGCCGTCTGCATATCTGGCTCATCGAAGATGGCTAGAAAGGTCGGGAAGAGAAAAGTAGGGGAGGGTCTGGAAACGGTTTTGAATTTGCGATGAGATCCGGCATCGAAGCTTGATTCTGAAGAGCGTACGATGCGATGCGGGAAGTGGCCAAGGTGGAGCTCTTCAAGATGAGATTTCGTTGCGCTTGGATGGAAGGAGAGGGAGAGGGAGAGGACGGTTCAGGAGTTGCGGGTTATGTTTTGCGTCTTGGAAGGAATAGACCTTTGAGATGAGAACCAACATGCTTTCGTGCATGCCCACGTTGTTTGTTCACGTTGACGATGTGCACATCAGCCGAGTGTTCTCAGAAGGGAAGGCTAAGGTACAAGCCACATGGTGGACCCTCGCAAGCAACTTCGGATGACAACAACAACAACAACAACAACAACAACAAGGCTGGCGTCATAATACCAGCACCAGTGCAAAAGTACATTGCATGTTATCTGTACCGTTGCCTTCCTCATCCTTGCCATGGCTGCTTCTCAGGAGGCAGGAAAAGTGCGGCCTCGCAGCGCTCCGCCACTGTCTGCCTTGTCAGCTGCTCGTGGGAGGGTGTATGAACGCGAGGCCGGCCGGCCTGCCGACCGCGAAGACAGTAGAAGCCGTCTGCAAGACATGTGTGAGACAAAAAGGGCGCAGAGGGCACGCGTCGCCCTGCATTGTTTGTGCAAAGGATTAAGTCTAGGTCAGGTTTGTGTTGTTCTTGTTCTCTTGCTTCTTCCCCGATTTGTCTTGCAAGCAAGAGACCAAAAAAAAAAAAAAAAAAAAACAAAGAGAAGAGCTGCAATCGAAGGGAAAAAGAAAGGTCTATTACTGCTGTTGGAATTCCTGCCACCACGACATTTTCTGGCATCACCTTTTTGGTCCACCATGGCGAACGACTCGCTCGAAGCGCTCATCGCACACTGCAATGCTCTCCTCGGCCGCCTCTACCGCCATCTGGTCCAACACAAACTCCACGAAGAAGCCGACGAAATCGAAGACATCTCCCACGACTTCCACCACATCACGACACAATACAACGACGACGTCCGGCGACGCGACCAAGCCCTCACCCATCTCCAGCAAGATCTCTCCGTCGAACGACTCAGTCGCCAGGACCTAGAATCCGAAAACAGACGTCATGTCTTCGAGATGGAAGACCGCGATCTGGAGATTGCCCGGCTCCAGAAGCGGATCGACGCGCGCGACGAGGCTCTCCGGGATCTTGCACAGGAGAACGAGTTCGCCCTGCAGGATCAGACGAGGGAGAATGCACGGGCGATTTGGGATCTCGTGGAGGGGAATAAGATTTCCCTCGCTGCTGCGGCACGTGCGGCGTATCTTGAAGGCCAGCAGCAGGGCGCCGAAAAAGTCTACGAGCGCGAGCGATGGCTTCGCGAATTGCAGATTTCCTCCGAAGCACAGGCACCACCACTACTGCCTCCTGAGCTCCGTCGCGCGCTGGTCCTGGGCAAGAAAGAAGACATCTTCCAATCGCCTCACTCCTCCCATCCCTTGGTGTTGCACCACGCCGCTCTCTTCGGTGAACTCGAAATCGCGCGCCACGTTCTCAGCCAGCAGCACATCGACCCCAACACCACCTGTTCCATCCTCGGCGCCTCCGACCACCGTCTCGGGGGCGTAACACCCATGCACCTCGCCCTGGGCGCCCAGCAGAAGCAGATGCTCCAGCTGCTGTTCGACTCCGGCGGGAGTGTGCATCTCCCGCCGCCGCAGCAGAGCCGTCACGGTGGGAGCCGGAAGACGTCCGCCGCGCCTCCGATGTGGCTGGTCAGTCGGCGATGGCTGGACCTCGTTGGGGAGAAGGATGTCGGGGGGGTTTTGGAGGGTTTGAAGAATTTGGGCTGGGATCCACATGCGGTGTTGAGTCATCATCGTCAGAAAGGCGAGTTGCAGACGATGAGGAGTTTGGCGAGGAGGGATCTGTGCGATCGTCCGGAGTTGCAGAGGGAGGTTTTGAGGTTTCTCGATCGATGGTGAGATGGCTTGTTCTCGCAGCGGGTGAATACTCGTACATTTGCGGAAGATGTCCTGCCTTCGATATCTGTACATATATCATTCCCCATGTATGTGACCCGTGCTGTTGTTGTTAGCGCGGAAGCCTGGCCCACTCATCCATCCACCGGGAACTTTCATCTCCTCTTCCCACTTCCAGGATCAAACAACATTGTCTTCGCTTCCTTCTCGCATCCCCCCATCTCCGCCAGATCTCGATAATATAACTGACTGTCAACCATGATCGGGGTATATCGATGCTTTTTCCGTAAGTGAAAGGCACGCGCGCTCTCCACACGGGGCTCAAGTGATCGTGCTTGGTGCCGACGGGATTGGAAGGTGCATGAGCTCAGCCTCAGCCTCGAAAAAAAAACCCGCAGTGTGCTAGAAAGCCTCGTCACGCACTTCCCTTGCTCTCAGAACTGCCCTCCCACACT